GGAGGTTCAGCCTTGGTCGGTGGAGGGGGTTCAACCTTGGTCGGTGGAGGAGGTTCAGCCTTGGTCGGTGGAGGGGGTTCAACCTTGGTCGGTGGTGGTGGTTGAGTCTTAGTTGGTGGTGGTTGAGCCTTAGTTGGTGGCGGAACAGGAGGTTTAGTTGGTAATGGCGGAGGAGCTTTGCTCGTGCCTGGCAAGCTTCCTCCGAACTTTTTCCCAAAACCAAGTTTACCTGGCATTGCTGAATTACCTCCTGATTTACGTGTTTTTAGACAAGGAAACTGTTAAAGTATGCTTTGCGCGTCAGGTCTTCCACAAGTCTCACATCATACGTCCACCCTCCACTTCTTATAAGTACAGATCATGGCAAGATGCAGTTTGTGATCTCGGTCATACAAATCGCCGTTCTACCACTATTCTCGGCGGCATCGATATATGGTGAATCGACATTACTATCAATTACTGACAGTCCCACAACTGCTTCTAAAAGCGTCAGCCCGTGAGACCAGTCGACTCTCACATCAATGCTGAGAGCGAGTCATCGGGCGAAATCCGCAGGACTGATGACTTGTCATATTCTTCCTGGCTTTTATCCTGATCCTCGTTCTATAATGCACAGAATAGGAGAATGGTCTCCGAGGCTAGCGAGGCGGAGGATTGGACATGCGCATTGGGACGTAAGCGACATGATTAAGGGAAGCCACATGGATGACACATTCACAGCCAAATCAGGTCGCATCCAACAACTAAACTGTGATGCCTGGTCTCACCCATGTCAGCTTTGTCATTACAACACATGAATGTTGGCATCGTTAAGGCCCGGTACTAGCTGTATACCAGTGTATTTAAAAGGTAGTTCTATTGGCTCTTCTACCCAGCCCAATCAGGTAGGGGTCTGAGCATCTAAGCCACGCTAGCAAGGTTAAGCGGTGACTCTGCCACATTCATAGCCGACGATGGACGCCTTGAATATTGAAATAACTCGCTTGCATGGAGGACCTTGAGCAGACGCTAAGGTTGGCATTTCCAATTAAGCACCGCACTACATACGAATATAATCTTGTCCTAAACAGGGGTTTTGCCCAATCATGTGTGACGGAAGATTATCAGGCTGTGTGCCCCCTTACAACACAGTAAGACTTTGCCTCGTTTTGTTTCTATTTTATGAACAACGGATCGTTGAATTTGACATATAAGGAGTACCAAGACTTACCAAGCAATCCCAAGCAATCCCAAGCAATCCAAAAGTCTTATCCTGTCAAAAGGACTATAGCATACTCCTACAGCCTTATCGCAAGCGGGCACCTAATATCTCCATAACGAATTTCGTTTCCACTTGCCATATACGGTATTTCTAAAGCCAAAAGCTATAATGGAGCACGTTCAAGAAGGTTTCCACCATATTGAAGAGGGACTTCATGACTTGGAGGAGGGTTTAGAAGAATATGGAGACGAACACGGACATTGCCACGAAGGCTACGACGAGCACGATGAACATGGCCATGGTCACCACGGCCATGGAGATGAAGGCGACTGGGAAGAGGGAGACCCTCATGGACATGGCCAACACGGGCAACACGATGAACATGATCATCATGGTCAACACGATCAACACGGCCAACACGGATACAGCGGCCACGGAGAAGACGAAGACTGGGGCGAGCATGGAGGTCAGTATGGATCTCGTAAGTAGAATTCCGATACCTGCGATTGACAATGAAGACAAGAACTGATTGAATTTTTAGACGGTGATGAGCACGGACATGGACATGGCCAAGGGCACGGCGGTCATGGCGGGCACGACGGGCATGATGATGGACAGTGGGGATCTCGTAAGTACAGCGTCCAATCTATATCGGCGGCATCAATTGATCATATTCTTAGATGGCGATGAGCATGGGCACGAAGATGGTCACGGGAATCCTGAGCATGGTGGCCACGGCGGACACGGTGGACACGGTGGCTATGGTGGTCACGAAGAGTGTTGAGCGATTCCCCAGGACGCAGTTGAGGTGAGCGTGTTGAACTTGGTATAATTCAGAGCTTCAGTTAGACTTCAGTGGAATATGCATGTACACAACCGATTTGAGAAGTGTTCTCTAAAAGCGTTTGTCGTCTATGCTCAACGGATCTCTCTCACCCACCACAACGCATAGTTCCCTCAGCATGTAGGTTCTTTGGGCAGAATTCGAGCAAATCATTCCTAAAATCCTGCACCTTGCAGAGCACAGCACGCATCGCTGCCGAGGCCGCCTAGACTAGTCAATTAGAAGTATTGATGCCAGATACTCTCAGTGATACTCTCGCCCAGGCTGAATGGAGACATAATTGTCGCTCAAGTTGGAGTTTCCGATAAGCCCTGACTCTTACTCCGTACAGTGCGTATCATTGCCTATCGATCCACACAATTTTCTGGGACGGCCCACCTGAAGGCAGGTCTTGGCCTAACTTGGTAGTGAGAGTGTGTGTCGATACAAACCAGACCCTTGGCAATTGGGCCTTGCATTGAGAGTCAAGCACTAACTACGATTTTCATGGTTTGCTATTTGGTCGCAGACTCTTGCTGCCCCGCACTATCAAGGAGACCTTGAATTTATGATAGCATTGAAACCCATGATTCTTATCTGACTGCCTAGAATGTGGTAGCAAAAGCATAATCAGGTTTAAGTAAGATACGTATTCACAAAATCGACTCTGAAAGGTAAGGTATTACAGCCAGGTTCTCTGGTCACATACTATGTAGCCTCATCCATTAATCAATTGGTAATGATAATTGTCACCGCAATGTCTTGTACAGCTCTTTACCCTTTACTAAATCCCAACTAGTATCTCATGTAGACAACGATGTTAGCGAAACGTTTCAGGCTAGGTCAAGCTCAATAAATTGACAAGTTGCACATGGCAGCGAGCACATTCAACTTTGGCCTTCCTGATAACCCGTGCCGATGCCTCAGTAGATCTTATGTGAGAAGTGCACGGCTTTTTCCTAGTTGATGGAGGGATCGCCGGTGGCTGGCGATTTGTCAATGGAGTAACACCTGCGTGAGAACTGGAGTCTAACAAGGCATGTAATTAGCAGACAGAGGCCAAGGGCAAAAGATTCCCAAGGATGTTGCCATTGGACGGGCGGACTTTAGCTTCTACATTTGGATTGGAACCAAGTGTATCATCCATGCTTAGGCCCCTTAGTAAGTCTGGACAGATATAGCACCAATCGCTCAATGCCGCACTAAAAGTGGGGTCAGGACTCCATAGTCATCTGCAAGTCCTCACCACCACTAATGCACGACTTCAACCCAAATTAGAATACTTACAGTTTTGAATGGCTATATGGGGCCTCGGTCTTTGGTGATGTCCAAATTTGGGGACCTGAGCCTCGATGGACGCCTGGTGGGGTTTGATGCTAGATACTTGAGCTTCCCATTTAACATACTTATCCGGGAGCTCTGCTTTGCTCCTCTCACATACAGTTCTTTCCCATTTTCATTGTCTCCTACAAGTCTTGAGTATTTTGCTTGCTTTTCCCGGCGATCAGTCTATGAACAACACTCATTTCCTCATCTCATCCAATCATTGAATCAACTCTCATTTAAACCAAATTCTCACTTTCTTTCATCATGAATGCCATGGGCCAGGGCGGTATGGGGGGAGCGATGGGAGCGATGGGGAACAGTATGTCTCAGTACTGGAAGAGACATATTGCCGGTAGGGTTACCTATCCAAGTTCGAACCAATTGATATTGACAGTCCGCTAGACAGCTTCTGGCTTCGAATTTTCATAAACTTCCTTGCTGCTCTTGCAATCCTATTCCAATGTGAGTTGGATTGATGCCATTTCCGGAACTTCACTGACTGTTGCTATCAGGCCTTGTCATTCTTGGCTGTGTACCAGGAGCACCAGGCTCCTCGAGTGCTGCCTCGAGGTATTATTTGATAGAATTCAACGCAGCTAACGGGACTGCCACCTCGAGACTGCGAATCGGTTACACAGGTATGGATATCTCTACCACCGTACACTTCCAGAAGGCTAATTTGATATAGCCATGTGTCTTTCGCTTTCAGATCAGCCAGAGCACTGTGTCATCACAGTTGGCAAGGACGACCAGACAAGCATTCGTTTCTTGTCAACTGGACAAAATGACAGAGACTCCTTCGATCAGTTAACCAACAACGAACGATTGAACACTGTTCTTTTCGACATTGCCATGTCTCTTCAGAACAATGTCTTCGTTGTCATGCCGGCTATTCCCGGAGCATTCCTTGCTTTTGGTGTGATACTTCTCATAGCATATGCCACCCTGAATCGACCCTGGGTAGGACCAGCATCCTCGTGGAGACAATCTCAGCGAAATCGCAGGTTAGACATCATGAGAATCACGATGATTGTCTTTCTTGGCCTTGCGATTGTTTTCTCATTCGCGATTGCCGTGGCGAACTCTCAATTATTTGCAGCCTTATCAAAGATCACTTCACACAATCGACAAGCGGCCGATGTTTTTAATGTCAACCGTGGAACAACAGCCCTCGCATTGCATTGGATGACCGTGATCGCTACCATCGGATTTTTCATCGGAGTCATCCAGACCCATGTCAATATCAGTAGCATCAAGGTCAAAGTCACCCCCGAAGACACTGCGGGCACTACTGGTGGTCGTCAATTCGCTGCTGCAGGCGAGACCATCGAGAAAGCCTCCTTACTCAAAGACGCAGAACCCATGGCGATCAATCCTGCGGGCCTGACGCCACAGGCTCCAGCAGGAGGCGCGGGTGCAGGGGGTGCCATGGGACGGGGTGGCGCCATGGGTGCACGGGGCAGAGGAGGTGCCATGGGACGGGGGGGTGCCATGGGAGCCCGTGGCGGCATGAGAGGAGGTGCAATGGGCCGTGGCCGAGGCATGATGTAAAACACATTAACACCATTTTGCAATTTGCTCACAAGAGCATGGGTTGGTCGGTTATCTGTATTGGCATACTGGGTAATAGCACTTACGAGCAAGCGCAACAGCTTTCAAAATCTGAACATACAAAAGTTACAAGTTTACAACGAGGACTCCCCCGAGCCACAATTTCCATGCTTTCTCTTAACACTAATACAAATAACGTCACAGTTTTAGGGCAGCCATCGTGTTCTCATGGGTGTACTTTCAGGAAGAAGCAGTTTTGATATCACGTGGTGAAAATTGCAATCAAAGCTACGAGTAGATAGTTGATGAACGAACTAAGGTTGAGCGACGGACCCCGCCTACTGTTTAGGGATTAGTTTGCGTCCTCGTACAGATAGCCCAAATGAGGATAAACATACCTGGGTTCGGGATAAGCGAGTCATACTTACCGATAACGGTAGGACTAGAAAACCCTTAAGCGATCCAGCAGGAGCTGGTATAGTAGGCACTAGGATTCTTGCAACCGAGTAAGAACGGCTAGGTTAGAACGATTGTGGGGTCCAGGGGAGGAGGGGGCGTTAGCGTACGCTAGGTAGCAAGATATCCTTGGACTTCTACTAAGCACGGAACTACTCATTAGTAACTGCGGATCTTACTCGTACACAACGCAGGTGGCCTGGCCTATGGGCGCCTGTCGACCACTCCTACGGAGGATTCACAACGAATAGCTATGTGTAGTCGAGGTAGGTCAATTCGCGCTCCGAGAAGGCCCGCTATTTGCATTCTGGAGGCTTGCACCCATGGCATAGTGGTCCAATGTCATGGCATCCGCCGCTTTGGACTCGGAGTGGTCGATTTACGCCGCGCTGCGAATAGTAGAAACCCATGACAGTATGGGTGAGGGGCAAGCTTCACTATTTGAGGCTGCGGTCAACCAAGCACACCTTTGTCTTCGTTGATTGATTCGTCCACTCGGGTCCAGCGCAAGTCGCAGGTGTGTTTCAACTAGGTAACTGTCAAGGGAAGGAAAGACTCTCAAATTGAAAAGGTCGTACTCGTCAATTGAAGCGAACAACTCAGCTCACCACCATACGCACGTTGCCACCGGATAGGCCATGCTTATCTTAGAAGAGCTTATTATATCTGGCAGTGGGCCCTCTTACCCCTCTTGGCTGGCAGCCTCGTGGGGGGGGAATCGCCAAGCCTCGGCAGGATTTGATGATATTATTCATTTTAAATGACGATGGCGTCTCATCGTGGTCACGTTCTGCGCCTAGGGCCTGTCAAGTTTGACTCTGCAGTGAGAACGCAAGTCTCGGCCTGCCGAGTCCGGCTGGCGACATGAAGTGGGCACTTCCCAACTTGAGCACGACATTCCGACACAATTCCCGCAGGTAAATACGCAAAGGGTTTTTGTGACGGGTTTGCCTGTGTAGGGTCTCTAGGTGAAGCTATTTGAGTTTTGGAGGTTTTGAATAAAAGATATTAATTCTATTCTATGTACATAAGTTTTCTTACCCCAGGGGTCGAACCTATCTGAACTCGTCATATTCGTCATCCCTCATCAGATTTCTTCTAGACGAGTATGGATCCATATAAGGATCGTCATTCATTCCCATTGGCATGTAGTAAGGCATTGAGCCTCTGTAATACCTGGGAGGCATCATGGGCATCCCATAACCCTCTTGCTGCTTCATTCTCATTTTCTGCGCTCTTCTTCCACCACCCGCAGATCTGCTGCCACCGGTACAGAGTTGTACGGTAGCTGTCAACGCTGAAAGAAAGAGAAGGGCCACTGCTATCCATATCATGGCCACAAAATAGTTCCCTTGCTCTGCCGAGATTCCAATATCGTCACCACTCGAGTTGATTCCATTAACGACTGTAGTGATGACAGCTGTCGCGATTCCAGCCCCGATGCCGAGGCTTAATGTCGCAAGCTGGACATAAAATTAGCATTGACGACAGAGGTGTAGTTGAAAGAACAAGACTTACAACCGTGCTGATGACTAGAAGAATTGTCACGAATCTGTTTTCCAAGAAAAGGCCCAGTGCACCCGCCAGAACCGATATCAGCAGGAACAGGAGTCCGATGACGAAGAATGCAACCATCGCCGATCCAGCTGATTTAACATATAAGAATGCGTTCGTGATTCCATTGGGCCAATCCAAGTCATCCATGTCCAATGACAAGTTCAATAGGTCTCCGAGTTGCTCAATCGCTTTCTCAATGATGTTCGCAAGGTCGAAGCGCTTTGCTAGCGATGGCTTTTCGCATCGAGTAAGAACAGCACTGGCATCGCTGTCCCGATAGTTCGGTAGATATTGTCCTTCGCAGTAATTCAAGGTGAATACAGCATAATACTCCGCCGTTCCCAGTGACGCAGTTTCGGTTTCGATCGTGCCATTCTCCACAGATGTCCCATTAATTGTAAGTGTGCCGTTTACGAACTCCACACAGTTGCATCCATTTCCCGTACTGTTATCGAAATTCGTGTTTGCAATTTGTGAAGCATTGACCTATCGTTGTTAGAAACGAAGGAACTCGGCTATTTCCCGCGATTGAACTCACAGTAAACATCGAAACATTTGAAAGAGTTCCAGTATTGTAGCCAGCGAACGTACAACAGGACAACAGAGCCGTTGCTCCAAGGGCCGCTATCAAAGTGATCAAAGAAGAGACCTTCATGTTGTTATTGTTGCGTGCCGTATTAAAAGAATGTGTGTTGGACGAAAAGGAAATGAAAGCAGAAAAGAACGGCAATTGGGCGAACACGAGACCTGGAGATCAAGCCGGTAGGAAATGAAGACCGCAAAAAGCTCCGTAGGCCCTCGAAGAAGTATGATATGCATAGGGGACTGCAAAGCCCCAGCCACAATGGTTGCTCACATGGTATTGCAAGCAACGTCTATATTTGCACTGCTTCCCCACTAGCTATCGACCAGTCTGACTGTGGTGTTCTGCTAGCAGTAAGTGTCCGAGGTATTACTACCCAAGCCCGGCCATAGATTTCTAAATTCTCACCATGCCAAACGTTTCGATCGGCACATTGCATTAACCTGCATATGGAGACCGCGCTAGCATGGGTCTTGTAGCACGTTCTCAAATTCTTAATGGCGAAACACTGCCTCCGCGAACCCCCGCTTCGACTAAAATACATCTTTGATAAGGCAACCACGGCCGCTAGTGGGGCTAGTTACGGCTCCCAGCACATGCCTGACAGCGTCCTTCCTTTAATTGGATTAGCGTTGATCGCTTTTACTCCTCCATCGAGCCGCAGCACTCATAGCTATAGAGACCGAAGGACGAGAGAGGCTAAGTACTGACTTCGTTTCATTGCAGCAGCAGGCACAAACGATCGACCTCCGTCCGTTTATGTCGTAGCTATTTGGCGATCTTTGATTTTTGAGTCCTTTTGTTTATACCTGGGCACTGAACAGCTTTACCACGCCAACAGGGTTACAGAGGCGACCTACGAGTTGTAAATTACTTGAGCCATATTGAATGCTCAAAAGCAAGAGCAGAAACACAAGATCAATTATTACAGAAAAGGCTCTGAGAATAAAAAGTTCCCAAGGAGAAATTGAAAAGTAATGCCAAAGCGGGTATAGCAATATCGTCCGTATATCCACCTCATCAGAGCGAAGTTCGTGAATTACATAAATGAAAATCCGTAACACCCATGGGTATTTGACTGAAATAAACTTTTCATGGCGTTAAAGGTGCCAAAAATCCAATCGCCGTATCTGGTCTTCGAAAGTCACCATCGAAAGGCCGAGTTCTCCCATCTGCCGACCTTGGCGTGGGCAGGCCAGTTCTTGACGGGCTTCTGTGGCCTCTCGAGAGTGGTGACCTGCTATGAGGTTCAGGTGTAGACCCTCTGTTCTGGGACTTCCAGAAGAGATCGCGAAACATTCCTGCTGTCGGAGACGATGAGGAAGTTGGTGGCGATAATGTTTCGGGCTGAAGTGTCAATCGCTGACTGCGATTGAGGCTTACGGCGCGTGAAGGCCCATGATTCTGACGTTGAGAGGGGATGGCCATGGCGCTCGGCAAGAACGATTGGTATGATTGGGAAAGGGAGCTGTGTTCAGCACGTATAGGTGATAGATGATAATCACTGGCTGGTAGGTTGGTCGTGCCGTATGCTTCAAGCATATGCCCCGCCCGAGACATCTCTGGCACAGCTAATGTACGTGGCCCCATCATTTGATATTCATCGGAGTCGTGGAAATGAGACAATGAGTTCCCTTCATGGGCCTCTTCGTGGAACTGCCTATGCAGATGTTAGTATCCTATTCCTAATGACCAGGCTGGAATTTCGCACCTTACCAATATTGGCCCTCCTGGTCATATTGATTGTATCCTCCTCCAGGTTGCTGTGAGTTCATCTCTTCATATCCTCGAGTCATGTTCCCATACCCCTGGTCACCACCTCCATATCCCTCGTCCATGTTGTCATATCCTTGATGGCCACCACCTTGTTCATATCCCTGGTGACCTCCGCCTTGTTCATATCCCTGGCTACCCCCGGATTGCCCGTAATCTTGCCCATAATCTTGCTCATAGCCTTGGCCATGCCCTCCTTGTTCGTCATAAGAGCCTTGATACATATCCTGTCCGTATCCTCCCTCCTCTTCATAACCCCCATACATCTCCTCTTCCGCATCATACCAGTACTCTTCCTCGTTGCCGTATTCCTCGTACCCATCGTAACCGTACCCGCTCTCGTCATACCCTCCCTCACCCCAGTCTTCATATGCGTCGTAGTAGTCGTAGGAATCATCGTAGTATTCCATCAGACCTTGAACAAAGGAAATATGTTCCGCCGATGGGCTGAGGCAGAGTGACAGAAGCTAATTGGACGAAACGTGTATTGAGAGCCTCCAAAAGGGCTGATGATAGGTACTTGATGATAATGAGATCCAAGAAATTCTAAGTCTAATGATTGTTGTCTGGGGTAAAAATGCGCTTATAGTAGTGAAATCTGGTATGAAACAAACTGGAAGTCGAGTTCGTTAAGGATGTGCACTGCCTCTCTCCTAGTTAAACCACTTAGCCTCGCCCCACCATTGTGCCTTGTTCTATCCGGTCGATTTTAGAATAGCTCCGCCGACTGGACCAATATAGCGACTGCTCCGTCATCATACGCCACAGTGTACTTAGGATCTTGGGCTTACGGGAGCTCCGGCTCTTGGATTACCCTTCTGTATTCATTAGTCGCCGAGGCCGACTCAGAATACTGTGATGGAGCAAGGATTTATCCGAGACCCAGACTAGTCTCAACCATGTTGGTGGCTCTCGTTGCATGTATTACAGATAGAAACTAGGTTATAGGCGCTGATGGTCATCCTATTCCACACAGATCTTGGAGCCTGGACACGAGCTGTTCACTGTTCGAGAATAGAGATTCTGCAAGGTCTGCACCTGTCTCATATCAGATTGATTGAAATTTGAACGTGTCGAACTGACAGTAGCGTCTCTAATAGAGAAGTGGATTCTCATCTAACATCTGTTAAAACTCATCTATGGGTATCTAGATATTGAAAAGCCTAAATAGGGGGTCAGATATCTGCACTGAAATTCTCAGTAATGTATATAAAATGTACAAAATATGCTCAAACATCCAGACGAGATGAGCAGCCATCTGGAATGGAAATTGGCTCACGTTTCTCTATCCATCGGTGGAAATTCAGCTTGCATAGAGCCTCTCCTTGAACTTGTCCACCAGAGACATGGGATGAAGGTTTGGTCTCTGAATACTCTTTCTTGCGTCCACTTTCGAATCCTCCGTGGAACTGCTGTAGTGGTCGTAAAATCTCTGACCGGCGTCAAATACGTTGTAATGCGGGTTGACCTCCTTCACAGGATCACGTTGTATGTTTTCGTCGAATTGGTCGCCGGGCATTAATGCATATGGCAAAACTCGCTCGTTGCTGATTGTTCGGTGGAAGCCTGGGAATGGCACCACGTCCTCGTCATAGTGAGGGCGAACAGGATTTTCCCAAAATCCTTCTTCTTCAAATTGCTGTGCAGGGTCCTCTTCATATTCGTCGTCATCTTCATCACCCCAGTACTGCTGTTGTAGCTGGTTGAGGTCTTCAGAGTACCCTGTAATGTTGGCTTCATCTGCAGGATCTTCATCATCCCAGAAGTCAAAGTCTTCAACATCCTCATCGTCATAGACAGACTCCTCATCGTCTGGGTACGGAGCTTGGCGGGAAGTTCCAGCATCTTCATCGTTATGTGGGGTTGAGACACCAGCCATGTGGTCCTCGCCGGACGCGTGTCCACCGAAGGTCTCTCTCTGTGATTCTCCTTCCAGATCATCCTCATCGTCCTCCTCGCCACCTTCATGATATTGATCCTCCTCAGCTTCATGATGTTGATTTGCGTGGAACTCATCCTCATCCTCCTCTACATACGGATCATTGAAGTCGGGGCCAATAGTTCCTTGCTGCAGGCGACTGAGCAAGTCGTTGAGTTCGACTTCGTCCGGCATCATCATATCTTCAGGGTACGGCTGACCAAGATCATCTGTATCGTTGTTGATGCCATGTTCCTGTACTTGATCATCTGTGACCTGTTCGTTCTCACGAAAGGCTTTCTTCCACTCACCTCCATTCTGCTGATTCATGTTGTAGTCATGGATGCCATTTTCTGGAGTCAGATCGTAGTATCCATTTCCCCCATATGTATTGGCTTCTACATGCGATCCGAAGTAGTCATTGTACGGGACTTGGTCCGGGGTCTCATACGCATCGTTCTGCAGCAGGTCTTCCTGCTCATATGCCCCAGTACCGTCGTCGTAGCCGTAATCATCGCCATATTCTTCCTCGTCGTAGTAGTTGCTGGTCTCTTCGTTTGTTGAAGGCAATGCTCCAGACATGTAAGCGCCGCCATCTTCTCCGTCATCGTACTCATCCTGGTTATAGTCTTGTCCATACAGGCCATCTTCTTCACCAGTGTATTCATAATCTTGATCGCCATACGTCAGATTTCCATCTTCGTCATAGTATTCAGCTCCTCCCCCTTCTTCTTCTTCTTCTTCCTCCTCCTCCGCAAATCTGACTCTCTTCGTTTGTGCTGGGTGATTGTAGTCGCCTTCACCATTTTCATCGTCTTCTTGGTAGTAGGGATCGTATTCGTCTTCGTTGTATTCTTCTCCGTAGTTACCATCTAGGTCAAGATCGCCTTGCTCGTATTCGTCGCCATTATACTCTTCCTCGGCTGCTGCTTCGGCTTCTTCTGCCTCTTGGGCCTTTTTCCGTAGAATGTAGTCGCCGAAGAGTTTGACAACCTTTGATCTATCTCCACTCGAAACTGCTTCCACAAGAAGCGCGTACTCTTGCAATTCATCCCTCCATTTTTCATCGGGCATGACTCTTTGTTTTACCTGGGTCAATACGATGAAAAGCCGACATGTCTTTTACCTGCCGTCTCAGTAAATCCTGTGAATAATCCTGACCTAGGAATACAGTGGCTCTCACCTAGGTTCGGCATTTGTCCGTTCAAAATTCATTCATGGATGGATTTCGAGATCTTTTTGGGCATTGTTTGTTGTGTTTACTCTCGGAAGACCAACCAGATCACAGATACTTTGATCAGGGCCAGAAAGCTAGATGAGGACAAATGGGTGCATGTAATATGTGGGCGTCAGGCGTCAGGCGTCAGGCCCCTGCGGCAAGGTACTGTCTGATGTTCTTCGGAAGATATGTGTGGATCAGGCAACTGAAATGAAAATACAGAGGACATAAAGGGAACCACAAGTTGTGGCGGCGGGCGCCATTTTGCATGTCCAATGCAGCTTTCCTGATGTTATCTGACCGCAGGGGATATCAGCCACTCAGAACCGCTAGAAATAGCCCGTGGGGGGACGAGCTAACACAAATATAGACTATCAAGCTGTCGGCAGGCGAGATGTGGATGGGCCTTAAAATACAGGTAGTGTACTTGGCGGTAGTGTATTTACATTACTTGGAGAGGCTTGGCTCTGTAATGGTAAATGTCCGGGAGCCATGAAAAGACGTAAGATATGGCTCCATTTTGGACGCAAACATATTTAGTGCCTACAGCTTACAGAACAAGCTTTTCCTTTGCTGTCAGAGCGCTCCAGACTCATCTTCATCTTAGTAGGCAGTCAGATTTAGACACTCTTTGTCAGATCAGATCTGAGAAGCTCTTAGATGTAGCTTGTCATCTGCTGGGATGGTATCTAGGGCACTATGTAGGTAGGTGGTCCTTCGTATCGCCAATGGCCTTTGGTTGGAGTCCGTCGTCGCTAAGTTCCTTGTCAGGCTACTCACCTCCTAAGGTAATATGTCGGGGGCCTTTCTTTGGCTTATATAATTCCGTCATCCTTCGCAAAAGCCTCGCCAATACCTGTCTAGGAAGTAGACCCTGGCCGTTGAACGACTATAAGTACATCGTGAACCTGGCAACCTAGGCAGTATGCGATAAATCTTTGGAAGGGGCAAAAGCTTCGAGATTAAGGTCACTGCCTGCTCGCTCAGGAGCGATGGTACATAGGCATTTGGCAATGAGCTTTGGAAAGCCCACTTATCTAATCCATCGAGAAGATAGAAAATCGATGTGCTCAAGAGTGACAGTACAGATGGAGGAAAAGCGCGAGGAATCCATTCCAACCATCTCCGATATACGTTATACTCGAAATGTGAAAACAGGTATGAGGTTGTGAATGAGAGAATAAGGGTGTGTAGTACTCGTACTTCGTACAGGGAGAACTTGGAAGATACAAAGCTCGTGGCGCTTCTGTATTTTCGCTCTGCCGTAGTCTGGGCAAGCGGCAAAACAAAGCCGAGCGCCTAACCATCTCAACAGAAGGAACTTCCACCTTGAGTTCCACGCTTTCAAGATTGCAAGATTTCCCGCTGATGATATTTATGACTCGGTTGCCCAAATCAAGACGGCCTCTTAAGCCATGGTACACTACATTCGCTTCTTGCGCACACCGCAGACTACTGCTAGCAAGAAGACGATTGATATCTCAGCAGTAGTCGCAGTGACAACAGACTTGGGCGACTCGCTCTACCCTGCAGACGTTAATCTTGTGGCGGAAGTAGCAGAAGCCAATCATCCATATGAGATCTTGTGTACCAATTCATTGGAGTGGAAAGCTACATCTCGCGCGCTGAAATTTAACATTCAATGCCCCGGCAAGTATATTTCCAGGCCTATTCTTGTGCATGTGACCACCCAAGAAACGAGCGATGCTTTGAAAGCGTCGAGTGTTCCTAAGATTCTCGATGTTTGGAGTGTTGAATTTCCATTGTCTGACAAACAGCGGGCTGAGCCAGTGGTCGAGCGGCAGCTCTGGCTGAGCAACAGGTCTCGTATCAGGATCAGGGAGGAAACAGGCGATAGCATTGCCCGCCACATCTGGTAAGCACTTGTCCTCCACCATAGACCATCCCTTTGCTAAGATGGTCAGGGACGCAAGTCTAGGGTTTCTCGTTTACTTCGACAAAACAACCCGGTCATCTCCTCCCGTTGGGACAGCGTCGATGTCCATATTGATGAAAGCCAACCAGGTAAGGCGGCTAAAGGTGCTTGAGCTTGGAGCTGGTTGTGGCATTGTGGGCGTTGCATTCGCACAGCTTGTCAAATGCGACATGCTTCTTACCGACCTGGAAGACGCTCAGGAGATTTTGGGAAGGAATGTTCGGTTAGCAACGCCAACAGCAGGATCTTCTGTTCAAGCACAGAATTTGGACTGGGAGACAGGCCTTGATGATAGCTCCAATTCGAAATTCGATCTCATTTTGGTTTCGGACTGCATCTACAATCCTGAGAGCAGTCTCCACCTGGTAAAGACTTTGCGACAGCTGGCTCTGCGTGCACCCAATGTGGTGGTTTTGGTCGGCTTCAAACGACGACACGATGCAGATTCAATATTCTTCGAGCGGATGCAATCTACCAAGTTTGAGATAGTGGAAAGTATTAACATCCCACTCCCTCACACAAATACCGACCAGGACCCGGAGCCACCGACCACCGAGTTCTATACATATAGATTGTCTGAGGGAGCATTGTGACAGTCTCCTTAGGTTGGAAAGGTATTCTCTTGGTCAAACAACCCGAATCTTTTCGCATCACCAGCTTAATGATTCCCATCTTGCCATTTTGAATTTCCACAAAGTCCAAGGTGAGCTAGGGCTGACTCCGTCACACGGCTGGGCAGAGATGTCACGTGCACACACACAACGGCCTTTTCAGCCGGCGAGGTTTACAGCGGCCCTGAGGATTTTGCGGGCGGATAATCATGTTCCCGTTTGTTCGGAGCTTGGCGCTGAATCACCAAATTCCCTCAGCTTGGACGATGATTCACTGGTTTCCATCGGGCCAGAGACTTTTGATGGGTCCCGGTTCTGCCCTGGCCTCCCCCACCACCACCGCCAACCTTGTCGTCAATCCATAAATTTCTTATCAACATCACAAATCGCTTTTTTCACCTGAGCTCGCTCACATCTACTTTGCCAGCAATTCAACAATATCCATACAGCCTCTGCTCTGTGTCTGTTACAGGTACAGCAGCGTCTTGAATACCCAGGTACCTCGCCTTTGGCCGACCAAAGGCACCCCAAATCACGGCTTCAACCTCGTTTTGCCTTCGCTTTCAAACTGCATCTGCTCTCAAACACAGACACATTCTCAACACTCGTCCACCTCCTGCTGCAGTCTAAGAAGCCAATTCCGATCTCGTGCTTTCAGTTTGAGATCCCCGCTTCGCAATTCCAACAACATCAGCTGCCGCATAGGTTGTCACTTGAGGTTCTTCCTCTTCAGGAGGGAGAGTCGCTGAGGCAAAGCCAACGTCCGATTGGAGCAGAGTCCCGCAAACCCCCCTAACACCAATTGGGATCTCCTACCAACTGATCTACTACGCAACCTTCGCATGGTTATGGCCCCTTCTGCTATCGATATTGAATACAAAGAAACGATAATTTTGAATGATAGTAAAATCGATCTTATCGATAACAATCATGGCTTCGACTCCGATGTGACTGGCTTTGCCTCAAAGGCCCTTATTCAAAAGGTCCTCAAGGAACAAGTTGCCCGCATTAACACTGATACGTGTGAACCGGGTGAGGAAGATGCGTTCTATGTCGCTGATCTAGGCGAGGTTTACCGTCAGCATCTCCGATGGAAGATGAATCTGGGCAGAGTCAAGCCCTTTTACGGTGCGTTTTCATCCATTACTATATGTGATCAGACCCGAGGCTGATGATATGCAGCGGTCAAATGCAACCCCGACAAAGAAGTTCTCAGTCTCCTGTCAAAGTTGGGAACTGGTTTCGATTGTGCGTCCAGAGCCGAAATTGACATGGTTCTGGAGCTAGGCGTATGCCCAAGTCGCATCATCTATGCTCAACCATGCAAGACCAAGTCTTATCTTCGCCACGCAAAGAAGGTTGGAGTGACTCACATGACATTCGACAACACGGATGAGTTGCACAAAATCAAAGCTTGCTTCCCGGACGCAGAACTGGTGCTCCGCATCCTGACGGAGGATTCCACCAGTTTGTGTCGTCTGAGCTCCAAGTATGGCGCAAGTTTGGATGAAGCCAAAGTCCTGCTCTCTTTGGCTAAAGAGCTGGAACTCAACATTGTCGGTGTGAGCTTCCATATTGGATCTGGAGCGAGCGATCCGGACTCCTTTGGGAAAGCCGTCAAAGATGCGCGACATGTCTTCGACCGGGCTGCTGAATTCGGCTACGATCTCAAATTACTCGACGTAGGTGGCGGATTCGTGGATGACACGTTCGAAATGTTCGCTGCCAATTTAAACGACGCCATCGACGAGCACATTCCTTCCCACGTTCGAATCATTGGGGAGCCCGGTCGCTATTACGCATCCAATGCCTTCACTCTTGCTACCAATGTCATTGCGAGGCGCGAAGTGGCCGCAGAGATCCCAGGTGACAAGGCCTACATGCTGTACTTGAACGATGGTGTCTACGGCAATTTCTCCAATATCATCTTCGATCATCAGCGTCCGGTTCCACAGATTCTCTCAGCCGGATCCGACAGTGACAAACTCGTCGAGTATTCGATTTGGGGTCCGACATGCGACGGAATTGACGTCATCGCCGATCGGCATTTCTTGCCCGGCACTCTCGGTGTCGGTGACTGGCTCTACTTTGACAACATGGGGGCGTATACCAAATGTTCGGCTACCAGGTTCAACGGCTTTCGTGACGATCATGAGATCATCTACATCTCCAGCGAGCCTGGCGCGTCAGCCTTGTTGGGCTATTGAAGGACAGCAAGACACATATCACGATGTGACGCGAAGTGGTGACGCTTTTTATTTGGCGTCGTTCGCACAACAATATCTACTGCCAAAACTTGGGAAGTGCTAGGAGGGGATTCTACATTTTCTGTTATCGCACGGTCCTTTTCCCCACCGGTTGATTATATAGGATTTTTAGATATACACACACAATTCCCCTTTTCTTTGTAAAGGGATGATTCAATTCGATACTACTCCAAATGGTAATTCCTACCATTCGAAGCTCCAAACTCAAGTCCTGTCTCATCCAAAATCACCAAAGTAGTTAAAACGAATGCTCTCATACCACCTTAGCAATCTCTGCTGCCTTATTCCCTCAATACCTAAAAATCACTTGTGTCATCAATGTAGGACTCTTTTTGCCTTAGCACAAACCGCCAAATGCTAAAGCCTAAAAGGACTGAGTTCTGGATATCCTGATGAATTTAAATAGTTCATACAATCAGATTGCTATAAAAAAATTGATATAAAAATTTATAAAGCAACCCTCTACGACACAGAGCTATATCTAGCATACTTGGTAGCCAAACCGCTTGGCCATTTCTTTAGCATTGACATCAATTACAGCTTTCCACTTGCTCATTAGGGCCGCGTGTAATCTTTGTGGCTGAAGGTCCTAAAATTGCCAAGCCAAAAGAGCACCCACCCGTCTGCGGAGAGGATAAGAGGTAATAAAGACCGAGATTGTATATCTCGCCGCGGGTGGAGCACCTATCCAGAAGGAGTTAGTTGATTTCCTCCAACACGACCTAATATCCGGGCCCGATCATCCATGGCCTGCAAGTCGCACTGACCAAGTAGTTCACAACGAATAGGAAACCTGTTGGGGTACTTCTTCATATGGGCGGATGATCTTTTTGAAGCGTTCCTTTTTTGTTAGGAGTTATAGTAAAATAAACTCACTTCGACAACCATTTGTTTGCTGCGTCAATGTTACGAATTGGATTGTCTGCGAGGTTATTTGGAATAAGGAATAATCGGCCTGAATTCGACATGAATCTGCGAGTATACAATAACGTTGACAAACGGCACCAATATATTATCCAAGCCCAGTGGCACTGCAAACATCCAAGAAGGACAAAGTTTATTTTCAGACGGCCAGGCGTCGCCATTTGACCAGCAGAATTCTTACGCACTATTCTCAACACGACGCGTGCATTGCCAAACATAGCATCTAAGTCTCCTATTCAAAAGCAGACATTACAGAGCCGCATCGATTTTACTAGGGGGTTTCGAACTGGGGAGTTCGTTCCATTCCATTCCGAACCTCAGTTCTCAAATTTGTGTAGTGGCTTGAGCAACGGTCCTGCGCAACACCCCTCGCCATTTCACAGGAATAAAATGTGATCTAGCTCCTCTTCAGCCTATTTTAACCACGAGCTGATTATATTACTTGACTCTCAACCTACCCTAAGTTTCCCGTACCTATAACTAGGCATTCTTTCGCTCCAACCACCGTTTTCTCAATGTCTGCGCCGCAAGTTTCGGCCGCCGATCCCTCGTAAAGACTCCTTTCTTGTTTCCATCCACCCTGAATACCATGGCGCTGGTTTGGAAATCCGAAAAGCTCCAAACTTGCTCACCGACCACACACTCGAGGCGATCAAACACACGATGATAACTCTCAAGCATATGATTTTGGAATTCCTCACTCCAGGGCCCTGGATTTGTCATGTGCAGTCCAGCAATGGTGTCGGACCCGTATTCAGCCATGATCATGGGCTTACCATACTTGATCTGCCAGCTCCGGAGGTCTGTTTCAAGCTCCTGTTCAGCCATCTCCATGTCACCAGTGTACTCGTACCAACCGTAATACCGGTTCAAGCAAAGGACGTCGAAGAGATCAGAGATCAGGTCTTGCTCCGAGGTTGCCATGACAAAGTTAGTGAAGCAAACGGGCCGTGTAGGATCGAGGCTGCGAGTCAAATCAACTAGGGGTGCGAAGTATTCGCGCGCGCCCTGTTCATGGGAAGCCGGCTCGTTGGCGATGCACCACATGACCACGGAAGCGTGATTTTTGTCGCGCGATATGAGCTCGTGGATATTTTGGGCGTGGGAAGCTCTTGTGTTCTCATTCATAGTTTCGGGTGACCAGGTTGGAGGTGCCTTCTTGCCGAACAAGCCAGATGCGATACCCAGGTTGAGCCCTACAGCTGCGGTCTCGTCGATAACGACGATTCCATGTCGATCAGCAAATTCGTAGACTTCTTCTGCATAAGGGTAGTGCGACGTACGGAAGGAGTTCGCGCCGATCCAGTCCAAGAGTTGGAAGTCATGCACCATATAAGCCGGGTCGTGGCCTTTGCCGCGTATAGGAGTATCTTCATGTTTGCCGAAGCCGGTGAAATAGAATGGTGTGTTGTTGATGAGGAATTGGGATCCTTGCACATTCACTGTGCGTACTCCTACGTTGATGTGATACTCATCTACCACAACTTCATCCGGTTGGTGCAAGGAGATTGTCAACTTATACAGATAAGCATCTCCAGGTTGCCAGAGACGCACGGACTCAATGTTGACTGTACCACACGGCCCCGTAGCTCGCCCTGCGACCACACCCATCTCGTCCGCCACCGTTACTCGGACTTGGGTTTCAGTATCCATATGGGTTTTTGTTTCATAGTTTACGATACCTAGGGACCCTTTGCCAGCAACCTCCGTAATGACAGTTATATCCTGGACATATTGCGCTGGCACGCTATGCAGCCATACTGAACGGGAGAGGCCCGAATAATTGAAGAAATCGTGAAGATATCTCTGTTGTCGTTTCCCGTTGGCCAGGACCTCAATACTCCCGGGCGGAATAGTCTCATTGCTGAGCTCGTTACAGACAGCAATTGTGAGACGAAATTCCTCCCCTGCCTTAACCAACTTTGTTATATCAGCCTCAAAGGGAGTATAGCCGCCTTGGTGATCCGCGACGAGATCGTCGTTGACGTAGATGCGCCCTCTGTGTGTTGCTGCATCGCAGCGAATGAAGTAATGGTCTGGAGACCAACCTCTGGGAACCCTAACAAGGCGCTGGTACTTAACCCAGCCGACATGCTCTCGTATGCCTTGACCGAGCAAGATATCGTTGTAGCTCGCGGGTACTGGGATTTGAGTTCCTGCCGGGAGAACCTTGCTCCATTCCTCGACTGAACTGTCGAGCACGAGGCTGAAATTCCAAATTCCATCCAAGCAAACAACTTCTCTCGTAGCTGTCACCTTGGGCCTGAGCATTACGACTTTTCTCGTTGTGAATCCGGTTAATTGATGGGAGGCTCAGCGCAGTCGCGTTCGCAATAATGTTTGGTCGTCACGGACAAGTAAAGTCTCCAGACTCAATCAGCCTTGGAAACTTCAAAAGACATTGGCCCACCAACGGGGTCATTTATTTACGAAGATGCGACCAAGATGTAGTTGTGCGCATGTACTCACGCTTAAGGTCGAGTTGCGCTGTGCCAGCATGTCGGGTAAATAACCAAACAAAGTCACAATCTCAAGGCCGAAGGTGTGTATTTCGATAGCTGATATATGATATCCACACAGCAGAACTGAGGTCCCGTGTTTCATAGGACGAGCCATATCTCCTCTGATCGTCGAATGTCCTCCTAGTAGTACACTCAGTATCGGCAAGCGGCGTATCGTCGCACGAGAGATGGGCCGGTTTGCCGGTTTCATTTGCCGATGGTCCGGACGCTCCACATATCCAGCGATCGCCCTTCAAGTGAGTATTTTCCATTACATATAGACGCAATGCTATCTCTTAGCGCCTTCGGACGCAATTATCCTTATTCCCTCTGCTGTAAGCTGCAGTTAGACGTATGGCCAACTAAAGAAGTTTTTGAAGCACGAAATTACGGCGCGAGAGGAAATGCAACTCGTTGATTAGCTCAAGCCCACGGGTCAGTGACAGAATCTAGTTGGGTATTATCTGGCACTTGTTGGCGTGGTAACGTGCGACAATTTACGATGATGAGCTGGCAGACAAGGTGTGAACAACACAGAGCTCACAATCTCATGCACTGGTGAGCAGGTCGGCGGGGCCGATGTTCAAAGTTTGTCACCAGCTTGCTAATCCTTCCAAGAAGGTTCGACTTGAAGACAATCTGCCATGGAAATGAAAGGAGATGGAAATTTAGCCTACAAATTGAGTAATTTATCCGCCCATGTTTTCTAGACGCAGATGTGCCTTAATTAAATAGACATCAGCACAGATGGCAGGATGACACCTAGGTTTTGAAAGCATTCAACATTCAGTCTCAAAGGCATGGTCTCAGAATTTGCGAAACAGTCGTTACCACTCCCTTTGTACAGAGTCTCCAGTCAAAGTCGCACCCTTTGCATGTTCCTGATTCACTCCGCACGAATGCTAGTCTAGATATCTCAAGGTAGTCTGTGGGTGCTGGTATATTTCAGTGGCTCACAAGTCTGGTTCGTGCCACCTTGGGTTGCGTGTAACTGTATGTACATCATGGCTCGCTGGCTCTTTCGGACCCAAGTGCCGCCTGGTGTCTTGTTTTTGTTTTTTCAAACTTCCATGCAGGAACGCCACGTTCAAACAACTCGTCCAGCTCTTCGTATGTGCGATTCTTGGTTTCGGGGTACAAGAAAAAGACAGGTATCAGATATATGAAGGTGATTGAGCCGAAGAATAACCCGATCTTCTGTCCCCATCCCGCACCTTGATTTGAGAGCATCAGTGGCACTGTGTATGACTAGTTATCTTTCGTCAATAGCTGGACCGAACGCTATAGTGCCTTAGACATACGAAAATAAGCCCCGTACAAGCCTGTAGGATGGCAGCGCATGCCGTTGTCTTCGCTCGAAGACGGGGACTTGATACTTCAACAAGAGAAATCCAGCCTGCATAGCGTGTCAGTCAGATGCCTTACACTCAAACGCGGGGGAAAGGGGACTAGATTTGAACTCACCAATAGGGCCCAAGGAATTGGCATAGATAAATGCCCAAAATGCGCAGAGTGTTATCAACCCTATGCCCGAGGCCCTTGTTTGCTCTTTGAAGCCCAGGCCGCCAACTATAAAACAAACAATACCGAGGATGAACCCACCCCAAACCACTAGCCTTCGTCGACCAACCTTGTCAACAAAGTAGAACGAGACGATAAGTCCGGAAACGAGGATGAGTTGGATGATGAGTTTTCCGAGGAACGGATCCGAAAGGTTTGCGAGTTGGAAGAAGTAGGTGGTAAATCCAAAAATAAGGGCGACGCCAACAAAATTCTGAAAAGTAAAGGGCAGTGTTGCCACGATGATGCGTTTAATATTGTTCTTGGTGAATAGTGCTTTCCAATCGGAGTTACTATGGGATCTGGCAAGGGCACCCGAATTTTCTGCTTCGAATCTGACAACACCATACTCGCGATCGAGGTCGTACCCTTCCACATTGCCAACCAACCGGCGCAATGCTTTCTTCCCTTCTTCATGTCTTCCTTTAGTAGCATACCATGCTATGTATGGATCAGTTAGATACGGATAAGGGAGGAACCAGTTTGTCTTCATACCTGGCGTCTCGGGAAGGTAAATCACGGGTATCAGCCAGAGTCCAAAAAAAACAAACTCTGAGTAAAATATGCGGCGAAAATGCAATGGGGCTGTGACATCAAGCGTCTTTAAGCCAATGGCTAAAAACACCTGGCCAAGGGCGAAGGCAAGAGAAAAGGCACCCAGCATGGCGCCACGGAATTGCGGCAATGCGATCTCGGACATGTAGACCATGCAGGACGTTGAGATCAGGCCACTGGCACATCCCCCTGCAACACGAGAGAGCGCAAGTACGACATAGTTTTGCGCCACGATCGCAAGCACGATAGACTAGAGTTGCGAGGATTAGTGTCTCATGAAATTTTTTCACAGGGATGCATAGTTACCAGTGTTAGAAAGAATGTAAACCCCCACATGTTGAACTTGCGACCAAAACGATCGGCAGTGAAAGGTGAGATGAATTGGAAAGTGATTTGCGATGCATAGTTCACTGCAGCCCAGATGGACACATGTTGCGCATCGAGGACAAGTTCGTTGGTCTTAGGGTCATGCACCGTCGCGAAGGCCTGAATGAAGCCTTTATTTGCGACAATGCTGCCTATCACGGAGTTGCAATAGCCGGCGTACCTGGGATAGCGGTTAGCAAAGGCCCATCGAACAAATGAATTGCACAGCTTCAGAGCGAAAACTCACACCCCCCCAAGAGACACCATCAAGCCGGTGAGATAGAGTCGCCACAACTTCCGCACCAAAGCTGCCCGTGTGAAGCTTGCGTATGCGGAAGTGACTGGGGTAGCCTCATCCCCAGATGAGTTCTTTGTGGCGCCTAGCTCCATCTCGACGACCGATTTTTCATCCTTCACAATGTCCTGAGTCGGAGCCATGTCCTGAAGCTTCGAGATATCCTGGTGTCAGGTACTGGAGTACGTGCTCGATGAGCGAAAGTGCAGATCGAATATGACATCGTTCCGGACATATATTTTATATATCTTGTGAGAGTTGGCACCAGCCTGGGTTTCACTAATGGCTTTGTGGGACCCCATATCCATCTCTCTGTGACGCCTTGTCCAGGAAGGGTCAACGGCAATTGATCCTTCGAATGCTAGATAGTAGACTTCTATGGCAAGCAAGCTTGGCGTTTGCCCCCGCGTTAATGGGCCGGAGGCCTCTCGGCCTCCTCACCTCCCCACCTGCCCGTCTCCATGTCCTGCATATAAAATCTTGCTCTTCGCATCATCTCGCGGCCGACCATTCTGCCGAGTTGCCTTGTAGTGAGTGCAACGATGGACGGCCGTCCCGAGCCCATGGCCGATGTCGACAGTGACGTGGGGCTACCATCGTGTAACCAATGCCGACGGCGAAAACTCAAGTGCTCACGCCAGCAGCCGCTTTGCTCCAACTGCGAGCGACTGAGTAAGAAAGTGTTCATTTAGCTTGCGTCCCGAATATCCGCTGAAAATGACTGTAGATACCGACTGCGTGTATGAGACTGTGAAGGCCAAGCCGGGGCTGAAGGGCGGTGCAGTAGAAGCTCTGAACCGGCGCCTTGGTACGGGAACCTGCAAAATGATTCCTCAGAGGTGTCTCGTCTACTGACGCACACGCAGAAGCGGTGGAAAAGGCTGTCTTTCATCACGAACCGACGCGTGTAGCTGACCAAGGAGACGAGACACATGATTGGCTACCCGTGTCTAATGATCCATCTCCCATCATCAACGTGATATCAAGGCTCTCCGATGAGATTCATCAGTTAAGCGCCAAACTCAAGTCAACGTCGGATATAGCATCCAACTTCAGCCATTCCCTAGGCAACGAAAACGAAGACGAAGATGACTGTGCGCCGCCTCGAAAGCGAACGAGACCCCTTGGTCGAAGCACCCAGCATACATCGTCACACGCTGCCTCCAGAAATAGACATGAGCCCAATCATGAAGGGTACCCCAGTCCACCATCTATTGTTTGTCTGGAGGCCCTCCTGGCAGCGTACTTCACCCGTGTGCAGCCTTGGGTCCCGATTGTTCAAGAGTCTGCTTTCCGACGGAAAATCTCAAGTCCTAGAGGATGGCAACAGATGTCTGTGGTGCTTCATTCCATGGTCTTCGCTGCCTTGAGGTTTGTGACGCAGGATGATAAGCCTTTGGATGCCGCTTATGTGAAAGACGAAACTGCGAAATCCAGAACCGTTGTAATTTTAAACGCAATGGAGCGCCAGTCGGTCGAGAACCTGCAGGCTCTCACTATTCTCGCTTTCACTGAGGTTAGTCCCTTCGTAGTTGATGCTTCCCAGAAGGCGACCCGCGACTGACGAAGGGGAATTTAGATTGGCAATGGCGCCACACATAGGGCCTGGTCGTTCGTAGGGTCCCTGACCAGGACGGTAGAATACTTGCAGTTGACTGTCGAGGCAGAGGATCGTGAGAAGCGTAATGGTCTACTAAAGCAGGCATTCCAACTGCATGATCCGACGTCCTGGGTGGAGGAAGAAGAGAGGCGACGAGTCTTCTGGAACATCTTCATTCTCGACAGGTTTGGCAACCTCTCCTGAAGTCCCAAGAGTTTCACTTACGATTTGTAGATTCTGCTCAGTGACGACTGGGTAAGCTCTTTGTATTTCCCAAACTTTTGGTGTAGCTTCAGTTACTTACAAATTTCAGCTCGAACACGAGTCTTACGGCGGCAGACGTTAGCCGGAGATTGCCGATATGTGGCGGTCACTGGTATCGTGAAACGCCAGCAACCACCCCGTACTTTGGGATATGGGATCGATCTGCAGCCAATATTAATAAATCTGTTACCTTCCTCCCTGCACGTTATTGGAGCACTTCACCAAAACACGTTGATGCTTATGAGGCCAGCTCTACGTCACCGAGCGCTCCCCAACCTGGACCGCATTTCGAAATGGTAGATATGTCAAACGTTGGGGCTTTCGCTTATTTTGTGGAATCTATGGAGTCACTCAGTCGAGTGATCGCGTACTTTCTGAATCAGAAGATCAACTTCGACGATAAACAGGAAGTTTCGAATTGGCTTATCCGCTTCAAAGAGCTTGACCTTCGGCTTGTTCAGTAAGACGACCTGTTCATGCATTTTGCTTTCTTTGATCCTACTAATAGCTACCGTATAGCTGGAAACTATTTCTACCGCAGCAGTGGAAAGACTCAGGTGTATCTCGCAGAGCCTTTCCTGGTGTCATGGATCCTAACATGACGGTTGCACATACTATTCATAACGCCTCAATGATTCTTTTGCATCAGCGTATTGCGTACCCTGAGCCGGATCTGACAAGTATCAAGCTGCCTAGTTCTTATAGTGCCGAGACCTGCCAGCATGCTGCTATCGAGACAGCCAACATCACCCGGAAGTATCTAGAGACTACTTCAAGAAGTTTCCCGGTGTCACCACAGCTAGCATTTTCAGCTTTCGTTAGCGCACGACTTTTGTTAGGTGGGTTATAACTGCTTCCAGTCCAAATACCTCCCAGATACCATTCGGCTAACGCCTTGAAACATAGTCCATTGGCGCCATTCTGGAGCTGCTGAGCTAGATGCTGAGTTTTCAGTGCTGATACGATGTCTCGAAGACATGTCGTTGCGATGGATAGGTGTGGAGAGACGAGAAGATGTAGAATTCAACACCAATTTTTTTGGCCAGTTGGCCCAGAAGTTGAAAGAACTCTATAGCAGACATCAGCATGACCATCGATACCGCATAAGTGTGACAGAGTATGACGAAGAGTTTGAGGAACACAATTTACCAAGATCGTATGCTAATGAATCAACGATCCCGAGCACCAGCAATAGTCGGTCGATCCCGTTCGCTCCTGTGGGCAGCCTACAGCATTCATCTCTCCTTCCTACTTCCAGCAGATATACTTCGAGGAATGCGCAAGCAACAAATGGCTCGGTCGTGGCACCGGGGGGATTTAGTCCCATCACGGGGAACAATATTACGAACGCACCGTGGCTAGGCGGCAACAATATCAGACCTTCACATACGGGCGATGGCGACAACCTATCTGCTATTTCGCGGACCCTGATGGACCATAGCTTCACGGAAATGGATCGTGTTATCAGTTTCAACAACATGAATTTCAACTCGCACCCCAACGATCTTACGGCAGGATTTTCAGATCAGTGGGGCAGCATGTCGGAGCTGCCACAGGATATAGGTGGGTGGCCTCTAGTGTATGGGGATGTTGATTAAGAATGGATTAATTCCATCTTTTTGAGGTGGATTCGACGTTGTCCTTCGGCGCTTGGAGGATTCTCAATCCAAACACATGGGCGCTGAAGCCAGCGGACTTTCAGGCTCCTATAACCCTTGATGTTGCAGCCACTTCCTGAACTAGAGATTGCGAATACCCGGGTCACCAAATAGACATCACTGCCAGCCTTCATATCCTTTAAAGTGTGCTCAACAATCGGAATAGTGGTGCGTTGAGACATGAGGTTCGTGTTTGCCTCCGGCTTGAGCGCCGCCATTGTGGTCACTCCCTTCTCTGGCGACATCAGCTCTGCACTGACCCCTGAGGCCCCTGCACTTGACAAAACAAGAACTGACGAATTGTCTTGAAAAATGCCCTCTGCTAGCCCAGCCTCGGAGCTATCATCCAATGTGTTCGGATTGAACACCGGTAACTCACTGCCATCCCTCCAGTATCGCCCAGAAATGGCGAAGCCGCCCTCTGCGGTCAATAACAATTTACAGGCCCGGATCACTTTGATGTGATGAACCCGAACGTGCCAGTCAGGCCAGTCTTCAGTTGGGGGTACAAGTGTCGTTTTTACGACTACAGAGCGATCGACCCACGGATACCACGTAACGGCAGCAGTGACAACGGTTTCATCTCCTGCCCCGTCGTACACGGCAATGCCAAATTCTGTATCACTGCATTTATGCTTAGTCGCCCACGTCTCTGTGCCGTCCCGGCTCATGGCTAGCATGTTGTCTGGAGCGATCTGGTTTAAGGAATGATATCCTGTCGGAACAGAGAAGCCAAATGCAGATGAGTATGCAAATTTACAGTATTTGGCCCCAGCGGCTTTGAAATGTATGCCTAGGAATTGCGCAGTTGAAAGCATGAAATGGTGGTTTCCACTCGGATGGTTGCAAAGCATCTGCCGGGGCGATGGGAGAATCTTCACAGCCGTTGAAGGTGTGATGGCTGGGAAGGGAAGTTCTTGCTCGGCCCAGAACGGGTGACTTGCTGGTAAGCCAACAACTACAAGAGATTTGAGAGCCCAGTAAACAGACTGTGGCGAATTATAGTCTTCTGTCATGTACATGTTCCTGAAGCCACCCAAACGTGAGCGTGACCCAGCATCCCGGGGGGGGGGGGGGGGTTATAGTCGGAGGAACCCACGGATAAAGCCAGCCAAGATTCATCGTCCCATCAGGGTAAAACATGTCTACAGAGTGCCGAGCCCACCAGCGTAGATGCCGAAGTAGAAAACCCTTGATAGCTCCAGGACTGGCCAAAGGCTCGGCCATATTAGGCACATCAGCCAGAGCCAGGGCAGCGAAGTACGCAGCACAGGCGAAACGGTATGTCAACGACCGACCGAATGGTATGACCGCGCCTTTTAAACTCTCTTGTTAGCAGCTTCGAGTATTGTCATTAGAAGTCCCCGTCGACGAAGCTAGTAAGCCTACCTTCAGCATCGAAGAATCTCCAGAACCCGGCACCAAATTCCCGCGCTTGTTGGCGGTACCGCTCAGCAAGGGTAGGGTTCATGTCTCCAGCGAAACGAACGTACAGGAGCTGGCTGAATTGGATAGCAAAGCTACCCGAGTAGAAGTCAGCATTTCGCCCGCTCGGGATGCTATTCGCACGACCCGTAGTGCTGAAAATCCTCCATTCTTCTTCATCAAGATCAGTACTCCTCCAAAGTCCGTCTGCTGACCATCCATCACCAAGGTAGAATGTGTGGAGCTGAGCGAGGTCAATTTCCATTTGGGAGTGGATCTTTGTTGTTTCTACCCCAGCCACGCGGATAAGGGCCAGATTTGCAAGGACACGGAACCAGAGCCAGTTGGCCTTATGGGTCTGTCGGTCATTCATATTCTGTAGCCATTCGACCAGGTTTTGCTGGGCTCTGACACTAAGTTTGTCCCAGAGTAGCGTCCGCGGTGCGGCGAGTAGGCTAAAAGAGACCATCTCGGCTTCCACCATGCGCTGGTCATGGTCCTTGATAGCGCCCCAATACTCTGGGTGATCTGGATCGGAACCAGTCTCCAGACCGTCGATCCATGGTTGTACGAGGTTCCAATCTGGCTCGCCTGCCATTAGAAACGCGCCGATTGCCCATAGTGGCCTGGCGAAGCCTTCAAGCTGAGCTGCTGTCTCATCGAAGTGTGCACCAGATCCGACAGGGAGTCGCACTCTAGCACTGGCCGGCGAGAAGAATTTCAGGAGCGGCTTGAGAAATGCCTCGGTCGCTCGAACGACATCCTCGCGCGTTTGCAGAGGATTGTCAGAAAAGCCAGGCAGTGGAGGCATGGGGAATGAGGAGGATTGAACCTGTCTGGGAAGCTGGGCCTGTGCTTGCAATCTGCCCCGGCATTTCTCTATCAGGATACTTGGTCAAAGTTAAAGCCTGCGGAACACGGGCCGGAGAGTGTGCGGCCGCGCACTCATCCGAAGTTCCGTGTTCTGGCCCTGACAAAGATTAGACCTTGGTTTTGCTCTGATCAAAAGCTAACTGCATAATGGTGTCCTTAACAAGTGGATTCCATTTGACACTCCCCGTCCCGTTGTCCATACTCTCAATGACTTTCTCACGGTCAGGCCGGAGCAATAAACAGTCCAGCGAGAGGTAATATAGCAAACATTTGCGCCTGCATGGACGCTCTAGAGGCAATGGTATCGTCCTCCCTTGTAGATCAGCGCAGCAGCTGTAATGACCACAGAATCACTCACATTCAAAAGTGCAAATAGTAGCGTCAATGGGGCTTTGAAAGATTGCTTAACTGCCACAGCTGCCAGCAAGGATGCAAATCTTGCTCCAAGTCGGACTCGACGGCCCCTACCACCAGAGCTCTTCTCTGAGAATGTTGTAGCAAAAATAATTCGTACTGCAAAGGAGAGGCTGGCGAACAACGTAAGTCATGGTGGCTGCCTGGACTGCTCAGGAGACTCTTTCGGTCACTGATGATCTTCCCAGAATCCGCCTGTACAGTATCCCGAATTGGTTCCCCAAACAGGATCCAGTCCTGAAGTTTACACATCACGGCATATATAATTCTGGACATGTGGTTTCTTTCCTGGTTGCATCTACTCCTTGCTTGAGCGGAGCCTCAAGTATCCACACGGTTTTCTCCACGAGTATCGCCAGCATTAGCGGTTGCACCGATTCACCAGACAACAACAAGGACGATAATTGTTAATCACCACTGTCACCTTTGCGTCATTGCCTCTTAAGTTTGGCCTCATCTGGTCCAACCCGATCCATGGCGAAGCCACCTTGACCAATACACAAGGGTACGACGCAACGACCACATGGTCACGCGGCCAAGCATGGGCCATTCTCGGCTATGCACAAACATACACCTGGACTGGTGAACCAGATTTCCTCGACATTGCGTGTGGTGTATCAGAATATTACTTATTAAAGCTAGAAACGACACCCTCTTGCGTGGAAGTCGAAGTCAAAATAGCGCATCTTGGACATGAAAGTAAGTATAAAACGATAAAGACTGGCCGCTATGTTCCTCTATGGGACTTCAACGCACCTATCGGTGGCTCTTCCTCACTATCTCTGAGAGACCCTTCCGCCGGTATGGCAGCAGCGAATGGCCTGCTTGTTCTCTCCCAGAGCCCTTCCGGACAAGCGGAACACAAGTTGAGCGCTCGATACTTGGACGCTGCTCGGAGGATAGTTCGAGAGAACATCGAGTATTCGCTTACCTCCGTGTTGGCGCCTAAATGACTATCGACAAAACAAGCTGGCAGGCAACCTTGTGATGACGATCAATGAGTCAGTGCTACAGCCTTTGAAATGCTTTGGAATCATGGAAAATAGGCTTCAGGAGGTCATTTGCCTAGTAATTTTCTATATAAACTAGAACGGTGACCATAGAGTAGAAGAAGACAGAAATCTCAACTACGCTGACTTGCCTGTATCGATTGGCCCGTACAGTTGTACAGTCTAAATCCTCCAACACCATGCCAATACCTCCACATTCGAACTTACAAGTCGATTCTGCCGCGCTCCCATCCTCGAGCCAGTCTTTTAGAATAAATCTCTACGCAATACCGTCAACGAGCCTCGACTAATGGTTATCTCATCTTCTATAATGATCTGACCCCTATTTTAAGTAGGCTATAATATTTAAGCCTAGGGCCGTTTAGTTAGTATGGTAAAGATTATAAAGATTAAACAAAAGAGACTATTGAACTACTCACCTAGTACAGCGCGACTGTTATAAAGTTAAGAAGATGACTGACTCTATATAGAGCAATTGAAACCGCGTATTTTGGACTTACATCTGTTGAGCAAAATTATTTTCAACGCTGGCGTACTAGTTGGTGAACGGTAGTTACCACTAGAGGCGTATTTTCACTTACAGCCCGAGTTTCGAGCACTTATACGTGACTTTTCTCGTTTTGCTTTGGTTTTCAGGTAGTTTAAGTACCTCTTGTACATTGACAAATATCTTTTACCTACTAGAAGGGATACGGCTAAAACACGTTTAATGGTTGGGTGATCTATAGTGAATGGTACTTATTTACACTGAAAACTCTGAAGAGCGTTTTTGACGTGTCACGCCAAGAGAGAGAGAGAGAGTTTTACACTGACGACGCATGGTAGCTAGGTAATAAATACAGGTACGTAACGTATGCCCTGTAAGACTGCGCTCCTCGCTGAATCACATGATATCCCTATAGCGGGAGGTTTCTCGGCGCTTCTTTTCTAGCTTGTTTGGAATCCCCAATTGGTTCAACGAGGGCTCCCCACGGAGCTCAACTCAACGAATGTTGAGTGACCCAGAAGTCAAAAACATGCAATTTTACTTATTATTTTCGAGCTTAGCATTCCCTGCTTTGAGTCCCCCCTTTTCGGCGAATAGTTGATAGATGTTATTAGAAATGAACGGCTGATTCGTTTTCTCCAGCATTTCTTTTTCCGTTTTGACACGACCGATCCTGCGTTTGACGTCATTCGAATCTTGAGTACCCTGACTACTAGCTAGTTGGTACGTAAGTAATCTGCATTTATCCAAGGGAAAAAGCAGTGTCCGAGGAGACCGTCTCATTATCGTCGAGACATGGCGCCAACTCCGGTGACTATCATCACAGGCTTTCTGGGCAGTGGCAAGACGACTCTAATTCTGAATTTAATTCCCCAGCTTCCGCAAACCTACAAGGTATGTGAGGCAGGTTTCATCCTTCTTAAAACCCAGATGGGATGGCACAGCAATGCTGATCGGGGGGGATCTATACCACGTCAGCGAAGGAAATTGACCCTGGTTTTCAGAATTGGGGCTCATCCTTTTCTCATCAATTTTCTAACTTTCCTCTCAGCTTGCGCTTCTCAAAAATGAGTTCGGAGATCTTGCAGTCGACTCGCAGCTAGCGGGTTCAGCATCGATTTCGGGGGTGCGCGAGCTTCTCAATGGGTGCATCTGCTGCAATCTAGTGGGCCAACTCAGCGATGCACTGTTCCAACTGCGCGAATCCGTCGACCCTAGCAGAATCATCATTGAGACGTCCGGGTCTGCGTTCCCAGCCACGCTGGCCATGGAAGTGAACAGGGTGGCGAGGGAGAAACCCGGGACCTTCGCTCTGGATGGTGTGATCAGCGTCATCGATGTCGAGAATTGGAAGGGATATGACGATACTAGCTACACCGCGAAAATGCAGGCTAAGTATACCGACTTAGTGGTTTTCAACAAGTGGGAACTGGTGGACGAGAGAAAGTTTGAAGACGCGTTAGACAGGCTGGGTGACTTGGAAGTCCAGGTGGCTTGGGTGAAGAGTCAAAAGGGATGGGTCGATGTAGAACTAGTCATTGGCATCGACGGTGCAATGGTAAGGGCGCAAGGTCTGAGGGGCGCGATCGAAATTAACGAGGGCCACGGCCACGACCACGACCATGCACACCATGAGAATACCCACCCCGTCCACCATCAAGAGGAAGTCGAAGTTCTCAGCGTGGTGCTACACAACACAGATTCTTCCAAGCCGGCCCAGGGCGTTGTGCTGGATTCATTTGAGGATCTACTCCTCGGGGCCCCGAAGGACGAGGTCTACCGCATCAAGGGACTCGTCTTATCGTCCAACCCTCCTCCCGACTCAACCGGCGATCGCAAACCGAGCATTGCAATCGACTCAGAAGGCCAGAGTCTGTATGTTCTCAACTGGGCGTTCGGGAGATGGACATATACCCCCTTACCGGGTACAGCGTTCAAGGCGATGGAACGAGCAAGTGCACGACTCACGTTTATTCTAGCCCGCGGCGAATCGAGTAAATGGATCAGACGGCTGGAGCGTGGTGATTTTATCAAGTTGGAGGGTGAAGGCGGCACCGAGGAGAACGGAACATTGAAGATTGAGAAGATTGGATGAAGAAACCAATCTGGGCAGGAGATCTATATCTCTAATGACAGGCCCAATGATGTAACAGATGGACAACCTGCAACGAATCGATCAGGCCCATGAGATCAACGGCGAGGTAATAACGAGACAGAATTGAGCAATAGCCGAGCAGGTCGGTCGCGTTCGGGAGGGAGTCCAGTATCGAGGATGCTACTACCGCCGGTTCTAGACTTTTTGCCGAGCATGGCATTCTCACGAAACACAACTTCCAAGCTCTGAGGAAAACGGGATAAAGCCCCATAAGTGTATATTAGACCATCATGATACCGATGATACACCAAAGATAGACAGCAACTCTTTCCCTCCGCGCCTGGGAAAGAATGTGTATATAGCATCGCATCACAGCACCGCTCTAAGCGATCCCCTCTGATCCAAATTCCCATCCAAACCCAGGAATCTAACTACCTGACCAAGGTGATCAAAGCCCCAGAACCCTTCCACCCTACCCTCAAAATCCGTACAATGGAACCATGGAAGCCCGAACGCGCCGTTTTCAAACGCTTGGTTAGAACACCGCATAAGCTCACTCTTCACCTCCGCCGAACCCATCTTCTCCATTCCATCCTTGACCACCTCCTCTGGCAACACCTTCCTCAACACCTGCGCAAAGACCTTGGGATCCGGCAGGTCAGACTCGTTCGGCTCAGTCCACAATGCCTCGAACAGCACATCGAGCGCCTTAGGAAGCAGCTCTGGATGAGACATGTTCAAGGCTGTTAGGAACCGCTGCACGTGGAGCGTGGGTTTCGGGAACCCAGCTGGGGCCCCCTGAGACATGGGGATGCCGAATTGGCGTGCCCATCGCAAGCGTTCCACGCCGATCCACTTGTCTTTATTGCGGATCTCGAGTGGCGGTGTGTTGTTGCATGCTTTCATCAGCCCCCCCAGCAGGATCGGCACGTATGTGATCTCGACGGGTTGGAAGACGGGAGATGTCTGTGGTCGTTCAAACGTCAGAAGGAGCCTGAGGGGATCTCTAGGTAACCGAGCTATGGAGTGTTGCGGAGAATATAGAATGACACAAGTTCCAAGTAAACGAGCTAAACGAGCCAACTCCTGTACATGCCATGGTGACGACCATGTCACTTGGCTATCGAGGCGTCTAAGGGATGCTATGGCGAAATCCTGCTCTTCGCCAAAGCCTCATGACTTTCAAGCCAGCAGTAGACGCTCGAATATGGTTGCGAGCGGGGAATATTCACAACTAGGAAAAGAAATTCGACCACTAACCCTTAACATGTAATATCCCAGATAGGCAAAAGGGCTGACAATGTCGACATACAGCGTGATTTTCGGTTTTGCCATCTCTTCTTATCTCGGCCCTCGGGTTGTCCGAATTCAGGTACCAGTAATCCTAGTTAGTCGACCTAGATCTCTGACCAGGATCCTACCAACTCCCACAGGCCGACCGATACTCACAATGACTGGGAAGAGCGGCGCCTTCGGTACGCGTGTCGATGTTTGTTCAGTAATCTACCTGCGGCACACGATGCAAGGTTCTGAGCGAACAAGGCTTTGTCTTGGAGTCGACGACTGGATAGTGATTAATATTCACAGCTTGCACGGCCAGGTACATCAAGAAAGAAGAATTGTGTACCACATTGGCGTGGATGATGAGAATGATGATGACGCCCTCCCTCAATCTCAAGTTACACACAAGCGGATGGGAGCCACCCTCAGCCGAGGCTCGGGAATTTATGATAACCAGGAGCGGCAAAGCGCGGGGTTTCAGCCTTCCCCGCAGCCTTACGCATGGCGGTACTGGCCAGCGTTACTGTATCGAGGCATCTGGTTGGTGAAGCCCTCGGCCAAGGTGCTACATGTGCCAGGCGAGCAGAGGCTCTTTAGAAACTGCGGAGAGCTAGGAAAATACTGTGAGTAGTTAGTTCTATCAGAGCAGAGGGCCGAAGAGAGAAGTCCAAATGCAACTCCTTTAATTAATGTAAAGCCGTCGAATATGAAAAAGCGGTTGCCTTCCTCTCCTCCGCTCATGGACCCCATGTCAACCGCGGCTCACTATCCATACGAAATCTTTCACGCCAACTAATTAGATGTGGAAATGGGTCTTCACCACAGGCAAGTAATCCCTATACCGATCGAGCAGAGCATTAAACGCATCGACGTCCAACCCATGCGCGACCTCATACTTCCCAGGCTTGATCTTCCCCTCGCACAAGAAACCAGGCAACCTTTCCCAGTACGTCTTACTTAGCACAGGATGCGCATGGCAGCTGCCGTGGATATCACACAGCTCGAAGCCTGCCTTCTTGGGCTCGAGCTTAGACTCGTCGACGGGTCCGATGGGCAACAACCGAGCGAAGCGGCCTCGCTTGGTGGAACTCAGGGCGTTGATCGCGAGGATCTGACCCTCTGGTGGGTTCGCTGTGTCGTAGGCGTAGAGGAGGTCGTCGCTGACGACCTCTCGGATCTTGCCTAGAAGCTCTTCGTAGGGTAAGTGGCGGTCGAGGACGTGCGTCGCGCCGTACGACTTGAGTTCGTTCTCGGGTCCGCCAACGACCACGATCGTGCCGAGCCCGGCGAGCGAGGCGAGTTGCACGCCGAATTTGCCACACGAGGTGCCGCCTCCGACGATGAGGATCGATTTGGTTTTGAGATCCAAGTTCGTGGCGTCGGGTGCCCAAGGAGCGGGCAGTCCGAGGCTGGCTTCATCGAAGAGCGAGATTACGCTGGTGGCCGAGTTCGTGGGCAAGGTGGCAGCCTCGTCTGGAGAGACGCCATGAGGGACCTTGGCTGTGAAATCGCTGTCGAGGACGCAGTATTCCTGCGTGCCGTTCTGGGGGCTCCCCTTCTCGAAATTCGCCTGTCCGAAGACCACGTCACCGACTGCAAAGCTGGCCACATTCGATCCTAGAGCGGTGACGGTGCCGACAACGTCGTTCGTGATCGCAACTGGAAGGAACTCCTCTACAAAGAGTCCAATGTCCCGGGAGAGTTGGTCATGTGGATTCGGCCCGGCGATGCTGACTTTGACCTGGACTTGGTTTGGACCTGGCTGAGGCACTGGTCGATCAGTCACTAGAGTCAATGGCTGGCCAATCCTGGTGAGGAGAAGGGCGCGCTGGGTCTGTGGAACGGCCATTTTGAACGTGTGCAAGGTGACGTCCAAATTGTGATTGTCTGATTATCTGTGATGATGGCGGCAGCTGGGTGGGCAAGGTGAGCGTCAGCTGCAGTAAACTTCAAAGTGAGCACTTCTTGATAGTAGCCGATATATCGTCTTAAATGTTTGTTTTGATCTGTTGTGACCTGGACTGCGTTTGTGTTTGCTTCTTCTTGTCCCTTGCTGCGACTCTCACCTCTTTATATACCCACAATCTCCCGTGACGAAGCTATGGCGTCCTACATCCAAAAGTCCCTCATTTCAAAATGCAACGGCGCAAGAACCACAAAGGAGCATGCATATGCATGCCAATGGTGAGAGCCTAGCCATGCTGAATAATTCAGAGCCTCTTTGAAGACGGAAAACAAGAGGCAGAGTTAATATTTCGATGCGCCAACAGTGCAATTCTGATTTCGTGGTAGGGGGAGGAGCAGCAGGCAGACGAGTTTCCATCAATCAAAATGGACGACAGAGGAAGCCAAGTCTTAAATGGCTTGTCCTCGTTCAGACTTAGGGGAGATTAGAGTGTAGTGTGTCCATGTTGCTTCGTGATCGCAAAGCAATACGAGCGAGTGCAGGGAAAAGAACAAAGCCGGGCGAGCAAACTCAGTGCTAATCGACTTTAGCTCTTGGGCGTGCAATCTGAGCACACATTCTTACGTGCGTGCATGGATATGCATAACTCGAGGCATCACGTTGTGGGCCAAGGATTGAATCAAAGCAATGTGTTGAGGTGTTGGCATTATGGAATGAAAACGCTGCCTGACGTTCGTTCATCGCAACGGCCGACAGCTACTAGATAGATCTGTAGTTGAGAGGGGATTAAGCCCGTGCAATCAGGGACAGTTATCCCTCCACAGACCTCATTCCCATGCAGGCGCCGCTTATATCCCCACGCATCTAGTTAGATCGCGGCTGCCGAGCATTCTCACCTAGAGACAATCATTCACCTGAGTCCGACTTTGAAGTACGCCGGTTGATAATGATAAGAGAGTAAATGTAAGTATGAGAGACTCCTTCAAAACTTGATGATCCTCAAAAGTGGAGTGCATTTTATGTCAAACTCGACAGGAGGGTAATCTAGCGAAAAGACTGGCTTTATCGATAAAAGTAAATAAAAAATCCATTACGACAAGAGGCTGTATGCCATTGAAGCCATTGAAGCTACCTTCTGCCGAGGCAAGCGTTTTGCACCGAATCAGTACCTGCTAAAAGGCTCTTCGAATAACTTTGTCTCATGTCATGGGAACGCGTCGAAGTACCATCTCACGACGTCAGAGTATAGCTCTTTCATGCTGGTCTGGCGACTTGTGTTTGGTTCACACACCCCTTGTCATCCTTAGTCCTTCGAGAATGTGGTGTCTTTATCCTTGACAAAGAAATCCTTGCCAGTTGCGGATTTGTCTAAGCGTAAGAGAAAAAAGGTTAATCCTGCAATCTGCTGCAAAGACGATGTCTTCAGTCTCGGGAGAGGAGGGTTGAATGCTCACATTGACCACGGATGAAGTCACTGATTTGCTCGTCTTTGGCTTGTTCAGCGGCACTCTCATTGTCCTGTGGGCCTTGACCCATGAACTTCTCTTGGACGTAGTCAACACCTAGATAGGAACCCTGGTGTTAGCAAGATTTGCACATCAAGATCATTTATCCTCCCATAGGTTCAATTGGACTTACCCTTGTCGAGGTAGTCTTCGTTCTTCTCGCCCTCCTTTCCGCCACCAGCAGCAGAGTTCAATTTGTCACCGATACCACCAAGGAAACCTCCACCAGAGCTGCTCTGCTGGCCTCCTTGTTGCTGTTGTTGATTCTGGTTGCTACCACCACCAAAGCTACCAAGGGCACCTTTGAGTTGATCCATTGTCTATGGGAAAGGTAATGCTTCTAGGAGAAGTAGGGGCGACGGAAGGTTAAAGAGACTGGTTCAGGAGAATAGAAGCGCTTCTAAGCGAGTCGGCTGAACGGTGGATTTGGAGGAAGTCAAGATGAGGGCTAATAAAGAGTAGTGGATGGAGGAGTGAGAGGGAAAGATGCAAACGGAGAGGGTGGACGTGTCACTTTGTATGCGTGAACCTGGGCTGGAGCGAGTTCTTCAAGAAGCAGGCACAAGTGGCACAGGTGTCAACCAGGAAGGAGCGCAGGACTAATGCTGTTCAGGGACCCAGATTGCGATGGCAGCTGGGTAAAGCAATTAGCTGCAGTGTTGGACTGAACCCTGATACGAGCTTGAACTTAGAGCTCTCATTGTACAAGGGGCCATCCTGGGTGCCGTCCTTGACCACAGGCTGGACGAATGAGTCCATCGTTGCAAGTTGCACCCATTCAGACGGTGGTGAACTGAGGGGCAGAAAGTGACGTTGGCCAAGCTTTCGGATAAACCGATGTCCATGTGCTCGGTTAGCGGGGATTTTCAGCTTGGGATGATCCGAAAAGGTTGCACAGCCATGATTGCTGCTGCCAGATCCCACACCATTTGCGGGCGATCGTGCAAATTCCGAGACACTCCCAGCTGAAAGTGTACCCAGGACCACCAGTGAACCATGCTTGACTGCATTTGGAGGAGCTAGTCTCACTTTGTCCATCACCTTATGTTGGAGATCCGGACTTGCCAACTTAGGCAAATCAGTGAGGATGATGATTGAGATCTCTCTAAACGCGTCTACTGCGCAGACTATCTCGTATCGTTCTCCCAAGAGTACGTTAGTGCGTAATTAGCTAGAGAATGTGGGTGTATTTATTCGGTGCCATGAAGGACATCGAGTTTGGCAGGAAAGACCTCGTAGTTGGCCGACATACTGGTCCCCATCATACGCTGTCTCCGCAGGGATTGGATCCCATGAAACCCTCACAAAGGGCCCTTTTTGGGGGGAGGGGAGGGGGGTTCATGAGCTTTTCTTTTTGATCCAGGCTGTGCTATTAATAGTTTGTCCTGGAGACTCGCTGGTACTAAAGCAGGTAATTGGATATACCGGTCCCTCAGAAATTAGTTTGGCATCTCGCCGGTGGCCTTTCAGATCTCCTGGAACTCATTCCTAGTGTTGGTCACATGGATATCAGCTCCGGAGTCAAGTAGCCAGTGATTCAATAGCTTCTATCCGCGCCTTGCGCTGTATACCGAGGCTGTAAGTGCAGCTGGTTCACCATTACCGGTATCACTGTTTGTTATCGTTGATACCGACATTATTTGGTCTGAAAACCTCTGGGTTCGGAGTGCTTCCCAACCTTTCATATGAATAATTAGTTCCACGAATCACAGACCAGCTACGAGCCCGGATGGCCCGGAATAAACTTATTACGTGCCGAAACAGAGCGAATACTGGCCTGTGATTGGTAAAAAACCAACCTCACCAACCAGGAAGCATGTAGCAGTCAATATCCAGCAGCTCATGCTTCTCCACCACCAGAATTCTTGGTGCTTTCTGCAGTCTGCTCGTCTGCTTCCTGCTCGACTTCCTTCTCCCAATCGTCTACAACTTCTTGTGCCAGTGCCTGCCTTCTGAGGTTGTCCTCGTTTTCTTGCTTCTTTCTCTTTACTTCTGCCAATCGGCTTCCCAGCACTGTATAAATGGGGCTTTGTCCAACCGGCTTCACTTGAGGTGCCTGCATCGGCACTGCTCTCTTTGCTGCAACCTGGGACCAACCAGTCGCAATGGTGGTACTGACTTTACCCTGTTGCTGGATCACTCGAGGCTCGATGCCAGAGAGATCAAATTGACACAAGACGGCATCTGTTGCAATATTATGCCTGACGAGCTCACCAGCGATTGTCGGCTGTAAACTAGTGAGCAGGATTCTTAGCTGTTCGGGGGTTTCCCAAGATTTGGACGGAAGCAATGCGACGCCCCCATCATTGGGCATGAAGATAATATCAAAATCGGTGGCTGGCGCCGACTTTTTGACCAAAGGCTTTATTTCATCCTCTGTCAGTGCAAATTTAAGTTTCGTGAGAAGCAGACCGTTGTAGTCATGGATCACTTCGTCTGCAGGTCTCCTCTCTTGCTTGGCCGGGTGTATTGGAGCAACAATATTCAGTTGAGCCCGTTTAATCCTGGCCGCTTGTGCTAGAGTTTTCATAGGAGCTGACACAAATTTGGGGGTTTTGAACAAAAGTACATGCCGGTGGGGTTCAGGGTCCAGGCTCTCTCCGTCAAAACCAAAATCTTCTGCAAGGCTGTGGATGAAGGCTCGTTGTCGGCTTTTCATTGGACCAAATCTGTATCTCTTCTCGTCATCATCGGCTGCGAATAGTCTTAGGATTTCCTCCTGCTTGTGAGCCCAGGACACATCCTCAAGATAGGCTTGCAAAGTCGATTGCGAATATGGAACGTGATCATCAACATGATCGTCGGAGATGTGAAGAGCCCGCGCCAAGTTCCTGTTTCTTTCCAGTCTAGCACACTCGTCGTCGCACTTGAGAGACGTTTGTCTGCCGGAAGGTTCGGGTACGTTAGCCCTAGCATTACAACGAACTTCCTCCTTCCTGCGCTGACAGTCACAGGTAATGATGTCCTTGAATGGACATGCCTTCTCCTCCTTGCAAGCAGAAGGAGCATGACAAGGTTGCTCACACGGATGTCCGCATGTTTTCTTAGCCTTCCCACATTCCTGCTGACAATGTTGATGTGCATCTTCGCACTCTCCAGGTTTATGGCATGTCTTTCTGCAGTTGTGAGATCCACACTTCAGCGGCTTGCCACAAACCAGCCCGCAAAGCACATCAGCACGCCAACAAGGCTGATTTTTCAATGTTTTCTTCTTGCAAAGACACTCCTTCTCGGTCAGAAAGGGGCATTTTGGACAGTCTTCTTCCTCCGAGTGGCAGCTATGTTGAACTTGAGGATGACCACAATCTTTCGTTTTCGTACAGGGAAAATTGCAAGGAGGTGCTTGAGTGCCACATGGCAATGGCGCCTGAAGCACCGTTCTCCCACAAGCGCAGGAGATGTCGTCGAAAAGTGCTTCCTTACAACTCCCGCAGGGTCCCCGATGGCAAAGATCCAGACAATTATGATTGCCGCACTTGAGTTTCCGACCACATGGGCGCGTACAAATATGCTCGGCTTCGACCTGGTCGTCCAGCGAGCGTGCAAAAAGATCGAGGGACTTCAGTTTTCGCTTTGTAGCTTGACGTTCCGAAGCTTTACGCTCTCCGGTGCAGCATTTCTGTCCACATTCGTGTCTCCCACAGTTCAAGGTTGCCTTACACAGCCGAATACACTCTGGCGGGTCTGTTGTAGTCTCGTGACAAATGACGTTGAAAGTATTGCGGCCACAGCGACATGGTGTAGAGACTGGGACATCACAAGGCTTGCACTCGCCAATGTGGCACAGCTGGGTGCAGCCATGTCCACAAGGCAGTTTTCGGTCACATTGCCTCTGGCAGCTGGGAATTGGATCAGTACACTTGGTTCGAGGTTCGACATTGAGATCTCTGAGTGCGGTCTTGCCACAGGGGCAGTGAGTGACGACATCAACAGACCGAGGACAGTGTGGTGTGGTCGCATCTTGGGGATGGCATGGCTTTTCACAATGATGAATCCCGCAATCCATAGGATTGTCACACATGCTTCCACAGTCGAAGGAACCCACCCAATCTGCGCTCTGTTTCTCCTCACCTCGATCTTTACATTCGAGTTGCGTCTCTACGTTTCCACAATAACATCGCGCATCAATTTTGGCAGTGCAAGCACCGCAGAGTCCTTCGTGGCAGGGGCGCTGACATGTGTGCAGGCCGCAGGGCATTATATCATCACATACTGCACCACAGCTCCAACCCGTCTCGTAATTCGTTTCCAGGCATCGCCTTGTCGTTTCCTCCTTCCCGCAAAAGCAACTTTGCGTGGGACCCACGGCAGAGCAAGGTGGGCATGGACCAGCATGACACAGAAGGTCGCAAGGATGGGGGCATGTCTTAGGGAATTTCCTCTCGCGGCCACAAGTCTGACCGCAAGAGTGTGGTGGAAGGCCAGTGATCATCTTAGGATCCAATTCCTTCTCACACCAGCAAGTATAAGAACTTGGGGTTGTGTCCTTGGGAAGATTGCAACCCGGGCACCTCCACTGCTTTCCCACTGGGACATCTTGCTCATCCTGGCCTGCGGTCCGCTGGACGGACGAACCTTCATTTTTTGACCATCGTTTGATACATCCTATGTGGAAGACCGTCCAGCATGTCCGACATGACCACACCTTAGAATTCCTACCGATCTCGTTGGTACATATGGCACATTCGTAAACTCCGTGTGAAATATCTTCGTGTATTCTTGTGACGATGTCAGGTGCACTAGAGCGGGAGACGGAGCCTCTTCGAGGCTGGGGTGGTTGTGAAGCAGGCTTTTTGCCACGGCGAGGTGGGTGAGAGCGTAGTTGCGAACCTGGAGACGAAGGAGGAGTCGATGCAGGAGGAGGGAGGGATGCAGGAACAAAAGCTGGTGCTTCTGCGTGTAATCGGGTGAGCTGGCCACCGAACTGTCTCCCAGCCATTGTTCTGTTTGGATGGATTGGCTCTTGTGTCTGAGGTTGTGGCTGTCTGGGATTTCCTCTTCTTCTGCGTCTGTTGCCTCTATTGCCAGACCCTGGAGCCGTCTCTTGAACGGGGGCTTCCATACTGAGTGTGTAGTATTGCAGAGCGGGTGGCAATGCTACGGCCAGATTTGTGAAGATGAGGGGCTGGCTCAAATAAGTTGAAGAGTGCGTTTGGAGGATGGAGAGAATGTTAGAAAATCAAAAATGGTCGAACCTCTATGAATGTCAACATGAAAAAGCAAGCAAGCTAGCAAACTGTGAATTATATTGAGGTTGGCCGAGTGGCATTTGTACCATTTTCTCATTTGAGCAGTGCTTTCGTTTCTAGTTTCTCCAATCTCGAACGTCATGCAGGCGGCGTTGGAAACTCCGATCCCTTGACTCATTTCTCAGGCTACGGGGGAGGCACCCAGAGGCTGGCCAATCGTAAAATCGCCTCTTGGGTTCGAGCATGCGATCTGACAGTCTATTCATCCATTGTGACTCTTTTGCGATCCTCAAGGCGAGCCGAGCCACAATATCATACATAGTTCTAGTTTCTGAAGCCTAGAGACTGTCCCCTAAACGCCATGCACGTATTGCCAATGGAATTATGCTGCTCCCCGAACTGTCCTTTTAATTGACTTGGGTGCCGTAGCCTCGAATCTGGTCCGCGAATGCCCAGCTCTGGTCTTCCAGCTTTTCATCTTCCTTCAACTCAATCCCATCCTTGGTCACGACCGCGATGCTGTATTTGTCTAAACTCCGGGCATCTCTGTAGAATAGAACTTTCATGCATTCCTTGACTGCGTTGATCGCCTCTTCTTTTGTCACATCCTTCACACTCTGCTCATCCTTTGGCATCAACTTCCGCAGCAATGGTTGAGCTAGATGCGCACCAAAGCCTGTGGCCAGAGTCGGGCTGGAGAATGTAGTTCCCAGCAGGTCGGCGCTTGCGAGGAAAGGCTGGTCGTCTTCATCCAATCCGGCTACAAGCAACTGGTTCCAGAGTGGGTTGAAGTCACTTCGTCTCTTGTACAGAACTTTCGACAGGTATGTATGTAGATTCCTTGCATTGAGGCTGTGTTCAGTTGAAGAGAGGTAGTTTTCTCGTATGTCCAAGGATGATAGGAGTCGGTCGAAGTATTGCATATCAGAAACATCACCGCCAAAGCCGATCACAGTGTTAGGAGGGAATGTTCGCAGGCGTTTGACATCTGTGAATCTGGCAAGAGATCCGTAGGAAGCTAGGTGTAGGAATTAGCATTGGCCAGTCTTCGTTTCTGAACTTTGAACTTTGCGCATACCAAGATTGTCTGCGGCGAGGACTACACCGTCCTTGAACTTGACTCCCAGTACTGATGTACCTGTGACCGCTGGCGATTGTGTATGTGTCTTGGGCATCGACGTCTGGAGGTAGGACGCATCATAGGGGCCATAAACATCATCTCTGGGCTTCGTTGTCGTTAGTTAAGAACCTAGATTGAGGCGAGCAAGCACTCACCCTGCCCCAAGCTTGAGGGTAGTGATTCATGGTGATAGAGGAATACGCTGATCTTGGCGGAGGAAGGAAGGATAGAAAACCGAGACCCTTGTGAACAGTGATCAGAGTCTTCAAGATTGAGGGTTTCAAAGCTGGGTTTACGCACTGCCAGTCCTAAGGTTGGCGATGGTGTCGTCGCGTCAATCATCTGCCTGCAAATTTCCGACTCAAAATGCCATATATGCTTCACCGTAGCTCTCCTAAAAGCGGCCGAAGGCCGCTGTTGGGCTAACTCTCTAGTATAGGCGCTAGAGTTACCACCTAAATGAACCACCTCGATTTACTGATACTACTAGTAACGCTCCCTCGTTCCCCTGCGAACATCCCCGCAGCAAGATTGTGTTTCCAAGTGCCCATGAAAAACGAGGATTCTCATCTATGTCACATTGAAGCCAATTCAGTATCTCCGCTCATAATGGCACCTTCCATGCTGCTGCGTCGTAGTTTTGCGGCCAGATGCCATTCTTCCCTGGGGCTAGGATTCCCCTGGGATCGAGGGCATTCTTGATCTTCACGTTCAGCTTCATCTGCGCATTGTCATTGAAGTTGTATGTCCCTGATATTTGGTCCATCAATGCGAGATGTGTTCGGTACTCTCCCCAACCGGCTTTTGCTGCATCATGAACGAGCAGACTGATCAGCTGGTGAGCTTTGCGCCTCTGTTCGGGGTCCTTGCGATCATAGACAATGCACACGATATGATGCATCTCCCTCATTCCAACCACAAAGGTGCCAATGAAATCGAAACCAAACTCTTCGCTTCTGCGCCTCGTGAGCTCGTATTGTGCAACTGCATCATCTCCAGACACCTTGGCGATCGGACTGAAGAATAAATGAGCGCCATTGGGAAGCCAGTCGACCCAACTCAGCTCTGAGAAGCTGGGGATTCCCTGTAGGGTGTTGTGCCTGATCTGCAATACCTGATTTTCTGGCATTTCCTCTGGGAAGTAAAATTTCACGCCAGGAATGACCGAGAACGATTGCTTGATCACCTGCCACAGAACCTCTCTGACAGGAGCGGGGCCGTATAGAGCTCCGTAGAAGTTCCATCGACCCAGGTTGAGCTTCTTGGCTATCTCATCAATCTCTGCATCCGTCAAAGGTTTGTCAGAATTCGAATATTTCTTCCGGGTTCCCTACTTCCTGGTTAGCTCACTCGACCCATCTTAGGTTTAGAACGACCTACCATGACAGCTGCGTCCATCAAAACATGACGGATGGTTGGCACATTCTGCAAAACCATTCCTACTCGCAAAGGTCGAATGACTTCAATAGCTTGGTGCAAATCCTCATCCCGGGGAAACGAGATCATATAAGACTGGTATCCTCCAGGATTCGTCATGAGCCAGATCCCCATTTTGGTAACGATACCTAACAGGCGTTCAGTAATTTCTTCTTGAAGGAGATCCAGGAGGGACCCCATTTTGCTAACCTAGAGAAGACTGGGTGAATATGCCATCATTATATGGGCCAAAGCCATAGTTGAAGAGCTGCCAGCATTCATTCGACGGCTGCTCATCTGCGGGCACTGAAGGGTCGACTCCAGGTGGAGGAAGAGCACCCATGCCTGTTCTGACAAGGCTTCCATCGGGAAGAACGACCTCCAAGCCGCAGTGCATCATCCAATGATCTCCATACGGCTGTCAAGAATCAGCATGTCTCCATTATAAAGCAAGGGACAGACAAGCACGGACCGTGTAGCCAACACCCCTTTCTATTGTGTTCCCAAGCACGGAGCCACCGCCGAGATCCGGAACATCAATCCAGAGTTTGTCTCTCAGGTTATTGTCGACTAGGTGGTCATGCAACGCCTGGAATGTGACGCCGGGCTCGACAAGGGCATAGGCACCCTCAACATCGACTTTCAAGATCTTATTCATATTCTTCCCCATGTCTAGGCCCACGCTGCCTCGCACTCGGGGTCCAGCTCCTCCATAGCCGACATTCCTCCCGATACTAAACGGCCAAACGGGAATCTCCCATTCATTGAACAACTTCATGAGCGCCTGGACCTCCTTGACATTTCGCGGCGCAACGACCGCCGAGCTGATAAAGTAGTCTTCGTCGTTTATATAAAACATGTCATGCGTCTTGCTGGGGTCCATATAGTGGTCCTTGGCATGATGCTCTGGCCCGGTTATAACAGTAACGTTCTCAACTCCAACGACGTCGGCGACCGTCAAAATAAAGTTCTTGAAAGTCTGAGAGTCGATCCCCGGCGGCAGCGCGATGGGGTCACCCATGAGTCGTTGGGAATCGACATTAGGACGGCGGATCGGCAATGGTCCATGACCGCCTCCAGAGGTGTCTGATTGCGTCACTTTGTTATAATCCTTTGGTTGCTCAGGCATATTGATCGTTGGGTATCCGGAGAACACGTACGGCAACGTCGCGATTAGAGACGGACAGGAGGAGCACCCAACTTCGATTTAAATACTTACAATAGCATAATCAGAGCCATGTCATCACACCACCAACTCTCGATACCGCTTGTGATCAGCGGCATAATTCTACAGGACATTGTAATTCTCATTGCCGCGAGTCTGGTTTCCAGCAGACGTAACATATCCGTGGGCTTATGTCAGTCCCTGAACCATTTTCATGCCCTCAGACCCAGGTACTCCAATTGCGTACTGGAGGTAGGGGAGGCGGAGCAGCATTGTGGGGGTGGATCCTTGACTCCATCGAATGGCAGGCTGTGAAGATTCATAGCAAGCTTGAGGCTACTAAGCCATGAGTCAGGAGTAGATGGATATGATTGTTGAGTACCTATTCTACCGAGATCTGTCTCCCCGGCATAACCCCGCAAGGGCTTACGATGACCGGAAACGTAATGGAGAATGCTGCAGCTTCACTGGCAAGGCAAGGCAAGGAATTACGATGGCGGCACGGTAGTTCTATCTGAACGGTAGGGGCCAATCCAACCGAGTCGGTAGTGAAAACAATTCGTCCAGAGACAAGAGACAAGAGACAAGATGCAGCGTTCAGCCGACATAGTTGCGACCCTGTTCTGTGTAATTGCCGGCTGACTGGAGCCCTTCGTGCTCTCAGACAACCTGTAAAAGACGCTATGTGCTCTCCCACCTTGCTTTCCCTCAATATCTTCCCACGGTTTGACTTTTGCCATGGTCCCAGTTAAATTTTATCCGTATTTCCTTGACATCAGCAGGGCACCTCTGTCCGCGAGACAGATGCAGTTGCCAGCCACGGTCCATTTGGCCGAAGTGACAAATCTCGTCCTGACTTGGTAATGATATCTCACCAAGCGAGGCCGAAATACCTCACACACAAAAGTGTTTATTTTGGGCACTCTGTACCAGAATGACTGCTCCAGTGTATCCCTGCCTTGATGCGCAAAATTTTTCACCGATACAGCCGATCATATTGAGCCGCAATTACTGCGCCCTCGAGGGTCAAGCCTCGAGATTCCTTGACAGTCTGCTTGCCGTCAACCTTTGAAGACCAGTGTTTGCCCATGTAGAAGGTGTGCCATGCTGCTGGAGTTTCCTACCCTCAATAGAGTATATCACCGCTGCTGAAGCAATTCCACTCACGTTACCTTGAGCTCATATGCTCATCGCTCCCACCGGAGTAGTTTTCCAATCGTGGTAAGGGCACCACGGCGAGACGGTGGCTGTAATGCCTTGTTGGTCTCCATGCCACGTTTCCTAGATAGTGTCTCCCCCAACTATCCAAGATGGCTTGACTGCCACTGATATAGCATTGCCTGAATGCAGAACATGTCTCAGGTCGGCCATGCTTCAAGTCTTCAGATTTGCCAGTTCAGGCTTTGTCTCCAGGGTTTGCGAGATGAACCCTCGAAGAGCAGCCCACCTCTGGCTTGTGGAATGGGTAGGTTGTGCTACAGGTGGATTGGATCCAGTCGGTACTGGATCGTTGATACCAGCGCCATTCGTCGTACTCGATGGAGCGAGTTGAGCCATATTTTTTGCAAACCTATCCCGTTCACTCTTGTCAAGCTTTTCCCTCCTCTTCATAGCACCAGGTTTAGATTTCAAACTCTTCCGCTTGATTATATTGATCTGGTCTTGCGGTTTTGAGCCAGCGGTACCAGATACAGACGTCTCGGCCCCATTATCTGGTAAAGCATCGGCCAAAGCATCGAGTGTGGTGATCAGCTTTTTGTTGGGGCGTCTCCGTCGTGGCATGGATGTCGAGGACTTGGTGATTTTGTGCATCAGTTTGGCATGCTTGATCCTCCGCTTATCATTTTTGGAGGACTGGAAAAGGGAATTAGGGTCGAGATTGGACCTTTTAGAAGCGTCTTCTGAGGACGTCTTGAGGATCGACTTCAATGGTTGTACGGGTGCCTGAACAAGCGTGGTTAGATTCTACTGCGCCACAACGTTATGATGTCGAGAATTTACCATATTGAGTAAACAGGGTGGTTCCCAGCTTTTGATCCACGATCAGAAGCTACACAACTCACTCGATCGCACATCAATTGGTTTTGTTCACAGATCCATGGACACCGCCGGCCTACAACGGACACAACTACTAGTGTAGGTAAATCATTTTCCTTATCGATAAGGGCAGTGAGGGGGCGCAGTCATGTGACCAGCCTCATAGGGCCACTTAAGGAGCTGCATCATGATATTCTGGCATCAAACCTTTCCGGCGACCCGATGTCAGCGCGGAATTCTGCTGACTGACTCGTCTGCATGCTTGTCTTGGCACTTCAAATACTGAGAAAAGGATGGATCCAAGAAATACGCTTCCCCTCTACTCAGCTTGTTCTCTACATCGGGGCCTCGGCTGATGCCATGGAGCGACCAAACTTTCCGTTCAGCCAGCCAACCCCTCCTCGAACCGCCCAATTGCCAGGATTGCGGAAGGTTCTTTAACTTTGATAGGTGAGACAGGTCGAGGTTGGTGACTCGGTTGCATCGTGCATTGTGATGGACTGAGACGACAACGTGTGCCCCGATGTGCCAAAATGGTTTGCACTACATGCCCCAGGTAATAAATAGGCCAAAGGCCCCAGAAGCTGACATGATTCCCCGCTACGCTGGGGATTGAACGTTGCATCCATCTCATTTCAAACAAAATCTCCGAACCCCATCGTTTATCTCGCAAGACCTATTTTCAACATGCCTTTCCACGCTACAGTTCTCTACCCCAATGACGACGACATCACGTTCGACATGGACTACTACCTGTCCAAGCACATGCCACTAGTGCAAGAGAAATTCGGCCCACACGGCCTCAGAAGATGGGAGATCACCGAGTATGGACCGGGTGGCGACGGTGCCAAACCGGCCTATCATGTACAGGCCATGTTGGTTTTTGACAGCCAGGAAGACCTGGGTAAAGCCCTGGGCTCAGAGGACGCGAAACCCGTCTTCGCAGACATTCCCAACTTCACAAACAAACAGCCAGTGCTCATGGGTGGTAACGTTGTCGGAAAGACATAAGGAATGCGGTGGACTTACTGAATGCGATCTACAACTTGTATCGAGCAAAGAATGATGGCAGAAACTCCCTAGTGTTACATTTGATAAGCACTGCTCCAAGAGGTATATAATCCACAACAAGGCTTTAAGACGGATAAAACGACCTTCTTCGGACTTTGTTCCTTGAAGTCCCCCCTTCAGTCCTTCTTTCCCCATGCACCACCGCCAGGTGTCATAATAACCACACGATCGTTAGCTTTGACCTTGACAGTATTCTTGCCACCGAGGTTCACCGTCCGTGTCGCACCAGTCGCTTCGTCCTTGGTAATCCAGAGATTCAGTCCGGATTTCGCTTTCCCTCCTCCCTCCATCCCATAGGGCCTGTGAACCCTCCTCTCGCTCAAGATCGAGCACTGCACGGGCTCCAGGAACTCGATATCTCTGACGACGCCGTCGCCACCAGCGCGAAAACCCTGGCCACCAGAGCCCTCGCGCAGAGAGAACTGCCGCAGTATGCAGGGATATCGCTTCTCCAGGATTTCCGGGTCTGTGATTTTGGTGTTCGTCATGTGAGTGTGGACGCCGCTTTGGCCGTTCCACGTTGGTCCTGCTCCGCCGCCGCCAGCGATGGTTTCATAGTACCCAAACCCATCGACGTGCGCGCCGTCTTCTTCGGATTTCCCTCCTCTCCCGAAGGTGAGATTGTTGGTGTCGCCTTGTGATGCCGCAGCTGCCCGAAAGGCTTTCAGAATGACGTCAGTCAGTCTTTGAGAGGTCAGCACGTTCCCTCCGACGACGGCTGCCGTGCGTGAAGGAGAGAGAATCGAGCCTGGCGGGACTTTGATGTCGATCGGGGAGAGGCAGCCTTGGTTCAGGGGTATATCGGAATTGATCATGCACCGTAAGCAGTAGATGATGGCTGAATTGACGATTGCGATGGGGGCATTGGTATTGTCTAGCACCTCAGGGCCAGTGCCTTCGAAGTCGAAGGTCGCTGAGCCACTTTCAGAATCAATCTGGACTTTCAAAGCGATTGGTGTACCGTCGTCCATAAAGTCGACGGCCTCGAGAGGCTGGCCTCCGTGACGGGTGTAGAGTTCGCGGAGAAGATTGCGCACCGCGGTCTCTGCCGTAGATTGTATTGCATACATGTATGCTTGAACCTCTGGTAGTCCATACTCAGCAATCAAATTCTGAATGAGCTGGATTCCGCGAGTGTTGGCTGCAATCTGAGCCTTTAGGTCGGAAAGATTATCTGCTAGGCACCTTGTTCCGGAACAGCCATCAAACGTGGCCGGGATCTCGAGGAGAAGCTCCGTCATCCGAGATTCGTTGAAGACTCCCCCACTGACAATTTTTTCTGCTTCTATGGCAGCGCCCTCTTGCCACAACTCAGTTGACTTTGGTGGCATGGACCCCGGAAGAAGGCCACCGATATCAGCATGGTGCCCACGGGATGCAACGTAGAATACGATCTCTTTCCCTCCTGGGTGGTCGAAGACTGGAGTGATCACTGTTATGTCTGGTAGATGTGTACCTCCACAGCTAGGATGGTTAGAGACGAGGACGTCGCCATCAACTAACTGACCACGCCAGCGGTTGTGTTGATGCCGAACAGCAAATTGCATGGAGCCAAGATGCACAGGAACATGGGGTGCATTGGCGACCAGCCCGCCGTCTGGAGAGAACAGCGCGCAGGAGAAGTCTAACCTCTCCTTTATGTTGGTAGAGACAGAGGTCTTTTGCAGCGTTCTGCCCATTTGTTCTGCAATTGACATGAATCGATGCCCAAAGATTGTCAATCTGACGGGATTGATTGGAATCGACTCCATGGGATCTGTCTGAGACTTGGCTTGATCGGTTTTCGTGACCATATTCTTCCCTTTGAGGTCGATGAGAATACATGTCTGAAGCACATTTGCCTCGGCATCTGGGGCCACAATCAGGGTTTGAGTATTGTCAACGATGAGAGCTGGACCCTGGATGCGAGTGTTCTTCTCAAGGTTGTTCAGCAGATAAACAGGCGTTTCAATACGACCACTATCTTCGAAGTACACCTGTCTTTTCTCCCGAGGCGGGAGAACAATGCTCTTCATCTCCGCCGCCTTCAATTGCTTTGAGGGACTGATCTCAGCACGTGCGCTTGAGTGGGCGATGGATCGTATGCGAAGATCATCGACAAGCAACGGCTTATCGAATGTGAATCCAAATTCTCTGCGATGCCTTTCTTTGAACTCTGCTGCAAAATCCCAATTGTCAGGTTTCATGATCATCAGATTGCTGTCTGAGCCGACGTAGCGCATGTTGAGATACAGCTGATGCTGAATCTGGTCCAGCTGGAACCTCTGATTCATGAGATCTGTGGTGGACCGCGCAATAAGGCTCTCAAACCTCTTGCGTATGCGCGATTGGGAATTGAGATATTCCATCGACACTGGCTCTTGGGCCTCTTTGACGACATCGGAGAGCGCTAGACCATACGCGGATAGAACTGATGAATATTTGTGAATAATGATCCTCGAAATCCCAAGTACAGCTGCGACTGAGCAAGCGTGCTGGCCTCCTGCTCCACCAAATGATGCAAGTTGATGCGATGAGGTCTCATAACCCCGTGCCTCGGTAAGATTTCGTACAGGACGCGCCATAGACTCATCTGCGACCCTCAAAAAGCCCATAGCAACTTCTTCTGGAGTAAATTGTTTTTCATGCTTGTGAGATTGTTCCTGGTTGATGACCTCTGTCAGCTCCTGAAATTTGCGTGCTGTAATATCTTGATCCAAAGGCTGGTCTTCATTAGGGCCGAATATCCTTGGAAAGAACTCAGGTAACAAACGGCCAAGGAAAAGATTAGCATCAGTCACAGTAAGAGGGCCACCTTTCCGATAGCAAGCTGGACCTGGGTGGGCGCTTGCGGATTCAGGTCCGACCAGGAAGAGACCATTACGCCATGAAAGAATAGACCCGCCGCCAGCGGCAACTGTGTTGATGTCAAGTTGCGGAGATTGTATCGAGACTCCTGCAATATTTGCTCCAAAAACATGCTCAAATTGACCCCCAAAACGACAGACATCAGTGCTAGTGCCTCCCATGTCGAAACCGATGACTGGAATTTTCTCGTCTTCATCCCAGCTGGTGTTTGCAAATCCAACAACTCCGGCGGCTGGGCCTGAAAGCAAGGCTTTCAGACCTCCGAAAGTCCGATAGTCTACTAAGCCGCCATCTGATTGCATGAACTCGAAGCGGGCTCCATCGCAGTCGAGTCCGCCTTCGAAGTTAGCGTCTATTGAATCAATATAGCTTTTTATAACCGGGGTTAAACAAGCATCAACCACAGCAGACATGCCTCGTGGGACCGTTTTAATCATAGGTTGTAGCTTTGATGATAAGGCCACCGAGAACCCCATTTCAAGAGCAAGTTTTCCTATCTCGAACTCATGCTCAGGATATGCATATGAATGGAGAAGGACCACGGCAAGAGATCTGTAGCCCTCCTGCCAAAGAGTCTCCAAGTCTTTGGAAACTTCTGCTAGATTAAGTTCTTGTAGGATGCGGAAATGGTCGCCAGTTGTGGCTTCGACTAGTCGACATTGAGGATATCTATGTGCTGCCTCCTCCTTCGGGCAAGGAATTATCCTCTCATTCACCTCGATCACTTTTTCATACAGGACTCCAGGCTTGCTGGCCGAGAGATCGAAGATCCTTGGTCTAGACTGATCGCCTATGGATAGCAAATCTTTGAAGCCTTTTGTGATCAGTAGGGCAGACCTGGCGCCCTTGCGCTCTAGAAGGGCATTTGTCGCAACAGTTGTCCCCATCCGCAAGCGATCAATGTGTTTCAGATTGAGTGGCTTTCCTCTCGGAAAGATTTCGCCAGTTAATTGTTCAAGCACCCTCCGGATACCTTCTGTCGGTGCATCGTCATAGTTAGCTGGATCCACTGAAAGCAGCTTCAGGATGATGTCTGGCTTGCCAGGAACAGAGGCAAAGACGTCGGTAAATGTTCCCCCTCTGTCCAGGCATATACTGATCTTTGAGTTGACAGCCATAATTGATGGTTGAAGGTTGAAGTTGGAATAGTCAAAGTGATAATCAAGTTCTAGGCAGATGTTGAAGCCTCAAATATACCATCTTCTTAACCTCGTTAGAGGAAAGAAGTCCGACATCTCGTACACTGCCATTGACTTCAGTCGATCGACGTAGGCTGGCTGAGCCGAGCAGTGTGTGATTATTCTCTGATACTGGAAGAGGCGACCTAGTGGAATTGGATATGAGAAGGGCAGGAAGCTCTCATGCTCAGTGTGCCCGGATAGTGGGTCCCGATGACTTTGTGAGAATCCCATCAGCGATCGGTAGCATCCTCCCTAGCGTCGTGATGATCCTTGCACATCTCGGGAATGCGCATATCCCCGCAGATGTCATCGCCGGGCCATCGGAGAACAACGAGCCTTGCCATCAATACCGATGGAGACGGGTTTGCTGGTGGGAGTGGGTTACCATGGTGGATATTACCCCAGGTATCATCCATGGGCTCTGTCACTGTTGATGCCAGTAAACTCCCGTTTCATAGACCTTCAGTTCTTACACTTACCTGAGTATCAACCTGCACACAATGGGGTTCGTTGTCGTCGAAGGGGACACTGTTTTGGCTAAGGCAAACATCATAGCTAGACCAGAAGCGAAAGCTCACCAGACGGGTGAGCAGATTCGATGCATGGCCAGATCAGGGTCGTTCTGCGCTCCCACAACAACTGTTGCACCTGGTTTCGTGCAAGCAAACCTGATTGTCCTGCCATCAAAATATGCATCTGATTTTCGGCGATTCTGCAAAAGGAATCCCGTTCCATGTCCGCTCTTAGCAGAATCGAAGAGTATTGGGGTGTGGGATCAGCTTCAATCGCACGTACCAGGCCTTACTGGCGAGCAAATTGCAGCCAACGTCGACATACGCTCAGATTTCCCTCTCTATCTTGTCTACGACAATGGAACATTGACGAAATCTAAACAAAGCCTTCAGAGCGAATGGACTCAAGACCACGTGGCCTTCCTCATCGGATGTTCCTTTTCATTTGACAATGCTCTCACCCTTGCAGGCCTTCCCCCAGCACATACGCTGTTTGGCCGAAACGTTCCGATGTATCGAACTAGTATCCCGTTGTGCCCTGCGGGCGCATTCAAGAAGTCGACTTATGTTGTTTCGATGAGGCCATATCGAAGGAAGGATATCGAGAGGGTCCGGGATATTACTCGTCCGTACCTCATCACACACGGCGAACCTCTTGATTGGGGGTGGGACGCGCTTAACCGACTGGGCATCGCAGATATCTCCCATCCGGAATATGGAGATAAACCTATCACACCAGACGGTGCAGAATTTGTCAAAGGAATTGGTGTAGGCGGTGAGACGTTAGAGCCTGTTTTCTTCGGATGTGGAGTCACTCCTCAGGAAGCCATCCAAAGGATTGGGCTTCAGGGGAGAGTCTTTGCTCACGCTCCGGGTCATATGATAGTGCTCGACATAAGGGATTCAGATATCATTCAGCACACCTGAAGTTATACCATGTATGAGACAGTATTTATGGGATTGTGCCATCGTAGTCTTTTCGCAGAGCATTTTCGATCCAACCAGTATCCATATCAATTTCAAGATTTCCAGATATCTCATCCCATAGCACATCTTTATCGTCAATATCAAAATTGAAAGATATGTCCTGAAAGGGTTGAAAGGGGTTGTAAGAGATATTGTCTGGAGCAGGCACAGCCCCACCATATGGTGGTATTGTAGGGTGCCGTGGTTGTATGGTTGTCACGTTGGAGGCCATAAGTGGTTGGGGAGGTAGAGGTAAGGCTGTTTCCGCTACAACCCCTTGTGGATGCCCCATCGATCCATGGAGGTTCATTAGTAGCTTGAGTCGGGCTTGAATATATTCGTTGCCTTTCTCCGCCATACCATGGAGGACTGACAACGCAGTATCCATTGCAGATGCATCCCTCTCATTGTAAGGAAATGCAACATTCACCAGTACCAGCGTGAGGGCTGTGGAGAATGCATGCTCCCCATCCATAAAGCCATATGTTGCTAGCACTATTAGTCATGGTACACAAATCAAAAATATGTTGCTCACCCCATTGATTCTGACTCACAGCCATGCTCATCGTCATCGCAGACGCGCGTGCCGCTGCGATGGCATTATCGATTACCATAACCATGTTCCCTGATAGCCCGTCACGCCAATCAGACGAAGCAGGATCATTAGTCAAAACCCCCCGAAGTCTCTTCTGAGACACGTAGAGCAGGAACGGACGCGCCGTCATGGACACGCAGTGGTAGTAATGAAGGAAGGTAGACACACTTTCGCGAAACATGACTGATGTCGAAGCATCGAGAGTCAGTTCTTCTGGAACATCTTTCAGCCAGTTCGAAAGATCCGTCATAATACTTTGTACAGAGTGTAAAAGACTTGTACCAGGACGATTTTTCTTCCTATATATATCGCCCCCAATTTTGCCGAGGATTGAACTGAGGCGAGTGTACTGGGTTAGAACCCTGCTACTGGACTGGTGACGATCGACTCCCACTAGAAAGCTTGGCCACGAGACGTCAATATCCTCATCGTGGATTGAAATTGGATTGCCAGATTTCACAGAGATAATCCTGTCCATGCTGTAGACCGACCACCATAATCGACGTCGTGTTTCACGTTCAATTGGACCCATATCAGGATCAGCGACCTCTTGATGAAGGCCCAATGATATCGCCATCCGGATTGCAAGCCCGATATAAAGAAAAGCCGCATCCTTTCTGTTCAAATTTTGGAAATATGGAGCTATGAGGCTCAACACTTGCACGAACAGGACAGAACCTTCCTGATGGATCTCAGGCAAAAGCCACAAGGCGTGCTTGAAAAACGTGAAACCTGGTGGTCCATCACTCCCAGCCCATTGATTGACACTATACATGGAACCGTAGCAAAGGAGGAGTAACACCAAACAGTAGTTTAGGGTCTCCTCTCGATTGTCAGGCTCCGGGGCATGATCATAGACCTGGAGTAGTCGTGCTTCAAACTCCCTCCGGGGACAAAAGTGAAAAATGCCACCGATAAAGGCATTCTGCACGGTGTAGAGCCTCTTGGCGAACTCGAATGGTGGTAGTTGTGGGAGAAAGGGCGTTGGTGGCCGTCTCAAAGAAGATGGGTCTTTATACATTGGGTACGCGTCCCAAGCAAGATTAGGAGCCGAAGGATTCAATCTCTGAGCGAGATATGTCGATGAGCCGCTGCCAACATAATGATGTTCCCCTGATCTTGTCAACCAGAGGTTTTCCATGCCTTTGTACCACCAATCATCGTCTTGATTCGGCTCTTCATCTTCAACGGTGAATGGTGAACCACTCACACTTTGCCCTGACTTGGAAGCTACCACATATCAATACAAAAGTTTAGATAGTCCTATGGATTGTCTTACATTCTTCCGGTTTGTCCTGAGCTCTTCTTTGGAGATCTAATAGATAGCTGCAGGAGTTAGAAGACTGATGATTTCCAGGATAGACTACTCACCTTTCAGGGATATTTATGCGTCTTTCGGACTCCGTGTATGTGCACTCCACACCAACATCCTGGCACGCCGAGCACGGATGTGGAGGCGTTCCAGTACATTTCGTCTTTCTGCCTCGACAGCGATTGCAAGCAAGAGCCGACCGTTTGAGAGGGTCGTATGAGAGCCTCCGAGCCTTGCTTCTGGAAGTCCCAGTAGACATTGTCGTGCGATCATGCGGTGCTAGAACTGATAGTAATCTCCGCGTCAACCAGGAGTTTTGAACTAGGTGAGTGCTTTTCAAGTATCATCAGAGTTATAACTGGCGGTGCCATTTATGTTCAAAAGAGGCCTCGCGATGAGATTACAGGTGGCGCTCGATAACGGCAGCGACTCCTGCTCCCAATTCCTGAACCAACTCGGATCTCTTCGAAGTCTTCAGCCGCCGAGGTAGAGAGTTGTCCCCGGTAGATCGGGACATCAAATTTTCAATTGATTGAATACCTCTAGATGCAGAAAGGAACCTGTCCGACCGGGAGTTGACGCCGTTCACATCTCCTTTCTTGCCAGCCTTGATCCGGATTTGCTTGTACCTATCCGGAACAGCCCAATCGTTCGGGCGGGTAGACAATGATCGACCCTAATCGACTGCGATCAACAGAAGGTAAGCGAGTATCACGGACCAGAGCGTGGTATCGATGAATATGCTCAAGGTGACATGTCCGAAAAAGTAGTGTGGAAGTGTCACCCATTCGAGGAGAACTTGTAAATAGAGTTTAGGGTCGCACACACGTGATTGCGCCTCAGGCTGCACCCTTGCAAGTTGCAACCCTGTTGCCATCAGGGGAGGACACCCGGGGCCTACCTCGGCTGGCACCACCCGATCATCCGGGGCAAACCTCCACCCAACCTGGATGCCATCTCGCAACGTCCTTATCCTCCACGAAAGCACATATCTATATAGCTTATCCATCGCACATCATGGAGTACATGGAGCATACCCCAATCACGGAATTGATTCCACAGCCCGTTGAGACTGACCCATTCTCATCAAGAACATCCGCATTACTGAAATATACCCACTATGGCCGGCATCGAGCAGCAGCAAACAATGGATGAGAAGAAGATCGGCTTTTTTTCTACTGATGGCCAGATGAGGGATGAAGGTCTCAAGGGTAACGGCCAGCTCGAGCAAACGATTGACCCGAAGAAGGAGAAAATCCTGTTGGCCAAGCTCGATTTGCTCTTTACCCCTGTCATCATGCTGGTTTATTTGAGCTGCTTCTTGGACAGGACCAACATTGTGAGGACTACTCACGCACTGGTCATGCTATACAAGTGCTAACTTGCTCTCAGGGAAATGTGAAAGTCGCTGGAATGCCCGAAGATATCGGGGCGTCTGACCAGCAGTTTTCCACGGCAGTCTCCATTTTTTATGGTAAGGATACAATTCGAAGCTGGTCAGAGCATTCCACTGATTTGTTTTAGCAACCTATGTTGCCTTTGAGACGCCTTTCGCCATTATATTGAAGAAGGTGACGCCTCGCGTACTTCTGACTGGACTCTGCATCGTATGGTCACTCACCACGATCTTCTCCGGGTTTATCCATAACGTTGCTGGACTCTACACCAGCAGGCTCATTCTCGGAGCATGTGAAGCAGGGCTATTTCCCTCTCTCACAATTTATCTTTCTATGGTATACCGTCGAGAAGAACAAGCCCGGCGGATAGCCTACCTCTTCAGTTGTGCAGCATTATCAGGAGCATTTGGTGGCCTTCTGGCTTATGCCATCCTTCAAATGGACGGCGTCGCAGGCTATGCAGGATGGCGGTATGGTAACCCCTAACACAATAACAAGCCTTCACTCACTTTAGCTAGATGGGTCTATATCATTGAAGGCGTCTTCAGCATCTTCATAGCAATCCTCGTCTGGTATGGCCTCCCAACGGACCCAGCCCTTCACCCTTGCTTGACAGCCGAGCAAAAGCAAATGATGAGAATTCGCCAACACCAAACCGCTGCTTATATGGGAAGTGATGAATTTAAGTGGGAGGAGATCCGAATCGCCTTCAAGGATCCAAAATTATATCTCAGTGGCGGGATCCAATTTTGTCAGGATATCCTGTTATATGGCTTCAGCACATTCTTACCGGCGATCCTGAAGTCCAGCGGCTATGATCGACTACAGAGTAACCTACTTACTATACCTGTCTATATTGCTGGAGCCGTTATCTTCATCATTGCGGCAGTCTTCTCCGATCGGTTCATGCTGCGATCTCCAGTAAGTTTTGACAGGTGTTTCATTCGAGTGATATAGACACTAACAATGGCCTAGTTCATCCTGGTGGCGAATATATTCGGCATTGCTGGTTACGTCATTCTCTTAATTGTGTCAAATGATACTGTCAAGTTCGGGGCGACTTTTCTATGCGCTGTGGCTGTTTACATTGGACCCGGTGTCAACATCACATGGCTGAGCGTTAACGTTGCGCCTCATTACCGTCGAGCAGCTTCGATAGGGCTACAGCAGACGATTGCAAACACTGCTGGTATTGTGGCAGGGCAAATCTACAGGAAGTCGCCGTACAAGCTCGGCCACGGATTCTCGCTTGGAGCCCTTTGCCTCAGCCAACTTTTGATCGTGGCCAAGATGATATACATCAAATGGTGGAATGTTAGAAAGGATAAGATTGCTAGTGGTACAATTGCGGACACTCGAACCGTGACGAGTGGTGATCGAGCCCTAGCTTTCAGGTATCATTTATAAGCCTAATGGGCACAGTATGCACACAGAAGAGCAATATGCAGTCGGCAGGTTGGCAGGTTGGCAGATCAGATGCGGCTCAGTGTATCCAGGTGTCACTTGGGTGTCAAGCACTCACGTCCCAGGCAGCCCCAAATCTTGAGAAGCATGATCGGGAGCTGGATACGTTTGCGTGTTTGCTGACTACCTCACGAGGAAGGTTGTCGTGGGAATATATGCCACAGCCAAGTCGCCAAACCCTCTTAACTTGCTGGAGTCAAAAGTGATACCCCTGATGGGGAGATCGAGAGCCATCTGCATCAACCTTGGGTCTCAATATCAACAGAGGTGTTGTCCCAGCAGCGCTTGAGAAACACAGTTATGAAGTAAAAGGCCCCCCACTTCTATGAGTTCAATGGCTCAAAGGAAGGAGGGTACCACATCAGCGATGCCCAAAAATTCGTCGCAGGGGAAAGGAACCCATCCACAGCCCCAAATTGGCAGGAGATTGCCTCTGGCTAAGTCGAGGTGCGCCGTCAAACAGTACAGTTAGACAGCGGGCAGATTTCCTCTGGGAATGGGAGCCCCACGAAGAAGCACAGAGGAAAAATGTGCTGCAATGGGACATAGTAGCTGGTACGGAATACAATGCGTGGTGAAGAAGAAACAGAGATGGAGCGAGGACTAGTTGAGGCGTGGAGAAATAGAGGTTCTATGTATTATGTTGGAAGTACATGGCCCGCAAGTTGAACTAGCTCTGTTATAACAAGATCCTCCAACCGTCGACAATATTTTGAAGTGGTCAAGACGAGTCCACGAATTGTTGGGAAGGATGTTAGAATGAGTTGACCTTGGGAAGCGAGAGACTCGATCACGACGTTGCGTGAGATCAAGACTTAAGTATATATAGCCTTGGGCGATCGAAAATCTATGGTTGGAGAAAAATTCGAACCTGACCCGTAAAAATGGCTGGTGGGAAACATTTGTGCGAGATGGCATGCTGGAAGAAGTCGTTCCTGAGCTACTCATGACGATTGTAGAAACTCCTGAGAAACGCTATACCGATCGAAGCAGCCGCGGGTGTGAGCGGATCACTGACTGGGCAATTGAAGTGGAACTGGATTCACCAAGAACAGTTGGGAGGACCTTGATCAGATCTCATTTTGGAGATCGACATCCCCATATTCCATTCGTTAGTATAACTTCCCTTGTCAAGGCTATTTTTCCGTTCATAGAGCCATCACCTGGCACGATGTCGACCATGATTCTCATATCCATCAACCCTGGGTATCATGCATCATGGCGACCAACAAGATAAGCATTTGACCGCAAGCCGAGCCATGTCCGAAAGTCGGCAAAGAATACTCCTCCCTTTATGAAGCCTCATTTCAAAATTAAACAGTTATTTTCGTACCAATCAATCATTTGGTTCAATCAAGTCAGGGATATCTTCTGCCCTGCCGTTGCCTTTCAAGATGTTGAAAACCGCAGTCATGAGAGGAAAGTCCTTCTCCGCACCTTGACTCTTTAGGAAGGTGTTGACTTCAACGGCGGTCATAGCACCCTGAAGTTTTTGTCCGTTGAGCTCTCTGGCTTCAATCTCTTCGATTGATTTGCCTTCGCGGATACTGAGCATTGCGCATCGATGATTTCTTCCGCCTGAGCATGTGGTGATGAGATCCGCGACACCAGCAGATTCAACTGTGAAAGTGTCTGGGTTTACCGTATGAGGAAAGAATCTGTCTCCAAACTCTCGCATTTCAAGAAGGCCAACTCGCATGATTGCTGCTTTTGCATTGTCACCCCAGCCTAGACCATCAACCCAACCAGCAGCAACAGCTATGACGTTCTTGAGAGCACCGCCAAGTGAGACACCGGCAACATCAGAAACGACACGGACGTGGAAATAGCGTCTGTGGAAAAGCTTCTTAATAGTAGTGTGGTCGATCGCTTGATACTCTTGAGGCAGTGGCCGAAGTTTGACTTTTGATGGTTTACCACTGACATCTTTGTGGGCGAGTTTGGTCAGGTCAACATGACTTGATACAGGACTTGGGCCTTGCGATGTTGCAGGAGTTGGTGCTTGGGAGTCAACCGGGGGTGGATCGTATGCAATGGTTGTCTCGGAGAACTTCTCTTGAGCAACTTCGCTTGCAATGTTCGCTCCTGACAGGGCACCACAGTATATTCCCAGCTCTTCGCCAATGGTCTCAGAGAACAGACTGATTGATGATTCATGAACGTTCACGCCCTTGATACAAGAAATGCCTCGAGCATATGGAAGGATATGGCCTCTGAGTTGTTTGCAAAGGCCTAGGATGAACTGGTGCGGCAGATTGAAGATGAGGATCGACGAATCTTTCACTGAATCGGTGAGAGAGGGATTGGCAATGACATTGTCAGGCAGGGCAATTCCTGGAAGATATTTGATGTTCTCATGGAAGGTGTTTATGATCCGAGTAAGCTTCTGGGGTCCTTGACTGAGCTCTGAGGACGCCTTGTAATGCTTTGACTTCTCGTCAAGCTGTACCTCCTCCTCGTACACCCACATCTGCACATCCCGTTCGAAGAGGTCTGAATGCTCAGCGGTGCTCTCGGCGACCATCTTAGCTATGGTCGAACCCCTTCAAGCATGTCAGTCAATACAGAACCTAGAGGCTGTTTGGGCACCATACCAGTTGCCAGAGCCAATCACGGTGACCTTATGCTTCTTCGCGAAGGGTGTAAGGGAGGACATCTTTGCTCTGAGGCCATCCATCCTGCCGGACTTTGGTGAAGAAAGGAGCAGCTTAAAAGAAACAGACAGTCTGGGGAAACGAAGAAAGGCAGGAGCACCAGCAGCCAACACCATTCAATGGGGACAATTAAGGGCGGAGTCTAAAGATACTTATATAGAAAAAAGGAAATTCTGGTGGGTTGGGCCAAAGGAAGGAACCTACTTGGGGAAAATGTTGGTTGTTGAATCTGCGCGCGTGACGCAGGTACAACCGACTTTTGGTGGCCCATCCCCAATAATATTTAGCAGGTGCTACTGCCAACATGACGCCCAGGCCTGTCAGCGCTTGCTCGGGGCTGGTCTTCCCCACCAAGGCTTCTCCAGCCGGGAAAGGGAAGAATGGAAGGCCCTCCAGGCCCTCGCTGCCTGGGTAGATCCGTCATTCTGGCTTCCCGAGGTGCGAAGTGCTTTCACGTGCTTATCGATAAGGCTTCAATCGCGAGCTAGGCTATTCACGGGTAGGACGCAATAGCAATCCATTTCCTGTTTGGGGCTTTAATCGAAGCGTCACGCCCGTAAAAACTCGGCCTCGCCGACGATACTAGTATTGCAATGCCACCTACAGCTTCACAGCCTCGGTGATGGAAGACAGAGAGAAACCTCAGATTAGCGAAGCATGTGCAACCTGTTCCGACTCGAGATGGTGAGGCCAACACTAGAGGCATAAAGTTGGTGCCAGTCTTTGTTGTGGAACAAAAGAATGAATATACGTCTCATCTTCGTATACGCGTATATCGTATTCCATTGCCGTTCCAGGATATCTAACTGCTGCCGCGTATCAATCCTTCCTATCCAGTCTTGGTCTTGGACAGCACATTTTTCGACGAGAACTTCCGAAGTCCCATCGCCTTCATACTTCTGGAAAAGGCACCACCGCTCTTCTGTTTCTCAAGGGAAGGCGTCATAGGTGATACTGGAGAGTTCGTTGATGTAGGCGACGTCATCCCTCTGAAGCCCATATCACTCATGGAATGTGCTAGCGTCGATGTATCATCCCAACTTGGCGTATCTGACACAACTGTCGTGCTGGTAGCCGTTTGGGACTTGGTATCAGGATTACCACCAGAGTATCGGACTGGGAAGCTGACCTCCGCTGGCAATTCTGCTATCTGAGTCTGGTCACCCGGCAATTCCGCCACTATCGGTTTTGCATCCAGCTCTGCAACCTGGTTGCCACTGGGAAGTTCTGGTATTGACATGCTGTCTCTCATGTCAGGATCTGTCCTCTCAAATCTGTTACTGTAAATGATGTTCTCTAGACCCTCTCTGAGTCTGCTGAATCTGAATCCAATCTTCACACTCTTCAGAGGTATCATGCGATCAATTTCGTCGTGCACATGAGTTTGCAGCAACTTCTCCTTGCCTGCAAAGGTAGTCATCTTGGTCGTCGTATAGTAAATGGCGGCATCCTCTATCTGTTTAATACTAACAAATTTTGACTTGTATCTAAAGGATCGTTCCAGGATGAGAATCAGATCCGCCGCCTAACAAAGGTCAGCAAATCGGCAGCCAATAAATACAGCTTTATCGTTCTTCAGATTTCTGCTTAGGGGCTCTCGGCTGAAGGTCTTCAGGGCCACACTAGGGGACTTACACATTTGAACAACATTCTTGCCGTTGGAGGGGCCGCTAAAGCGCAAAGCGATAAAGCAAAGACACCTCCAGCACCCATTGTACCAACGCAAAGGCCTGTTGTAATTGCTGAGACCGCGACGAACTCAATCATCGTCACAGTCATGAAGGTCTTCAGGTGACCAAATAAAACCTTGAGCATAATTGCTTCAACCTCGTCAGGCATGACTTTCGGGAACCCAAAGCAGAGAAGCATGTGTTCACAGAGAATTCTTGCTACTGTCGGCGTACCAACGGCACTAGAGAACGGTAGCGGTACCATCGCGGTGCGGACCGCATGTGTTGCCAGTCGCATGCATTCTGTAATTGCCGAGTCAATCTTCTGCTCGACATCTACGACTTGCGCCGCCACACAGAAGAGACGGACCCTGTCATCACTTATCAGTTCGAGCGTCTGTGACAGAAGACTTTTGATGCCGTTCATATCGTCTGGAACGAGGCTTGTTAGTTGAAAATGCGGACTATATCGCCGGAAGCAGTCTAACCTTTTGATAAACAACAGTAGCCATCTGCCTTGTAATGAGGTAGGCGTGAGAGTTCATCTCGGAGTACCATAAATTGATCGTCCGCCTGTTGACTAGCCTCTTCAGTCGCCAATCGATTGGATTCTTTAAAGTCATTGGTCTTCTCCATGTACTGTTCAAGTAATTTCATCTTGCGATAAGCTACCATCTTGTCTTTCTTCGTCCCAATAATGAAGACCGGCACGTGGTTGGAATATTGAGCAATGGTTGCAAATGTCCGTTTGTCAGCCTCTTCGATGCGACTGACATCTGAGTCTACACAGAACCTAGTTATATAAGGGGAGTAAGAGATAGGGACATAGTGAATATAGGATAGGTGTTACGGCATGGGGCAGCCTTACCAGATCACGTGTAAGGCTTGGGCAGGGTCTTTCTGAAATGCACGATGGCGGAGAAACTTAGCAATGAGGTCCAGCTCCGTATCACTGCCTGCTTGCCATCCTCTTGAGTCATGGAGCAAGAGCCCAGGGTGGTTTGGTGATTCAAATGCTTTGTTGATATCGTGCACACCCTGTTGGTAGGATGTGGACTCGTCCGTCTACAACAACAGTTAGCACCGACTTTATGCTAGCAGCGTTCGCCTCACCATCTCTAGGCCGAAGACCTTATTGATCAGAGTCGACTTCCCTACTCCTGTCTTGCCACAAACGAGGATGCGGAAGGCCTTGACGCCGCTGGCCTGAAGTTCCATGCCTTCGAGCCATGGGGGGAGGGTTTCCCCCTCTTGTCGGAGACAGTTGTCGCGAAAATCGCTTAGCTCTGCCTTGAGTGACTTGAACCGTGCTTGTTCGTATAGGCTAGGATGCCGGTCGAGCAGACAATACACAGATGGGTGGATAATGGTGCCGTAAGCACCTATTTGATATCAGTCGTCATCTTTGCTATGAAAAACGTACTCCGCTTCTCACCTTGGTCGTTCCATCCAATTAAACCTTCGAGAGGTGCTGACTTTGCATTGATCAAAGTCTTGGAACCAAATATCTTCCTCTGGGTATTGTACAAGTTCGAGGTATGGCTGATGCGAATGCCGTGTGCCTGGTCTTTTGCCGCCGTCGAGAGACCATGCACACTTTGTAGGTCATATAGAGAGATAGAAATGTCATTAGTGTACGAAATTCGCCATTCAATAGCTTCATCCCCATTAAACTTTGGTACATCACCGGCGAAATGGGGGAAGCTGAGCGCCAAAGGGTTGGGCATCGGGGGGCCGTCCGCCTTAGGCTCCTCGAAGCGTAGGACTAAACCAGCCTTCATACTCTCAAGGATCATCCACTGCAGAGGATAAAGAGACAATCCGTCCTCAAAAGACCCGCCACCTAAGTCTTGGTTGCCACCAATGAACCATGCTTGAATCAAGGTTGATTGGCGCATCTCCTCCGGGGATGGATTGTCGATGAGGATGGGGTTCATTTGTGAACGAGTCTCGTTGATTCCTATGGCGTGCCTCATGTTGTCAATGGAGCTAACCATCGACAGGTCGTGCATGTTTCCTTCAGCGGTATAGCCAATCGTGTCGAAGACGCCCACAAATCGGATCCGAGGGAACAGAGTGGTATGCGCAGAGAGAAACTCAAGCATCTTAGGCCCATTTAGGTTGTCATCCTCACGTCGGGCCTTTAAGCAGTCTATCCCCGCTTTGTAGATAACATCAAAGTTCTTCATCGCTGCTCTCGTTGGAAGTTGCATGGTGTGCAGAACACCCGTGACAGCTCTGACAATGAAAGCACCACGACCAAAGCCATAGAGAAAGAGTTCATCGCTGGCATTCTCAAGGGTGCCGCAAATCGTCTTCACGATCTCCTTGATCTGTTGCTCATAGAACGGTGAGGTAACCTTGGTTTTCAATCTTTCCATGAGACTTGGGCCATCTTCGGCCGCGCGGTAGTAGCGCACAATCTGGTTTACTGCTTGGTTATTTGCATCGTAAACAACTCTGTTTGGAATTGTGCTTTTCAACCTGTAAATTGTACTGTGATTGCCGCTTGCTGAAAGACGTAAGTACAATGCCCTGTAGCGGAGTAATCTTTTCACATACGTGACTTGCCATCCTGGTCATAATCAGCCGAGTCGACGCAAATAATTAATCTCTGGATAGGGACTTCCGCCGACATTGTAAAGCTCGATATTCAAGAAGTCATTATTGCAGGAAAGAATCTTCAGGAGCCCCAGAGTTGAGAATGACCCGAAACTAAGGCCTAGTAGTAGTAGTAGTAGTAGTAGTAGTAGTAGTAGTAGTAGTAGTAGTAGTAGTAGTAGTAGTAGTAGTAGTAGTAGTAGTAGTAGTAGCAGTAATAGTATTAGCAGTACTCCGTACTCGTAATCTACCTGTGTTTCAGGCATCCAACATCCCGAGACTAATGTGCCTATCGTTGCATATCTAGGCCCTGTCGAATCCGTTGAGCCCGCCACTTTCGATTGGCGCTCCACGGCTTTCGGTGGATAGTTTGCATCATGTCAAGCCCAAGTGTGTCAGTTTGAGGCCCTACTGCGTACTCGCTTGTGCCTTGTGAGCACCGTCGCATCTCCGTGAGCTTCAAGAGCATTTCTCTACCCTCGGGAATATACGAGGTAACTTGAGACTGAGTTCCTGCTATGATCTACATCTTAGCTGCCTCATTCAAGCGCCCAGCAGAGATTTGCGCATCGCCGCAGAATTGAGCTTCCTTGATGTAGCTGGATAAGCTTTCCTGATCGTGGAAGACAAGAAAGTACTTCCGTTAAAGCCGCGGCAGCCCGCCATGAATATCCAAACGTGGTACAGCTTCATGGATCTCACACTGGTGCTGTCTTGGTACAAATCTGGGTATCCCCTACCAGTGAGACTGGAAATCAACCCTCGATCCCGAGTCTCATTGTGCACCAGGGGAAGGGGATCGACTTCCCAAGGTGTACAAAAATGCGATCAACATCCTGGCCAACTATAGTACTGAATCTGGGGCATCTTACATAGTGCCGAGTGGCTCGTCATGGTTCTTTCACTCCTCGAGTGGGGAGATAACCAGCGGGAGTCCTGGGGCTTGACCTGCTCATTTGGCTGCGCGAAAGCGTGGAATCGGGCCTAGAGGGGACTAATTCAATCTACTCATGGGGCAAGATATCTACAAGTGCCGCTAATGACTTGGTTGGCTGCAGGTTCGCAAGTATGACCCTTTTAGTAAATGATGACGGAGCAGGGCTCAGAGGAACTCGGCCGACAGGCGAACTTCTCCTTAAGAGGTACTCCGTGCAAGCTAGCTTAGCACAAACATTCGCGAGAATCTGTCTGCTTGGGGGCAGAATTTCTTGCTCCCCTCACTATATGACTGTTTATAGCTGCTCGACCTTGATTTAGTTGTTACTAACAGTGAGTCCAGACCACGGCTCTTCAGGCATTAAAACCGCCTTGTCAAAGGCGCCCTCCCAGGCCTCGTTAGCAACATATAATTAGATCTGCCACTGTCGTGTCACCCACATGCGATGACAATGCGACTCGACGACTCATCACGGTTTCCTTCTGCCGTCTGATCTCATAGACACAAGTACTGTGTCTGTACTCACTGCAGATTAGGCCTTTTCTACCTCTTGGACCCCTGGACCCCCCTTTCCAGCTATCGCGCCGATCTCAATCACCTCAACGTTGGCTTTATCGCCCTCCATGACTACTGCAATTTCTTCCAAACTTGGTCCTTTTGTCTCGGGATATATGAGGAATATTGTCGTAGTCTCGAAGGCCAGCCAGACAACATACACGAGATAGTATTTCCATGCAATGTTCTGGGTTTCCTGCCGTCAGCTGATGATGATGTCTCCTTTGGATATGTCCTTACCTGCAGCCCAATTGGATTCACAAACTGGTTGAAAGCAGAGCTTCCTCGGGAGAAGAATTGTGTTATCGCCACACCTTTGCTGCGGTGAAGAAATGGGAACACCTCGCAGATAAAAATGTAGGTAAGCGGCATCATGAGGTTGTAGAAGGCATAGTATATAAAAATGAGTGCAACCACAGCGATTGCCGCATGGTGGTTCGTGTGATCTTTCGCATACGTGGCTGATGCTGCTGTCCAACAGGCAAACTATGTCATGGTAAGCAAACCTTGCTACCGGCAGCGTCCTTTCAAGCACAAAGCGATTGAAAGAAGAAAGTATGCATCAGGCTGAAAAATCAGGACGCGACATCACTCACCATTATCGTCATAGCGCTGTAAGAGATAAGATACTGGCGACGACGTGGAAGCCTGTGTGCCAGAAATGCACTAATCACACCGGTGACAAGATTCCAGCAAGCCAGCCCAAGATTGATCTCGTTCTGCGTCCTCTTCTCAGTTATTCCAATCGAGGTGAGGACCCGAGAGAGGTAATACGAGACCAATCCGTTGCCTGACCATTGCGAGAACGTGCCCACGCAGGCCGCGATGATGATCCGTCTGCGGTTAACGCTGCTAGCCACAAGGTGCTTCCATGGGGTCTTAGTGCTTTCCAACTCCATGCGGATGGTCTCACGGATTTGATGAAATTCCGCCGCGACCAAGGGGCTGTCACGGTCGCCTTCGGCGTGGTACTTGATCAATATCTCCAACGCCTCCTCGTGACGGTCTCGTGAAATGAGGAAACGAGGTGATTCAGGAACAAACCTTGCAGGGTCAGCATCGATCAACCACACGCCTTTATGCTCGAACTCACCATATAAACGTCAGCTGCAGTGTCGAAGGCAGGAGTTGCAGCAATGAGGGTAGTCGCCAGCTCCAGTCGCTTTTCCACGAGAATGTTCCAAGCGTCACCCCTGCAGCGATGATTGCTCCTGCATACCAGCTTTCATTGAAGAGACCTGTGATCACAGACCTTTCCTTTGGATATGACAACTCGGAGAGGAGTTGGGAGGCACCGCTAATTGCGTACACAATGCCCATGCCGAGGATGATTCGGGCGATGAGAAACATTGCAACTGGATGAATGTTCGTCAATACCAACAACAGACATTGAGTCCAACAACTTCCTTACTGTTCACTGATGCCGTCTGCAATATAGCTCCAATCGTGATGATCACACTCCCAGTCACAATACAAGCCTTTCTACCATACCGATCATTGATGTATGGCACCAAAGGCAGCCCAAGCACAGCCCCAATGGAGAAGGCGGCGGTCATCACACCCAACAGTGCTCCATTCGGAGTATGAAAATCTAGGCTGTCAGTAAAGGGTGGTCTTGTGGATTCCATGTACTCTTACAGTCTTGCCATGGCTGGACCGCCTGGAGTCCGTTCAGGACACTGCCATCATAGCCCGACGTCATCTCCACACCAAGAGCAGAAGGCACCAGGAACATGTACAGCCTTCGAAGATTGTTCTTTCTGTACCATGGCGTCGTGTCTTGCTCTAGAAGACGAGTGATCTCGGAAACCTTCGCAATCTCACTTGCCGCAACGTCATGACCTGCGACTGCTTTCGCCATTGCAACCAATGCAGGATAAAGTCTATAAGTTGACAGTCGAGAGGGCCACCAGTGTGTAGAGGACAAGCTCTAGATCGTTCGCGACCGTATGGGCCGACACGGCCCCCTGGCCGGCCTTAAGTACTCGGTAGACAATCAAGAATACCACAGCACCACTATCCATAGGCTTTGCAATCTGCCGAGACTCGAAAAGCATCCCTGGACTAACGCCAATGTTCAGCCTTGCGGTGAATTTCCCCGCATGGTATCATCAATTCTCCAAGAACCTTGCCACGAAATTGGAGTTCAGAACAGGGGATGCAGAAGAAAATCACGAATTTAGGCGAGACGCCGCATTGAGGCAGAATATCAATAGCGGGAGCGAAGATACGATTCGCGCGGTTCAGCGGTTTGAATCGGCGAATTACACATCATCCAGTCAAATTGCCAGGCACCCTCAGGAGTTCAGACCGATGCGGGCATCAGTCCTAAGGCACGTTAAACCCATCCAAGCTATTGCGAAGCCACAGCGGCATATTCAGACATGATCTTGTTCAGACCTTCCCTTTGCAAACATTGCTCGAAGCTAAAGCTTGCTGCTAGCTCCTCTAGCGCAGCTTTGTCCTTATCCCTGAACAACTCCGCGAATTCCTTACAAAATGTCTCGGCTAAGAAGGTTTGAAGCACTTGTCGCTCAATATGCCGGGATGTATTCCACGTGCTCGGGTATATCGTCTTCGCTGTGGGTGATACCGAATCGATCCAGCTGACGAGTGGCTTAATAAGATCCTCGACTTCCTTGGAGGGATATTTGCCCCACGCATCCAACTGGAGTAGTTTCTTCTTTTCAAGAATCGGGTTTATCAATTTGTTCCAGGCTGAGTCTGGGGAGGTGTATACCATCCCCTGGAGACCAACGTCCTTCCACAGCCAGATCGACCATGGGATTTGGAACTTGTCATATATCTGCAATTGATGACCGAGCATATTGTAGCGGTCTTGATTGATTTCTTCTGCATTTTCATCCCATTTCGCTTGAGCATACACTGGGCCAAATTCACCATTCCAAATTGCAGTCTCACGGGATCTTTGAAATTCCGATTTGCGAAGGAACTGTGCTTCAAGTATTTTCTTTTGCTCGTCCGTGCCCTTGTAAGGTCTTCCAGTGGGGAAGCCCATCATACTGTAGTCATGTAACGAGTAGACGCAATTCGGCAAGACCTCATCAAAGCCCTTCCATTCAGCGGCAAATGTGTTGCCGTCAAGCCAGAGAATATGATCGGGGTCAATCGCTCGAATTGCCTTCTCCAATCTGACGTAGAAAGCGGGTAGTCGAGTGTGTTGAGGATCACAGGGTTCGTTTATAGGATTGTATCCAGCGATCCAGGGATTGCCCTTGTACCGCTGTGCCAATTGCTCCCAAAGCCAGACGGTGCGATCTTGATGGTCTTTGTAATCCCAGAATGCAGCATAACTCGTTGTATTGTCAGAATGCCACCCTGGACTTTGTCCGCCGGGAAGTGTATGCATATCCAGAATAGTATAGATACCTTCCTTGGAGCATATGTCAATGACACGGTCCAAGTGCTTGAATCCGCTCTCCTTCAGCACACGAGGGTTCATGTCGTCCTCGAAATGCCGGTAATTGAATGGAATACGGATAGAATTGAGTCCGAGAGTTTTGAAAAACTTAGCGTCGGTCTCGGTGAAGAAATGATAGAGCCACCTATCAAAGAAATAGTCGTAGTTCTCCTGTCCCAGGACCCCAAGCATGGCTGCTCGAATACTTGATTCATGTCCAGGGTAGCCGACGATGAAATTCTCCATGCTACGTGTGATTAGCAAAACCTTCCCATCGTTCTAGACAATGGACACGCACTTCAGCCATCCACCTATTGCACAACCTCGAAGCAGAACAACCTTGCCATTCTCGTCCACCACCTGGGTGCCTTTGACTCGCAATATTCCAGATGCCATCGTAATATGCTGGGATCGGGTAAATAACTAAAATTCAGTGAAGCAGGGAACAATTGCCACCAAGCCTAGGGATTTATTCACAGTTTAAGAGTTCGTCTGTTTAGGTTGAAGTCGACATTCTGCCTAGCACACGAATCGGGGAGCACCCGCAAATACCGACCACATTGAAGCCATAATTGGAGGGCTGCAATTTAGGCTGAATAGGCATGCGTTAAGGCCCACGTCGGTCTTGGGTGCCGTGGGGCTTTCAACTGTTGTTGGCCAGAGGTGCATATTTCCCACTGCTTGTTTTTGGCTCTCGTGTTCGTTTTCATCTTCTATGTCTGCCATTTAGACCTGGACCGCGACTTCTTAGTCTTTGCTTGTGCCCATCGCCGTATCCGTTTCCTTAATATTCAATATTCACGAAGACAAGTGGAGCGAGAGCATAGACTTTCAGCCGGAGCGATGATCACCAAGACTTCATTATGGCTTTAGCCGACTTGGCCATTTTATCATGCTGCTTTTCGTCACTCTCTTAGGCTCTGGGATCTACGTCATTCCAGAACGCTGAAATGGCTACCAGTCTAACCAAGTTCTACTTCACAGGATGCTGCTTTTACGACTGTCCTAAAGTGCTATAGCGCCTTTGTATCCTGCCCCGTTAGTTCGTCATGGTTACTACGGAACCGAAGGGAGCCTCATCAAAAAATAATTAATTAAGCTTTCTGCAATTCTGTATTTGACCGTATCCGTTCAAACTGCACGCTGTCCTCTTCCGGCACTCAGAGTATTCACAATTTGTAGAATGCTCCTAAAGCAGAACAGACTGCTTATTAAACTCCTCAGTCTAAGACACCACTGATTAATAGTCGCTGGACAACATAATCTGCCTATAAACTTGCAACAACAGGTTATCATAAAATCTCCACCAAGCGGGCATGTAAAGCCTGAATATAAAGCCGGCGTCCCGAAGTCGTAGTCACGGGCTTGTGCAAGTCCGTATCCCACGGGGGCATCAGAAAGCCATTTCTCTGCATTTCAAACTCCCAGCCGTTTGCGGTTATCATCCTCAGGCACAATGGCAAGCATAGCATCACCAGAAACACCACCATCACCACCATTACAGCAATCCATACTCCTCCCGGCTCCAGCGCTCTCATCAAGCAGATACAACCGACAACTGCTCGTGCCGCAACTCGGCGGTATTACAGGCCAACAGAATCTTCTCAATGCAAGGGTGCTAATCGTCGGGCTCGGCGGGCTCGGGTCTCCAGCAGCGCTGTACCTCGCCGGAGCCGGTATCGGCACCCTGGGATTGATGGACTCAGACAGTGTCGAGGCGTCGAACCTGCACCGGCAGATCGCGCACAGTGAAGCCGCGGCCGCGACGGGAGCGCCCAAGGTCACGAGCGCGCTGGAGTCCTGCCGGGCATTGAATTCTAGCATCGAGTATCGAGCGTACGAGATGCGTGCAACGCCGGAGCAGTTCTTGAATGTTTTGCAGGAAGGGAGATTTGAGACTGTGCTTGATTGTACAGATAACCCGGCGACGAGGTATTTGATCTCTGATGCTTGTGTCGTTGCGGGCTGTGTGCTTGTTAGTGGGGCGGCGCAGAAGGGTGAAGGCCAGGTTGTGGTGTTGAACTGTCCTCCCGTGCAGCGCGAGTTGGAAGGGGAGGAGAAAGGACCATGCTACCGCTGCGTGTTCCCCCGCCCGCCAGCTCCGGAGATGGTCAGGGGATGCAGTGAAATAGGAATCTTCGGGCATGTGGTCGGCGTCATTGGAGTGTTGATGGCGGGTGAGGCCGTGAAGATTATCAGTCAGGGGAAGCATCTGCCTCGTCCATCTGACCCAGCCACGAATCCAGAAGTTGGCGGCAGGTCGTCCCACGATACGCAGAATCAACAGCTGAACCATACTTACTCGCCGTCGTCACCATTAAAGGCAAAGCCCGGCCCGGCACCCAAACAACAGCACACAATGCTCCTGTATAACACATTCGCGACCGACCCACGCCACCAATTCCGAACCATCATTCTACGCGGGAGGCGGAAAGACTGCCTAGCATGCGGCGACGACGAGATCCTAGCATCAAAGAACCTGACACGCATCACGGCCGAGTCCATCTTACAGGGACGCGTGGACTACGTGGCATTCTGTGGCTTGCTGGAAGATGTGCGAGTGCTAGGCGACGAGAACAGGATTGACGCGAAGGAGTTCTTAGAGCTACCACACTACGAGAGTGCAAAAAGACATAGAAATAGGCATGGGCACGAGGGGATTGCCAACCACAGACGAAAGAGACCTCTTGTTGTGGACGTGCGAGAGGAGCACGAGGTCGAACTGGGCCCGAAGCTGAAAGGCAGCGTGAATATCCCGCTGTCGAGGATCCTCAGGCATGGTGGGCGGGCGTTCGATGACTTGCATGCTCTCAGTGTTGGCCTAGATACAGATTCTTTACGTGATACTCCTACGAATGGCCTGCCCGAGGGGAGACAGGGCGGCATGGTCGATCCGGAAACGCAGGTGCTGCAGATCTCGCACCCGACTCAGGGCGGGATGGTTGATCAGGAAAGGCATATTCCAGATGTGGAGAGAAGGGGGTTAGCGGCGGGCGGCGGAATGGTTGACCAAGAAAGCCATATCCCAACAGCTGTGGGAGGATGCGATGCCTATTCCCAGCAGCTACTGGGCGGAGAGTTCTCTGGAGAAGGTCAAGGGAACGAGTACGACGGACTAGAAAATGGTGGTGGTGGTGGTGGTGGTGGTGAGGATGCCAATACCGATGATGATGATGATGGGAATGCTGGCTGGCCTGTGTATTTCGTGTGCCAGCGCGGCAACGACAGCCAGCTTGCAGCGCAGACATTACTCGAGCGGATACGAGCAGAGAGCGCAAGTTCAAACACTCCTACGAACAGGAGTCATTGGGGATGGGTAGGGGATGTCAGGGGTGGGTTTCTGGCGATGGAAAAGCATCAGTTCGGAGAGTTCAGTTAAAGCGGATTGCCATTGCATCGCATTGCATTAAGCTGGAACCTGTGTGGGTGGAAACGTAGAGCAAGAATCAAGGACAGACGTTGAGTTCCGGAAGCATGTCTCAATCGAGTCGTTTGAATCAGCGAGAAGGATATCATCATGTGCTATCTCTTTTGTGGCTTGTATGCTTATTCCTCGGGGCTGTTGCAATGTACAATGCCCATTGAGCGGTGGGCAGGGGATGTTAGCTTTCTGAGAGGAGGGAAAACGTACCTCTAGAGTTTGGCGGTGAAGTTGATCAAGACCGCGAGACCGTACGGAAGGGAGATGGCTTTTCCAGGATACACTCATCGACGCGTTCTGGTTCAGGCAGTGGTAAAGGGAAGCACCAGGAACCAATCGAGAAGTTGAATCTGTCTCCAAGAGATCAATGTAAACAAATTGCCCTGTAAGGACATAACCGTGCAGATCGACCTGGATTGACTGAAAAGCAAAGGGAAGACAAAACAATCTCGTTGGTCAAGAACTCTAGAAGTTCGCGCTAATAATGCAGCCGTGTGAGTATATAGATACGGTTATCAGCACGTGATGTGTATCATTCTCAGAACCAGCCTTGGGAGAGATTGCAGCCTTGTCTGAAAAGACCATTATGCGGAACACCTCCCATCATGTCGCCCAATAAATCCATCCATAGCAAACTGACAGAGTTTCCCCACACCAGATACCTCGGACATTCATGGCAGTAAAGCCTTGGGCAAAGCTAGTTGAAGATCCTGTCTGTAGTAGAACCTGTGCCAACCATGCATACCGTACAGAACATTCCATTCATTGAAGAAGTGACACACAAAGATAATCTAGAGCTGTCGCTACGAAGGACTAGTTCGCGTAGAAGTGATTCATTCATAGATTCGTTAACAGGATACACTCCGGAAATGCGTAGCTAGTAGTTCTGGAATTAGTATTCTTTTGCATTTGGTGAATCTATCCTAGGCGGACTTTTTGATTTTCTGCCTGGATGTGGCGAATGGCTTGCTCTGGTCAAATAATTAGTTGGACGACCTAACAAGCACTAGAGTAGAACCAGACTTACGATCGTCGTCGCTCGCCCTCACGTCGGAAATCATCAATAATCCTTAGCATCTCTTTTCTTCCAGCGGTCGCATCGACCATTCTCCCACCCAAGCTCATACTGACTTTGGCATCGGTCCTGACCATCAGTAGTCTTTTGAGTAGAAGGTGTCTCATATTGAGACAGACAAACACACCACAGTCTGATGAATTGTCTTGCAAGGGGCTGTCATTGAGTGGAATGAATCGAAGAGGTTTCCGAATTAATCGAGCCAGCTTTTGAGTGACATAGTTTGCTTCTGCTTGGTTTCCTGGAGGCATAGAATCATAGTGAAAAGCGACGCCGTCCACAATTGAGACTAGCAGAAGAGACCAGTGTGAACCACCTTCAGCCACGGTCACTGAGGGGTTGTCGTTGATTGGAAGAAAGATGTGAGTTACGTTGGTAAGGTCTGGCAAGGCATCCTTGTCAAGTTAGCATCGCCTTGGTTTGGTTGACCCCAAAGATGTGATGGTACCTTTATATCTCGAGGATCTGGCGTCTGCATGAGCATGAATGCCATGGCGGGTCGTAGTAGGACGATATGTGAGTGTTTGAAGTTGGTGAGGTATTCGCGTTCCAGATATCTATCCACCGCTGTGTTAGAGATCACTCTTTGTTCGCTATGTCAATTGTAGTTTGTGTACTCTTCCCAGAACGCGATGACCTATATCTCCGTTAGTGGGAATGTCCTCTGCGCCGTAGTCTTTTGAACCAACATTGTCCGTAAGCCAATCATTTTTCAAAACTGATATATCCTCTCTCGTCACTAGCTTGTGAGTCAGCAGTCGTGCGTGAAGGGCCGAGCGTATGAGTACTAACATCGAACATCGTAGTCTGTTGTTGCAACCGAGTTAGCTAGGGGTGGAGTACCCGTGGAGGGTCAAGACTTACAACTCAGGTATGCATCTTCAGGAGCGAGCTGTGAAGCCATGCTGGATCAGTCTTGGGAATATTCCAGTAGTTTTGCGTAGAATGAAGACCAGGCACAGAAGGGGATCAACGATTGAATCGTAGGCAAAGAAGGAGGAGTAAGGAAGCAGTGTAAACCGCGGATGGGAAGGAATGCGAGGACAGGGAAGGGAGAGGGCATGGGCATGGGCGCACCTACCGATCTGAAATGACGACTCATCCGTCCACCAAAAGGATGAAGGTCAGGCATCGCTCAATACAGCGCAGGCCGGCGCAGGCCTCTGTGAGCGCAATGAGTCGGATGGCCACCTACGTGTCCGGGCTATACTTTTAGAATCCTGCAGTGTATTGTGGTGTCACAAGACGATATCGGGCAGAAAGCGACGTTGTATGTGTGAGATGTCACGAGGAACTGGTTTCCCTAAGAGGCCTCCATATTGGCCATAAATATGAGAAATGTGTAGATAAAGGGGAAGCAGGATTACAGGATACACAATATCTCTCGGGAGGATGAAATTGGCTGATAGACAAATGGCCGGGATCGAGGTGTTGGGCTGAACCGTGAGTAGTGTTCCGAGTCTTGCGTGGTTGCCACGCCCGCAGATTGTTGATAGAGACAAAACGTAGACGTCATCTCTGTACGCTGAGCCTACGGAGTTGGTGAGACGGTGACTCGAGGCTTGCCGCTTGAGTAACTATTCTGGGGCCCCTCGGCCCCCAGAGCCCAGAGGGGCAAAGCCCAAGGAGGCCTAGAGGTAGGTACCTCCTCATCACGGCCAGGCACTGAGGAGCCAGGAGCCAGGAGTCAGATATTTCCTGAGGGATATCTAAGCAGATTTAGGCACCGTGCCAGTAGGAATGTGGAAGTTTACATGGTAACCATAGGTACGTTATGTTATGTCTTACTCGTACTTCTATTCCAACTATGATCCTTCTTCGGTTTGATATTACTAGGGATAGATTACCATTGTTGTCTTTCTCTGATCCAACTAGTAGACATAGCCCCCTCCATGCGTTATTCTCTCATGCTTAACTTAATGTACAGTATTCCTTTCGAATACATTTAACGCCACTTCCCGTACGGACCGCTTGAACGCTTGTAAACCCATATTCGCTAATTGATAACTCTCCCTCTCGTCCTCCCCTTGACCGTCCCAGGGAATTGTGCCCTTTTGCTTTTATTTCCAGTTCCTCCATGCATGTGCGAAGTTGTAATTAATTCTCCTCCCCCAGTACCACAAGACAACAAGTGGTCTTTTGGGGGGAGACTGGAAGCGGGTCGAGAATACCAAGTGAGCTTTGTCATACTTATCCAAGATTAAGTATCAGCAACACATTGGCTCAATAAACTCGCGGACCCCTTCTGCAGCAAAGAACGACATTATCATGTCGCCAGCTTTGCAAAATGTTTGTTCCATATCCATCCAATCTCGCGAGTGTCGTCATCCTGGTTGATTGCCAGCCATAATTCACCATGTTCCGCTATCACATCAAAGATCTCCCCTGTCACATATGTCAGGTATCTAAACCCACCCTGCTGTCGGGATCGGTCAATGTTGAACTCATAGACACTTGCCGCAGTGAAAAGGACCCCTGGCTCTCTGCTACTCTCCAAATCCGATTTGACCTCACTTGACCCGCCCGCAGTCTCATCCATAGGCATCGCCGAGGAGAAAATGCTCCCTCTGCTTGTCGGCAGCTGTTGCTGCGAATGCGATGGTCCAGGAGTCGCTGAATAGAAAGTCGACGTGGAATTGTGCTTAACTGCCACAGGTGACTCGGTCAAAAGTGCTCCAATCGTAGGAGACGGTGCTTCCAGGCTCACTCGAGGTGCGGAGCGAGAGGGATCGTCTAAGTGGTCAAGGCCTGTACCTGGTCGAGATGCATTACCACTGTTGGTAGTGTGAACCGATGTAGCTGTAATGGTCCTAGGAAGGACGTCGGGAGTCTTAGGCAACCTCCCTGATGCCGCTGATGGTGCACGGATTCGTCCGTTTGCGAAGCTGAATGAGGCCTGATCGCTGCGGTCGTCACTCATTGGGCTGACGGGGCCCTCAGTATGTCGGTGGTGATGGTCAGAGATAGAGGCTTGTGGAACTTCGTCGTTGGTCGACACAGATCGCTTCATACTACTATTCCAAGACGGTTGTCTCGGAGAATCATCACCCGTCAATGTCGTTCCAGGAGTCAGGAATGACAAGAGATTGATAGCCTCTGCTAGCAAGGTCCCATTGCAGATACTCAAGGTCATTGCGTATGTGTGCTGTGCATCGAATTCTTCCTGCCATTCTCTCATGATATCGCCCGGTTCTAGCCGATCGATGTCCAGCTCCATAGCAGCCGAAAATTTGACCTTACACATTTGTAACCAGCCCATCTGGAGTTGTATCAGACTCGTTTGGCAGGCAAGAACAAGATCTGCAGTTGAACTGAGAAGACGCTTCATTCTTTCCTTAGCTTCGAGATTTAGAGCCTCCCACTGCTCCATCCGTTCTGTCATCCTCTTGTCGACCTTTTCGCCACGATCTCGCTTGTTCTTGAATTGGTTGTAATCGAGTAGTCTTTTCTCGCGTTTTTGTATTAGTCCCTTGGAGTCAACCTTGAATCTTTCCAACATCACCGCAGTCTTCTCCATCGGCTGAATCACCTTTTTCGTCACTTGTTCAATGTGATCAGGAAGGGCAATTGAATGTACTCCTCGAACCACAATGGCAAATTGGCGCAGTTTGCTTTCAGCCTGTGGATAGCTGGTGTGGCCGACATCAACCCAAGCCTCGGCTGCTGCTGCAACTCCGCAAATTCGATCAACCCACTCCCTCATGGCCTCAATGTAGCCCTGACAATCCTTGGTCACCAAAAACAGGTGGGCAATGTTATTGTCATAGTTGATCTTGATCTTGGCATATTCAGGATCTTCGTATATCTCATTGATGCCGACGTGTTGTCTCAGCTTCTCCGCTCGCCTACCCCATGCCTTTGTCAATCCATTGCGGACGTCGGACTCTTTTCGTTTCCTGTTGAGGACCTGATCAACAAGCTCGGTGTGCTTTTTCACATCGTTAATGCGAATATTTACTTCCGTAACTTCGACCAGAGCCTTTCGAATGAACTCATAATCCGGGTGCGTTGGAGGTGTTGCTTCAACCAACTGCGTCAGTAAGAGCGGGTACTTGGTGATCCGTTGAATGGGTTTGACTAATAGTGCGTCCAGACTCCATGCATTGGTAATATCACTAGAATTCTCACTGCATTCCTTCAGCCATTCCTTAACAGCTGGGGATGTCTGTAAAACTTCAAGTCTTTTATTGGCAGGGTGTCGAGTCCGAATATACTCGGTATAGACCTTCTCCATGTCGCTCATAGAAACCTCGAAAGCATGTCCAACCTTGGTCAGCTCGTCCTTCTCGGCATCTGTCATATCGGCAACTCCGTCAATGGATGTGCCTGAGCCTTGAACAGCTGAGGCACGATTCCAATCTTTACGTTTGTCCGATTTATCCATTATGTAGGCTGGCCTGGCTACTTGCTTTAGAAATCCAAGAAAATCCTTAGCAAAGTGTTGCACCGCGTCGACGTTACCAAAGATGATTTTTGTATCTTCGTCACTAATAGCAACGACAGCAGTCTGTTTGTAAATATCGCAGAGCACCCTCATGTCTCTCTCGTAAGTGTATTCTGTGTCGACCAGCTCCTTCAGAATATGTCGTCGCTTGTTCAGTCGCCGTTGATCAGGACTCAAGTCGCCTTCCTCAGATGGTCGGTTCATGCTAGAAGTGGACGGTAGAACGTGTTGGTCAAGACTAGATCGGGCTGACATCTGCGATACTGCTGTGAGCGGTCGAGGGGGTTGTGACTGCTGTGTCATAGGCGGTTTGATACCTGCGGGTGCAGACCGGGCAGCTTGATCAATCGAGGGCAAATTCATTGTTGGCGGAGGTGGAGGGGAGTGGGAAGGTGGGCGTGGAATGTCGAGATCTAGCCCTAGCGTTGGAGAATCACCTGCACTTGTGTTCCAAGACTGTGCATGCGAATGTCCTGTTTCCGTTTTGCCCAAACCCGTAGCCATAGGGCCTTGCTCAATGATTTCACGTACCAGCGTAGATGGTGGTCGAGGTTGTTGCGTTTCTATGGGTGAACTGAGACCATATTGGATCCAATCCCCAACAGATGGAGAAGTTTCTGCCCAGTCTTCCGCGCTGTCAAGACTTGATTTGTAGTGATGGCCACGATAACTTGTAGGCGGAAGTGACAGAGCTTTATCTTTCGATTGACGAGATACTGTAGAGTCATTCTTGGTGTCACTCTCTCCGTTTGTCTCTTTCACAGCATGGCTTTTCGATTCGGAAAATTCGTCAGGGCGAATCAACACTGCTGATTCTGGACGGGACGACTCTTGCTCTCCCCACTGACTATGGTAATCTTCGAGCTCATGCATACAAAGCAGGCGAACTTTCTCCTCATCGACGGTCTCAGCACTGGCTAGATCTGGTGAAGTCTGAATGATACGATGATAGATGTCGTCCACCAATTGTTGGTCAACGACTCCCGAGGGCGTCTGTTGCTGAAGAACGATGTTGACGACTGTATAAGCATCACGTGAACTAGGCTCTTGTTGGGAATCGTCCTGAATGCTGGAGCGATTAGAACCTGAGGGCGACATCGAGCCGGGCTCAGCTGCCAACTCTTCTGGTATTTGTGAAGCCTCACGACCTGGAACACTGCTTTCGCCTCCTTCTGATCCTGGTAGCTCGTCTATTGACGAGGTCCATGAACTTCTTCCATTGCTTCGTGATGCAGCGACGTCAGATCCGGTAGAAGGTAAAAAGGGTCGATAGCCCTTTTCAACTGCTTCGTCGTCATCAAGGTAGGTAGTTTCCCGTAGCATCAATTGAACCGAAACTCCATCTGCATGGTCAGACAGGTCACCCGATGCTTGCGAGCTGGAAGACATTGGCGAGTTGGAGCTCTGGCTACGCATGGCACTTATCTGTGTGAAGAGTGACTGGGCAGGGGTTTGCAGTCTAGTTGCGTCCATTTGTGGTTCTGTATCGATAAGTGTCGCTTCGGTTGCCACTGTGGCGTCAGTTAGAGCAGAGGACGGTTCTTGCTCAGGCATAGAAGGTCGCAGCTGGGTGTTCAAAGAATACGGAATGCTGCTGAAGGCGGACTCTGCATGTCCCAAAGTTGGTGAGTCCATTTCTGTTTCCAATTGCCTCGAGCCTGCCTCAACAATTTTTAAAGCATTTTGGGTGTATGTCATGCGATCTCGCACAGATTGTTCATCGGGTGTATAGAATGCTCGTTCTTCGGACATGTCGGTGGGTGGCCCAGAGAAATTGACTACTAGCGCTGGAATTTCGATATGATCAGGGTGACTTTGATTTCCTCTGTCGGATCCAGAGATAGACGGCGTCAAGCTATCTTGGCGATTTGTCGAGCTATTGCGAGTCTGAAAGGCACCAGTTCTTAGATCTTCCCCTTCTCTTGATCTGCTGAGTGCCTGCGTGATTTTGAGGCGTCTAGCTTTGAGATCGATGTCACTAAGCTCGGGAGGTCTCTGTCGCCGGTACCCTTTCCTGTCGTTCTGCTCCTTCGCCAAGATCTCAAACTTCTCTGCCATTTTGGCACGTGATGCCGTTGTAGTGGCAGAGGAGACAGGCAAGCGTGGTCGGGAACTCCTTAATGGAGGAGATATTTTTGGTGGGGGTGCGATGATATTTGCTCGGAGCGATGGGCTTTTCTCGCTGCTTGAGGTAATGTCCCTTCCCCGTCTGCCAGGGCTCTTAATTTGGATTGGAGATCGCGGTCTTCTCTTAGGGCTGCTAGGCTTTCGATTTCCCGAGGGAGAGGGAACAGACCTCGATTGCGAGGTTTCGAGATTACGCAGAGGAAGTTGTGAGACGAAGGCAGGATGCGTGTTAGGAGACATGGTGGCAGAGTCCGAAGCTATACGCTGATGCCGCGTGCTCACCGGTATTCGTGAATGGCCATTAACTTTGGCCAAGGCATTACTAGCCAATCTTAGGGCACCCGAAGTACTTTCGAAGCTCACTGGCGAGACGATTCCTCCATGTCTACCAGACGATCTGGATGCTTGGCCTGAAAAATCGCTTTTTGCCCGGCGATGATGTGGCTGCTCGATTTGTGCCTTTGTTCTCAAGTCAACATGGGAACGATCCGAAGGTCGAGGTTGTGGGCGAGTTAATGAATTCGGCGAGGGGGCTTTGACGGTTGGAATTGATGAGGTAGAAGGAAACATAGGATTAGGACTGTGCATAGGAGATCCCTCTGAGCCACGGCGTTTTCGTGCATTAGATATGCCGTATCCTGCAGCAGGGGCATTGGAGACTGAAGGCAGTACTTCGCCAAACAACAACTTACGACTATTCTGCGAATCTTCAGGATTAGTCACGCTCTTGGTCAAACCGCTTGCCAAGGATGAAGTTCGGTTGCGACCGGTGAGGGACTTCGCGTTTGGAGTTCCAGCAGATGCGGAGACACTGCCATTTATTCGGTATGATTCAGACAGCCGTGAGGAGGGTCGCTTCGGTAGAGTACCAGTTCCGGCAGAATGGCCGAACTCGACATTGGCGAAACCGGACATCGGGCTTGCGGTTCTGGATGAAGGTCGAGATATTTGTTGAGTAGGCAAAGGTGGAACCTCATCGGGAGAGGCATCGAAACGAGCCACAAGGTCTTTGAAGGAAGCTTTTCTCGACCTCAATGTGTTTGGTACCGAACCCGGAGGTTTGACGGCCTCCCACTGGGTATGTTGGGTATTTACTGAGAGTTTCCGGCCACTCACAGAATTTCTGCCGGATCTTGGCTCATAGTCGTCATTTGCTTGTGTAGATGCAAAACTCGACTTTCGACTGGCGTATTGTGCCTCCTCTTGCTCGGTCGTGGTGCGTATTGCCTCTTGATGCAGGCCGATCGGGGATGGGTTCACGAGCGGATCCTGGTACTGGCGATAGAACTCATGAGGGTCATTGATGACGCTTTCCTCTCGAGCCAGATCAAGTCTTATATTTGACCGCGACACAGTGGATTGGGACGGGGTTCGTGTTCGCTGTATGGGTTGTTGCGGTTGGTAGGCTGTGGAGGGTAGAAAGACGAGCGACTGTGAAGGGGATTGAAGCTGGGTGGGAGAGGTGACGATCTGGTCGGTCAGATTAGTCTGCGATTGAGATGACTGTCGTCGGTGGTGAGCGGTGTAATAATTGTTCTGATTTGAGACAGCCGAAGGCATGTCGTTGTGAGCCTCCCGATCTGGAGAGGATCAGAGATCAGCCCAGTCACGGACAAGCCTTCCTTCTGGAACGATGATGGCTATGGCACAGATGCATGACCCGCAGTGCGCATTATGACTTGAATCCACGGTGGTTACAGTGGAACGTGCGGGTTGAAAGTGTATTCTTCCACGGTATCTGAGCGGCGGTTGACAGCCCGGGACGTCAGAGTGGACGGAGTCCGGCTATTGCTGTTGATCTGTCGTGACTTGAACTTATGCTTCTGGATTGTAAATGAAGGCTTCTTTGTAACCGATTTTTTAACCCTAGGGCGTTACTTGACAAGGCGGGCCGGCGTGAGGGTGTCGCGCGAATTGAGGCCTCTAGATTTGTCGGTCTACAGGCAATGTGAAGAGGAGTGACGGCGGCGGCGGTGGGAAGTGACGCACGCAATCGATCTATCAAATAACGTCGTAACTGAGTGAATAGCCTGTATAATGGTAGACGTCAAGGTATAGGGGATAGAGTAGGGATAGTAAACGGCAGTGGTGCGTTGTCGATCTCGTCTATAGGGATGGGTTGGGCTGCGGCTGCGGTCACGGTAACGACGATGAGAGTCAGTAGCAGCGGCGGGAGCAGCAGTAATATTTCCGTACTGTGTACTCCGTACGGGTGGTGTTGGTAGCTAGCGATATCTTACTCATAATGTCACAATAAGTTTCTCCGTGCAGAATCTGTGATCAGGCAATTAGGCAACCTTTAGTTAAGGTGTTGAGTAGCCCGGGGGGAAGTGGGCACCCAGCACATGCCCATTGCTAACTGGAGGAGCCCGAGGTCAATTAATAGCGACAAGCGAGCAGATTGTGAAGGTGGATGGAGATGGATTGCGATGGATGGACAGGGGTCTCGCCTCACTCCTCACTGGCAACTGGCCCGTAATTACCAGACCACCCAGGTGAGCCTTTGCTCCACTGACCAAATGCGAAAAGAGATTCTGGTCCTTTCGGGACATTTTTCCACAGTTCAAGCATGGTCCCTAGTTCACCCTACCACTGTCATTCCGGGCATCTGGGGGCTGCAAACAAAGAACGCATTGATAAAGGACTATGTTCGCGTTGAGAATGGGATCATTGCGTCCGACCGCCACATCCAATGCATGCCATCGGCTTCAGATTGAGGCTGCAATCCCTGCAAATCACATCAGTCTTCCATGAAACAACATGAGACAAGACTTCCATTGTCATTATGCTCCACGGCCATTTCCAACAGAGACCAGGATATGCCCGCTTCCAGCGAAAGTGCCACCGCCTATCATGGTAGGATGGGCCTTCCCCGCTCACCTAAGAAGCTCCCGAACTATCTTAAGTACACCGTACTAAGGTACGTACAGTGTATGGACAAACCTTTACCAACACCTCTAGTGCCACTTGGTACATATATCTTGAATCCCCTAGTTGCAGATGCTCCGAACTCCGTGCATCTATCAATCCTGGTCAAGTCTTGGTCATGGATTGTTGACCTGATATTTGCTCCCAGGCTTGTGTGTGGTAAACTTGTGGCAGTGTTCGTGCAACCTTTATAAGCCACAATAGGTCAAACTCAACTCCAGGAATAACATCGAGGCACATTTTGAATCAATCGCACAATCGTATTGAATGGGAGATCGTCAATAGAAACCCCTAGAAGCCATTTGTGACTGCTTGACCTGACGGACTTTAGTGGTTCGGCCTGGTATTCACCAATCCTGCATCCATGTATCCATCCCCTCGACGCGTCCGAACGCGTCAACAACGGCATCAAACTCTATTTAGCCCTCTCTTCCTCGGTTGTCCAGCCTAGCATTTCATCCTCCTGTTGACTGCAACCATCCTAGGCGTCCTCAAGCAAGACGTTCAAACTATAATTCTAAACTGCCTAGTCCATTCTGGAATCTCGTCCCTGCTATACGAGGTGCTCTTCGAGCACCGATCCTTGGGGGCAGGGATACGGGGTAGAGGCAACTAACATCCAAAGCTCCCTTTCGTTGACTAGTGCACTCGTATCGAGCACATTATTGAACACATTTGCTCGGCTTACTTGGACTATCACTCTGCCCGGATAATTTCTACACCTCTTCTTCCAGATGCCATGAAGAGGAAGAGGGGGTGCCAAGACGCACCAAGTGATCGTCCTGCCAAAAGGCATCAGGCAACAACATCAAAAAAGGACATTCAGAAGCCAAGAGCAGCAGCAGTCTTGCCGACCGTTCATCACAGTGTCCTGTCCTCGTACTATCCTAAGGTATGTACGTTGAGGAACTATTTATTAGCTAACTTACCTGCTTCTGCTCGTGTCCGACGAAAGAGATTGGGTGCGCATGGACGAGAGGATGAGACCTGCATTCTGGACGCAACTTTTGTCGGTCTTCTCAAAGAGCCCTCGTTCTCAGTCACAATATCTCGAAAAGATGATTTTGCTTCGTTCACTCAAAGCCAGCATCGCGCCACCGGGGCGTTCAGTGGCAAAACTCTGCGATATTCCATGAAGGAGGTTAGGTTCCCCACATTGTACATGCACGTTCCCAATAAACCCTGTTGCTAAAGCTGGCGACAGATAGTTGACTTTGTCATCTGGTTGCTCTTCAAGGACCACAGGGTGTATTCACAGCGACCCCGTCATGTCCTTTGCCACGGCCTTGCCAAAGCCGCTGCCCCCCTTGTGTCAGAAGCAGACAGTATGCAGACCACCTTTCTGCCAGGCATCGTGCAACAACATCCCAACGACAGCATAGAGAGGCTCAAATCAAGCACCTGGTCTAATATCGCACTACTGCTCGGGGAAGATGCTGAGGGTATATTGTCAAACATGCTCCTTGATTGTGGTATCTTTGTTCGTATGTCTGAAGGAAAGGACAATTACTTTCAATTGAGCGGCATCCCTCTGTCAGAGTTGACCCCTAATCGGAATCACAATTTACTGCCTAAAACACATCAAGCAAATGCCCTCGAGCGACCTCTTGACCCGTCACGTATTAGGTTTGTCAGAAACCGGATACTATACTCGAGGCCCGCCTTGAACCGCACCGGCAAGGTAAAGGTTGGGCTAAAGCATGTGCACGTCTTCGAAAGATTTGCAGATACCAGTCAACCTATGCACTCAATACACATACTAAAGCATGTTTTCCCACGCCAGTTTGGCCTCCATAACGTATTCACAAGCAATGTCGATCGCGCCGAGACTGCGCAGCCATTCAAGGACTACTCCATTCGGGAAGCAGAAATTGCAGATAAATCAAAGCGACATTCGATGAAGGTGCCATATCGTCTACGGGGAGAAGCCATTGAAATGGTTAGGAAAATGCAGCGCAATCATCAACAGTGCTCGTACAGCCAACTGCTCAGGTATTACTGCCCGGTTCGACAGTCCACAAACGAATGCACAGAGGATCTTGAGCGAAGGTGGCGTTCTGTCTCCACTCCAGGTTCTGAATGTTTGTTGACGCAGTTGAGTTTCGCTGGCTCATATGGGTTCTCAAGGGACTCACCCTCTGACCACTACGATGCCGAAGCCTCCTTTCTACCTCATGCAACCCCGCCAGAGATGGTGTCTGTGTTTTGCCGTTCAGTTATTGCGACACTGCTGCCCCAGAACTCGCTGGGAACTGGTTCAGATGGCGTACACAACCTGCAGACACTCCTGCGGAAGGTCGACCAGTTTATCAAACTGCGCCGATTTGAAACTTTAAGTCTACATCAAGTGATGCAGGGGATACGGCAAAAGTCAATTGACTGGCTACGTGCTCCGAAGACTGGCAGAGGGCAAAACTTATCCAAGTCGGACTTCATGAAGCGGGTTGAACTTTTGCAGGAATACATCTATTACGTTCTAGACTCTATTCTGATACCATTAATTCGATCCAACTTCTACGTCACAGAGAGCTCTTCTCACCGGAATCGACTGTTCTATTTTCGACACGATGTCTGGCGCAAGCTCAGTGAACCAAGTCTTGCTACCTTGAGACTGAATATGTTCGCTCCTACCATTCCCAGTCAAATTAGACGTGTGCTCGCAACACGGTCTCTGGGCTATAGCTACTTGAGACTACTTCCTAAAGATATTGGTTCTCGGCCCATCACAAATTTGAGACGCCGGCAAGTTAAACTGATCTCTGGTCGAAGGCTTCTCGGACCTAGTATCAATTCGCAACTCACACCGCTGTTTAGTGTGCTCAACTATGAACGGTCTCAGCATCCGACTGTCTTAGGATCTGCCCTTCTGTCCGTGGGAGATATTCATAGCAAGCTGAGTGGCTTCAAAAGGGCTATATCCTCGCAAGATCCAATATATATTGCGAAAATGGATATCAAGTCTTGCTTTGACAGCATACCTCAAAACGAGCTCCTTTTGGCAGTCAGGGCGCTCTTTCAGGAGCCAGCCTACCGAACCACCAAGCATACTGAGTTCAAGTCAGTGGATGACAAGCAATATAAGGAAGAACCACAGCTCCAACGTAGATTCGTCGGTTCGGCAAGACTTGCTGATGATTGCGCAGTATTTTCGGAAAGGGCAATTGCGCAACTAGCTGCCAGAAAACGGCGAGTGGTCTTCTCAGACACAGGCAACCACAGGATATGGTCTCGTGGCTCACTGCTCAAGCTTCTTCAGACACACGTGCAAGAGAGTATTGTCAAAGTTGGCAAGAAGCACATGATTCAAAAGGATGGCATTCCGCAAGGTTCCATCCTGAGTAGCTTGCTCTGCAGCTACTTCTACGGCATGTTTGAAAATCAGGAGCTGGGTTTCCTTGATCCAAGATCTTGCTTGCTTTTGAGGCTCATCGATGACTTCTTGCTGATCACCACTGATCAAATTCTGGCAAAACGGTTCTTAGAGGTCATGGCAAAAGGAGATCCTAAGTATGGAATCCAAGTGAATGCTGGCAAGTCGCTGGTGAATTTCGATGTGACAATCAATGGACAGAAAGTTCCACGTCTGCATGGCACCACTTGGTTCCCCTATTGTGGCATGCGGATCGACTCAAAAACCCTAGTTCTACAAAAGGATCGGGAGAAGAAAGATGCACACGTCAGAAACTCATTGACTGTTGAGACTGGCGCAAAGGCAGGGAAAGTCCTGAGAAGAAAGGTTTTGTCCTCGCTCAAGTTGCAGATGCATGCTATGCTGATGGACATTTCGCTGAATGGGAAACGGCATGTTATGTGCACGCTTTTGGCCAACTTTGTCGAATCAGCGATGAAATTTCATCAATACCTAGGTCACCTGGCACACAACCAACGACCTTCACAAGAATTGATCCGGCAGCTGATTCAGGAAATGATGACTACAGCACATAAGATTTGTTTGGCCAAAAATAGTCGAAAGCGAGGCATAAGATGGGTTGAGATGTGCTGGCTCGGTGCCTGTGGCTTTCAAAGAGTACTGCAACGGAAGCAGACCTATTATTCAGAAGTTTTGGTCTGGCTGAACTCGCTTCGGACAGAAAGCGAATCGCACATCGGATTGCACTTTTCGGAGAGAGAAGCACTGATAAGGGCGAGTGAGAAAGTGTTTCGTGGGTACATATATTAGTTGTTCACGACATGTGATGTCGAGTGCATCAACAGGCGGCACTCGTGCACCCAAGTGGTACGGCAAGGTGGCTAGAATAGAAGATTGTCAACAATCATAATAACGACGAACACAGCCACATCACATACTGCAACCAAAGATCTCGAATGGAGCTTCGCCGAGGAATGCGCGGAATGGAGCTTCATGGAGTGCATTCGAGTTTTGGCAGAGGCTGGAACAGAGAACATGTGCATAAGTATCGGCGCCACCTGGACCAGCCACCGAGAGCCGCATGTTTGAATATGCGGTACGGAGTACTGAGTACCTCCTCCTACGCAGAGCACTTGAAATGTTTGAATGAACTTCTCTTCTCACCTGAACATAGTACATGCCCGCTGCAAGTCGATTCAGTCCTTCGCACTCAGCCCAAAACCAACAACGTGAACATTAGAGGCAGTATTGACCACGGGGCCATTTTAGAGTGATCGCCGCAACCGCGATGAAACAGCCACATCTGCCTTGGATTTGACTTTACCAGCTTGATTCGTTGTTATTGGCGACCAGATCGGCGTTTGACTGGCCAGTTGCGCCAGCGCCGCATCGAAGGGCCTTTTGCGCCTGAGACGCCATAGCTTCGCAATTCCACTTGAAACGCTGTTGTGACCGGAGTTGAGGAACAGCCGCCAATTGCCGTTTACCGTTTGCAGGTGAAGAAACAAGGCAGGACTGTTACGACTTACGAAGATCGGCACGATTGCATCAAGATTCGGAGGTCCATCCATCATCCATTTTGCCTGCCATATAACTCCGTCTTCGATAACCTTTTTGCCCATCAAGAACGGGACGAACAGTGGGTCAAAGGCCAATTGTGCTGGCCGGCCTTGAAACCTCCCCAATCGAAGGGGGTGGCCGCCAAAGAAATTCTTTACCAACCCCCCTGGAAGCCCAATAGCTTTACCCGCGTTCGCCCTGACCGACACTGGTGCTGGTGCTGGTGCTGGCGGCCTTGTGTGCTCATCTCCACCCCTCCTCCACCCTTCCGGTCGGTCAGTGGCTCGGTGGTCCTCCACTCCAGCACATGTCAACCACCCACCTGAGACTCAGTCACGTCAGTCAACCATGAGCATGGAAGGCCCCTTAATCCAGCGACGAACCCAACCCTTACCACCCCTACCAGATTCCCTACTCGTACAATCCCTACCGCCTCTTCCGCCCCTACCACCACCTCCTCCACCACTACCCCAGCTTTGGTATAGCCTCGCACTTCCATCCTCAAGCTCCGTGCCATGCTCACCGTCATGCCAATATCCTGCGTCAGCCATCGATGCAACTCCACCAATCCTGACTGCGATCCATCCACACCATCCAGGGGCTGGTCGCTGCCATTGTCCATTGGCATTGCCATCTCTCCAAACTTTCCTGCTTGGCTGCTATCAAGCTTCACCACCACCACCACATTTCGCTGGTCTCGATCTCGACCACCTCATCAAACGCCATCGTCATGCCCTCTGGTGCAGACCAACATTCCTTTCTCACGACTCTCACCATCGTCTCCAATCCAAGATAACCTCACGACGACGACCACAACACCATCACTCACTCACCCACTGTACTAATAATACCTGCGATCTGACCTTCCGCCGCTCGGAAATTGCATTTCCACGCTCCAGAACAACTGGCTCTCCCAACTTCTGCTCAGACCTCGACCACAACACCAACCAAGTCGATGATTTGTCCCTCAGCCCAGCATCAAGCCAGCACCTTGAACGATACCCAATAGTCTCTCTTTCGGATGCGCATCTTCTGAATATGACCACAACCATTACAAGTGTCCCTGGTTCGCCTCCTGACCTCTCCGGCTCGCGATCTTCCAAATCCTCCTCGTTATCCTCCACCTTTTCCAGCCCAGATGGCTTAGAGTCAGACGTAACACATTTCGAAGAGATTGGTCTCGATGATGACAAGCAAACCCCTCTGCCTAGAAGCTACCATTCACGCGATGTGTCGATGCAATCCGTGGGCTCCCAGCATGAGTTGATCAAATCTCAAGAGCCTGTGCATGGGGAGAGGCGCCCTCAACTTCCGCAGCTTCAAACCCAAGTCAAAACATCTAGCCAGAGAAGAGACTGGGCGGCGCTTCGAAACCCTCCCCCAAAGATGGTTACCATGCAGCGCGGATTTACCAGCCCCGAATCCTTTTTCCCTCTCAACATGAGGACACGATCTTCCTCACCTCCGACTCGAAGAGTAGTGGCTTCTTCTTCAACCGTCCCGGTCAGTGCAGGCGGTCTGCGTCCTATCCCTCAATCACCTGCTTCTTTCCTGGGTGTACCTTCCAGACGATCCTCCTGGCAACCACAACGAAAAACCATCAAAGAACTGGAGGACGAGTACCATGACTCTGACGACGAACTACCGGATGATGCAAGTCTCTGGAATGTCCCTGTGTCCCCATACGTCAGTGGACAGCGATCCCACAGGTCGAGTTTCCGAGGGAGTCCAGACCGAGCCGGTCTGTCCCAAAGCCCTGGTCCTGTACCTCTAGCGCATGCAAAGACCGCTCCGGATACTCCCCCTCGACCGACTATGCATTCGCAGTCTTTACCAAAGAATAGATCACACGGTTCAAGGACAGTCCCGCTCAACCCACCACCTTCGAATCCATCCTCCCCCCGTAGGACCAATCCTTTGCGAAATGGCCGGACAAAATCCTGGAATCTGGCGATGGCGGATTTGAGCGAAGAAGCTCGCATCATCTCGGAGACTTTGCAGTATCATGCAGAAACCCGGGAGCAAGCTCGCTCTATAAGTCCTCAAGGAAACGGATCCAGTGATAGCCTCGGGCTGCCTAAGGCTGGCGACTCTCGGAAGAACTCAATTCAGCTGCCACCCATTCAGAAGAGCACTTTGGATTTCATGCCTATATCCAAGGAAAAGGAAGCCATTCTTTCACGGACCAGGCCATCTTGGCTACCACCCAAAAACCCCAAGGAGGAGGCGAAGCATCTCAAGGAATATCAAGCAATGATGGCTGCATCTCTAGAATCCGAGAAGAAACGTCGCGCAAAGCTGCAGGCTCAGCAATGCGTCAAAGATGACACGAGGGAGTCACTGAACCGAATTTGGGCCTATTATGTCGAGGAAACAACCGATATCAAGGCGATCGACCAGCGTGTATATGATTTATGCTGGCGTGGTGTAAGTCCCAATCTTCGCGGAAAGGTCTGGCAAAGAACGGTGGGAAATTCACTTGGCCTCACAGTCAAGAGCTACGAAAAGGCATTGCAGAGAGCAAAGGAAATCAAGAAGAAGCCGTGGAATCAACTTGATCGCAATTTGAGAAACATGGGAAGATGGTTTGTCGACATCGAACGCGATGCCGAGACCGCTTTCCCGGAGCTCAACTTGTTCCAGCGAGATTGTCCCATGTGGCAAGATCTAGTGAACGTCTGTGAAGCTTATGCGTGCTATCGAAGCGACGTGGGTTATATTTATGGGATGCAGCTAATTGCGGCATTGCTTCTTCTTCAGATTCCCACTCCTGCAGACGCCTTCATACTTATGGCGAATTGTCTGAACCGGCCTGCACCGCTAGCATTCCAGATAAATGACACATCGTCCACAAGCCGAATTTATAATCACGCGGTATCTACGCTCGGGATCAAATTCCCTCGCCTCCATGAATATCTGTTTGGCTCACTCGAACAAGGTGGGCTCGGATTCACTGGTGAAGAAATTTTCGAACCCATGTTTCGAACTGTTTTCTCCAATGGGCTGGATTTGGACAGACTTTGTCGCATTTGGGATATTTGGATCTTTGAAGGAGACAGAAGCTTGGTTCAAGCTGCCGTCGCCATCTTAGGATCCCTGCAATCACAGATATTTGACATAAGAGGCGACATTCACCTGAAACGACGAAACGCACAAGAAATGCTGGGCTGGGGCCCCTTTAATCGAGCGCCCAAATCTGGACATTGGAATCTCCAAACCGTCGGAAGCGAGGAGAATTTTGTTGAAGAAGTGCGACTTGCGGGGACGTTGGCTCCCGGAATTGTTTCTTTCTAAACACGCCAAAGTGGGAATAGATATGACATTAATGAATATATCTGTACAATGACGGTGTACAATGACGGTGTACAAACGAGGAACCCAGCCAATACGGTCAACGGACATGCACAAGCGAGGATCACAGCAGAACCAACAAAGCTAAATGGTTCAGTTACTAGCAGAAAGCAGCGTCCACCTTGTCAATCTGGGTACTTTTCGAGATTCGGGGACCATTCAGAAGCAACGCAACAACCAATGTTGTTGACTTGAATCACCATTTGGGGCCCAGGACTTATATCTTTTTCACTTCTTTATCATGACCCATGCACGACGACTTTACTTCTGGTGCATCTTTGCGGGAATGGCCACCAACCTATGAGTGGCCGCTTTGAGATATGGGATTAACGGCTGCGCTTATTATATTTTGTTCGCTTCTCCTCCCCCCGTTCTTTTGGGGGAACATATTGAGATGACTTCTTTTCTACCTGTACTTCGGATTGTGCACGGCTGGGATCGAAAAGAAGGACCACTATCCCGATCTGCTGAATAGCTATTTTCCTCAAAGATTCCAACCAATGCATGTCATGGCGTTTGCCCATGACGTGACATGATATGAGATACCTCAGGCCTCTCCTACGAGATGAAGTTTATAAAGAGAAATCATATTGTACATAATTCCCGTCGAATGTTGTTATACCGACTAGAAACCACAATATAACAGCGTATCAACAGCTTCAAGTGACCTCAAGACATGCTTTCTGCTACATGTTATACTCTCTCACGCGTACGAGTAGAAAGGGGAGAAGGCTCAAGCGACCCTGTCAGCCGCCTGCATCCACCTCAGCTTTATCCGCGTTCGACCGAGGACGCACGAGACAAGAACCGCACCCACATTGTCCAATTCATCAACTCCTACTCGGTGATTCCAGGTCAGCAAACCCAGCCACGGTCTAACTAGATAAGATGACATGCCTCTCTTCTTTTGTAGATCACTTATCCCCGGGCTGGCTGGAACACTTCTCTGTTCTCGGATGACACCAGAGCTATGATTGGATCATGTCAACGTGGATTGGACTCTGCCTAGCAGGTTCCCGTGCTAACTACTCCGTACTGTACCTAGTACTTGGCTTCGTGTCTTGTCTTCTTGGAATGCGAAACATGTCCTTTTTTTGGTCATTTTTTTTGGTTCTCACAGCTCCGCAGGGCTCGTACTCGCAGCTTGATGCGAAGGGAGTGAGACTTGAGGTTGATATATTTCCCCATGTGAGGTGGTGGGTCCTGGAGTATAAAAGGTTCCTCTATCCTCGCCTTTCTCTTCAATCCTATGAGTCTGTCTCTCTATCCATACATTGATCCTTGCAGCCTGAACCTCTCACTCGACTAGCCACCGGCTTTTCTTTTTGAGAGATCATCAATCCGCGCTCGCTGATGTTTCCTCATACCAGGGACCATCAATAGTATACTTTGGAGAAGATCGAGCGAAGCAAGGCGATACAGAATAGTACTTCTGCGTTGATTCGAGCGCGCGCGCTACATACCATAGACTCGCAACATCCCCGGCAGCCAAGCCAGGAAGAGCATCCTGAGACAAGCCATCAAATACTCGATTGCGACAGCAGAACATGGTGCATCTGATCCTGACCGGCGGCACGGGCCTCGTGGGGTCAGCGGTGCTCTCTCACATCCTCAGCCTCCCGGGCGGACTGGTCGGCACCAGCAGCATGCTCTCCACGAAGAGCGGCACACCCCAAACGATATCGAAAGTCACCATCCTCACGCGCTCGCCGAACATCCCGCTGCTCAGCAGCACACCCCCGCCAGGCACGCCGCATGCCAACACGGCCACGAAAATCGAGGTCGTCACGCACAAGGACTTTTCGCAGTATGACGGCGAAGTCCTCGCGAAGCTGCGCGGCGCCGATGCATGTATCTGGGCGTTGGGCGTGAGCCAGAACGACGTCGACGAGGCCGCGTACGTGGCGATCACGAAGGACTACGCGCTGGCCGCGGCCAAGGCGTTCTCAAGCCTGAGGGGCGCTGACACCGACAGCGACACGAGCAGCAGCGCAGGCTCTCGCGAGATGAAGAAGCTCGCGGCCGGTGCCTCTGCCGCCGCGCAGGACTACTCGCGGAAATTCAAATTCATCTACATCTCCGGCGAGGGCGCGACCCAGACTCCGAAGTGGTACACGCCGCTCTTCGGCCGCGTCAAAGGCTTGACGGAACAGGCCTTGATCTCATTGTCCCAACAGCCCGCTTTCAGCAAGACACTGGCAGTGTATTCAACGCGGCCAGGCGGCGTCGATGCGCTCAAGCAGCCCTGGATCTGGAACACGGTCATGGGCGAGAAGCGCACGGCGTTCCAGCGCGCGTACATGCGGCTGTTGCTCCCGCCGATTGCGCTGCTGTGGCCTGGTGGCCATTCGCCGACGGCGGAGCTGGGGAAAGCCCTTGTGGAGTTGGCGGTTGATGGGTCTAGAGACGCGTTTGATATCAAGGAGGCGGGCGTTAGTGGGGAGGGTTGGATTCTGGGAAATGTGGTGCTGAGGAGGTTGGCTGGTTTGTGAGGCTAATCTATGGGCTCATCAACGGCAATGGCAATGGCAATGGCAATGGCAGTGATAGCGTTAATGTAGAATTGTGCCATCATATTGAGGACGAGTTTGCATCTATCCTGTATGAGACTGGTCTGTTCGCCCCTGGCTCAGGCTCCCCGGTGCTTTCGTACCCCTTCTCCTTCCTCCTCGTACGACCTTCTTTCTTTCTGGCTTTTTAGTTCGTGGGGAGATATGCTCTCACTCAGTCTTCGTTTGTTGATAAACTCCCATACCAATTAAATAAATCGTCAACATCATGCAATGCTCATGCTCGACCGTACCCCTGTGGTGGCGCTGTGACAAAAAAGAAAAGGCAAGACAAACAACGTCGTCCTGTGATCTGTAGCAACGCCAAAAATATTTTCAAGACATGCCGAACCCAAACAGCAATGCCGCGAACGTGACGCCTATCGAGGCCCAAACGTTCGAAATCGTCCCTATACTCTCTCCACCAGCACTGGACGCCGTTGCAGTGGGCGCCGAGGCGGTCAAGCTGGGCACACCGCCGGTGGCACCCCTGGTAGCAGCCAGTTCATTGAATCCATCGTCACCACCAGGCCGTTGAGGGAAGACATTCTCCTTGAACCAGTAGTTGTTCTGACCTACGAGATTCCCGGGAGGCCAGTATTCACAGACGAGATAGACGCCGTCAAGGCCGTTCTTGCCATCGCAGTCCGTCCAGCCGCAACCCGTGGACTGGGTGCTGAGCCAGACCAGTTGCGTGAAGTGGCCGGTCGGCTCGGTGAAGCCCGTCGGGTTGCTGGTCGAGAAGTTGTAGTCCTTGCGCTCGTCGCCCCATGCTTCCACCGCGGCGGTCACGTTCGTGTAACCCCGCGCCAGGTTCTCGCCGTATGCGCCGTGTGAATGCTGCCATTCGCATTTCGACGAGTAATCTTGCGCGTAGGCGGCTAGGGTTGTGTTCCAGTATAGGAATCCAGCGGAGTGTTCGTAGCGATAGAAGTTGGTTGAGTTGAGGATGGATGTGCGGAAATCTAGATCGTCTGTGTACTGGGGTGATAGAGGGACGGTGGGGGCCGGCGCCGTGTAGTAGTGTGTTATCGTCGTCGCGACGATCTCGGTTTGCGTCACTTGGGCTTGGGCTCGGGCTTGTGCGTGGAGGCTGTGCCGCTGGACTGTAAGTGCTGTGAGCGCGGCAAGAAGAAGGCGCATCGTTGGAGGGAGGATGGGCGGCTGTGCGCCAATTGCGTAGTGATGGGTATGATTGCTCTTTTGATCTATATTTTTATGTGTGGAAGGCTCTCATATATGCATTGCTGATGGTGATAATGATAGTGATGTCCAAATGGCCAGGTCGTGATCAGCGAGCGGGCGGTATTTGGCGGGTTGGGGTTGTTGTTGGTCCAAGTGCGCAATCAAAGCAGACTTGAGGAAACCCCGGAAATCAAGGTAGCGAACGGTGTGGAAGAAACGAAAACGATAGAGTCCTAAGGACGAGAGACGTGATCGAGGCGGCCTGCAGGAGCTCAGAATGTATATTGATGTACTGGAGAATGGTTGGCAAGGCAGATATAGATCGAGTGCCCGAAGTGGCCCGGCGGCGGCAGCAAGGCACGCCTGTCAACACTCACATAGAGTACCTTACCTGACATTCTCCGTACCTCGGACCATGCTTGGGGAGGGTCCGAAGAATCGATAGAAGGCGCCAAATGGTCGTCAACGTCCACGGGCCCTTCAGCCCCAGACCGCCGGTCCCTGTTCCCTGTTCGCCTGCAACGTCATGGGGGTCACCCGTTAAATTCTCCCTGCCAACCGATTTGCTGCCTCTGCCCCAGCAGTCAAACCCTCAGCCTGAACGAGGCCTTAGGTGGCAGCTAATGAGTTAGTCGTCAGCCACCGAATCAATCGACTTCCTCGTACTCGTAGTAAGTTCACTAGGGACCCCAGACGGCTTCAAAGCTCCCCACACTGTGCCGAGGGGGGCGGGTAGAGCAGTATTAATAGATTCGTTTCATCCTCAAGTGCCGTGCGAGTCCGACAGACTCCCTTACATCTCTGCTCCCACCAGAAGATAAGGAAACAAGATCGATCTATGGCCCAGTACCGGCATCTTCTGAAGACTGAAGCTATGAAGAAAAGAAAGTATCAAGATGGCATCCCTCGACGCTACCAGGATCTGCCCTGATCGCCACGCGGGTTCCTGCATGTCCATCAAACACACGCTTCTTTGTTCTGCTGTAAGTACCTTCACATCGCGAGGGAACAAATAAGGAGACCAAGACGATGGAAATCAAGGTGAAAGAATTCACTTCAACTCCCATTCACCCAAAATGGAATGATCCGACACGCAGGCGAGAGAGAGCAACGAAGCGACAACGTCACGAACGCTTCTTCTATCCTTCTATTCAGCCTCACCTTCCTGTCTCTAGCATTGGCCTTTGTTCTCTTGCTACTAGTAGCCCTGGACTACTTTCGCGGAAACATAACATCTCCCACACTATTGCTTTCCTCGTCTTTCTCTGCCTCGTGCTGTACGACTCCTTCATTCCTTTCGCTTCGTCTCTCGGTTGCATTGACCAATATGCGTGCCGACTACGCATGGGAGGTCGCCGAGCGCGGTAAGTCTTTGAGCTCTGCTCCTCGCGGTCCTTCTCTCCCTTGTCGATACTGAGATCAATCAATCTACAGAGGAGCTCAAAGCGAAGGCTACTTACGACGTCCTCTCTTCCAAACACGAACAGGGTCTCCCGGATGACTACACCAATCCTGAGGCCGACAGCATTTCCGTCCCCGCCATCCTCTCCATCTATCCCACCCGATCTGCTTGGGTTCGCGACAACCAGTCCGCACTACAAGCCTCCTCCCGTCACCGCAAAGGGCTCGTCGTTCAAATCATGTACCTCAACGCCCTCCGAAATACCAAAGCCCCGCTCCTCCTCGACCGCTCAGACCGCATCAACAACGCCGAATGCGAGACCGCCCTCGTCAAAAACCTCAGAAACTGGCTCGACTTCTGCGCCCGCGTCCCGCACCTCAGCGCCCAAGCCTGGAAACGCGCCACCTGGTGTGAACTCCTCGAGACAGAATACCGCAAGATGGAGCCCGAGTGGATCAAGTTCTGGGACTACCAAGAGTCAGCCCACAAGCAACTATGGTCTGGTGGGAACGAGTACCGAGACAAGAAACACGCCTTCTGCACCCTCCTCAAACAGCACTGCACCAAGAAGCTCTTCCTGCAACGCAAGATCTTGGAGTCGACAGACGTCCTGCCTGAACTCTACGCCCCGGAGATTCCATGGTTGGACATGGACGTGAGACTGCTGAGATACAACACCCGCGACGGCATGCCTCTCTTGAAACCCATTTTCTTCACGGCAGGAAACAAGCATTTCATGGACAGCGGCATGACCGTGGGCGAGGTTGAGGCGGAGATCGTGGAGCTGAGCATGGAGTTGGAGAGCGACGATGGCGACGATGGCGACGATACTAATAATACTACCCGCATTGTCGAAGTAATTGACGACTCCGACGAAGCGCAATAAAGGCGCAGAAGCGAAGGCCCAATAATGGTGGCGACACGGGGCGGAGCCGCAGCAGGAGAGTCCGAACTCAAGACGTTTGTACGGATGCACGTCGATGGTCGATGGTCGATGGTGTACGTGTGTGCATGCATGCAAATGAATCACGAATTGAGTACTTTCCTCTATGGAAAAACCCTCTATCGAGATGTGCCAGCTGTAGGTACCCGTGAGGTACATACATCCCTCCACCCCCGGGGGCCTCGAATACCGCCCATTAACTATAAACTAACAAGCCGACGTGACCCTTGCACATGCTACTATTTTCCGCTATAAGTTTAGAAGTATTCATAAGCCGGGTGCACGCTGCGACTAGATCGTTAGAAGCCCCGAAAATGTCCGGGGCTGCCCGCGGGCACAAGACAAGAAACCACTAGGCGAGCACCTGGCACACAACGATCGTTGAAATCATGGCTTGTCGTTATTATCTAGAGGCTCGTGTCTGTTTCATTTCACCGTATTTCACCGTATTTCACATGATACAGCAGCCCTCGCCCTTCACCCTGCCCTCGACCCGTCCCTTGACGAGCAACCAATCGCTCCTGCGCTCGGCGAACTCAACAACCTCCTCGACGGTGAACACGCCACGGTATCTCTCGCTATCGCTGATGATGGTCGCCATCTCGTTGACGTCACGCTCGCTGTCGCCGCCGATCAGGTAGATCTGTGCCACCTCGCGGAGCGCCACGAAGTAGGACGTCAGGTCGTTGTTCTTGAATCCCGACACGAAGCTGGCGTATGCTGACAGGTCCGAGAGCAGTGGGAGGGCCCCGGACGTGGAAATCCGCTGGCGCTTGATGTGTTTGGTCAGAGCCCCGAAGAGGCGCAGCCCGACTTCCGTTGTGAATACGTCCAGGAGGGTCTTCTCCGTCGCGCCGGTGAGCATGCTCGTGTGGTGGGACACGAGCGCAATGACTTGTGAGGCCGTGGCGGTGGGCTTGCCGGAGAAATCCATCACCACGGGGGTGGACCTTGATCCGCTGGCGTTCGTGGTGCTGAGTTCGGGGTAGAAGTCGGTTGGTTGTTGAGTGACAGCGCAGACATACTCGACCTCGTCTATCAGCACGTCGATACCTTTGCTCAGGCCTGCAGCAACTCGCTCGTCAAGCATCGCCTCAAATTTCTTCTTCTCCTTGACATTGACGTCGAGGAAATCATCGCGGTTGGAGATCCGCAGACGCACCAACTCGGACTCGTAAAAGACGTCCAGCATCTGCTGAATGAGGTCGCCAACATTGACCAGCTCCAAAAATGTGACAAGCGCTGCAACTTGTACTCGTGATACAGTGGAGTCAGCATTATCAGCGCTCCCCGCGCGGGGGTTATATTGAGAAAGATGCTCGATTGCTTTATCGAAGCCCGCCTTGACATGACGGTCACCAACCGCATGCAAGAGAAGAACGAAGATGGCTGAACACTGCCTCTGAGCTGAATCCCCTGCTTCGCCACCCAAGCTGATGAACTGAGCGCATCTTTCGAGGGATGACTTGGCGGCGTGGACCAAGTTCAGTGCAACTTCAATCGAAAAGAGCGAACGGATGTTCTCGAGCTTAGTTGTCATAATAGCTGCTTTTGCAGCCAGTTCATTTGTCGGTGCCTCATGCGGGAAGGTTGAATTTGCCCCTCCCGGGCCGAATGGATTCGGCGTCGACGCCCGGGATGAAGGAGCATCTCCATTGGCAAGGGCTTTGGCTTGGGTCTTGTTGTTTGATTGCCCAGAAAAGCTAGGCAGGATACTGACGGGCATCATGACCACTTTCTTGAAAGACGACATGAAATCCTTCTTGTCCGCCTGCCGATTGACGTTCGACATCAGGAAATTTTCCGTTGATGCTGCCTGTTCTGACAATGCTCGATCCCATTTATCGACTTCCAACTCTGCCTTCGACCGGAAGAATGACAATTCTTCCGCCAGGTATATGTCCAGATGAGGCTCAAAGATATCCCGGAGGACATCATTGGACCTGAGAAGCATCTCATCTTCTGCGTCTCCGGGAGCCGCAGATTCTTCGATAAATTGCTTTGTTGCAGCAAGAGTTCCAGAGATGGTTCGAAGATACATCGAGGCCCCTCGATTGCGGGCGTCTTCGAATAGATCAGCCAAGAAAGGCGACAGAATGTCCTTAGCCACTACTTCAATCATTTGTATCGTTACTCCTTTTGGTTCTGGGAACACAGCTTGGATAATGGCAACCTCCTGTCTGAATGCCGTACCAAGCCTTTCAAAATACCCCTGTACTCGTTCAAGCGAGAGCTGCCCATAGCCCAGGGAATAATCAACACAATCTAAAGCCTTGCCCAAATTCACCTTTTGAGCCACCAAGTTATTGTCATGTAAGAAAAGCTCCACACTGCTTTTCCCTCCATTAAGAATATGCATCACTTTGGCGTATTGACGCATGCGCCCTTGGATGTCTTTGTATTCATAACCTTTGCGAAATTCAAGTAGAGCGGCTGCGTCGAACATGTCAGCGGTTGTCTTGATCCGAGTTTCTCTGCTTGCTGACGCAGGCGAAAAGTCGCTCTGGGAGAAAGTCCTTAGGTTTGCTAGTAGTTGTGCCTGTTGCTCAGGTGCCGCAAAGTCTCTGAAGATGCGTGACTCCATTGGATTGGATACAGAGACTAGATTGGTGTAGTAAGGACCCAGCAGCTTATATATCTTTCCATATTCCCGTCTGGCCTGACCACGGACTGACTTGACATTCCTGAAGATTGACAAAACTGCGTCAGTGTCAATTGGTAGTGTCGGGGAAGATATAGATTTGGAACTGGCGAGCTCAGCGACGTCAAATCCATCTACGGCAGGTTGTTGAGGTCGGATGGGAGACATTAAAGTCGTCTGACGTCGTTGTGCAATGGTGGGGGAAGCAATGTCGAAAAGAACTTCAGGCCGCCCTTTACCATTGACGAGATTCCGATCGATTATACTCTGCCTGCGACCAGGAGTAGTGGGCTGTTTTGTTGAATCTGCTATTTTGCGCGCCTCCGCATCATTCCAACAGCCCATCATTCTCAACCTCTGGACCCATTTTGCATCATCATAGACCATCTCTTGCATACGGCGTGAGACTCGGGCGAAATGGAGTAGATCTGGAACATCGAGATAGTCCACTATCTTGGCCAGGATCTCTGGAAGTCTTTCAGTCTGCAGGTCAAAAAGTTCGTGTTCAGATGGGAAATACCTAAGGGAAGGGCTGGTTTTGATATGAGCATGTCGGCCATCTTTAAAGAGGCCAATGGATCCCTTCGTGGGACCTTATTCAAGGTCCCAGGCTTCTTGGGTTTCGACATGGCAGGGGCCGAGGGAGTGTCGTGTGAGCAGTGAAGGTTAGGATTCGATGACGGACATTCCGTGGGCGGGCCTGACTCAGGAGGGCCCTTGGGCTTCCCGAGTGTAGCAGGATGCTGGGTTCTAGCTTTCGAGGGCGGCTTCCGAATGAGTTCAACCTTTATATACGAGGTATGTGGATTGGTTCTCGGTACAGAGGACTTGAGCCACGTTAGTAGTACCAAGCACGAAGCGCATCGTCAACAGGACCCGCCAAGCGATAGACTCGCTCGAGGGATTTGGGATGCTGCCGCGGGCCACACTGCACCGAGTACGGTGTACCTATTAATTATTAGGTACTCGCCCCTAACTAGCTCTAAGGTCACATGCCACCGGGCTTGGCGTTCAACAGCGACTCAAACACCCATGGATTTTGAAGTTCAACGGATATTATAGCGAGACACGATTCCAGTCGTCGTGTTACTGCTAAAGACTAGCGAGATGCTGACATTTTTACTTTTTGTCGGATAAACTTGAAATGGTGAAAATCCAACAGGATGCGACTAGTGTCAGGCCAGGACTTATGGGACGCTTTTATGGCCTACTTCAGGACACGAATGCATTTGATCTGACCAGGATTTCATGCTGTCTGCCCAAAACCGGCATGGAATTGGTCTATCCCAAGACCAGATGACTTTTAACGTCCTCTTAAGGCGAGACTTGTGCTATGGATTTTTGTGCTGCTCTGTGGTCATGGCTTACATGACTTGCTCCGTATCACTTTGTCCATGGCCTCCGAAACATCCAGGATCCCGCAGGTCATTGCTACCAGAGGAATGGTAAACGGCAGCAATAATATTGCCTACGGAAGGACATTGAGGTGCGAACAGAGGAAGGCCAGAACAAGTAGCGACGGGAGGTCGAGGAATCATGAAATGTCCTGAGACTTGCAGAGGGAAAGGGTAAAAATGGACACTCGCGCGAACCACTGTGTGCGAGAGTATGTATAAACACCAAACTCCAGAGGGCTGACAAACACCCTGATAGTCAGCTGGATAATAGTGATTTTGGCCTCGATACATCAACTGGGTACCTAATTAGGACCATTGTGCTAGGCTTGGATCAATATTTTCTAGTGCTTTGTGTAACCAATAGTTCTGTCCACCAATTGGCTACGTGTGAGGAGAAAAATCGTACTGTGCTTCAGTCTTCCAGGCATCCAGTCATCGCACCTTTGCATCCAAGAAAGATATTCTCATACGCCACCAATACCCTAATCGTAATACAACTCCTCTCGCCATTGAGATCCACATGCGGGTGCACACCCTCCCTAGAATCCGGCGCCATCATCATCGCCACCATACTCTTGGCCGTCGTCTTCATCATCGCTGCCAGCGCCCTTCCTCTTCTTCGAATTGCCGTCCCTGCCGTCCTTCCTAATAGGAATTTTGATGCCTTGCGCAGCAAAGCATCTACTCAATGCAGTTGATTCGATCACTCCAGGGAATTTCTTTGCGCTCCACACCTTGAAGGGCTTGCTGAAGACTGATGCTAGGCATGGGGCTTCGACCAGGAGATCTGGGGTTTGACCTTGGCCTTTGTTCTCGACGTCGGTCAAGTTGATCGCCGACAGATTGTAGAGATTCATCTTCAGTCGGAATGTACCCTCTGTTCGGACACTCAGATCTTGTAGCACGAACCACAGACCCCAATTTTTTGATTTTACTGGGACCTCCAACCTGAACGCACTAGATGAGGCACTTCCAATTAGGTTTTTCGCAATATGTTGTCCGGTCATGTCTGAATTTCTTTGCGTAAGGTCCTGGCTAGATCGAGTGGACCGTATTGCACCTGATGTTTGGATTTGAGAGGGACCGTTAGTGCGCGAGCCATACTGTTCACCCAAACCATTAGAATATGGTGCACTAAAGCGGTCTGTCGAGCGATCCATGGAGAACGAGGGGGGCCGATTGCTAAAGCTCGGGCCAGCATAGGAGTGCTGTTCCTCGTTAGGGAAGTAGGAGCTAGTAGAACCTGGTGTAATAGGGTTGGGTGAGATGAGGCCCGGCGAGGAATAAGGGACACTGTGTCCAGTGTAGATTTGGGGTGCCTGAGTCTGTGTCATTGGTGCGACGACCTGTGGGTAGGCACTGAGGCTGGTGGTTCCTATCGATGGTGACGCATTATTGTGTCGGACGCAGTTGTCCTCGCGATCTCCGTGTTGGCTCCACAAATCTACGTTCAAAACCAGGCGTGAGAGCTCTGTTACCTTCCTTGACGGTGTCAGCGACCGAGTGGTAGGTAATAATGGACATCTCACTCACGAATAATCGATCTCCTTCCCGGTCTCAGGATCAAAAATAATTAACCTAACGCAAGGGGGCGGCGAAATTGGACGGCGATCCTAGAAATCGTCAGCAGAAATGCAACGGTTTGTTCATGAAGAAGATATTGCTTACCTTGTCACCAAATCCGCACATTCGGGCTCGAACGGGTTGTTGAACAACTTCGAGAGCCCAAACTTTGCCTTCCCAAATCCGATGGACAGCTGGGGGGTCCGGGAGGTTTGGATTTGATTCTTCCATCACGTCACTGACCTGACTGACCTGGGTAGGGCTAGGTGGAGGAATGCTGGCTGTCATGTTGTGTGCAGGATAATTGTTAATTACTTGGCTCGACATGTGAGGTGGCATGGGCGGTGGAATACCGTTAAGAGGAGGTGGTCGGAGAGGATCAAACTGTTGCGGTCGATCTGGTGGTTGTCTGTACATCTTTATACCAATCTAAGGAGGGATCAAGTCACTGACTTGGGGCTCGATTTGCTTTTCGAGAAACAGGGCTCAGGTGGAGAGGCTCTTCAAACTTCCTTGGTTACGTAAGGGTGCTTCCCACAAAGTACTTCAATTGTCTCCTGACCGAGGAGGGGGTCATCAGTGAAGCTTGATTAAACCTTGAGAGAGAGTGGTAGAGCCGACTCAGCCACACACCCAATGGCGTTTCAAGGCAAGCAGCCCGAATTCCAGACCTCTGATGAGATGTGAAGGTCACTTAAACCTCGAGCATGAACAAACAAACAACAAGAACACCAACAATCTCTGACGTTGCACAAATTGATCAGTCCAATTGTTGCTTTGCTTTCTGCCCCGGGGAGAGTTAAAGGAAGTCGGTCTTTTGGACAGTGGTTAAGAGGGTGGCGATCCAAAATACTGCAGCCCACGATCGTGTAGCGAAGCAGACTTTAGAGATAGAACAAGGCGTGTACCTCGTAAAAGCTGTTCGTCGAATATGGTTGTGGTCCAAAGGGTATTTTGATTTTATGCGGGTTGGCAGGTGAGGGTCAAAGTCCAGTAAACCACCGGGTGGGCGTGATGAACAAGATGAGCAATCGAAACTGACTTGGAAGATGATGAGAACGGGAAATCGTGGCGAAGACTGGACGGGCAAGGTTTTTTGGAGCAACGCTACAAGGCTGGGGAGGAAGGAGTCGCTCCAGAGGAGGCTTGAACCTGGGCGCGTCAAACCACGGATAATTGTTGAAAGAGCCTGAATTTTGGTGGGTCTGTCAATCGCATGGTGCCAGGGTCCTTTTTGATGGAAGTAGGACAGGTCGGAGGATTACTTGAGCAAGACGGTAAATCTTGGGATTTTGACAGCTGGGCAGAATTTTGTTTCTTCAACGGTTGAGTTGAAGGGACGAGGATGAAACGCGGAAACGGTTTGTTGCAAGTCGCAATCCAGGTCAAGGTTCGAGGGCAAGGGCCAGTGGTTGTGGAGGTGGACCAGACGAAGCGAGGCCTTTTGACAGATCAGCGTGTTGGCAATTCGACTAGAGCGGGGATGGTGAATGATGCAGTAGTGGATGGATGGGATGGCCACTGAGTTACGCTTTGTTATCGATGGAGCCTGTCTAGAACGATATTTTTGGTTGTGCTATGTAGTGGGTAGACAGTAGACGGTAGACGGTAGAGCGAAGGGTGTCAAACACTCGCAAGCGACGGAGTGGCGGCAGACCGAAATGAACAGGATGAGCAGTCGCATCCCAAACCATGCAAATGGAAGGTGTCATGCAGATGATGGCCTGGCATGCACAACCGTACTGCAGGATGCAGCACAAACCCTGGAGGAGAATAGTGTCGAAAAGACCCCTGCGGCCCAGGCTTCCGGATCGCTGGAGCAAAGAAAGCGTGGGATGCGAGGCAGGGAACAATTGAATGCAGTACGAGGTACGGAGTACGGGGTGCAGAGAGGAGAGGGGAGAGAGGAGAGAGGAGGAAGGAGAGGAGAGAAACAACAGTCAAGCCAGCCGCGTTCGACAGGTATAAAACCGCTCAGCCGAGTGGTTTGGATAGGACTACCGCGTACGAGATATGGACGGAGTACTGGCGACTAAGTCGGTGTTGGTTGATGGCGGATATGCACTTTGGGAACAGACTATGTAGTGACTATGAGGCGCAGGTGGGCAAACCATAGCATCTCTCGGCTCTGGGGAAGTTCAATAGGCCACTAACAAAATATAAAGGATGGTAGCCAAAAGCATGAACTGAGAGCTACTGTAGGGAGCACGGCGTGCAGCGTACACGCTACTAAACTATGGGACCCAAGAGGTGCCTCGGACGTGCCCAAGATGGCACACATTGCCGTGCTATTAATTACGAGTAACTTTCCAGAAACCAAAAGACCCGCCCGTCAGTGCTCCGTACCAGGCACACCAACAACCTCCACCCTTCAACCAACACACCATCAAGCACGAAATCCCACTAGGTGTAGATCGGCAATAGTGCCCTTACAGGGCCCAAGCGTAAGGGCAGGGGCCTTCCCGGCAGCTCTTGGACGCTCACTCGGCCCAACCTCCCCCCCGGCTGGCGGCGAGTCGGTCGAGAAGTAGGCATACGAACGACTCTACAGTCACTATCTATCTAATAGTAGATCCCTGCCGTGGTCCTGTGGAAGACAGTTAGGGCCTCGGGCCTAGCTACTGCTACTAGGCTACCTCGTACTCCGGACTCCGTACTTAATCGCGCCGTATCGTCGACGAAAGTGGGACAAAGTGTGCTGTGCGAGGTTGGTGCTCAGTTGTAACACGTAGATATCTTGTTTACCAATTTGTGCCTAGAGGCACCTGAGTTTGGTAAGCTCTATAAGCTGTGGTAGCTCCCCTCTTTGTACTTATCTGCCCAGCAGTGGACATTCTACTTACATCTCAATGTTCTTAGGCCGTGTCTTTGCATTAGTGAGATTCTCGCTGATGCGAACCGGTACCAGTCAGCAAATGAATACGAGTCTAATACTGCGTCTCGCTCATCCCCAAACAGTGGGAGCCGCTCAGCCGTGCCTACGAGCACCTATGCAGCTATGCTACGCCAGACCCCCGGGATGCAAGCTACGACTACACACGTCCCAGCCTGTTTGTTGGCAGCTGGGGAGCCAGAGGAGGAAGCGGCTCGCATTCCGAAGGGGCAGGCACTGAACAGGCTGGCAATGGCATCTGTGCCTGACAAGAAAGTCGTAGGCGATCCCTTGCGGGCTTTGGTGCCTTGTGTCTTGGGTCGTCCAATCGATGAAAGCTAATTCTGCGACGACGGCGTCACGGGCAACTCCGCCCAAAGTATTCCCTTCGCAAACCTGTCACCTTGGTCCTGTCCTGCACTCGATGTCCATCATTGTTATCAGAGTCCGGTTGGTTTTTGGACTTTTGGGGGTGAGTCGCAGTCTCTGCTAGCTGTCATTAATTCTCTGTGTGTGCCTTTTCGAGACTTCAATGGTGACGGCGTACGCCCAAGGGTGGAGGTTGTGAAACGCACGCCTCTTCTGCGCTCAACGTACTATAGTACTGAACTCCTTCCTTTCCCGTCCTACTGCTATATATGGAGTACTCTTTGTGCAATCCTCGCCCGGGTGGTTGGTGCTGTCGCAGTTACTGCTTCCTCCACCGCCAAAAGACAGTTTCCATCTCAGCGGATCAACTCGCGGATCTTGTGAGTCATCCGGGAGCCTAATTCTTCGATCAGCCTGGAATCCTTGATGCATCCAACACTTTCCCCGCTTGGGCATGATCATCGTTGTTTGAAGCATGGTCCCGGTTGGGCTAAATTGATCGTCTATGACTGTTGAACTTTTGACTGGCCTGTTCTCCCAGTCATTCATCCACGAGCCATGCGTTTTGCCCTGACTTGGAAACCCTATTCGAGTCGAGGCACTCCACTGCTGCGAGGAACCCAGATCGTCCATTGCTAAATAGACTGCCGAGGACGTCGTCTAGACGGACCCGTTTACTCGTACCTCTTTGCCAACAACTTAGAGTGGGACAATACAGACATATGCAGATTAATCACGGAGAAAAATTGGCGGCTTAAGATATATCAAGCATCCAAGTTGTTGCGTGGGGACCCATATTAGACTTTGCTATGATGCACCGTACTCTCCCGTATACGAGGTACTCGGTACAGCAGATCACCAAGCTCGACAATCCAAGGACCAGCCCTTGATCCATGTTCCTTCCAGAAGATGTATGCAGATCCCTGTGGCTCCTCGGTGGTCTTCTGCCAGGTCCACGACAACCTTGAACCCAGCATTCGAATAGTTTTTTCTTCATCGATGCCGGCGTAGGTAGAATCAAACTATCGCCAGCGATCCTCACGCCACGTCAGTGATCTGTTCGTCTCATGGCTTCCTTTCCGACAGCAAGCTAGCTTTGAATTCGTCCCGCGTTGATGGTCACCCACCCAGTAAATATGACCTGTAACATCTTTACCCCGCCAGCACGGTTCCGGCATCGGGTGGCATTTCGGATCTCGAGACTATCACGACTCAAAGCTGTCAAACAACCTGGTCCCTCATGACGCTGACCGTCATTTATCAAGATCTGGACAGAGCGATCCGCGAATCCAAATGCTGCCCCTCTCGCAATAGCAGTCTGTCTGCGTTTCAGTTTGATGATTGTCTGGCTCCAATCCTCGCCCAGAGATTTGGCTTTGTGCCTTGTGAGATGCCGAGTAGATCGTCCTTGTTCTCGACCAAGGCCAGGGACACACCCTGGCAAAACGGCAACGGGCCACTTCACCTCTGCATGCTCCGCGAGCGACTATTATTGCTGCCCCTGCTAGCTACTCAGTATTATCCACCAGAGAGCGGGAACTGGTGACGGCCTCGCTTGCCGATCCAATGGCTATTCGTTACTCATTACGCAGTACGAGGCCCTCCGTACTCCAACATACTCGTACATATCGCCGAACAAGGAACGGCAATGTTGATTACCATAGGAAATTCTTCCGATTCGTGTGTTGGGTTTCCCTCAACACCGATGCCCGTGCTATAGAACACGGGACTGACAAATGCAAAAATCAAGGCTAACCTGCTCACTAATACCGTATCCTCGAAACCCTGATCGTAGAGAGAAATCGCCCGAGATGAAAACACCCAACCCCCGCGTGCCCATTACAAAAGAATATGGGTGAGTTTGCAAGGCTTCTAAGAAAGCGATGAACAACCAGGCACTCCCCAGTCACGGTTGGGTGGCTATTTTTCATTGTGCTTGCCGGTGACAGCATCCTTTGCTTTGTCCGCGAGCGCTCGAATACCGCCCCGCTCCTTTGAACCACTGCGACGGAAGGATTCCGATCGCACCTTTTCGTTGTTCATGCGCGCTTGTTGTTGCTCGATCTCCGAAGGGGTGTACTTGTTGGCTGCGCCCCCTAGAGGTTGAGGAAATGAAACAGGTCAGTTTCTCCTTACACCAGAGGGATTCAGTTGAACGGTTTTCAGGAGATCTTACCTCTGCCGGTATGGTGAGAGCCCTCTGGCAAGGTCAATCCGGGGATGTCCACATCCTGAGCTCGGCGGGCTTCTTCAGGACGCTCGGGGTCGTTTTTGGCCATGTTGCCTGTGCCGCCCCGTCCTGTGGTATACATCTTTGACTTTAAGGTGGGTGTTGTTTCGACATTGGGGCTTGGCACCTTCTCCTTCTTGGTTGTCACGTTGCCTGTTGTTTACGCATGAGACGTCAGAAGAATGTCGAGGACTCCTGCAGAAGAGACAGGTAGGAGGGGGGCCTGTAGGGGAAACTCACCAGCACCGCCTCGGCCGTACATGATTGGTTTTCCGCTCTCTGCCATGAGGGTTGGAAGGGGTGTTATTGGATATCGGATGTGGTAGCAGGTGATTGCGACGACCGGGAAGATGGTGCCGCCCAGGAGAAGACAGAAGAATCGCAGCCAACTGGGAGTGATTTGGACAGAGCAATGATTGTTGAGGAACTTCCTACTAGACCTCACGGTCCGGATGTGTTGACTTGGAGGAAGAAATGCGAGGGGGTATAGCAGGATGGGGATACGGGTTGCAGCAGCAAGAACGATTTATGGTTTTCACTGCACACGGGTCGGGACTTGGAGATTCTAAAGGGATGAGATGAAGTGAAAGTCAACGCACACACCTTCTCGCACGGACAGAGATACCAGTCCAGTTTTCACTTTTATCAGTTTTGACATTTCTGCGGCGTCTTGCATTGCATCATTGCGCCCCGCGCCCGCGCTGGCCAGGCAACTGGACAGAAAATGTTTGCACGGTCACACGTGCGGAGCGAAAAAAAAAGGATCACCCAAAAAGCTGGAGGTGGTAGCGTCCTTGTGAGCTGCTACTGAGGGCACTGAGCAAACTGAGACGTAAGAGAAAAGGCCTCATTTGATGGAAAACAGCTTAAGGCTCTTCCCAAGCCCGGCTTGGCATGCTTGGAAGACCCAAGCTGGATGGCCAGCCGGCCACCTCATTTCCTGGGGGTCTGGAGTTCGGCAGTCTCCAGCGAGGTCTTCATACGTCGCTCGTGAGCCCCAAGGCCAAAAGGCATCGATTGGCCTCGATCTAAGGAAAAGGCCGAGGCGACCCTAAGATAACTTGCTATCCTTTAAATGTTTCTCGGTAGGCTTGAATACTAGCCCAGCATACCCCAGACCCACGTGAACCCCTCAACTTTTTCCCACGCGGAAGGATGCGCATCAGGCAACGAGCAGGTTTTGCCAGGAATTGAGTGTCTCTCCTCTCATATGCATGATCTACAAACCAGAATAGCTCTCCTTCGCAGGTTGTTCCCTGGTGTTCTTAATAGGAGCGCGCAGGAGTGTCTCTTTGATGGTCATCATGGATTGATTTAACAGCAGGTGCAAGGATTCGGATACGATGGAATCGATGAAGGATTCAAGCCAGGTGACCTGGAAGATCACACGGAAATAGAACCCGCAGCGAAGTATCGCGCACTGCTAATACTGCCATTTATATACGGACGGCACAGAACTTCCCTTGTTGGGATCACTGCCCAAGCGGCACGAGTTTGTTAGCACGTCGGCAGGTGTTGAGTCACGTGTTCCAGTCCTTCCGCTCTGGTCAGTCCCGCCTCCAAGTGCAACAGTGCCCTCCGAGCAGTGGCAGTGAGACGGAGACAAAGTCCATGACGTAGTGCCAAGGCCAAAAGGCACTCTAGCACTTTCAAGGGGCGCTAGTGACCCTTAGTGGGGTGCTAGTTGGTGGTACGGAGTACTCTCTCCAGAGAACGGCGCACTAGTGGTCCATGTTCTGACTCTTCGCATGTGCAAATGGGCCATGGCTGTCACTTGAAAAAATATCTCCTCTACGCGAAGTTGAATGAGATACTAGATGAGACATGTGTGTGCTTCATTTGACTCGACCACATACCACCGTGTCGTACCGGCGATGTGGCAAGTCAATGTCAACTCTTGCCTCGACCATCTCAAATACCGTCCCTCCAAAACTCCCTTCCTTGTAACAAGCTCTTTGTTGAGATAGTGGGGTAAGCTTGGATGCATAATCAGCCACTGACGCGAGCCTCAACCCCGTACTCCGTACAGACATTCTTGGTCTCCAAAATGCCAGTGTGCAAGCTCAAGATGACAACAAGACATGGAGTATTTGATGGTCGGATTCAAGCCTTGAGAGATCCGTGGGTCTCACCGCTCACGCAGCAAGAAGCTCAATCCAGCTCACTGACTGGATCCGGGTCTTGAAAAGCGACACCTAGAATTACCTTGGAAATGCAAGAGCGGAATGCAGGAACATGTTTGGGCCCAATTTTTGACTTTCCCATCTCACCCGTCCCGCCCAACCTTGCCTTCGCCGTTGGTTCCTATCCCAGTAGCAAACAATCTCATTCTCATTCTGTCCCATCCGCACAACCCCTACTGCTCGTACCTTTTTTTTTTGGACTTCGCCGTCTTGTATCCATTGCTTTGTTCTGCATTAGCAGTCGCGTTGTTGATTATCCTCTTTCCTAGTTGTGTTTGTTTTGCGGTCGTCTACCTACCCATTCACTGCTATTCAGGAACCCTCCGCACTCAGACAATGCGATAGCAAACCTCCACGCAATCAAGCTCGAGTCCACCGCTATCAGCAGCCACCATGCCTCCCAAAACCCACCAGGGTACTCGTCAGGTCTATCTACTGCCCTTGACCGATCTGGGCGCGCCTGATGTCCCTAACGAGTACATTTACCTCCCTGCGCCGACAGATCCGGTGTACTACTTGAGGTTTGCCATCGAAGGAGCAAGCTCAATATGTCGTCAAGGAAGCTTATGGGTCAATATCCCTGAACCCGGCCAGAGATTTGATCGCAACCACTTCCGCGAATTCAAGCTTCGTACCGATTTCAATCGAACCCTCGAGGTCGACATCCCCATCACTTCTGCGGGCGCCTTTTCATTCTATACCACCTATACTCCGCTCCCAGAATTCTCTACCTCAAAGGTCGAGACTCCAGAACCGACCCGCACTCCTACCTATTACGTCGATATCGAGCCAAAACTGGTCCTTGGAGGCTCGAGCCTGCCATTGGACGCATTGGGGATTTTTTCAGTCGTGTCAAAGTTCATGGGAAAGTATCCTGGAGACTGGAATAAACACCTTAGAGGTATTAGTGGAAGAGGATACAACATGGTGCACTTTACACCCCTGCAACCCCGTGGCGAGTCAAATTCGCCATACAGTCTCTATGACCAACTCTCCTTCGACACAGAACTCTTCCCCGAGGGTGAAAATGGTGTAGCCAAGCTGATCAAATCCATGGAGGAAGAACATGGTCTTCTCGGTTTGACCGATGTTGTGTTCAATCATACCGCGAACAACAGCAAATGGTTAGAGGCACACCCAGAAGCTGGCTATAACGTGGAGACATCTCCGTGGTTAGAGTCTGCATTGGCCTTAGACGATGCTCTTCTTGAGTATAGCTGTCAGCTCAAGTCACTCGGTCTTCCGACGGATTTCCAGGATTCCAGTGATCTGGAAAAGGTCGTTGGAGGTATCAAAGAGCACGTCATCAATAAAATTCGCCTTTGGGAGTTTTTCGTGGTTGACATCGTATCCGATGTTCAAGCGGTGCTTGGTGCATGGGAAAAGGGTGATACCAAAATCCCATCGGGCTCATTCGATGACACCATTGGTGGTGGGTTAGATCGCATCAAGGAATGGTCGCTCTATGAAAAGGCAACTTTTTTGAAAGAGAAGGGCCTGCTCAATGGCTTGCGGATCGATGGTCGATATTCCAGGAAAGTCGACCCAGCAGTGGGTGCGGCCCTCCTGACCGTACTATACGGGAGATTTGAAGGTGGTAATACTTCGTCAGCGGAGGCTGGTATCAAGGATATCTTGAACGAGTTGAATTTACCTTTCTATCGTGAGTATGATGCAGATACATCTGCAATCTTGGATCAAGTCAAAGGACGACTACAGTATACTAGGCTTGATGCGAATGGCCCGAGACTAGGCCCGATCACGGAGAAAAATCCTTTGATCGAGACTTACTTCGCCCGGCTTCCACTTAATGAGACCACCAAAAAACACAATACACGGTCTCTAGCTCTCGCGGTGAACGGTTGGATTTGGGCCGCCGATGCCATGAAGGACAATGCAGGTCCGGATTGGAGACCTTATCTCAGAAGAGAGCTGATCCCATGGAGCGACTGTGTGAAATTGAGATATGGCAAGGGCCCAGAAGATAACCCATTCTTGTGGGAGCATATGACCAAATACGTGCAATTAATGGCCAAGTATTTCACTGCTTTCCGCATTGACAACTGTCACTCTACCCCTATTCATGTAGCTGAATATCTACTGGATGAGGCGAGAAAGGTTCAGCCGAACCTTGCGATTTTTGCAGAACTGTTCACCGGAAATGAAGCCACCGACTTCATCTTCGTCAAGCGCTTGGGTATCAGCGCGCTGATCCGTGAAGCCATGCAGGCTTGGAGCACTCAGGAATTGAGCAGAGTTGTGCATCGACAGTCAGGTCGACCGATTGGTAGTTTTGAGATCAACGTCCCTTCCCGAACCGGAACGAAGCAAACCAACAACCTTGTCAACGGTAATGGTTATTCTCCCCCTACCAAGGAGATCGTCAAGCACATTCGAGAGTCTCCCGTCCACGCCTTGTTCATGGATTGTACACATGACAATGAAATGCCGGCGCAAAAGAGAGATGCTCGAGACACTTTACCTACCGCCGCCCTGGTCAACATGTGCGCTTGTGCTACCGGAAGTGTGATGGGCTTCGATGAAATATACCCCAAAATTGTCGAGATTGTTCACGAAAATCGACAATATACCTCTACCAGCTCCGAGGGTGAGGTTCACACGGGTGCAGGTGAAGGAGGTATTGCTGGAGTCAAGAAGCTGCTCAACCATATCCACACCATGATGGGCAGGGATGGGTATGATGAAACCTTCCTCCACCACGAAGGCGAGATGATCACTTTACATCGTGTCCATCCAGATTCTCGAAAGGGATATTTCTTGATCGCGCACACCGCATTCCCTGGGAGTGGAAACGGAAATGGCGGCTTAAGCCCTGTTCATCTTGCTGGAACCAAGGCCAAAATCGTGGGCTCTTGGGTGTTGGAAGTGGACCAAAGTGACAAAGCAAAGAAGGAAGCATTGGATGATAAGGAATATCTCGTCGGACTACCAGCTCGCGTCAGGAATATCAAGGGAGCGACCATTGAAAGTGAAAATGGCGATACCACAATCAGAGTTGCCGACTTTTTTCCTCCTGGTTCAATTGCATTGTTCGAGACGTGGGTGCCATCCGCGGAACATTCACAGGGGCTGGGAAATTTTATCGCGAGCGGTTGTGAAGAAGGGTTCGGCGAACTGGATCTTATCGATCTCAATTTTTTGCTCTATCGATGCGACGCCGAAGAGCGGGACTCGAGTGCGGGCCAAGATGGCGTGTACAACATTCCTGGTCACGGACCATTGGTCTACGCAGGTCTTCAAGGCTGGTGGAGCGCCATTGAACCGATTGTTCGAACCAACAACCTGGGACACCCGCTCTGCAGGCATCTTCGTGAGGGACAGTGGGCATTGGATTTCCTGGTTGGTCGGATCGAACGGATCTCCAAACAGGAAGGGTATTCCCGTCTGTATAAGCCAGCGCAATGGCTCCAGGAACGATTTGCTGCCGTTCGGAATATACCAAGCTTCCTGCTGCCACGCTACTTTGCCTTGATTGTTCAAGTGGCCTATAATGCAGCTGTCAAGCGAGCCATTGAGCTCATGAGTCCAAGCATCCAAAATAGCCAGGAATTTGTCCAAAGCTTGGCTCTTGTCAGCATTCAGCAGACTGGTTACGTGAAGTCGGCATCACTATGGCCGACCAAGAGTGTGCCGTCTCTTGCTGCCGGTCTGCCTCATTTTTCGGTCGAATGGGCCCGCTGCTGGGGCCGTGATGTCTTCATCTCGCTGAGAGGCCTATTCCTGTGCACAGGCCGCTACGAAGAAGCCAAGGAACACATCAAGGCATTTGGCAGTGTCTTGAAACATGGACTGATTCCCAACTTGCTTAGTAGTGGTGCAGCCCCGAGATACAATTCCCGAGACTCCCCATGGTTTTTCCTCCAGAACATTCAAGACTACGCCCAAATTGTGCCAGATGGGATATCGGTCTTGAAAGAGAAGGTACCCCGTCGATTCCTGCCATATGATGATACTTGGTTCCCGCATGATGATCCACGAGCGTATTCCAAGGAGTCTACGGTCGAGGATATCATCCAAGAGATCCTCCAGCGACACGCGTCTGGGCTGTCTTTCCGGGAACACAATGCGGGGCCTAATCTTGACATGCAAATGAGACCGGAAGGATTTCAAATTGACGTCAAGGTCGATTGGAAGACAGGCATCATCTTTGGGGGCAGCCAGTCCAACTGCGGAACATGGATGGACAAGATGGGGGAGAGTGAACGAGCTGGAAGTAAGGGTGTGCCTGGTACACCTCGAGATGGAGCAGCAGTTGAGATCACTGGTCTCTCCTACAGTGCTTTGAAATGGGTAGCAGAACTCAACAAGGCGGGCAAATACCAGTATTCTGGCGTCGAGACAGATCAGGGTGAAAAGATCACGTTTAATGAATGGGTCGAGTGTATCAAGGCGAATTTCGAAAAGGTATACTGGGTACCTGTCGATCCCAAGGATGATATTGGTGATGACGTGGATCCCAAAATCATCAACCGGCGTGGCATCTACAAAGACCTGTACAAGTCTGGAAAGGAGTATGAAGACTACCAATTGCGATGCAACTTCCCCATTGCGATGACAGTTGCGCCAGACTTGTTTAGCCCCGATAAAGCATTGGTTGCTTTGAAAGCAGCAGATGATTTCCTCCGTGGACCAACAGGAATGGCAACTCTGGATCCATCGGATTTGAACTATCGACCCTACTACAACAACTCGGAAGATTCGACCGACTTCGCGACCTCGAAGGGCAGAAACTATCATCAAGGGCCAGAATGGCTGTGGCCGACCGGCTTCTTCTTGAGGGCATTGCTGAAATTCGACTTGATGAGACAGACGTCAGCAGCAGGCAGGTTGGAGTCGTTCCAGCAAGTGACTCGGCGTCTCGCAGGATGCAAGCAAGCCATCAAGGACAGCCCGTGGAAAGGACTGACGGAACTGACGAACAAGGATGGGTCGTACTGTGCTGATTCGGTAAGTTCTGTTCGCGTCGTGTGTGTGGTCACAAATACTAATTATTGGTGATATTTAGTCGCCCACGCAGGCGTGGTCTGCTGGGTGCCTTATCGACCTGTTCCATGATGCATCATCTCTGACGACGGAAATGAACGACTTATGAGGCATGAGGCATGAGACCATGAAGGCTGCCGAAGTCCGAAGAGGGTACCCTGGGGTAATAGTAAGAAGGGCCTATGAAGATGACTTTTTCATGCTTAGTGTGCGCAGACCACCAGTAGAAGAAGTGGGATTGGATGAGGTGAAAGGACAAAGACAGGATTGGCATTATTATCACTAGTGGTAGAAATATATACCTATGCATCATTATACAGGCAGAGATGGTTGAAAACACTACCAGCACCAGTATCGACGTCGTGCGAGCTGAGCTGGTGGACAGGATGATATAGATTTTGTCGAAGACTCCTCCCTATCCAACCGGCCAATCGGCGGCTCTGTAAATGATGCCGTCATGCAGGAACCAAAGTACGGGTTTGCACCATGATTCTCCGGTTTCGTTGCTCCGTTCTGGACCTTCAAGTATTAATTATGTACAGTGGGCTTGGAGCAGGGCGAAGGGGGTGGCCCGCTCGCGCCTTTGGACGGTTGAGTCACCGCCCAGGATCCATCCAGCGAGGGTCCCAGTCCAGTATTGATTGACAGATTCTGCTTTTTTTCCCATTCTCACCTCAAATGCTCATCCAACCTACAGTATTCTCTAGCTAACATTCCCTTTCACCTGGGCCCTCAAATCAGATCATCCCTTCGTTAGTCTGCGACTGTAGCCCATTCGTTTCTGTCTGCCGTCTGCCCTACATGGCCGTAAGTCCCTCGTCTTCCGAACCCACACACAGATTATATTTTTTATTTTCCCCGCAGTCGTTGGGCCCATTTGGACGCCATTCCATGCATCACACCGACTGACTCGTGCAAAACAACAGACCTACTACATCAACAATTCCAATGTCGGCAACAAAGAGAGCTCGGAGGATTGGCGAAGTACGTGTTTCTGATTTCTTCCTGCCTGCCCTCGAATACTCCGTTGTCCTTCAGAAACTGCTTCGTCTCTCGCTCCCTGGAGGCTAACTGGAGGGGTCTGATTCCCTGGCTTCGTGCACAGTCCGTGGCTATAATCCACTCACACCGCCCGATCTCCTACAACATGAAATCCCTCAGACCGCTGCCTCCAAGCAGACAGTGCTACAAGGACGTGATGACTGCGTCGCCGTCGTCCAAGGCACCGACTCCAACCGACGGCTTTTGGTGATCATAGGCCCTTGCAGCATCCACGACCCAGTGTCAGCACTGGACTACTGCGACCGACTGCTTAAGATGAAGGAGAAGTACAAGGACGACCTGGTCATCGTGATGAGATCCTACCTGGAGAAGCCCCGGACCACCGTCGGGTGGAAAGGGCTGATCAACGACCCGGAGATCGACGGCAGCTTCCTCATCAACAAGGGTCTGCGGCTTAGTAGGCAGCTCTTCGTCGACCTCACCGCCAAGGGCATGCCGCTTGCCAGCGAGATGCTTGACACCATTTCCCCCCAGTTCCTCGCCGACCTCCTCTCCATTGGCGCCGTCGGCGCCCGGACCACCGAAAGCCAGTTGCATCGGGAGTTGGCGTCCGGGCTGTCTTTCCCCGTCGGCTTCAAGAACGGCACTGACGGCACCCTGGGCGTTGCCATCGATGCCATCGGCGCCGTCCGCCACCCGCACCATTTCCTGTCTGTCACGAAACCTGGTGTCGTCGCTATCGTGGGCACTGTTGGGAATGAGGACTGTTTCGTCATTCTTCGCGGCGGTACCACTGGGACCAACTACGACAGTGAGAGTATCAAGCAGGCCAAAGAGAAGCTGACTGCCAAGGGCCTGGCCGCGAAAGTCATGGTCGATTGCTCCCACGGAAACAGCGAGAAGAATCACAAAAACCAGCCCAAAGTCGCAAAGGTTATCGCCGACCAGATCGAGCAGGGCGAGGAAGGCATCATGGGCGTCATGATTGAAAGTCACATCAGCGAAGGTAAGTTTGGACCCACATCCCATCCTCGAGAAATGTACGCAATGGAACGATGCAAGAACGGAGCAGCGAAATTATGAGCGCCCCGATGCTAACAGTGGAACCACAGGAAACCAAAAAGTTCCCATAGAAGGCAAACCCGGCTTGAAGTACGGCGTCTCCATAACCGACGCCTGCATAGGCTGGGACGACACTGAGTCCGTCCTGGAGGTCCTCGCGTCGAGCGTGAGGAAGCGGAGAGAGAAACTCGGCCCTGTTGCTGCTGCGAATGACACGACGACGTCGAACGGCCATTCTTGATTCATCTTATTGAGTTAGACGGTTCGATTAGGCGGTTGGGCAGTTGCTTTGTCTTGAGGACGTCGACATGTTGCATATTATCGAAAATGGAGCTGAATACCCTCTGAGGGAGGGAGTGGGCGAGCTGACTTCGGCGCTCGTACTTTTGCTGGCTGGGCCTGCGGACGGAAAGGGAAAGAAAGCCAAAGGAAAAGGCGAGGACATACAGCGCGCATCGCTTTTTCACACGGTTTGAAAGCACATCGGGGAGTAAACACGAGAAATACCAACCTTGACCAGCGGCTTGCAGACTGGGATAATCTTGGACACCACGCTACGTACAAACCCACCATCACAAACAGACCACCACATGCGGCTTTTCAAAACCACGAGCAGGGACATTGAAAAGAAGCGACGCCATGAATAAATGATAGAGATCTGACTTCAAGTCTCTTGGGAGGCGTGAGGGAAAAGGCTTTTTGACGGATGCACGCATGCATTGTTCTTTCTTCCGAGCTGATTGATTGACTGTTTGACTCTCCTCTACATTACTACTGTTGCTTTTATATTTCCATTGCCCCGGATGTACTGAAAATGGCATGTGAGGGGAATAAACAAGATATTGACCTTTAATCGAACTGGAATTGGACTATACATATCTTGACTAGTGATCGTGCACTGACATAAGCTACAGTCATAGACGTAGCCCCCCAGGCGTCGAGTACTTAAATATAGAGAGAGAAGGGCCAGATGTCAAAAGAAAGATGCAAAGCGAGCGACCCAGAAGAAGGTCACCACTGTATATTTTTTGGGGTCCGAACATTCTATCTCATACAATTCAACGTCACTGAAAAAAAAAATTTGGGCTTGGGTTGGGTCCCAATTTCGCGGAGGTAAGAAACGATCCATGTCGCCCGTCCTCTTTCTCGACCTTGGACGAACCACACCTAGACAAAATGGAGAGAAAGGGGCTTGGACAAGGGAATATGGTTGGAAAGAAAAGGAAATCAATAGCGAGATCGAAAAACACCCAATTCTGTCTGTCCTCCATAGGCGACTGCGAAAGGTGTCTGGCTGTCACTGAGACGAGACGAGACGAGGCTCGGTTACGAAGCGACGGGATCGTAAGACTAGATTAGACTATACTATCGAGCTGGACTGTCTAGAGAGAGGGAGTGGAATGTCGCGCACGTCATCTATCGTGGAATTGACGCATTGTGCGGTCAAACAAATAAATAAAAGCCCCCTTCTCCCCCCCACCCCCCAAGGTCGAAACCGAACGAGTGTGCTTGTCCTGTCTCGATTCCTCGTCTCCGCGCCTGTGCTGTGCCGTGCACTCAAGCGAAGGAACGAGCGAACGAGTGCTCTCGGAGCAATGGCTCGCTCGGTGTGAATCGATATATGGCCGCGGAAGTGCGCAAGGAAGCCCTCAGAGCCTGTGCGTGCGTGCTTGGATGCGTCAATGCGCAAGCCAAGTGGGCGAGAAGACGCCGACCTCTTCCTGGCTCCAGACCTTAAGATATGCCCCGAAAGTAGGCGAGGGCGAAAAGTTGAAATGTAGTGAATGAATGAATGAATGAATGGGTGGAATGGGGTTGGTTCTGAAAATGAGCATCGGCTAACGATTCAGCTCAATCTGTTGGGACAAAACGCGGCAGCCTTGGGGTGCGTGGCATCCAGCGCAATAGCATCCCAGGTCGAGAGTCGTTGGACAATCTTCTGCCTGGACCTGTTTCTGAGTACTATGAAGTGAAAAAAACAGAGGGGGGGAGCGGTTGAAATAGCATCGCAAGCAAGACACAATGAGAAAATGGAAAGTCGTCAAAGCAGAGCCAGCCCGCTCGGGATGTCCACATGCCGCTGGTATATAGCTGCTCTCGAGGCAGGCGGAACGAAATACTGGCAAGACACCACCCTCAGCACCGCGACGGGGAACCTGGCAGTCCCTGAACCAACTCACGACCATTTGGGATTCTCTCCCTGAGTCCCTGGCTGCCCAGAAAGCTCATGATTAACCTTCTTCCTCCCCTTGTCACCACCACGAACAGACTCTCTGATCCCATCCCCGTCACCAGTCTCATCGCGCTTCTTGATCCCACCCATACTCTCCCACACGCCAAATTTGAAATCCATATTCCTGACGGTGGGATTGCCGAGGTACAGCCCCGCCATCTGGTCCCCGTGTCCCCCTTGGTCCTGCCACCAGTCCCATTGATTGTGGATGTCCATAGTTGTTGACTTTCCACGCCTGGTGAGGCCCGATGTCCTCTCTGGATCGGAGAGGTCGGACCCGTCGTCGGTTTGTATGGTGCAGACGCAGAGCATTCCTGTCTCGGAGACGTCGTAGCCGTCAGGCGGTTGTGCGCACCCGCAGACGAGCCCGGAGGCTGGGTACACGCCGGACTCTTGGGTCGACGAGGTATCGTCGCGTTTCATGGGGCCGTTACCCTGACCATTGCCCCAACTATGTTCGCCCTGGCCGCTCGCTGGGGCGCCACTGGGCTTTCCGCCGTGCCAGGGGCCTCCCGCTGCTCCATTGTACTCGGCCCAGTTCCCGGCAGTACCGCCAGCGCCCCATTGACGTGGGCCCTCACCGGGTCGGCCATCACCTGTGTCACCACCGCCTCCCTCATGAGGAGCCCGCTTCTGGAAATGCGCATCATCAACATCATGGTAGAAGTCGGGTACGAATTCTCGAGCAGGGTGATGTGTGTCCGAAACATCTCGGCCAGCCTCGACCTCAGGCGACGGCAACGCGCCGGCGCGTGCCATTGTGAATGCCAGGATCGCCGCGACCGTTGGCGCCGTGAGCCTCATTTTCTTTTAGTAGTTGTCCGCGTCCGTCACTTGGTATAGATCAGTACGCTGTCCTAGAGAAGGAAGGAGTTGTCGGGGAGCTTTGAAGTTTCTAGGAGGTCATGATAGTAGTGGAAATGTCCAAACCTTTACAGGACCTTTATCTAGGTCTCGAAGAGTAATATGAAACCCACATTACCTCAATGCGGTCCGAGTTGCTCACTCACCTTTGACCAGCGGACGAGAGAAAGAAGGGCGCTCCATGCTATGGGATTCGCTGCGCACATCATTTTCACAAGAGAATACTGGCTCTGCAGCTCCTCGAACTCGGCCCGAAGAATGGAATGGCCGGCTGCAAAGAGGAGTGAATAAGTTTGATACAAAGGGATCAAGTATGCGACAAGCTCCCAAAAGTCAAAGCAAAGAGGCCGGATGATGGCCTGAATAGAAACGCATGCGAAGGCTCGGGCTTCGAAATCATAGGCTCGAGAAGGGATGTTGTTGTTGGCTTGTTGTGTGGCCGGAAATGTGTCTCAATAAGAAAGATTGCTTTGGTCTAACCCCTTTTGGATGCGATCTCAGCATCGTCACGACGGGTGGGAAATTTACAAGAGCAACGCGACACTGAATGCCCTTAAAATCAATAGATTCCGCTTTAGAATAAGAATAGAATTTCAGCTAAGTTGGGGGTATGAGAAGTTGGGGTAATCGCTAAATCGCTGTTAATGTGGTAAATTCATCAGAAAGCTGGTATTGAATGAAAAACCCGACAGTCAGAGAATTCAGGTTGACTCGAGTCTACACTGTCACAGCATTTTCCTGAACCGGTTCCTGTCCTCCCTTGACTTCTTCCACAGGTGATTCTGGTTCAACTATATCTGATGTGGTGACAGTCTGGTTTTGCTCGTGAATAGCTGCGTCCTCCTTGGCTTCTGTCAATTGCCCTTCTTCCTCCATATCTTGTTCAAATTGTTCTTCCTTGTTCACCTCAATGGTTGCGTCCTCGGCGACTGCTTCGGCGGGAAGCTGATGCTCTAGATTGGAAGAAGACGTATTTTCCACAGCCGGTAGTGGTACTTCATCCTGCTTCTCGGGTGCGATTGGTGCATCCTGCTTGGCCTCCTTGGATTCATCTTGACCAGGCAGTATTGATTCTTCTTCCGGAAGCACACTTGGATCATGGCCCGCTTCATGTATCTCGGTCTCATCCTCATTTGTGGGTATCTGTTGCTTTACAAGAGGCATCTTCGGAGGAGGTGCTTTCTTTGTTGTCACATCCTTAGGTCTATGGGAAGTTGATGTTCTTGGACGCGGAGGGCTGTTGACTTGGACTTTATCGTGGGTCTTCTGAGCACTACTTGTCGTTGGTCGCATCATTCTTGCTAAGAACCCTTCATCGGGCTTGCTCGCTTGTACGCTGACTCGAGATTTGGGTCGCTCGTGCTTGTCATGCCCATTTGCCAATGATGCACGCGAAGGTTTCTTTGCCAGAGTGGAGGTGGTGGAAGAAACGCTTGGGCGAGGCTGTCGAATCGACAATGAAGATGCCTTTTTCGTGATCGATTTGCGGAAGTCGGGGTCCGTAGGCGAATGATGTGTATCTTTCGCAGCTGAAGCAGTAGTATTGGCTGTTGCACCAGCAGGAAGTCTCACAGGTCTAGTGGGCGATTTGGTTCTTGTGACTTTGGGTGATCTGGACACCTTGGGCGATGCCGGAGTCTTTTCCTTCCTCACGGCATCACTTGCTGGCTTGACCTTTGCCTGTGTATCCAACTTGGGCGCAGGCGGGGCTCTTTCTTGCTTTGTAGCAGATTGTTTTTCGGCTCTAGCTTGTTGAGATTGTTTCGCCGAATCCATAACGCCTTTGATTTTTGCAGGTCCTCCTTTAATGCTTGCGACAGGCGATGTTGGGGTCTTTGGAGAAGGCTTCGAGATGACGGGAGATTTGGGAGCTGACTTTACAGCCAGTCTCGTTGGAGGAGGCTTGACGGGCTGTGCACTTTTGGTGGTCTGTAGGGTAGTTGCTGGAGGAGGACCGCTTTTGCCGTCTGATTTCATGTTCTTGACCATAGTGGCAGCCTTGGTGCTGTCGGTTGCTTTCGAAGTAGCTGCTTTCGGGGCCTGACTCTGCAACTTTCCAGACGATAGAGCTTCGCCGAGATTTTTTGCATTTGGGGTTGCTGAAGTGGCTTTGGGGGCCTTTGACGGCGTTGACGGGTCGGCGAAAGAAGAGCCTTTCAATATCTTGCCCAATCCACCTTCGACGGTACCATTGGTAGAGGAGGGGGCTCTGGCGAGTTGCGGGCGAGTATCTTCCTTCATGTCTGGATCTGTCCTGGCGGTATACGATCTCTCAAGGTGGCCACCGTCCGCTATTGCGTTCTCTTGAATGCCACCTAGGCTGCTAACTTCACTGGCCCTTCTAAGACCAAGGATAGGGGGACCGCCGTTCTCGCCTGGTCTCTCGACTGCGACGAAGCTTGCTCGAACTTTGCTGACAGGTCTGCTCCCGTTGGAGAATTCCGAGGGATTGGGGGATCGGCCTCGGCTTGGTGGAGATGTAGATTGATCACCAGCTTTGTTCTCGAACATAGCCCGAAGGTTCCTGACGCCGCCATTTCCGGAATTAGCAGACATGGCTGAGGAAGCCGGCAAGCGCAAGTCAGATTAGGCAGTGGATGGCAGGTGCAAGAACGTCAGGACAGAAAGAGCGAAATGCAAGCTGCGGTGAATCAAGAGTCGAAAGCGATCATCGTGGGCGATCAGAACCGTAAGGGAGGCGAGGGGAAAGTAGAATGAGTAACACAAGGTGAGTGCTGTGAACAGTGTAGGTGGTAAGTAGCAGTCCAGGGCTGGGTAGTAGGGTAAACGAGGTGGAATTGAAAATGGATGGTGGTGGTCTGGTCAAATCATTGGTGGTGGATCCGGGGTTTGGGCAAAAATGCAGGACAGAGGAGAGCAGAGGACAGAGGACAGAGACCAGGGCAGACAGGGGTTGCTTCTGAGACGCGTTTTGCAAGAACAAGAGAACCAAGAAACTCGTCGATGGTTTGGTCTGGTTGCTGGGAAGAACTTACACACGTTCTGTGTCTCCGTGTCCAATGGTCTCGGTCGACTGTGATGACTGTCCACAGGACTGGCTCGGTAAGCTACCATCTACGTGAAGTGAATGACCGCTAAACCTTTAGATTCGTTGAGGTCTGTCTGGCAACTGGGAGCCTGTTCAGGGGCTCTGCACGTGTCCATCGCCGTCACACACCTGGAATTCGTCACGGGTTATCTCTGCACGTGACTGACTCCTCACGTGACCTGCCTTGGTGGTTGGAACGAACAGGGGCCCGGGATTGACCACCCAAGTTGCTTAAGAGTATTCAAACACTCTTTAATCATCTATTCTCTTCTCTCCTGGAATAAACCTCTATTTATACTCCGTATACTAGTTTCCTAGCTAACAATCCCTCATGGGGCGCCGCGATGGTATAGAATAATTTAGGCATTCGCTTCTTGCTCCTTCTGCCCTTGGCCACCAGCTTTGACAGGCTTTGCACTCACCACGTACACCAGCTTGTCCGTCCAAAAGTGCGATACAATGGCTTGCAACAGTGGAACGCTCCCAAAAACTGTTCCAGAGATTGGGAAAACAAAATAATCGATAATAGAAGCGAGCGTCCACCTTTTCCGGCGGGAAAATTCAATTTCCAGTTCTTCATACAGTCCCACACGCCGCATCTCCTGTTCTCTGGCTTCGACACATACTTGATGATATCGCTCATAGAAGATGACGAAGTAGATAGTCATCAGAGCGAATCCTATCGCCCTCATGTATGAAGTTATGTCAAGCGTAATTGACAGGATGCGGCAGTGACTGATCGGATAGGGCAGTGATGCGTAGACAGCAGATGCCACAAGGACGAGAAAAAGGTGGTTGGGTAAGAAGTGCGCCTCAAAGAGTCGAGTGAAGAGAATCAGATTCCTCCACGTGTATTTGTTGACTTCTCCTCTATGACTCGAATACTGTCCGAGCTTCAAACGAAGGAGCACGTGTGGGGGGAGAGGTGCCTCCCTTGCCGACGGACGACTATCATCGGTCTCGGGTGGTTTCGAGAGTCTGAGCCATTGTCGTACGGCGAACCCAGTATCAAGAGAACCCCACATATGTCGCAGGCCTTGCGAATATCTTGCTTGGTGATTGGCGACCCATCCTCGCACCCCTTCCTTCCCAGTGCTAACATTGCATTGACTAGCAGGGCTCGGGATCGAGATAGTGTGCAGATGGCCTCCTGTTGCGAAATAGCATTTAAGCAGCATGTGCATATCTTCGCCGATGGCCTCTGGGCCGGAATCCCAGCCGCCCGCAAGACAGGCAAGGGAAAGAGACACGGTGTACACTGCTGTAGGTATGGCGACTGCATTGCGGCGCAAAGTCCCATTGAAGCATGATAGTCCTGCCCCGCACCACATAAGATCTGCCATACGGACAAGTCGGGGTACTTGATTACTATTGCGGTCAAATACAATGGGTGCCATATAAAAGGTAATATCTGACAGGCCGATCTCTCCGCGGGAACGCAAGTGGTGCCAGAAAATGAGCTCAAAGTATTTGCTCAAAAGGTGGGTGTCGCCTTTGCCGGTCAGTCAATACATTACAATATGATACCGAGACACTCACTATCCATTACCGTTATTAGAACATCGGTCCAGCTACTGCTGTTGACATACTTCCTCTCAACCGCTTTAGCAGCCCAACTGACATTGCTGCTCTTTCCAGGAGCCTCTCCCGGAATGTCGCTAGGGTGCAGAGTAACTTGAAGATCTCGGAACTTATGTTTAAAAAGGTGACTGAGGCTCGTCGCTACTGCAGCAGCATTGGGATCCCTTTGTTCCATGGCCAGGAATACCTGAAATTCCGTTAGCGACGAGATAGCTTCAGGCCCAGCGCTGTCAAGCATACATCATACGAGGTCTTCGCGTAGCGGTGGCTTGCAAGGACTCGTAAGGACGCCTCAAGTATTTCCACTTCTTCTTTATAGCTGGGAATAATGATGGCCATTGTCACACTTGGAGATGGCGTCCCCCCAGCTTCGACGTACTCATAGCTCGCCGAACGACTTGGTACCTCGGCTCTTGAAACTCCCTTCTGGGAGTTATGCACAGCGCGAATCTGTTTCGTCGCGGAGTGTACAGCTGCACATAGCCTGAGGGGGAAGATGAGTGCTAAAAGGTGGAGAAAAACGGTGTAGAGAACGAACATCGATTGCGCAATCAAGGATGCATGGCGGTGAAGGAGGAACGCAGGATAGTAGAAACTTATCCATTCCGTTTCCACTATCTTCAGCGACAATTCCAATAGTATGAGCAACGAAAGTGTGGAAAGGCCAGGAATGCAGCGCGAGAACCACTTGCTCACTCCCATTTTGGCGATATCCTGATCGAAGGGCCTTGCTGATGGTGATGAGCAACAAAACAAAAAAAGTTGAAGCAGAGCAGATTGTATAATTAAAAGAAGTATTGGCAAGAGAGCGAAGGAAGTGGCCCGACATTATGGTGTTTTCCAAAGGTTGTCAGGTATCCTTTTAGATCCAGCAGGATCCAGACTCGTAAAACTAGGGCAGAGGAGTCGATTGCATTTCGGAATGACCATTGCGCCTCCTGACCAGACGTCTCCCTAGCCGATGCCCACCCCGTAGGTATGTAGCAACATCATGTGGAGCGGTTTCCCATCTGTCTACCATAGAATACAGCTCGTGGCCATAATTAGCCAACAGGTCAAACTTAACCTTCACAACACCTCTTTTGGTGTCATTTTTGGATCGACCAATCATATTGCCGGCTTTGGGTGGGTGGGCCCATTCATTTGCAGCGAAGCGATGAGCCACGCAAGCAAGCCTATTGAAGTTAAATTGCACTGTGACTCAGTGTCAGTGTTATCAAATCCTATCTTTTGCATCTTATAAGGAGCTGTGGATGAGTTTCAGACCGACAAGTGGCGGCCAGAAAACCTCTGGAGAAGGAGAGAGAATGATGTGGAGGTAGAGTTTTATATTCCTTTTTCGACCTGCTTATGGCTCGCCAATGGCATGGCACTGGCGAAGCGGCTTGAAATGTATCCGGATCTGCCGGCTGACTTTGCTGCCTGTAGTTCATGGACTTTCAACCGCACAAACGCTCGATTGTATGTAATGCTTAGAGCTGCACGGATAACCTGATGAGTTTACCAAGATGCCAGATATTGTACTGAGAAGAAGGATCTCCCATACTGCTCGTCGCTTGAGTGTGGTTTTGTGGAAAGTCGCAGTAGTGCCGTCCATTTTGTTTCTTGTTTGGTGTTCAGCAGTGGTCTTCTTCTTCCTCATCATTTGGTATAGGGGTCAACGTTCTGCGAGCCTCTCCGGTTACCCATCCAATCCTAGGATTGAACATCAGCTCAAGACGCATCCTAATTTAAATGCGCGACTTTGTGTGCCGCCGCTTCGAACCAAGGGCCGAGACATAATCGACGATACTGGCTCCCGCTGCAAACTTAGCTCCGTCAATTGGTATGGAGCAAGTGATATGTTCATGGTTCCCGGTGGACTGAACACGCGTCATCGGAATCAAATTGCAGCAACAATCCGCAAACTAGGCTTTAATAGTGTTCGTTTACCATATGCTGATGAAATGGTCAACAAGAATCCCGCCATTGAGGCAATGCACTTGGGCGCTAACAAAGACCTTGTGGGAAAACCTGCCCTGGAGGTGTTCGCCTCCGTGGTCAGTGCATTGACAGACGAAGGGATTGCTGTCATAATCAACAATCATATCACACAGGCGCGATGGTGCTGCGATGCGATGCCTTGTGACGCATCTTGGACTAATCAAGGCATCCCCTTTTGTCCTGTACTTCAAACAGAGGAAGAGTGGGTTGATAACCTTGTCACAGTGATGCAACCACACGTACGAAACCCTCTCGTCGTAGGCGTGGACCTCCGCAATGAAGTTCGGGGGTTGCTGGGATCACGGCTATGGACCTCGTGGGCCGCGGCCGCCGAGAGGGCTGCCAGAAGATTGCATCTGCTTCAACCAGACTGGCTGATGGTTGTTGAAGGGGTATCCTCGGCAAATGACCTTTCTGGGGCAGGCAAACGTGGTGTCCAGCTTCAGTATGATGGCAAGCTGGTGTACTCCGCCCATGTTTACGGTTGGTCTGGTTGGGGGTCACTTGACCCGTATTGGTATCGCAAGTATGATTCTTTTGCTGAAGACATGGACCTAAACTGGGAATACCTGCGGAAGAACAACACTGCCCCTGTATGGGTGGGTGAAATTGGAAGTCCTCGGGATCCTGCTGAGAGAGACCTGCATTATTGGAAAAATCTCATGCGGTATCTCCGCACCACAGACGTCGACGTGGCTTATTGGGCTTTGAATCCTCGGAAGCCAAAAGACAACGAAGTTGAGTCGTACGGCCTGCTTGAGGACGATTGGAAGACACCCGTCTATGATTACAGGTTATGGGATCTTGCAAAACTGCGAAGTTAATTTCCTATTGCTTCTTGCCAGTCAGGAGTACCTCGAACGCAACAAGAGACAGTGACGAGGAATATTGATATGAATATAATGCACATCATTTTCCAGTAGATGGACTTCTATCCTATTCAATGTAAACATCCAAGATCATCAGAGCAACGAAGCAGCAGCCGGACGCTCCGTGATATCGCGGAACAAGGTAACACCGAGAACCGAGGCCTGTAAGCAGCGATAACGATAACGATACCGATGCGACACGCGGTAAAGCAGTTGCATCATGATATGGGTCCGCAATTTGTCGTCGCTTTTGAAGTCTTGAGTCACTTAACTATGTGAACAACATATATGGTGCTTATAAACAATCGGAGTTGTTGTATAGCTGGTCTACTAAATGCCTTCGGAACAGGATCCTCTACTCCCTTCAAATCCGCCTGCGCCAGAGATCCGCGGTTATGGCTACTCGAGCAACAAAGAGATCGTCCCAGAAACAACTTCCTTCGAGCCATCGGTCTTTGCTCGACCAAACTTTGACCCAGACCAGGAGGAAGAGGGAGACAGAGAAGACACTCAACCAACAGCTAGCTCGGCTCTTGGTACCCTCGGCTCCATCTTTACGATCGTGGTGTTTTTCGCTTTCGTTGTCCTGCTGTTGAGCCCCAAGTCTCGAGAGGATGAGCCGATCCCTGCGCCAAAAACACCAGCGGCTATAGATGAGCGAGTTTCTGCCATTCTCGATAGCACGCCGTTAATTGACGGACATAATGACTTGGCTATCTTCATCAGGGCAGCTTATCAAAATAAACTACACGGGAAATTTAAGGATAAGTTCGTCAACGGTGGGTTGGAGGCAGATGTTGATCTCCCTCGCCTCAGAGAGGGCAAAGTTGGGGGTGCCTTCTGGAGTGCGTTTGTTGTGTGCCCGGAGGACGCAAGTGATAACTTTTCCGATGAGACTTATGCGACTGAGGTGTTCCACACTCTTTCCCAGATCGACTTGATACGACGCATCCAAAGCCAATATCCCAAGAAATTTACATTTGCCACGACCCCTCTGTCGTCGGCGCTGACCGACTTTCATGCCACAAAAGCTTTGATATCGCCCATCAGCATCGAAGGTCTCCATCAGATACCACAATCGGCGCCCTTATCCACTCTTCGTCTATATCATGCTCTAGGAGTACGGGCGGCCACCTTGACTTGGAATTGTCATAATGCTTTTGCCGATGCTGCACTGATTTCGTCCAAAGGGGAAACGACCGTCGCTGGCTATCATCGAGGGGGTCTCACACCCGCTGGCCGGGATGTTATACGTGAGATGAACCGCTTGGGGATGCTTGTCGACATCTCTCATACCTCGTATTGGACCCAAAGGGCTGTCTTGAGCAACGGAACATCCGAGGCGCCCGTGATATTCTCTCACTCATCGGCCTTTGCCTTGTGCCCGCATCCGAGAAATGTCGAGGACGATATCCTAGAGTTAGTCAAGGAGACCAAGAGCTTGGTAATGATCAATTTCAGCCCAGGCTTCATCTCCTGCCTTCCTCCGCCAAACTCCAGCGTCTTGCCGGAGCTCTATGAAAAGAACAATACTGTCCATCAAGTTGCAAGACATATTATCTACGTGGGCGAGAAGATTGGCTATGATTACGTTGGACTAGGAAGTGACTTCGACGGTATGGGTGAACTCACTCCTAAAGGGCTGGAGGGAGTTGACAAGTACCCAAATCTCGTGGCTGAGCTCCTGAAAAACGGTGTATCCGATCACGATGCAGCTAAGATTGTCGGTGGGAATTTACTAAGGGTCTGGCGAACGGTTGATGCAATTGCAAAAGGCCTTCAAGAGAAGATCCTTGAGGGCGAGGACGAAGTCAGTGGATGGTAATATTCCCTTTGTCGAAGGTGATACATTTCCTCGTCTATACGAGGTACTGGAACCCTTGTATGGTCGAGTTCACCTGGGATGGCTGCCTGCTCACTTGCAATTCTACTCTTCTAGCTCTCGGTTCCATCTTGAAGGCGCTCCGCTTTCCAACTTGTTTGAGGTCCGGCGTTTTGTGTCCACTCCTTGCGACTTAGAACTACCCCTTTTTTTCACTATTCTGCTCTGGCTCAAGTGATCATTCTTCTCAAAGTGGCAGTATAACCTTCCAATGAGTATTGAGCATTGGACACATCAACGAAACTTGCTTCTGGTTAACATCTTTTAAGCTCTCGGTAATTTAGCCACAAGTCTACGTACATCAGCCACATCCTTCATCTCCTCCGCAATCATACTCGCCTGCCTTGCCCCATCCATCCCAAGGACCAAGGCAACTTGATCGACAAACTTCTCCTTCAATTGAGCATCCGTCATGGGTACTTCCAGACTTCCAACAGCATGCCGAATATGGCTATGCAACTTCTGGCCATCGCCGAACTCGAGCGCTATCTCTGCTCCATCCGCACCTAGCTTCTCATCCGCAATGGCAGAAATCTTATCCCGAACAGACGTGATCTCCTCGCTGAGCACCACTTGATCTTCATACTGGGCCGGCCCTGCTTTCCCAAGCACAAGACCCACCGCTCCTCCATGATAGACACTGAATTTGGCCTGTAAGCCATCCATCGGCGTCTTTTTACCTGTCAACTCCAGCACCAAGGGATGCACCCTTGACTGTACGCTCTTGAGATCAGACACCGACAGGCCTTTCTTCTTCATCTCCTCGTGCAGCTGAATACATCCATCAATAATCGGGTGTACTACGATCCCGCAGGGAAACGGTTTGAACGAATTCTTCTCGGTCTCCCAGACCTTCCCCAGCGAGGCTATCTGGCTATCGAGATCATTCGATGCACTCACAACATTGGCCCAGCCTCTTTTAGACTCGAGCGCCTGCAGAGAACTGGTGTAGCCGTTTGAGGCGAGAATTGCAGCCATCAGCCCATTTTGTGCAGAACGGCCGACATGGAAAGACTTGGTATCAGACCCAAACATCTCCCGCAAGCCAGTCACTTGCGTAGCAGCAATACCGATCGCATGGGCCATCTCTAGTTCCCCGATACCCAAGAGCTTGCCGACTGCAACAGCCGCTCCAATCGATCCAGTCGTACTGGTGATATGCCTACCGCAGGTTGTCGTCCGTCAGCATTCGTACTTGACCACACCTGATAACTGAACAATTCCGATTCACTTACCAACCAATATCATAGTGCTTCGGCCACACAGCCAACCCGATCTTGCACTCGGCCTCAACCCCCACCACGAGCGCAAGTAAGAATTCCTCGCCACTGACCTCTCTCCCCAGCGCCTCAGCCTGCGCAAGCAACGCACTGGCCACCGGCCCTGTCGGATGTATAATCGTTTCCAGGTGCGTATCGTCGTAGTCGTGGACATGCGAGGCAATTCCGTTGATCAAGGCCGCGTGCGCCGCGTCTGCTTTTCGCTCCCGATGGCCGAGAAGAGTCGATGTTGCCGGTCCAAAGAACGGCGTCAGCGCGTTGAGTGCAGTGGTCGTCGTCCGGTGCTGCGACCCGGCGAGCGCGCAGCCGAGCCAGTTGTAGAAGCTGCGTGATGCAGCGGTGATGACTGGGGGTTGAAGTGAGGTATACTCCAGCGAGGAGGCCCATGAGGCTAATTGTCGAGTCGCCATGTTTCAGTAGTTGAGTGATAGGGACGGTGTACGGTAGTGTGATTAGCCCCAGTGCTCTCTCGGAATGCACCTCTCCAGTCTCTTGTTGTTGTCACCGAAATACAGTATGGAGTTAAGCAACGACTCGTCTGTAACAGCTTAGTCCTGCACCAAGCGGACGGATGCTGAGGACTGATGCGTATCCCACCTTTTCAAGCATGCGGGCATCGCATTCGCCACTGAGAAAGCCCCAATAGCCCCTACAAATAGAGAGCAAAGGCAAGTCTTCGTTTGGCTCCAATTCAAGCAGCAAGAATCTGGAGAAAGTCAAGCTTTACAGCCTCGCAGCATTGGCAAATGCTTAGCATAACGAATGTCGCAAAATGGAGAAGAGGAAAGAATAGGCGTTCAAATAGTAGTAGACAGTGTGCCTCTTGATTAAATACATGTGTATGTAACTCCAATTATCGTCCGACATCGCAACCTCGTGCGGAGGAAGAGAGAGGAGGATACAAATCAATTCATACCCCCTAGGTAAATATAGATGGGGTCTTATCGGCCTTTCTCCGATCAGAAACGAAGTGGATGAAGTCATTTATTGCGGGGAGCTACTTGAGTGGACAAATTGGTTTAAGAGACTCAAGCGATTGGAGGATCATGAAGCGTAAGTAGATGATTTGACTATCATTACATTTTCAGTCTGCAGTTCGTACTTAAATGCTGGTTTGGTATCTCTCGTTGAGCTATGTACGTATACAAGTCTCTGTCGCCACATTTTGTCGGTCTTCAGGACTCATCATGATTGCCTCAGGTAGGTAGACTAATCCTCGGGGAATTTGAATGTCATGTTGGTCCTCGTGGTGGATTCACGGAATGTGATCAGGGTCTCAATCGAACTTAATACTAGATAATGATTCGTACATCATGGTGCGAGAATACCAGCCGCAACCTCGATGGCTGCTGCAGACTTCTCGACCCATTCTTGCGCCTGCGTTTCGTTTTGATATTCAACGATGGCCTCCGTAATTCCCGGGTACAGGACGGGAGCATAACCGGTATCCAAGCCAGGGGCGAAGACAACATGCTTGTAGAATTTTCTGTTTGGCAGACCGCCAGACGAGACGAATCCACGGCTGAAGAGCTTGAGTTTGGTGTTGAGAGCAGCTACCTCCTCCTCAGTTGATGCCGCAGAGATGGCCTCAGTGATTGCAGTGGCGGATTCATTGAAAGTGGCGATGGCCTCTTCTAATCGACCGGTATCCACGTTGGTGGCGTTGTTTGCATCGAGGGTTGTAAGGAGCGTTTCATAGTAGTCAGTCATCTGCACGCCGTAGTTCTCGACGTCCAAGGGAATGATGTCGTCGTTTGCCAAATGGTAAAGCAGAAGGGCTACGAACTGACCGATGACTTTGTGCTGGAGGTATTCCGGATCACCATATGTTGTCATCCAGTGCCATGTATCATAATTTGAGTGATAATGGTAAACTGGGTCGTTACCACTACCCCCGGAGCCGATATCGATGGCACTGATTCCGTTGTGCAGGAATGTAGTGTAATCACTCCCGGAGCCAAGTACACCCCATTCTCCTTTGGTCAGACCAAACCAGACATCATATAGAGTGAGGTTGTTGTAGCCTCGGTATGGATAGATGATCTTCCTCATTTGCTCCATGGCAATTTTATGAAGATCTGGTGTGGCTGAGAAGTCGGGGTTTGGACCGGAAGTAGCAATATCGACGTTGAGGTTTGCAATAGCAGCACCCTTCAGCCAGGGAAGGTAGTCCTCAACCCACTCGGTGGAGCCTAGTAACCCGTATTCTTCTGCATCCCACGAAGCTAGAATAATAGTCCGCTTCGGCTTCCACCCGGTCTTCTGAAGGTTACCAAATGCCTTTGCAAGCTCTACTAAGACAGCAGAGCCTGAGTTGGGGTCGGCGGCCCCACCAATGATCCAGGCATCTCTATGATTTCCAACAACAATCACCTCATCTTGACTCGTTCCATTAATGACACCGATTGCATCCCAGATAGGAGTGATCTTGCCTTCCATGACATTCGACAATGAGATTGTGGTTCCTGGTGCAGGCCCTGTTGAATAGGTAGCATTGAGCGCACCAACCCAATTTGTCCGGTTAACGACTGAACCATTAGTGCCGTATCCATCAAGAGCCCAAAGCAATGGTTGCGCTTCACTATAAGAAATTGGAATGGAGGGGATCTGAGGGGTGACGGGAGAGATATCAGCTCGTGGAACGCCTTCATGTGAAGCATATCCAGGCGTAGTGGGATCTCCTGGGTATGTTGACAGGAACTGAACGCTACCACGCTGTACTGAGGTTGGATTCCGTGCTGGGCCGTGGGGATACGCAGCGTAGCCATTTGCTTCAGTGACGTTACCGTCATCTGCTGTGTCCGTGAAGATGACGACGCCAATTGCGCCACGTTCTTGAGCATTCTTGACTTTCAAGCCTCGGAAAGGCCCACCATATCGTGCTAGAGCAATCTTGCCCTCGACAGATACGCCTAGCGCCTCAAGTCGTTCGAAGTCAACCTTTTGTCCACGGCCAACGTAGACGTACTCGGCCTCCGCATCTCCAGTGGCAGAGTAGCCATGGAAGGTCGGAATGCTATCTGGCCAATTCGTCACGTCGTCTTCTGGTAGTGCTGCTTCTTTGAGCGTTGCTTCCCAAGTTGACCCGTTCGAGAACGACAAGGACAATGAATGGGACACTGGGTAATTCAGGTACACGTCTAGTCAAGGTTAGCCGAGGCACATGACTAACTTCGTGAGGAACAAACAGTAAGTTGTCAATCCCGCCGTCCACCCAAACTCAGTCCATCGATCGGCCGTCCATTGAGCCAGGGACTGGTTGGTACCAGCCAAATGATAGCTGTGAGCGTAGTAGTAATTCCAGTCCTCCAAACTGGCATTGTCAATTGAATTGACTAAAATGGCCTCATTTGAGTCCAGCACTGGAGGGAACGGCGTCTCTTGGCGCTTTGCTAGAGCAACATGAGGGTCGAAGATTGCCTGGTTTGAGATGTCTTTAGCACATCCAAGCACAGCGGAGGCCTGAAGCAATATCAAGCCGCACGAACAGAGGGACTTCATGATGCAGAGAGCAAGAGCAAAGACCCAAAGTTTGAGGAGATCAGTACTTCCGCCGCTTGGACGGTAGCAACCTCATATACTACGTCCTTCCCCATCTTCCGGGGAGCTTCAAAGCTGCACAGCTTTCACGACTGAATCATAACTCACCTCACAGCGATCGCAAAGCAACCAAGGTTGCTCGCCTGCCTCTTGCAGTATGGTAGGTGTACATGCCAAGGTACCAAAGCTATACAAGAGCTGCTGTGATTCGAGAAGAAGCCATTCCCAGGTACAAAATGCAACACAATGTAGGAGGGGTGCATCTAAAAGCCGCATGGGTGTCTTGCTTGGCAGCTTATTGAGTTGCTCTTGTATCCCATAACAATCTTGGACAGCGTCATTGGAGATGCAAATGACGGAATTCCCTGGCTGTTCGAGCGCCTAGCATGTTAGGTAACACTGGAGAACTCGGTCCAAGGATGTTTGCTTCCCTGCCGCCCGCGAAAACGTTGACTTGTTGCAATTCTGCGCGAGTCAAGGCCCCCTGCTGTAGGCAGAAGACTTAGTACTGCATCCAGGCAGACATTTGGAAGCTGTAGCACAATCAAGAGGTGGATAAGCAAAGCAAATATGCAAGTAAGTCGTGGACCTGCACAGGTCGTACTCGCTACAATCGACGGTGATCGCCGCCCAACAGCAACAGGCATGCAAGTTGGGGAAAAGCTTATCAACGGCGGACTTAACCATAACCGAGGCTTCCGCGATAAGATGGTCTTGGTCCCTCCTTTATCCTCACGTGCTCAGCCTTGGCGAGTATGGACGTTCCACGTGACCATTGCCTTTTGGAGACGTTGCCTCTTGGGACACATGAAGCGAAGAAAGGGGGATCCGCTGAGACGTCAAGTTAGTCCTGTGAATATGTGTTCAATTCTGTAATTAGCAGTGACGGCAAAGTGACTGCCTCAATTTACAGTCAGCGATAAACATCTCCTTTTATTCCTGGTTCCCGTAGACAACGATTGTCTTTCGAATCAATCTTTCCAAATAAGAAAAAGAGCCGTTGAACAGCGATTCTCAAAGAACACCAAGCATCCCTCGCTTCAAACAATTTCTCCACATCAGACACCATGGTCAGTCCGCTCCGACAGTCCCAATAGCCTTGAGAACGTCCAAGACGACTCACATGTCTGCAGGCCCAAACACCAGCCCAGCGGCGCGCGAACGAAAAGCATGCCCGAGGAGTTGAGAAACGTATGGGAAAGCCCGAAGCTGCGTACAAGAAGAAAGAGGCCAGAAAGTCACCCATCGGTCTAGCAGCTGTTGGCAAGTTCAACCCCGCCCACCAACCGAGACCCTTTCGACAGCTACGGTCTTCTTTTTACCTTTGTCTTTTGGCATATGGACTAACGAATGAAACGTGGATAGTTCTTCTTATTTTCGTAGTGGTTGCACCACTCCTCATTGAGCAATTTAAATTAATACCGGCGACCTGGAACTACATCGCAGACCTGTTGGCAAAGATTGGCTTGATCTCGACATAGAGTCCAGTGTTCTCTATTCGATTGTGACTGGAGGAAGTGGTTTTAGGTTGGGAAGGAAATGCACGCTTTGTCCAATGTTTCAGACTCTATTCTGCCTCTTCAGAGCCAAAAAAAGCTCCGAATCAGGTGAACCATGTTGTACCAGCTTCACTATTGTACACATTACGGGGGGAATTAGGTGAAAGCTAATAGCTACTTGTGTCGTCTTCTGTTGGCCAGCCTCATCCTTAATAAGGGATGCCATTGGTCAGAAGTTGAAATTCATCATAAACCTTGGTGCTTACATTCCCTGCACTCTTTTTAATGCAAGCAAGCATAAATTCCGCCGCCTCCTTATCGGTCTTTTCGAGAACAAATCGGTTCCGGAAATTGCGCATGGTTTCAGGCTTAAAGCATGGGAGGCCACTGTCCAGCATCAGACTAACAAGATGACTAAGCTTGTCGCAATATTGCCTGCTGCTTAAGAAAGCTTTGATTGTAAGCTCTTCGAACCATCGGTAAGACTGAGAAGAGTTCGGATCTGCACCACCCATGACGGCAATCATCTCGGGAGTAAGTTTGAAAGGAGCACGTTCGAACTTTACTCCTCCCGGAGCAATATCGAAACAAAACCCAAAGTCAATGTGTAAGATGTGTCCCTTGTCGTCGATCATGATATTTCCGTTGTGGCGGTCTTTGAATTGCAGGAGATAGCTGATCACGGAATACGCTGCCATACTCTTGACGAACTCGCTTCTTGCCTCTTGATAACGCACGGAATGCTCGCCTCCATATTTGGTAATAAAATAGTCGTGTAAACCGTTCACTGCTTCTCGGCCTAGCATATCACGGCTGATCGAATTCGGCAGAACTTCAATGACACCGCAGCCGGGTGCTGTTGCGGTAACATGATAAGGAAACACGTAGACATCGAGGCCAATAGAATTGAAAATGCCTCTAAAGGCAGCGATCATTTGTAATGCAAGCACGTCTTGCCGGCAATCGTCACCCACTTTGAAGATGGCACTCTGCCAGATTTCATATGTTGTCGAATCATTCTCGTTTAGTCCGATGTTAGAAACATCACTCGTGTTCCTGCGGCTGTGAGCTTTTCGAGGGTTTGTTGGGGTTCTTGGAACCATCGCTCCCGCATCGACACCAATCTCAGGCAGGACGTCCTTTGTCCTTCGGATTCTGAACGTTGCCATGTATGGTGCCTTGGCGTGAGATTGCAATGGCTTCCCGGATTTTCGATCAATGCCAACCACCGTGCCGTCAGGATTGCAAGGGATGTAGACACCCACTTCGACTTTGATTTTACGTAATTCTTCTTCAATCTTGGCTTTCTTTTCTGGCTTGCTCTTCTTGATAAAGGGCTTCAGCTTTCCAGAGATGTCAGTAACTTCATCAAAGAAAGCGAATTCTCTCTCATAGAAATCTTTATCAGGGCCAGAAAAGCTTGAGACAAGGCTGTCCTTGACCTTGTCTAAGGTTGGTTTGACAGGATCCGGCTCTTGAGAGTCCTCGTCCTTGTAAGCGTTGGCTTTCATATTCCAAATGATTTGATGAGCAAAAAGCTGTGAGAGTTTGCCAGCCTCGACAATGTATCGCTCAACGTACCCAAGCACATCATATCGCAGACTCTGAACAATTTGCGGAATATAGAAGAAGGTGACATCGACAGAGTGGCTTTCAAGTGCTCTCATTGCATATTGAAGCACCAGTGGATGATTGCCATATGCAGGGAGGAAATATGTTACAGCCTGCATTGGGTTTACGGGAGCCCAGTAAAGCAAATATTTCAGCTGAAATGATACATCTGGCGGTAGCGCGTCACCCAATAGTAAATCAATACCTGCGGGAGCATGAATTGTCTTTTCTGGAAAGTTGGTTAGTAAGAACCGGACTTCTTGACGAAGCTGATCGCTGGCAGAACGATGCAAGAGCTGCAGTGCAAGAGCTGCGTCTTCTGCCCATGCGACACGTGCAAAACCGCTCAGCTGCGCTTCCGACCGAGGCTGGGATCCAGCAGCACCCAAAGGTGTAAGCCACACTGTCAGACGACTGATTTCATGAGCAAGAAGTGTTTCAAGGAGGAGCTGTTTCTGTTGCGTGTCCTTCCTTGTGTTCGATGATGCAAAGATTGGTTGCCTTGAATTTTCCAGTTGTGACAGAACTTCTCTCATGACCAGAATTTCAGCCTTCATCTGAAGACGATTTCCACCGAATGACCAAGTTGGAGGATACGTAAACCAACGAAGCCCAACGGAGAGAATCAAATCGCGTAGCTTCCATAGGTAGAGTTTATTGGTCGTAGTGCTTGTTCTATAGACTCCCAACGCGAACAATGCTACGTGAAATTGTGTTTCTCGCAGGAGAGGATGCCAGTTCAGCTTTGAAAAGGCTACAAGGGTGCGCTCGAGCATGCGAAGGAATGTTCGCTGCGTGTTGACGCTTCCAAGCCTGATCGCATTGAAATGACTCTCGAAGAACTGTATGATTCGGAAATGCGGTGAGATAATATTGTGGGTGGCTTGAGCCTGGCTTTGAATGGCGGCCCTATCAGAGGGAGCAAATTCCTCCTTGACGTAGAAGGGATCAGGGTGGTGGAAGCTGGGATTAAAAATGCCCTCCTTGCGATCGATCGTTCTTTCCCAAGCTTGGACTACCTCTGTCAGGATCCGGGGTTCCATTCTGCTGTTTTCGTGAATCACACCCAGCCATAGCGAGATCCCAAGTTTGATCGATTCTTTTGTGAATATCTCAAAGGGTATGCTGACGAGGTGATGCACTATTGCGGTCTGTGACTTTTTGCTTTGGCACAGGAGTGCTGCGGCCCGGCGCAAGACATCCTTAACCTCAGATGTTTGTACAGGAGTCCCCTGACCTGTCCGGGAATGCAAGCTTGCCAACGACTCTTGTAAATCAGTAGTTTCGCTCGCGGATGCTTTCGTGAAAGAAAACCTGCGACCCATAGAGTTTTCCATTTGAAGCATACCCCGCTGGTGGTCCGGAATACCCGTAAAGCGATACTCTTGTCGAGTAGTGTACTGAGCCATGAAATCAGAGCCCATGTTTATACTCACGGAATCTGCCTTTCTGTCCAGAGCATTGAGTCTCTGGTCTGAGGGAGGGGTCATCGATCCCATCTCAAGTGCGAACGACCTTCCAAGCGACACATGGCCATAAGCTCCAGTGTCATCGAATTCGGAAAGGTAAGTTTGAAGGAGGCCTTTAATATCCAAAGGTGCAATTGCCATAACGTTAGCAACCCACCTTCTTGCATCGTTGTTCAAATTATTCAGAGTGCGTTGACGGTACGCGTAATCGTCCGAAAGCTCGATTGTTACTTTGCCCCGAGACGAAGTTAGTGTGGATCGCCACTCATACTCGTCCAAATCAGCTTCAAGACAGCTCGACCACATCAGAGAAAGCAGCTCCAGTAAAGCATACAAGGCTGCTTTCTGACACAACGCCGAGGGAGCATGAGCAATTATATGATTTGCAGCCAACCTAGCGACCTCCTGCATCTTACTGCTGCGATGGCAGCACTTACTCAGAATCTGAGCGAGTTGTCGGGATGCATACGGCGCACTGAATTCTTCCTCTCGCGCCAATACCACTTTGTCGGTATATCTCTTCACAACCTCAAATGCAACGACGCCCAAGCATGAACCCATGTGGCTCGTTTGGGTGGTCGGGTCTGCAAAATAGTCGAGAATCTCGGCACAGCTCCCGGACGTTGCGCGGAGGCTTTCAACCAAGAAAACTGTGTTCAAAAACACAACTTTCTGGTAACTCATCTGACGAATATCCGATTCCTTCTCAGGAATGATAGCAATAAGATTCTTCTTTTGATCGGCGGTATGCTGGGGGCTCATTCCTCGTCGAAGAACGGTGTTCAATTCGACATCTGATTCGAGGAGTTCTGCTCGGGCTTCATCAACCAAGGGCAAGGAATTCATTGCGAGGATTCTTAATTCGTGATAGAATTGTTGACCAATACGTGATTGGAGGGTAATGCCATGAACAGCAATGTTGTACCAAACTTCTCGTGCAAGGGTCAGAACCTCATTGTCCTCCGCTTTATCTTGCTGGAGTGGTGGCTTCCGAGAAGAAAGTATGGAAAGGGGCTTCAGTAGAGGCGCTATCTCCTTTGCGGCTTGTTCTACTTCGGCGGACTGTTTGAACTCTCCTTCAACGACATCGCCTTTGCTGACAATTCGTTCTAGCAAGTGAGCAGCATAAATCTTGAATAATGGTGATCTGCTGTCCAAATGCGTGGCAAGATACTCTTGTGCGTTTCGGACTGCATTGAAGATTGCTCTGTTCTCCTGAGCGACTGCCTCCTGATGGAGTCGGGTGTAAAGTCGTAACAATGCTCTGAATTCGTTGTCTTTGCCATGGATAGCAAGTTTGGCGGCCTCTTCCGCGATACGAGCATCGACGACAACACTGACCCTGCCGATCTTCTGCAACATCATCATCTGCACGAGCGCGGTAATTTTACTATCATTGCATTCAGTCGCAACAACCACAATAGCATGCGCAACATTGCCGCAAACTAAGGATGTCTCTTCATCGCCGCTGATAGACAGTGAAATGACACTGCCTGTCCTCAGCCTTGAGGCAGATGAAAGAGAACCGTAATGACCATTTGCTTCGGGGAACACAGAGGGCTGATAGCCCTTTTCTGCAGCCGTCTGCGAGCTCAGTACATTTCCGAGCGAGTAGATGGTAGTGATCACAGCATCCTGCGATAACATCCGCAATATGTGGGAAAGACTCTGTGAGGCCATAGTGACCGCTTGCGGCTGTGAGGTTCCCTGTACTATAAATCGAAGTAGAATTCGAGCATAATTTGAGGCTGACTCCGGTATGAACTTCGCAACGACTGCGAGACTTTTCAGTGCGACGTCAGCAAGTTCGAGATCAGCCATCTGAATTTGATTTGCGATAGAGTCTTCCAGCCATCCAAAGAGATCTTCCGGGTCTGCTATGTCGTCGTCTAAAACAACGCAGTGCAGAAAAGCTTCCAACGCATAGGCCTTGACCGAAAAAGCCAGTCGCTGCTGCCAGGCGGAGCTCAGTTGAAGATAGTCTGAGCCATCTTCCAAAACATTTATCTGATCCGTCACAACTTCGACAAGATACTCGACCATGTCATCAGTGACATGCTCATCTTTGGCACCATGCAAATGACTCCCTGCAATATACTGATCAAGGATGTCACCACATTGCACAGTATGTTCATCACAAAGCATTCGAGCGGTGCAAGCGAGGACGAGTTTCATAAAACCTTTCTGCAGCATCATTGCACCAACCGGGATTCCCTGTGCAGCGAATCGCTTGAGGTATCTCCTCCAGTCTCTCGTGGCTTGTTCCGAGGAAGCAGAGGTTCTAATAGCAGAGGAAGCGGTCTCGACGGCAATAAGAAAGGCTTCAGACAAGGCATCCTTTAGTGAGCGGATCATCTCAACTCTTTCGTAGGAGGACCAGAAGTTCTCGTGTGATGCCGCCGCATCCATGAAGCCAAGCAGCGAGACCGTGACCGCGGCAATCTCCCTAGCCTCATATTCATTGTCTTCATCTTCTTCACCAAGTCTGGCACTAGACGCCAGTGCAGCTGCGCACTGAGACCAATTGCTCAGGTATGTCCTGAACGCAGTCGCAATACGATCCTTGAGTGGAGGAAATCTAAGACCAAGGATAAGGAGGGCTTCCGAGAGCTGATGCGTAAGCACTGTCCATGGCGCCGGCTTGATTTCATGCAGAAACGGTGAGGCAGCAAATAGCTGTGTATGAGCTTCAGGCAGATACGCTATGAGCTGGAAGGTCAACCGTTCCGCATGACTGTAGTCGTGTAGGTCGTGGGCGCTTGCGCAAAGAGCCAACAGAATCTCAAACTCACGTAAGGACATGTGTGCTCGAGATGTGGGTGCGATGGCTCGGAGGACTCCTTCGAGGACGCCATTTGTTTGGGCTTTGGCTGGCGATATTGAAGAAGCCAATCGCTTGAACTCCGCGTCTTTGTTAGGAGATGGACGTGACGACAAGCCCGCCAGTCTGGCGAAAGCCTGCCTGCGCAGGCCTCCGTGGCCACTAGAATAGCATAAGCACAGGTCAACAGTGGAGCAAGGGTAGTACATACACGTCCATTTGACTGTCTAGAAAGTGCTTTCGCACCGGGTCAAACAGATGTACTTGTAAACATGGTTGGTGATGCTGGCCTCAACTGGTTGCACAAGCGTGCTGCGTATTGGACAATTTATTATGACGCGAGAGAAGCCTTGGCAACGCCGACCGCAGCCTTGCCTTGTCAGTGAAGTTCATGGTTGCAGCCTTGCTTCTCGCTCACCCGCTCAATTGGGCTTACAGCTTGAACGGTGGCAGCACGCAAAACATAGCTTCCAGCAGGTGCGAATACTGTCCATGCTTCATAAGTCTCTTAGAGTTTGTGTGTGATCCACATAAGATTGGCAGCGCCTTTTTCACATCGTTAAATGCCTCTTTCTCTTGTCACGAACCTGGACCTCTCCTACCTGAAAAAAGCTGACCAATCCTTGATTGAGGATCTATTCCTTTCTCTCAAAACTTGAGGGTCTAATTGAAGCTGCTCCAGGAGACACATTTTCAACTACCACACCTCGGGATGCACAGCAGTTAAAGGCATACGTGTACATGTCTGTGGGCTCTGCACAGGGGAGAGGTCTACCAGTGGAAACCCGATACGTTGAATCCCTTCGACTCCTGCTGGAGACGTCTAGTTTCCCTCAGTTTTCCTCATCAAATTTGTCTCGGGGACTTGACAGAGCACTAGATCGATCTATCTACAGTCCTGCGTAAGGCGAGGATATTACCGTGGTTAGGATGACTCCACCTTCGACCAACTCCAGCAGGAAGAGCAAATGGAAATGTGAAAAATGCCAGGTAGGGTTCACTCAGAGTGAGTTTGCCATATCCGGTCTTGATTCAAGGTTGATCTGAACCTAATGGTGTCAACCAGAATCGTCGCTGTCAAGGCATACAAAACGATGTCTGAGCAATACCCCGGCATTGTCTCGGCGCAAAGCTTGTAAAGAATGCTCTGCCTCAAAGATAAGGTGTGATCTTGGACGCCCTGAATGTAGCAGATGCCTGTCGAAAGGCTCAAAGTGCAAATACGACCGCTCTTTTGATGACGACCATGGCTCTGAACAAGCCTCGAGCTTGGCAACCCAGCAGACCCAAAATCATGCCAGGAAGAGCCTCCCATCTGTGTCAAATCCATTTGAATGCCTGCCAGAAAGACAGATGTGGTCTGATTTCTTTGGGAGATCGCCGCATCCAACATTAAGCTCTCAACCCGGGTCTGCGGTTGTTATGACGTTTGTCCTCCGAGTCTACAAAACATATCCTCAAATGTTCAAGCATGGGCGGCCTCCTCCTTTTATCCACCCATCACAACTTGGTGACGGTATCAGGCTGCCTCTTCTCAGATGTAGCCGAGTCCTAGGCCTCTTGAAAGAATCTGATGCCAGAGACAGTCAAGCTACGCACAATGAAATCTCTAATGAAATAATAGCCTCGCTCGCAGAGGTAGCTCCCCCTTGTTAAGAACCGACTGGATTGACAGCTAAATGTGGTTTAGTATAAGAACTATGATGAAGGTGACCTGCTAGCCGCTTTGCAAGCATACAACCTTTACTCTATCGTGCTTCTGTTCTCCCCAGACAAGTGGGGTCGAACACATCGTGTTGAGCAAGCCCTCATCTTCGGACTTCAAGACATCTGCTTGGAAGTCGCAACTTCCGGAGTTCTGCTCAACGCTGAAGTGAACTTGGAGATTCCGGACTGGAATGAATGGGTAATGGTCGCCTCCAAGCGACGCACTGTTCTTGCTGCCCACACAGTCTTGTGGATCTGGTCACTTTTGCATGGATATCCTCCATTTGCGTGTCGTGAACTAGGTTTCATGCCTAGCCCAGCACCTAAAATCCTTTGGAACGCACCCAACGATAGGTGGCAAGATCTGTACCAGGAGTGGATGCGACGTTGGCCTGGTGGCCCACACCGTCTTGAGGAGCTACAAGCCCTCGGGACAGAGGTTGAAATAGATCCACGGACACAGATATGGCTGGAAGAGGCAGATGAGTTCGGTGTGTTATTGATGTCTGAAGGTATATGCATGGAGTCGATTGCAAAAGAGCATAGCTGACATATCAAGTAAACTCAATCCACTAAAGAGCCGCCAATTTGCTCATCCCAAACTTTAGCCTCAGGGGCTGACGCAAGGCTGGTACCCGGAATTCCGGGTTGGATCAGCATTGCTGAGTGTCCCTCCCAATCAAGCGGACAAATCACTAGATATATCAAGATGGGAGAATGCCCAAGTAACTCGTATACAGCGCATGGCCCTTAGCCCCCCCTCAACCCCCCCTTCGATTACGATCATTACCTGCGACGTTATCCTCATCATGAGCCAAAAGCCCCGACAGTACGATGTTGCTGTTTTGGGCGCCACTGGCTTCACGGCCGCTTTTGTTGCACAGATCATCGCCACAACATTCCCCAGTGGGACGCGCTGGACGATTGCAGCAAGGGATCCTATAAAATTGGCCCAGCTCCGGGGCAGGCTAGGTCAACTGAACCCAAAAGGGCCCGTGCCAGGCATGTCATTTCTCCGAATTAAAAACTACGACGGAGAAGAAAAATATTGCTGATAAGGTATAATAGATATACAAGCAATTGACGCTGTGAACGGAAATCTCAGAGAATTTGCACAAAACACCAAGGTCCTACTAAATGCAATCGGTCCTTACACGACTTACGGAGGATTGATCCTTGAAGCATGTGCATCCACTGGGACGAGCTACCTCGACTTCAGTACTGAAACACCATGGATTGAGGAAATGATTCTGAAGTACCACGCCCGAGCAAAGACAAATCGTGCGATCATCATTCCAGCCATCGGCAACTCAAGCTCTCCGTCGGCGCTGATCGCATACCTATTGGCATCTCAGTATCCCAAATACCACGGGACAGATGCCCAGGAAATAGTCAGCGCTTTTGGCATGAAAATCAATGGGATGAGTGGAGGCTCCCTCGCTTCAGTCACGGCAGTCGTCGCCCGGTATGGCATCCGCCATTTTTGGTCCCCAAACCCTTACAGACTCTGCTCGAAGATGGACAAAGGGACCTGCCGGGTCATCAAGCCGTTCTTCGGTTACAGCAATGACCCAACACTAGGACATCTTGCGACTTCCTTCGGTGCTCCTGGGAATGAGGCCATCGTATATCGAAGCACACAGCTTCAAGCTTCAGTATACAGTCCGCATATCACGTATCATGAATTCATGCCCGTGAGTAGCTCCACACAAGCTTTCATCATTCACTTCCTCACCAAACTTGGAATCCTCCTGCTGGCCATCTGGCCCTTCCGAGTGCTGGTCAACAAGCTTAAGCCTGAATCTGGTTCCGGGCCATGTCCAGAGACTACAAAGGATGAGAAGCTGGAGATAAAAGCGGTTGCAAGAGGTAAAGATGGGAAAGAGCTAAAGGCGGAGTATGTGTTCAACGAACCCATGTACTATCACAGCGCAATTCTAGGCACTGCAGCTGTTGCTGTGCTCTTAGATCTGTGGAAGAGTCAGGGTGGTCACACACCAGGTGGGCAGGATCCTGCACTGGATGACTTGTACGGTATCTTGACGCCGAGTTGTCTGGGTATGCCCTTTGTTGAGAAGCTGAGAGAGGCTGGTGTAACATTGAAGGTTTTGGATTGATCTTCTGTGGCTGGGAACTATTGAGTATGGCATCTCATAGAGATAGTAGCCCAACATATGGTTACATGGTTGCGAAATTGTTGGACTCAATCATACATTTGCTCTAACCAAATGAAACGTAGTCCACAATTGGTGAACACCAACTCTTTGGCGAGAAGACTGGGCGTTCTTGGAGTTGCTGGCATTCATTTGAGATGAAATCGCATCGATGATATTTTGGCTTGCTCATGTTGACCCTGCGTTTCTCAATTTCCGCAGTTCGAGAAACCACTCCTCCTCCTCCTCCTCCTCCACCACCACCACCACCACCACCACCAAGTCTTGCTGACTTGAGTGAAAGACTGCAAAGGGCCTCGCCTCTCTGATAGAAAACACGATCGAAATATGGCAGCTAATGAGGGAATTCTCGACCACTGGATTTTGCCGATGTATAATGGACCACAATTATTTTTGCAAATTCCTTCCACTCATGTCTCCAACTGGAGCCTTACCAGGAGAGTTTTAGTACTGGCGTCCACCTTGGCCCTCGATAGAGGACAGATGACAAGACGATGAACTTGTCGGTTCTCAAAATCACCGCTGATCAGACGCTTTCACCGAGATATACCACCACCAGGTGGCCCCAAGGGCTCCCTGCTGGAGGCATGACCTGTGTGTGTTCTCTGGACCTTGAGTGAGATCCATGATCAAATAGTCCGTGTCGGCTGCCGGAACGAAAATCAAGGAGCATTGTGCCTCTTGAGCAGCAAATCAACAGTTCCTCTTCCTGTCACCCACCGGAGCCATTCTTAATTCGATATCACGGATAGGGCGAATATCAGCCGTCTCAACATTCCCACTCCTTGTTCCCCGCCTCACGACTTCTTCGCACCACTCTTGTTCTTCTTCGCCACACCAGCAGCCCCCTGGGCTTTAGACTTATCCGCCGCCGCACTGGGGCCCTTCTTCCTGCCTTGGCCCAGCAGCTCCAGGTGGCCCGCACGTTGCCCTAGCATGGCTTCGGTCCTTGCAGTCAAGCCTGCGGTGTATTTTTTGTTGATTTTGTTCTGCTTGAGGAGTCTGGCTTTCTTGGGCGTGATCGAGCGCGTACCCTTCTTGGTAATGCCGCTGGATGAGGAAGAAGTGGGCTTTGCAGAGGGCTTTTTGACGATGCCTTGTGCCATTTTGTCTGGTTTGGATCTTTGATCGCTGGGGCAAGGAGAGAGGAGATTGGTTGCTGCGGTTAGACGACTTGACGCGCTAAGATTGAAATGGGCGACTGATTTGTAGAATCGCACGGCTGAAAAAGTATGGATTTTATCTAAGAACGCAGCTGATTGTAAACTTGTGATGAACGCTGGCATTTGACCATTTTTCCATTTGGAGAAGAGCTCTTGGCATGCTGGCGGATCAGCCTTGCGCCGTTGATCCTATTTTTTGAATTGCACATGCATCATGACTTCTCAATAGAAGCTTACTCCCTTGATCTCTATTATCCTTCAGGAGGGACGGATGTCTATCAGCAGCCTCGATGCATCTACATATCCATTTCTGAGCTTTGGGAATACTCGAGGAGGTCCAATAGTGTCAAGCAGTCGCCCCTTTGTTACTATACAAAGAGAGCATTCAGTTTTGAAGTCCCACAGAACAAAGGGCATTGTCCTCGGTTCTCATATTCATAGTCGTCGTTAGTTATAATCATGAGTCGTCGCCCCTTCTACATCGCTCTCGCGCTCCTCGTGTAAAACTTACTGTCCACAACTTGATGTTCAAACAGCTTTTGAAAGCCGTAATCCGACTTCACAAACGCCAACAACGCACTACAGCCTCACAAACCAAACAACAAACAGATCACAGCCCTCAGACTAGCAAAAATGCCTTTTACGTTGAGCAGAAGAAACTCCTCTGCGTCCAAAGTCTCATCCAGATCCGACTATGATACGGTAAGATTCTCCAACGTGTCTCGGATGAGTAACCAACACACACCTCCACGGGTCCCATCATTGCCTCCAACAGCACCAGTACGGTCGTCTAGCAGACCGGAGAGAGGGCTCCCACAAAGTCCAAGGTACGACAACGGAACGGGCGCCCTTGATCCGCAGCTGATCCGTGATAACCAACTGCCACCACATGTGAAAACAGCTAGGGACCTGTATGAATACCAAAAATTGAGACACTCTCAGCAAGTCGAACAATCAGGACCCAGTCACTCTGGCCAGGTGAGTCCCGTCGACTCTGGATCGTCTTATTCCGAGCGGCATTCACTTGCTTTGTCATATCGACCTAGCCAAGAATCCAGCGGTCGGTCGATTGCGCAGTCCTTCGACATACCGCGGTCGCTAGCATCTAGAAGACCAGCAGCGACATCCTTCGAAATCCCTCGACCGCAGGTCCACAAGACACCAAGATCTGCAAACCCAATGATCCGCGGCCTGAGAAATGTGTACACCATTCAGGCTGTCTCTCATATCCTCCCTGGAGCCACCCAAAAAAATCCATATGAAGGACATTACCTGCTCCGTGGCACGCTGAGAGATATCCCTGGCGAGCCGGCAGAGAAAAGTGGCTGGTGGAGGAAGAAAAATTCCAAGAAAGAAGCCGCAAGTGCCCCGGTGAGAGCCATTAATATCGAAACCAGCGGTTGGTATTCGGACTAGATTGGATGAGCCTTTCAAGTCTGCCCTCGCTAGACGATTAATTCATAAAGTGTAGCCCTGACCTGGTTTCTGTGACCTAGATCAATCCCCTCGGTAAGTGATTTAGAGCAAGAGCCACCAACTAAACCATCGTTCAGGAGGTCCATGAGTTTGAGTTGGCACTTTTTCAAAGCGAACAGGTAGGCTATTTAGCAGCGGCATCATTCAATGTAACGCAGCATCAACAATTCGTTTTCTGACCTCAGTGCTGAATCCTGTGCTATTTTCGCCGGTTCCAGAGAGTTCGGCATCGACAGCAGCTTCATAGGCTTTGATCACGCTGTCTTCATCGACCCTGACGCCATCCTCCGCGAGCACCTTGATACATTCCGAGATCTTTGCGATCTCCCTCCTCGTTCCCTCTCCAATATCGTCGTTTTGACTAGAGTAGATGACACTGCTGACAGCATCATCCAAGTTTGAAATACTTATACCTCCCGCTATCTTTGTTTCTTCCTGTTCGATGTGTTTGCTTAGCCAAATATACCCGTTGACCCCGAGGATAACGTCGACATCGCCGCCCCCCTGAGCACCACTGTTGATCGTGAAGACCTGTCTCCTGCTGCGGACGACGCCGCCGCCGCCGCCGGTCCCCGAAACAGCGAGGAACATGCCGTTGCGCAGCTTACCATATTTTAAGCTCCTCGTGTGTAGACTAGCCGTTCCGTCACTGGCCCCAATCTGCTGCACCTCAGCAACAAGCAGGTCACCCTCCTGAAAGTAGTTCCTCATTTGTAGCTCGTCTGCAGTAGTGCGTCTTCTTAACACTCCACCGGGAAGGTTGATTGACGAGAGGGGTAATTGGGCGAGTAGCGGTGCTGCAACATCTACCTTCCAACGGCTCTTCTGCACCTCCACGATGCGGCCAACAACAAGGTCTCCGATTTCCGGTGTGTATCTTGCGCGGAGTGGCGCGACTGAGAGTAGTTTGTTCGTCTTTCGTAGAGGGCCGGCTAGAGTAGCAGTAATCGTGCTTGAGAGGTCGGCCATGAATGTCCCGTGTCCTCTTTTTGATGACGTCGTTAGCGATCCTGAACAGCTTTCCCGTTGCTTGGAGTAGGGAGGTTACCCTTTACCTACCTCATCCATTGCGTCTCATCTGTGACAAGCTCTCCAGGCAACACGATATGTCCGATATTGCCAGAGGTAAGTCGAGGGCGTTTTGATGGTCGCCCATCGTCGTCGTACATCGACTCATCGCTGTCCGTGTCTGGCTCCACGCCATAGTTTGAAGTCGCTTTGACATGAATCTCTTCAGCCTCTGGGGGGAGAACCGCGAGACCCATTGTTGCGAGGAGCAGCAAAAAGAGCGAGGGCTGCGTACTATCGGAATGGTGGCATGTGAAGAACACAACTTTGAGGACGAGATTATGGATGTTTTTTTGATGTCATGTGGAGATAAGATCCCCGCAGCCCTCTCCTTATCAGATGAGCACGTACTCCGTACAACAGTTAGAAAAAGTCGCTGAAGTCATCATAGTTCTGCCACGAAAGGACCGCCTTCTTCCCGCAAAACAATCGTGCTCCTGACAATCTCGTCATATCGTAAATAACTCGAGACACCAAACGCTATGGTACGTCACAAGAAAGATGGTTCGTCTGCAAAAGCGAGAAAATATTCTACGAATCCACGCCATACCAGTCGTTCACAAAGAGATGGCGACGGCGAGGAGGGCGTGGCCGAACGGCCACCTTTCAAAGCAGCATGCTGGGACTTTGGGCATTGCGATTCTAAGCGATGTAGCGGTAAGCGACTGATGCATTTCGGAATGATGCGAGAGCTACCCATCGGCCAGAAGCACCCTGGAGTTGTGATCTCGTAAGTTTTTCAGAAATGCCAAGTGTAGTTGATCTTTGTTACCATGCTAAACAAATTACAAGGCCGAATGCGAAGACGATAGTGTCACCTGCAGATCGCGAACTGCTAGAGCAGTATGGTGCCGCAGTTGTGGAATGCTCGTGGGTAAGGGTCCAGGAAATACCATGGTCGCGCATTGGGGGAAAATGTGAACGACTACTCCCTTATCTGGTGGCCGCCAATCCTGTCAACTATGGAAAACCGTGGCGACTCAACTGTGTGGAAGCCCTTGCCGCGTGTTTTGCTATCTGCGGACACCTTGACTGGGCCGAGATCGCGTTGCAGCATTTCCCATATGGAGGGCCATTTCTTGAGATTAATTCCCAGCTTCTCAAACGCTACGCCGCATGCGAAAACGAGGAGGAGGTGAAAAAGGCCGAGGAAGGCTGGCTCGCTAAGCTTGAGAAGGAGTACTCAGACAGTAGGCTCACCAAAGGTGCAGCCGGCGGAGATGATGATTGGGCTGGAGGCAACATGAATAGGATGGAGCGATCTCAGGACTCTGACGATGATGGCTCAGCAGACGGGTCTGACGACGATGGCTCCGGCCCTGGTCCCCAAGGTGTGATGTTGGACTTGCCTCCAGACGAGGACGACGAGGACGAAGAGGCAGAGATGGCAGAAATCAGGAAGAAGATTCTCAACTCACGGCCTTTCGCCGACACTGTCTCAAATACATCACAGGAGAAAAGCCAACCGCCGACGAAACGCCAAACACAGGCTCCTGAAGTCCACCAGGCCAACGAACCACCACTGGTGGACTCCGACGCTGAGTCTGGCTCGGCCGAAGAGGACTACGATGATTTCGACCAGATCGCAAATGCAACACCGGTCACCGATCGCACGGGAATCGTCGCCCGAGAGAGGCAGAAAAAGCTAGAGCAATCAAGTGCATCATTCTCACGGACTGAGCTCCCTGCTCCGCGGAAGTGGTGAAAAATGGTTTACATGGAGGCTGGATGGTTATTGCAGGACATACATCGAACACTCCTGACACGGCGGACCACCCGTCTTTCAATACTTCCCACAATCTTGCTGTCAGAGAGGTGATCTACGACAATCTGAGAAGCTGGGGCCTGGTGATCAATTCACAGATAGTGATGTTTATTCTTATGGGCTGTTGAGTTCTACATGGATATTCTGAAACAAGGCACAGGCTGTGCCTGAAAGGGCATCAGGGCGCTTCTTTGTCCAAAGGCACGACGACGTACCACCAATAATCCTATTTTGAAGGAAAGAACCCCACTACTGAACTGCTTATACTGCCGAATTCTCACTTCCACTTTCCCTGCCAGCTGGAACCCAGTCACTTGCAAGCAGTTACTACAACAGCTATTTGACGGCTCGGCCAGCACTTTGTGGCAAATATGGTCATGAAGCCTTCCTTCGGTAGGAAGACAAGGAGGCAGATTCGTCCACATATCAAGCTTCACCGCAAGCAAACGGGATGGGGTGGCTTCACAAGATATAGTGCCTTCCTGTTATTACAACACGGCATTGCCATTTAGGATTGGCCTAAGCGACAGGGTATCAATATGATCTTGGAAACCACCAGATCTCCACTTCCTGACATTCACATGTTGCGACACCATCTATAACGCTCCAATCAAGTTTTCAGAAGACCACTGAAACCGCATCAGTCCCAAATACAAGATATAACTGCATTGGTTCTTGACCTACTGCAGCTCCTTGGCCCAAACCATCATGAAGAGTTTTGCATACTAACCGGAACGCTACTTAGCCATTCCGGCAATCTGATAGATTGCTGCTAGTGACCCAGGCCAAGGTGAGAGATAGGCTTCGTCTATCAAGCTTGACTTCGAAGAGGCTGTGTCCATGGGCTGAAAAGCGTGGTTGTTCTCCATCATTGCTGAAATATCAAGCTGTGCTGAGTTCTGCATGGTGCCTATTGGATCCGCTGAAGGAAAAGGCATTACGCAAGAGTTCGTGTCCAGATAGGCATCCATATCAAAAGACAAGCTGGATGAACTCTCTGTATATGGGGGACCCAGTCTATTTGTGATTCCATTACTGTGAGAGGACTCGTTTCTCGAGGGAGATTGTAGCAACTGCTCGGACATGTGCATGTTAGGGGATGTTGCTGGCACGATGGCGGTGTGATTGATAGTGGCTAGAGAAGAATCGGAGTTCTGGCGATGGACCGTTGAAGTTTTACTGAGGCATGATTGGGGAGGTGAAGGGAGATATTCTTCCTTCATAGGAGACTCTGCAGAAGATAGTCTCCTCGAGTGCTCGTGTAAGCTGTCAGGAGGGTCACTGAGGTTGACACCATTTTGTAGGTCCCCTAGCCGTCCTACATCCTCAATCGACGGTCTCAGGGCCAACGCATCAAGGATTGCAGCCGTGGAAGGAGGGCCGTTTGATTCATCTGGGACAGGCCCAGGAAAGCCGGAACCGCGTCGACATGCCCAGTACAGGCGCTGTAGAGCCTCGTCGGTCGCTTCGCGCATTTGGTAGTAGCTAGAATGTTAGACTGAGCCGCCGTCCGTATGATATGGACTTACTAGCTTCTGGCTTCTCGTCCTCTCCTCGCAGTATACATACAAGCACTTTGACTGGCTTGGCATGTTTTGCAAGGTGTTTTACCATCACACTTGGACTTCTTCAGCCGGCAGCGGTCGCACGCGCGCGGCGTTCGACATTTAGCCTTATCATTGCTTCTGCTATGGTGTTTCGTATTGGAGATGACGACCATGTCAATGGATGACAAGGCAGAGGATTGGGATGTTTATTTGGAAAGACTTGAAGCAAGAAACCTTTAGAAAGGAAACCCAGCTGGATACAGCCGAGTTGAGGAGTAACATGAGGTGGGATAGAGATGATATGGATTTTGCGTAGGGAAGTTGCCGCACAGCAACGGCTCCTGATCGCCACCATGGTGGGGAACCTCCCTGTGGTCGGAGGGCGAGGTGTTGAAAGGTTTTGAAGTCGACGTAATTTCGGAGCATGATCGCAGAGCACGTTGGGATCAAGGAGCACGTACCATTGATTGGCTGCTTGCAAGGCGCCCTCCTTGGTTTCTTCTATCTTGCTTTGGTAGGACTTGCAGGATTGAAGAGGGGGATCGGCAATGCAGCGGAAACAACTTCCAACAGGGCTGGGAAAGATTATTCTCCAAGCCCCGCCAAAGATGCTGGTTATTGGGTGCCCCTCGCAGCCGGAGTTCAATTTCCGACGTCGCCTGCGCGAGATCATTCGTCTAAGCACATGCTCCAGCCATCGGAATCACATATGATCTGGATGACATACCTCGAATGCTGTCATCCACGCCGTTATCCACTCAGCGGACCTTTTCTCCGGGGTTCCTCACCAGCTGAAAAACGATATGGCGAGCTCATCAAAGACTCCAAGGGCTACTGGTCCTCAGTGCAGTGTTCGGCACAGGCCCTTCCAGCATTGGATTGTTCTCCCCCATCGCGTAGTGTCGAGCAATTTGATATCTGTTCGATAATTCAGAGGTACACTCGGCTATTCGCAGGTTCCGCTTCATGCATGCTCACCCACGTCCCATGGGATTTTAAGAAGCGTTGCCATATTGCCACATTGCCACCAACTTCCCCGCCTTTCATATCCGGATGGTAAGAACTGGTGGTGGAAGGCTTGATAACGTGCGATGGCAGCCTCCAATCCCACCTCACGGACTTCATCTGCCAAGGTGACTTCTTGTTCTTGCTTTAAACGCAGCACTTCTTCATATCATCCGCTGCTCGCATATTCTAAACATTGGTCAGAGCTGAGCCAACCTGTATCAATCACAACACAGCAACAGCCCCCCTCGCACTGCCAAAACATGACTCTGGAGTCCACATTCTCAACTCCATTCCCCATCGATTCGCCAACTCATCAATGGCAATTTCCCATATTCCCAGATCATTCATATGCACACGGGGGGGCATTCCGTGGTCTCCCACTATTTGCACAGGAGGACATCCACTCACAACCCCAATCGCCTACTCTTCTGCAAGTTCAGATCCCCCAGTACGTTCAACCGCAGGAATTGCACACGTCGCTTTTCCCCACGGAGCCCCAAAACCCAACACAAAGTGAGAATCGCTATCTGGAGCGGTCCAACTTTGCATCTCTCGATCGCCAACACAAACCGCGACGCTTGTCTCTTGCTCTGTCTGACATGAACAACGAAACATACCGACCGCGGAATACACGACCGAGGCGGCAGAGCGCAGCAACAACCCGCACCACTCCTCGGTCGGACAAACACGCAAGAGATTTGGAGCTCAATCGCAGGGCGGCTACCAAATGCCGTAACAAGCAAAAGATCTTTGTGGAAAACCTCCAGAAGAGATGTCGTACGGAGGAGGAAAGATTGCATGAACAGAAAACACTTGTGCATGCTTTGCTCAATGAGGTTATCGACCTCAAGAATGAGGTGATGAGACATAGCCTCTGTGGATGCCAATCGTTACGCACCGCTATTCTGCCACCCACTGCCTGACGCTTCCATTAGCACATTGCATCAATTTCGGTGTTGTATGTGTGCTCACACAATGGCCAACCCCTTGCTGCTTTCCACACAATCCTTAAGTCCCCCACGAGTCGTGGGCTCTTTCGGGTGCTCAATGAGCATTCTGCCTCGTTGAGCAGCACCTCAGTTTGTGGTAATCGGCAATAAGTAGTGGTGAAGCTTCAAGACACTGTCTTCCTATACCTTCTCATGGTGCCAATCGTCAGGATCTTTCAAGCGTTGCGAATGCTGAGCTTGTCGGCAGACCCATGCTCATGTGGACCCAAAATAATTGCTCCGGGCTGACCATTGGCAGCGTCGAGACTCTCCACTCATATAGAACCCTCATCGCTTTATAGCATTATGTCCTTCTCCACAGCGATGCTTGACTCCTGAGATTTGCATATTTTTCAAAGATGCGCAGGTTTAGCCACTAGTGGATTTCAAAGGGCATGGAATCCTACAGATCAAGGTTCGGCGCATGCACAGTCCCGATAATCTCGACGGCTTCAGTCGTTGATGATCATGATAAGGCCATTGTGACAATCGAGAATGGACGAGAGTCTCATTGTGGACATCAAGGCACAAGATATGAACTCTCATTGCGTGACATCTTCCTCTCCATCAACACATCGGTAGCAAACCGCCACCACTGCACAGCAGGTATGGCCGCAGAGTCAGAGTCAGCGGCAGGGCTTCCCAGGCGATCCACTTGTGGCATCCCTAGCTAAAGCGTCTTCACAAACCATATAGTAGTCTTGTCTCGACCCTCCTCGCCGCTATCGCCATCGTCGAGGACCTGGGGGAACCGTATGAACCCCACTTTAGGATAGAAAATCTTCCCTTCTTGATTTGCCGCCGCCATGAGCAAGTGGATCCCAGGGGTTTGCATTTCCTTTGCCCTCCTTTCCATTGTGCAGATCAATTGACGACCGTAGCCTTGTCTTTGGTAGGAGCTCAAAACATCGATGTGAAGATGGCCAGGGTAGTTCTTGATCAAGTCAGGCGCGTCAGGGTGCAGCGATCCTTCGGGGTGGTGCATGATCTTCTTCAGCGCATTGGGAAGGTTCGTATCCCAATCTGACGGCTCGTGAGCTCCGGGCTCCTCAAGACCTTTGGAAATCAAATACGGCACATACACATCCTTGTACTTCTGCACAAAGCTTCGCGTGTCCATGACTCCTAAAAGGTATCCGACCGCGTTTCCATGGTCATCGTCCAGCACCCAGCATGTCTTCGGCTGTAACATCAGATACGGGCGACACCATATATGGGAAGCCAGGTAGAGAACTAAGTCACCCCCAGCTCGCAGATCCGGTGCCGCTGTCTCGTTGAACTTTAGGACCATGTCAGCAGCGAGCCTTTCGCCGCGACAGCAAGCATGGTTGGACCCACAATTTGTATCACCGCCTCCTGGTCTGTGTCTTGGTATTGCCGTATGAAAGGCATTTTTCTTTACTGTTTTCTCGCAGTCCAGACTCGTCTGGATTAAAGCAGCAGTTGACACGTACACGGAAGAGTCAAATCCTCCTTCAACCGTCCTTATGCACCGTAGGCGTTTGCCGGTCACAAGTTAGAACGACGTCTTCACCACCTCATCTCGCCCAGCTGAGGCAGTGGTGCAAGCTTTAAAACATGGACTATGATGCCAAGTTGGAAGCTTGTCTCAGCGGAGACTGGTGAAGAACAGCGTTGTAGCCTCCTACAAGATATGTGGATCGTGATGTCGATCACGCGATTTGAAAGATGACCAGCTCCGACATTGAGCCGGGCACAGGTATGCCTGGCTAGAATGCTTCTAGTTAGTCAGAGAGTTAGGTCTCTCGGCACCCGCCCAAGTCTTGTAGCTGGAGTGCAGCATCGAGCAACGGGCAAACGAAGAGCTCTTTATACACCACGATACGGACAATGAACTCTGCAATTTACCTCGGGACTCCATACCATGGCAATCTGTGCTGTGCATTTACACAGAAACCACCAGAAACGATCAACAACAGGTGGTAATTTGGCCAACGAACCCACTTTCCTTCAGTCTTGCAGCATTTCCTCGGCCCTCGTGTGGATTCTGTGTTGAAGAACGACCACTGTTATGGTCTGGAAGAGCCGGAACCAGCTTGCTGTCAATCTTGGGATACTAGCTGTCCTAACCTCGTGACTGTCTGGTTCATGTTGTCTTGAATGGACCCACCAGGAGCCACGGCTTGGGGAGGTCGATATCGGAGCCGTCTCGTATGAGAATGAGTATCTCAAGGTAGGCCTCGATTCTACGAGTAGGGACTCTGCCGATGCACATCTCAAATGCCAACCCCTGCAACACCAATTGTTGACATTCGCTCCCTTCATCTCCGGGCGGAGCAAACGGCAGACAAGTACTAACTCAAAGCCCAAAGGAATCGTACGGATCGGTTGTTTGTCGGTTCTGCTTAGCTGAGCATTTTGAGCAAACTGACTACTCGTGGGAAGTCAGAAGTCATCAGATCCTGTACTGTCTGATGGGCTCTACTCGTACGCCAAGATCGACATTGCATCTAACCAATCAGCGAGTCCGGCGGGCGTGACTCATGCAAACTGTTCTGCAGGACCGTGTTGGGATTAACCTTGACAGAATCACCAAGTCTCGGCCTGCAGGCGTGCTTTTTCGAGGGATTTTGCTCGGTATACATACTATTGACCGCCAATCTAGACCCTATAGAGCACGGCGGAGATCCCGATGACAGTCTTTCCTCGTAGTCCAGGGACGAAACGACTGGCGGGCGCAAGAGCTGGCCGATGTGTGCTTCGCAAAGAATAGGCCCGCATTCTCACCCGGTGCTTCAAAATACGGCCACGAAGGCACTGCGTTCAATGCTCAGGCAGCTAATGAGTGGCTGGTGTCCCATTTTGAAAAGGACATGTCGGCGCCCCACTTATCGTGGTGGGTTTCTTCATTTATGCATTTAACATCCAGAGATTGACCATGGTTGTTCGCTAGTACTGGCCACCACTCCTCGTAAGGATTGGGATTTCAATCTTCACCGCGCTTTCGGCTGCAACGTGCAAAGAGAAGTTGGATGTTAACCGCGCTTGATATCTCCCGTGCGGCCAACTCGAGGGTCTCGAAAAGGAGTGTGCCCAACTAAATGTTCCCCCAAGTTCTAGCAAGGCAACCCTCGACCTCCACATTTGGGTTCCCGCTGGCCGAGGAACTGAGGACGAATATTGCTAGTCATCAATACCGAGTCGAGGTAGTCACGAGGCTAGGAAATATGTGGCGAAAATGGGAAAAGCGTACTGCTGTACGTACTCGTACAAGGGAAGTATTTAGCTTCAGGGAAGGCTCGTCTCGTAAGTTTTTGGGGCTCGTTACTTTCTCGCCAAGTCGGGAACTTGTAGCCTCGAGGCCTGCGAAGTACCCAAGGTAGGAGAGTATCGTGTTTCTTCCGGGTGATGCGACGGGAGGATTGAGAGTAGAAAAGCCCCTAGTACTAAAGCTCTCAGAGCACGAGCTACTCGGAAGATATTGCGATGATGAACTTTAGTGGAAAGGAGAACGGGACGATAATTACAATACAAGGGTACCTTGGACGATTAGTACTCGTGGTGCTTGAAGGGGTATAGGTTGCATGTACGAAGGCGGTAGGTGTACGAGTAACCTAGGCATCCCGCAAGCTCAATTGATGGACATGGATTTGAGCGGCCTCGAACGCCATGGGCTTTCCACATCTCGCTGCAGGAATTCGAATATCGCAGACCTATGTCTTCTTGACCTTTGCCTGGGTACATTTCTCTGACAGACCTATCGAAATTGAACACATGTGCAGAAATGTTGCCTTGGTGATATGTACGATGTCTGCAGGAATGGCTGACCGCCCCTCGGAAGCCTTCTGATAAGGAAGGAAGCGGATCCCTGTTCGTGGGCTCGCTACTGTACATCTGTGCCAGTACTTATCAAGCAGCAGGAGGCGGGGCAAAGCATTTTGTTGATGGTGAATCTGATTGAAAAGCAGGGTCTTGGACTCATCGGTAACGCCTTACACGGATATCGGCACATTCGCCAAATACCGAGACGGACCCGTTGATCGATCGAAGGGGGAAAAGTCAAACATTTACTAATTAGCTTTTTTGGTACGGGCTAGTGCCTTTTCGGGCAAGCCAGCCGCCCGGTGTGCAGAGCCTTGTGTGCGGTGCATTCTTCAGAGCACGTTTTCGTCGTTCATGTCTAGAACGGCCATGAGGTGCCATCTTGGTGGATCCGAGGGGTTCAGCGCTGAGGCCATGATCAGTCAATGTCAAGGTTTGGTTGAGACGTCAAATCGAGAACAAGCTCCTTTTGGGAGTGTTCCCGAGAGACAAATTTTTCGTGACCCACGTGGTTCTCTTCAAATGTCTTGTGGGAACGGGCCGCGCGATTAATGTGGCAAGGGGACCAATGGGTTGGGGTTGAGTGGGTGAATGGCGAGCCACTTTCTAGTAGGTTCGTAATTTTCTTTTGGGAAAAGTCGGGTCTATCGCGGAACAAGGCTCCCATGGGAAGACCGACGCGTGGTGGGATCGGAGGACAGCCTTGCGATAAATGGGAAAATCGCTTTGTATCTCACATGAATACGGACGGGCACATGTCGGCGTGAGCGTGCGGTAGATGAATGAGAAAGTTGAGCAATAGAGGAAACTAAGAGATACCATGTTTGCTTTGGAGATTGACAATTGTGCATTTTGAGATATGCCTATCTAGGGATGACCATCCTGTACAGTCTCCCATCCTCCTTGCAGCTGGAGTTCCAGGCGGGGTAAAAAACTCAGCAGGAGAAGAAGTAAAGAAGTGCAAACACAGGTGTAGAGTGCATGAGCCTCATCCAATAGCCTATGTCAAGCGCACATTCTTCAATCAACATCGTACTTGATTCTGCACCCTGCTCTGGGACCAGCAGAGAGATGCTCATCCGAGCTCTCTGCGTTGCGATTTTCTTTTTCTCAGCAACACTTTTGGGGTTTGATCTTCGAGCCAATGTCCTCGTACAAATTTTGGAACTTCTCAGAAGATTCGGTGGGGAGGTTCCACCTTCGACTGGACTCGCGAGTCCGCCTCTTGGGACCCATTCGGGCCAAGTAGCAATTTGGGTATCATCGATTATTAAGTAGTGTCGTAATGTCGTGTTAAAATGCAAAACCAGAAGCCGAGGGCAGTTTCATCTCGCGGGTCTTCGCGAGGGAGTTCGCATTAACGACAATCCACCCAAGTCTTCCTCTCCGTCATCCTGATCCAGAGGAAAGCCGTACTCGTCCAACTTAGGCTCCGAAATCCTCCTCGGTTCCTCCAGTCGTTTCCGTTCCTGTTCCGTCAGGTATTTGTCTTCGGTGGGTGATGTTTGGCATTCTCGCTCCGTTCTTGCGATGTCTTGAAGCAGGAGCTCGAGTAAATGGCCGTGGCTGAGTTTGAGTCTTAGATCATCATGGACGACTTTGTTAGAGGACTTTCTTCGTGCTGTCTCGGCCAGGTGATATGTCTCTTCCCGAGATAGCCGGCGTGATGGGGATGGCGGTGTGAGATCACGTGAAGGCGGCCTGCTTAATGGCTGCATCATTGATAGAGGCATGGTTGGATCAGTGATTTTTCGTTGTCGAAATAATCCAAAGAAGAATCAGCGGTATTGAATAATTAAGGAGCCGGATCACAGTGGATCTCTAGTGTGAAATTTTTCTGGGTCGAGGTTGTGTTGCTTGCGTGTCGAAAGGAATTTGACGTAGTATTGTAATAATCTGCTTGAGTCGGTGTCGGAGATTGAGCCTCGCCTTCACATGGGCAAAGGACGAAAGTCGGGTGAACTTTATTGTGACGTGACGGGGTTCAGGTCCCAATTCGGTGACGGCCAAACTTTTCCGAAAGGATATGTCTGGTTCCAGCTGCGGAAGAAATATTCTTTGTGAAGTGTGAAGGGATGGTATGAGCCATTGAGGAGAAATAGCGGTATGTATATGTTATGATCAACCGATCATTAAACACTAGTAACTTTTGGTTGACGGGTGCCTGAGTCATCGATTTCCTATCACCGTGGCATTAAAGAGTCCGCGTCGTATTCGCCCGTACGTGCAGTGTTGTAAAGCCCGGCGAGCCGAGAAACCGGGGCTTAGAAGCACAGATGCGTGGGCGTACACAACGACACAGGGCGTCTCGCTCGTCAGCAGCAAAGCCAATCTGACAAGTCAATGAGAACAGCCGAATCAACGTGAGCCCTTGACTCACGCCTAGCTGCCCAGAGATGGCAGTGCATCACATTGGCTCGCAGGGGATGGCGCAATGCAAGACAAAATGGCATTGAGTTCGCCCGGCCGGATCAATGTTGCCGTGCGAAAGCATAATTGCCCAGTTGCCCAATATTGGCTGCCTGGCCAGTGGCTGCGTTCCTGCAATTGTCGAGCAATCCGGCTCGGGGTAGGGTCCGAGCCTACGGAGATATGGATGATGGATACGGAGAACGAGACCTGGATTCCTGGGCTCCTGGACTTCTGGGCGAGGCAACGGACTTTGGTGCACAACCTGCACTGCATCACTACACCTAATCACCGCCAGCACCTCGACGGACAGCTCGTTGTTACTCCTCAAGCACTTAAGCCCGAAACGTTCACCCAGACACCTATGCCTCGTCTCTTGTAGACAACTGTACTCCTTCGCTGTGATCTCCGAACCGAAAATGCTAACACCAGCGTGCTCTGACCGTGACTCAAGACATCATTCACATGGGCTCGTCAAATTCTGTCTAGCCGGCTAAACGCTCACAATGAGCATTATTGTGAAACCCGTATGGCGCATGTTAGGCACGGATTCGGCGACTCTCCAGGACCCGAGGGCACGCCCCCCTCGGCCGCCCTTGCCACGGACTAGTAATCCAGTTCCAGTTCTTTCCCCTCGGTCACGACTTCTTACTATCCGTCACCAATTGAAATTGGCTTACGACAATTTTATCCGTGCTCGTATGACTACGAGGCTGAAGTTTGTTCACACAGGCAGCAAACAGCCAGAACAGGAGGGTGGGGCGTACCGAGTACGATGGGGTGAGATTGATCCTCAATCAGCTGACACCAGAGCACTTGCGGAGGGACTGCGCGTGCAGCCTCTGAACACCAGTACGAAGTACGAGGCAGGCACGGCTTGGCCTTCGGCTGCACCCAGTCAAGTCCGGGAGGCTACAGGCCCTTGTTCAATAGCTTCCAGAACATTCCTTGTTCCTTCCTTTTGCAGATCGTTCATCCAGGTACGACGCACTAGTACGAGGAACGGCCCCACGGACTCCTGAAACATCAAACCACCGCTGGGAAGGAGTGGGAAAGTTGAGCCATTCGAGGATGCCTGGCAAAGCCCCCTTCACCAACAGGTAGCATTGGACACGTCGAATAGAAATCAGACAGCGCCGAAGCTCACTATTTGAGGCTCACTTGCAAGAGGGTAGTTCCATACGAAGTACGGTTCAACCACGCGTCAGTTTCTGTTATCCGTATCCGACATTGAGACGTAGGGTAGCTATCACTCATGCCATTAACCATACGTCCGTACCGGCGCTAAGTTATTGCGTCCTCTTCATTAGAAGGATATCGCCTGGTTGATACGCAGAGAAGATCATCGAGTCTGCGGTTTGTCAGGACTCCATGATTTCCAATCACGCCAAGTAATATCACGTGAGTCGGAATCTTGACTACTTTGCCATGCTATGACGTAATATACTGCCCTAGCTACATCTCTAATTGAGAAGATTCCCTGCAGAACTGTTCTTCAAGTGCCTTGAGGTATTGGGCATATGTTCCAGCCAACGACTCCTGCTAGATCAGCCAAGTGAGGACGTCAGGCCGTGGCGTTCCGAGTCATTGAATCTTAAAAATGCGACCAACATTCAAGCGGCCCTGATAATCAGCAGTACATTCGCTGTATTCGTAAATGATGGCTTGCGGCAGCTTCAATATTTTACTACTAGCCACAGCGCGGTTCCCATGAGCAAGAGGCAGAGACTTTCTAGTACTGTTCGTGGTATTGAATGTCCAACTTCAACTATGACGGTGGCACGGTGAAGTTCCGCTTTTCAACAGAAGCCATCATGGGTGCACATGAATGAGTTCGACTGACGGCGACTTTCTCAAGTTAAGCCCGCTTCTCTAAGCATTTGAAAATCCGGCGCCACCGACTCTGCCACTTATATCGTCGAGTTTCAGGCTTACATACTTACTAACGCCCTTCTCAAGCCCGCTCGTGCGGCAGCGGTCAATTTAAAGTGCTCATCGAGTGGCCTCTTTCTTTTTCTCGTCCTTTTCCTCACACCGCGCATGAGCCTCAGTGTATCCAGGTCATGTTACGATTAACTGTGGCAGTGGTTCCAGTTGCATAATCATCTCCTCCTTTCTCTCCAGGCACTACTTAGGGCCAAATCAAATCTTCCTTCCCGATTCGGCTTCTGTGAATCTCTCGTGAGCTGTGTCTCCCTCCGAGACTTCACTAATCACACTAGCTCTCCTCTCTTTTGCAGCCTTCTCTTTCGCCAAGAACCGTTCTTGCTCCCTTCGACTCTTCTTCAGATCCACAAAGAAGCAGAGGAGACAGAAGCTGAGCAAGCTCAGTCCGAACAAGAAGTAGAAGGGAAGGCTGTTGTTCCCATTCGGCGAGGCGTCGATTATCGCACTGCTCACAATGGGTCCAATGAATGCACTGGTCTTGCCCATGATACTGAAGAGCGCAAAGAACAAGAACTCTTTGCCTCTGGGCGTGACCTCGCTAATCATTGTCTGGCTGTATGCATACCATGGACAGACCTGCCCTGAGTAAGTAAAGAGATCTTGTTTCGTTGGCTCTGAAGAACGTACAACCAGACCATACACCACCTGGTAGAGCCAGAATTCCCATTCGTTATGGAATCCAAATTTCTGGGCACCGGAATAAGTAGGAACATCGGAAGAAAGACTGGTCCGTTGTTACCTGGCTCCAAATTCCTATCATTCCCCATGCGTCAAGCAATAGTATGCCGAGCATGACAGCATCAAACATGACCTTGGTACTAAGACCGAATCGTTTCTGAATCAACCAAAAGCTGTAAATGCCAATCAATTGTGCTGCAATGCCCACAATGAGCAGATACGTCAGTTTCAAGGTGTTGTATGAGACAACAGAGTTCTGTAGAGTCGCGATCACAGTCACTGTCGTGTTCAAGGAGTCTCCTAATAGGAAGTAGCCTGAGCAGAATCGAGTCAACAATCAGCACAAGGTCAAGTTCTCCAAACTCACCAATGAGATATAGGAGAGTTTGCTTCAACTCCCAGATCTGAACAATCGCTCGATAGATATTCCAAAATCCGACGCCCACAATATTCATTCCTACGGGAAGCCTCTGTCCTGGCCGACGCTTCTCCAGAATAAACCATGGTATTGCAAGTAGAATCCATACACCGGTCGCATATGCTATGAGAACGCTTAGTCCCCAGAGGTTGTTAGCTGCACTGGCATTCACATCCAAGGCGAACAGTATTCCGACCAGGATTGCTAGAATGATGATCTCGCCAGCGGATTGAAAGACAAAGGCCATATTGTAGATACGATTGCGCTGCATCATGTCCGCAAAGTCATAGTCATCTCGAGTGATCTCTCGATTTTCATATTTCTGAGCCTGGGCCCGCATCTCTGGAGTGTTTCTTGCCAATCCTGGAAAAGCTGCTGTCCAAAATGTAATACACATTTGGTATGCGATCAATCCCACCATGTACAAACCTGTCGCTACTGGCCATTTGTCCTCAGTATGAACGCCCAGCCATCCAAATCCGAGTCCAAATGCAACAATTGACCAAAAGATGAGAATCCAGGGCCTCCAGGTACCATAGTCGGCCATACTTCCCAGGATGAGGAAAAGGACCACTTGAATCGCAAACGATATCCCATTTGCTAGAAGGACGATACTGTTGATTGTTCGATTGGCACCTAGAAATCGCAATCTTTCACTATCTCCGGCAGCTTCATACAGTAAATCCTGAAACGACGTCGGGGCGAAATTGAACAATGTTAAGCCATTGTTGCCAACATAGTAAGAATAATAGGCCCAACGTTCCCATTTGGTGGTCTCATATTTGGTGATGAACTGATCGGGGGCAACAGGATGATCTTCGTCGACTAGACCATTGGGATTGTCTGTGCTGCTGTCATTTCTTGGGTCCTCTGCCTGGGCAGAGGCTGCAGCGGCCGCGAGACCGGCGTTTGCGACTGACATGGTGAAATTTACAGCAGAGAGTATGACTCGAGGATGTCGAGGCGCGCGACAAGCCACTTAAAAGTAATTAGTTACGAGGCAAGGGAAACTCGTAATGCAGTCCTAATCCGCCACAAACCTCTAGCTTGGGGAGATCGCGTTGCCGCATAAGCGCAGGGATGTTTTACAGATAGCGCCCACTCGAAGTGGTGATAGGTGACAGACGGGACTGTGGACCACGGATACCCAGTGATGGTCCGCTACAACTACCCTTCTCTAGCTAGGCTCACCATGAGGAATCCCGGCCTCAGAGCAGAGAGTTGCAGTGGGTAAAATGATGCGGCCAGAGCGCTCCAGTCTCGAGACGTCGATATCGAATGAGCAGTCATTAATATTGATCATGCATGTAAGGGCGGGAGTCGCCCAACGATTAAGCTTTCGGGGTATTAGAGCTTGTAAGAGCTTGGATGAGCCCGGAGATCTTCCTTCGTGGCCACTACTGAGAGTTATAAGGATAGCCTGAGGCCCCTCGGGCCCTTCTTTTGTCTGTTTTTCTTGGCTCCATTAACCGAGTCGATGCTCAGAACACAGTACACCCTTTGATCTGGTTCATAGGAAAATGCTCGAGAGAACCGAAGACTTTACCCTGGAGTCAAGCCTTAAAACGTACAAGTACAAACCAGTGGCAAAGTACAAAATCCATGAACAGATCTCATGTCTGTGACAGCAATCTTAGGCGCTGAACGGCAAGTGCTTGTGGGCATTCGAGCATGTATGAGGTGTGCTTGAAGTTGAAATCTATTGATCTGATGGCTTGTTTGTCCGGCATCTTGATTAAGCGATTCTTGCAGTTACCATATACAGTGCCACCATACCGTGCAGCCAGGTGACATTAATCAGCTGAAGTTTGGTCCCCTAAATTTTCGGCTGTCATTCAATGTCACGTGATCCATCGATCGATCTGGGAAAGCACAGTAAGCAGATCAGCCACCTCCCACCAATCACGCAGGTAGGCACGTGATATTAGTTTGCACTGGAGGGGGATGCGAGGCCAATTTGGGTGAACATTGTTGAACTGCAAACTCCTGTGCAAATTCATACAAGTCCCAGGACTTCGCATAAGATCATCGAAAAACAGGATACGGGTTAGCTGGCACGTCAGCATAACACAAATAGCAAATGTTCGCGAACGTTGTTCTGGAATCAACCCGTTCCATTTTGGGTGCGCCCAGACCCTTTGATCAACACCTCAGCTACTGTAGATCTGGAAGCCCTCGTGAACCTCCGATGAGCGTGACGTAAGGCCGTAGAATTTCTCTTTTTGGGCATTGTCGAATCGCCGATGACATGCTCAAGGACGGGTAGAAACAGAAGGGCACAAGCGGGTAACAAGTCTAGCGAGACGGGCTGTGGGCGGCTCGGCTTGGCGTTCTTCACCCTGGATCGTAGATTCAGCATGGCGGCGTCCGATCGCCATCCCTCCTTTCCGGACACTCCCCCAAGGCTCCAGAGATCGAGCCAAACAAGAAACACGGATCTCGATTCTTTGCTCACTCCACGCCCCAGATGGTCCCTGAAATAATGGCTGTGTCCGCGCCCTCACTTGCCATCGTGCCTTTAGGCCTAGGTCGTTATGAGTTCAGGATAACCCTTTATCCCCTTGGTATTACCTGCGCCAACCTTCAACGATTGCCACCTTCGCACCTCAACCGACCTAGTACCACAACTTGCGCTTAAAGTGTTTGCGGAGGTGCTAAACACGAATTTGTGCTTGAATCCTCTGTGAACAGACAACGCCTCAAGACCATCCGAGACCATCTGATCTCCTAGGCTATTTAATATACGCCGTCTTGTAGGCAACGCTCAGGGGCGTCGCTACTTGCGCCTCCATCGCCATGTCGCAGAATGGGCAGCAATGACCCCCAGTCATTGGCAACCGCCCCGAAACGACCCTTTTCAACCCTTTCAAAACATCATCGCCGCACCAATCCCTCGTCTAACTCAGTTCAATCCAGGAAAAAGGTCAAGATAGATCAGGGTTCAAGTAACCTGAAGGAGCGGTCCACCTCGAATTCTTCGCCAGAAACCGCGAATGTACCTCTTCTGGCACAACAGGAATCGGGTAGTGACGAGAGCGCTACGAAATGGTTTGATGGAGTGAATGAGAATGTGATCGGGACTCGGAAGAACCAGTCACCACTTGAAGAAGGTTGTGTTGTGACACTCCTCTACATGAATCTCCACAAAGACTGACGTATATAGGAGAGTCTCCTTTCTTTCTTGCCCCACACTCAATCTACAATCCACCCGGCGATCATGGTTCAATCAACGCAGAAAGCTTCGGGCACCTTAACCGGAAAGATAGTGAAACTGAAGACTTGAGAGGAGTCATCGACGACCTAACCGTCGAGAATAAGAGACTGAAGCATCTCCTGAAGCACAAGAGTGGTAGTAAAAGCACCCTTTCCCCCAGCGCTGACAAGGTTCTCGAGATACGAATGCACGGTCTGCCGCCGAACAAAAAGAGAGATTTGGAGCAACTTCTCAAGACATTTACACTCGGACTCACTCCGTCGGTACCATCTGAACCAGGCTCCTCTCACGCAGTTGACACCAATGGATCTTTTCCCAACGAATTATTTCCAAAATTACAGCTCCCTCCTGGAACTATATCCGCGATAGATTCCGGTTATGCGTCCAACGCTACGTCCGGCGTCAATCTATCGTCAAGCTCGGTAAATCCACGGGCTTCTGAGCCCGTGTCCCAGAGCCACAGAGACAGGAACATTAAGAACTACCTCCATGACATTCCTAACTCCCTCCTTCCACAAGGGAGACATGCAATCGATGAGAATACGAAAATGGCGCTGGTAGTCCAGCGACTAGAACAGCTCTTTTTGGGCAAGTCTGCGGTTCCGGGCGAGCATAGCCTTCCAGTTCAACAGCAGAAGATTTCCCAATCTGCCGCGCGAGCAGATCGCCGAGAAGATGTGAAATACAATCGTATGTCCCGGAATGGGGCCCATCGAGAAGCACACATGCTATCCCAAGATCCCAAGATGGGCCTGGACGCTCCACATCCTGACCACGACCATGAGTCAGTGGATCTTATCGCGAAGAGCCAGCAAGAATCAGGATCGGCCTCTGATAGTGTAGCTTCGGGCTCTGGACACAGCTGCAGCGGTTCTCCTGGCCAGCGACCTACTCGGCCGCTCGATCTTGATATTGAACGGGCTCAAGTTGTGGAAGACAACATTAGCTACATTCGGCATCTTGGATTTCCCCTGCCACTTCATGACCAGTCGAGTGGGTCGAATGAGCAGCCATGGATTTACCTCAATCTCCTCGTCGGCATGGCCCAGCTGCATACATTGAATGTTACGCCAGCATTCATTCGCAAGGCAGTGAGGAAGCTTAGCACTCGATTTGAAATCTCCAAGGACGAGCAGAGAATCCGCTGGAAGGGTGACTATGGTGATTATTCTGGAGCTGATCCTCAGCAGTCTCCAAGTATTGCCGTGCAACGAGCATCAGAAGATGCGGGAGATGAAACTGGTGGAACGAGTCGGAGAAGTGGCACCAGTACGTTGAACGAGCAAGGCTCGTCGTTGGCGTGGGAAGAGCTGCCCATCCAGAGTGGCAACCCTAAGAGTTTACACTCGTCGGACTCCTCTCACCTAAAAACCAGACTCTCATCTCATCCCTCCAAATCGTCGGCATTTGATTATAAGCCAATTGTGTACCGAGGGAAGCGGGCTTACGGGAAGCAATCTTATCTCGATTCACCGAATTCACAGGGCACGATTGAGCGAAGATCGATAAGGTCGGGTCGTGCATCAAGCCTGGCAGGTCAACAATCCAAGAATGACTCTCATGAAGGGGTGGTGACCTTTTTCAACAACCCGTACTACTGTGAAGATTTGAGTGGAGACGGAAACTCCACAAATTGGAATACCCAAATATGCTGGTCGCCAATCGAGGCTTTAGGCATGTCTAACATGACCACTCTTGGCGATGATGATTTACGAGACGCCAAAACTTGCTATTTCAAGGCTGGTGACGATCTTGGAGGTCGATCTGAGGAAGCGGTGGAGGAGGATTGCCCTGAGATTACTATGTCTATTGACGCTATTGATTGTGCTGGGGAGGATGAGACGCAACCAATAGAGTTGCCCGCTTCGGGCATCGGAGGTGTGAGACCTGAAGAGAACTTCGCATTGGATGTCAAAGTTGCGAGAACCAAACAGCAGGTCGTGAGTCAAGCAAAACTTGACGGCTTGCGGGGGTCGCTGGGGGGCATTGGGTCATTGACTCGTTTCGACTATCGGGTTGCCGGATGTGAGAAACTGGAGTTGCAACCATCCAAGCTACCCCCTCCAAGTTATGTCTTCTTCACATCAAGCTCTGCTTCCAGTGCGGGCGAAGAACTTGACTCAAGTGGATCGAGCGATACCTCTTCCGAACTGGAAGAATCGCCAGCCCTAGCTGGCTATATGTGGCAGTGGACGTCAAGCTCACAGGAGAACCTAGGAGAAGAAGGCGCGGAGTCGGACATTAGCTCAATCGCCGGAGCGATGGAAGTTGGCCAAGCGAGAGATGGGAGCTCCGTTCAGATGCCTACGCAAGAAGGCACCTACATTCTCGATCAAGCAGGGAGAACAGTAAGTGGCAGTCTGGCGGCGACTGCAGGGGCCAGTTGGAGTGCGGCCTCTTTGGCAGACCGCGAATCAAGGCAGGAGGGTGATGTTGAAATGCAAGAGGATTAACAAAAGCAACACACATGATGTGGGAATGTATTATTGATGACCGGTGTTGGAAATATCTTCGGTATGTAGCATGGCGATGGTGGCGTCCCAGATACTATGGTTCGTTCTGGAGATACCAATTTGTTTTCTAGTTATTCCAGGGTACAAGCCAATGCATTTACTGTGTAGTCAGTCGTATGGATGTATTTGTACAATGATTCTCTTCTCGGAAAAGAGTAACAGTGTGTCATGAGAGGATGGGTATGAATTCAACCGCCATGGGGCTGGGTTTCGAGAATGGGCCAAGGAGATGCCGCGTTCGCTTCCGAACCAACACATTTTCCAGCTCCAGGTCCCTGAGTGAGCGCGGAGCAGTGGGCCAGTGGGCCAGTGAGCCTTTTGCGCCTAGCCGGTAGCTTCTGCCACCCGTGCCACTCTAGCCCTTGGCCTTCCCGTGAGGCATCGGCCCTTCGTTCCTCCGTCAGTCACCCACCAAAATTGGCCACAGTGCCCGCTTCCGATGCCAGTTTCCAACTCAGGCGTCTGAAGAGTCAAGAGCCCAGGCCGCACACCATTCCGCACTCTCCTCGCACTTTCCTCGTCCACTGCACCTGTTGATACTGTGTTGATACTGGCACGAGTCCACCGGCCCAAATTCCACCCCCGTCCCCACATCTTCGGATCCGTACTTTCCTTCGCCCTCGTCGTCGGCTGCCGTTCATCGCTCTTGCCAGTGCAGCGCCTTGGATCACGGTTGGATTCCGGGGTGCCTGCCGATGGGATGTTCAATTCACGTCCCTCATGTTGCTCACGGCCCCTCAACTAGCACCGTCGTAGCAGTAGTTCCTAGAGCTCCGCGTTTTCACCTTGCTCAAGAAGCCCGACTTCGTCCTATTCTCGTCGATTAAACCTGGAGAGTCCTGCTCCTACTTCTGTTTTCCTCCTCATCGCTCCCTGCCCATACATCATCTGCTGCGTTAAGGCCGCTCCATTCTGCCACCTTCGGGCCCCCTCGTACGCGCTAATTGTAAGTTGAAGCTGCTCGGTGCTCGCTTTCCAACATGTCGTCCTTTCTTGAGTCCTCAGTTCGAGCGTCAACAAGAGGGTTGCGAACAGCTAGATATTTCACTCGCGATCAGCGACAGGTACGAGATACCTCCTCTTCGTAGTGGCGTTCCCCAACTGACACACGATTCCCTGAATAGCGGAATCTCCTCCTCGCACGCTCCTTCTCGTCTACGTTCCGCCGCAATGAGATCAATAAAATCGTCCCCTCCGCCGCAGAGGCAATCAAGGATATGAAGTCCGACTCTGTTGTCTTGTGTGGCGGTTTCGGCCTGTGTGGTGTCCCTGACACTCTGATCAATGAAGTCGCAAAGACCCCCTCCATCACCGGCCTGACAGCCGTATCCAACAATGCTGGCATTCCAGGAGCCGGTCTCGGTCAACTACTTGAGTCTAGGCAAGTCAATAAGATGATTGCCAGTTACGTCGGTGAAAATAAAATCCTCGAGCAAATGTACCTGACTGGAGAGATCCAGCTGGAGCTTACGCCTCAAGGCACCTTGGCCGAGAGATGTGCTGCAGGTGGAAAGGGGATCCCCGCTTTCTATACACCCGCCGCCACTGGGACCGTGGTTCAGACTGGCGAGATTCCTCTGCAACACAACCCAGACGGTAGCGTCAAGTCCTACGGCAAGCCTCGTGATGTCAAGGTTTTCAATGGCAAGATTTATGTAATGGAAGAGGCTATTCCGGGAGATTACGCTTTCGTCAAGGCTTACAAGGCTGACAAGCTTGGTAACTGCCAATTCAGACTTGCCGCCAACAACTTCAACGGTGCTATGGGCCGTAACGCAAAGGTCACCATCGTTGAAGCAGAGCACATCGTCGAAGTTGGTGAGATCGACCCCGTCGCCGTTCATCTGCCCGGTATCTATGTCAGCAAGGTCATTCAATCGACGGCCGAGAAGAAGATCGAGAAGTATGTGAATAAAAAGGAAGAAGGATCGGTCAAAGATAGCCTAGGCAAGGGTGACGCTGCATCAAAACGCGAGCGAATTGTCAAGCGAGCCGCCAAAGAGTTCCAGAATGGCATGTACGCAAACCTGGGAATCGGCATGCCCATGCTAGCACCCTCCTTTGTCGACTCGTCGGTCGAAGTTCAACTCCAGTCCGAGAACGGCATCCTCGGTCTTGGTCCCTACCCCGTAAAGGGCGAAGAGGATCCTGACCTGATCAACGCAGGCAAGGAAACAGTTACGCTGCTACCTGGCGCATCTTGCTTTGGCTCCGAAGAATCGTTCGGCATGATCCGATCTGGTCGCATCAACATGAGTATGCTGGGCGCCATGCAAGTATCAGCACGTGGTGATCTTGCCAACTGGATGTTGCCAGGTAAGGTCAAGGGCTTTGGTGGTGCCATGGATCTCGTCAGCAATCCAGAGAAGACCAAGGTCGTGGCCTTGATGGAACACACAGACAAGAAGGGAAACCCAAAGATCCTGAAGCAGTGCGAATTTCCATTGACTGGCCGCGCCTGCGTGAGCAGAATCATTACCGAAATAGTGAGTACCCAAACACTTGATGAATTCACGTTCTGTAACAACTGCTAACAACATATCTTTCCTCAGGCCGTTTTCGACGTCGATTTCTCCGAGGGCCTGACACTCATCGAAGTCGCCGAGGGCGTTACTGTGGACGAGGTCAAGAGCAAGACCGAAGCACCTTTCAAGGTTGCAGACGACCTGAAGACATTTTAAACGCAACACATGTATGCAGACAAGCGAAGTTGACAGAGTCGAGATAAACGTCTGTGGTAAACTAAGGTTCAAGAAGTTTTATTCCCCTTTGAAAAGCATCGGAGTTGGAGAATGGGTATCCCTATGAATCTTGCATAACGGGGCTGTTTCTTTTGGCTGAAAATTTCCAGATTTTTCCTCCCTCTAATGAAGGGTTGATTCGCGATGTGGTCAGCATGCTGCTATCAAGATAGCGATGATGTTCAGGGGCAGATACATCAACATGGTGTATATATATACTTAGGTATACCCGAGCATATGTTATAATCTACATCTGCATCTACCACCACAAATGTAGAGCAAGTCCATCAACGGAAACCTAAAATCTGGACAAAAAGAACTAGTTGTTCGAACGATGCATGAGTGGGTTTTGCGCTCGAGCTCTCCTGGATAACAGAAGCGGCCCCCTTGCCCCCTAGAAGTTGTGGTCACTGTGTCTCTTGGCTCAACATGCCCATTTACGTCGCCCGTTAATAGAGCAATGCTGCACGAGTGGGCCGCGGTGGGCCGTCAAGGATGAATAATAAGAAGGCAGCCCATCCCATCACGTCAAAGCGCACTGTTTCTTGTTACATACCTGACTTGGGATTTGAGGAGTGGCCACTAAGTGCTCCCCTGGACACCTTTGCTTGTAATCAGAGCAGATCAGAGCAGATCATACATAGATACCATATCGTCATTACTGTTGCCTATGATAAGACTTCCGCTTGTCCGATTCCTGTAACACCATTTCCATCAAGCGCCTCCCTAACGCCTTTCATTGCTTCTTCGCGGTGTCTCAATTCCAGTCTCAAAGTCATTACATTCGATCTAAATGTCCAAGCTCCGGATTCTTTCCAGATCCTTGCTATCATCCAATTCCTTGGCCGCTTCGCGGTCCTCTTCAATCATCTCGATTGCGTCTTCGATATTCCCGGCGGCAGCACCAGCATAAACGTTGAGTCGAGCGAGTTCATTTGCATTGTTTCCGTATCCCATCGACTTGAGGGTCTGAACACACTGCTCAATGGCTGTGATTGCAGAAGGTGCTCTCGCTGGTGGGGACGCAGGGGCATACGAGTGGCGACTCGTGGGAACGGTTACAGTTGGCCGAGCAGGTCTTATTGTGTAAGACGATAGATCTGATTCGCTGCGTTCCGGTCGGACAGAAGCGTAGGTCATGGTTCGCGGTGTCATTGCTGCGGGTTGCATAGGGCTTTGGGATGGTAAATTGAACATTTGCTGATGAACCAAAGTGGACGGTATTGATGGTGTTGCCTTCATGTGGAAGCCAGATCGAATGCTGTCTGGCTTGGGAAGGGGTGATAGAGAAGGCAAGGATTGGTTCGCGGCGCTTCGGACATAGTTATCCCACAAGGTCGGTGCTGAAGAATTGAAAGCACCGGCCTGGGATTGGGGTTTGTAACGTTCTGTGTGATGGACAGTGCGACTGCGCTGCGGGAAGGCACCCGGTATGTTTGGGGTCTCGAATGCCGATCTGCCAGTGGTATTATCATGCGCATGCTTCAACTCTGGTTGTGATCTTTGAGGGCGAGGTTGAAGGGAGGGGAAATTAGCGAGTGGATCAAATGGTCCATTAAGTCTTGCAGCAGGGTTGGTGCTGGAAACAGTCTGGTGTCTCCGAGGGAATATTGGCGCTCTTGAATATGTCTCACTGACAGGGCTGCTAAGTCTGTCAGAGAGAGGTTGTACAGGTGGGTTATCGTCAGGACGGGGGGCGTGAGAGGAATGAGCTGGAAATGCTGTTCTGGTGGCTGGTATGGTCACCTGGGATTCCTGCGAATCGCTGGGTTTTGGCTCTGGCCACGAACCGGGCAGAGGCGTTGGAGACCAAGCTGAAAGCGGACGATTCTGGTTCTTGATAGAAGGAGTATTTGTGAATTGACGTGGAGACTCTCGGTTCGCATCCTCGACACTAGGTTCCTTGTACTTGGTTGGCTTGGGTGCAGTGCGAGAAGTAGTGGGGCTTTCGATCTTATCCGGTATTGCTGCTGGAGGTTGAAGCTTTGTGTTGGATCTATTCTGCTCTTCGAACTGGTTGATGGTAGGGAAACGGCTCAAAGCAGAGACTGCGGCAAGAGGATCACGGTTTGGCGAATGAGGGTGGGCCTTATCATGAATTCCGCCTACACTCTTCGCTTTCCGCAACGAGAGTAAAGGGGGATAACGGGTGGAAAAGTCCGGGTCTGACGATTCCCAGTCAAGAATAGATCTTGCAGAGTCACTCTGATACGACTGCTTATTGGTTGGATGGTTTCTAGGTGGAGCGTAGGTGATCATTGGTTTTTGAGCCCAAGCATTGAAGGAAGCAGGGGGGCCGAACGACTTGTCTGCAAAACAGGTGTTGACACTTGGTGGTTCAGTGGACAAACATTCAACAGGGGCGGCCGTGTCGTTGAAGCTGACCCTCTTTGAGGCGGTTTCTGGTTTTGGAGATGCCTTTGCCTGTTTGACGGGGACTGATGCTTCTTCAGAAACTATTACCGTCTTATCTTTCGGGTCTTTATTCTTTTCAAGCTGCTCATCGATCGAGTCGAGAAACTCTCGGCTCATTTGTCCAAGTTCCGACCAGATTCCTTTGAATCCAATCAAGACATTCTCGATAGCGGTTGTGTCAGATTCAGCCGTCTTCTCCGCAACTTTCCGCAAACCATCAGCTGCCGTCTCGAGGAAGTCTGCAAGAGGGCCAAGCTGGGTTTGAATGCCTTCACAGAGACTTCCAAAGGCCTGGTCTATGTGAACAGTAATCTGCTCATGAGCAGGTAGGTCTGGCGACGAGGGAGACTCTTTGGTAGGACTAGTTGGGGGTTTATTCTCAGCATGAGACGAACTTGGCAGGGGGTCAAGAAGTTTTTCTGTCTGAGATATTGTCCGGATGGGAGAGATTGGAAGGGCAGGCTCCAGGGAGATCGGTAGGACAGGTGATTGCATTCCTGCAGTGTTGTCTTTTACGGGAGCTTTCTCCCGCAGCCTCTTGCTTGAATAGGCCTCATGGTCTCTCCATACAGCCAGATTGCCAGCGGATTGCCGAATGTCGAATATGTGCATCATCTGGTTCTCATTGGAGGCCGAGGTTGGGAAAGGGCAAGTAGGCCGTTTGAAAGGCTCATCAAGGCGTTGCTGAAGTTCAAGTGAACTCCCGACGGTGATGAGTTCGCCATCATCGTCGTCAAGATAGAGCAGGGTAGCATCGGGTTGAGATCTTATTGTGGTGTTGTACTGACGACCTGTAATCTGGATGACGCCTGGAGCAGTCTCTGGGCCGTTTAGCTCGCGGATGCCGAAGGCAGGGAGGAGAGGAGACGGAGGGCGGTTCTCGTCGGACATGACGGTCCCGTGTTCACAGGAGCAGAATTGATCTCGCGGGCTTTTTAATTGAGGATGAATAGTATCAGAGTGATCAGATGCGGGAGGATAGAATAGGAATGAAGGGTGAGGTGTGAGTGTAACAAGGCTGCAGTCGCAACTGCTGTGCCACCGGGTGCCCTGAGGGATGTATCGCGGGCAATTCCAGGCAGCCGAGTTAGCCTAGTGCTGCGCACTACCTGTGTTAGTACTAGCTTGGTGCGCATGGCAGGAGGACTAGCTCCACTAGGGCCAACCCCGCATTTGTAGCACCATCGCCATACAGCGCTCGTACAAGTAGGTTACCATCGGTACGTTACGCCCCCAGGTACTCCGGACGGAGTACGGAGTATTAGCATCAAGGTCACTAATTAACAATTACCTTCTGGTACCTAATTTTGGGTGCAGTGGCACCCACAGTGGTATGGTATCATAAACGTCAAAAAAAATAGTATTTCCAATTACTTAGGTAGCTAATACCAATCACTCATTCAACGCCAACCTTTCGCACAATCTGTTAGAAAGCTGCTACAACCTGCTATTAGTACAGTGGAAACCTTCCCGTTTTCATCCTGCTCTTCCAACCAAGAAAGCCCGCCATACCTTCATCACAGCCAATAGTGCGTTGGTTGGCTCGGCTTCCTGGTCTCTTCCGCTCACCTTCCAGCACAGATATATTACACTATAGGGAAACCTGGGAAGTAGCAAAACATGCATCAAGAAGGCAATCGTCTGAGTCCACACTCTCCTCGTGAATCTGCAACTTCTTTATGCCCAGGGAGTTGTTAGTCGTATGCACATCGTTGTCGTCGTCGAAATCTCGGTGATACGTTGTTGCTGTGCTTCAAGTAGCATTCATGTTGTTACAAAGTGGGCCATTCCGGCTTTACTTCTTCCTCGCAAATCGTTTGTTGAGCAGCGCCAGCACTTTTGAAACATCAAATTGGACATATTCGAGATCAAGATCATCTTGTCCATCTTTCTGCATCTCAAGTAAATCATCGAGTTTGAGATCCAACTCCAACAGACCACGGGCACGCCCTGTCTCATGGGTCAGCAAGTTGAATATCACGGAATGGTGGGGAGGGATAAAATCTAACCTTTGTAGTGCAAGCTGATAACAAACGTGCCTGCCAGTGGGCTCCGGAACATGAAGAATATATTTCCTCTTCGATTCTCAGGAACATTACTTCTCGTAATCACGCCGTCTTTCTCTAGTTGTGCGTGCGTGAACTTGTACGGCCCAAGCTCACGGACTTTCTCAGCCTTACCCCTTCGTGTTCCTTCTGACTGACTTCGAACATTATGAAGGTAGTTCTTGTACGTGTCAAGTTGTGATAGCAGGTAAGCGTTGTGATCTCGGATGGTCTTGTAAACATCCTCTAGCTTGCCCGTCTCCTCCACGACCTTCTCTCGAAGGGAGCCTAGGTGAGCGAGCTCTTGCTCGACCTCGTCACGAAGGACGGCATAGTCATCCCCTCGATCAACGGCTCCCATCTCTGATAACTGGGTTAGTAGTTCCATGCATCGGATGCCCTTACGGACCATAACGGCGTCATTCTTGAGAGTCCCAGCCGCTTCTGCAATACGGTCAAGTCGGAGTGGTCGCCGCATGACGTGCGCATTTTGTGGCAAGCTGCGCATTATCTGGACAAAGGTACTCTTCGCTTCCATGAAAAAGATCTCTTCCTGCGTGATGTCTAGTGCATGAGTGAGGTCATCGAAAGAGGCCTCCCACTTGCTATACAAAGGGAGATTAATTGCCCTGTTCTCTTTTCGTGGCACTTGTGGTGGTGCAGGTCCAAGCTCCTGCAGCAAGATGCCTAAGTGAGAGGAAGGATCCTTGGCTAGCTCGGTAGTGTGCTTTTCCAGGAGAGCATGTGTCGCATAGACCTCGTTCAAGCTTATTTGAAGCTCAAGATCACGCTTAGACAGAGCTACGTAGTTGTCCATTTCTAAGCTCTCGTAGAAATCCTGCACTTCGCACAGGTCAAGCATGAACTTGTTGCATCGATCCTTGTTCCGCTGAATGAAAGGTTGGAGCTTGGCCATGTATGGCTCCTTTGCATAAGATGGTTTGTTTGCTAAGTTTTGGAGCATTTTAGCGATGTATGTCAGGGTCCGCTTTGGCTTGTCCTCAGGCACCCTTTCGATAAGCATGTAAGATTTTGGTGTGACTATGGCTGGGTTGATGAATCGCAAGAAGAAGAAACCACCTATCAGAGTACAGATGGATTGATCCTGGGCATCAGGGTATTTTCGGCGTGAAAGGTTTCGGATTTGTTTGCATATCCATCGAATGCCGTAAGGTGTATCTTCTAGACACTCGATGATGGCGGAGAGAAATCCCTCCGCGATCTCGGTCAGCATTCTCAGGCGCGGAGCAATGATGGCTTGAACTTGGATGTTCTCTGCTGCGAACTCAGCTGTGACAGACCTTGGCAAGTCATCAGGTAAGACTCCCGCATCGTCTTCGATTTGCTTGACCATTGCCTCGTATACTTTGAGAGGGTTGATTTCAAGGTCGACATCGCTCAGTTCAGTCAGCGAATTAATTTTTTCAGCGAGAACTTCTTTGAGAAAGCTCTGGCCCGGGCCTCTCCTTGTATAGGTAGTCATCATCCTTGAGACCGGGGTGTTTTGTCTTAACAGAGACGAATACTCTGGCGTTGTCTCGAACTGATGGGTGAGAACTGATTGAAACATAGTCAGGAGGAGATGCTCTTCTCGGCTCTCGTACTGGTTTCCATAAATTGTGAACATGACAGTTTGTAAGAGTGAATCGATTTCCGCCATAGTGACCAGGCGGCAAAGGTGAGCGATGTGCCTGGGCTCTGATTGAAGCATGAAAAGCAGATTGCCATATTTTTGTGTTTTCTCATCGTTAGGGAAGGATCCTTCCTGCAGCTCGGCAGCCTCATCGAGGTGACTGGCCACTTCGTTTTGCTGCATGCAGGTCAGTAGCTGTTCTTATGAATGTGTTCTCGTATCGACTCACCTCTTCCAGCGCCATTCTGTTCTGGATCAGAAGCGCAATGCGGGAATCGAGATATCTGACGTCCTTTTCCAAGACAAAATTCTTTTTGGATTGATTGGAGATCTTTCCTTTAAGATCTCTTAATGTGCGTTGTGCTCTTGCCAACTCGTCGCTGATTTCCAGGTCCTTATCCTTGGCACTCATGCTCACATACAAGGCAGTCATACTGACACGCTTGCTCTGTCGGAGGGATCGAGCGCCATCATGACTGGAATAAGTGTTCTGGCGGCTGACGGGCTCAAAGGAGGAATTGGTCGAGGTCGAGGCTCGAGAGGAAGGTTGCAGCATTGTTGCGACCGACATGTCACTATTCTTGTTGCGCTGAGTTTTGGAGCGTTCTTTTGCGCTGGAGATACGTCTTGGGACGTCGGTACGGCGTGAAGAGCTCATCGACTCGTCAGACGTCAGAAATGGGCTGATAACAAAATATATATTGGAGCCTCGGGGGTTGTGACGTTGGTCGTGTTTCAGAGCTGACTGCAGGACTGTCGCGTACAATGCATTCCACACGGATCCAGGCAGGCAGAATTGGAATCGTGGGCTTGCAGCGGAAGTGGTCCTAAGATTGGATCGGAGGTAATGGTCCTCCTTAGGCAATGCGACCAGGAGAGGAGGCGGCTGAGTTGTGTGTTCCTTCTCAGGAGGAAACTGAACAAAAGGCAGCAGAGACTCCACCTGAGGGAATTCCAAGTGATCTGAGGGTGAATGCGGCAAGCAATGAGGAAGCGTTGAAGAACTGGAGGGGCGATTCTCAGGTCTTGGAGGGAGTATGGGAAGGGATTGGTGGACAGCGCAATGTGTGAAGATACAGAATGAACAGGGCCGTGTTGAGAAGTCGGAAAATCTGTCGAGGACTAGGTTGGGCAGCAGAGCAATGCAATCGAATCGTTATCAGCGCGGAGACGAGTTGTTGGTGAGATATATGGCTCCTGATGGCTGGAACAGGGAGGTAAAGGCTTCGGAATGGGCGAACCGTATCGCGAGGGCCGTGGTTACCAAGGAGTCAAAGGATCAAGCAGTCAGGAACCAGGAACCAACAGCGAGGTTATGGGCGAATGAGGCAGAGCAAGACTGCGACTAGCTGCGGGTTGGACTTGTAACAGTAGGGAGAATGGAGGGAAGTGCAAGGCGTTGTTGGACAATGATGGGACATCTAGCCCCGTTGGTCAGAGCATACCAGGGTGCAGTGCAGCTTCGTTTTGACAGTCAGATAAAGAAACGCGTGGAGAAGAGGCGAGGGGATGGATGGAGGAGGAGGGCTGCGGTGGTTGAGTGGTGGTGGTATGCCAGTGGTTGTGCAGCTCCCAGTGGGTGGATGCGTGGATAGGGATTGTCGAGGGAGGGAAGAGAGGTGGAGGGAGGGACGAGTTAGAGAGGGGACACGGCCCTGCCAAGTGGAAACCTGCTGCCCATTGCGGGTTTGACATACGATTGAGCTGGGGGGGAATGTCCATTCGGCACCAAGAAAAGGACACTCAGTCAGGGGCATTGAACTCAATTCTAGCCCAGAGCGAGTGGAAAAGGGAAAAGACAATCCCGGGCAGCGGCAGCAGCGGCCAGCAGGCCCCCAGAACAGGGACCAAGACCACAACCAGAGCCCATCGGGGGCTGATCCCTGTCAAGGTCCCTTACTGAGGAGAACCCTCCTGGGAAGGGGAGTCCCAGTGCCCCCAGACAATCATCACCAAGGAATCATTCATTCTTGCCCAAAGCCATGGGTCGAAATGACCCACAACATTGAGCAACACCCGGGTGCCAGCCTAGCCGCCGCACCTGAGAGACTAACCTAAAGGACAAGAAATATAGTCAATTGTTCGTGCTCCCGGTACGAGGACGGAGGACCAGCACGTCCTGCATCTTGATTCCTGACACATAGAACTCAATTCTTATTTTAGTATTACGAGTATTATTTCAGGCCGATGTGAGTGCAGGTACGAGTGGCCGAGTGCCCCGGTACTCCGTAGACGACAGGCGTTCCATTATCATGGGCAGGCTGCTGTGTGGATGGACGGACAGACTGTCCTATATCAAAGGGAAGGGGTGTCTCAACAAGCATCCAGGCGAGGTACTGCAGCGTCATGGGCAGGAAACTTACATACCCTAGTAGCGGATCGAGCTTTACCTTCAACTCTGTGATCATCACCACAGCACCTCCCCTTTGTTCCACTTCCGGTGGTCCACTACATGGTTAATCATTCGGTACAGAGTACTCCGTATTGACGTTAGACGAGCTCGGTCATTGACTGTCTTCCGATCACAATCTACACATTTCAGTTTGGCCGGCAGGTAAGATAGAAAGTCTCCGGTGAGATGCAAAGGAAAATGCCCCGAGGCAGCTGTCATCACCAGTAAACCCGTCAAATGCCATCTCGTTTATCAACGAGCTTGGGCCAACGTGGCGGACGGCTCTCCGCTAACCAACGTGTACAGAGTACGGAGTACAATGCTCTTCCAACCGAAGACAACGGAAATGCTTGTGTCTGCATGCCACGAAGATTCGTTTCTGAAAAGACAGATATCTACGCGGGGCACTGCACCATTGCTTCCCTTCATACGGCGTTCCTCAGGTAGTTCTTTGGCGCTAACCGATCTGACGACAACAACTCCCACTCTCAAGCAATCCTTTCAACTGACTAGCAACTACAAGTACATACTTGGATCGCCAGACAAAGGCCATGGCATGGCATGGCTCGTCGATAGTCAGATGAGCCGCCCCGGCCTAACGACAGCCACTTCACAAGCCCGACGTGGAGTACGAGGATAGAATGCAGGCACTTACAAACTTTGACCTTTCTTATTGGCCCGAATTGCTGAGTTTCACACATCAGTCATTGTGGAGGACGTCAAGTGAAGCCAAGCGGTTAAACCTTGAGAGATGAACCCCTGCAGCTTCTAGTTCCTAGCTTCATGTCCCTGATCTCCTTCGCAACAACTCTGCTGCACGTCTCAAACACTCGAATTGAAAATCGAAACTCAGGTGGGGTCTTCCTTCGCTCTCGCCCGCCTCACCGGCCATTCCCATCATCGACACCTTGAGTCTTGCTCGCAGAAGCCACTACATAGGCATCGGGGTCTCGGGTCTCGGGTCTCGGGTCTCTGCATGGAATGTCACGAGGTCAAGACTCAAAAGATGGCCTGACGAAAGGAGCCAGGTGGCTGACGCCTCTTTTCCCACATCGTCCTTAGGCCCATGGGCGATGCATCTTAGGTATCGTGGAAGATGCACTTTGGGAAGGCGGGGTACATCATTGACCCTCGACAAATTACCTGTTGCTGCAGCCTGAAGAAGATTTCTCAAACAACACGAACGAGTCCTACGAGGTGCCCCGAGAAATTTCTGAGTGGTACTCACCCCTTCACTGTCATGGATCGTCAAAATATTGACAATCATGTAAAATTGAGCCTCTACTTCCTGTCCTCCTCGTACGACGAAAATATGATGGAGACATCACTCGAGACGAGCAGGCTAGTGGATCGGGCGTCTGAGCGCATCCTGATCAGGACCTTGTCTCAGCACTTCATTTCCAAGAACTGCAGCATTAGCGCCTTTGTCGTAGATCTTATCAGGACAAGCGATATTTGACAGCAAGCTCTCTCCGCATCGGCAAGACCCAGCAGGCTGAGCCGCCTTTTTGTCGAGATCAGCTTTTGACATCAGAGCTTGCGCAAGCTCTGATTGCTGTCACTGCATCGAAGGGTTGGCAATCAAAAAGCTCTTCAGGTGACAACTCATCCCTGCTCCTGGAGGAATCCTAACGTACAATCAAATTTGAGAACCTGCCTGCCGACTAGTTAGTAGTAGCTGTTAGTATAAGATCCAGACGAGATCGCATCGTGCGCGTGCGCATGGGCGTGCGACGGAGTGGCTGCAGCTCGCATACGATCTATCACGGATTCACGGCTCACGGGAAGCTTGCGTGAACAGCTGAGGGTCAGCAGACACATGGCGCACTAGCTAATAGTGGGTTTTTTTTCTCTCTTGAAGGTGCGATCCCATCCTACGAGGAAAGAGAGTTCATCGCCGCCACGAGCGGGAACGAACATCATCTTGTGGGCGTGGCAGGGACCGAGCGCCGCGAGCGGCGACCGAGGTGGATGGAGACGTTGGTTCTGGTCCTAGCAGAAACCACAAAGGCCGCCCTGGGCCCTCTGTAATCCTTGGCAGGCACCAGGCACCAGGTACGTAGGGACTCGACGCAAACGCAAACACAACCGAGGCCACTGAGGGCCATGCATACCAATAATCTAAAACAATAGCTTCACAGCAGACGCAAGAAAAGTATCGTACGAGTAGACCATGGAAGATTGTATTGTCTTGCCACTACCGTAGCCTGGGTGGCACGCTGTGCTTAACAACCTGAAATTAACAGTACCTTCGGTTCGATTTGAAGAACAGCCAATTATTTCATCCAGGCCATCCGACGCCTGTTGGTGTAGCGGGCGGCACAAGAAATCCAATATGGTTTACTACGTATTTGCTCCGTATGTCTTGCACATTCGTCCAAGCCAAGTAAGCGTGACCTGTGCTCGATCCCCTCAGGTGTGTGGGCCATCAAACACGTTTGAATTGTTCCTACATTCCCCCCAGAGGCTCAACGACAGCAGGAGGTCCAAAAGTGCAAGAGGCTCCTCTGTAAGCCAAATCACCCTCCCCAGGACCAGCACATTTTCCTCCGGGCTTGTCAGCTTTCACTCAAACTTATTTCTCAGATTGTCATATTTGCTCTCAGGATAATCCAGACAATTTTTGACGTCCTCCACCCTCTTCGCACCACCGCTGTGAATCAAAAACGCCTCGATTAAACTGCCCGAGCCGACCGGCTTATCGCCCGAAGACTCCCAGAACATGGAACCAGAGAGGCCGTGGTCTCGCACGAAGGCAGCTTTTTGCGCCACAAGCTGTGGACTGTCGTAGCTGATCATCGTCTGGGTGGACGGATCGTAACTCCAACTGGCGCCAATGTGTTGGTCATGATACTCGCTGCTGCCTGGTTTGGGCAGTGCCTTGTAGTCCCAAACGCCTTGTTCCCAGCTGCCTTCGCCGACACCGTTGTATGGCTGCCCAGGCCCAGACGTCGATGTGAAGGTTCTCCCGTACAGTGGCATGCCCAGCACTATCTTGGAAGGGTGGACGCCGCGTCTAGTATAGTGCTCGATGGCGGCAATCGTACTGAAGGGGGTCGCTTCGGGGTGTGACTTTGATGGGAACAAATTCGCTTGATGTCCTGCGCGCTGATCCCACGATCCAGCATAGTCATATGCCATCAGATTCCAAAAGTCAAGTAGGTGATCCATCTCGGGGATTTTCAACTTCTCGAAGTTTGACGCTCCAGCGGGGCAGGCAACCGTCAGATAGAAACGTGTATGTTCCTGGTGATGAGGGTGGTGGTGGTGATGGCGTTTGGCGGCAGCTTGATCAAGAGCCTGTCTGGTCTCCTGCAAAAGTTTGACAAAGTCTTCAGCCTCAGCCGCAGATTTGGGATATTCCCAATCAACATCCAACCCATCGAATCCCAGATCTTCGAGTAGTCGGACGGCGGATTCTGCGAATTTCTTCCGTCCAGCAGCTGTACTGGCAGGCTGGGCGAAATTGGAGGAGTACGTCCAACCACCGATACTCAACAGAATCTTGAGGTTGCGATTTTTCTTCTTCTGGAGGAACAACTGCTTCACACAGCCATAGACATTGTTGCCGACATCGTTCCAGCTGTCACCGTCGTAGTGCTTGTCCGTATCCGACCAAGGGTCCGTGAGATAGACCTCGCCGCTCTCTGGGCGAACATTGGCAAATGCGTAGAGGACATGCGTCAGATTTTCGGCGGGAAGATCTTGGGGATGGTGGTTTCGCCCGTACGGCGCCCAGTTGACATAGTACACAACAGATCGAATTCCGTGCCCACCGCCCATGATGAAATCAGTTAGTTCGGAAGGGGAGTATTGGATGAACTCTGCAAGGCAAAAATGAAGGCAAAGAAAAGAGGCAAATATAGCAGAAGCAAACAAGTTCATATTATTGAGGAGTGAAGTTGGGACCAGGGACAATTCATATCTTGTTCACAGTCAGCACGTGCAGGGACAACGCAAACTTGACCAATTCAGGCCTGGGGAGGGCCGGAGGGCGGAGTCAACCAGGTTTATCACTTTGGAGGTTCAGCTGCTGCCTCCCTCATCTTTACGAGGAACGGATGCAGGAACGCGTCTGCCTGCGACGATGAAGCTGACCATGTCCACCGTAACGATTGACTGGATGGATAATTGGGGTTTCTTGGGCCTGGCAGGGACACGTCATTTGGAACAACATGTCACCGCAAAGAAACACGCGCAGTCTATCGGACCCAGAAGAATCAAATGATACCCGCAGGAAGCGGGGGCCGAGGCAGTCAGTGGCTGGAGATTTGAGGCGTCAATTGTGGCGCAGAGCCAGTCATCCGAAAAGGCAAGGTCGTATGGGGGAAAACGATTAGGCGAATCGGCCTCGGCAATATATCGAGCCTCACGTTGAGAGTAAGTCGTTCGTCAACGAATGCTATCCCCAGGCCCATCTATACAAGTCTCTCACATCCACAGTGTGACGTTCCGTTCTGGCTGAGCATGGCCCTGGAGATCCTCTTCTTCGGCGCTGGCGCCATTGGAGCCTTCTATGGCTCCCGAATCGCCCTGGTACCCAACACCAACGTGTCAGTAATATGCCGATCGAACTACGCCGCCGTCAAGGCTAACGGCTTCAAAGTGACCTCGCCGCAGTATGGAGAATACAAATGGACGCCGACCAGGACGTTCAACTCACCTGCCGCCGCCCGCAAGAGCGGCGTGGCATGGGACTACGTCGTTGTCAGTACCAAAGCCCTACCCAATGTGTCGGACGACTCGAAATTGCTTGAAGGGCTCATCACACCCAAGACGGCGATTGTTCTGGTCCAGAACGGCCTGGGTGTGGAAGAACCATATGCCAAACGGTTCCCGGAATCGTCCATCTTGAGTGCGGTGACGATCGCCTCCGCCGCTCAGCCGAGCAACGGCCACATCAAACACAACCGCTGGACGAGGATCAACATCGGACCATACCTCTCCGAAACAACGCCCGCAGCAGCGAAGGAGCAAGCCACCTCACGAAACGCAGTCCTGCATGAACTCCTCCTGCAAGGCGGCATCAAAGACGCTAAAGCCGACACGCACGAGAAGCTCCAATGGGTGCGCTGGCACAAGATCGCGATCAACGCGGCGATGAACCCGTCGTCCGTGCTGTCAGGCGGCACGCCCAACCAGGAGATGTCCAACGACCCGGAGCTCTACCGACACCTGAAAGGCGTCATGGACGAGGTTCTCGAGACCGCTCCAAAGGTGGTCGGCACACCACTCCCCTCCGAGTTTGCCACGTCGGAGGCTCTGTTACGCTCCACCCAGAAGAATTCAAGTGGGAGTAAGCCCAGCATGGCGCTCGACTGGGAGAGTGGGAAGCCGATGGAGCTTGAAGTCATCCTGGGTAACCCCATCCGGCTGGCTAGGGCCAAGGGCATCGAGATGCCGCGACTCCAGAGCTTGTACGCACTGTTGAAGATGAAGGAGTCGAATCGGATTGAGAAGGCGAGAAAGGCGAGTAAACTCTAGCAGGCGCCCGCTTGTTAAACATACATAGACCACGAGAAATTCTGTCTTTCGCATGTATATACATCTAAACCAGTGGCTGTCAGGGCTTCATTTTTCACTGCTACTCCAAGTGCTTTAATATATGTATGTAATTAGTCAGCGGTGAAGGCCGTGCACATCAAACAACCTCCCAACCTAACTAGTAATACAGCCCATACTTATATCTGATTTCGATGGGCTTCTTTCCTAACCACCCCACGCTCTTCATACATCCGGTATGCTATTTCAGCTCCCCCTCGCCCTCAATAACCTCTTCGCCAAAAGGCCCCTTCACAAATCTCTGCGCGACCAGATCCTTCCCGAACTCCGGTATCCACCTAGCTTTAAAACTACAGAATTGTTCCTTCTGAGGTGACCAATCGAGGCCCGCTCGTTCAAGAATGCCCGCGGGCACGCTGATGATATTTTCATTCAGGGGCGTGAGGGCCGATATCTTGGAGCCGCAGACCTTGCAGAATCCGCGGCGCAGAGACACGCCCGACTGTGTCTCGTGGTCGTCGTATATCGTGATGCTCTCTGATCCCGTGTGTAGAGTGTATTGCTGTAGAGAGGTACCCCGACCAGCAGGGGGCACACGTTTAGCCGAGTGTCACCGCTAATAAGACGAATACCAACTCGGAAAACGGAGGGGGACGTCGTACGTCAAGGAAGAGGGGAGGATGGGAGAACTTAACTCACGCTCTTCAAGAAAATGCTTGCCGTATGGAACATGCTCCCTCCTTGTCGTCTTCCATAGTTGGATATCAGAGTCAGCCTCCTATTGACCCGGAACCACATGCCCCTAGACAAATTTCGAAGTGACCAGGGAATGGGAATAACAGCGGCTCAAACAACAACCGCTGTTCGCGAATGGCATCCATGCATTTCGCTGCTCTTCTCCACAGTTTGGAAACGGGATTTATAGCATTGACTGGTACTCACTTGCAATTGACACAGTGGCAGATGACGTTATAGATTGGCGGGCCAGTCACGTTGAAAGTGACGGCACTACAGAGACAACGGCCACTGTCTCCTCTGTCCTGCTGCAGCCCGTTCCCACTCTGCGTCTCTTGAGACGTTGACATTCTGTAGAGAGCTGCGATCTGTGGAGCGCGTGTATGAGAGGAGCAAGGGGTACCAGAGAGCTAGGAAGGAATCTAAGCTTGAAGTTGAAGGACAATGTGTAACACAAGTAGCAACTAGAGCAAGAGATCACCCTTGGGAGGATTATAAGAAAGTTCGAAACATGTCGTCTTGACTTGCAGAAGTGAATGTCACAAAATAGCGAAGTTGAACCCTTCTTCTCGCTTCAGAGTGTCCCGGTTTCTTGCTTTGCCGAGGGTAGTCCACCTCCACATTGGATATCCCACCTTTCATCCCAACTTAAGTCAAGACTTAGAGTCTTGAGTCAAAGCTCTGAGTGATTCGCTTCCTATATCCCTTGAAAATCCATAGGAGCTTCAGACTCTGTCGGTTAAGCTTGGTCGGATTCGTACGCGCCTGAGTGACGAAACGATGCTCAACTTGATCGTTGACGCAACATTTCGCTGAATCAAGCCGATGGGGTAACCAGGCAAACAGCTCATCATTGTTGAGCCAGTACTCAAGAAGTAGCGTGCAGAAATACAAAAGTCATGAATTTAAATACCTAGCTGCTCCTTACTAGGTCGAATTGTCTAGGATGTCTTTGATGCGCTCGACAGCGGGGCCGGCGCGACCGCGAACCAAGTGCTGGCAACAAGCGTTGCTCCCACAACCCATGCTGGAAGCCAGATGCATAGAACACCGACTGGTACACCCCAACTTCCCCAAATGTTCCAGCCAAAGGCAAGCCGTGTAAGCCATTCGGCTAGCCCGTTGTCCTTCCCCAGGAAAAGGGAAATATAGACGAACAATCCGGTGGGGCTTAAAATGGTGAGGATCGAGTACTGAAGCACTGCTAAGATGGGTCTTCCGTGCGTTCTATCTACGAAAGCCAGTGGCACCGACACAATGCCCAAACACATGCTCAAACTGAAGTTCAGAGTTGCGAGAACGGTGAGGAACAAGCCAAGCACCAATAGACTGAGAGATTTAATGAGAACATACTGTTCGTTTAACAAATTAGAAAGAGATGACGTTGACTGATTTTGCGGAATTCTTGCCAGGCTTGATGCCAGTAACACTGGTAAGATTGGAAGAGTCATTGACAAAATGGTGAACGTTGAAGGCAGCGAGTTCGAATTGAGTGTGGTTAGGAGGTATAATGGACCAAGCGAAGCAAGATGAATTCCAGTCAGAAGTGTTATTGGAAGAACAAGCTGCCTGTTGGTAGGTTCGTAAGTACTCTGAGGTTTTAGCTCGGCAGCAAGGAACGAAGTATCCTGGTCGGAGGACGTCTTCTCACTTCGGAGGACTTCGACCTTGCCCTTGTCACTTCCCCTGGGATTCGCAACCCGTCGATAGCCACTTAGAACCCAAAGGTGAATTGCCATCAGGGTATATGATGCTGCAATGGCCATAGCACTGGGAAGGTAGGTCCCAATGCTGACAAAACGGTTGCATTGCATGAGCAAGTAAAAGAAGAAGCTCTGGTGCAACTTTTCTAGCAGGTTATTCAGACTTCGACAAATACTTTCAATAGTACGTCCAAATGCCATCTCATCTTGCCAACCGTCTCCGATCGCAGTCAGGGTGATAGCATCGATATGATAACTCATAAAAGCAGAATGTGGGCCAGTTGCATGGCCTAATGCTTGAGATGACATCCCACGGACTAGGGTTTCAAGGCGGGCAGGATAGGAACTTTGGCTGTCATGTTGAGTGTAGTTCTGTTGAAATTGTATTGTTGTGCCTATTCCCATTTGACCTGTTGAGATTGACACTGCTGTATTGAATAGGTCGAGGTTTGGGAGGGCGCCGTTGATGCCATCGTAAGCAATGTGTAAGTTTTCAAATCGGTGTTCAAAAGGATAGTCAATACAAACGGCTCCTTGCAGAGCACCACTCTTTAAAGACAGATCTTGGACAGAGTTTGGATCATGGCAAGAATGGTAGGCGTCTATCCAAGCCTGAGGGCCAACAGAGGAGTCCGGAGTAACAAGGAAGATGATGTCTTTCGACCACAGCGACCAACGTTTGAAATAGCGAGCCAGAGAAATCAAGAGTGTTACCCCGTTGGCGTTCGAGGCATTTTCAATGTTCTCGAGAGCGGCAAGTATGACAATGGCTTCCGTACCATCTCCGCGTGGGGCTTGAAGAACAGCGTGGACGTTCTCGCCCTCGTACACCTGTCCAGACGAAGCGAAAGAATAGCGTTGTCGAGCGCTTTTGAGGCCAGCACTACGGAACAGGTCTTGTATCTTTACGTTCCTCTTGTCCTCTGCCGCTCTGATCTCATCCCGGCTGAGGGTCTGGTTTGCGTCTGGAAAAGGCTGTAACGCAGTGTCCAATTCATGTCTGTATGCTCGGAAGACATTTTGTTCGCTCCCACCAAAATAGGTGTGGACTTGTCCCGGCAATAATGCATTCTCGGATATGTATGTTTGACGAGAGTACTCATTGAGCGGCAAGAGAAGAATCCACGCAATACCTCCCAGAACACAGAGAAGCGACAAAACAGGGGTGATGCGCAGCAGGCGAGGGTCGTCCTTGCGAAGGTTAGAGAGGGCGTTCCCTAGAGGTCATGTGAGCGATGAGATAGAGATGAAAGCAGATTTTTGAAGTACATACGTAACAGACCCATTTTGAACTCGCTCAACAAGTTCCTACCTCACTGCGAGCTCCTGCTGGTGGGGGCCTGTAATTGTGGTGTATGTGGCTGCACATCTAAACAGAACATGTGTACTCGTCCAGATTTGGAGTAGAACAATTTCCCCGAATATCAGGCGCCGACTGCAGCCTGGACTATAGACGTCACGTGGATTACTAATGCTTTGTTGCAGTCGAGATGGCAGGGCGAAGTCCTCATGCTTTAGACATTATTCATGGATTCATAGTGGCTATGTTATACATATAGGCTCCGAATAGATGTAGCGGCCCAAGAAAGAATATATCCAAGAAAATCCCCAGGGCCTAAGGTCCAAGCCTTTGACCTGGGCCTGAACTTGAGCCATTTCCAATCCAGCCGAGTCCAATAGGGCTCATATGTTCACCAGGCCCGCTTGTTGAGCTCGAGGGAAGAACGCCATATCTTCCATATGTCTTCTGGTCTACAGAGACATAATGCGGAAGTCGCCCAAGTAAATTCAGTTTTCCCTCAATCCACCGCAGGACTTTCTCCGGTGGTGCTAGAAATCGAATATAACCGAGACCCCCTTATTGATGGTTAGTACAGAGCCCAATCCGGCCAGTGGTAATACTCCAGGCTTACATAGATAGCCAGTGATGCACCCACTAAGATGGCCCAGGAAGGACGTGTTGGGGATCAATATCCAAACAACCACCAGTAAAACAAGTGGAGTTATCCATGTTGGGATTTTCTGTCCAGCGATGCTGTTCGCGGTTAAATCCGAGGTATACATATTCAGGCCACAACGAGACTTACTCTAGGTGAGGGTTCGCCCGATAGGTCTTGATGGCTTCGGATGCAAGAAGGAGAAATACCCATATACTTGGATCATTGTCAATCTTAGAACCATGTATGAAGTCTTTGTCGCACATACCTTGCACCCAAGACAGGAGTATTGTCTCGGAGTATCACATAGTCCAGAAGCAGATACAGAGCCGCAGGTATCTGACCCAAAGCTGTCACAGCATTAACATCTTCAGCCATGCGTCCAAGTGCAAGTTAGAGCCACTCACGTCCCATAAAGAGAGCAATGCTTGTCAAAGTGCCCCATTCGGCCTCGAACCTTTCCAGCAGCGGGACCAAACAAATGGTGTCCATCAACATGTGGAAGAACCCCAAGTGGATCAAGGGGAATGTATTCAGTCTATACATGCTACTGAACCCGATCTCTTTAGGAATCAAGGCGCCCCATTGGATCACACTCCAGACTGTTTGAAGCTCGAGGAGCCAAAAGGCAAAGATGGCGAGGAGGATGAGGCGTGTGAAGAGAGGTAGTCGGAAGACGTAGGTTCGCAGACGGGCGGGGTTGAAAGAGGGAGCTCGGAAGGGTAGATTGCCTATGCTAATTCTCGCAGGAGGCGCCATTCTGGCGATCACTCGCTTGATATCCTGTAGTTGAGTGGGAGAAGGTTTTGGTCTCGATATGTGTCTCGAGTCGAAACGACTTCAAAGCATATGGTGATCAGGCAATGCTTATAGTGGAGTGTTCTAGAAGGCTTCAGCGGCATATTAATTCGTCAGGTGCCATCATCAGTATAATTGTCGGTGAGGCTGCGGATTTGCGATGGTCAAGAAACAAGTTGAGTACATTTCCAAGTTTGCTTTTGGAGTTGCGGAGAAAATGTGATGATGCTCCTTGCGTTGCCGCCCCCTGATTTCCGCCCCATGCCGGCCTTAAGGGCAACTCCTCCACTCACCGTAGAAGTTGACACTCTTCAAGTTAATTTACCTTATTAATCAGCAGCCTATGTCCACCTCACTCGGGAGTCGAGTCTCCATAACCTCGTTCAGTGGAGGTTGTCCAACTATTTGGCCTTCTTGTCCAAGAATCCATCCCATACTCCAACCTTCCTACAAACTACTATAACTCACGAAACTACCGGTCTGCTTGACCGCCTGTTGGATGCAATGTTCTTTAACCTTTATTATTAGACCTACTAGGTCAACGATCAATACGTCTTACTCTGGAGTCTATCAATAATAAAATATGGGTATCTTCCAGCGCCGTCGGGTGCAAGACACAAGGCGCCTGGGTATAGTGCAATAAAATCAAGTTTGCATATCCTCCTCATTCATTAGCATTATCAGGGACACACGGTGGTGCCGGATGGGGTCGTCAACAGGGCGTCGCGCGCAGGCCATGCAAAGGTTGCTCCAGCCAGTGCAGCAGAATGATCGTGAGAAGATGATTAGCCCCAGGTAGATATTACTTCCTCCTTTCTTTTCGGATGTCGTCGCTCAATAAGGAGGTAGGAAAGAGTTTAGTATCGAACGGAACCGGGGGTTCTCTTGAGCTCATTATGTGTGGCCCATCCCTTAAGGGAGAGCACAATGATTTCATAAGCCATGATGAGTGCCGTCAGGCCCATGACAACAGTGAAGACGAACATGGCCATGAGATCCGCTGACTCCATATAGTGGATGACGTCCTTTGTGCTGGCCATGAAAACAAGACCGCCTGAGATCAAACAGAATGCCGAAACCAGCTCGGTAGGTGGGCGAGAGGGGAAGATGGAGGTTGGTGGCGAGATATAAGTGAGGACGTAAGTGGCAATGCGAGCAAATGCAAAGCCAACAAGCAAATTGCCCCATTGCTTGTGAACCATCGTCGACACGACCGATGCCTGGTGGTGAGAGGACATCATCACTCCAAGCAGGAGAATGATCAACGCTGGCAGCGGATTCAAAGACGTGCCATACGTCTTTGGTGGACAGCGCAGTTCATGTGCATCACCCGGATGTATATCTGCTCGCTCTGGCATATTTTCAACAACGACATTGAGGCATCGTCGAACGGCTTGGGATTCGATGAGCATACCACACTAATCATTGATGTTAAAATGTGGGTTAGGGACGCTTTCGATTCAGTTTCACTTACCAGCCCGCCACCAAAGAACATGATGGAAATGGAGACGTGCTCCAGATCCTGGGCAGTCCATTCACCGCCCCAGGCAGCAAGATGTTCTAGGAACACGTTGGTACAGCCATAAAGCCAGATGACGAAGGACTCGACGAATTCAGCCGATGGAATTCTGGCCTTCCAGTGGCCAACCTGGCTGCGGACGGGCTTGTGGTTCCAGCTCCATCCTAAGTCGGCAAAACACCCCATCCAACGTCCCAAGGTAAGCAATCCGTACCAGAAGAAGATTCCTCCCTTGACAAAATGTGCCAAACCGTTGAAGACGTTCTCGCCTCGCTGTGAATCATTAGTCTTCGGTCTGGAGTCTTTGACCAGCTAGATTGCGACTTACAAAAATGCCGGCGTATGTCACACCACCGCTCACTAGCGCGATAAACCCGAGAATGAGGATGGTTCTGTCGATGATGTTGTACACCAATTGTGCTACTCGCAAGATCTTTTCCGACAGCAAATTCGGAACTCGCGCAGAGAGAAATTTGTCCAGGTGGCTGATGCGAAACCAGCGTGATCGTGGAGATTGAGACGACAGGGGCAATCCGGCTGCCACATCGTCCTCTTCCTCATCGTCTGTATTATCCGCAGGCAACGGCTCGGGCTTCTCGAAACCGTCAAAAGTGTCCCGTCTATTTGGATCAATTGGGGAGTTGTCCCTGCTGTTCAATGTCGAGGATCGCTCGGTCCCTTGACCGCTGTCGCCTGACCAGCGATAGTCGGTATAGGGCCGCACATTATGTTGTGAGATGTTCTCCACAGACATGGGCAAGAAAGTGGCTCGCTCAGTAGGTGCGCTCCTGGTTTGCTTACGTCGGCCGGAGTAGGTGAACAACAAACCCATGGCAACTTGAGCAGTCACGATCCAAGTTGCGATCCAGCCAATCTTGTGGTGAGCATTGTTCTCATACAGATCTGGGGTGTTCATGTTGTACACTGTTCCAACCAGGAGACCAAGACCATTCAGCAGCAGGAAGAAGAACTGGGTTGGCAGGGCAAATCTGGACCTGGCGACGCTGAACATCACGCCTGCACATGTCAGTAAGCCCCCTAGAAGGTTATGTCACCTTACGCACCTATGGGCAATATGAGAAACCATGCTGCCACCATCAGCACGATGTGAGCCACCATGAGCCTCCCATACGAGTCGAGGCCATAGTAGCTTGGAGCATCATAGTTATTGATCTCTTTCGAGCTCGGCTGCTCACCATGCCCCTCAGGCTTGTTCATGTCACCCTTATCCATGCCATTGTGCTCATCGTCGCCATGAGCTAGTACGATTGAGACGAGACTTAGCAGACCTGCTGCTATGGTAATTCTGGAAAGCCCCATACGGTAGCAGGGCTTTGAGGGTCTTCAACCAGCTTTGCGGTTACACCGACCACGTCGCACAGATGACGCGATGAGCACGGGCTTTTGGGCGCTGGAAAGACAACCTGCTGAGGGAGAGAAGGTTGGAATGATCACAGGGATAGATAGTACAGTATGGAACAGAGTGCGGACCGGATCATATGACAGGGCAGTTATGAATGAAGGGTGGAAACGCAAACTGTATCAGCCAGGGAGAGCAACAGAGAAGACAAACACACAAACCTCATGGCGCCCGTTAGGTGATTAATAAAAATACCGCGGGCCCAACGCGAGCCATCGGAATTTGCTTGAGCGAAAGCACGATGGACCAGATAGGTCAGCAAGCAGCACACCCTGACAATTGTGGTATGGGCGATGGGTCATGGCCCATGAAATGCAGCCCTTGGTGACCGGATTTCTCGGATGTGCATGTGTTGGTATCGCCGGGTGGGACAAGAAAGAGCGTCGACGTGGTTCCTGGACGTCATCACCCTGATTGGCGGAACGTTGCGGCGAAAACTCGCCAAGCGCGTTGGGGGCTCTCTTGCGGTCATTTGGCCTCTCACGTTTGTATTTCGTCAGACGAGGGCCTTTCCTTCCTCCGTCCGAATGCTTTGAATCGTGTCTTGCCAGCTCACACACCTAACAAGTGAGGCAAGCACCCCATACACCATAAACGGTACGACCTCCACCATGGAAGGCTCCACCGGTACGGCGTCACTCTACCTAGTTACTTGATACCGAGTCCCTCGTGATACCCAGGTATAGAGAGAGTACGCAATACGTTCTGAGTAATTGTGGTGGATCAATGCAAGAACCCTCCGGTTAAGATCCCTTCCGCACTGCCCTGTCGCCTGTCCATAATCAACACGCTTGTGCCCAGGACCTCTGCGTATACGTACTCGTACATAAGCACTGGGTTTCCTCCAGGCTCCAACGAATATTCGCCGAGACTTCATGTATTCCTAAATCCTTATTCTGGCCTGGGGGGCCAGGAACGCCGTCGTATATTCTGTACCAAAACCTAAGAATCCAATATTCTCACACCGTGCCCCGTCGCTCGACTCGGTACGGTCATCGATGCTTGTTTCTGAGAGACATTAGCTGATCTCTCTCACAGAGACCTATCACAATCCTATTGAGAGCAAAGGCCTTCCCATCGGCGAGTGCGGAAGCGGTATTACGTTTCAGCTTCGCTCCGTAATGATGTCAGTCCATACCTTTCCGTCACGAGAAGGCTGAACCTTTTCAACGAAGGTTCATCCTGCTAGAGTGGAGGTTGTTGTGTAGTACTACACTGCATATCTTACAGCATCCTATCTTCTCCCATGACGCTACTATTGTGTTTGTAGCAGAGACTAGGACTAGTACGGGAGTAGTCCAAAGCGCATGGTTTCTTGTGGACAGGAAGGACGGAACACTCAGGCAGCAGTCGGCCTTTGGCCACAGGCGGCTTTCCGCTCTTACTGTGTGGAATCTGTTTGATGCGCTTGCCTGACCTATATCTTTTACAACGTAAAATACTTGTAGATGGGTCTACCTCTCATGAATCTCAAAGCTTGAGATCTATAATATTGTCTAGATCGTAAATCTCACGGGATTGATTCTATTCACCCCACCAGGCCACTCACGCTAAAGCCTGGTGGTGAGATAGGGAATACGGGGAGTGTTCCGAGAGGGACTGGCAAGTTGACAACGGCCTGTGGGCCTAAAAATCTTGCCAGTGTTTTCAACACAGAGTCCTCCGGAATACAGTAGGGTTACAAGTCGGTGAGAGGTGTTGGCAACGAGCATTGTGACTGATCCTGATCCCTGGTGACTCAGCGCTCCTGCCCACGCAGCGATGGATCGATGAAAGGCAGAGAAAATGGGTCATCTGTCAACTGACATGGGAGACCAAGGAAGCCACGACCGGGTGCCTGATCCCTGTGCATTGTGCACTGTGCTTGCTGCTTTGACGATCTCCGTATCCACCGTCTCGCTCGCTCGTCCGCTTACGTACTAACGGGCAAGGGCGCTTGCCTGTTCTGAATGCTCTACTCCTCCTCCTACTAACTTGAGTAGGTAGACTACCCTGACGTTATTCGCCCACCGTTCAAAATTACTCGCTACCTGCATCGCATTCGTATTGTGTTATATCATGCACTGATCATTCTCCATGAAGTATTTTTCCTTTTGCAGCTCGTTCTCCCCGGAGGCCTGGTGAGAGTGAGAGACCCCATCTTCGGCGATGCTATCTGATTCCAAGTCATCCGCGGGAACCTCGGACCTTGCTTCAAGTCCAACTATCCAGCCTTTCATTTTCCCACTACCTTGTACGAGGCCCTCCGGACGGGCTTCGCACTTGACGCTACTACTTGACGTAGATCCCTTCGCTTCCTTCTCAAAGCCATCAGGCTTCGTGCATCCACCGCTTCTCCGCCCCCTACTACCGAGTACTAAGTCTCTGGTTCTTCCTCCAATCATCCTCATCACACCAGTTCCTCGCTGGGTGCTTTACCTAAATCGAATCCTAGCCATTCTGATCAATCGACGCAGGGCCGCTCTCGCATTCTTTCCTGCCATTCGATCTCTCAACTGTCCTGGACTCCTCCTCTGCTCTGTGTTTCAGCCTTTGCAGCAAGCCTATCCTACCCTGTTCTCCTCGGAGGCCCCGCCCACCCTGGCATGCAGATCAATCAAGAACTGCAATAAAAGCCGCACGGAGGAGAGTCACGGAGGAGAGAGGACTTCAGCCAGTCGACGCCAACGGTCTAACGATCTTGGTCTGACAAAAGCTTGATCTATGGAATTCCCTCTCTTTCCCCGCCTTATCACTTAGGCCAATCGTGCTCACCTCCAAGCCTCGTCCCTTTCACTGCCAACTCTTCCGGTTGGGGTCTGTCTGGCCTGCGAAGGTTCTAGGCTTAGCCAATGCGACTGGGCTTCGCGGAGAAGACACCCGGGTCATGCGACTGCTGCCTCGTTCCGTACAGGTAATTCCGCTTGACCCAAGGAGATGTAATGGAGTGCTCGATACTGAGCATTAGCACATCTATGTTGTAACTCGTCGGTGACTGTTACACAAGCATTATTAATTGACACGACCAAGTCCTGACTAGTGGGCCTTCAATATCATTAGCAAACTGGCCCATTCCCTAGACCGGAATCACCAAATCGTCCAAATCGCAAAGGCCAGCTGTGTCGGCCGACCAACGGACATTGAACAAAGCCGAAAATCCGAACCGTTGCTGTCTTTTGGTGCCGTTTGAACCGTCTGTGCTACAGATAAACAAAAACGTGATGAGAGCAAGCATCGAAAAGCTACTAACGTTGATGCGATATTTTATTATCGCGCTTTGCGCGCCCCGTCCTCGGCCGAAACCCTGTAATGATGATTCTCCCCTTCCGTATTGAACTATTGACCTATCAGCCCCACCTCAGCTTAGTTGATGAAAAAGTCCGAGCACTGGAACAGAGCCTTTACTGTACATAGATGTGCTCGGTACGTAGCTGACTCTGGCCGTTTCTAGCAGTCCCGAGCCCTCTTACATAGTTAACTTTGCTGCCTAGGCGACACCCCTCGCAGCCAAAAAATAAAGGGAGGCTGAAGCACACTCCAAGCTCCCTTCTCTTTGCAGGGCGTATCGCACTCATGAAGGCCTCCTACATACAGTACTCGGCACTACGTATGGTCACAAGCAGCCGGGCTTCACCAAGTGGGAAGGCGATCCCCCCCTGCTCTCTCCCTCGGCAGCTAGAACAAGCCTTGCAGCGGTGATGATGTGCTTCCGGATGCATAAAAATTACCCAACCTGGCAAACTCGTTCTGGGCGTGCCAAACGCATATTTTCTTTTATGCATCATGATGTTCGGAGACTTGCGAATTGCTGAGGCCGCGTTCGAGTTACCTCGAGCGACAACAGGACGGAATACACATATTCGTCGCCCAGCCACCTTCCCACATCGCAACACATGATTGAAATGATGAATGACTCAGAATTGATTATTTTTCCTTCCCTTCTAGCCTGTGATCCATTGATAGTGGGCCCCGCGCTGCCGATATGTACCTAGTCGTCAACGCACCAAGGACACATGCTGATAAATCAGAGCAGGATCTACCCAAAAGGCCGGTCAGTGGCAATACTAATGGCTGCTGTCCTGCCTACCGCTTTCTGCTGTCACCTGGTCTGCTCAGAATTGGTGGGCATGCCAGCCTGGTGGCCAGCTGTTGGTCCGTGAGAACCTGGACGGGCTTATGCGCCGTTGATTTTCGGTGGGAGTGCGTTCTCGGTACCGACCCCCGAATAATTAGTCGTTTGCTATGTACAATAATTACAACCCGGGGATTCGCCGTCGCAGTCTCACACCAGTCCCATAGTGGGTATGATTCCATAGGGCGTTGGGCCCATCGTGCAACCACAGCCATCGCCGGGAGGGCGGTGCTGAGGAAATGTGCAGCCGTTGAACCTACAGCACTCTAGGTCGGTTAGCTGAGCACGAGGTGTCCAAATAGCCAACAGTTGTATGACATATCTCAGTAGACAGGATATGGTGACCCTCGCCAAACAGGGCGTGATAGCCAACAGGTCGGGTCGTCCGTTGTCCGTGTAGCAGTTAGCAGGTCATTAAGAAGCGAGTCGAACTGGACACACTTGATGTACGAAACAATGGGAACTTTCCTGGAGGGGTTTTGTTCAACGTGATATAATTCGAGGGCACCACTGGCCCCAAGCACAAGCAACGCCCTCATGGCCCGCCCACCAGCTACTGACAAAAGACGTCCGCCCAACTCCCACCCGATCTACACACGGTCCAAACTCCGGAGAGAGTAGAACAATAGGTACGCCTCCTGGCGCATCACGTCCTCGGTGGTGGTGGCGCTGACGATCTCATCGTCGAAGCGGAACCACTTGTTATCCTGCCTGCAGAACGCGAAGTAGTGGCCATTTTGCGCGTGATCGCCCTGGTGCACCACCACGCAGTCCAGGTCGTACATGTAGTTGTCTCGCGGGGGTTTCTTGTCCTTGTCCTTGTTGTCCTTGTCCTTGTTGTCCTTGTTGTCCTTGTTGTCCTTGTTGTCCTTGTTGTCCTTGTTGTCCTTGTTGTCCTTGTTGTCCTTGTCCTTGCTGTCCTTTGCGCCGTTGGTGCTGGGAGCTGCCCCTGGCTGAGGGGGCCGAGTTGACCATGGCGCCATGTCGAGATGGAGAGGGAAGTCCAACTTGCCCTCGTACTTTTCTGGGATGAACGTGCCAGTGCCGAGCTGTTTCATACCAAAGCGCTTGATGTGCACGCAGAGGATGGCGGGGAGCTTGCGGATGCGCGTGTGTTTGCTGGCGGACTGTCGCTCGTTGCACTCTGTGCAGCTGTACTGCTCAGGGCTGAGTGCTTCAGGGGTCGTGAAGGACTTCAAGCACTCGTGGAGTGTCGGAATGGCGACCTTGAGGTTTTCGGCGGCGGCGGCTTTCTTCTTCTTCTTGACTTGCTTCTTGAAATCCAGGCTGATGCTCGAGAATTCGTCCTCGCGGCTGGAAACGGTGTGGCACTTGTCGCACGTGATTTGGCTGTTATACCGACCGTAGAAGACTTTGTGGAAGAAGCAAACGCATTGCTTGTCTGCGGAGCCGTTGATGATGGTTGAGGATTTGTCGGTGATGCTTCCTGCTGCGGGATATTGCTGGACAGCCTCATGAAGACGATCGATGATGCACATGAACCATTCTTGGGCGTCTTGCTGACCCTTGCCAGACATTTCCTGTGATTTATGGTTAGTTTCACATCAAAGCAAGCAGTAGCGGATGAAACTCACAGGTATATTCTTCCAGGAGGCAAAAAGAAGATTTACGGCGTGGGCTGGCAGTGGCTGGTCGACCATAGTGACATCCGAAAACAATTCTGTCATGCCACACGCAACGCAGGTTTGCTGTTCTTTCTTTTCCTCCAGGTCATCGTCCTCCGAGTCTGAATCGGTCTTCTTTTCAGGCTCCTTGGAGATGGAACATGTGTGAGTTGGATGGCCCATGCCGAGGAAGTAGCTTGCCAGAAGTGGGTTGTGCACCATCATCTGTAACACAGCATTCATGTAGCACGTCTCACCGAGATTGAATAGACCTCGAACACCGCTCCGGCCACATGGCCGCTGAGAAGTATTTGCGGTCAGATAGGAGTCGTCTTCTTCGTTTGCTGACTCTGCAAGCTTGCGTTTCTTATTGGAGGGCAAGAAGCTCGGGTCGTAAACAAGGTCATTGCATCGTCCACAGTAAACCGAGCTTTGGCCAATGGCAAACTCATGCTTGGTTTTGGAGAAGTGCTTGTCGAGGGTTGGAAAGCTTCCAGTAATGGAGCAAGAGACGCATGAGTATTGAGCAAAGTTGGGATCGAGGTTGTTGGCTGACTGTCGGAATTGCTTGATCTTCTCCAGGCTATCATTGTCCAGATGCTCACAGCCTGATATCGGCATATGTAGAGCAAGCGTCATGTTTGTGGTATTTGGGTCTTTATCGACAGATGAGCTTTAGCATCCAGTGGGTGAAATGTGTTGGTATGGAGTGGGAGAGATTGATGACTGCCACCGGAAGAAGATATATCAAATCTGGGGTGGGGCTCTGCTTCGCTTGCTGAATAGCACAATACCAATTCACCGGAACTAATGGAACTAGATACGCAATTGTCTTTGAGAACAATACCACGATATCTGTGAATGATGGATGAATGGACGGATAGCAGAAACCAGCTGTGAATATCAGGGTACTAGTTTCAAAAGTTCTGATGGCCAGATCGGGGTTCGGGGCCAAAGCTGGTAAGGTTGGCCCAGCCGCTAAATTTAAAGCTGAGCGGGATCGGCAGTACCTGCCTGCACAACATGACATACAGGTCTAGCCTTGCATACCCAAAAGTCACAGCCTCAGATTGTATATATCTTTGAATTCGTATGTCAAGTGTGGAAGATGGACTGGCTCGCTAAGTGGATTGCGCAGAAGAATTATGAATGCATGCGTATTCTAGTAAGTTGTGAGCTTCACAACCGCATCGAAATACTATGCACGCAAACCCTCGGTGCAAGATTGTTGATTTACACCCTACAAGCAGTGCTCACAAAGCGCAATTATGTACTTAGAAAGCTCGCCGCAGAAAGACCAAGTTGCCTACTGAGAATGGACCGATTGAACTACTTGCACTGCTGTACAGGTACCCGCTTAGCTCAGGCACTTGTTTGAGCCTCAGGGCCAAGAGATGTGCATCCGTAGCAGACGCGGCTCAGCCGATGTTTACCCGTCACGCGTTTCTAGTAAACCAACAACGACTACTTTCAACTCATAGAACAGAATAGAACAACCAATCAGGGAAATAATAAGCAGAACAGCACACAAGGGTGTCTCTCGCTAACAAGAAAAAATGTCACACAACCGCGCACAATCACAGACGCGTCTGCCCTTGCGGACGAGATCACGCTCGCCACTAGCAGTGTCCAGACCAACAACACCGCTCCGTCCGTCATCTCGCTCGTCATTCCGTACATCACAAAACAATGCCTTTGCCGGACCATCGCCTCTCGACGCCTTTGAGCCCCAGTTCGCAGAACTCAGCGACTCGATGGCAGACCTCGAGGCAAACCTGATGCACCTTCAACTCATGCACGAGAGCCTCAGCCGGTTTGGGGAGAGTTTTGCCAGTTTCTTGTACGGCTTGAACATGAATGCGTTTGTTGTAGATTTTCCTGAGGTAGGTGGCCGCTAGCTGCATATCGAACACACTTTTCCCTCCTCAAGCTGAGCATGTCTTCTTGACGACTTTTCCCTCTGATAATAAAGTTTTCTAGGCCCCGCTTCCAGAATCAATCAAGCGATATCAAAAAAGGCAGCGCGCTGCTCAGACAGGAGCCGCCGTAGACGACACAACCTTTCTGGCCAGCAATGCGGGCGAGCCAGAAACGACCATTCTGGCAACGGGCGATGCCAGCTTCACGAGCCTCAAAGCTACTCCGCGACGCCGGACCATGGCATCGACGGTAACGCCAAGCACAACGTCGACGACGGCCAAGCAGGGTACGACTTCGAGCTCGACTCGTGGTGGCATTCCAGCTAGGGCGGGCAGGGGTATTGCTCGCGGTGGTGCGCGAGGGAGCGGTCTTCCGCGTGGGAGAGGTCGAGCTGCAAAGTAACGAGCGGCTTGTGCGCATCTCCCCTCCCGTTCCCAATGCCCAATTCGATATATGGAGCGTCTCTCGATATGCCGCTAAGACAAGCGTTGTCTGCCACGGAGTCCCGCTCTGTCTTGAATACGAGTCCGAATTGAGGGCATGGCTTATTGCGAAGAATTTTTAACGCCTTCTACTCATATCTGGCTATGCCCTGGACTTGCTCATCGTCACTCGGATCGAGGAAGACGTCAGTGCCTTCCAAGGACCATCACCTCGCAGAACACAAAGCGAAGACGAGGATCATTCTCTAGCAAGCCAAGATTCACGACCCCATTAAACTTGTCTCCTTCTATCCGTGATCACCGCTGTACCTCCAGGCTCAGCAATGATCATGCTCTAGAGATACATGAAGGCCACGTCGACGCGGGCGGCCCCTCTCCACATCCCGTGGAACCCCAAATGAATTGATATGGTCGCAGAGGACATTCGCCCGGCTCACCGCTTTCCTCAAAGTGATATCGCTCTAACATCCTCTGAAAGCGGGCTCCATTCCTTCTGTAGGTATGCATGAGTCACGCTAGCCATGGTTTCATGGGCCAAATCACAATCCTTCAAAATCACCACCAGGACCATCGTCCTCATCCATTTCACCCTCCACAATTTCTTTTGCCAATTCGCGCTCACGTTCGCGAGCTTCCTGAGCATTTTTGAGCTCTAATCGGTGCTGGTTCATGGGGAATCGCATGGCCTACAACTTTGTAAGTAGTTGAACATCGTAGATAATCAAACAATACCGAACATACCTTGACACTCTCGTCGTGCAGAGCCAGACATGCTTGGATACGTTCATGGAAAACGTCTCCTGGTTCTCGTGTAGCATAGACATCGCCAACCTCCTTGCTCTTCATGAAGCCTCGCTCGTGATCAAGACTTGCTTCGATAACACCATCCCTGATCGCTTTGGCGACGATATACTCTGCAGATTCTTCACTATCCAGTCCCAGACGTAGACACATATCTCGCAAGGATATTCTCGCATATGAGAGTGACATCATTCGAATACCTGTCCTGATGACATTCTGTCTGAGTCTCAAGATCAGGGTGTACGTATCGTCCTTTCGGAAGGTCGAGTTATACCGCTGGACAAGGTCCTGGAAGCCAGTCACATCGCCAGAGCTAACCGCTTGAACCAATTGGAGGTACGGCTGCAAAGACTTCTCAAGACTGGGTTGACGGAAGATTGCACGATCCGGAATGTCACCCATTAACAACTCAACTACGATGAGCAGTTTGGTCGACGCCTGATAGAATCCACTTGCCTTGTATGACGTTGGTGATTTGCGACTGGCACCTGTAAGGTGCTCGTGTGCCTCGGTATAGGAAAGTTGAATTGCCCGAATGCGTCCCAGGTAGTACAAGTATCGAGCATATTGATTATTCGCAGCAGTTACGGGGAACTTAGTGTGGGAGATCAGCAGGTCAGCCTGTGTAATGTGAGATGTGAGAAGGTAATTTCGCAGGAGTAAAGTGGTAACTGCAGCCTGAATGTCTTGGTCCTTGCGTAAAGTAGCGGTTCTTAAGGCATCCAAGAGATTTTTTCGGATTGAGATGACCGCGGCTGATGGAGAAGGCGGTAGGGGCGCAGATTCTTCGAAGAAGAGGGCGTAATAGAAGTACACACGCGCTGATAATGAGTCGAGTGTCCTTCTGTTGAGCGTACGAAGATGATCGACAAGCGCACTGGAAAATTGAGCGCCAGCGTTGATGGACTTCTTGTCGTAGAGATGCACTTGGACAAGTATGGACAAGTAAACATCAATCTCGGGCAGAACATCTTTTGGAGCACTTCTCGATGGAGGTCCGTCCTTCTTGTTGTGCCAGTCCCCAACCTTATCCCTCGGGAAGGAGGCGTCATCCTTGACTGCGCTGAGGAGAGATATCGCAGTAGGGGTCGGAGTTGGATATGTTTCTGTGACGACTGAGGCGATCACATCTGCAGTAAGATGCTTCCGCACGGATGGTATCGATCGAAGAACTCTCAAGCTGAAGCGAGGGTCAAATTGACTGACAGCTCGCTCAAGTAAAGGAAGGTTTGCTTTGAGTTCTATATTCGGTGGTTAGTGAGGTGTCAAGCAACAAGATCATGTGTAAGTACCAGAAACTGCTTTCTCTTTGGGATCAACTGGTGCTTCTTGAGCGGTTGCGCCATCTCCATCATTCGCGAGATCTGCTTCGGTGGCCTTGGTAGGAGCATCCGGCTGGTGCGATCCCTTAGAAGGGGGAACCACTACGGTCATCTCATCGTCGCCATCTCTATCCTTCGTTCCTTTTCTATTATTCTGACTACTTCCCGAGCCATTGGTACCGTTCGAATCAGAGCCGTTTAGATGGGGTTTATCACCGCTCATGTTTGCTGAGGGAGGAGTGTAAATCTCGTGCGGTCTAAATGGCAGACAGGGTGCGGCCGACCGTAATGCCGAAGGGGCGACCTTGTCGGAAGGTGAAGAAAATATTCTGCTCGATCTGTAATTGTTTTGTGAAATGGCTGATTGGATTTGCTTGTCTCGCAAATAACAGATCCAGCCCAGAGAGAGCTCTTTATCAGCCTCAAGAAGGTGCTATCACGGAGTGTGAGATCGTACTCAGCACGAGGGAAGTAGGAGAAATGCAGAGTTAGGAGGATGAACAGGAGGCCGTTCTTGATTCAAGCACAGAATAATCAGGCAGGGTGGAAGAGTGTTTCGAGATCGTATGGGTATTGGGACTGCAGATGGAGGTTGGCCAGGGCAGTCGGTCATGCGATTTCCGGATTAACTTGCAGCCGCAAGCCCCGGCGCAGGCAGGAGTACAACACGCAACACACGCGTAGCTTCTCCTTGACCACAACAATGTCCAGCCAGGCACTATTCTCAACAACACACTCCTACTATGGTTAATATATGCTCTCACTACGTGCATGCGGTCTTGATGAAAGTGACCAAATAGTCCTATAATCCAGGATAAGTTCTGCTGTCTGTGCCATGTTGCAAAACCACAAATCATAACCGTGCTACATACCAACTGACGTAGACACGATGGCTTTACTTGCTAGCCACCTCGAGCAGATCTCACTGTCTTCCAAGTCAATTGTACAGCTGGAGTAAGTTCCGAAATGTGAGTGCTCTACTCAATACTGAGATGTTCACACCAGATTCCCTCCACCCAAAATCTTTACCAATGCCCTGCTTGGACATCATGAAATCACCACCTTGATCCGTGACACTGAATCTCATGAGCGGGCCCTGTTCTCCATCAACCCAAGTGCCATCAACGCGCCCAATCGGAGCAGTTCTATTCGACCTCCTCTCGTTGAAAGTGCCTTGCACGGTCGGAAGAGCCTGTTTCCCTCGGTGCAGCCAGTGAGACAATCTGCTGTCACAAGGCTCTTGGGCACTGAAATGCTGCGAGAGATCAGACAGTCCACCAGCAATACTGCACGATCTCAAGAACGTGTCAATGTCGAAGTCCTACTTCGTGGAGCAGAGAAACTCTGCCAAGTATACGCTGTTCCGGGCGTACCAGACAAAATCCTAACGCTGCGAAAGCGACATGGAGAAATTTCAGCATCTTTGGTCTCGGTGGAAGAGAGGGTCCAGCAGCAGCAAACCTTGTCAGATCGCCGAAATAAAGGTTTGATAGATGAAGAAACGGGTGATGGAGGTGTACCCGACCTGGATGTAGTCTCCCAGGATACTCCCACTTTCACTTTGGAGGATTTTCAAGCCGAAGAGGAGGAAATTCGAGAGCTAGAAGCCAGGAAGAAGACCCTAGAAGACAGAATTTCGGGTATAGAACGAGATCTCGGTGGGTTGAGGTAATGAATCCTGCGAAAAGCCGATCCTTCCATCCCTTCAATCATTAGGCTTCGATCAGTCCCGACGAAGAGGCATGACATACACGATGTGTACTTATTAGGAGCTCAGCTTTGGCCTTTGTATTGAGGTCCAGCGACGTACCCAACGTCAAAACCTTTGGTCTATGCCAGTGACCATTTCGCTGTTAGTGGTGCAGAGTTGACAAACTACCCAAGACAAAGATACCCACACGCCGGGGCCCTAGGGGACAACACACAGATCAGTACAGAGTATATCTACACTGGAAGCGCTAGTGGTTAATTTAAAGGCAGCGAGTATATCCATGTATCCCGTACGAGTTACTACGTGCCTCGAATCGCGAAGTGGTATGTAGCTGACTTAAATGGTCAGGCTCTTGTCCGAGACCAACAACCTCCCGCCACCAAGGGGATATGTTGCTTGGTGATGGAGGTTCTACGGGTCTGGGCTAATAGACATGGATGTGAGTGTCGGATTTCTTGTTGATGGCTCCTTTGACGCCTCTGTAGAGGAGCCATTGAACCGTAAATAAATACACGTGATTTCTCTTGAATGTTCTTTCGGTGTACTAGTAGCACTGCTAGTGGTAGCTTCCTCCATAGCTAGTACGGAGTACGACCCATAGGCACAGAAGGAGCCCGGGCCAATACTCCTTTCATGGACAACCGGAATGTCAACAAAGAACCATTTTCACGCTACCGCTTACTCGACTGCATTCCAAGAACTGGCCTGGTGAAGGGCCATACGGAGTATGGAGTACATACTCCGTATGCCATTTCGATAAGTGGCTGACAACATACTGGGGGCCCTTTCTCCCGCACCACTGTTACTTTCCCCAGGGGTTCTTTGTCTCTGAGTGCCCGCAGGAGTTCGTGGCCCTCAAGATGACGCAAAACCACATGTTTGAGAGATGGCTTGGTCCTGGATCGTGTTATTAGCTTCAACCGTTTTCGTTTCAAGATTTGCTTGAAATCTGACAGCCTTCCCATCGCTAATGGTGGGGGAGTTGTCGATCGTATCTTCTTCGAAACGGGAGCAAGCTCGAATCTGTAAAAGAGGAAGGATGATCAGCCATATCGGCAGATCATTTTGCGTCTAGTCCAAGCAAAGCCCAGGGCACTAAGCGAGGAACCAGAGCATCTCAGGGGCATTAATATCTTTGCGGTAGAGAGTGGTGTATCTGCAGGCATGGGACCAGGGATCAGGAAGGTTACCACCAAGAGCACCCACCGGCCAGGCTTCAGGCTGCAGAAGTGTCCCTAGGCCAGCACCAACCCCGAGACAACCTAATTGCTGCCGGGAGTGGACGTGCCGGCTCCAATGCCATCAACTGCGGATGTGCTTAACCTGGTCGCTAAAGGGCCCTAAGGAGAGCCCACCCCTCAGGTCCACAATCATTTAGAATCCACCATCCACACGGCTACATGGACTACAGGGCCGAAGGGCCACCGTCGTTGGCTTTGCGACCGGCGCCCTGTTCAAACCAGTCTCCCATGTTCCATTGAAACACCAGCCTCATGACTTACGGAGTAGGTCAAGAGCCGACCAACTCGTTTCTCAAAGTCACCTCAAGCTGACTTCCACGGCACCCTCCCATCTATTATTGCCTCCGGCTCTTGGTTTCGAACTCATCTCTACCATTGCTACCTTGACCTCACAGGCTGTCACCCATCTCCGCCTGCAGCTTTCCGTCTCCATCATCCCACTCTCTCATATTGTCGCACGAAGACCAGAGCCAACTGACGCTTGCCTCCATTTTCCGCAGCCATTACCTGGTGGCTTTCCTCCCTAGTTCCATCATTCTGCCGAAGAGCAAACCTGCTGGCGTCTACTAGTTGCCAACGTTGCAAATCCTAACTGCATCGTCATCACGATAGACCTTGCCTCGAGCCTTCCAAAAAAAAGTCTTGTCCCCTCCCATCAATCAGTCCAGGTATTTCCTCATGGATTGCTGATTGTATTCCATGACAACCTGATATAAGCCGGGCCGACCTCTTATTGAATTCACTGCAACCAACATAATGGCGCAGCGCTCGGTCCGCACTGACGGACAAGAGCCAGGATTAAGGGGACTTCGGAGCATGGGCTCTTCAAGCGATGTCCTGTCCCTGTCTGCCAGATCTACGAGAATGAGCTTGCCTCATGCCAGCCCTCCTCCACTTTACGTAGCAGAGTCCGCAGCGGAAACTCTGCTTTATGCAGAGTTGGAGATTCCTGTCAAAATCTCTCCAGGTCCGTTGGCTTCGGTGAACGGTTTCCTGGATCAGATTCTCTACGATATCCTCTCAAAATCACACTCTACCTCGCTTGTTGCCTTAAGAGCAGCGATTCCAGTTGTACTGAAGCAAAGATTGGGACAGTCCGCTGTGAGAGCCGCTGACGAAGAGCTACAAGACTACTTGGACGAACAGGAACTTGCTGACCTTCAAGCATCTGCGGGAGTATTGGATCCGAAGACAGAATTCGATGTCGACTTGGCTTGGATGTTGACGAGGCTCCGTTGCATGGTTTACGCAAAGCTGGGGGACTTGGAAGAAGAGGACGAAGAGGATTTGCTTGACGATGAAGATCTGCGATATCATGTCACCCGAGTAAAAGAGTCTCTGAGAGCCTCCGCGACTATTACACCTGCTTCAGCAATCTTCCTCACAACCATCCTCGAATTTCTAGCAGAACAAGCTCTATGTATTGCCGCACAACACTCGAGGAAACGACACAACAATTTGAAGGGCCAAGCAGCTCTTCAATCAGGCGACCCTGGTATCCTTTTGGAGGACATTGATATGTCGGGGATTGGCAAAGAAGGGCCTCTCATTCGCCTCTGGCGCTCCTGGAAGGGTAGCGTACGCACCACAGGGAGCATGTCATCTAGACCAACAACCCCCAACATCATGACGCCTATTAGTCCAGAGTCGCCGACTTTCGAATGGAAGAGCCCGTCCGGTCTACCCTTCTCAACAATTCAGGAGGAACATAGCCCGTCAATCCAGCCTGCAACCTCCCCTTTGCCCGCTGATATACCTCTACCAATGTCTAACAATGATGTGAATGAGATTGAGGTTCCTGGCGCGGCACGCGATCCTGACGACCCGGATGCTGGACATTTGATGCCCCGACATACGCTGGAAAAGCGTCGACCGTCAAGTATGTTGGTGATGCCAGGACATTTTCCAGGTCCACCAACGCCTACAATTGCAGATCAACAGGGGGAAAGGCCATCCTGGGGCCGAACCAGATCACATTCTCTCCCCACACCAGCGCAATCTCCCTCTGTGCTCAAATTCGATAATACTGACAAAAGCGATTCGACTAAGATTGCTGCAAATGCATATTCCACTAAGGGGGCTGTTCCTAATGCTTCCGGTCAAATCGCTGACAGCCGTGATGAGGCTACCGCTGCACCAGAAACCGAACCAGCACCCTCCCGAACAAATGCGATTAGTGCAACCGTTGCAACAATTGCAGGAGCATTGAATGTTGAAGCTTCTAGAGCACTTCGTAGAGATCGAGCCAGCCAAAACGAGCTCGTATCCCACTCTCCAGAAGCTAGGACCAGTGCTCAGGCTTCAATAAGCACCGCCGAGGATTTTGAACAACTTCACATGCCTGCCAGAGCTCGGACCACGGATACTGCGATCTCACCGACTGACCTAGAGACCACCATCGACTCGATGCCTGGAAACTTCGACGTGGACGCTTCAGACGAAACAGAAGATCAACCAAATGATAGAGCCAACTTGCGAGATTCTGGTTTCGGTGTCGATGTGCCAGATAACGTAGAACCCGTGCACAACCACGATGAATCCCAGCCTGCTCCTGTCCCCACGCAAAACGGAAACCTGCCGACACCCAACCAAGTCCTGCCTGGAAGTCCTAGCACGACAGATTTGGCAAGTAGGCGAATGGGTAGAGTCCCTTATCAGGCGGCTTCTCGCAACCTTGAAGCAATCGATGACAACCATGGGGTAGCGATCATCCAGGGCACGGGCCGCTTTGGTGGACACCCCTTCCCGTCAACTACGACAGATCAAAACACTTCCCGATCTGCAACAACTTCTGCATGGCCTGCTGTCGTTCCTAACAGACGGTCATCCTCCGAGAATCAAGCAGTCAGGCAATCTCCAACAGAGATGCGATTTCCTCAACATATCCCTACGTATCAGCGAGCTGACGGCATCGAGAAAGACTCAGTCCCCCATTATGCTACATCAGCCTTTGCAACCGCGGCAGGCAGTCATTCAAGAAATTCTAGCACAAAGGAGAGTAGACCTGGAACATCTGGATCTGCCAATGCGAGACGCCAGCATATCCGACTACGATCTAATACCGATGATGGCAGCAAGAGGATAACGCCTCCAGATGAGGCGGATCGCACAAAGAAAAGCCTCGATGTGCTGATTGACAGTGACGAAACACTGCATTATACGCTGACTCCGGAATCGGCCAGAGCAGCTAACGAGGTACGAGATCCAAAAACTTGAGGAATATCAATTAATAATCAGCAGGCTTCTCGACACAAGGCCAGGAGCCAAACACGAGAACTAGCGGACTTCTTCCGAAATACTGCCCCCCCCGACGAGGAGCCCAGTCGCCCAAGATCATCTCGTTCTACCAAAGACAACATGAATGGCCTGCGAGCCAACCCACCGGGATCTCCGCAACCTCCTGTCCCCGTCATCCCTTCGCAATCCGGTGTGCAGCAATCGACAAATTCGCCATCAAAGGCAAGAAATCCGCTTGGAGAGCCGCGTGATGCGAGGATGACGCGAGGAACGACACGAGATCTTGCTGATTATGCACGGTCCACTGGGCCAGAGCATGACATGCAGCTTCCGAAGGCTCTGAACGCTCGGCCCACTACGGCTCAGGGAGGATATGATGTTGGGCACGCTGAGAACGGTGAAGGAATATCGGTAGAAAGCACCACTCCTCGCCCTTCGACAACATCCAGCAAAGTGACAAATAGGCTCAAACACCAGGCAAGAGATGCACGAGCACCTCGAACAGCCGAGAGCTCCGACCTAATCGATTTCATCCGAGAAGGCCCTCCACGCGCTGCGGGTGAGCACCGTATTGACCGAAATGTGGCACCTTTCCGAACAACAATGGACTCGGATGACTTGAACGCTCTTGCTCCTCCACCCGATATTGATGTCAACGGTCGTAACTCAGATGGCAGTGCCCAGGAGAGTGCGATGACCATCAAATCGATGCCATCTTCAATGAATTCCCGAACTGGACTACTAGATGCTGCAAACCGTGGCCCCAGCAAGTATGTGAACGGATTCGGTACAGGTGGTGCAGCTGTGTCCCGGCAACCTGTGATTCCAGAATCCGATGGGATGCCCCGTCGTACCCGGAGAAGAGTCCGTGATCCTTATGCTATCGATTTCAGCGACGACGAAGACCCAGAGGAGGAGGCCCCACGGCCACAGCGCAGAGGAGATGAAGAATCACTTGTTGACTTCTTGAGGAACACCGCTCCGCCCCCTGGTATGACTACGAAGCCAATCCTCGCTGCGAATCCGAACCCTACTCAACCCGATCCTTCGTCAATGGTGAAGCGTACCGCGAGTAGCTCCAAACTCAGAGATTACCTGCAGGGCGCGAGCAGTGGTAAAAACGGTACTAGTCCTGGGAAAGGACTTAATAATGCCCGAGCAGACTCTCCACACCTAACACAGGTGGGCTCCAAAATGGACAAATACAGACCAACCCAACCCACACACGCAGCGCACGTCGATCGAAACCGACAAAAAATTCGGGCTGAGCCCAGGGACCCTATGGCGTCAAGAGGGGGTGACACTGCTGACCTTGCTGCATACCTGATGAATTCAGGTCCTCCACCAGGAAGCGAGGCTCCACCACAGCCCTTCGTAACGTCCGCCGGAAAGGACCAGGCCGGGTTTATGAAATTTTTCTCTAGGCGCGGAAGTGTAAGGAAATAATTTCCGGCGTGATAATGAACGAAGCCTACAAGACTATGTAAGAATGATTTTCACTAATCTTTGGACAATCTCAAGGAGCTTTGGATAAGGCAGTGAGAGCTAGGAAATTTCAAACGCAGATAGGAGGCGAGCTTTGTTTTGTAGATAGATGCGAGCAGATACGCAGATCCAAGAGCAGTGACGCCATCATCGATCAAACGCCTCAATGATAATATAAAAGTACTCCGTACTCGGTACCAAGATAAGTTGAGCACCACTTTGCTAATTGTGCTGGAATCTTAAATTTGATTCAAATGTGCTTGACAACCTCCCCTGAGCACCGTAGTACCCCGCAAGAGTCAGTACTGACCCCCTTGGAGAATCCGTTGAAAAGGGGCGGACTACCACACCGCCTTTATGCACGTGATCATGCCATCTGTCGACCGTGGTTTCTGCCACCAACGCCCACCGCGCTCAAACTCCTGAATATTGTTTGCAACGCCCAAAAGTTCGGGAGTTTACATAGTTTGACAGCGCTGCTCTTTCACCCAAACATACAACCCCTCGCCAGCCGCTTGTCGGCGAATTTAATCCTCTCAAACCCATCTACTGGGGTTCAAATCAACAGAAATCCCCCAAAATGAGAACGCTTCTCAGCCTGGCGGCTGCGCTCCTCCTCCTCCCCTTCTCCGATGCATTGAAATTTGACCTCATTGCCCAAGCGGGCCACAGCGCAAAGAATGAGCGATGTATACGGAATTTCGTCAACAGAGACACTCTTGTTGTCGTGACCGCTATTGTGAGCGGTAACCGGGGCGATGGACAGATGGTCAATATGCACGTATGTCACACCTCAGCAGGCGGCGTTGAGAGAGTGCTTGCCTGGCTCCTCTTACTCGGACGTGGAAGTGCTAATATCTCAACTTTCAGATCAAAGATGCAGTCGGCAATGACTATGGCCGACCAAAGGATGTCGCAGGCGAGAAGAGAATGGCATTCACAAGTCTTGCAGACACAGCCTTCGATGTCTGTTTCGAGAATACCCTGACTGGAAGATGTATGCATTTGGATCCCGGAAACTGAACTCCAGCCCCTCAACTGACTGGCACTACAGCAAACACCCCCAACCCAACTCGCCATGTGGAATTAGATATCGACATTGGCGCGGATGCGCGAGACTGGTCTGCCATCCAAGCCTCTGAGAAGCTTAAGCCTGTGGAGACAGAGCTGCGGCGGATAGAGGAGACGGTCAATGAGATCGTCCAAGAGCTGGAGTACCTACGAATGCGCGAGCAAAAGCTACGAGACACGAATGAGAGCACGAATGAAAGAGTCAAATGGTTTGCTTTTGGTACGATGGGCATGTTGGTTGGTTTGGGTGCATGGCAGGTTGTGTATCTGAGGGCTTATTTCAGGTCGAAGCACCTGATCTAGATAACGTGCGGCCGAATGTTCCATTATTGGCGCCAGAACAGCACATATGTACTCCGTCAGAACGTGGGTTTCGCAGGACAGGAACGCACACCTCGATTGAGTGCTGAAAAAGTACATTCATGGCTTGTCCGTGTATGAATATTCCGCAACGCACAATAATAGGCACAATCTTGTGGGTCATTATTGGTCATGTTTGTGAGTGTTACCTGAGAGTTTCCTTCTGAAGCGCAACAACGTTCTCCTTAATCTCACTGAACACTCGAATGCCCTCAGACATGGAGATTATGTCACGTGGACTGCCTTTCAACTGCACGTACATTCCCTCGGAACTCTCCGCCTTCAATTGGTGTCAATTGCCCATCCCCTGGTGCTCGTTTCACTCCTGTTTGGTAAGTCCTGATGCTTGATTAATGTACATCCATAGCCACCACCGGGCCAGAGCCTAAACACCTGACTTCAACGAGCGTTCCATGTCGATCCCCTCTGAAATCCGCAACAAAATGTGCGATAAGACGAGCTCATTGTGGCCCCCTCCCATGCCCTCCGACAGTGCCCGCTCATGAACTTGGTGAGATCCTCTGCTTCCGCCCCCAACCTCGACTTTCAACAAGTCTTTCCATCCAAATGAACGTGGTATCTGCAACCCCGTCTGGAAGGTCTGTCTGTTGTGTTTATTGCTTCACGCGCGACAAAACAGAGCACCTTTCCTGGTGCAGGCTCGCTCATTGCCATCGATTCGTCAAGCTCTTCTAGCCACTCATCTTCGTATGGTGTAGGGTCGAAAGCCAAGTCCTGTACCAGTTCCTTGGCACCAAGCATGAGGAGGAGGGAAGACTGCCCGGCATTCTCATGAAGCCATATAAGATGTCTAGGCGCCATGAAATTTAGCTTCCAGAAGGACATGATGTTATTGATGAGAAGGTTCTGCTACTCTGGCATACGGAATTTGTCTGCAAGCATCCAGGCTTCCATCGCAGGAGGGACTTGTTCGTGTGTGTCTACTTGCGGAACTTCGCCGGAGTAGATCCAAAGGAAGAAGAGGTCGAAAGCTATACACGTATCATCAGGGAAAGCAATTTCGTCGTCGAGCTCTTCCTTCATTCCAGACACCAAGCAATTGGCAAAACATGGGCATTTTCGGACGAGTAATTCCTTATGGGCAGTATATCGAGAGCGGTCAGGTCCAACAAGGATTGAAATTGACTTGGAGGCGGCGAAGCTGGGGTGTTATTAGTACAGCTTGCCTCCGGTTGCAGAATCACGCACCTCTTCAGTCCAAGCAGGCTCACCTGTCTAACCTCGTCGGCAACAGCTGAAGCAGTGCTATTTGTGGCCATTGTTTCGTTAGAGTCGGTCACGGTTCGAATATGCCAGGTAATCCGAAGCAGCTCTATTGATTTGGCGCAGATTAGAATGGATTCTCTTCGAAGATGAGAGAAAAAGATTCCTTTGAGAAAGAGAAAGAGAACTCTATATTATAACCCCACCACTCTGAGACCGTTCTCATTCATATTCACATCAAAAATAACTCGGTCCTGCACAGACTCGACAAAGGAGGAGTTTGCTATAAGCGGCTGCGCGAGGCAGCTAACCAAGCTGCAGCGGTGTAATCGGAAAGCCGCATATGTAGAAAGTAATAGCGACTTCCACTATCAAACAACTATGAGACTACACAACTATGAGACTACTGACACGAAGAACAAACAGCAACGGACATGGGTTTTCGTCCTGATGCATGGGGCTTCCGAAGGCGTGGACAGAGGAGGGAATACAGAAAGAACTTGTATATCAGGTACGCCACGCATTAATTCCCGCACCGCACTCATTAAAATGCAATCAAACCCGGTTATATAGTAGTGCCAGTACCCCATGCGTTGTTAGTATCGTACTAATAAGATTTTTAAATATTGGGATAGATCTTTGCAGAACGTAACTGCAATACGTCGGAGTTGAGCGGATCGCACGAGGCTCTAGCCCCTTAAACTGGCTGACTCTATCCTTAGATCTCAACGTCCTTCACTACTTTCAAATTGACACATGCCAGCCCGGTTCTCGTCCGTCTTCGACATCCCCGAAGACATAGTCACATGAGACACATCTCACAATAGGTAGATTTTCTAGAACCCAAGCGTAATGTACAAGATCCACCACCATTTCCCCGCCCTGTATTAGTAGCTTTGGGAGCACAATAAGAGACTCAGTAGTTCAGAAAGTCAATGGGCGGGAATGTTGAAAAGATGAGGTATGGGTGCAATATGCAGGGTATAGGACTCAGAGATGGTAGTCATTTCACCTCCACCTCAGTAGGTCAAGGCAATGGATGATTCGCATATCCGATTATATCCTTGGTGAAGCACTACTAGAAGATGGCTGCGGATGACGTGAAGTGAATTCGACACTAGGCAGTCAACAAAGAACCACAACATCTTGTCAATCGCGTCGGGACAATTTTTCTCATTGCCTTGCGTCTGGAAAAACTAGGATAGGCCATATTGAAACAGAAATTCTCTGGAATTAAAATGCCCAAAATGAAGGCAAATCCGCACGCGAAACCGACTGAGGACGTCGATCAACCAAATGAGCCTTCAATGTATGTGGGTCCTAATTTTCCCATTGCTCTGTATTCATGCTGACATACCTACAACAGCAGTCCCTTATTGACACGCAATACGGTCAAAGTCCTAGTGGGCAAGCGCAAGATCGAATACGACATCCAGCGAGATCTACTCACGAACAGCAGTCCCTTCTTCAAAGCATGCCTGACGAACGGGATGAAAGAGAAAGAGGAGAACGTCATTGAGCTCTCCGAAGATTCAAGCGACGGATTTTCGTTACTTGTGGAGTGGATTGAGTACGACAGGGTCTCACCCGTGGTGGGAGACAAGGACACGGTGCTCGCGATGGACGCGTACGTACTAGCCGATAAGTACGGGATGTTCAACCTCCAGAACGGGCTCATAGATAGAATCCAGAGTTATTGGTTCCAGGCGCGCATGCCTGCGTCGCACTTCATGTGGATCCTTCAGAACAACGTCGTAGAGCACTGTCCGCTGTACAAGCTTGGGCTGGATCACTTTCTGTGGGGGATGATGTTGAGTCCGCGTCGGCATCGGGAGGGGAAGAAAGGCCCAGAGGCCAATGCGAGGAAGAGAGCCAAAGGCATAAGCAAGCTAGTTGCACTAGGGACACATCATTTTACGCTTCGTCGCCGCCGCCGCCGTCCTTGGGAGGTCGAGGTCGACGAACTCCTCTCCATGCCAGGTGTCGCGGAAAAAGTCACAGCTGCGATGCGCTCCGCAAGCGCTGAATATCTGAATCCAATGCAGCAGGCGATCTGTGCTTATCATATTCACCCTGCTGATGGGAAAAGATCTGAGGATGAGGCAAACGCAGATTCTGGAGGCAACCTAGGTGTGGATGCTCTCTGTGCTAGCATGGCTAAATTTGGTGTGTATTGAAAGAATAAAAGGGGAAGGAAATCATGATGCGAGCAGACTTTGTTGGTATTAGCATTGCTGACTAAAGTTTTAGGTTCTCTACTTATTTGGTTTCCTGTTTTCCTGTTTTCTTGGCTTCTTGGTCACGGCTCGAGGCTATACTGATCGCCTTCCAAGAAATCGCTTTGGGACAGCAGTTGAAATAGAGGGCACTTTACACCGATAATTTCCGCCCTTTTCTCCCGCATTCGTCCTGAGTCATGCAGAGTAGCAACAGTTTTCAGACTCCAGATGAAGGCGTGTGGCCTTGACATGTGCTGCCGATCCACCTATGATCGCACAGTGCATGCCTTGCTAGTTCCATGAACATGATGTTTGCAGCCTTGTTTGCAGGGATCAGGGGTTGGCGTTTTGGCAGCGACCAGCAGATCGAGAACAAATCTGTTGTCCAGGAAACCTTTTACGAGTAGATCGTTTAGGCCGGCTACCATGTTCTCTTTCTCATACAGTGCATCATTCCCACTGGGCCATTCATACAGAACCTGATCTCGCACGAATCTGAAACTGAGGGTGTCCAAGTGGTTGTGATGTTCAATCACCCAGGCAAAGTAGGGCATGGGTATGACCTTCCGACGCGAATAATCCATGAGTCTGTCCATGAGCATGTCTTGGAATCGGGGCATACAGAGCCTGTCCGCGAGAGCCCAAGCCTCGTAAACGTCGTAAGGCGCTTTATTAATATCTTGCTCGGGGAGAGCGTTTTTGTAGAGGTACATTGCAAGCCAGGTCAACTGAGCGGTAAGTATCTCAGGCATTTCGACCACATTACTGAGGGCCTCCTTCATGTTCGTCGCGAGACATTTCGCAAAGAACGGAGAATATTGGATGAGGATGTCTTTGTGGAGAAAATATTCTACCTTTTCTGGTCCTACGAGAATCGTGATGATCTTGGTGGCGGCGAAGCTAACCAGTCAGACTCGGCTTCAGATAAAAAGGAGGAATGGGGATGATTGAGCTTACCTGCTCATGATCTGGTATCTCGGACTGAGTTTGATGTAAGGGATGAACTGATATCTTGCGGATCATCCTGTTACTCGGGAGTCAAGGAGTTTGTTCTGCTGCAAGATTGTAAGAGAACGGTGATCGCAGTGACTCCGGGGTAAGGCAGCACTGTATTGGGAATGATCATTTTGCGGACTGGGATGAGTTAAGAAGTTGTGAAAAAGAAGCAAAGTGGGACAGCCAAAGCGCATGATGCGAACTAGCTAATTGGTTTGCCTTCACTGCCTTGGTGGTTCAATTCAAGTTGCGAATGGCGTGTCGGTGTTGGCTTGCCGACTTCTCTGATTGTCAACCCATAATATATTGTACAGATCGCTACTGTGTGACTACCAGGCATATGTGATCCACCTAATTCGTTTTCACTTGCTCAAAATTTTGTGTTGCTGCAAAAGAGACTTTTCCATTCGAAGTAACACTTGCGACGGATAACTTCGGCTGCTTCGAAGTTGCCGGAGATATTGCTGCAGACTCCGTTGCACCTTGCCTGAGATCATCAAGACGATTGGGCGTCTGTGCACCTGCTATCGCTTCTCGCACAACACCCGCAGGGGCGTCAGCGATCTCATTAACTTCTTGAGCTGTCAATACATCGCTGAATCTTGAAGCGCGGCTCTGTATGAGAAGCGTGGTTGGTCCTCGAAACTGTAAGAAGAGTCGGTCACCCCATATGGTTCTCCGACTCCAGGTACGCATTCTGAGAAGGGAATTCGCAATGAATTTATAAGTCTTGCTCATTTTTAATGTCTCGATAAATTTCGAGGATGGAAAGAAGTTGCCGAGTTGTAGTGGTATCTGCAGTCGGATATTTGTTGACTTGAACCGGTACGGTTGTGGTAATGGAGTTGGCGAGGAAGCCGTGTACGCAAGGATATTAGAGGGATGAACAACGTAAGACTCTCCTTCAGCGAGTTCTATCGAGTAGACCTGCCCCTGACCGGCTAATGCCAGGAGGCCTCGTCCAGTCACGTCGGAGCTTCCCCAATATGCCAGAGATAGTCTCGTGTTCAAGCTGGGTGTGACAGAAAGTGATTTTCCAGTCCAGGCTAATAATGCTTTCCTTTGTGCCAATTTCCAGTCTGTTGTGCCATCCAGTTGCAAGATTGCAAGGGTCGTTAAGGGTGATTTAGTCGATATCAGGGCATTGATAGGAGATGTCGACGTAATCTTCTGGTAGAGAAAAGGGATGCCAACAAGAGCCCGTCGTAACGGATTGAGTATCCGTAGAGTTGAGACTGTGCTGTCCGGCTCTCCGGCAAAGGCAACTAGCGTACCGTGACGCGTATAGAGGTCCTGAGACGGAGACAGATTGATTGATAGCAACGAATAAGGACTTCCAAGAACCTCAAAGGATGCATCTATTGCTGGTCAGTATTCCGCAAATACAGACAACATATTTGGCGAACAGACCAGGGGATGTGGCGGACGTCGACTTGCCAACGACTTCAATTCTGCTAGTATCTGTCGCAGGTGTTGCTTGCAGCGAGATATACCGGTAGCCACCCACCCGTCGTCCAGCAAGAACAAGTGCGGGAAATGCCCATTGGCGAGGACTTGTATTGAGTTGTCGGAGGCTCTGCAGTGCGACTCGAGGCATCTTGGAGAAACGAGCAGGAATTGACTGGACAGCGACTTCACGCAAGTAGTCTGAGTGAGGTGCAACTCGGATTGACAGTGCTCAAACCACACTGCGCGACTGTTCAAAAAGAAAGTCCACATGAGCTCTGGAAAGCTTCGACTTGATGGAGCCTAAGCAAACATGCCAACCCCAGCAACAAATGTGCCAAGTCTGAAGAACCAGCCTGCAGGGGAAATGCCAAGGCAAAAGGGGAATGGGGAGCCTTTCCCGGGACGCGCCGATGGCATCAGATCAAGCAGAAATTACTCTAGACAGCCCAATATTATCATAAGCTGCTTGATGACTTAAGGTTAAGACACGCTCTGCCAACAACAATTTCTTGGATTTCTTGGACAATCGTTTTCCTCTGCGCAGCAGATCCACGACTCAGAAATGAAATGATCCAGATCCTCTTGGGATTTGCTTCGGTGCTGAGCTGGAGTTGCTCTTAGTGTGGATGCTTGGTCATCAGTCAACATGTTGTCGCGAACGTTTGGCGCCTGTGGCAAGCAGAATCTGCTCGATTTTTATAGTCCCTCTCGGGGAATATGGGGTCTGGGCTTGCGTGCCGTAAACCATGGCAGCATTCGATGCTATTCCCAATCCCGACTTCGAGGGCGCCAGCAGGATGCTCAGAAACCCATGGTACAGTCAACAACCAAGACTGCTGATGCTGGCCCAGGAAAGGCAGTTCCGCAAGAAATAGCCGTTCCGGAATCTACACAGAAACCCGAACCGCTCAAGTCTGAGGCAAATGCGTCGAAAAAGGACGCGCTATTATCTGAGAAGGTGGTCTCTACTAAGGAGCAGCGAAAGATTGATCTGGCCATCATGCGAGATATGGTTCAATATTTATGGCCCAAAGGAGAGCTTGGTACCAAGATCCGTGTGGGCGCCGCACTGGGCCTACTCGTCTCAGCGAAGGTCTTGAATGTCAATGTTCCATTCTACTTTAAGAGCATCGTGGACTCAATGAATGTGGACTTCCTGGCCGTTGGTGGGACAGCTTGGACGGTGGCCGGATCTATGATCGTCGCTTATGGCGTTACTCGGATTGGGGCTACACTGTTTCAGGAATTGCGAAACGCAGTATTCGCCAGTGTCGCACAAAAGGCGATTCGCAATGTTGCCAGAAATGTGTTTCAGCACTTACTAAAACTTGACTTGAACTTCCACCTCTCAAGACAGACTGGAGGACTTACGCGAGCTTTGGATAGAGGTACCAAAGGCATCAGCTTTCTGTTGACTTCGATGCTTTTCCACATCTTCCCGACTGTGCTCGAGATTTCTATGGTGTGTGGTATCTTGACATACCACTACGGAGCTCAATTTGCCGCGATAACTGCTTCTACAATGATAGCATATTCGGCGTTCACAATCACGACTACCTCTTGGCGAACCAAATTCAGAAAACAAGCCAATGCAGCCGACAATCAGGGTGCCACTGCTGCAGTTGACACTCTTCTCAACTACGAAGCGGTCAAATATTTCAACAACGAAAAGTTCGAGGTTGACCGGTATGATAAAGCTTTGAAGAAATACGAGGACGCGTCAATCAAGGTGACGACCTCATTGGCGTTTTTAAACACTGGGCAGAACGTGATATTCTCCAGTGCGTTGGCGGCCATGATGTATATTGCTGCGAATGGTGTCGCTGCAGGTTCGTTGACGGTCGGAGACCTGGTCATGGTCAACCAGCTTGTCTTCCAATTATCTGTACCCTTGAACTTCCTGGGATCAGTTTACCGGGAACTACGCCAATCCCTCCTAGATATGGAGACATTGTTTAATCTTCAAAAAGTCAATGTCACAGTCAAAGAAGTGGCACATCCAAGGCCTCTTGCCTTGACTCGTGGAGGAGAGATAAAGTTTGAAAACGTTTCCTTTGGGTATCACGCAGACAGGCCAATTTTGCGAAACTTGAGCATGACAATTCCTGCTGGGAAGAAGGTGGCCATTGTGGGACCTAGTGGATGTGGCAAATCGACGATTCTTCGCTTACTGTTCCGCTTCTATGACACCGAGTCTGGAACGATCACGATCGATGGCCAAGATATCAAAGAAGTGAGCCTGGACAGTTTACGAAAGAGTATAGGAGTTGTTCCACAGGACACTCCATTATTTAACAACACAATCGAACACAATATTCGATACGGGCAGATTGACGCTAGCCTCGAGGAGGTAAAGAAGGCCGCTCATCGTGCGAGGATATATGAGCTGATCGAACGTCTTCCTGCTGGCTGGAATACAATGGTAGGTGAAAGGGGTATGATGATCTCCGGTGGTGAGAAACAACGACTTGCGGTTGCCCGTCTGTTATTGAAAGATCCGCCGTTATTGTTCTTTGATGAAGCAACCTCAGCGTTGGATACATACACAGAGCAGATGTTGCTCCAAAACATCAACAGCATTTTGAAAGAAAAACGACGAACTAGTGTATTTGTGGCTCATCGACTGCGGACCATCTACGACAGTGACATTATATTCGTGCTCAAGGAAGGCCGAGTGGTGGAACAGGGCACACATGCGGGACTACTTACTTTGAGAGGCCTATATTCTGATTTGTGGACGGCTCAAGAAGTTTCGCTCGGACAGGATATGACACTAGAGAGATCACTGGAGGAAGAGCGCGAAGACGAGAAGAATCAGGCGTGATCCATGCCAGCATCGAACCAGGTTGTGGCCACAGGTAATTATGAGATACTCCCAATACGACCAGCAACACCACGACACTACTGGAGAGCAACTTTAGTTGTTCTAATATGCAGCTAGGAGGCTAGCAGGACCGAAGTGGGAGCCTCCGATACTTGGGCAGTTGCAGAAATGAAACCCTCACCCCCACCATGGCCTATCGCGAAGTGTGATCGTGAACCGTGATCCTTCCTGAAAGGTATGCAGTAGTATGCAGTCCGGCGGACACCCTTCGGAGGTTGCGCAGATTGGGTACGGGGCGGTGCTATCATTAATTGTGTTCGTGTTCCCTTAGTCCAGGTAGTACTAATCCGGGAGCAGAGGAAAGGAGGGATGAATAGAGCGAGTTGTAATTATGGATACTCTCCCTAGACATCTATAGCACGAACCACTCTTACGCTGTACATACCACTCTATTTAGTCTGTACAGCCCATGCTGCTCAAATTGGGGAAATCTCCAGAGATGGAATGGAAGTCATGTGTGCAGGCATGATTAAGAGGGGGGAGGCAAGAAGGACGAGTAATTCCACCAAGTCCAGGTTGCTATGGAGCCGAGATCAGCCTTTGGGGGAGGGAGACAGGGGTAAAGTCGCCCACCCAGGACCACCCACACGTGGCGCCCGGGTACCCGGGGCAGTGGCTACTTGGGCATGCATAGAGTTCTTTCAGTGGTCGGTCCCCTTTTACACCGGCGATCTTCCAGCCCTTCGGCCAAGCCTGTGCTGCCCAGGAACTGTCCGTTGGCTCCGAGGATGTTCGCATACGAGTAGTTTCGTGTCGTGCATGAAGAAATGTGATCGCGCTCGAGGACGCCCACGCTGTTTTCTAGCCTCGCGTTGGCTCATAAACGATGTTGGCACCCAAGCGAGAGCTGAGCGATAGCTCCGCTAGGCAGGTAAGTGGGAACCACCTGTGAGTCTGTGACACACTCGACCTACTCGTAAGGCACGAGCGCAAGTTGTGCGGTGCGTATTAACTACTAATGCCAGGTCTCATGCTCGTTTCTCTGATACTCGTCACTCCCGAGAGGAATCTGATTCCCTTGACTGTCTCATGCTATCATGGAGTACCACTGCAGATTCATCTCCATGGTTGATGCCGGTTCACTGGACTCTTCTCCCCTCATAAAGCCACTGGGAGACATGGGGCCCGGTGGCCTCTAGAAGCACTGGAAGGACTCGCCAGTTAAGCGTTAGTACGCCCTTAGCCAGGGACCATTGCACTCTAGCAAGGCCAAGCCCAGCCTAAAGCGACACTAAACGTGCCTTGGAGAAATTACAATGGAGCGGGTTCCAATGCAAGTTCCCAACTCCAGAGTTCGCAGTCTCTCCTATCCCTTTCCTGCACCCCATCCACCCAAAAGTCTTGTTCGTTGCGAATGCGCTAGATGCATGTAATGCGAGATATGAACCATCCTCCCGCCCCTCAGGTTGCGGTTGGCTGTGCTTTGCCTGTGCATACATCTTCCTCCTGCCATCCCTTACATCAACCTCTTTGCGACACCTTTCTTGAACAACAACAGCAGCAGCAGCAGCACTGATTTGATCAACGCCGCTAACTCGCTCGTGTCCACCACCCATAAGCCTACCAGCCGCTCTCGACTCGTTCCACAAGCTGCATAAAGACCTGGAGCTGTTTGCGCACAAGACATCCCACCAGAATTCAGTTGTTCGACGTTGGAAAGAATCCGAACCACTGAATTGTGAGCGCCATCCCTCTGTTGCCGCATCTGCTATAGTAGACGACGGGAACATTGCTCGCTACCAATCGAGGCAACCAAAGCATTCAAATCAGACGACCAACTCTCTCGAGCAGAAGGTCAACCAGGCCTTTTCAAAAATAGCACGAATACACCTATCGTGCACAGTCAACACCGCCACAAAGGATCAACTCACGGCTTGACCTTGTATTACACATCATCAGGACAATTACTTGACACCACACCTCCATCCTCCTGTCTCTCCCCCAGTCCAACACCAATTTGTATATCTCAAAATGGGTCTCTTCGATAAACTACACTCAAGTAAGAATGCCCGCACTCTCTCATCCCTCGCACCCTCCCGTACTTTGCTATCACACAGACTTACACGCACTCTATAGAACTCGAACTCTACCGCCTAGAGCAAAAGTACGCTCGCCGCAAGAACCGCACCACATTCTCCACCGGCGCCCAGTACGTGGACGGAGAATATGTCTACAGCAACCCAACCGACAGAAGTCCCACCATGTCAACAAATTCGACAGGGGAGTCTGCAGGATCGTCAAACAAGAGACAGACCATGTTATGGACACCCCCTAGTAACAAGAGATGGTGAAGGGAGATCACGACTGTGGAAAACAATATAACTTGAATTAGAACTCTCCACACGGAATCAGGCTTTGCTTGCCTATTCCAGATTTCTTGGTTGTTTTACTGTTCTGGTTTGGGTATTTGCATTGCATAGCATTGGAGTTTTGTCTGAAACCATGAGGAGCATTGAGGATTGAGCACTTGTCTCGAACACGGCGCCGAGATTTATGAGGAAAGAGCAGGCTATGACCCAAGGGAAGCGAGTGAGCGAGAAGGCGGAGGCTACTTATCATTAAGTGGCGGGCTACCTGTGTTCCCGCCTAATATACTTATATCATGGAGAGAAGGAGGGAAAGAGCGCTGAAAGATGAGCGGCATGACGCGGCTGCTCTAGCAGAGCAAAGAACAGAAAGAAAAGGTACGAGGTACCAAGTACCGATCCACGCGATCAATATCAATAAGAGAATCATATCCATATCTACGTCCCTTCCGCCGTCTAGCATAGGAAAGAAACCACCCCTCCACAAACCAAATCGATAATGAAATTAAACAAAATCAATGACATCCCACTTACGCTACTACTAGGACGCCTCACCTCCCTCCCTGCCTGTCAAACCCAGGGTCCCGAGTCCGTGCGCGATTGTTGACGTATGTGACGCCTGACGCCTGACGCCATCTGGGGTGCATAGAATATGTTTGGAGTATAAATACAATAGCATCAAGAGCGCGTCCCGGAGCGTCCGTGCCGATAATTTTCTCTCTACTACGCTTGGACCACTCCGAGCGCTTGGACTTTACTTCCTCCCGTAATACAATAGAGAAGCGAAAATGAACGAGGCTGGACACCGACATATGTAGCTGGGGGAGCCTGGCCCTCAATACTCGCGAGGTGCACAGAGGCCTCAAACATGCCAAACTTGAATGCGCGCGTAGATTCAACAACCAGAGAAGAAAGGCAGGAATGATCGATGGATCGCACGATTGAATGAACGAGACCTTGTCGCTGATCCTCATAATTAGTTGTCCAAGCAAGAACCTGATTCTGCGTGATCATGGCCCAACAATAAAAACAGCGCTCGTCCGGTTGCTTTCCATATCCATATCCACATCCCTTGGTGGTTTCGCTGTTGCTGTTGCTGTATTCCAATTCTGATACAATGCCGTGGTCCTTGCGCTCTCTCCAAGACAAGATGTCAAACCCTCCTTCAGCTTAGCTTATGCGTCCGCGAGGTACCTCGTACACTTGTTGTGTGACGAACAAACCTCGTACTCGATACAGTCGCACACCACAGTCCAGGTTTCCTTCTCGCGCTGGCTCCCATTTCCACGTCATGCCCGACTGGCCAGCTAATCACCGACAACTGAACTTCCACTTGGTTTCTCACCTCTTCCCCTTCTCTTTCTCCTTATCACGATCTCTGCTACTGCCGGCCCTCGCGATCCCACTAGCGAACTTGCCCAGGCCGCCGGCAAGGCTGTGGCCGCGCTTATGGGGCGCGACTCTACCGTCGGCGGCCGCACCGGCGATTCCAGCCGCCAAGGCTGGCACATTGGAACCGCCTGCCTTGGACAATCCCGCCGAGCCCATTCCTCCAGCCCCTCCCGCGAAGCTGAGCGGTCTGCCGAGCGCACTGCTGCGCCCGCCAGCGGATCGTCCCCCGAGTTCAATGGAGCGGTTGCTTGTGCGCGACTCTCGTCCGCCGTTGTGGCCGCCGATGGCGCTGTTGTCGAGCAGGCTCCGGCCTGCGCTGCCTGATGAGGCTGCGTAAGCGGAGCTGCCGTCGGCGTCCTCGCCGCGGAGGAGGCGCTCATTTCGACGGCGTGCTTTCTCCTGCGTCTGCTTAAATTTCTCCATCAGCTCCGGCCACTTGACGTCGCTGCCGGTATTGACATCTCGAGTCCGGCCCAGGCGTCCGGACACGGTACCCGTGCCGGTTGCGCTAGGGAGCGATGTGCCAGCCATGCCTGCGACTACTGAGGGACGCGCGGAAGTGGGCATAGAGGCTGGGGTGTGGAGAAGTCCGATGGCGGATACGGAATTCAGGCGGTTCTTCAGGGCGCCGAATGCTGATGATTGTGGGAGGAGCATCAATAGCCCGTAGAGGCATTTGTAGAGGTATGGGTAGCGGTCGGGTTCGAGGAGTTGGAGGCGAAGATCTGCAAAGGTTGTTCTTAGAGAGTGGTCTTCATGAAAGCAAGGTCAGTAAGGGAAGGGTTCAAGAGGTACCTACATGTGAACACTGGGCTCTCAAGGAGCTGGACCAACTTATCAATCTGAATGAGCATGTTCACTGTCATTTCCAAGTCGGCGAAGATCTGTAGGAGATTATATGCCTGCTCATAGGCTTGAGCTAGAAGGCACAAGGAAAATGTTGCCACTGCGTTGTAGCACCAGGCTCGGAACAGGGCAACAAAGAACATTTGCCCATCTTTGCTGTCTAGGTTTCTGAGTCTCTTCCTCAGCTCGGCCAGTTCGGGGGCAGTGATGAGATTATTGTTGAGATTCTGAACCATGATGCTGGCAAACTCGATGTCCTCATCTTTCTCGATGCAGTCGGCGAGCGTTCTGTAGATCCGCTCGGGCTGGAGATTGATGCACAACTGACGGATGATCAGGTTGCCCCTGATTTCCAGCAACTTCCTATCTGTGGAAAACAGTTGCAGCAGAGCCACCATGAAAGACGTGAAATAGCCGTCTTCACTGTTCTTCGATATTTGTGACATGAGCTGGAGGTCTCGTGTTACCACCGCCTCGGCAGGGTCGGATAGTGTCTTCAGCAAGGCCGGAAATGTTCCATCGTTGAAGGCGAGGACTTTCTTCGGCGCCTTGCGATGCAGCATTAGAAGCCAGCTCAAAGCAGCGACGCGAGTTTCTTCGTGTTCGTTCAGAAACTGTAAGGTCAGGGCGTTTACTGCAGCTGCATAATTCAGATCGGCCATCGGTTGTGGTGACGGTGCAGCTGTGGACCGGGGAGTATCTTCTGCGGGTGACTGGTCTTGTTCAGGAGCTGCCTCAGAAGCTGCTTCACTCTGCCCTGGTGGCAATGAGGGAAGGCTTTTCATGGTGCCACCCGATTGTCTCTTCTCTTGAATATCGGTGTCCCGTGTCTGCGGAAGAGTGAGACTGCTCGATGGATGTCCTCTTCTCTCATCAACATTGACCTCATCCTGGAACGTGACAATGTAGTCCATAAGTGACCGATTCAGCTTGCTTGCTGTTGTTCGGACTTGTTCCGATTGCGCAGATAGTGCAGGCAGGACACGAGACAGGAGTCGCGGAACATACTGTAGAATCTCTTCGGGGCTGATCTCGAAGAAGCTGTCGATCCATCGAAGGGCGACAATGCCGATCTCCTCTTCTTTCTGCTTCGACAACCCCTCCAGGCGCAATGTTTGGGGCGATTCCTTACTAGAGGAGACATCAACAAACGTGAGAAGTATATCCAGAATTTTGGCATGGTCGACCAGAACATCCTGTCCTGGTATCCAATCACCATTGTTCTCGTCCCTTGGATTCACCTCGTCATCTTGAGCGGTACCAGATTCCGAGTCATCAATCGCATTATCATTCGAACTACTGCCATGCGCCGTACCACTATCTGCTTGACTTCCAGATGCGCGTCTAGGATGGCTAGTCCGGCTCCTCCGACTTTCAGCGAGACCTCTTTTGATCTTAGCAATTTTCTTGATCTCGCTCAGGAAACGCTCCAAGAGACCCTGCGTTGCCACATAGACATCTCGGTTTGGGTCACCGAGGAATTTGAAGAGCCCTGCGAGGAAAGCCGGTAGATAGTGCACAAGCTCTAGATCTGGAATTGTGTCTAAGAGTGTGAGCCATGACACCAGGAAAGTTCGAGTAAATGGATTGATGATATGAATCCTCTCCTCGAGTAAGGGAATGAACTTTGCAAGTGAGAAGGCCATCGGCAACTCGACACTCGACTTTTCAGAGTCTTGATCTTCTTCTTGCTCGTTGAAGTTTAGTATTGATACATATGAAGCCGCAGACTCGGAAACGATGTCCTTGATCAGACGATCGAGCAGCTCGGCGCCGTTCTTGACAGATAGTTCAGTGTCGGCTGCGAGCTAGAGGCAATCAGATGAGTACTAAGAGATATAAAGAGATTGAAAACGACGTCGACGTACCTTGCAAAGAGTATCGAAAATGTCGTTAAAAAACACCAATATCTCACCCTTTGCGACCTTGGCGATATTGTACATGGCTTCACACGCGTAATATCGGACGCGAGCATCCTGATCGGTAAAGCATGCCAGCACCGGTGGCACGATCAGCTGCAGGTAACGCGCAACATCCTCCTGGTGATGAGAAGATCGGTCAAAATCCCTCCTTGAGGTGGTTACAATTTGGGATTGACTTACTGAGCCTAAAGCAATTGAGGCAGCCGCAAGTCCTATCAAACCTCCATTACGAGCATGAGGTAGATGAACAGCGTATGCATAATCGTGGCACAACTGTTCGATGGTTTTCTGGATTTTGTCATGGTCCTTATCCGCTGCGGATTCACGGATGAATCTTTCCAATCTTGCATGCGTCAGCAACGCACAAAAACACCGTAAAACATCATGTCTTACTCTAAGGCACCCTGCTTGCGTTTGTCATAGAGCTTGTCAGTAAGAAGTCGTTGCACTGAGGGGTCCATGGTGTTGATGTGTTGATTGAGTGCAGGTCTGATTGCAACGTCATCATCGAATCAACTGATGAGCACACAGTCGTGATACCGCTCAGGGGAAATTAACAATTACAGCAATAGTGTGTTCGCATAAGAGTACTATGAGATCAATTCCAGGAAGTTCTTGGTTCCAGGGACAAACAGGGAGTGGTGAAGAAGGCAAACGGAGATGAGACGCGTGAAATAGGTTACGGTCGCGATCAGGTTCAGGGTCCGCATCCAAACTTCACTCCTCGCCGCTTCCAGGATTTATTGGCGTCCCAAAACCGACAGGGTTCGTCTCTCAGCTTCACGGACCCAAGGATTTATACACTTCATCGTCTAGCCGCATTCTGATGAAAATCTATTGTCGGTGGTATCTACAAACAATCGGGCGCTTTCAACAGTCTTCTGACCAACAATGACATCTGTGATTGCGGTGGCATGATTTATCTATAGTTCTATGCATCCCTTAAGGCCCAGTGTGAACCCTTAGACCCCTGCACCCTCTGGTTTATATGGAATCCATCACCTATGTCGTGATTGTATGACCTTGTGCTCTGAGAAACAAATAATGGCTGCCTAGAATAGTCGACACCAGAAAATAACAACTGCTAACAAAATTGGCAGACGACAGAAACCGAATGGGATGAATCCCCAACATCTAGTCTGGCCTTCAATTCGATTAGTGGCTGATATACTGGAATACTGCGCTAACGGCATTTTCTGATGCTTCTTGTCGGAGGAGAAGATCCTGGATTTTCCCAAGCGGTCCTGCATCACCATTGTTTACAAAATGATTCCAAGAACTTGTATCACCGTAGAGCATTGCAGGCGCTTTGATTGACTGTGTACCATCCGGTTTACATCTTTTGCACCTGAATGTATCATGCGTGTCACTGGTGGTGTCGGGCTTGAACTGAAACAGTTCACGAAGCGAGTCGAGCGTAAAATGTCGTTCAACGTCCTCAGCTGAGTCGACCACGGCAGAGGAGAGTGCTTGCTTGTGCGATTGTCGCTGAAAGATCTTCTCCTCAATTGTGCCAGTGCCCATGAATCTGTACACGAAGCAGTCTTTCTTTTGACCGTCTCTCCAAACACGGGCAAGCGCTTGTTGATCGGCGGCCGGATTCCAGTCTGGGTCAAAGAGCACCAGTCGATTTGCTCCAATGAGATTAATACCACACCCACCAGCTTTACTGCTCAGCAGAAAAACAAACTCCTCACCGTTGGGGTCATTGAACTTATCGACCAGCTTCTGACGTTTGTTGACGTTCATTGTACCGTCTAGTCGAAGACATCCGTATGATCGAGCTCTGCACAATTTCTCAAATACGTCGAGGGTCTGAGTATAGTTGCTAATTAGCACAATCTTATCGTTGGTGTCTTGTCGTATTCTTGCAAGCATTCGCTCAAGCACTGCAAACTTCCCGGAATGCCATGATTTAACATCCCGGTCTCTGCCTCTGGCCTCTTTCGGTACGTAATCGACAGGCCAGAACCTCTCGCTCCCAGGAAGATCTTTCTCGAGATCTAGCAGGTCTGGGTGATTGCATAACTTCTTGAGAATGCCGATGGCTTTGAGCGGCTGGCTGCCTTTGCCCCTTAGGAGGCTTTTGATGTCCGGGCTCTGGATAAAGTGATTGTAGAGGTCAATCTGGAATGGAGCCATATTGCAGAAGACTACGTGTTCATACTTCACAGGTAAGTATTTGGAGAGGATATCGTTAGTCCTTCGGATGATGAACTTCTTCACAAGTGAGCTCAACTCAACAGTGGCCGCTTCACCTTTAGCTTTGTCAGTATCGGAACCGGCAGCGTCGCGACCGCGAAGAATCGGCAACTCAAATTTCTTGCGGAAGTCAGCTTTGGTACCCAAATAGGTCGGATTCGCAAAGTCCAGTAAGGCGTAATATTCAGTAAGATCATTCTGGATGGGAGTTCCCGAGAGAATGACTCGTCGCTCTACGCTGAGCCCGGTGAGAGCCATGTAGGTTTCGCTCTCAGCATTTTTCAGTCGGTGACCTTCATCGCAGAGCATCAGCCCGATTTTGACGTCTTTCAGCTCATCAATATTTAATCTCAATGACTCGTAGGAAACAATGAGGACAGGTCTGGCGACACCTCTTCCGGAAGCTATTGCCCACTGCCTGAGTTGCATAGTCAACTCCTCTTTCGAGGCTTTCCCATCAATAGCAAAGGCGTTGATGGCCCCTTCGCCAAGCCATTTCACCAGCTCGTTTGCCCAATTCTTGACGAGACTTGCCGGACAGGCAATGACACATTTTTGAATTGTAGATTTTCCAGCCTCGGGGGACTGTTTGAGTAGGGTCCACATCAATGCTATGCACTGCAATGTCTTCCCCAGGCCCATCTCGTCGGCCATGATGCAGCCTTTGGCTTTCGCATCAATCAGACCAGTAGTACATCTGTACAAGAACCTCACCCCCTCTACCTGATGTGGTCTGAGGACTTTGGCCAGTCTGGGGTCAATGACAACAGGCACTTGTGGTCTTTCGCCTTCTACCTGTTTCTTGATACCAAGGATCTCAGCCAAACTTTTGTGCATCAGAGGGATATCAAGCCTTGGCTTTTCTTGTTCTACTTCAGTTGCATGGGTGTCTGGCTTGTCCTCGGGTTTCCCATCAATTGTAGGATCATAAAGTACGATGGCAAATTCACCACTGGGATCATGAAGTGGCTTGTTGACAAAAGGCAGACCTCGTCGCATTCCTAGACTGGGAGCAATCCGGGAAGAGTCGATAGCATTTTTGTTGATCAACGGTATTGCAAACCTGGAACGAAAAGTTGTGTCCTTGTCCTTAACTTTAAAAACAGGGAATCGGTCTTTCAAGGCCACGCTTTCACCATCAATGCTGAACCCTCCACTGGTGTCGTCGCCACCGCCCTCTACCTCAGCATAATTGACCTTTCTTCGCTTGCGGGTAGGTTCACCGGTCTTCTTACGAGAGTTTGCAGACCCGGGACATTTGAAGGGTTTGACGAGGCGATCGATTGCTGCAGAGGAATTGACACTTAGTCTTCCTGCTTTGGGAGGAGGGATGTTTTCCTTGTCATAGTCATGTGCAGGCGTTCTCGTACGAATCCTGAAGGCGAGTTAGTGCGAGGACGAGATAGAAGGAATGCAGCTTTAAATACATTGTGATAGGTGGAGGCAAACTCAACTCCAATCCCGGCCTCATGGAATAATGTACCTGATGTGTAGGAATAAGCTGGCTCAGAAAGAGCACCCACGACTGCGGAAAACCGATATAACGCGTACGCGTCTAGGGGTGGCGTCTCATTGAAACACGACAGCATGTGACCAGTACGGCGGACCAACAACTGTCTCGGAATGGCAGCCCCTCGCTGCATATCTGCCTCAGTGCTCGACATTAGCCCCGTATTGATGGCATGCATTCAAGCTATTTGTATTCTTGAAAGTTATTCCATATAGCCTGACCCTGAACAGCATAGTTCTTGTTGCTGTGGGCACTCTTCGCGATACGTACGCCGTGAATATTGCCTTCGAGCCATTCATATAGCTGCACTCCGGCTTCCAGCATGATACATCGGAACCACTCCGGCTTCCAATCTCCTTTCCCTTAGGTCCGAATACGTGCAGCATGTCTGCGGATTTCTGGGCCAGCTACATCTCTGGAGCATTGGGAATACTGATAGGCAATCGCTTAGATGTCTTGAAGGTCAAGGCTCAGACGAGCACGGAAGTTACTTCAACGGGGCTTGTACCAGAGCAAGGTACTAGTGTGAAGAGATTTACAGCTTTGTTCAGAGGAGCGGCGGCTCCCATACTTGGCTATGGAGCTCTGAACTCCATTCTTTTTCTATCTTTCAATAGATCCTTAAAACTGATGGATCCGAGCATATTTGATTACACCAAGCTCACAGGCGTTGACCTAAGCAAAATTTGGATGGCGGGTGCGGTGGGTGGGCTTGCGTCGTTTGTGATTTCAGCACCGTCAGAACTTATCAAGTGTCGTGCTCAGTTAGTTGTTGATGGGCAGGGGTCCTCCTACGCTGTATTCAAGGAGGTCTGGAAGCATCAGGGGATTCGTGGGCTCTACTACGGGGGGATGATAACAAGCGTTCGGGACGCATTTGGATATGGTTGGTACTTTTGGTCATACGAACTTAGCAAACGGTTGCTACTTTCCAAAGGAGCAGACCCTTTCGCTGCTCCTACTGCCTCAGATGTCCTGATTAGCGGCGGCATTGCAGGTGTGGTAACCTGGTTGTCCATCTATCCGCTCGATGTGGTAAAAACGCGTCTGCAGACTCAACCCTCGTGGAGTCCCGAGCTGCAAGGGCTGCTTCGGGCCAATAGAGATATACTGGCTCCGAAAAGTGCAAAGACCTCCCTTGTCGTGGCTCGTGAAGTCTGGCAAGACTCGGGGCTTCGAGGATTTTACCGTGGCATCGGCGTGTGCAGCCTCCGAGCGTTCATTGTCAATGCTGTTCAGGTTTGTGAACCCCAACATGACAGCTGAACCTATCAACTGACAGACAGCAGTGGCTTGCATATGAAAAGATCATGGCGCTTCTGAGGAATCAAAACTGAAAACCCCGCACTGAAGGAGACCACCACGAGTCTGATGCTCGGGTCTGCCGCAACAACCTGATTGGAGCATGTCCAGCGGAGGAGACAGATTCTGTAATAAGAACTCCTTCATGAAACATCTTCCATGGCATGAGATAGCGTTTCGTCCTGTGCCTGTTGCTTACGACGGTCGTCTGAACCCAAGCCGACGGCAGCATCTGCAAGCTTTTGGCTATGGGCCTCTTCCCTCAACATCCTTACCCTAAGTCAATCATAGTCAGCAGATTCGTAATCGTATAAGAAAATGAGAGTTTTAAGCTTACCTCCGCTTATGTTGTTTTCCTCTACGATGCTCGTTTAGGTTATGACTATCGGAAAAGTATTTGGCGCATTCCGTGCAGTAGAAGGCGCCCAGAGCCGGTAGATCCTCACTAGCCTTGGAAGACTTGTGTTGGGATAGATGCTTGGGTGACTTGAGGTCAGCCTTGACCTGGTCAAGATCCCTAGGAAGAGAGGATGTTAGCAATTGAGGTGTTTTCGATTGGGCAAGGGGGCTCGGACCGAGTCCGGCGTTTGGTCTTTGTGCGACGAATACTGCCCATGTTGACGGATGTGGGGAATGAGACAAGAATAATGTAGTTTAGAATAAGAAGACGGGGAATTGTTTCTGGGTGAGTGGCAGGGCCGGCAGGAAGCCCCGTTTGAAGTCGGAACCGGGGACTACGATCTTATTTTTTTTTTTCTTGACCTGCGAAAAAGGTCAGGAAGGGAAGTGTGTTGTTCAACACTTCGGTTCAGAGGGGAAAATGATAATCCAGCCGGCAGAGGCAGTAAGTAGTACAGCACTATTACCAGTGGGCACTGGCCAGTGGACAATTTTCGGAGAGCAAATTAATAGCCGCGGCATGTGGGATTCTGGTGTTCGTCTTGGCCGACTGTGTGGACCTCGTCAAGCCCTTCCAGTGTAACTTGGACCGATGCACACAGCACGCTCCGACCGCAAATCCCTCAATCTGCACTGCATTTTTCTGCTTGACCTGCAGACCTCCGTTGCAGCCAATCAGCTCAGACCCAAACCGAATTACTCCCCATGAAGCTTGGGTGCTATGTCATGGTTCTTACAACGTATGGTGCCCTCCAGTTGTAAGAGGTATGCCATGGCCATGGATGAGGTAGATCATTTGTGTGATGGACACGGAGGCCCCCCTTTAGACATCAAGCGTCGTCCTATCACTTGTCTGCTCTCATTATCTCTCATTCTGGATCATGTTGAAGGTATGAGTGCATACCAGGTTAGTATCATAGGCCACGTTACGGAGCACCCGTATTGCCCAGGCAGTTTTGGGGCCCTAGGGGGGAGTATGGTATCCGTGGGGCGGCATTGGTATTGGCATTGGCCTCGGGGCCTGGAGCTGAACGGAGGACAAACCGCGTTCCTTCGTATGGACTCTGAAGATTGTATCAATACTCACTATTTCCGCACTTGCAGAAAGGCTCTTTGGCCGGTGCACTTGCAATGCATCGCTACAAAAGACTAAAGTTGTTCTTCCAGATGTGCAGGCGATGTCTAAGCTTACAAGTAATTACGAGGTATTAGAATCCGGGTGCTGTGAGTGGCAGCCCGAGTCCCTTAGCAACATCCCTGGCAACTTTGACGTCTTCCAAGGCTTATCGCCCTCCCCCGAACGGCTGCCCTCTCCGCCAATCTTAGCCGCAGCTTTGGCAGAGGAGCTTCCGTCCATCCACCACTTACTACGCAACATCCACAGCTTGTCTTCTTTCTTCATTCTTTACCACCTCCTCTCCACTCCTCCTCTTCTCTGTCTTGTAAACTTCGACTGAGCCGACCTTGACTTCTGCATTCGTTGCCAGAGCTCAAGTATCGTCGCAATTATGATGTCGGCAAGGCCTCTAGGCCGAATGGCCTCGCGCTTGGTAAGTCTTGCTCCCGCATCTATCCCAGCTTTGGTTCTTGTTCACCATTCTCCTCCGGTAATCTTTACGCCTATTCCAATTACTGCCTCGTCGGTCGCCAAACTTGAGAATCATGGCTAACTTTATCTTCTGCAGCAAGCGTCCGTTGTTGGCACTGTCAGTCCTCTATCTGGCTTCCCCGAAAGAGCCCGCAGCTAGCTAACCCCTCTGAACAGCCCTTGCGAATGTCTAGGATGGGATATGCAACCGTTTCTGACGATCCTTTGAGCAAAAATAAGTTTCATCTACAGGAATGCTAAGATCACCGGTTCTGACAGTCCAAAACAGGTCGAAATGACAAACTGGGAAAAGGGCCACTATATCAACTACAAGTTAGCCTCGACTGCATATTTTGTGCTGGGCAATGCTAACATGGGACTCTAGGAAAATGTCCGAGAACTTGGCAATTGTCCGGAAAAGATTGAATAGACCTCTCACCTTCGCCGAGAAGGTTCTCTACTCCCATCTGGACGATCCACAAGGTCAAGATATCCAGCGTGGTGTTTCATACCTCAAACTCCGTCCCGATCGAGTGGCATGCCAGGATGCAACCGCACAGATGGCTATTCTTCAGTTCATGTCGGCAGGTCTACCCTCCGTGGCTACTCCCACCACCGTCCACTGTGACCATTTGATTGAGGCACAGATTGGTGGCGACAAGGATTTAGATCGAGCAAAGGACATCAACAAAGAAGTCTACAACTTCTTGTCGACCGCCTGCGCAAAATACAACATCGGCTTCTGGCGACCTGGCTCGGGTATCATTCATCAAATTGTTCTCGAAAACTATGCATTCCCTGGAGCTCTACTTATCGGTACCGACTCACACACACCGAATGCTGGAGGTCTCGGTATGGCAGCTATCGGTGTTGGTGGCGCTGACGCCGTGGATGTCATGGCAGGCCTTCCGTGGGAGTTAAAGGCTCCTAAAGTCATCGGTGTCAAGCTTACTGGTGAAATGTCTGGTTGGACCGCGCCAAAGGGTAAGCTATCTGTTGTAGTCGTACTCCTGAAACTTATTTCACTAACCAACTTGTTCAAGATATTATTCTCAAGGTTGCTGGCATTTTAACCGTCAAAGGCGGGACTGGTGCAATTGTTGAATACCATGGTAAGTACAAAATTTTCCTATCTGTCATACATCCCTGGTAGAGGACCCCGTTCTCGGTACGCATCAGTAGAAACAACCTTTCTTGGATTCTCCCTTACTGGACCCATTCAACAACTGGTGGAAACCTCTTCCTTCTGGCCCATTCAACAAATGCTTGAAGCAGTCTCTTGCCCTGGATCGGACCTCTCTAAACCAAACCAGGACTCCTCGACAGGACATCCACAGCTTCCTTCAGAACGCCAGCATACAAGGCTTCCACTCTCAGTAATGCACCGCCCTTTCTCTCCCAGGGTGTCACACGTTCCTTCCTCACCCTCGCTTTCCCCAGCTTCCTAGCTCGAAGTTAAGAAGGTGCGATGGGAGCTCAGAAGTACTATAGTCATGACGTCTCTCTTCTGGACCTTTTCCACCTTGTGGACACCCTCAATTTCACCTTGGGTAATTCTCTCTAGCCCTGATCTTTTCGACCTTGTCGATATAATTGATTTCACCAGAGGTGATTCTCCCCTCTCGTCATCATGATGGATCTTGACACCCACGTTCTCGATGATTCTGATCTCTCTAAATCTGGTTCTGAACTGGATTTCGACGGCCCTGGCTTTGGATGAGTTTGATTTTTTGGAGTCTGGTCCTGAACCCGATCTCGACAAATCCGACATTGACAACATTGATCTTGACCAGCACTTCACTCTCCTCAGTTTATTTGTTCATCTTATCCTAAGATGTATACATGGTCTTTCAGAGCGAGCCAAGCACCCACCATACGAGAAAATCTTGTCAGGTAAAGACAAAGTTACAAATTTGCTTGATACCAATGAGCTCCCATTCGCACCCGGTCTTCTTGACGCTCTTCAAGGCGCAGACCCCCCTACAATGGACTTTTTCGAGCCTGTCCCATCAGACTTCAAGAAGAAGAGATGGGCCGTCTACGTCGTTGTACTGAGGAAGAAGGGCCGCAAGCCATATGTATACATAGGATCTGGTACAGAAGCTAAGCACGGCGTCTCCGTCCGCTTGACCCAGTATCACACAGATGTACAACTCCCGCGGTTTGTAACCAAGGCAAACGCTGCTGGCTTCGAGATTGCCCATTAAGGCCTATTGTGCTGGATGCCAATCCCTCCTCCAGAAGAAAGACCAGTCTCCCGCATGCTCATCGTCGCACTCGAGGCCGCTCTCACATTCAGCTTCTGGACCTTGAAGTCAAAAACAAAATATGGCTATGGACTCGTCGATCTGTGCCCCTGGGACCAAGAATCATTACCATAGAATGGTTTATGCTCTCACAGCCTCTTGTCCGAGTCCCCCACTGGGAACTTCAACATGTCTGCGAAGGAGCTGAAGAAGCAGGCTGCTGAGATAGCAGCAAGACGCAAAGGCTACATGCAAGAGTGGCGTGCCAGAAAAAAGGCAGGCGACCCCGAGGCTTACCGCCTCAAGCACAATGAGACAAGACGGAAACGATGGCGGACCAACAAGGAAGGAATCAAGAAAAATGAAGCGGCGTATAAGAAGGCCGTGAGAGAGAAACGCTTTCACTGTGAGCCGTGTAACCACAGCTTCAACACCAAGCCTGCGTTGCGGAAACATCTCAAGGGAGCCTGACATGCTCTTCGGATGGACAAACTCAACGGATCCAAACCACGATCGACCTTTTACTGTAAAGTGTGCGACCGCGATTTCGCCCGTCAAGGCGGCTTGAATGACCCTCGCCGCACCAAGGACATCTTTTGAAGGTGGCCTTAGTTGCTGCCTCCACATAACCGACTCGATCGAAATCACCACCTATCAGTCTATTAGACGGCATATTTTCGAATTCAACATTCCACTCACCACATATCTAGACGCATCGAGTTACTCGTCATGTACCTGGAACCATCACGATCACTTTTGGGCTGGGATCACCGCTGGCCATTTGGGACCTTTCGGACTTTTTCTTTTTTCAACATTCCACTCACAACGAGTTGCTCGTTATATATCTGGACCTATCACCACTTCTGGACTACATCTCTAGACCAAGCAAGTTATTCGTCATATACCTGGACGCATCATCATCACCACTTCTGGACTGGAATCACCGCTCGTCATTTTGAACTTTTCAACTTTTCAACATTTGCCCATAGCATACTAACATTTTATAACACCAGGACCTGGTGTCAACACTCTTTCATGCACCGGTCAAGCTACTGTGACAAATATGGGAGGTCCGTATTCCAGCTCGCTGTCGTTCCCTGATATACAATTCTAACATTTTATAGCCGAAATCGGAGCGACCACGTCGATGTTCCCTTTCAACGACCGCCAGTACGACTTCCTGAAGGCGACCAAGCGCACAGCGATCGGCGACTTTGCTCGATCGTACGCTTCAGAACTTCGCGAGGACGAAGGTGCAGAATACGATCAACTGATTGAGATCAATCTCTCTGAATTGGAACCCCATATCAATGGCCCATTCACTCCAGATTTGGCTACACCCATCTCCAAGTTCAGCCAAGCCGTTAAAGACAACGGATGGCCACAGGAGCTGAAAGTCGGCTTGATTGGCAGCTGCACAAACTCTTCATATGAAGATATGTCGCGCGCTGCCTCGATTGCTCAGGATGCTATGGATCATGGTATTAAAGCCAAGGCCCTGTTCACAGTCACTCCCGGCTCCGAGCAGATTCGAGCAACCATTGAGCGTGATGGCCAGCTCAAGACGCTTGAGGACTTTGGAGGCATGATTCTTGCCAACGCTTGTGGTCCTTGTATCGGTCAATGGGATCGACGAGACGTCAAGAAGGGCGAGCCCAACTCTATCATCTCCTCGTACAACCGAAACTTCACTGGTCGAAACGATGCTAACCCCGCCACTCACTCGTTTGTGACATCGCCAGATCTAGTTGTTGCAATGACAATCGCCGGAGATCTTAGCTTCAACCCCCTTACAGACACCCTAAAGGACAAAGATGGCGAGGACTTCAAGCTTAAGGCCCCCACCGGTGACGGCCTCCCTCGCAGCGGATATGACCCAGGCCTTGACACATACCAAGCACCTCCAGAGGAACGCTCATCTGTAGAGGTACAAGTGTCACCCACATCGGACAGACTACAGGTTCTCGAGCCTTTCCAACCATGGGATGGCAAGGATTATCTTGACCTCCCCATCTTGATCAAGGCTAAAGGCAAGACTACAACTGATCACATCTCCATGGCTGGACCTTGGCTCAAGTACCGTGGCCATCTTGACAACATCTCGAACAATATGCTTATTGGTGCAATCAACGAGGCCAACGGTGAAGCCAACAAAGTCAAGAACTTCAAGACTGGTGAATGGGATGCCGTCCCAGCAACAGCACGGAAATACAAGGCTGACGGGATCAAATGGGTTGTTATTGGCGATTGGAACTACGGTGAGGGATCGTCCCGAGAACATGCTGCGCTCGAGCCCCGACATCTTGGTGGCACCGCTATCATTACGCGAAGCTTTGCACGTATCCACGAAACCAATCTAAAGAAGCAAGGCATGCTGCCTCTGACCTTCTCAAACCCTGAGGATTATGACAAGATCAAGCCAGATGACAAAGTCGACCTCCTTGTCGCCGATCTAAAGCCTGGCGTACCAGTTACCATGAAAGTCCACCCCAAGGATGGCAAAGAGTTTGATGTTGAGCTGTCTCATACATTCAACGAAGGCCAACTCGAGTGGTTCCGAAATGGTTCTGCATTGAATGCTATGGCTAAAGCTGCAGGAAAGTAAGCAGTGAGCATGGCCGGGAGCATTGAAAATCAGGTCTGCAAGTCATGTACAGTGAGTAGTCGCAAGCAAGGACAGGTGGGGAAGAATGTGCAGGTTCTTGTATGAACCTTGAATCAGGGGCAATCACATCAATCAAAGGGGCTCAGTCATTATTGAACAACAGCCTATAGGTCTGGTGGGTCAGTGATTCCGGGAATGGGTTGTAGCCATGATGTTATGTATCTTTGAAATAGCGAATACCATACATGTACTTGATTTATAGATCATGGTCTCGTTTTTGCAGGTCGGCGTACACACCTGGGTAGCTTATCAATGCAACTAAATCAAAGCAATTCGGCACGCAGGAAGTCAACTAGACAATGCTATATCAGAGAAAGGAAGAGTCGACTGGATTACAATGACATCTTCCACAAGAATTCAAGTGTTCTATTGACGGTCATCAGATAGTCACCCACAAGCCCAGCCGCGAAAGCAGTAAGTATTATCATGTACCAGGCACTTAGCTGGTATATATATGTACCGAGTCTGAGGAACTCGGATTTGAGACTTTGAGACCTCGTCCTTCAAGCCCCGTCCTCCCTTCTTGGCCCCAGCACATCCGTGAACCTCGGCTCAAAAAGAAAAAAGGCGATTGCCATGGTGGAGTCAACGTCAGATTGTCAATTGGGGATCCTCAATTGCGACAGCCAACGACATCCTTCGAGGTGATGGGTAGCACTAAAGGGCAAGTAATCACACCGAGTACGGCTAACGGAATCTGAATTCTGCGACGTACTTACAATCATCCCTTCGTTTAAGCAACAGATTGCCGGTGTATATCGCAAACTGCGCAGCACGTTGTATCCCTGGCGCTGCAGCTGACTATTTTATCTCTTCCGCCTCCCCCCCCTAAACCTCGGACCCTTGGGCTCCAGAGTTGCCGCTGGTCATACATAAGACCATAAATAATCCATTGGCCACCAGACACCATCGTCTTTCCCGTATCCGGATATCGAATACTGCAAATGCTATAAATTTGGAGTGTGCCGTCTTAGCCTTGCATTCTTTTGGACTTCTTTTGGTTCTCTGGAACATCACTTTCTAATACGGACCCCCACTTCTGGATCGTTAAGTGGCACGTGAAAGGGGGGCTTCCTGTACCACTACTATACTGCCACAGTATCAATACTGAGGCTTGAAGTGTCGCACGTCGGGTCCTGCATTGTTGGCTGGGATCGAGCTCGGAGCATTGTCTGCTACCTACTTCGTCCCCGGCGCTTAAGCAGGGTGACCTCACTTGAGGGCAGGGTTCTGAATATCGATTCAGTGGGCCTTACAAAAGCCTCGTGGCCACTATCTACTCTGAGCTCTTCCACTTCAAGTACAGTGAGAGGGAAAGGACAACAACTATATTAATACCACCCGACAGACCTGGACCCTCTTTCTCTCAAATCCAATACACCTTTCCTGGAAGTCTCTCTTGAAATCCATCAACACAGTACATGCGCTTGGCGCTCATCAGGTTGATCAGCACAACGACATCCAGACCACAGGTCAAGAGGATCATGGCGCAGAACCTTCCCAAGCTGCCTGATTGGGAGCAGGTCAGCACCAATGTCATTCGGATCCTGGGCGGGAATCCTAGTAAGGTGTGTGCTTTTTGTTTGTTCATCCTTTGGTGCCTGTCTCCCCCTCTACCAGTGAAAGAACTAAACCCACCCATCTTCCCCTCCTTCACAGTTCACGCTACAAGGCACCAACACATATCTCCTCGGCCGCGGACCAAGACGGCTCCTGATCGACACAGCGCAAGGCCACAAAGAATGGATCTCGACGGTGCGCAACGTGCTCGACGCACAGGAAAGCAAGTCCACCACCATCTCCACGGCGATCCTCACACACTGGCACCCGGACCACATCGGCGGAGTCAAGGACCTCGAAGCGCTGGTCCCCGACGTCAAAGTGTATAAGCACCTCCCGGAACTCGACCCTGAGAAGACCTTGGATCCGACGCGTGTCATCGACATCGAGAACGGGCAGCGGTTCAAGATTGACGGCGAAGACGGCGGCAGCGGGAGTGGGTTGGAGATCGAAGCGATCCATTCACCGGGCCACGCGAAGGACCACATGGCGTTCATCATCACGGCGTCCCCTGACGCGCGCGAAGTCGGCGCGATCTTCACGGCGGACAACGTCCTAGGCCACGGAACGGCAGTCTTCGAAAACCTGTCGGAGTACCTCGACAGCCTGTCTCTGATGAAGCGGCGCGTGCAGGAGAGCGTTGCACAGCAGCAGGGTGCGACTGCCGGGGACGATGCCAGCAGCAAGCGCGCCGCATACCCGGGACACGGGGTCGTGATCAGCGACGCCGTCGCCAAAATCGACGAGTACATCGCGCACCGGCGCATGCGTGAGCTCGAGGCCCTCAACGTCCTGAAGTATGGCACCGTCAAGGGGCCCTCGGCTGACGAAAAGCCGACTAATGACTCCATCACCACCTTCGGCGAAAGTGACAGCGAGGCTGAAACGGCCATTCGCGGTGTCACCGGCGCTGCGAGAGAGGTCGCCAGCGGCAAGGAATGGACGAGCCTCGACATGGTGAAGGTGATTTACCGGCATTACCCCGAGAATCTCTATCAGCCGGCCGAGTTTGGGCTGTTGATGGTGCTGGAGAAGTTGAGGAGCGATGGGAAGGTTGTCAAGACGACTGAGGGCAGATGGCGGGCTACTGAGAAGGCTATCCTTTGACTGAGGGAGAGGAAAGGATGGTAGGGGCTAGAAGGATGAGGGGAGGGAAGGAAGGCGAATCCGATGAGTCGATGAGGGTTGATTGGAGATGGAACATGGATGCCCATCTAATGATATGCTAGTAAAGCTACTAATGTCAAGATGTCAGAGGGAATAGAAGCCTTGCCTTGCTTGACTGAGGCTTCGGTCGTCTGGAAATACTTGAGACAAACACGGTGGATCAAGACCAAGGCAGCACATCAACATGCAAACTCATCATCAAATGACCACACGTCTATCATGTATCATTCCAAATATTCTCCACGCTATGATCTAATCATCTATCTGTTCAGACCAGCCTTTTCTCGAGAAGGAACGCCAGGACACCGTCTTGCACACCCTGCGGAGAGGGTTTTGCGGCACATACGTCGGCTTCAAAGCCGAATTGGTCCTTCAGATAGTCTCTCGTCGTGGGACCGATGGTTGCGATGATGACGTTGAACGGCGCTGCTGTTGCTGCTACGATGTTGTCGTCGTTGTCGTCACCAGTACCACTCACATGACTCTGATTGCCCGAAGGAGGCGGAGGCTGCTGAAAGTGCCATCTCTCCCTCGCAGCCCGCGTCAGCCGTCGCTGGTCATCGATATACCCGAGAGAATGGAGCATTGCTTCGCATCCCTGCGGCGAGAAAACGACGACGACGATGAGACTTCGGCCAGCGTTCCTATATGAATTGACGTGTGTACTGAAATCATGCTGGAACGAGTCCATGGTGCCCGTGGCGTAGACCTCGACTTCGTGGACTGCGATTCTCTCGCTGGGGGACAACTTACCTTCTTCATCCGTTAGCGTTTTTGGGATGATGTCTCGTCGCTGCTCGCCAACTAGGAATAGGAGGCCTCTCTTGTCGGGCAGTGGGGCCTCGAGGTCGAGCTGCTCGTTGCTAGGTGTGCAAGGGGTGTGTGGTTTTCGAGAATGTAGTCCGTTGTAGTGTGAAAGCATGTATTCAGCTAGATTCGCGCCGTTGCCCGTGTGTTCTCCCAGGACACTTGGTCGTAGGCGGGAGAATGGCGAGGAGGAGCAGGAGGACTGCGACGCTAGTACCAGCGTGTTCAGCGCACGAGATGTTGCTGGACCTACGGAGTACAAGGGGAAGATGGAGTCGTCATCTACTTCTGAACCTTGAGGGGAGCCATTGAGGGGCGGTGGTGGTTTCTGCTGCTGGGTCCTGGTTGGAGAGTCCTGCGAGGTTGTTCTCGTCTCAGGATGTTGGACAGGCCGACCTACACCTATAGCTTTTGGTCGAAATGAAGATCTCCCGTGTTAGTTATCGAATTTTGCGGCTCTATGTTCGGCACACAGGTACGGAGTACAGGGTTTTTTGTCAAGGCGGCACCGCAGTAGTGGGGCCCCAACTAGTCACAAAGGGTGAAGAAACAAAAGACCCAAAGCAGGAACGGATGGTAGTAGAAACATGAAAAAAGCGCCGGGATAGACCTTACCGCAGGTTGAAGAAGCAGCATCTGCTCCGTCATGCTCGCCTAGCTCTGAATGACCCTCTACTCTCTTGACCACCTCGGACCACGCTTCAACGGCCCGCTGACTCGTAAAGATCATGCCCCCGTACTTCTGAGCTAGCTGTTCGCTACGTAGTAGATCTTCCAGGAGATCGAGATTCTGGGTGTTGGGACGGTGTACCAAGACGGGGACAAACAGGGTTTGAAAGCGAAGGGTGTTCGATTTGAAGGTGGTGGCGCGAACGGCGACGGCGATGGAGGTACGACCCTCCAACGACGGGGGAGAAGAGGATGGTGGTGATGAGACATTACTGTTGTCCTGCTCGCCTAGACCGGCGGGGGTTCTGATGCTTGCCGACGGTGCTGGAGGTGAGGTGGAGAAATAGTCATGGTAAGAGTCGTGAGGCTGAGATTGAGTCTTGAGAAGGAGCACGGGGATGATATGATTGGCAGGCGGCGAAGACCTGATACTGCTGCCGGGTGCTGGCCGACCTGATGATGACAGCGGTGGCGTGGACATTTGGATCGAGACCCCTCCCACCGGTCTTGTGCGACTATGAAAGAGATCTTGTTGCTTAAAAATCTTTTGGCCTTTTGTTATTTTCTCGCCTTCAGAATGTGTCTCGATAGACGAGGCTAGGTAGGGTATATGTTGCACGGGCGAAATCCGGAGTCGCGAAAGCAAGGCTCTGTCTGAGGTAAGGCGCATGCAAAGGCTGGCCTTGAGAGAAGAGATTAAATACAATAATCCTGATTTGATGGGTTTGAGGACAAAAAGAGCTCAAAACAGAGCACTTGTTGATGAACGGGCTGCGTCAGTGTAAGACATCAGGACCCCAAGGGACGGTTATCTCGTCAAGAACGGGGTTCTTACTCCATCGATATATTCACCTACTCAGCGTGGAGACTAATTGTGGGTTGGCGGTTGGAGGGGGAAGAATTGAAACGAAGGGAAAGGCATCCGTGGTCCGTGGATGACTGGTTAGAGATGTGTTACGCGGGTGGCGGCTCAGCCAATTAGAGTCGCTGCCAAGGCGGAAGCTGTTGCGGAGGGAAAGTATCATTGAACGAGGAACTTAGGAAGCCACAGCCGCCACGATTGGATGATACTCGACAAGGATGGGGATATGATGTGTGATGTGCAGGATCGAACTTCGAAGAGAGATTTGAGGTTTGAAGTCTGAGATTTGAGATTCGAGATTTGAGATCTTTGGGGATTTCCACCGTCGAAATCGTGGATGCGAGCTGGGGGAAGGGAGGTCACGGGATTACCATCCCCATACCATTACGAGCTACCAGTACATGGGTACATGGGTACATGGGCGTGGTCATACCTGCAATGCTTGCAACAAGGCTTCGGCACTCCGTCATCACTGCCGGGTGATTGCTGGTGGTGTCGAGCAGGTCTCTGATTGACAGGTACGGGAAGAGACCCTTGAAACAAAGCTAGATCCGTCCGGATTGGGTACTTTGTTGCCACCTTTCGAGGAAGGGACCAAATCCGAGTGCTTCGTACGGAAGACTCGTCATCTCGCGAGGATGCTGCACCAGATTCAGATGAAGCCACAAGACGTTATATCCCTCGTACCTTGCCTAGTGTCCGGTGCCCGTGAACCGAGGATGGTCGCCCTCGTCTAAACGCGAGCACGGTCCTGCTCTTAAACTCCCAAACTCCCAGCATCCATTATTGGAAATTCCGGCGTCATCTGGATTGCTGTTTCTAGCAAATGCATCCAAGATGGATCCCAAGATGGATCCAGGATGGGAGAGGAGACTAGGTGGACCGGGAGCAACACGGTTGACACTACGTATTCGCTTCTGTCTCTACCGACCAATACTACCCTTGGATGAGGGACGAGGCACGGAGTACCTAAGGCCACTTACTCCGTACTCCCCGTATCCATAAGGAGTCCACATCGACGAGGCTCGACGACTACTTCCCACTTTGGGAGAATGTCAGACGAGAGATGTGTCAGCCCCACTTTATCCAGGCCTGCTATGTAAGTTTGCCAGGACCAATCCTGATAATCTCGAGCTTTCGCCGCGTTCAGAGAAATCGAACGGAGTAAATCCGATCAACTGACCTCTGACCGGTTGGTTCATCTCACGAGGGACGACACGAAAGAGTACGTAAAACTTCAGCCCAAAGGAAACGCCTCTGCTTGCAAATCAAATCCGAGCCCTACTCAGCCCAGGTAATCAATCTGTTTTGCTGCCTGCTCAAAGGGCTTTCTCTGGTATCGTCTAATGACACAGCACCCCTTTGCTTTGTATCTCAACGTCATTGTTCTCCCCCCTCCCCAAGCCTGCGTCTCTCCTTCGCATCTTTCCAGACTTTTTACCAATACAACTTGTCAAGCGCACAAATCGTCCAAGGCTTCCCATCAATGCAAAATCTCCCATCACACTTGAAATGTCTCAACCTGGGAGGCAATCTGACAAAAGGTGGTGAAGCTTCACCGGCTGATTTCTCCACCACCTGGTTGGACGTGCACGGCATGGCGAATTCCCAGCTAAACCTCATCTCTGCCACTTTCCATGGTCCTAGGAGGGCTAGGAAGACGTTGCCGATACTATCTGCCCAGACCAACAAAGGCCTATAACTGTTTCAGTGACGTCCGTTTTTAATTCTCCAAGCACAGATACATTTCTGGTATCACAGGCGTACGACGGATGCATGCTGGTAGCGCAATGCATGTGCCGTCAAGGGCTACACCTTGTACTTTCGGCCTGGCATTTTGACAGGTCACACCACAGCTAAACGGACCACCCGCGTCTAGACCGGAGAGTTGCCAAAGTTAAGTCAAGGCCAATCGTGTGTTTGTGTGGGCTTTCCTTCTGCCAGACTTACCCAACTCCCTTTCAACCAAGCAATATCGTTGCACATCAAAGACCGCAGAGCCTGCAGAGAGGGAATGCAGTAAAGAATTCCAGATCCATTTGTCAGACGGTCCTCATTGTCCCCAGGCTGTATTTGCGTTCCATCAGCTGATTTTCCCTGGCAATGGCTCCAAAGAGGGTTGCAAAACTGCAACAGACTGGTTCCCACTATTACAGGGCAGCTGCGTCGGGTTAATTGAAATCTTTCCTTTTCTCTCCAGAGATTTCGATTGGAGTGGATTGCTTCTCAAACAACGACGGGGGGGAGGGGGGAGGGGGGAGTTCAAATTTAATAGAGAAAACCCGCTTGAAGCAAGCAAGTTGTTGTGTGGGTTGACGTTGTTTGTTCATCATGCAGGTCTTGGTTCTGCCCTCCACGTAGCAAACACCACCTCCCCATAAACTTCAATACACGCAAGAAAAAGTCATTCTACTGGACTTGGCTGCAGCCGTCGATGGAAAAACCTGAGAGGCTGTGTAGAGCTTTGTAGCACGACAGCTGTCATATTGGCCTTGAGAGCGGTTGAGCAACGATGGCATGATTCGACCTGCGCCGGCTTTAAAACCACCCTTGTCCGCGGGTAAATACAAGTAAATCTTTGTCGACGACAATCAGAACAACAGTCGGGTCGTGGGACCCCGTAGGCATTCAACCATCTCAAGCCAACGCATGAAACATCATAGATAGCATGATTTGTTTGCTGCAGTTCGGCGTATCAGAATCTTTACCACCCTGTCTCGGCGAGTCAGAAACATCGTATACCCGGAGGGCTGCTTAGTCTTCTGGAACATTGAATTTCGGTACATACGCCCAGGACACTCTGGATTGCCATTGAGGCTGATACTTCCATACTCGATGCAACCCATCAAGGGAAAGGGCAATATGCGGCTTCATAGCCGTCGTCCGGTTTGGCGTCGTCCTTTGTTCCACATTTTAACGCGCCACGAGGCGCCCTTGCACTCCGGATACTCGCATAGGTCAAACTCGCTAACGGAGTGTTTGTGCATACCATACGTAGTATGCAGGGCATATTTGGCCTCAGGCTTGCCGTGATGGTGGTCGACGAATCCCCATCAATGTCATTCTGACGCGCCAAAGGTCACGATTGGAAAACCGTCCTGTCTAGATGCCCAAGGGAGTTCAGAGCTTGTGCAGATAATCGGGTTGCTGAATCATATGCCATGTGGATCGACATAATGGTGTGTTTGCTCTCCCTCCCTCTCTCCGCTGCCCTGCCTAGAACGAGAATCGGGGCCCTCGCTTGCGATATATAGATTGCGCTCCATAGCAAACCCGCCTTTGTCAACGTTCCGTGACACTCACTCGCTGTGCTCACGGACTCACTCGTACCCATTTTGCACATACTTTTCGGGCTGTTTCATTGACCTTTCCCATCTCATCATCATCATGCCTCAAGTTCACCCTGTCGGTCCAAGGGCCCCCAAGGACGACTTCATGAGGGCATTGGGCTTAAGCACTTCCGATCCAAAGCACGAGGGCCACTATCGAGCCATGCGCGTACGAAAGCACGGTCAGAAAGGCATGCTATGGATGTAGACTGACAAGGGCAGGACGAAGCAATTGCTGTGTACAACAGACTGAACTCAGATCGCACCAGCCTGATAGACGAAAAGCGCACCGACGCCAGCATCTCCCCGCCTTTTTTCTGGCATCACATCCGTCAAGAACGTCGTCGACAGGCAGTCATCGAAACATGGCAACAAGCTAAGCCAGGCACTATGCAACGAACCCTTTTCGATATGGGTGCAACCAACGGCGAACATGCTCCGAACTGGGTGACTTTGTGGTTGCTCTACAGCGTCTTTCGGTCACGCGACATCCGCAATAATCGTAATCGTCGAGCAGGAGATGGCAGTGGAGGTGCGATTCTTTCCTATCCTCTTCTTAGCCTCTCCTCCTCCATTGCTTCTCACTCTGGATGCTAATCATTTGCTGCTGCTGCAGGAGCAGGCTCGAGTTCCGGGGCTGCAGATGCCACCATCTTCGATCCGGCCAGAAACAAACATGTGCGGCGTTGAGATTCGTGTACTGTACGAGAAGGGTTTTATGTTCGTGATGACTCGACGCGGGTCCAGAAACTCATCATATCCAGGGGTGTTGTTGACTATTTCTTGATAGTGCTTAATCGCCATGTTTGCCATCATCATCGTCACCACTGTCATCCTCCTTCGATTTTTCCTTGCCGTTCGAGTTTTTCCGTTCCTCCCTGAGAGCTTTTGTGACCACAGGGTCCTGCTCGTCTTTACGTTCGTCCCATTCGACATCATATTCGGCTGCCACCGCCTTGATTTCTTTTCTGATGGCATTGCCCTCTTCAGTCAGGCTCTCCCATAGCTGAAGATCGAAGCCTTTCATCTCGTACAGCCGGCTTTGGCGGCGGTTAATGGTCAGGTTCAAGGCTGAGCGGTAAGAAACCTCACGATTATGGTATAAAAACCACATATAGCCCCCAATGAATCCGCTGAGGCCTACCAAATAGGTTATAGGCTCCATGGCGTCCCAACCCAACTCACTCTCGAATGTCAATCGATAGACCAGATACCAGTAGCTAGGAGACGGTCAGTGGACAAGAAGTGAGGAAGTGGGAGGCTCGGGAAAGAGCAGAGCGAGTGAAGGAGGGAGACAGAAGAGAAAGGGAGAAAAGGTGGCAGAGCTGAAACCATACCCGACCAGAATGCCACAGCCCGAAAGAGCGATGCGCTGACCGGTTTTGTGGGCAGCAGTGTCACACTCCTTCTTGATCTTGGCCATGTCTGCGATTTTCCTCGAAGTTCTTCGCAACTTCTGTCGCAGGTAGAAGGTTCGATCATTGAAGGAAGGCACGCCGACCTTGATGGCTTCGGGATTGCCTTCAATGTCGACTTCAAACTCTTTGGCTCTCGCAGCGTCCCTGATGAAGTCTCCGATTTCGGTGGAAGCACTCCATTTCACAAACTCGCCTTCGTCCTTTCCGGAGCCCTCTCTGCCAGCAGCGCTATACCGCTGGACTGAACCATCTCCGAGGGTGTCATCGGTTGGCGAATCCTCCTCTTTCTCGTCATCTGCCCTGCGCTTCTTGGGTCTGATCCCATCGTCTTTAGCTTCCTTAGCCCGGAATATTACTGTAGGAACCTGGTTCTCCCCCTTTTCGTTGGTAATCGTTGGCAACTCAGATTGAATCAATCGTTCAAGATAGGACAGGGGCTGTTGGGGGTGAACGAGGAGGGCCAGCGGTGCGACATCCTTTCGGTCGCTATTCGTATCGACAGTGGTCAAAGGGAGAACAAGTTTGAGGAGTCTTGCCGGGGTTGTCAAGAGTTTCCCTTGAGCTTCGTCAGTTGTCGTTCGCATTGGTCGCTGGCGTGCCAGGGACACTTACCTTTTGTCATGGCACCGGCAGAGCGTTGACGCCGGACTGGAGGAGTATCGGCTCCTTGTCGGTGCCATGGCGTACGTACTTGCTTCTCCTTCTGCTCCCCGACAGCGGTATCGAAGTCCGAAAGAGCTTCGTCAACTCCGCGTTGGTTGAGTTCTTTCGCTGTTTGCTCGTGCGACGCGAACCGAACGCCAAAAGTGACGAACCCAGTAGCTTTTCGAAGAGTAGCATCAGTCGGCCTACAAAACCGGTGAGCAAATTGGCTCAGTTGTCGTCGTCGTGCAGATGATAAAATAGTCGGCATCTGGACAAAGGCATGGGCTTTCAAGTGTCGCGTGGCCGGCGCGACTCCGAGCCGCATCTTGACGTCGAGTGTTGCTGGCTTTAGAGCTGCCTTGAGACGAAACAGTGCACAATCCTGAGTGGCAGAGCACGTCGATTTTTTCGATTCATTCCGTGACACAATACCAAGTGCTCTTTTCAATAGCTAATGTGGCAGCTCAAAGACTGGTTTGTTGACCTGCGACCATCATCAAATAAAGGAGTACGACGTCACAGCTCAACGGGCTCGCCTGTCCACCGCCCACGAGGCTGATGGTCTCAGGCTATCTTGCAGCGTGGGCGTCGACTGCGCCACACAATCCAATTCCCCCAAACCAAAGCTGTTAGTCTGCCCCTCGCCCGAATTGGTTAGCGGTTGGTGATGCCTATTTAACACCGTTCACGCCTCCCCGTACGCTGCCTAACTTGTAGTTAGAGCGCTGGGCGAGGCTAAGTAGAAGTAAAGTGAGGTGGCTGGCTGGCTACACTGGCTGCTTCCGTCGTTGATAAAGGACGCCCGGAAATTATGTACTTTACATCAGACGGATTACGGAGTACTCGGTATGCCCATGAAGAAGACGGTTGGAATGGAGGGAACATTAGGAAAAGTGACTTTAATGCATCAAAGCTCATGAATTGGGGATTTACCAGATGTCTAATTATTACCCTCTGAAGAATATTCTAAATGAAAGTCGTTTCACAAAACGCAAAGACTTTCTCCAATCTCGGGGGGAAACACAGGCTTTCGCAACGCTCAATCCCTCCCAAGTTCAACAAAACTTGCTTTGAAGTAAATGAGTATGATGGTAGAAATCGTCTCGCTATGCCTCGCAGGAAAAAAGCTTTAACAAAGAAAAAACCACGACAACAAACAGGACGGAAACCACAACAACAGTTGCCTGCTTTGAACTCTTTCTCTAGTAATGATTTTTCTGGCGGTCGTCATGGTAATATAGAAAGAATCGTTGTTAAAGGGCCCTAAACCAAGGGCGAAAGATTCGATTTTCGTGTCATTTCATCGTCATTAAGAATATTCCGCCACCCTTTGGTGTGGGTTGGCTTGCAAGTAAATCCAATGGTTTCGTTGATTTCGTTTCGTGGGGATCGTCAAAGTCGTTAAAGGCAAAGCGCATGGAGAGGAGGGTGATGAGGCGGAGAGAAAGATAAAACAAAATGAGGCTAGAAGAGCATGCTTCCCAGTGACAGAAATGCTGGCCCTTTTCCAATCGTCGTTTGCACGCTCCGCTACCGGGTATTTTGCGAAGAAGACGATGTGCTCTCTAGTAGCGTGTCACAATGCGTCGGCCACCAGTGTACTTCAAATCATGGGAAGAGGAGGGCGAGGAGTAAAGGCTTCGCCGCCCTCCTGATGTGCGACTGTGTGGATCGGAGCGACGACCATCAGCCCAGTCTGGAGAGCTGCCTCCGCTCCTGCTGCCAGAGCTATCCGTGTCGCCGTAGCGATACTCTGCTCGGTGGTCGTTCCCACTGCCGCGGCTGTGTCGACCTGAACCTACAGGAACTGGGTTTCCTTGGATGACTCCGCCGTGGGCGAATCCAGTAGGATACATGCCATCGTTGGCGGAAAAATTCCGACAAATGTTGAAGGCAATCAGGGCAGCCCCTTCTTTAGCTGATGATTCTGAGGAGTGGTACGTTGATGTCTGGTATTCACGATTGTTCACTCGGACAATGCACCGATATCCCGCTGGACTGTACGATGTCTGATACGAGGGTTCGGGCCATCGACGACGCTGGCATAGACCTGAATTTTCACCCATCAGTATTTGTGGAAGTGACAAGCGCAGAAGAGTCAAGTCTACATGGATGTAGGCGCCCCAAGACAAACGCGTTGGTCATGATAGGGCTAAGTTCGCAAGGCTGATCTGTGTGGCTGGCCCCCCTGGCATCACATGGAGCTGTTCACACATTGACGATCGTGAACAGGCCAGTCCAGTCACTTTACAATCATGACAGACATAGAAGAGTGTGCATTGACGCCAAAATAGAGTTGACTTGAAGGGCGTTGGAGAAGACGTACTGGCCAAATACACGGTATGCAGCATGTCTGCATCGACTGAGCGAGAAAATTCGAGCCCAAAAAGTTGTGCATCCAACAGTCAGTGAGTGAAAAGCAAAAAAGCCAATTCCCAAGTGTCAAATTGTCGACAATAGATGAATCTTATCAACCGATATCTCCGCTTGTAGCTGTTTCGCCTGAATCAAAGACGTGGGAGAGATCAGACCAGGCAAAACCAAACTTCAGGTAGCAAAAGCCAACATCATCAGTATAACCAACCCTTTTTACAGGTGAGGCGTGGTGGCACGTCCACATATTTCACACTGCCATAGGTGCCATATGAGAGAGATCCTGCACTGACAGCGAAGCATGCGGGCACTGCGTGGGGCAGACAGGATTTCCACTGTGGCCAAAAAGCCGCTCTGGTCAGCGGCTAGGCATTGGTTGATCTGGAAATGAGAAAACGTTCTGCTCTTTTGGCATCGTAATGTCTCTGATGTGTTGGCATGCTTTCTAGCCAGTACGGGAAGAATGTTGTCGGGAACCGTTCTTAGCACCCATTGCTGTTGAGAGGCTTATGCAGATCCAGATGCGGGCCATGGTTGGCAGACAACTCTCTCCCCGCAGAGCAGAGCAGGTCGAGTGACCAGACCTCTAGATCAATGGTGACAAACAGTCAGTTGTGAACTTACGGCTCTCCCTTCTCGTTTCGCTTCAGGTTGGGATTGGCAAACCCCACTGACGTGCACGACCGGTGAGGCGTGCGCATCGGTGACATGCCTAGGACCTAGATCTGGGGAGCAGGTCAGCCCATCGTGCCCAAAGAATCAATTTGACGCAATCGGTACGGCTCCAGCAACTCACCTGGCAGGTGGGGGAATGAGAGATAGGCTCAATCAATTGGCCTCGATGCTTACCTCGGGCGTGGTTTTGGCCGGGAACCAGGAAGTTTGGGAAATGCCGACGATAGCTTGAAGGAAGATTCCCCGTCTTGATAGGCGGCTAAACGCGAGGGGTTGGTGCAACTCTAAGCAAAGGGGGACCCTGCATACATCCACAGCAGCCAGCGTTGCAAGAGAGGCATGTTTTTGGCATGCGTAATCTAGGTCGACTGGTAGATGGAGCGCGAAAAGGCGCTCTGGGAGCGCTTACAGGCATTAGCGGTCATGGCCGGGCAGTTTCGGTGCAACCGTGAGGGACTCAACTAAAGGGCTGGAGGCCGGGGGGCGACCGGAGACCCAGCCATCAGGGCCTGCATGCATGGTTGACTGGCAGCAACGTACGGAGCACTTCACTAAACGTGCCTTAGCCAGGCCAAGTCGGCGGAGGCAAAAGACCCAGGCCCGCTCTCTACTCGTCAATGTCCATCCATCCCGATGTATGCGTTGTCAATGTTGAAGGTCTCGAAGGAGTCCAAGCCGCGGTTGATGGCCCATTACGCACTGTAATTCGGCGATTCGTATCCATCGGTAGCCATACCTGGGCTCACGATTTTGACTGCCCTTTGGTGCTTATCATTTGTGTTGATCAAGGCCAGAAGCCTCCAGAGTCGATCGATCACCTTTCCTTGCTCGAGGCCGAGACGAGCGGAGCATGTGCTTGATCGCTTGTATATCTACTACGGAAGCAGAATATTCCCTAACCTATTAGTCCTTTCAAGTACTTCTCCGAACCATGAGCGGCATGAATATGATGGTGCGGGAATGCAAGGCATGCACACCAGACCCTCGGCTTGGCTCCATCTGTTATTGTCTTTACAGCAGGGCAACTTCAGTCCTGCAGGAAGAGCATCTTGGATGGCACGGACGCCCTGGGTTGCATGATCAGAGATCAGCTTGCCCGAGTTGAAAGTTACCTTGGATACGTCGTTGGGTGGTGCGGTGCCCGCCGGCGCACCATTTGAGACTGAGCGCCCGATTCATTCTTATTTCCGTTTCGTCATCGACTTGGGTCCATTGGTGATTTTGAGTCCCAGTCCGGTTCAGGCTACAATCTTGTTGGTCAGGGTTGCCTTGTACGAGAGGTCGATGGGGCGGTTCCTTTTTGATACATGAGAACCAGGGATAAATTGAGGGGAATCATGTTGGTAGGCTCGACCCAGCACCACCTGGCCTCACATATGCAAGCATCCAACGGTAGGTATTTTAGGACTACATCATGATAGTCTCCTTACTCGAACGAGGCTAAACTCCCGTTCCGCAGTCAGCCCAACCAGTGAGTCCAACCCAGTTGTTATCTATCACTCGTTCGATCTTGTGCCGGTGCCGCCTAAGCCAAGGGGGCGGGACAGACTCCATTGCCTCATCTGATTAGCAGCCTCATGAGGAATCATATACACTGGATGGATGGCCCTCAGGTTTGCACCACTTTCGAATACACTGTTCGCATCCCCTTCACTCGGTATTGCTGCTTTCGTAGCATTCCATGAGAAGGCGGATGAGAATGGTTCAGACAGACCTTCATCGCTGTAACTATGTCGATGCTCGACAGTGCTGACGCCGATCAGAGTGTAGCAGGTGTGATAAGAATCTGGACGTCTGGCAGATTATCAGTAAAGACGATATCAAGAGTGAAAGAGCTTACTTGGATGGCTTGTCCCTGAGACCGCCCTGTTTGGCTTGACAGCAAGACAATATGTATCTGGCCAAGCCCTCGCTACTGTACAGGTTTTTCCTGATGACTGTATTTGGCGTAAGATTGTTGTCACTAGGGCCACTCAGCGCAGCTTGAACTAGAGGCCAGCATCCTCCAAGCCAGCCGCTGTAGCAGCCGTCCACAAGTTTGTTGGTTCGACCGGCAAGGCCTCCTTCAGGACCGTACTGCCGTGCAGAGAGCCACCAAATCAGAGAGTCCATGTCGAGATACTTCGATATCGCCTTGTGGGGTGCGTCATATAGGCATAAGCACGCAACAACGCAGAATGCATACGCTCCATGCGCCTCATTTCCTGGTGAACTTCCAATTCCCCCCTCGTAAGTTTGGCACCTTGAAAGGTATTCACCCAAACCATCAAAGAATGTCTCAAACCCAGCTTCTCGGGCAGGAGAATCTTGAGGGAGTGTAAGAGGAAGGTTGAGAAGTGAGATGGCGACCAAGGCACAATACGCGCCACGTACATCTTCTTCACCACCTTCCGTAACTCGGAATCCCCCATCACGCTGCTTCAGCCTGCCAAGCCAGTGCCACATAGCTTCGCGGTCGATGAGGGTGTATGCCTCTTCTCCTCCCACCAGAGCAAGACTGAGTAGAGCAGCATATGTTCCGGCGAGGTGGGACAAGTGACCGTAGCCTCCTCCGAAACCTCCACCCTTATTTTGAGCCGTGTAGAAAGTTTTAATGACCCTAGGGCAAGATTAGTCAGCTATCCGATGGTTGTCCAAACACCAACATCTACATAGTGGCTATCTGGTGGTGAATCACGCCAGAGAGGGATGTTACCTTGATCTGAAAGACAATATATCTTCTCCCATCATATAAAGCGCAGACAAAGCCCAGTAGACCATCCATGGCCGGCTGGCATCTATGCCTACAAAAGGTGCAGGAAATTCTTCAAGATTTTCGTGAAGAAAGTCGATATGATCCTCTCGTTCGAGTGAAGGTATACCGAATTCATTGAAATCAAAAGAGCTGCGGTTGGGATCTGCGAGTGCTCTGAGTAGAGGAAGGCATTCCTTCAAGGTGGCTTCTTGTAGCCTCGATGTCTCAGTCTCGAGATGGTCCACGAGCGCTGGCGGCTCACGAAAGTGAGAGGGTATTGAGGACAAGAGGTTATCAGAGTCTGTCATTATCATGTAAAGAATGAACCACGCGTTCGCTGTCAAGATGCAGAGACTGCAGCTATGATGGAGCGAAATATGGGTCGAACCGTCTTTCCATCCTCTTCGTCGAGCGGTTGATTTGGAAGTCAAAGGTTGTTGGTATCGTTCCCAAATTCCTGACGACCAATAGAAGAGTAATTTGACACCACTTTCAACCACTGTCTCTCCTCGGTTTAATCTTGGTCTCGCGATAGTGGTTAGGCGCGTTACTCTGTGGTGGAGGAGACTGACGGTCGTCAATATGGATGTTCAGCCATCAACGGGGCAAAACCCCCTTCCAGAAGAAGTGGTTGATGTGGCTGCCTTAAGCGACAGGTGAAATTACGTCATAGAAACATGGTAATGTAAGTTTGATCACCTCTCGGTCACCAGATGCTTCCTGGCACCTTGATCCTCCCATCAACCAAGATGTAGCAGGACATGCATCTGGATACTTCCTTTGAAGAGGCTCGGCTCTGCATAGTGTGTTAGAAGTGTACATGAATCTTGCACTTTCTTGCGCCCGCAAAGGAAATGCCTGCGTGGTTGACCTGGAGAGCAACTATTGGTTATCATAAAGCTTCAGAAAGTAGCTCGGAGATCTTGCACTTCTTGTCAAGCTGGTAAACGCGCTACGCTAAAGGAACAGTCCTTTCAACGAGTGGGTTCGAGCTCATCCTCAACCAATGCCTATAGTCCGAGGTCGAGAAACTCTTTGGAAAGTGGACAACACCCAGTCTTCCACCATCACCGACAGGGGAGTGGGCAAGCAAGAGTTCGATGGCAATTAGAGGGATTGAATGGCCAACAACTCATCAGTCCTTGCCAAAGGTAGGTTATGAACACGGCCACTATGGAATGGAGCAGTGGTATCCACCAGGAATCGACCCATGCCTCACCAGTGCCATGCGGCCCCAAGTCAGGAAGTACGAACGAATACCAGTTGAAGCTCGCCCTACCGAATTCTTCCTTTGTCTCACGGACGAATACGTGGAGCATGCAGTCAACATGGCTTATTGGACTTATAGTGCTTTGTGTATCTAGGCAGTTCCAAACCACCTATCTGGGTTATGGCAAGGCAATATTTACTGCATCAGGACCTACTGGGTTTCCTGGCACGGGCGCACAAACATACCTACCCATAAAACAGAAGGGGAAAATTAAGTAGTACTAGCCCCGCCTACCTCTTAGGATAAGTGTCCGAAAACCAGTATTAAAGTTGGAATCTGGAAAGAAAGTCGTAGGGTTCATGTCCAGCTTGCGTGGCAGCCTGTCATCGGCGGTCACCTCGTCGATTGAGCCCCCAAGCCTACACAAATGAAGCTGACGGCGTCCAAGGCCAGCTAGATCTATTGGCTCATCCTTTTGACAGCCTTCTTGATAGTTTTGATCAGAATAATGGGTGTAGCAACATGGGTGTCAGGGCCCTGGACTGAGTTGTTCACCAACCCAGAGCTATACACAAATAAGTCACCGGCTGCAAGCATGAAGTTGGCCACCCTCTTTAAGCTTCCCCCACATTTCCTTCGCAACCATCAAGGCTGGGGTGGTTGGCCTGAGTAATTGGGATTCAATACCAAGTTTCTTGCTCAAAGGGTACCAAACGATGGCTAGGAGTGAGGAGGCTTGATGTTGAACCCGAGTCAGTCAAAAGCGGTCTAGACGCGTTAATGTAGAATCTCGACTCGTGTCTCTACCTCAAATCCCTCTTCACCAGGCCAAGAAGCAAGTGTTGATGGTGACCACCCAAGGTCCATACTCACCTCTGACTAGCGGACATCACTGAGAGTTCAGATCGTCGACATCCTGCTGGAAAGGGTGCTGTGAGTACGGAGTACTCGATCATATGTACCACTTCTGAGGTGTAACGACCGGCCCAACTCAAACTGAAATGTACAGTATGTATCTCGCATAGCGAGAATGTGTTACAGGCGTTGCCTATGAAACAGTAGCTTGTGACTGACCTCTGATCAAGGGTATTCTCATGGTGGAATATGCACATCAATGCACCTCCTGAGATCTGAATCTTAAATTATCATTCCCTTGCCGTCCAGCAAGGGCCCGTAACATAGCAGGTCCATAATTTTCCTTGACGGATTCTTCACCGCTCTTCATCAGGCGTCGCTCGAGAGCGTCGCGATAGCCTCAGCTGTGTCAGAAATTACATCAACATAAGTGACCCCGTGGCAACCTTGTATTGCTGTCGAGTGTTTCGATAAGTCCAGTAACAATGTCGAGGTTGTTGTTCCGTCTGCGTAGCCATCGATAGGAATGAATCACACATAGGCGGGGGGCGCAGTGAGCGTTATCTGGGTTTACAGTACTTCATAGACAAACAGCAGATACGAGGTAAGGACTTACCCAAGTGGAACTAGTTGTAAGCACCAAGAGGATTACCTGCATAAGGGCATGCTTGTTGAATATTCCCGTCTCGCGAGTGGTGGCGATGGATGGCGAAAGATCCTGGGCCAACTAACCCTGGAATCCTGGATGTATTCTCCGTATTTTGACTGGCTTGAAAGGTCAAACATCCTGACGGCTCGCACAATGATTTGACCTGCTGTGCCTCTGGAGCGAAGCCATGAAAAGTCGTGCTGAATGGTGCAGGGTGGCACAGAGCGGGAGTGGTAGTGCCACCTGGGCGCGTCTTCCACTGCAAGGGCTGAGCCATCGAGAGAACCTTGGAAGTGAAGGGCGACCCCGAGAAAATGTTGGTGAGTCTGTAGGCGGAGTCACGCTGGATTTGTGATGGGCCTGATGGCTTAACAATAACCAGAACCCCTCCAAACTTTCGAGGTCTCTTTCTTTCGCAGCCTTTTCGCCCAGTTTCCTGCTCGGTGAAGCCCCGTACGGCATCGCTGTCCTTTCCGTTCTCGTCGAGTCCTCCACTTGAGATCAAAGTTGTGCCAGATTTGACGGTGCTAAATGGACTGACTATCCCAAAGAGAGCGCCTCCTAACTAAAACACAGTTGAATCCGCTCCGCCAAGCTGTGCGCCATCCGGCACCAGCATCCTTTACTATTATTGTTTGTGAGGGTGAAGAACCTCCACCGCCCAAAGCCTCCTTAGAGACTTTAACACCATTCCGAGGTTTGCCGAGAGACCGTCGGCCCCTCAGCGAAAAACCCCGGGCGGTCAGCTCTCTAGGAGTACAGCCACCTCTACGAGCAGGGCTACGAGTTGGCTAGGCCCCGGGCCTTCCTTCTTTGGACCGGCTCTAGCTGGAACGAGGCTTCAGGTTGTCACTACGAGTTCCCACTGCCAGTACGAGGCACTCCCTACCAAGGTCCAACACGCGTTTAATCCAGTGAGTGAGCGTGGTTGCAGAACTGTGTGATCCATTGTGCACAGCAAGCGAGCACCCAGTGACCACCAAAAACACCCGTCTCCTGTTAGCCATCTGCAGCTGGCCTCTGGAACCAATCAGTGGCTGGCAATACGACCAGGGCTTCAAGAAAAAGGCCAGACCTAATGCACTCTCGACAGGCTAGACGGTGATTTTCAACCAGCGAAAAAGCTGCAAAGGCCCTTTGTGAAGGGCCTTGATCTCCGAATCTCCGACCGACGTGACCAGCCCGCCAGAACCCACAAGACCGGCAGCGAGAGACAGCGAGAGACAGCTAGCATCAAGAGTCCACAGCCCACGCCCACACGCCCACGGTCACGGGAGCCAGGCCCCCTCTCGGCTGCCCGTTGGTCCCAGCACCATTGAAAGTCGCCATCTCCTGCCCACTTTTGTCCCCCGCCAATTCGACGATCCCCAAAACTTGCATGCGCTGCTCACCGCCTCTTTTCGCTCTCACTCCACCTCAAACCTGAGGCCCGCTCCTTCACCACCACTCCCACAACCTCCCACCGAGGCGGTCACTCTCTGTAAACTTTAGTCCTCCTCGCTGTGTCCTCCTCTTTCAGCTTCCTCCTTCCTGCTTCACCAGGCCAGCTCGACATCTTCCCTCGAGTCTGCTGCCTTCTGACAGGACAATTCATCCCACAAGGCTACCTATCTGACGACTCACCAAACATGGAGGGGAACATGGGCCTCACAGGCCCCGATCTGACCTACGATCTCGACTCCAGGAACTCAACCTTCTTCCGACATCAGCCATGGCCGATGGACCAGATTCCTACCCAACGCCAGGACCCGAGAAGAACGATTTCTCCCATCGAGACCAGCACTCATGGTCTCCGACAAACAACCATGGCCGAACATCCCATGATGGGTACCTGGCGGTTCGAACAGCAACCACAAACCCTCGATTTCCAGACCCAGCAGGCGGCATTCAACATGGCATATGACCCTCAGTTCCACAACCTCCAGTTACATCCCTCACAGCTGGCCATGATACCTGTATCCCAGCCTCCCATCTCGTCCGGTCTTCCTCTGGAACCCTCATATCTCTCCATGGAGCAGGGCATCGATGGCATGCCTCAGAATTGGCAAGACTTCCAGAGCGAGTTGATAAACTACACCACGACAGATTTTGGCCCGGCGGTGTCACCATACCAGCAATTGACGAGCTCGCCTACAGGATCACACCTCGAGGTACTATCACAGCCCAGCTCCTGTGACGAAAACACCTGGACCCTGGTTGATCACCGAACCTCATTCGAGTCCTACGAACCACATTTCTTCGTCGACCCCAACCAGACTGTTCACAACCGAACACTATCCGAGTCCTCATACTCAGACCTCGAGACCCACGGAAATAGTGCATTCATGTCCAACCTCGACATCAGCCCTGGCCAAGCTGTCTATTCGCCGACAAGCTTATCAGATAGTGACTATGAATGTTCCGGTCACGTCCACGGTCATCGGCTGTCTATCGACCTTGGCTCCGCGTCCATGAGTGTGAACCCTTCGGCTCTCGTCAGGCCTATCCCCATTCCTCCCGCCAGATCATCAGCTCCCTCTATCCGATCCCCTAGCTCTCAAGGCTCTGCAGGATCACCCGGTCGAAAATCATCGCGAAAAAGCCCTATTGCTGCCAAGTCGACCGACAAGGTGATGAAGAAGACCCCGCCAACAGGCAAGGTCGAAGGAGAGAAACGTGTAGGACGCAGAAAGGGTCCTCTCCGGCCGGAGCAGCGCAAGCAAGCCAGTGAGATTCGGAAACTTCGAGCTTGCTTACGTTGCAAGTTCCTGAAAAAGACTTGTGACAAGGGTGAGCCATGTGCAGGGTGTCAACCCTCTCATGCCCGGTTGTGGCAAGTACCATGTACTCGCATCGACATCAAGGAGATCGGATATTTCTTGAAAGACTGGAAGTTCGACTACGAGAGACACATCTCACTGGGCTTCTCGGTTGGGAATATCAAGGGATTTTCCGACACTGAGGAGACCTTGTTCATCACTCACGGATATGGCCACATGCTGCCTGTCACTGCCCGCGAGGTTTACGTCCGGGATGATTCCTGTCTCAAGATGGACTGGATAGAAGCCAACAATGCGGCGCCAGAAGGCTACGAGGTGTCTACCGCCAAACTGTCCGCTGGTATGGAAGGAATCTCGACCACTATGCTGAGTGATTACCTGGACCGACACATCGATGGCACCGGAACGTTTGAGAAGTTTGTTGACGACTACTTTGAGGGCACTCCATTCCTCTCACAAATGCTGAAGACGGCATATCGGTTTTATTTCCGGACCGGATCCAAGATCATCAAAAAGGCTTTGAAGCTAATGCTTGCTTACAACCTGACACTCCACATCACCATGGTCGAAGGGGTGCCGGTGGAGAAAAACCTGGTCGGGAAAATCTCGGAAGAGACGTCCAAGTTTTTCGGCAAGACCATGGCTCCCGTGATGATCAACTTCCAGATCAAGTGCGCGATGGCCGACATGTGGCGTGAACTTCACAAAGACGTACTCGAGGAACTGTCGAGCCTGTACTCGAGCGTGTACAGCGGAGACAAGCTTAAGAATTGGCCGACCATCTTCATCCTTGCATCTGTGTTGTTGGCAGTTTGGGAATGCATGCAGTTCGATTGCCACTACCGCGTACCCGATGCTGTTGCGGTGGACAAATTCTGCAACGACATGGAGACCACTCCTGTGGGCGTTGTCGTTGGGCTCTTCCAAGCGATCTCGCAGAAGCTACCGTCCTTCCTCGAGTGGGACACAAGTAAGCACCATACTTTGCTCGGCTCGAACGCCGATGTATGCAGCGCCATGACTGAGGTGCGCGAACACGTTACGAGATATGGTCAGTGTTGATGACAACTTCGATGCTAGTCGATACTAACTGGGGCTACAGAAAATTACCTGCGCGGACGACCAAATGCCAAGTTTGAACGCAAGGACTTTGATTCCTTGTCGAATAAGTTTTTGGCCAAATTGGTCATTCGAGCCAACTGAGCGAGTGCATTTGAAATGCGTGACGAGAACTTGGACAGCAGATTTAACGCTCATTTGACGTTTTCACGATAGCACGCCCTGCTTTTGATTCTTGACGAGATCCGAATGGACGAATGATGAATCTCTACGGCTTTACGACTATACATCGTTTTTTGCATGAAACCTACTAGTGGTGAATTCTTACGTTTTCCCTTTGTCTTGAGATTGCAGCCAGCATGAAAGTGCATTATATATGGAGGTGGAGAGACTGAATGGGAAGGGAAGGCAGGGACGGGGCAAGGCAAGGGAGCAGGAGGGCATGTGCGAGCGCGGCGCATCGGAAGCGGGCGATAAAGGAAGCATTTGGATTTAGAGCGCAACCCCCAAGCTCGGAGACCGGCCGTTCTGCCATTTCATGTCTTGAGCTTGATGTGGGAATTGGGTGGCTCTGAGTGAGTGAAAATCGATTCCATCTTCGACTCGAACAAGCAACGGGGCACATAGAGCATATGTAAAAGAAGACGAATGTCTCACGGCATCTGTCAGATCAACCTCATGGGCTGTACCTTGGGATCATTGTTGACCTAGCCGGTGTAAGAGGTAGTCGGTTGACTGTTGAGAAATGAAATGGGATCAGGCTGGTGTGATTCATTCTTCCCCCGTGTGGATACAAGCCACCATGGCCGGTCACAAGTCGAGTCTCATGACAATACAATGATGTAACTACTTGGTACTCGCTACTTCTCTGGAAGGACTTAGCTCTTGAAAATTGAAAAAAAGAACTTCATTCTGCTCCATTACCGAGCACTTCAGACAGACCGAGCCGCCTATTGATCTATCCGAACTTGGGCCACAAGCGAGGGATTTTGTTGAGACTTTGAAAGAGAGTGGCTTGCTGGAAATGATTACCTGACTGTGCACATGTACTGTATTTTGTTTTTGCTTTTCTCTCCTGCTACATGTCCGGTTGCAGAGCTCGCGAAGAAGGACTTCACAATATCGTGGATCAAGTTGTAGTGTACCATGTGTTATGAGTACTCCGTATGAACTGTACCGTAGTCATCTCCGGAGCTCAGATCTGCAGCCATCGACGATTGGGTTTTCAGGACTGATATCTCTTTGTTTGGCCTTCACTCTGACGCATGTCCTGACTTTGTAGGTAAATCTGGACTCGGTGTTCCGCCACTGCTGCCCTGATTATTCGGGTGGACTCTCGCCTTGCAGACAAGCCCAACGGAGGTGCCAACGGCTGGAAATTCCCCGAAGCAATCGAGCCTGATTCCTGGTGCAACTGGTGCAGCCTCGAGCTGGGTTTCCAAGTCTGATCTGAACCTTGACTTTCCTCTGCCCCATCCCACAGTAGATGGTTTACTCGTCTTGTAGCACCGTATTTCAAGCTTACGACACGCCGACTCGCACCGTCTCTTATTGGAAGAGCAAGCCCTACAATCACCACCTCAGAAGCAGAGTCAAAGCAGGGTGTGTTACAATTGTCCACCTCCTCGGCCCACCTCGCTCGAGTCCTTTGGTGTTTGTCCGCTGCTGCGTTGCGGATCCATTAGGCAGGAACCAGACACCGAATAAGCCCAACACCTGCAGCTGTAACGGGAGCGGAGCCATAGGCGACCTGCGACTTGCTACGGAGGACAAAGGAAGCTCGTTCCATCATTATACATTCGTAACGGTGTCTTCCACTCGCGGAAGAAGCCCCTCGGCACCTACCTACACCACTACGTATTACTTGTCCTCAGCACCTAATCAGCATTCTTCCTTCTTGGGTGTCCCGGGACCTCATCCGATCGGTCGTCCTTATTCAGCAACCACATGTTGATACCAAGTTTTCTTCTGGACCGTCAGACTCAGGCCCACAACTTCGCGATATTGCTGTCACTTGTGTAGTTGAATGGTCTTGACGCCGTCATTCCGGGGTCGACAAACTGCCTGTTTGTCTCGCTGCTTCACGTTCTTCGTGTTTTTTCACCGTCACCCACGTGGCCCACGTCACACCTTGTTCTAGGAACAAAGCCAATCTCTGCGCCCTCTGAACATCCTGTGTAGACGCTGCCGAGCACTTCGACATCCCTAGATCCAAGGCAATTTCCAACAGCCCTCATCTGCACGCATCTGTCGATATGCCATCTGTGACTTCAGAGCCACCGAAGGTCGAGTCGCGGCTGCTGCTGGTATCCAATCGACTCCCCATCACCATCAAACGATCTCCAGATGGCAAATACGACTATTCCATGTCATCAGGAGGACTAGTGACTGGCCTCAGCGGTTTATCAAAGACAACCACCTTCCAGTGGTATGGGTGGCCAGGACTCGAGATTCCTGAGAACGAGATCGACGATGTTACAACGAAACTGAAGGATGAATTCAACGCCGTCCCAGTTTTCATGGCGGATGAGTTGGCTGATCGACATTACAACGGCTTTTCAAGTAAGTCAGCGCTGTATCGCTATCAGTGGTATGGCACAATCTGCTAACTCAAAAACCAGACTCCATTATGTGGCCATTGTTCCATTATCACCCAGGCGAGATCACCTTTGACGAGTCAGCATGGAAAGCCTACGAGGAAGCCAACCGCCTCTTTGCTCGTGTGATTGCTGATGAAGTCCAAGATGGTGACCTTGTATGGGTTCACGACTATCATTTGATGCTCCTACCCCAGATGCTCCGACAAGAAATTGGCACCTCAAAGTCCAACGTCAAGATCGGCTTCTTCTTACATACGCCCTTCCCCTCCAGTGAGATCTACCGTATCTTGCCTGTCCGAAACGAGATCCTCCTAGGAGTTCTCCACTGCGACCTGATTGGCTTTCATACCTATGACTACGCACGACACTTTCTGAGCAGTTGTTCTCGAATCCTGGGCTATTCTACAACACCCAATGGGGTCGAGTTTGGAGGGAAGATAGTCACCGTCGGCGCCTTCCCAATTGGGATCGACCCGGACAAATTCACCGAGGGCCTGAAGAAAGAGAAGGTCCAGAAGCGAATAGCGGTCTTGGAGGAGAAATTTAAAGGGGTCAAGTTGATGGTCGGTGTCGATCGCCTTGACTACATCAAAGGCGTGCCACAAAAGCTACACGCTCTGGAGGTCTTCCTCACAGACCATCCAGAATGGATCGGGAAGGTAGTCCTTGTACAAGTGGCTGTGCCAAGCAGACAGGACGTTGAAGAGTATCAGAATCTTCGTGCTGTTGTCAATGAGCTCGTTGGACGCATCAACGGCAAATTCGGTAAGTCTTGCCATCTGGGCCATCTGAGTAGTGACCACTGACCTTTTTGAAGGTACCATTGAGTTCATGCCGATCCATTTCATGCACAAGTCCGTTAATTTCGATGAGTTGATCGCCTTGTACGCCGTCTCAGATGTCTGTCTAGTTTCTTCAACACGGGACGGCATGAATCTGGTTTCCTTCGAATACATCGCTAGTCAGGAGAAACGTAACGGAGTCCTCGTACTCTCCGAATTTGCCGGCGCTGCACAGAGCCTCAACGGTAGCATCCTTGTCAACCCATGGAACACAGAGGAATTGGCAGGCGCAATTCAAGAAGCCGTGACCATGAGCCCAGAGCACCGTGCTATCAACTACGCCAAGTTACATAAATACGTTTCAAAGTACACCAGGTGAGTCAATCCAATTGTGTGTGGTTGAGCAGGAGCTGACATGAAGTGAAAGTGCATTCTGGGGCCAATCATTCGTTGCAGAGCTGACGAGAATATCTGCACAAGGAGAGCGCAAGCTGAAATTACGTCGTGCCTCTTTGATCAAACAGCAGCCACCCACACTTCCTGAAACCCAGGAGCCGGACCTCGAGAAGTTGAGGCTGAATGACAGTAAAGAGGCGGGGGATGTGAAAGAACCAGAACGGGCTGAAAACCGTTCACAGACTTCGTGAGCGGCCCACTCACTCACTGCTTGGGCACGGTAGATGCTCTGTGCTCCCGGGTCATTGTGAGATGTGAGGCTCAATTCCCACCTCGCTTCATTTGGTCCGAATCCGAATAGCCGCGAGACCGCCACGGACAGCTCCCTGAACAAGTGTCTTGAACAAGCATGGAGGGACAGTTCTCACCATAACCGGTCTCAGCAGACACTGACTGGGAATTCTATTCTCGTGACTGGCCCGCATGTCGCTGGATGGTATGGTATGGTATGATATGGGCCACCGACCTTGATCGAGTCCTCGACTCAAGTCATGTTTAAATTAAATAGACTTTCTTCACCAGCAATGCATGCATATTTGCTTCTCCTATCCATACCACGAAAGCATAGCTAGTAGAATAACTTCTCCTTTGGACCATTCAAAGAAGGACGAGACACAAAATGGATTCGGTATATGTTACAGAGGGTACAGAAGGTATACGTATAAACTAGGTATCGATCCTTTCTCTTATCAAACACCACAATCCAGTCCGTCGCGAACCTCGGTGCCAAAGCCTCTTCATACACAACCCTAGAGCCATATCAAAGCGCCCTCATTGTTTTAGGTGCATGAATGCTTCCTCACTCCAACACCCACTACCACCGCCACGAGTGTGCCCCACCCCCCCGACTCGATTCAATTCTTGATCTGTGAGTAGTACATCTGTGCCTCTCGTCCCTTGCCCCGTCCCTCAAGTTTTCTCTGTTGAAGCATTCACGCGCCGACTGAAACCCAACCCTGGACCCGGACCCGGACCTGGACAATTCCTAAAGGAGAGCGGAGGGCGCACAGCAAACATAGACATGTAGCGGTAGTCACAGGCAGCCTCAGCGCGAGAGAGAGAGCCACTAAAGGAGGAGGGCCCGACGAAGGGTATGGTTCCTAAACAGCGGCGGCGGATGGGGCGCGAGGAGCGTCGGTGCGGCGGACGAGCTGATCGGCAATCTCAGTGATATCAGGAACGACCCTGGCCCAGAGCCTGTCGGCCATTGTGCGACCAAACGGCGTCAGGACGTCGACCACGGTGGAGTTGACCTTCCCTTTCACATCCACGGCCCGTCCTTTCTCAAGCCGGTCCTTCACGATGCTGGGCGGGAACCCAGCCACATAGGACACGACGTCACCCTCGACCAGCAGCTCGTCCGGATCGTGCACCAGCGCGTGCGATGCCCGCGTGTAGTGCTTTTGCAGATGCGCGTCCCACACCTGCACGTTGCGGCTCACGCGGACGGTCTTGCGCATTGTCCCCGTCCGTGTCACGGTGCCGACCAGCTTGGAGCTCTTCTCGACGAATGCTTTGTCCTCGCCTTTCCATGCTCGGTATCTGTAGTCGGCGGAATCGGGCTGTAGGTTCTTGGGGTGATGGTCCTCCATTCTCCTGCGCTTGGATCCGAGAGCCTCTCCTCGCCGTTGGAGGGCTGTGTGGCTTCTGTCCTGGAGCGGTGCCGCTGTTGCGGTTGTGGTTTCTGCACTGGCACCTTGCTGCTGGGAAGAAGATATCATTGGTGCCTCTTCTTCGGTCTTCGCTTGCGAGGCGCCGGTGGAGGTCGCGGGATGAGAGGCATGTTCGGCCGTTTCGTTGCTGCTGGGCCGGAGTCTTTCTTCGCCCGGATTGTTCCACGCGGCACTGCTTGTCGAGAAGACGCGCGTGCGACGCTCAAGTGCCGCCTGCCTCTGGCATCGGCGTAGTTGTCGTTCCGTGCTGAATGGAGCTCTTGTGGTTGACGCAGCTGATGATCGAAGGACTACTGTGCGTGTTGATTGGGCTCGACAAGCACGCAGGAAGCTGGGTGCTGAAGAGGAATTCATCCTGAGTAAATCCGGTTGTTGAGGGAGACGATAGTAAGATCTGCCTTGAGCTGCTAGATTACAATCAGTGGTTGTCGAGTGAGTGCTCAAGCTGTTTCGGTCTCAAGAAAATGTGAAGTTCGACTTGAGGTGCAGCTAGCGATTCTCCAAAAATCATCGGGCGATTTAAGTGAGCGGCAAAACTCCACCCGACCGATTGTTATGTATTATCCGCATGCTACAGCTTAAGGCCCCTGATTGCCCAGCAGCCTTGAACTCGAATACAGTATGAGTGCGGAGTACAGAATCACTACAAGTGATTCCGAGACTATAACGCAATCGCTGCTCTTCGCTAGTTATTCATGGTATCTATTACTGAGGTTTCCCAACCGTGGCCTTTGCATTGAGTACCTATTCTACAGTGTGCTTTTTACCTCTCGGATTTGCATGGTTCCTTCTTACCGTTCAAATCGGTGTCTCTCTACCTCAGAACGCCATTGCTATTCCATGTATGAGATGTCATGCCACCTGGTTGTTGAGAATGATGCTCATGATGCCCACACATCCTTGCCCACGCCTTCTATCCAATGGCCCAGATCATTCACATTGCTGTCCCATTCCTTTAGTCGGAGCCGCATTCCCTCGATTTGACTGCGTTCGAGAACCTTGGGTTGAACCCAGTTGATCCGTGCAATTCCTGCCACCTGATCAATCTTTCCGCGCAGCAATCCTAGACTTAACGCCTTCATGATCAAATGCTCAATCTCATCCGGCTTGACATTGGTCTCTTGGCTGATGGTCTTGAAGGTCATGGCACGATCATGAGGTGGTCGCTTGAAGACCAATTCCGTCAGGGCGGCAAGGTTGATCTTCTGCCATAGGAAAGTTCGATGCGTACTGAGTGTCTCGTCTTTGCTTAGGCTGTTTGACATGCGATCAAACGCAGCTAGATCTCCGCGGTTGAAAGCAAAAAGGAGCTCTCGCAGCCAGGATTGTGAGTGCGGAGGCTTGAGGACGTCAAGGATAGGGTGTAAAAGCAATTCCCCAAAATTGTAGATCGAGTCGGAAACAAGGGCAGCGATGGCTAGGTCATAAGCTCGGTGTTGCTGCTCCATCGAAGATAGTTCGGATTCCTCTATACAAGCAAGGTAAAGGAGGGAATTTCGGTAGTATGCAGTGTAGTCGCCCTTGGCCTGGAAGTAGTCGGCATTGACCCGATAGAAGGCGGCATGGACGACATTCTCCACGAAGTCGAACTGTTCCAGTGTCTTCTGCGCCTTATCTAGTTGCTCCTTCGCCTTTGGCGCTTCGTCTAGTCTTAGATAGACGCTGGCGAGTTCTGTAATGGCATAAACATGCGCATCTTCAGAATCGGGCTGTTCTACTCGCGTAGCGAGGGTCTTGAGAAATTGACTTCTCTCCGAATCATCTAGAACAATCTCAGTGACAAGCAGCACATAAACAGAGCGGCTTAGCTTACCTTTGATCTGTGCGGAAGCACTCAAGGCGAGTTTGACAAGTTTGAGCTGGTTGATCTTGTCGGCGAAACTAATGATGAAAGTATTGTAGATGGGTAGTCTCTGGGCAGTGCTCTCAGGATTCTGGAAGTATTCGAGCAACTGATCAGTCAGCTGATGCCATAATTTCCGCTCCCACAGGTCTTCGAAGGTGAGGAAGATGTGTTGGAGATCCGCAGGTGCTTCGTCTCTCTGATCTGTAAGGAAATTGGAGATTGCTTCTGGATCATGTTGTTTTGCCATGGTGGGGGGGACGTTGCTTGGATGGTCAAGTTATTGCAAAGGCCTTTGTTCAAGGAGAAGTGCGAGACAGGCGGAGGAAGGAGAAGAAGGATGTGGTGTTGCACTTGAAGGGTTGGTGGTGAAAAGCGGTTTGTGATATTGGGAGTCACTGGAGTGACGCGCCTGCGCTCAGCCTGGCTGTAGTCGGTGGTCGGTGGTCGGTGGTCGTGCCTGCACCTCCAAAGAATTCAACACCCGAGTTCCAGTGCCAAGCCACGTACTGAGGAGCTTCTGCTCCCGCAACGTCGACTTCACTGACCTCCTCGCCGACAACAGATCAACTACCCTACGAAGCTTCTACAGGTCTACAGGCAAAGATTACACGGATCCCTTCGCCTGTGGAGGCTGCCGGGGAACTGCATTCACGATGCAGACCTGTCAACCCACCACCCTCGCTCTCCGAGCAGCACGAACTGCCCGACCAAAAACCTTTCAACGTCGAAGCCTCCAAGATATTGCTATTACAAGAACTGGAAAACCGATTATTCGGTCACAGGGAGGAAGGTCATCCTTGGGAGGTCACACAGCCACCGTTTTTGGCGCCAATGGTTTTCTCGGTCGATATATTGTTAATCGCCTTGCGAAGAGGGGGGTACAAGTCGTGATACCTTACCGAGATGATATGGGTAAACGACATCTCAAGGTCTCGGGCGACCTTGGGAGAATCAGCTTCATCGAATTCGACCTCCGCAATACCCAGTCTATTGAAGAGAGTGTTCGTCACTCTGACATGGTCTTCAACCTGATCGGTCGCGACTATCCCACCAAGAATTTTAGTCTTTCTGATGTCAATGTTGAGGGCGTTGAGAGGATTGCTGAAGCTGTCGCCAAGTACGACATTGATCGTTTCATCCATCTTTCTTCATATAACGCAGACATCAATTCCCCTTCCGAGTTCTACAGGACAAAGGTATACTTAGGCATAGTTCGTCGTTGAACAAGTGTTGACTAGTTCCCAGGCACGAGGAGAGCAGGTTGCAAGACAGCTGTTCCCCGAAACAACCATTGTCCGCCCAGCACCACTCTTTGGCTTCGAAGATAATCTGTTACATCGCCTGGCCGGTGTGACTAATTTCCTGACCTCCAACAACATGCAAGAACGATTCAATCCTGTCCATGTTAGTAGTTTAAGCATAGCCTTGACTCTCCTCTGACTTTTCTTCCAGGCTATCGATGTAGGTGAAGCTCTCGAGAAAATTGGTTATGACGACACAACTGCTGGAGAGACATTCGAGCTTTATGGCCCGACAAACTATAGCATGGCGGAAATCGCACAGATCGTCGATAAGGAGATTCTAAAGCACCGTCGCCACATTAACCTCCCAAAGAGCCTGTTGAAGCCGGTCCTCTTCTATCTCAACAAGGTGCTTTGGTGGCCCATCCTGTCAGCAGATCAAGTCGAGCGCGAATCTCTTGACCAAGTGATTGACAAGTCGGCGAAGACTTTTAAAGATCTTGGTATCCAGCCAGCAGAGCTAAGCGAACTGACGTATCACTACCTGCAGGATTATCGAAGCAGCAGTTACTACGATCTTCCCCCAGCTACGGCAAGGGAGAAGAGGGAGGCGAGGAAATATTTGCATGTTATCGATGATCAGTAAACTGTGTTTTTAGTGATCCAATTGCACTACAAGACATTCTCGAAGAATGCCTCTAAGACAACAGGCTAAAGATATAGGCCTGGCACTTGTACATATTCGCTATTGAGGAGGAAGGCTGCCGGACGGTGTTTCAGCGAAAGCTTTACCAACAAGAAAATAAAATTCCATCAAGACCACCTTCGATAAACCGAAACCTCGCCTAAAAGGGTTATTGTCTTGCATTGTATAATTCCGTTTTAGCCGTGAGATTTCTATATCTTTGCCCGTAGAAAGTCAAAAAAAAAGGAAGTCGGATGCTCGGTGGTGCCTACGTCAGGTTTGGGTCTACTCAGGTAGGTTCACCCGAGATCTTTTTGTGCTTAGACACACCATACACTGAGTCTACTGGTACAGCAATAACATATAGCTGAGGCTGTAGAGCTCAGCGAGGATACACAGGATCCACATAACATCACGTGATCGGAATCGGTCAGATTGATCAGGTTATATAATTATTGCACTTATTTTGGCTCAAAATTATGGCACAAATTCCTATGGGATAGCGCGGTCAATTTGGCCGAGTGGTTAAGGCGTATGACTTGAATATCGATAAATCTACACGTAGATTTTATTGTTCATGGTTATCATATCTCTTCGGAGGCACAGGTTCGAACCCTGTAGTTGACGTCGTGTCTCTTTTTAATTTTCTATTTTTAGTTTGCTTTGCGGGAGAGGAAGAGGCTACAACTTTCTATATATAAGCATCAGGGCCTATCATGCAATTACTCCGCAGTAAGGGACTGTGAAAAGAAATGGGAGTATATTATTCTATGTTCGCTGTGAGTGGTGAACATAAGAAATCCATATTAAGCGATTTGGTGTCATATGTTTGGTAAGGTTTCGACTAAGCCCTTTGGCACGTCCAGCAATGAGCCACCTTCATCTCTATGAGCGGCAGATGCTCGCCGTTGTAGTTCGCTATTCGTCTCTTTCATCACAATGAGCGTGAATGGAACGATCGAGACGATCAGCCTTCGTTAGGGTCTGGCAGAGAAAGGGAGCTGCATGGAGGTGTGCATAAGGATGCGCTGCCTAGGAGTGCAACAACTGGCCCCGCTATGCTTCCTATGCTGAAAACATTCTGCCATTGGCTCGCCAGGTGTGATGCTTTGGCAGCAGGTCTTGGGTCAGAGTCGCCGAGAGGAATGCTCTGTTCTCAGAGTTCGGCGTTCGCTGGAGCCAGCAAAGCTGACAATGGGGATGGGAGAAGAAGAGCCGGGACTGCGATGTATGAGAGAGCCAAATTTCCTCCCACGAATGCCCCGCAGAAACCCAGGCCCAGGGCACTAGCCAAATTGAAGCCTGCCGACCTCATGGTCCCGTGTCATCTACTATCTAATGAGGAAGGCCATCGATATCTGGAACACTATGCATTTGTTTGAGAGAAGCTTCGGGTGTACGTGGGGTCGGCGCAGTGTATACCGCTCAGGTGTACCATATTTTCTGGGTCAAGAGTGTCAGTGCGTCTTGCGGTTTTCTTTGGGCTCCGTGCTGGAAATCAATAACCAGCAGGATTAGCTTCACTGGAACGGCCAGATTTGGAACATTCTCACATGGCTGTTCAGCGACACCTTCTCTTTAGTTGACGGCCGTAGGACTGATGAAGTGTGGTGGAACGATAGAAATGCACAAGCTGACCCTTCCTGCGCAAAAGTCTACTTACTTCAGAACCAGGCATTTGCAGTACAATGATGTAGTACCTAGGTATCTTAGTGCGAATACTTGTGACGTACTGTTGTTTTCAAACGCAGAGTTGTAGACAAGACGTTGCAGGGCTCAGCCGCTTCTTGTGTTGAGGAACTTGGGAAGCAACAAAGGTTTCCGAGGAGAGCACTCCGTAGTAGTATGCTGTGATAGCAAGGTTCCCTTCCTCTCGCTGAATTACCCGAAAGTGGCAGCATGGTTCCATCTAGAGAAACTCAATTTCTCAAAACTGATGTCCTAACCCGAGCCGCATGGGGTGGCACAGCCCATGCGATGAAGTATTGGCTTATTACATCTAGATTCGCGAGGCCGGTGCATGCCATAGCCGCACACGATCTACCCGAAATCAATATGCCGCTGAAAGCGCGCACCACTGCAACACTTTGGCCCATGCCCTGGCAATCCTGTTTATACTGTGCTAGACGGTGGGAGTCTCACTCACCAGATTGGCTACATAACTAGTTGAGAGCTCCTACTAGGTTCAATGTCTCGTCCAGCTCAGTCGCTGCAAGACAGTCCTCTCCACACAATCATCACACACACCAACCGATAGACGGTCACTTGCCATCTTCCAACATGCTTCTCTCAGGCTTCGAAATTCTCGCCATTCTCGAATTGATCATCTTCACCCCTGCGTTGTTCGCATCCATAGTTGTTGTGTACAATCATGGCCACCAGAAGCAACTCGGATGGCGATTCCTGGTCATGATCTGTCTCTTTCGTATTATCGGAGCGTCGACAGTTCTCGCCTCAGTCCATCATCCATCCTCAGGTCTCACTATTACTTACGATGTTATGAACAGCTTCGGCTTGTCTGCTGTCATTTATACTGCCTTGGGCCTTTTGTCGCGAGTTCAAAGTGGCCTGGACCATCACGGGCTGCCAGCTGCGCTGTTTCGACTGCTTGGTCTTCCCGGTCTTGCTGGTCTCATCCTGTGTATTATTGGAAGCGTCAACATATTCAGCAACGACCCATCGGACCAAGGTGAAGGCCTGACATATTACCGTGTGGCCATGATTCTATTCCTGGTTGTCTTCATCGCGGATGTCTTGATCACCATCCACTGCTTCATGAAAATTTCACACGTTCAACAGAGGGACCGACGAATCCTATATGCAGTCACCGCTTCGATCGTTTTCATGGCATTGAGAACATGCTTCAGCTTGCTTTGTGCATTCGCGAACAATCCAACATTGTTCAGCTCCTGGAGTTTGGAATGGGAGGCAATCTTGGTTCACGGCTGCTTAGGTGTTTTGATGGAAGCCATCGTTGTCGGAATCTTCCTCTGGGCTGGTTTTACAACCGCCGCGGCCGCAAGACCTGCATCTCCTCGACGCAAAGTTGGACCCGCCGTCTATCACGAGGACCTTGAAGATGCCAAACAGGGGCCGTAGTGGTCATGAGGGGAGTGCATGTTGCTATCTGATTGACGGAGCCAGGTCCCAGCGAGGAGTTCATCGGGTCTTGGCTGTGAAAGCCACTTACAATTCATTTGATTTTTTCAATAGAAACCATTAGGACCAATTGTATATAAAAGGGAAATATACTGTACATTTTGATATGGCTAAGCGCTCAAGAGATCAGGCTGGCTGACAACTCAACATCCTAAGTTTCCCAACTACAATAAGCGTCACGTGATTGCAATCAATTCACGTGACAGGGCTGTGTTGACTCTTGATATACATTGCACATTTCTCAAGCATCTCGTTCGGCTTCAATTAATGTCGTTGCTTCAATATATTCGTCTCTTTTCCGTCTCAGAAGATGCGATGCTGACAACTCCCATGCTTGAACGTTGGTGGGATGCTTCGGCTGCCCACATGTCTGAACAGGGAAAGTGGCCCGACGCTGATTGGCTAGCCTGCCACAGGACACAGTGCTTGGATCCCTCCACAAATTGTTACCTTGGTCATAGTTAAAGACCACTTGTTATCAGAGCAGCCATCCCAAATAATCAAAGCTGCCTGTCATTCAACTGTCTCAGTGGGAGGAATCGTGTTTTCAAAACTTCTCAGCAATCGGCATGGACATTGTCTGTCCCATAGTCCACCTGTAACCTCGCCCACACAAACGACTCTCTCATTCCTCCGCACCGCTCTGTTCCTTGAATCCCCCCTCTCACAACCCGCATCGTCTGTATTCGGTGTGAACGAACCCAGTCGACGTGATCATCTGGAGTTTGTCCATCATGTCGCAACAATATCCTACTCCCGGGCAAGGAGGATATGGCCAACAACCTCCTGCGCAACCCTATCAGAATTACGAGCAGACACCTCCGCCAGCAGGAGACGCTCTGCCAGCCGCCGCCGCCGCTGCTCAGGGTGGCCGGAAGAAACGTGCGTACGCTGGACAGGCATATGAATTTGGCGCAGGAGCCAATTCTGGTCTAGGGGGCCAACCGCAAGCTGGAGGTGCCTATCCTGGATTTTCCAGTCAACAAGACGCTGCGGGATACCCCCAGGGTGGCTATCAGCAGAATCCTGCGGCCGTACAGGAAAATGCCACACCAATGTACCCAGGCCAGGAACCTGCAGGGGGAGGATATCAACCACCAGGCGCAAGTTACCCTGCACCTGGAGGGGTTAGTGGCGTAGGTGGAGTTACCCAGCAGTTTGGTCAAATGGACCTCTCCCAGAAACCTGTCCCTGCTGCACCACCGGCACAACAACAGCAGCGTGCACCTGTTCTGAATCAGTTGTACCCAACGGATTTGTCTAACCAGCCTCTGAATGTTGCAGAATTGGACTATCCTCCCCCACCGGCAATTATCCCAGCTAATGTATGTCACATCCCTCTAGACCCCGAACCGAGTACTGACCTTTGATAGACAAGCGTAACTCCGTCGCCCTATGCCAATTGCCCTCCAAAATATGTTCGATCTACCTTGAACGCCGTGCCCACGACTCATTCTCTTCTCAAAAAGTCAAAGCTCCCGTTCGCACTAGTCATTCAACCTTATACATCCTTGCATGATGTGGAGGATCCAGTTCCGGTCGTGCCAGATCAAGTCATCTCCCGTTGCAGAAGATGTCGATCCTACATCAATCCTTTTGTCACGTTCCTCGACCACGGTCATCGATGGCGGTGCAATATGTGTAATCTCACAAATGACGTTCCACAGGCATTTGACTGGGATGCGGCAACACAGAAAAGTCTTGACCGTTGGCAAAGACCTGATCTCAATCACGCCGTGGTGGAATTTATCGCTCCTCAGGAATACATGGTCCGGCCCCCACAACCACTGGTGTACCTTTTCTTGCTGGACGTAAGCTACGCTGCCGTGACCAGTGGATTGCTTGCAACCACGGCCCGCTGTATCCGAGAAAGCTTGGACAGAATACCTAACGCAGACCGCCGTACGCGACTCGGATTCATTGCGGTCGACTCAAGCCTTCACTTCTTCAATATTCCCCGAGATGGCACTGAAAATGCGCAGACCAGCATGTTGGTTGTTAGTGATCTTGAAGAAGCATTCTTACCTACTCCAGCGGACTTGCTTGTCACCCTCTCTGAATGCCGGGAGAACATTGAGAGCTTCCTCGACAAGCTCCAGGAAATGTTCCAGAACACCCAAAATGGAGCATCTGCTATGGGTTCGGCACTTCGAGCTGGTCACAAATTGATCGGGCCGGTTGGCGGCAAGATGACTGTTGTGACCGCGTCACTTCCTAATATTGGCCACGGCAAATTGGACATGCGTGAGGACAAAAAGCTGCTTGGGACTTCAAAGGAAAGCAGCCTGTTACAAACCGGTAACAGTTTCTACAAGAGCTTTGCCGTTGAATGTTCTAAACAGCAGATCTCGGTCGACATGTTCCTATTCTCATCCCAATACCAGGATGTGGCGTCCCTGAGCAATCTTCCGAGATATACTGGCGGTCAGACGTACTTTTACCCTGGTTGGAACGCGGCACGAGAGGACGATGCCATGAAATTTGCCAAAGAGTTCTCCGACTATCTGTCTTCTGAGATCGGCCTCGAAGCCGTCCTCCGTGTCCGAGCCACAACGGGTCTGAGAATGAGCACATTCTATGGCAACTTTTTCAACCGTAGCTCCGACTTATGCGCCTTTCCAGCGTTCCCCAGAGATCAAGCATATGTTGTCGAGGTCGCCATTGATGAGACCATCACCAAGCCGGTGGTCTGCATGCAGGCTGCAGTTCTACACACCACGTGCAATGGTGAGCGACGAATCCGAGTCATGACGCTGGCCCTGCCTACCACCCAACAATTGGCCGACGTCTATGCATCGGCCGATCAGCAAGCCATCACAACATACTACAGCCACAAGGCTGTCGAACGATCTCTCAACGGTGGGCTTGAGAGTGCTCGTGACCTGGTGCAGGGCAAGTTGGTTGAGCTTCTTGCAACATACAAGAAAGAACTCGCTGGCGGTAGCATGGGTGGTGGTGGTCTTCAGTTCCCTGCCAACCTTCGAGCCCTGCCTGTGTTGTTCCTTGCGGTCACCAAGAACCTCGGACTGAGGAAATCATCTCAAATTCCAAGTGACATGAGGTCCGCAGCATTATGCCTTTTGTCAACCTTGCCGCTTCCATTACTCATCCAGTACATCTATCCCAAGCTGTTTTCTCTCCATGACATGCCAGATGATGCAGGCACTGTCGATGAAAAGACCGGGGAAATTATCCTCCCGCCGCCGTTGAATTTGTCCTCGGAAAGAATCGCACCTTACGGACTGTATCTGATTGACGACGGGCAGACACAGTTCCTGTGGGTTGGTCGAGATGCTGTACCCCAATTGGTAATGGATGTGTTTGGACTACCTGACAAAAGTCAACTGAAAGTAGGAAAACAACGCGTACCTGAGCTGGACAATGATTTTAATGAAAGGGTACGAGCTGTCATCTCCAAGAGCCGAGATCATCGCGCCAAAGGGGTTGGCAGTATCATTGTGCCCCATCTGTATGTGGTTAAGGAGGACGGCGAGCCGGGACTGAGGTTGTGGGCACAAACGATGCTTGTGGAAGATCGAGCAGACCAAGGAGTCAGTCTTCAACAGTGGATGGGAATGCTCCGCGAGAAGGTACAGTGATGACAATATTTGAGATGTCAGGGCGTGAGCGGCTAACAAGTACGACCAGGTCATGCAATAGTCCAGATAGACGAATACAAACAGAAGATCCCGCCGCTGAAAAGGCTGCCAAATGCTCCTAGCACTAGCATAGTACTCCGTGATGAAGATAACTTGAGACGCTTTGAGGCTCAGTCACTGGCTCAGTCGGCTGGCAGAAGTAGCCATGCTGGACAGGAAAGGAAGGCTGACTCGAAGCGGATCCTCCGTACAAGGTACTCCGTCCTTGTACGGAGTGCTCGTCGATGGATGGTCCTGAGCTATTTCGGTGTTGTAGGTCTGCGACACGAGCAGATGAAACACTGATCCGACCTGTGGAAGAGTGTTCTGGAGTTGAGGCAGTGGCCGCAGGGTGGTCAGGGCCAGTCTGGATACAGCAAGGGGCCAGGCCACGCCCTGCTTAGCGTGGCCTTGGGCTGTCCAGGTGGTGGATAGGCTTGCCCCTAGCCTCCCTCGGCCCTGCTAGCTCCACCCATAAAGCGCCTATCCAGCCAAACGCCCTCGTCAGACACACTCCATCGACCTCCATATCACCTCTGCACAATGTGAAGTTCTGATAGTTGGCATTCTTCGACCTTTGGTGTGCCTCGTTCGGTCTGCATCTGTTCCGTCAATCCTCTCTCTCGTTCCCCAATTCCTCCATTGCATCCATTCCTTTGAGATCAATAGTAGTAGTAGCATCAGCAGCGCTACGGAGTACTATTACAATCACTACACCCACCGCCGGGACTGCCTGTTTCTCCTACCGAAGGACTAACGACTTACTACTTAGAGCTCGTCTCTACCGACCTCATTGTTGATCGTCGAGTGCACTACCTTAACCCTCCCCCCAAGGCCTTGTGAGCTTCCCGCTGCCTGCAGCCTCCAGCCTACATCCGTCCGCACTGCGCACTCAATAATTACCCCACCAACCTACTCCGTGCATCTACTGCCAACACCAACAACACCAGTGACTACTCGATCTACGCTGCACTGGCATTTGCACTTGTACTTGCGATACAGTTCCCCTCAGTGGACCACATTACCATTCTTTGCCTCCCATTCTTCTCTTACCGCCTCAATTCCATTACATCTCGCAGGCGAGCAAAGGGACCGCTTTATTCATGTAAGGCTCTTGCAATCTCTTGTCACACCTCCTAGACAAAGAATGCAACCGTCCGCAAACATCCTGACACTAATCCATCTCCCAGTCATTGGACAGAATTCCTGATTGCTCTTGCCTCCTGAATCTCTCTCCAAATTCCCAACCCACCTAGACCGTCCATCAGCGAAGTCCGATTACCCCTAGGTCTTCCTCGAGTTTTGCCCATCGCTCGCCAAACCAAGCGCAGGTTCCAGAGGAACGGGGTTTGCTCGAATTTGTTGCCAATACATTCACTGACAACCCCAATTTCACTGGGCTCGACCTTTTCCTCGCTCTTCTCGCTGCGACTACATTGTACTGCAAGCACTCGACTTGTTGGATATTACGGAGCCCCTGAACTACAGACACCCAGTTGGTGATCTGTATCGTCGACTTGGAATCCGCACAACACCGCCCGATTCGTACAATCTGTCTACACAATGGCTCAACAAGGCCAGGCATCTCAAACTGGAGGCTCGAGGAAGATTTCGTTCAATGTCTCGGACCAGTATGATATTCAGGATGTTATCGGTGAGGGCGCGTACGGAGTTGTTTGGTAAGATATCTTGTGCGCCAACACGGACACCGCTGACCTCAAGTGCACAGTTCTGCTTTGCACAAACCCTCAGGTCAGAAGGTTGCCATCAAGAAAATCACCCCATTCGATCACTCCATGTTTTGTTTGCGCACGTTACGAGAAATGAAGCTGCTACGATATTTCAATCACGAAAACATAATCTCCATTCTCGACATTCAAAAGCCACGAAACTACGAAACTTTCACCGAAGTCTACCTCATCCAAGTAAGTCAAGCGAGAATCGCCCTCAGAGCCGGGGACTGATCCGCTCTTTACAGGAATTGATGGAAACCGATATGCACCGTGTTATCAGAACGCAGGATCTCTCCGACGACCATTGCCAATACTTCATTTACCAGACTCTCCGAGCTCTGAAGGCTATGCATTCAGCAAATGTTCTGCACCGAGATTTGAAACCTTCCAATCTGCTTCTGAATGCCAACTGCGACCTCAAAGTCTGCGATTTTGGTCTCGCTCGGTCAGCTGCTTCCACCGATGATAATTCAGGTTTCATGACCGAATATGTCGCCACAAGATGGTATCGGGCCCCAGAGATCATGTTGACCTTCAAAGAATACACCAAAGCCATCGACGTCTGGAGCGTGGGGTGCATTCTCGCAGAAATGTTGAGCGGCAAGCCTCTATTCCCTGGCAAAGACTGTGAGTGTCATCGCAACCAACATTTCCACGCATCTCTGACTAGAACTTAGATCACCATCAACTTACGCTGATTCTCGACGTTCTTGGAACACCTACTATGGAAGATTACTACGGTATCAAATCCCGTCGTGCCCGCGAGTATATTCGCTCTCTTCCTTTCAAGAAGAAGATCCCCTTGAAAGCACTTTTCCCGAAGACCTCCGATCTTGCACTGGATCTTCTCGAGAAACTTCTTGCATTCAACCCAGTCAAACGTATCACTGTGGAAGAGGCCTTGAAACACCCTTACCTTGAACCGTATCATGACCCGGACGATGAGCCAACGGCTGACCCTATTCCCGAGGAGTTTTTTGACTTCGATCGAAACAAAGATCAACTGAGCAAAGAAGAATTGAAGGCACTGATTTGGAATGAGATCATGAGATGATTCAGGACGATTGAAGCACATAGCTCGATGCAAATGTACGATCCATAAGTGAAAACTGTTCTCTCGATTGTCGCGGAATTCCGTTCTGCGGATGGTCACGGAACCAAAGAAAGTCGACGACAGTGGTATGTAAACTACGCAGAATCGCATCATCCTGTCGCCTGGCGACACCAATCCTGAAGTTGCGTTGTGCGTGGCCAGACCGGAGCTAGTTAGAGGCGAAGGCATGAATGTTCAATTCCGATGGCTCGTGAGCGGACGAGCATAGGGGTCATCAGATAAAACAACTCGCGAAATAGTTGCGGGAACAATGAATCAATTGAACTCACGGCGACTTCTTTTCTGCCCTGAATAAATGGTGAAGCTTGTGAGAACCACCAGCCGTTGGGTAATAACAGGATAAATCATTCGCATAGCACAGATAACCGTGAGAAAAGTGATTGGTAGCTTTTCAGATGGGTGTCAGAAACCACAGGCCAAGATTTGAGAAGTCGCAATTTTGTTGCATGGTCGACCAGTTATTTGTGCTACTACACTAGTAATCTCACGTCTTTTCGCGACTTGGGGGATGAGGAGGGAGTTAGACCAGCGCCACCCACTGTGCATCAGAATGTAGTGGTGCAAATATGCCAAGATATTCCTGTACTAACCCATATTGGATTATTCGCTAGGCATTTTTTACCCACACTGCGATTCTCTTGGAAGACAAACATCTTTCGACGACTTCCTATCAACCCTTTATTCCGACCGTACATTTGATTGCGAGACCGTCTAGTCTCTATCGTCGCAATCATGGGTGGTGTCACCGTTCGAGATGTCGATGTGAGTGCGAACCATGCCTCGAAATTCCCCACACAAACCTCGCACGTTTCCCTCCTCGCTGCCATGTCGAGCTCCGACGCACATTGGGAATCTGAGATCGACGAATGCGATATATCACAATATAGAGGACTCTACTGACATGCTGTGATAATTTAGGCGCAAAAATTCATCATTGCATACGCAGATTTCCTAAAGAGACAGGGCAAACTTCAAATCCCAGGTCAGATACCCTCGAACTCTTGACACAACTCTTCTGGCCTTCTTCTGAATGCCGCTCCCTCCGCGTTCGCTCGGCTACGACCCACACTGTGCGCAAAGATATCCAGAAACATTCTCGCTAACCCCTAAATCCAGGTTGGGTCGATACGGTCAAGACCTCCCACTCCAACGAACTCCCCCCACAATCCCCCGACTGGTTCTACGTAAGAGCTGCGGCCGTTGCCCGACACATCTACCTACGAAAGTCTGTTGGCGTTGGCCGTCTCCGAAAGGTCCATGGAAGCACCAAGAACCGCGGCTCGAGGCCCTCGCACCACGTGGATGCCTCCGGCTCCGTCGACCGCAAAGTTGTACAAGCCCTAGAGAAATTGGGGATTGTTGAAAAGCTTGAGGATGATGAGGAGGCTGGAAGCGGAAAGGGAGGACGACGAATCACCCAGGCCGGACAGCGTGACTTGGACCGAATCGCTCAGACGGCTGTGGAGGGCGACGAAGAATCTGATGATGAATAGACTTTCCCACTCCACAGTTTACGTGGCGTGTGTTCAAAGGATGTGAAAATCACTATCGTGCCAGACGGAAGGCGAGCCTACATTAAGGAGGCTAGAACTATCCTACCCTTCAAAAGCGGCATTTGCACCGTGGGAAGGAAAACCTGAGTCAGATGGCTGTTGGAGAAGGCGTGTGCCCTATCTACGGAGTTCTTTTGCACAGTCCTGGCAGAGGGGCTCAATGAAATCATTTCAAAATTGATTCTCGCTCTGTTTCCCAACAATTCCTTCTATCTAAGCCTCCTTCTGCTCTGCCACATCACTCGATACTAATGAGCTGGACAACAATCCAATTTTGGAGTCAGAGAAACGCGATGGCGATGACGCCACATCTTATGAACTTAGGAGTTCATCTGGCATCTCTTGACTAAACTTTTCCTACACTTTCTTGAAGCTCGAAAGAAGTACCTGGTCCTGCCACTTCAAGTACGCCCACGTGATCATAGCGTCCAATGGAAGCTGCCAAGGGGCGTTTCGGAATTCGCCGTTCATTTGAGGCTTGGCGAATCTGCCTTGCAGGAAGACTTGCCGCCTCTTCCTAGCTTGCAAGTTGGGAGCTCTCAGTATCAGGTCAGGAGCCCTTGACTCGTTTGACTCGTCTATCTACTGTGTATCAGCCTTGTGAGAGCCAATGCCGTCTTGCTTTTGACACTAGCACCGTCCACTAGTGAACAGTGTTTTAAGCCTTCGGCACAGGCTATCCTTTCTCTCCGACAGTACTGGTTGAGGCTGATTTCTATTGCACTGCCGAGCCAGGCGTCAATCACGAGGTGATCGGCTAGCGTTTTCGTTGCTGTGATAGCCATGGGCGGAATCAGGAAGAGAAGCCGTGGACACACGCCGACTCTGATATCTCTCTTCTTGACTTCATGAATCAGGCTGCAAGCATCGCAATGCCACAACATTGCTGTGCTAGGCACATTTGCGGATCAGTGACTCTGGGCGTACCTACAACAGTCATCCAAGGAACATGGGAAGCTCTTTGCCGGGAATGGGAAGAAGTTCTCCAACATACTACTAGCAAACTCCCGACTGTGCGTTTGCAATTGTCTCCCTAGTTCGAGGCAGTGTCACATGCAACTGCCTGCCGAGCCTTTCCCAATGCCCAATACCTCTATGGTCAGAATGCCAAAATCCGTATCTATCTTCCTTTTAATGTTACGAGAGCTCTTACTTGGTTTGAATTCTTTGGTAGTGCTCTCCTTGAGCGTTTTCTGTACTTATCAATGTCGGACGAAACTACTGTAACTGTGCGGCCCGAAGACCCTTTTGCTCCTCAGCCTTGGGAGGCCTTCAAGACAGGGTACAAGTTGTATGCTGGACACGACTGGCGCCAGGAAAAGATACCCGTTGAACTACAAACTGTTCCAGATGATGGCGAGTCGCTCGAGAAACTCAAGCAGATTATCGTATGGTCATTGGCACAGCTTCCACCACCCTCTGCCACTGAGATTCAGAACAAGGCCGAAGCAGACATCAACAAGTCGAGCACCAATAAATGTGGTGCAGGAAGTGATACTCCTACTGGCCAACTTCTCGTTCCAGACTTCACCAAAGTCGAGGATGTTGCCAGCTCGCTTACACCATCGCCAACTCGGATAGCGGAAAGACCATCAGCGCTGCAGAAGCGGAGGCCGAATGCGCGTCATTACAGCATCAGCCAAGGGTTGTTCGCCTCAACAATAGATCTGCTAGCAACTCTCAAACCAAAGCTCGATAAGGATTCCACAGCTCAAGATTCATTTAATGCGGAACCTCAAGTCGAATGTGTCAGCTGCTTTGAAGACTTTCAGGCTTCCGAGACACCAATACTTCCCTGCAGTCACCCATATTGTAAGACTTGTTTGAAAGAGCTAGTTTTAACGGCTCTTCAGACCGAATCTAGCTTTCCACCGAAATGCTGTCTCACCGAGATCCCATTACAAACTGTTTTGCTGCCGCTAAACAAGAAGCAAAGAGAGGTCTACAAAGAGACGGCTGCAGAATACGCTGTCCCAGCTGAGGATAGATGGTATTGCCCCAACACCAAGTGTTTGAAGTGGATACCTCCGAAAAGAACTTCACGTTTTATGACTGTCTCCCACCGATGCTCTCACTGCTCGACGAAAATTTGTGTTACATGTCGTGGCATAGCTCACCGGCGCTCGAGTGATTGCCCAGAAGATTACGGCCTCGAGGCCACTTTGTCTCTGGCCGAGATGCAGGGATGGCGCCGCTGTTTCAAGTGTCGTGCATTGGTCGAGGTACGTTGGTCGTCCCCATGTGCACCCATCTAGCTAAACTTTGCAGCGTACCGAAGGATGTCGGCATATGGCATGCAGATGCGGCTCTCAGTTTTGCTATTACTGTGGCTCCAAATGGAAGACGTGCAAGTGCACCGACTATGAGGGAACGCAACGGATTGCAGAACGAAGACGCCAGATAGAGCTGAGAGATGCGGTGGCGGCTGCAGAGGCCGAAGAAATTGCACGTGCTGTTGCCGAAATCGAAGCAATGGAACAACGCGAAGCAGAGAGACTCAGGGCTGAGAGACGTAGGGAAGAGGAGGAACTTCAGCGATTGGAGCAGCTGAGAGTGGAAGAAGAGGGGCGGAAGAAGGCCGAGAAGGAAGCAGAAGAAAAAGAGTATCGTCGAATGCTTCGAATCTCGGTCGATGAACAACTACAAGGACTACGGAAGGCGTTTAGCGAGCTGATGCGATCACAGCAACATGCACTCGATAACAAGCATTTGCTGGCGGAGCAGGCCCAAAAAAGAGCACATGAGGAATATACCGCTAAACAACAGAAAGATAGCTTAGATCTCGTCGCCAAAATGGAGGCCAACATAAAGAGGAGAACGGACAGCATGGGCGAAAAGCAGAAGTCAGAATTGAGGGCGTTTGAAAAGGAACAGGAACAGGCGGAAGACGACATGTTCCTTCAGATCCAGCTCCATCTTCAGGGCAAACCAAACAAAGAATTCCGAGAGCAGCGGCTGCGAGATGAACTCAACAAGCAACGGGAGCAGAAACTTGAGGCAATCAACAAACGATTCGGATCACAGACAGAGGCACTGAAACAGAATGCAGCTATGGAGTTGAACATCCTCAAACAGGCTTCTGAAAGGAGACTCGCAGAGATTGAAACCAGACATGACCGTGAGCTTCGAAGCCTGGCGGCTACTGTGACCACGGACCGTGCCTGGTTCTACTATTTAGTGGAACGACGTCAAAACATGATCTCGGCGAACAGCCGTCTGATGTTGGAGGCCGTCGACAGCAACCAGGAGGTCGTTGGTCTCACTGCAGACGGTGCCATGAAGATCGGGCCGTTTGCTATTCCAGAGCACTCACCGACATCCAGTGTTACAGAGTCGCCTTCGACCTCGTTCGTTGAGCTCGCAGCAGATTCTGAACGTCTCCTGAACACCCTACCTTCAGACGATGCTCTCGGTTCAGGGGTGGCCGGCCTTGTCTCCGTGAACCAGGCTTGGGATTTTATGACACTGGGCAGCGCCCTGGGGAGTACCAACTTCATTCCGAGTGGGACGACAGCCAGAAATCAGCAACGATCGGGCCTCGGTCGTCAGGCGTTTCCAACGGCGAGGTATGCAGCTTATCACGGTGACTACAGCATGTCAGGGGCACTGAGCCCGCTCGACGAGAAATCTGCATTGTCGCTGTCGTCTTATCGCGGCCACTCTCGACAGACTCTCAACGAAGCTCCTCCTCCCCCGGTGCCATCTATTCCTACACTCTACCTGCCTAATGAAGCACTACAAGCAGAACTCGCCGTGGGTCCAAATCCGCAAGCATTACAACCAAGCGAAGCGCCGCAGCCGCAGCCGCAGCCGCACTCAACACCCCAATCAACCATCGAGCCCAGGGGGCTACCTCAAGAAGATCACAAGTTCATTGTGATCCCCAGCCTAAGCGTGCACTCCCGACAGTCATCGTCCGATAGCTCCGGGAGCATGACAAACTACAGCAGTTCGACCTCCATGAGCAGCCTTGGCAGCGGCTCGGCAGCATTGACTGGCCATCAACAAATTAAAACTGGTTCTTCTTCTTCCGTGAAGCCTGCACTAGAGCACCAACGAAGTCGAATGTGGTCGTTCCGAAGCCTGGCTGGAAGGACCGCCAGTGATAAGTATACCGAGGAAGAAATTCGAGAGCGCATGAAGCGGACCGTGGGCGATGCTTTCGGCACGTAGTGGCTAGCTCAGGTCGGCTTGTGAGGATATACCGAGACACTTGTTGAGGGACGTCTTTGATATCTGTCGTGGGCCCGAGTTTTGGGTCAGAGCTGCATGTGGGTGGACTGAGTGAACCCGTAGTTCTTTCAAGGTTTAGAAATCCAGATAAACCCATCAAAGGTACTTTAGGTACCTGGGCAGATTAGAAACAAGTCCGTATATCTTACCTGTATAATGTTAACCTAGAGGAATCTATGTATCTAGGTCACCGCTGGTCTCATCAATTGTATGTATTCATTGCGTCGAATTTCGGCCCAGACTGTCGATTCATCGTCTCTGGAACCTGGGGCTTTTCTGTTTCGCCAGTGAGATAGAATCTGTCAATGAATCAATGTACCTAGGTACTTGATTAGCTGGCAGGGTGATATAGACTGCTGGTCCCGACACGGCCATAGAACCGTATTCGATGGCAGCTACGACGATGGAATGACTCGTAGTATGCACCACTCCACAAGCGTTTACACGCGTGCCTCCAGAAGGAGAGAAAAAGAGGTCGCATCCACACGTGGTTTTTTGTGCGCAACTTGTCAGCCTACCTAGTACCAGTGATCGCTGGCTGACCTGGTGCGACGTCAAAATGGAGAATACTGCTTGGAAGAGAATGCAGTGTTTCTCATGCCAGAGTATAGCAGAGGGTACACTTCATCTGGTGTGGTATGTGGAATCGGACAAGTGATGTTGGCGTTTCTGGGAGGGATGCTTCTGTCCGACCTGCGTTCAATTCATCCGGGGACATCATGTTTCTCTTACACAGAGCGCTGGCTACTGCATGCAAGACGGACTAGTTGTGATGGGTGGTCCTCAGATCATACTTCTGGACCTAGATCCCATCTCGATACACGTTGCCGGTTGCCAGAACGGGGTTGTCGGGTCTGCGGTCGGATGGCGCACGGCCTGCTGGGGGTGCAGTGAATGTTCCAGTCAGGACGGCAAGCACAGCCAATCGACATCTTGAATAGCTAGACAGGTCTTTTGGGACACTCACATTGTAACACATGGCGATAGACGCTGGGCACAATCCCCAAGACTCTTAGCCAAGGCTGAGAATTGGCAGATGGGATGCATATGACCGACTACTGCGACCCTGGCTGTCCTTCCTATAGTACTTGATTTGGTTACAGCGTGGACTATGTGATGCATGATGCGATAATCGGTGATTGGAAAATCGGATGCGACACCTGAAAGCCATGAAGGTGGATTTGGGTAGGCCCAAGGTGCTTGTCCGATGCATGATTATCGAGTCGCACCGGGCAACTGTCCCATTTGCGGTAGCTGAATGGCTTCCCAAGCCAAGATAGGTCCATGTGCACGGGGAAGGCATGGGCCATGCTGCGTTGAGTTGATAGAGCCAACAACTCGATTTGGGAAGAAGTCTGGGGTATGGGGGAGGCACAGGATCGCAGAGGTAACCCATCATTCTTGGCTGTGTAGTCAAGGGGTACCAGCATAGTCCGGATTTGGTGGTGCACTGGGGCCCGCTGCATCCAGCAGTGAGCATCTACATAGTGAGTCGATGGCTCGAGATCTTGCATGCATGTGCTCCGTATCCGTACCTCTTACCATTTCCTTGCGAAAGATCCGGGGGTAAAAGGGAAGTTGATGTTGAGTTGGCCACTCAGGTTGAAGACGTCGGAAGATACAACTGGTTTGTGGGGGAGCCAGCTACCAGTCCAGGCATAGCGCTTGGCTAAAGCAGCGCCTAAGTTGGCTAAGGAGCTTGTACCTGAAGCTTGTTTGGTAGGGCGCGAGGGCCTGGAGGCGAGATGTGGGCAGCTAGTGAACTATGTAATGTACGGTACGGAGTAGTTACGAGCTGAAGGTGCAATCCATCGGGAACTCGCTCCTCCATCCCCAACTCTATACTCCGTCTTGCGTACGGTATCTCTGTATTCCGTACAGTCTCTGGGGAGCGAACCTGGAAGCCCCCTCCGTCGCTCCTCTCTCAAGCAAAGACTTGATGGCTGGACCCCGCTCGACAGCCTGGCAGCTCCCGAACGCTTGTACTCCATACCGAGTAGAAATATGGGGAACGCTCCGAGGTTGAAAATACCTGTATGCTTGGCGCGTAGCCCGCCCATTCCCAAAGATTACGATTATTCAATCTTTCAACCCCTGTCAAACGAGCCAGCGTCAAGCCGCGAGGTTTCAGAAAGATTCTCCCTCTCGTACGGAATGCGGAGTACTCACATTCGCATTGTTCCTCACCGCAAACTTGCTGGGTGCGCTCAGTCTTGCCACTGGTCCAACTCTCACACACCGCAACTGCTGTTCGTCGCCTGGCCATTGGGAAATCCTTTGGAAAGTCCGTGGATTCAACATGCATGCGCCGTCAGGCCAGCGCAGCCTGATGGATCCCGCCCCTCCTGACGACCGCCAGGTTTAGCAACGCTTTAGCCTTGTCCGACGCCCGACTGGCAAAATCTAACTAGGCCACTGCGGGTAGCTTGAGGGTCAACTTTGGTCTCCTTGCCTTGCTTTCATTCCCTCATCTGTCGAATCAAGGCTTTCAATTTGCGCCACGCAAATGCCCCTGATTGGTATCTTTCCCTGAGACCATTCTAACGTAAGCCAAACCCCGGGTTTGACAAGTTTTGTCGAAAAGTGAAAAGTTAACTCGAGTCAACTGTCAATCACAGACCTTGTCCGAACCTTGTCCGGCCTTAGATGGGGATTGGATTTTGATTGATTGAGAGGGAATCATCTCCCAGCCAGCCCAGTCCGCCTATGTACGGAGTACGGAGTACATGCATTCGCGAACCATATCTGGCCGTCTGGTTCCAATTGAGATCATGCATCTTTCACGCTGAAGTCGCGTAACCAAAAACTCGATGCTATTCGTCGTCAGCTGAGTACTTGCTCCCATGAGTGTTCTTAGGCCCACCTGTGCCGGGTTTCTCGTTGATCACGGCCTTGTAGAACGAACCCAAGGCGTTTTGTCAACTTCTAATTACAATTCTTTCGGGGTGGGCCACAGTTGAGTGCATTATTTGAACCGGCCCCTTTCCCTCCACCAGCTGTCACTGTTTCTTCCACAACCTGTTCCCCTTTCTTTTGGTGAGCACTTTCTTCCCTGGATCCTTCCAGTCCTTATTGTCCCTTCTAGCACTCTTCGTCGGTTTCTCTATAAATACAGGCAGGGCAAAGCAGATGGCGACCGACGCTCCCAATGGGGACAACAGTAACCTCAAACCTCCCACCGCTACTGCAAACTCCGTCTCCAGTGCAGAGGCAGTGGAAGGAGAGAAGACAGCTCCTCACACCGCTAGCATTGATCTCGAGCGCGTGGGTGAGACTCAAGGCTATGTCCTCGATGAAACTCAACTCCGAGAGAAACTCGGCCTCGCCCCAGATGTAATCTTAAGGAAGTCTAAGAAAGGTGTCGTCTTGATCCCTCAGCCAACCGAAAGTCCCGAAGACCCGTACAACTGGGGTCCAGTGAAGAAGACGCTCATCTTGCTTGTTCTCGCCGTGAATGCTTGCACTGCAGATTACTCTGCTGCCACAGGTGCCAGTGCGCTGATCCCTCAATCTATAGAATGGGGAATCACCCCTGATGAAGTCAACCATGCCACCGCTGGGTAAGTTATTGTCGACTCTACTTCCCGCTTTGGCCACGCTGACAGCCCCATGGAAATACTTTTATGCTTGGAATAGGTGGTCTTGCAACTGTGTGGCTCGGTGCATATTTCGGTCGCCTGCCTGTACTATTCTGGTTCAGCTGTCTATCTGCAGGAACTGCAGCCTGGTCGGCAGCAGCCAAGAGCTTTGAGTCATACATGGCATCCAGAATCTTGAATGGAATGTTCTGCGTTGCGGGCGCGGCAAGTGGACTCTCTTGGATTAACGATGTTTTCTTTTTCCACCAACGTCCTCGGAAAATCAACATTTGGTCAACTGCAATCATCCTCTCGCCATTCCTCGGTCCCCAGTTTATGGCTGCCATCATTAGTGTAGACTCCTGGAGGACCGGTATGTGGTTGAATTTCGGGATCATTTCCTTCGGAGTTGCTTTGATCATCCTCTTCGGGGACGAGACATTCTATCCACGTCATCTACCAAAGGAACAGATCCCACCCCGCAAGAATCGTTTGCTCAGAGTTGTGGGTGTCGAGCAAGCCCGAACCCACTATACCACAAACGGCTTTTTGGAGGCCGGAAGCCGCCTGGCATACACCATCTTCAAACTACCAGTGTTCTTGATCTGCTTTTTCTATTTCTTCGACTGTAGGTCCATATCATTCATGAGGCTGCGTTGAAATCTGCTGACTGTTTCCAGTCCCGTGGACCATCGCCAACAACACCACCATCTCTGTCCTGATCGTTCCGGCATACAACTTCACCTTCCGCAACCTGGCAGCTATTTACACGGCACCAGTTGTTGGCGCAGTCCTTGGACTTGTGGTGGGACATTTCCTGTTCGATTGGATTGGAAAACTGTATGCTAGACGCCATGGCGGGCGTCTTGAACCCGAAAACCGTTTGATCATCTTGTATCTGATCTTACCGCTGAAAATCATCGGATATAATCTGATCGGCGTGACGCTTCACAATGCTCGGACCTGGTCCTACTGGGTTCTTGCAGTGGGCTGGGCGATGCACAACTTCGCAACCATTGTGACTACAACAGCTGTCGGCGCTTATCTCCTCGATTCGTATCCAGAGGCTGGCGGTGAGTGTGCAGCATGGATCAACTTTTCACGTACACTTGGTGAGTACCTTCCTTCCATCTTCTTGAGTAGGGATCTTGCTAACACATTCCAATACCAGGCGGCTTTATCGTCGGATACATCCAACTCAACTGGGCAGCCAAAGCAGGTACTCAGACAGAGTACGGAATCCAAACCGGAATCATGGGTGGAGCTTTTCTCATTGTCATCTTCCTCCAATTCTTCGGCGCAAAGTTGAGACATGCTCAGGGACCGTTGAACTTCAGAACGAACTAGGTCTCTTTGGCGCGGTGCGTATGTCCGAGGGAGGATGATTTAGCCACTCATTTAGTGGGATATATAGGCGGAATGTTCGAGAGTTCATGATGCGTCTCATTGAGCTATACCATTGGATGTAGCATGTTGTAACAGGTCAAATCATACTTGACGCTGACCTCGCTAGGCTCATATAGTACTCCGTACGTCTGCCCTGAATATAATGAAAGACAGGACTGCAACTCAATTTGGTGAGGTGCTACTACTCGCACTCGAAAACTTGGGCGACGATCACTCGCTTTACTTTGAGAAAGTATTTGCCTGACTCGGCAACCGAAATACCTCTTCTCCATCATCTGTGAAATAGTTTCAATGAGTCGGTTTCCCTATCAAAGGGAGGAGGACCGGGTAAGCCCGCATAAACAGCACACAAATGCCTTCGTGGGGCTAGGCCTACCTCGGTAGCTAGTATCATCCCCGATGGTGGAGTGGCCAAGCTACTAACGGAGCTGACGAGGCTTAGAATAACTGCCTCGTTAAGAACCCCCATTAGATACGGCGCGAAGCAGGAGACCATTCAGCTTCAACGCGTAGACAGTGGCATAACAACGCCTGGATCAACAAGATTCTGTACATAACAGACACGCTCACGTGGCTTTTGAGACATCAGTTGACCAAAATCCAGCAAATCCATCCACTGTGAGGATGGTCTACAACCAGCACCTCAATCTGTGCTCTCAATTGTGAAACCCCAGAAAATACCACGACCCTATCATTCAATTGGGTATTCACATTCAGCTTGTTTACCTAGGCGGTAGCCGTAGACCTTTTCATTATCGACAACGGATAGCCTGCGAATTTGGTATTGAGAGTTGCACCAATCAGGGCAGTCCCAGGGCCCAGCGCGGTGGACGTGATGAAACACTTGCCAGCAACGCCTAACCCCCACAACACGGAATCGCGTATCACTGCAAGGCTTTGTTTGGAACAAGTCACAGACTTGGTGCGTCATGTCTGATACTGTTGGCGATCTCGACTTACCCATGGACCATGATCACCCGTGCGTGCGCTTGTTGGCTAAAGCAACGGCCTCTTCGCACACAAACGCCCAACCCCACCCCCTTTTTATATTCAACTGGCAATATAATGTAAATGCAACGGACTTCCTCTCAGAGACGAGATTGGAATACTGTGTCTCTCTCGGAGCATCTTGGGCTCCATCTAAGTTGATCAATTCGTTTCTTGAGTCCAAAACAAAAGCTTCTCCATGGACACGTCGGTGTCCAGGAAACAGCCATCACAACTTCTGAATTTCAAGATGAACATCTTCGCCAAAGGGCAATGTCCAAATGGCCGGCAGGGAATCTTTCAACAATTACACCTTCAACCGGCTCTCTCGCTGGCTTCAATCATCTGCAGGTATGGAAGGCCTCTGGGCATATCAAACTTGTCCGGGGTCGGCCTAACAATAGAACAAACAGAAATCTGCGCTCCATGTACAGCAAAGTAACACGCTCGTTTCTCCACCTTCTGAAGCAACACATACTCAGCAAATTTATCGTGCTAGCGCCCTATTATTCCCAGCGGTGGGTGGCTCCAGTGCATGGCCAAGACCGAGACCACGGTTCTGGCAGAGCGAGGGATGACGAACAAGTACCACTGTACAATTCAGTTGACTTTGTCTCGTTTGGAGGCGACCATATGGTCGAAGCCAACACAGATCTGCAACAGTGTGTTCGGGCGTCGCTGAGAGCAACACTGCCGCACTCGCGGTGGACCTGAGTGGACTAGTCGACGTCCTATGGTGACATTCTCGAAACTCCTCACAAGGACGTGATATGATAGTTCGTCACGCCACTCTTATCGGCATGCCGGTGCTGACGGTAAACAGTTGTACGTTCAAAGTCTAGGACGGATAGTGTGCATAATGAAAGAGAAGGGAAGTATCATTGAAGCAGGTACGGAAGTAGCCCTCCAGCTAAAGCCTCAAGTGCACAGGCATTGTGAAGGCCAAAGATACTTAGTTCGATTTAGTTAGTAAGACCGTCAACGGTCGGCGAATCCCTCTTGGACATCCAACAGATCATCCAGGTTCAATAAATCGTTGAAGCCAAATTCCATAGGCAATTCCTCCGCCTGTGCCAACATTTTGTCGGCTTCATTCTGCGGATCGCCGTTGACCAAGTAAGCACTTTCGACTTTTTCCATCAGTGGCGTCCTCATGCCCAGGGGAAAGGTGTCTAGGTGATCTGACAGAGGGGTAAACGAAATGTGCTGGTGCCGCTGCTGCATGAATTGGTGGTCTTCGACACTGGCTTGGCAGAGGCGGATCACCGAAGATTCAATTCGGTCAATGTCGAAATCGACAGTGTGGGAGAGTTCACTGATGAGCATCTGTGAAAAGAGAGAAATCACGTCAAAAATCTCCTCCACCTTATTGCTTGAGATTGGTGGGGTTCAGGCACCACGCCCACAGAGATACACTTACCTTTAAGACGAGTAAACCAGCAGAGGAGCAATTGTCGACGCATTTACAGGTGGCGATCAGCCTGATCCCGGCTGCAGCTCTTTGCCATGCCTCGCTAGGCTGTGAGGTACCATTGTGGGCAGCAATGAGGAAGATCAAACACATCACAGATAGAAGGATGGTGTAGACGGTTGTCCACGATCCAGGGTGGACCACGCCTCCTTGTTTGATCATTTCCTCCGATCGTAGAATCGTGGTCGACGCCAGCTTGATGCACGCGAGCGCATATTGCGACTGCGCCAGCGAGATCTTGCCTCCATCCGCCATGATTCGTAGGTAGTGCAGGAGCGGCCGGAACACGACGATCTGTGCGAATTTGTAGCTCATCTCGAGCTCATACTTGGCGCTGAAATCAGTTAGTACATACCAACTTAGGCAATATAGCTATCGAAAGAAATCGTGGCCAAACTCACATCGTATGCTTCTTGCTGTCGCCCAACTGTGCCAACAATGGGGATAGGCTTTCCTTCCAATCGCGAAGAGCTCTCTCGGCATCTTCGAAATGTTTGATATCAATAGACTCGGCAGGTTGGTCGGTGCTGTGCTCCTTTGAAAAGACCTGTTTCTGGCTCGACCGGGTAATCTCAAGGAGACTGAGATGTTTGAGGGTCACTGCCGTTTCGAAGTCACGCTCTTTCTCGCTCGTGGACATGAGGAGCGTGATGGGTGACAGGTCTACTGTGTCTCTCTGGATGAAAGGAGGAAGACCCAGAATGAGGCTCGCATATATGTCCAATCTGAGAACCGCGGCCAAAACTAAAGTTCTGGCTTTACGTTCATGTGCAGCTAGTTGGAGATCCTCATTCACGCCAGAGTGCAAGCCCAGGCGAAGAGCGGTGGAACAGGCTATGCCAATAAGTGGATGGGCTGAAGTGACTCGAGAAGTTGAGAATAAGAATACAATGGCGCAGAGGAGGCTTTGGAGGGACGTCAAATCATTATTGTAAGCGAACTCCATCATGCCATGGCCAGCGTGGAATTGTTTCGCCGCTTCTCCAAGGACGTTATGACAACCATCGTCTCGGTGGTACTGTAACTTGAACAAGTAGCCTAATGCGAAAGCAAAATGGAGAAGGGGGAGAAAACGATCCACTGCTGGGTTAGGCGAGGGGTTCAACTCATAAGTAAGATTTACCATCTCTAGGAAATCTTGCTCATGTAGAAATGTTAGCAGCGGGTGACATCTTGCAAACAGTGCTTCTACCAGCAAGAGCGCAGTGGTCCGCGAGGGCAGAGCTCTATTTTGCAATGAGTCCAGGTGCATCTGTGCAGGCATAGGGAGATCGAACAAACCAGCGACCACAGCAAACCTTTGGGGGTGTAGATTTGACTCGTGCTTCTGGAACATCTCAAGCGTTCGTAAGATAAAGGACAGTTCGGACGAGGCGCCGTAGAAGCTGGTGGCCCACGGAGCGGTCCTTATGATCCGGTCCCAACCTGTCATCATGCTGGCGAGACGAGGCTGATTCGGCCCATCTTCTGTGCCGCTCGTTGTTACGGGTGTCTCCGGTAATGTAAAGTCGATCATCCGCAGGACAGTCTCAAAGTTAATCCCTGGAGTTGGAGGGATTTTCGCTTGCAGGTCCTGTATGAAAGCGCGAGCAGCTTGGAGGTGATCCTCTAGCATACGAATTCTCTGCGTTGGAGGGGGGGCCGGCCTGCGGAATTGATAACGGCAAGCTTTGCATAGAATAAGCATCGGAATCAGAAAGTCTTAATCCATGGGATCGGAGAATTGATCCATACCAAGAGAATCTGTCTGGCAGGGAGCGCATGGCTGAGCACCGTCACATTTGCGTTTTCGTAAACGACATTCATCGCATGCCCACGGCGAGCGGCGGTGCGATTTCTTCTTCCGTATTGGACGACCGCTCAGGGAACTTCGTTCGTTGTCTCCCTTGTGGAGCATTTCAGAGCACTGGGGTTGGGGCACATTGAGGTTCACGGATCAAGCGGCGTAGAGCAGGTGAATGGTATGCCCGGTCACAAAAAAGGCAGACACCGTGATAAGTTAGATGCCTATGAAACACTGATACCCCGCGGAGCACTCTTATCAGTGTCGGTTCTTTGTATTTTGTTTTTTTCCATCACGATCTGACGTATGGTCGGCGTTCGGTTAAGACTCTGGAGAGTTTGGCATTGGCGTGCAGAACCAATGAGAAGCGGGCGGTAAGACGGAGGAGCCATAAACTTGGCATTGCCTATCGAAGCTTGGCGGCCAACCAGGCTAGTTGAGCCTTCCTCGTTTGATCATCCACTTAAACCCAACGCCAAGTTGATTGCTCCTTGTCGAAGGGCCCATCTCTGACTCGAGCACCAGGTCCTCGGGGTTCAGTCCGTTTCACACTCTCACGCAGAATGCCACCAGTATGTTCCACGGTGAGGAAGCTCGCCTTCCGCGCGGCAACGCAACAGCCTGGAGATGCTTGGCCCAACACGGTCTGTTACGCAAATGTACCGAGTACCAGGCCGACAAGACATGTGCATTGTATAGAGGGCTCAAGTGCTACCGTAGTGGAACTGCCTAGCAGGATGGTGCAGTGCGCCAAGGAGCCCCGGTCCCGCTCTTATGCGGAAGAGTTGCCACACCAAGACTGCGAAACGGATGCCTGGCCAGTCGCTGTGTCCGCCGATTACACCGGATAGAATTTTCGATCGTATATCAACTCAGCACTATGCTGCTCGTCTTTCAATGCCTTCCAGTCGACCTTCATTGAGAACATCAACACCCATGGAGAATCACGTTTCCGGCCAGGGGAACAAGCGTCTCACTCAGCCCGCGCATGCTCTTGAGAGACACAGTCTGGTTGAACAACTCAACGCCGATATTGAAAACGGTCTGACTTCAACAGAAGCACGCCAGAGATTGGAAGAATATGGCCGCAATGAGCTGGATGACGGGCCAGGCGTTCAGCCCTTTCAGATTCTCTTGCGACAAGTTGCCAATGCAATGATGCTAGTACTGATCATGGCAATGGTTGTCTCATTCGCAATCAAGTCCTGGATTGAAGGAGGCGTGATTACCGCGGTCATTGTGTTGAACATCGTTGTCGGCTTTTTCCAGGAATTCCAAGCCGAGAAGACTATGGACTCCCTGCGTTCACTCTCGTCTCCAACTGCGAACGCTGTGCGGGACGGCAGCACCCTCAATATTCCCACTGCCGAACTCACCATCGGTGATCTTGTTGAGCTAAAAGTTGGTGACACTGTCCCCGCTGATCTGAGGTAAGTCACTCTGGATATGGGGGTGTCTCCGAGATTTTATGTGACTGATGGCCCGAAGGTTAATCGAGTCTATCAACTTTGAGACCGATGAAGCACTCCTCACCGGAGAATCATTGCCAGTTACCAAAGATGAAGAGGCTACGTTCGACGATGATACTGGGCCTGGTGATCGATTAAATATCGCTTATAGCTCTTCCACTGTCACAAAAGGTCGCGCAAGAGGCATAGTCTTCGCAACCGGTATGTACACTGTGAGTATACTCTGAAGCGGTTCTATTTCGTTAGACAATATCCGCGCCACCTTTATTTTTGGACGGGGTTTTTGACAAACTGACAGGAAATCGGATCTATTGCATCTGCCCTTCGACAAAGCGGCTCAAAAAGGCGCCCGATTAAGCGACGGGACGACGGAACAGCGCACCCTCTCCGGCACGTCGAATCCTGGAGCCTTACTTCTATTGACGCAGTAGGCCGGTTCTTAGGGGTCAATGTGGGTACGCCTCTACAAAGGAAGCTATCTCGTCTTGCGATACTATTATTTGGTATTGCGGTTGTCTGTGCTATTATTGTCCTTGCCGCAAATGAATTCTCTAATAGGTCCGAGGTCATTATTTATGCTGTCGCTACAGGTCTCTCTATGATTCCAGCGTCTCTGATCGTGGTCCTTACAATCACTATGGCCGTAGGGACCAAAAGAATGGTTCAGCGAAACGTTATCGTTCGAAACATTAAATCACTTGAGGCATTAGGTGCTGTCACCGATATCTGCTCAGACAAAACAGGAACTCTCACCCAAGGGAAAATGGTCGCAAGGAAATGTTGGATCCCATCACGTGGTACATACTCTGTCGGTACTTCGAGTGAACCCTTTAATCCTACTCTTGGAGACTTGATGTACACTGAGACACCACCATCAGGCGGACGCACGGAGGATGGTCACGATGGCACTGTATTGGACTACTCGAGGCTCATCGAGAACAACCCTGAGTTGACCGACTTTTTACTCGTCGCAGCTCTGGCCAATCTTGCTCGTGTTCATCTTAACAAGGAGGGCATCTGGACTGCGCTGGGGGACCCCACGGAAATCGCAATTCAGGTTTTCGCCTCTCGATTTGACTATAATAGACACAAGTTTCTCGATGGAGAAAACAGGCAGTACAAGGAAGTCAGCGAATATTCCTTCGATTCAGATGTGAAAAAGATGTCAGTCATTTTTGAAGATCTCCGAACAAAGCAACAAATGGTTTACACCAAAGGCGCGGTCGAGCGAGTGCTTGAATCTTGTACAGAGATTAAATGGGACGGTCCAGACGCAGTTGAACTTACAGACAATATGAAAGATGAAATTCTGAAAAACATGGAAGCCCTTGCCGGTCAGGGGCTCAGAGTTTTGGCACTGGCCAGTCGACCCTACAGCCCTGGAGATGGCCGAAGGGCAAGCCGGGATGGACCTCCTCTTCGAGAAGAAGTGGAGAGAAACCTCATATTCCGTGGATTAATTGGTCTCTATGATCCACCTCGGCCAGAGTCTGCAGATGCGGTGAAGAGATGCCACCGTGCTGGTGTGAAGGTTCACATGTTGACAGGCGACCATCCTGGCACAGCTCGGGCTATCGCCGCTCAAGTTGGTATCCTGCCGCCGAAGATGGAGATGATGTCCCAGGATGCAGCGCAAAACATGGTGATGACTGCCCAGGAATTTGATCGCTTATCTGACGCAGAGCTTGACGGACTTTCCGCATTACCTCTAGTAATTGCTCGATGCGCACCAAACACGAAAGTTCGAATGATCGAGGCTCTCCGCCGCCGAGACGCTTTCATGGCTATGGTATGTGACTCTAAATCCCTATAGTAATGCCTCCTAACAGATATAGACTGGTGACGGCGTTAATGATTCTCCATCTCTGAAAATTGCCGACATTGGGATTGCTATGGGTCAAGGTGGTTCTGATGTCGCTAAAGATGCTTCTGACATCATTCTCACCGATGATAACTTCGCCTCGATCCTAAATGCCATCGAAGAAGGCCGACGAATGTTTGACAACATTCAAAAGTTTGTCCTGCATCTTCTCGCAGAGAATATCGCTCAAGCTTGTACCCTCCTTATCGGTCTCGCATTCAAGGACCGCTCTGGCTTATCGGTCTTTCCTTTAGCACCAGTCCAAATCCTTTGGGTAATTATGATCACTTCCGGTATGCCCGATATGGGACTAGGTCTGGAGATTGCCGCGCCTGATATCTTGGGCAGACCGCCGGTATCACTTAAGACAGGAGTCTTCACGTGGGAAGTCTGCTTTGATATGCTCGCATATGGTCTATGGATGGCTAGTCTCTGCCTGTCGTCATTCCTCCTAGTTGTCTACGGATTCGGGGACGGGAACCTAGGGACTGACTGTAACGATTCTTACTCTGAGGCCTGCGACACCGTCTTCAGAGCTCGAGCGACCACTTTCGTCAGTTTGACCTGGTTTGCCCTTTTCCTCGCCTGGGAAATGGTCGACACTCGCCGAAGTTTCTTCCGGATGCAGCCCGGCAGCACTAGATACTTCACCCAGTGGATGCACGATGTCTGGCGCAATCAATTCCTGTTTTGGGCCATCATCGCCGGCTTCGTCACGATTTTCCCAACTATTTACATTCCTGTGAGTCTTTGTCTTTGTGTTGCGACTTTTAGTCCTTTTGCAAAAATTCATTGATTGATCACTAAATGATTTTCTTTCTCAGGTCATCAATCATAGTGTTTTCAAGCACACTGGAATATCCTGGGAATGGGGCATCGTCTTTGTTGAGGCGTTCCTCTTCTTCCTGGGCTGCGAGACGTGGAAATGGGGCAAGCGGATTTTCTTCCGTCGGCGTGCAATAAGGCTCGGAGTCACACCAGATGATATGGAGAAAATGGCGTTCGCCGACTTCGATGAACGTGCCGGTGACCCCCTCCGCAAACACTGAACGGTATGCCATAAGGAGAAGTGAAGGCTCGCCCTTTCCCCACCGAAGAATGTGCGAATGATGGTGAATACGCCATCATAATTCTATTCTTGGCATGAGGGGACTGGGAGAGATGAATGATAGACCATTATCGACGTTGCTTTACTTGGACGTCGACGTTCGAACCAACATCCCTGACGCTCCGGGCATCGACGGTCAACAAGCTAGCATCATTTAAGTCTCGTCTGCCTCTGAGACGGTCGATGCCTCGATGAATTGAAGAAGTAGAATTTAGCAATTTGCACGTTTGGGGAGGTGGGAACTCCCAATGTCTACTAGAAGGCAGCAGTTGTTTAGTGGACAGTCTATCGAGGCGCTCTCGGTAGTTCGATATGGGGTGCAAGGGAGGCCGAATATCGTGCCAACAGAAAATGTGACTGAATTATTGGAGAGGGTTGATTCTTGAATAAGATGCTTGTCCCCCACCCTTGAGACTGGGGGAATAGGTGCCTACATATATATCTCAATCAAGAGGCTGGGGATGCCTAAGGATACCTCTATCAGACATGAATTGTTAATGCCAATTCCCCGGAGCAATGGGGAAGATCGGTGCCTGTATACACCTGTGCTAGTGGATCTGGGAATGCCCGGGTATCCAATTACAAAATTCCGACAATAAATGCTGGGTAACATCGCTCACCCATCCATATATTGCTGAAAGCAGAAAGCAAGAGCCACGCGTTGAACTTTTTGCTGGAAATCAAATGCCCGAGATCGTATCTTGTGAATCCGCGAGCCCTGGACGCGAACAGATACAGTGAAAGGTAGGCCATTCCAATCAATATAAAAATCGACGGCTTCCAAGGAAGTTATCGTGGTTATAGAGACACAGGTGCACGACCGAGGTATCGGGGGCGAGATTATGGCAAAAGAACAAACCTCATCAATGATGCATTCCTGGATTGCCAATGGGTTGTAGGACATTCTGCAGGGCTGTCTCGTCGATCAATGTCCAGGCTTGTGGCACGCATGCGTTTATGGGAATATTGGTGATATCGAAACCGTCTACCTGTTCGCTGACAACCGAGAGCATCCGTCGATATATTCTCCAGGCTTTGTACGCTGATAGAGAGTTGGAGGTGAGACACCAGAGATAGGACATGGCCTTCGTGACGTGCGGTGTCAGATGATTCGCTGAATTCCCAAAATGCTCCATATTCAGGCATAGTTCGAGGATGAAAATCGCCATGACTTGTCCGAGATAGTGGAGGAGCATCGCCCAAGGAAGCAGTTGGTACGCTTCATGAGGTGTTGGGTCGTCTGGGAAGATATCGACTATCGATATCGCTGCATAAACACAATTCCATGCACTATTAGAGTTGAATTTCTTGGAGGTGTCGGACTCGCCTTGGATGCGAATATGGCACAAACAGGGCCTGAATAAGATCATCCTGATGCTATAGTAGTATAGTGCCAGATCGATTTTTGCTCGAGGATCCGTACTCGTGGGTACAACGCTTTGTAGGCTGAGGTCTTCGGGTAAACTTTGCTCCCACTCTGCGAGTTCAGTGTCGAGTGTTCCAATTCTCTCCTGTGTCTCCGCCCATGTCACCTTCTGGTTTGGCATATAAAGTTCTGTCATGACTCTATTACTGAGCCTGGAAAGCTGCACGCGAAAAGACCGGTGCTGTTCAGGCGGTGTGTAGCCGACAAATTGAAGGTTTTGCCAGGGCACCTGGCCGCCACGCATCGTTTGTGTGACATTTCTCCGGCTACGCAGAAAATCTAGCCATAGCTTTTTGCTGCCGACAGCATCAGAAAGAATAGAGGCATTCTCATCCGTAGCGCTTTTCAGGGCGTCAAGGGTTACAGTGGTATACCCAAGCGAAAGCGAGGGTGGCTTCCCAAACACTTCCGATACGGTCACTTCGAGGCTGTAGAGCGAGTACCATAGACGAACTCTTTCTTCAAGCTGTGACGGTTTCAAAACACCATCTGCGGCTTTGAGGTGTAGCCCGATACATATTGCTGCTCTCATGGCCAAACCTACCAATATCCACGCTCTATTCTTTGGTTAGCAAGACAACCTTTGATTTGAGATTGAAGCTTACTTGTTGATTGAGCCATTTATAAATAGGTAAACAGACAAGAGCCCTGAGGCTCTCACACCTTGGAGGCCAGGATAATTGAGCATAATCCTGTGATCGATCCCTAAAGCTCGGGCTCGAGCATAGTATACCAAATGGCCTTCAACTGTGGGGTCGTCATTCAACATTGATCGATTCAACCATTTGGATGCTATTGCCCATGTTAGATTTGCAACTCCAAGCCACCGGCGCTGGTCCCATGAGAGGGGGTGTGGGATACGCGAGAAGACGTCCAAATCAGTCAAGAACTGCTCCCTAGCGAAAGAGTCGAAGATCCCATGGAGAGCATGAAAGAATGCCTCAGAAAGGATTTTAACAGTGACATCTCCCGGCCAGTGAAGAGCATCGACCAAGTCCTCGTCGATACTCAAGAGGTTGTCGTCGTCTGTATAGTAGTTGAATTGTGTTGCAGAATAGTGGTCGTCTCTATTTTCTTTTGTATTGGAACTCTGCATCGCAGGAGAGTCTAGATAAGAACATGCTCGTGCAATCCAGGAGAGCTCGGATATTTTGCCGACAAATCCCAAAGTTCCATCGCCGTGTAATTCAATGCTGTGCATTATTAAGTCCTGTCGACCAGGCGACCCTATAGTGGAATCAACGTAATGCTCACCGCCAGCAGCCTGCTCCGAGTTAGGAGGATCTCGATTGTTGCTATCGATTCGTGTGCCTGAAGTCAATGGAGTCGCTTCCTCATTGTTCGGTCCACACTAGATACGACCATTAGTCAGGTTTAAAAGATCAACTTGTTCACCAACGTTATAGAGGACCTCTCGAATTCTGGCAGACTCATTTAAATCCAGGTTCGGACTTGTAGCAACATTCTCCAATCCATGTTGGAGCAAGCTGTTTTTGGTTTCCAATTCCTCAATGCGTTGAAGACTCTTGGCCAGGTCACTATCACCTGGCTTAGTGAAACTTCGGAATTGGAGAGATAGGTCTAGACTTTTTGTTTCTTTCACGTTTTCGGTCGCCATAGACGCAACCCGTTCCATCATTCCCACATCTGCCACAAGGACTTCCTCCTGAGCATTTGATGCGCAGGATACGACACTTGTCGCATGCGTGAGAAACTCGACCCATGGCCCTGGCCCTGCGGGGGGCACTTGGCAGCAAGGGCAGAGACGAACCAGGGCGAGAAGATCCTCCGGGCCTGTTCATCAACACATCTAGAGGGGACGCCATTTTGTTGAAAGTGGACAGTTGTTACCGGGGCGGTGGGCTTATATGGTGGCTGGAGCGCGTCTGGAAGACTCCTGGAGAGAGTCTATCAAGGAGAAACGAGAACGCCTCAATTTTTGTGCGTTCTCCCAAATTTGAAACCAGGACACCCCTTGGTTGCAGTGTCCAAAGCTGTTTGGACGATCAGATGCAGAATCGGACACCGATGAAGGAGCAAGATTCTCTAAATCTGGATTCACAGAAGGTTACAAAGCCCAAATGTGTGGGAATGATGGGCAAGCATAGTTTGCACAGAATGATCGCCTCAGAGGGGGGCGGTTTTCGTTTTTTTGGTGGAGAGTTGACGTGTAGTCAATAGTAAGTATAGTCGCCTGCGCTCTAATAGCCCCACAGTTCGTCATGCTTGGCATTGACGCGAATTCTAGCGATGTGATTGGGCCACTTGGGGCGATGTGGCAAGTATTTCTGCAAAAACCGTCACCCAGCATTCGCAGAGATGCTGTAAATCCTGGTCCCTAATCATCGGTTCGGCCGCTGAGAGTCCGAAAAGATTGCATCTGCCTCTGTGTCACTTACTAATGGAGGACAAGGGCAGCCTTTTGACTGGTTCTTGTGGTGGGTGATTGCTGCCTGCCGAGGTAACTTCGTTTCTGTATCAGATACATAAGCGAGAAGGAGGTCGTGCCTTCCCCAAACACGCATCATCACGGGTTCTTTCGAAAGCACGACCAAAGTGTTATTTCAACCTACCACTATGGCACAACGGAACGGCTTCGCAGGTAGAGATATGATTTCTACGTGGAAAGAAGCATCAATCGCTTGTCCTTAACAGGTATGACTGGTCGACTCGTATCTGCTGATCACGTCATCGCCGAGGGACTTATCGATCTTGCAGCAGTGGAGGGACTTTCGTGTCACCTTTTCGATTCGGACTCGATAGTCTGGCACTCCGGGACACACTCAGAACCATGTAGAATACATCCAGTCTGTATTGGGATGCAGGCTATTACATTAAACTGTCACCGAGGTAAGCAGCGGTTTGTGTAGTTCCGATGTCGAATTTGAGTGACCCACAAAAATAGATGCCATCTGTAGAAGAAGGAGTTAACAGCTAGATGGGGACCTCTACGACTGGGAGGAATGCTTTGGCCTAGAGAGCCCGGCGGGAGATATCAAGAGTGGAGGGGTAGAGGTGAGTCTAAGGATGGCTGGGGCGGAGAATTCTGGGTGTGAGTTGAGAGATTGATGGAACAGAAATTGAGGGATTTGAAAAAGGAGAGACACGCAGGATTCTGACTCCTTTGTTTCGCTTCTAACGAGCACATATCTCTACAAAATTACCACCAGCCGGCTTCCGAGATGAGTAGTCGGTCTACACTAAGCCCTTCTCACACCGTATCCTTCTTGTGCTCCTCCTCCACACGGCCCTTCTCAACCCCCCCGTCAACTCCCACCGTCTTCCCGTGCATCTTTCGACTTACATCATCAGTCAGCAGGTGCCCGTAATTGATCGTCAGGAATGAGCATCCCACGGCCAGAACGGCGAAGGCGATGACGGCATACCATACATATCTGCAACAACACGTTAGTTTCAATGTAGGTTAGGCGATGACGAGCATACCTAAAAGCATCGGCTGCCGCACTACTCTGCGCTGCCACTGCCGCCGCCAAAATCTCAGGATTGATCCCGGGTACATCCTCCAGTCCCACGCCCGTCGTCAGCCCCGTCAACAATGCAGTAAGACTGCTTATCGGCAATCCCGCTGCTGTCGCTGCCTCAGAAACCCTTGGCGGTACCAAAGCAACCAGCTTGTTGTTTAGGATGGCCACGTAGATTGCCAGCCCAACAGATGCACCACCAGACCGAATTGAGCCCAACGCACCGAGGGCAGCACCGATGTCTTCTGTTGGCAGCGCCAGGGGCGCGAGAGCAAGGCTGCAGGATTCCAGCACACCAACTGATACAGTGGCCATAAACATCAATCCCACGCCCTTTGCCTCTTGGCCAGGGTTAATCGACACCATGGCAGCGCAAAACGCGAGTAGCGAAAACGCGCTGCTGATGAGGATGTACCGACTCTTCATGACATATTGGCAGAGCACACCGCCAATGACCTGACCCACCAGGGCTCCAGCTCCGACAACACAGGCAAGCCAGCCTTTGTGGATGTTGGACCCGCCGAAGAGATAAGCGATCTGCTGGGGCCAGAGAACGTTCATCGAGTAGTAGACACAGCTACCGACCGTGGCAGTGACGACCATCGCCAGATATCCCTTTGATTTGAAGAGATGGATTGGTAGCAGAGGATCACCGCGGTGCACATACGCATCATAAAGAACAAAGACAACGAGTGCGATGAACCCAACGACGATGGTACCAATAACGTGTCCGGATTTCCACGGATACATCGCCCCACCCCAATTTAAACCCATAATGAACAGGATCAGCCCTCCCGTGAACAGCACGAAGCCCACGACATCCTGGCGTTTGACTTGCTGGGTTTTGGATCTGTTGACATGCAGATGGTCGAAGGTAGGTGGATGGTAGAAAAGAAACAACGTGATAACGGCGAGACCAGCGACGATAATATTGATATAATAACTCCATCGCCAGGATGCCGCTGTTCCCGTGACGAAGGCTTGCGCGATGACAGGCCCAAAGCAGGCGAACTGAAAGGACGAGAAAAAGATGCCAGCAACCCATAGGGGGCGGTGCTTGTTTGGAACAAGCTCCGATATAGCTGCGGCAAAGGTGATTTGCACGGCACCGGCAATTCCATTGAGGGTGTTCGCTCCGATCAAGCTGTCGACATTCTTTGCTGTCGCTCCGATAATGGCCCCAATCAAGCCCAGACCATTCCCTCCCACAAAGAACCAACGTCGTCCAAAGATGTCGCTAAACCGGCCTACTATGAGGAAACCCACTGTGAGACCAAGGGTGTAGGCTAGAGCAACCCAGGTGATGTTACCCGAGGGACCGATATCGTTGTTAATGATTAGCAGAGAGTTCGAGGGCATGACCCATCCAGCATAGTTTGAAATATTGCCTAGGCAGAGGCCAATGACGGTGCCGATGAAACCGATGGAACGGTAGTAGTGTTTGGGGAGGTTGGTCCCCAGTGCATTCTCGGCGATGTCGAAGGTCTCATTGTGGATGGCGACGTGCCTCTCGAGGACGGGCTGTATCACGTCGCCGTTATACGACCGTTCAATCTGCGTGTCAGTTCCCATATTTTTCTCGTCAGCAGGGACTGTCATGCTGTATTTTCTCTGGCTCCCCTGTGGCCGGGATAATGGATTCCTAGGTTTTGGAAAGTACAAGAGGGAGTGAAGAAGAATAAAGGAGAAGTGTAGGTTAGTGTAGAACGAACCTCATCCTGGCTCACGAGCGAGGCAGCTGGTTGATAAGTACGAGCTGCTCTCTCCTGAGCCTTGATGTCTGCCTCGCAGGATGAAGCAAACTAGTGGCCCGGGATGCTGGTGCTCTGACCCCTGGTCTCGTCCATGAGGCCGTTGCTCCATGGGGAGGGCGGGGAACATTGTGGGGTCCGGAAAATGTTAGCCAAGGGGCCCCCAGGATTACGGGTTCTCGGGGCAACCACAACCACCTGCCGGTCGACATATTGGCATGTCTTGTCTGCGAATTGTCAGCCGGGAAGTTCCTTGACTGGGTAAATTCTATCACCAGCTTTATGAATCTAGATCCAATTTCTGAAAACCTGCCATGCATCCATTTCAAAGTAAGGAGGGTGGTGAGCAGTAGGAAGTGAACAGGGTGTGTTTTCTCAGGACGTTGAGCCGATTCCCCCCCTTTGTCCGCCAATCACTTAGGCCAGCAATACCGCTGAGCAGCCTCACCCAAGTCTCTATTCAGCTCCTGCTTCATTGTGGCCTCGCGGACGATGGAGTGATGGCCTCGTTGCTGAAAGGAGTTGGCTTCATCACCGGTGCAGCGTCAGGTAAGCTCGCATGTACGCATGTACAGGCAGTTCAACTTACTCTTCCATGGATTGACGAAGCCCGTTACAGGAATCGGGAAGGCGACCGCACAGTGTTTCGCAAGACATGGAGTGCGACGGCTAGCTCTTGGCGACTTGAACATCAAAGCGCTGGGGGACACGGCCACGGAGCTGAAGAACACTTATCCATGGCTCGAGATCTTACCCCTCGAGCTCAACGCTGCGTCAGAGGAATCCGTGGAAGAATCCATATCTGCCACTGTGAAGAACCTCGGCCGTATCGACTACGCCGTTAATAATGCTGGGATCGCTGGTGCGGCATGGAAGTCTGCCGAGTCGGATCTTGCTGGCTGGCAGAAGACGCTAGACGTCAACTTGACTGGTGTCTGGTTGTGCTCACGGGCGGAGATTAGGGCAATGCTGAAGCAGGATCCGCTTGAGCCAGAGTATGTGAATGACGGCGTGTACGTGTGCAAGTGAGTGTGCTGACACGTGCCTCACAGCAATCCACGATTGAACCGAGGAGTCATCGTCAACGTTGCGTCTATGTACGGCGTGATAGGAACGAACGCAAGCGTCGGAAACGTCAGCTATACCGCCACGAAACACGGCGTCGTCGGCATGACCAAAGCAGATGCCGTTGCGTATTGCAGACAGGGTATCAGGATAAATGTTATGTGCCCTGGGTAAGTAACAACTAAGACCCTCAACCCTTCTCACGATAGAGGTACGGATATATCAAGATGTGTGGCATTTACTGACAGAATCAACTAGATACGTAGCCACTCCGCTGCTACAAAACGCAGGACCTGGAATGCAAGGTGAGATTGAGAGCACGCCAGTGAACAGGCTTGCGTCGATGGAAGAGATTGGTGACAGCATCGTGTACATGGCGAGTCCTTTGAGCAGTTTCATGTACGGAGCCGCAATGGTCGTCGATGGTGGTTATACGATCCAATGATAGAGCCCTCGTAGGGACTTCGCTACAGGTGAAAGTAATGGAATACAATGATATAACAGCTACTGTGTTATGACAATAACCGGAAACGCGTTAATCAAAGTGGACCGACATCTTAAGATTTCAAGTTTCAAATAGTCGTCCTGTCGCCGAATCGCCTTTGGGCGTGTCCTGCCTAATCCCCGATCCTGTTACTTTTCATAAATTTGCATGCAGCTCCTTATCTCCAGCAAAATTGATCGCGCCAGCTCTCCTCTTGACCGAGCCCGACTTAGTCAAAACTTCCCTCCTCCTCCCTTTCGACTGATACTCCTGATCGTCGTATTCTCTGATGTAATACGCCCAGTCCGCGGTCGGATCGGACTCACACTGCGAGAAGCCATTGCCCAGCCAGGAGAATCTATTGCCGTTGTATTTGACCTCAAGGTCATCCCACCTGATCTCCGACAGCGCCTCGATATAGTGTAGCGTCGAGCCGGGCCACAGAGCCGTCACCGGTGCGTCTGCCTGGTTAGCCTTGTACCAGCTCCTGCATGGGTCTGCCCAGACGGTGCGTTCCATGAACTCGTCCTTCCAGGCGATGAAGTCGTCGACCGCCTCGCGTTTGGGCGCAATGCTGTGGATGTTCGAGGTCTGGTAGCGGTCAATCACCGCCAGCATCCAGTCTGCTTGCACTTCTATTGCGGACAGGACGGGTCCGTTGCCGATGGGGCAGTTTGGGCCCAGGAAGACCAGGTAGTTGGGGAAGTCGGCTGCCGCGACGCCGAAGTATGACCTTGGCTCTTTCGCCCATTCGTCTTGTAAGTTGGTCCCACTGGGCCCTAGGAGCGGGAATCGGGGTTTGAATGTTGTGTCGAATCCGGTCGCGCAGATCAAGACATCAACTGGATATTCCTGCCCATCGTCACACAGACAGCCTTTCTCGGTGATCTCGTTGATCCCGCCGTACACGACTTCGACGTTCTCCTTCGTCAGTGACTCCAGATATCCAACACCAGGTGTGAGTCGTCTGCAACCAAGGGACCAGTCAGGAATTAGCTGATCCTCGAGGAGCTTGTTATTAAGCTTCTTCTTCATTTGGGCAATCATGTACTCCCGTGTGTCATCTTGAGTCTTGGTGCCCTTCAAGAAAAGACTGAATTGCCCGTTCAAACCAGTCTCTACTTGCTTTCGGTACTCAAGCAGAGTCCCAGGTGTGTTGGCGAAGTCATGAAGTTCTTGTGGGCTGAAGACATGCTGCTCGAGCCCTTGCACAGGCGAAACATATGTGGGCTCGCGAATGAAGGTCGTGACTTTCCGAACGTGGGGCTGAATCGTCGGTAGAACTTGAATGCCCGAGGAACCATTGCCAATCAAGCCAACGTGCTTACCAGTCAGGTCAACATTGGGATCCCAATTGGCAGTGTGTAGCAGTGTTCCGTTGTACCTGTCCAGACCAGGAATGGCTGGCCATCTCCAGGCATTCAAGATTCCCCCAGCATTGATGAGAATATCACAATAGTCAAAGAACTTTTCGCCTGTGGCTGTATTCTGGACTGTTACGTCGTAACCGCCCTTGGTGTTGTTCCAAATCGCGCCGACGACTTGATGGCGTGTTTTGCAGTACTTTCGAAGACCGTACTTCTTCGAGAAGTGGTCGAAGTAGTTGAATATCTCGCCACTTCCAGCGTAGACGGCGGACCAGTCCAGCTTGGGCTCAAACGACCAGGTGTAATTGTGAGCTGGTACATCACAAGCACAACTAGTTTTGGTATCGTTAGTTACACCTCCTCCAGCACCCAGAGCGTAGGGAAGTCAATGCCAGCTTACCCAGGACTGGTAGAAGTTAGCGCTTCTCCTCATCACCGAGAGCCAGACAAATACTCACTATTTGTTCTCCCACCACGTCCCGGCGACTTCCTTGTTCTTCTCATATACTGTAAGGTCGAAATTTCGGAAGCTTCTTTGCAGTTTGTATGCGAACAGCAGGCCTGAGGCACCAGCACCGATACAAATTATCTTGACATGACGCTCTGAATGAATGGGAGCCCCTCGACGCCTTCTCACGTCATTCACACCACCCCAGTGCCCTCTTCGATTCAACTGTGGAAGCACGAAATCGGCCATTTGATACCAGACTTCGCATTCAATGGAAAATTAAGCTTAGTTTGACTTGCAAAGCACGGCTTTGTGACGACTAATATAATGCTAGGAGCAGCGATGGAGCTTGAGGGACTCTTATTAGTGCCGAGCCGAGCAACACAGGATGTCATTGCGGAATCTGCAGGGTCTTGAATCGTGTCTACAAACCTACCTTGTTTCACTCGACCGAGGGGTGTAGATCGAGTCAGCAACCCTGGAGAAGGCTGACAAGCACGAGTCAGCATAGCCCCTCGGAAACGCTTTTCCCCAGAGTGAGGTCAGCCTCGGCCCTAATGGGAGCCAACCAGAGCCCGACCGGTTGTGACAATGGGGAATAGAGTTATTTTGTTTCCGAGGATGGGGACGGACAAGAACACAATTTTATTTCGCAAGTGTGTAGTGTATAGTCTTCGACTATGGAAGCCAGTGTAGAGGACATCAATTACAAATGCTTCACAACTTGCTGTCGGCAAGAGGGATGTATTCCCATTCAAACTCCTCCTCCAACCCTTCAATCTTCCACAGCTTCCTTAGCTCCCGGTTCCGTGTCCTGTAGCCTTGATATTTGCCGACAAGATTATCCTTCCGCGCCGCCTTGAGTTGATCTCGTCCAACTTGATGTCGATGTGCAGCATCAGGGCCGTCCGCGATCCTCACAAAGCGGGCGTAAGTCCAAAGCTCTGGCAGCACGGTGTGCTGGGTAAGGCCTTGTCCACCGTACATCTGCATGCACTCGTCGATAATCTTGGCTAGTGTTTCGGGAACCATGATCTTGGACTGAGCAATGACATATCGGCCAGCCTTGTTTCCTCGGATATCCATCGTGTCTGCGGCATTCATGACGATGAGCCTCATAGCATCGATCTGCATTCTCATCTCTGCAATTCTCTCTATGTTGCTGTCAAACTGCCCGATGAGCTTGCCACGAGGCTTTTTCCTCTCATCGATACTTCTCAACAAGACCAACTCGTATGCTCTTTCCGCCTGGCCGATGAGTCTCATGCAGTGATGGATTCTTCCAGGGCCAAGTCTTCCCTGAGCAATATCAAATGCTCTACCATCGCCCCATATGACATTTTCTGCTGGCACTCGGGCATTCTCGTAGATATACTCGCCGTGTCCTTCGGGTGCGTGATCGTAGCCCATGATGCTCAAGTTCCGTACCTGTTTGTGTCCGGGCGTATCTCTAGGGACGATAATCATTGTGTGCCGTCTCCAAGGATTTGGATTTTCGGGGTCACTCAGACCCATAAGAATGTGAAACTTGACTTCCTGATTCCAGAGGACGTTGCCATACAGCTTCCTGCCATTTATCACATACTCGTTCGTAGACTTGTCGTAGTCTATCCGGCAGGCAATGTTGGTAGCATCACTACTTGCTCGATCCGGCTCTGTCATGGAATAAGCGGAGCTTGCTTCACCTTCCATTAGAGGTTTAAGCCACTTCTGCTTCTGTTCTTCGCTGGCGAATTTGGCGAGTAGCTCCATGTTCCCTGTCTCAGGCGCATGGCAATTCATTGTCTGAGCGGCCCAATACACTCTACCCATGATCTCGGCGCAACATGAGTATTCCAGATTCGTCAGCCCAGGCGACTCCTTGAAATGATCAGGCAAAAAGATGTTGAATAAGCCCGCGGCTTTTGCTTTCTTGCGGAGTTCATGGATGAGAGGAGGGGTCACCCATCGAGATGCCCCCTGGGCTAGTTGAGCCTTGACAATCGGTTCTGCCGGAATGCATTCTGTCTCAACCCAGTTGTAGACTTTACGGATGAGGTCTACCGCCTTTGGGCGGAGCTTGGAAACCACCCAAGGCGGGAAGTTCTTGAAGGGAACTTCCTCAGCGAGAGCGGTAGCATGGTTCATCACGACGAAGTGCTCGTGGAGTCAGTCGGACGTATGCTTAAAGAACAGTGTATCAGAGGTTCACTCAGCCGTGTAGGATAAGGATGAACGCTGGATTTGAGGCCAAGTGCAAGGGATCTGGACGAGTCATTGTCCCGGCTGTGGCTAACCGACAGGCCGAGGCTAAGTTTGATGGGTCCCGACTCCTGACTTTCCTTTATCCTCTTCATTTCCTCGCCACTTCTCATCTCATTGGCACGTTGGCAATATGCGATGATCCAATGCTACTAAGTGGTTGGTAAGTGGTTGGGTCCTGGTGCGGTAGAGGTAGGTCATAAGCACCATTTACAGCAGGTGTCGAAGCTTTCTCAGATCAACACGGTCTGATACATTTCTATCTCGACCTCGGCACAAGCAACCCTTCCCTACCTTGACTGATCGTACCAACAAGCAAAAGGCTCCGAGCTTGTTAAAATGCTCACTGAGATAGAACAGAATATATACGCAGAGCCGTGGAAAGACGTGGGTCTTATCTCATTCTTCCCATTACTTATTGCCTACCACCCCAACAAAGGTTCTGCATAAGCTTGTAAAGAAGAAAATGCCAGAGGAAATAGCAACACCAGGCAGGGAATGCTAGACATGCTACTGCTACAGTTCACCACCTCAGCGACAGGCCATCTCCGCGTGATCATTGAATCGATAGCCCTCTAGGAACACTCCTTGATTCTCAGATCGATTGCCGCTGCTCACCTATCTCAATGTTCTAATTTACTTCATCTCTACAGTTCTGCAAAGAAATTGGTCAAGTACCCCGGCTTCACGGACCAACATCCGACCTCATCTCTGGCTGGGATTCCCTCGTCGCCGTCCTCGCGTCAAAGCTCACCTTCCCTACTGCCGACGCCAGCGTCACAACAACTGATCTCTCTCCTTCATCCAACTACAAGCTCCGCATCTACCGTCCTCCTAACGCCACTGGCAAGGAGAATCTAGCACTCTACATCCATGGTGGTGGCTGGGTCCTCGGATCCATCGATCAGGAGGACGCCATCGCTCGCATCATTGCTAAGTCTAGTAACCTTGTGGTCGTAAGCGTTGGTTATCGTCTTGCTCCCGCGCATCAATGGCCAGCCGCGCATGAGGACTGTGCCGAGGCAGCAAGATATGCCCTTTCTCATGCGTCCGAGCTTGGTGCGGATCCTGAGGCGGGTATTCTCATTGCTGGATCCTCTGCTGGTGGGGGAATGGCCTTCTCGACTGCTTTGAGACTGATTGATGATGGGTTAGGAGACAAAGTGAGAGGGGTGGTGAGTATGGCGCCTGTCACAGTGCATCCAGACGCTGTTCCGGAGCAGCTGAAGGGAAGTTATGCGAGTTATGACGAACATTCTGAGCATACTGTCAATACTAAAGATGCCATGGAGGCTTTCTTTGGTGAGTGAATGCATGGTAGACGAGGGGCACGTGCTAACGAGAACAGCCACCTATGCTGGGCCCGCCACAAACCCGTACATCTCGCCACTGTTACATCCAAAGTTGAAGGCACTGCCACGGACATACATCACCGAGAGCGGCACAGACACGTTGCGAGATGATGCGAGGTTGATGAGGGAGAAGCTGGAAGCAGAGGGTGTGCACGTAAGGTACGACGCATACGAGGGGTATCCACATTACAGTTGGACCTTTCCAAGTCAGCACCTTGCTGGACATAGTCAGGAATTCTTCGGCAACATGATTGAGGGCATCAAGTGGTGCATTGCTGGGTAGGCGGTCAAAATGTGTGGAACATGTAGCAAAGAGTTTCAGATAGGGGGCTTTGAAGCCGGATGTTTATCATCTGCCTCAGTATGCTCTCTCGCGAACCAATGCCCAGTCATCTGGACCGCTTTCTACTTGGTACTGTGATTCCACTGCTCGAACTCGATCTTTTCTCTGCTCCAGGATTTACCTGTTCTTTGAATTTACCAGTAAGTTATTTGACAACACCTTCGCATATACTCCATCGGACGACACTAATCCACGAACCACTCATCGTCGTTGGAGCGCACGTATCTCGCCAATCCCATTGTATCACCTGTGGCATGAGCCTTCATATCACCATTGCCCAAGAATGCAAACCTATTCTTATATCGGTACTTGATGTCATAGTCCTCAAACCGCGGATCCCTAATCGTCTTTAAGAAATGGATCGTCTGTATTCGTTCTCATTAGCACCAATCTTGCCCGACGGCTAACTTGCGAAGGGAAACTTACCGGTCCGGGCCACAAATAAATCCGATTCTTAACCTTCCCATCTTTAAACCAACTCCTACATTCCTCCTTCCACACAGTATTCTTGTGGAATTCGTCAAAGTGTGCGTAGATATCGTCCAGCGCCTCCTGCTTGACGGCCATGCTCTCGATTGTCTCGTGCTGCATCTTTCGCATGCACTTCACGCTATACTCGATCGTCGTCTCGATGGACGGGAGAAGTGTCCCGTTCGACCACGTGGCACCAGGACCGACAATGGTGTAGTAATTCGGGAAGCGAGGGGCGGAAACACCGAAGTACAGGTTCACGCCGTCGCCCCAGTCTTCCTGAACAGATTTGCCTGCGCCATTGATAACCTTGAACGCGGGCTTGAACGCGACTTGGAAACCTGTCGCGCAGACGAGGATGTCACATTTGTGCTCCGTCCCGTCTTCCGTCACGATCCCGTCTGCAGTGACCTTTTTGATCCCGCTGAAGATTGTCTCCACGTTTGGCTGCACCAGGGCTTCGAGATAGCCGTCACCGGGAGAAATGCGTCGACAGCCTGGCGCCCACTTGGGGATGATGAAGGATTTGAGCTTCTCATGCCCGGGTCCCATGCGTCGGTGCATTTCCTCAGTGATAACTTTGCGGAATAGATTCGACAGTTCGCTTCCTTGTCGGTACATGCCGAAAAGGCCGTTGATTTCGGCCTCGATCCTTTTCCGAAAGTTGAGGTGATACTCTGGGTTTTCTCTAAATTTCTTCTTGTCTTCTTCGGTGAACTTGTATTGCCGGTGGCCTGGGTCTGCTTCTGTGCCGTTTTGCAGATCCGAGGCTAGGGCCCCGGCCCCAAAAGGTGGAGAGATCCATGTTGGACTGCGCATGTATACTGAGACTTTGTCACATATTTGTTGCAGTTGTGGGACAATCTGGACGCTCGTTGAGCCAGTCCCAATGACGGCGGCTGTTTTTCCTTTGAAGTCGACATCGTGGTTCCAGGCTGCTGAGTGCATTAATGGACCCTTAAAGTCGTGGAGTCCATCGATCTCGGGCCATTTCCAGTTGTTCAGGATTCCCGTGCCATTGACCACACAGTGAGCCCAGTCCATCCAGGTTTCTTTGGATATTTGATCTTCAACGGTGATCTCCCAGATACTTCGCTCTTCGATCCAGCGACATTCCACCACTTTCGTATTGAGCTTCATGTACTTTCGTGATCCATATCTGTCGGCAAACCCCTCAAAGTACCTTTGTATTTCATCACCATATGCAAAGTAATATGACCATTCAGGATTCGGATCGAATGTGAATGTGTATAGATGGGAGGGGATATCACAAGCGACCCCCGGATAGGTATTTTCGTACCAGGTGCCACCAAATTGAGGGTTCTTGTCGAATAAGGTCAACTCCCAAGACCCGGGGACGAGCATTCGTTCCATCTTGTAAGCCAGGCATAATCCGGAGGCACCAGCTCCAACACATGCCACTCTCAGCTTGGTAGGTTGCGAATGATACTGCTGGAGGACACGGTATGGTCCTTCAGGAGACTCTTCTGCATAGTCAAAAGTCGCTCCAGGATTAGGTCCCAGTGTGGTTGCCATGCCTCCATGTTGCTGGTCAGGCAGCGCTGCACCAGCGTCACCCATCTTGCCCCAGGTCTAAGAGATTGCTAAATACACCGGGATGACAGCAATCCTGAGAATACACCAGGACGAAGGTAAGGCAAAGCTGTAGGGACATCGATTGCTCAAGTCAGATAGAATAGAGTTATTGATAAAGGCTTGGTTTTTGAGAATGCCACACCATCAGGAGACCCTTAATGCAGCCGTCTTCAGAACGAGAATGATCATCACACTACCTACCTTTGCCGTATTTGCCCTGGTGGCAATTGCCACACTCGGAGGCGAGTCCAGTTTCACCCTGCCGAAGCCAGAGGCATGGCCTTGGCCCTAGGGATGGCGATGAGTCTCGATTACGGTATTTTGTGGTCGGGTCATTCTCCCCAGAACCCGCAGCCCGCCGCTTGTGCGGGGACCGGAAAACGTTTGCCAGAGTTTGGGTAGCCAACTCGTTCAGCAAGAAACGTTCCGCTTAAGGTCCAGTCTCGTTTCGAGGCCGCAGTGGACACAGTGTTGCTGGGAAACCCTGAGGATTGTTTGGAAAGAAAGCAGAAGGATCAGATCTATCATCCAAGAAGGAAAGTGCACCCTGGTCAGGCTTGTAGTCATGTGATTTCGCTATTCTAGAAACACGCTAACCCTCAACGCGTCGCGCGCGAGTTTCCGTCCCTCTTTACGGGTTAACTTTTACTTCACTGGCAATGTCAAGTGCAATGCATATGAATTCAATCAATAGCCGTTTCATATTCGCCCTCTTCGTAAGAATACATTTGGGATATCCACCCACTTAGCACGGATGTATTCACAAAGATTCTTCCCTAGACCGTCGTACGTACTGGTGGCTCCCCAACTCCTGTCAAGATGATCATGCAGCATGAAATGAACCGCTCGAATCTTTGGGATCTCGAAGCGGTCAACATCCTTGCCGTTGTACTCAGGACCAAGCAGCTGTTTCATTTTTGGGATTGTCATCAGCGACCTCAGCCAGTCCCATTCGTCTTCGTGCCGCACGAAGAATCCCACATTGCAATCTGAAGCCTTGTCTCCTGACCGACCCATAACCACCCATCCAAGAGGCCCTCTTGTCGTTGGCCCAAATGACTCCAAGGCCACGGGTGCCAGGGTCTCATAGCTCCATTGCCGAGTGTTGTAAGTCTTGCCATAGTCTTTACAGGACATCGCCGGGGGTACGGGAATCGATTGCTGCAGCCAAGGTAACTCGACGCTATGCTTGACTTCTGACTGTGGCAACAGAGCCGCCCAGTACTCGAAGAACTCCTTGGGCGCTGATTGTCGAAGGTCGTTTTCTATCGATGCACCTGGGCAGCTGCCCAAGAAGTTTTCCATGCAGGCCCTTTGGAAGCCGATCATGTTGCCCGAGCCGATCACTGACTTGTCCTTGGTTTGCACCAATATTCTGAAGTCGACAGTTGCGACATCTTGATTCTCTGGATCCTCCTGGCTCCATCCGTTCAAGCTGAACTTGAGCAGGGAATATTTTTCAACCTCTGTACCGATCGACTGACGGATCTGCCGCTCCGTCCATTCCGCCTTTTGCTTCAGATCCAGACCACAAAGATAATAGTGGAACTCGGCCTGATAACCACCACGAGCCGTGATTCCGACCTTAGTCGTGGTGGGAGGCGGATTGCCTTTGACACCTCGAACAAGAACCTGATCCTTGGCCAATTGCATCATTTCAATCCCTTCTAGTATGGCGACAACGTCGGATCCATAGTATTGCGGTCCCTGGATCTCATAAAGGAGTTGCGAAGTCGCCGTTCCTACAGACATTTCACCCCCAGTGTCAGGCTCTTTCTCGAGGACAAATGTGCCATCCGCATTGATTGATGCGATAGGAAACCCGATATCCTCACATCCGTCGAACAAATCTTTGAAGCGGCTGTAGTACCCGCCACAAACGTAGGTTGAGCATTCAATCAGATGACCAGCAACCAAGGCTCCGGCAATTTCGTCGTATTGGGTATTTCGGTCCCATTCATGCCACCACATTGCAGCACCAATAATGGGAGCAGCGTCCGATACACGACCACAGATGACAATGTCCGCACCGTACTTGAATGCCTCTGCGATACCGGCACCACCAAGGTAACATTGCGCAGTCAGAGGCTCGAATGGCCAGTCTTCCAAGTTCCCCCCAAAGCAGATGTTCTCGAATTTCTCTCCTTGCTTTAGTAGGCGTTGAACAACGTCAAAAACCTCATCGCCCTGGATCCATGCCACCTTCAATCTCAGCCCTTGCTCGTCAACAGCCAACTGAACCAAGCTGGCCAGCATCTCCGCGTCGCTCGCACCTGCATTCACAGCAACTTTAACTGATCGCTCTTGCAGATAAGGCAGAGCCGGCTTTAACGTCCCCATAAAGCTCGGATCAAACATGCCAGTGCGATTGTCGGCACCTTTTGCAAGGTCTTCTTTCTTTGCGACTCCGTGCCACTCCATTGTCATTTCACTCATCCAGTCGCCCACAATCACATCGACATCGCCGTCACGAGCAAACGAAAGAATAGATCGCTGGCGATCTGTGAAGCCTCCTGAAGCACCACCAATTCTGAGAGGACTCCCGCCTCGCAAACTGCGCTTCCCGTCGCTGAAAGCAATCTGTCCATTTCCCATTACTTGGTGGTCGAACTTCTGCCGCTTGCTCATTCCTAAATTCCTTGTTGCAGCTCCGTTTGTGGTCATGGTTGTCAGCTCCAATCAGATGTCTTGTCAGAAGCAACATAAAAGAGACCATGGCATGAGTATGAGTCGAACACCTGTAAATAGCGTTCCAGAGTCTATGTCTTTGGCCTCGGGAACTCGATTCGCGACGCCGGGGTCCTGGCCGGGTTCATGAATCAGGATGGCCCTTTTTTGTGTGGGTCCTCGATCCCCGCATATTGACAAGGGAAATCAGTTTCCATGATCGCAACCATCTTCCGTGAATCAACCCAGACCAACCGCAACGCTCACTGAGACTGGTCTGGCAAATCCACATTATCTGGTATTCAGCTGTATGGCAAATTTTCGGTCGAAAGGTAATAGTCTCTCGTTCAGACACGACCTACTTTAGCAAGTATCATTGTTGGTATTTGTGCAAGTTTACTCAGCGTCACTGTCATCCCTCCCCCCTTGTCGCCTCACCCATCTCGAGTATTGTCCTATACTTGCTTGAGCCAAAGCTGCAAGTCGAAAGCTAAATCTCGGCCGTTGGCAAGACTTTTTTCTTTCCAGGCTACTGACTGCTATTCTTCCCAACTCCACCAAATCCCAGAAGATGGGCTCAGTAGGCGAGTCCACTGGTCACCATGCTCTCATTTTTGGTGCCTCTGGTATCACAGGCTGGGCCATTGTTAACACGATTCTGAACGGCTACCCTGACTCTTCAACCTTCTCCAAAGTCACTGCGCTCACAAACAGACCTTTCACCCAAGAAATTGCGCAATGGCCAAAGTCAGAAAAGCTGAACATTGTTCCTGGTATCGATCTACTGAAGGGCTCCCAATCTGAGCTCGAAGCGACCATAAAGATACGAGTCTCCGACGTTGACTCAGTGTCCCACGTTTACTTTTTCGCGTACATTATGGATGCCGACCCAGCCAAGGAGATTCAAATTAATGTCGATCTCCTCCAGCGCGCGGTGTCTAGCATCGACAACCTCTCGAAGTCTCTGCAATTTGTTGTCCTCCCTACCGGCACAAAGGTATATGCTACCTGTCGTCGACTTTGCTCCACCACCAAACCTAACTTTCATTCAGGCATACGGAGTTCACCTCCTTCGCGACGGCTTCCCACACGCCAACAACCTCCCCCTGAAAGAATCCCACCCCCGCATCCCAGAGCCATATGCCAGTGAGATGTTCTACTACAACCAACTCGACCTCCTCAAGTCAATGTCATCATCCCGCCCGTGGACGTATTGCGATGTCATTCCCGACGTCATCATTGGTTTTGTTCCCCATAACAACATTTACTGCCTACCTCAGGCTCTCGCCCTCTACCTCTCCTTGTACCGCCACATCAACGGCGAGGGAGCGGAAGTTGTCTTCCCAGGGACGACCAACAGCTGGGGGAACAAAACCAATGACTCCAGCCAGGATATCATTGCGAAATTTGCCATCCACGCAAGTTTACATCCGGATGTCAGCATGGAGCAGAGCTTCAACGTCGCCGACAACCGCAGCCCATCAACCTGGTCCAAGAAATGGCCCATCATATGCGCCTACTTCGGGCTCAAGGGTGTGGCACCAACTAACGGCTCCGGCCCAGATCCCACAGGGTACGTGTCCGAGAACCGTGAGAAGTGGCTGGAGCTGGAGAAGAAGCACGGTCTCCAGACCGGGAGGATTGGCAACGAGCGAAGTTACGGCGGATTTCCATATTTTATCATGACGATGCTAGATTTTGATCGGCAGCTGGACCTGACGAAGATGCATGATGCTTGGGGGAAGGAAGGTGGGAAGGTAGAGGAGACGGATACGAAGGGCGCGTGGTATGCTGTTTTTGATAGGTTTAGGAAAGCGAAGATCATTCCATAGCCATAGCCCGTTCGCTTGGGAAAGAGCACTTTCCCTTAGAGATAGGCAGAGAAGCCAGTAGCGGCAAAAGTAGCTGACAGTTATCATTTCATTCTATACCATTTCAAATTTTAAACACATCATGTCCATTATATCTTACCGATAAGCTGCTAACCAGCTGACTAGACGCGGATAGATAGTCCCCTCTAACTACAACAGCAGCATATCTAACTAAGTCACTAGAACAAATCACTCCCTCTCCACCCTCACAAGCCTACAATTTAGATCCGGCTTTTCCCAAGTCATAAACGCGCGCATGTTGCGCATCTCGCCCTGCGGATTCCACTGCCACGCACCGTCCACACTCACGACATCGAAGTTCCACAGCAAGCGCGTCAGAATCAACCGCATCTCCATGTAACTCAGATTCTTGCCTATGCAGCCCCGTGGACCGAGGGAGAACGGCTGGAAACCCTTTTTGTTATCCGTGGCGTTGTATGCCGGGTCGATGAAGCGCTCGGGTATGAAAGTGTCGCAGTCTTTGAAGTGTGCGGGATTGTGTGCGGCGGCCCAGCTGCCGACTGCCACGGATGTACCGCCGGGGACAAAGTGCCCGTCGATCGTGTCGCCTCCGGCCGGGACGGTGCGCAGCAGTCCTGTTGGGACGGGCGGGTGGATGCGTAGGCCTTCTTCGAGGCATGCGTTCAGATAGACGAGTTTCGATGTCGAGTCGTAGGTAATTTGATCTTCAGAGCTGAAGGCGGCGCGGATCTCGACGCACAGCTTCTCCATTTTATCTGGATTCCAGATCAGGCGAGCGATCAGCCCAGAGAGCAGGTTCGCGGTGGTCTCCGAGCCGGCAACAATGAACAAGGCGCCGTTGAGCACGATTTCGTTTTCTTTCAAATCGTGCTTCTCGCGCTGTTTGAGGATGTAGTAGATGAAGTCCTTGTGGTCCGCTTTATGGTTGGCCAGGCGCCGGAGGACTTTTTCTTTCGAGTACGCGAGGTGATTGCGTCGGCGCTGCCGAACGTGCTGGGGGATCATGCTGACCAATTGTGCCTGCAACCAAGAGCCCGCAGGGGCGAAGCGGCGGGTTGCTTGCTCGAGGGCACCGACTTTCACTGTTTCGTAGATCAACGCGACCCAGGAGTGGAATGCCCCCTTCTCGAGGCAGCCAAAGGGCTCGCCGAATGCGAGGTCGCCGATGATATCGAATGTCGTGAAGTTGAGCCAGTTGACCATGTTGAAGGCCTCGGAGGCGTCGGCCTTGCGGCGTAGACTCTTAATAAAAGAGGAGACATAGCCTTGGATGATATCTTCCTGCTCTAGTAGGGCCTTGGTGCTAAAAGAGTGAGCGAGTGCTCGACGCTGACGAGCGTGATTCTCGTCGTCCGCCATTGTAAGCGTGGACGCCCCAGGTAAGGGGTCGACTGAACCAACGTGGATTGGGTCTTTGTGCATATTCGGTCTCCCTTGCCGGTGGCCGTAGATATCTTCCCACGCCTGTGCTGAGTTGAATGCAAGCTCGTTAGGAGAGACTCGCACAACCGCCCCATACTTGTCGTGCAGCAGCTTATTGTCAAGAGGCAGGCGACCTCGTAGGAGGGAATAAATCCCGGGCAGTGGACTTATGGCGTTGAGTCTTGGGCCTGGAAACTTCGCCAGAGGGTGGAAATACAGGTTGTACATCCATAATCCAATAGTGTACATGCAAAACAGTAAGGCAGTCGCTCCGGCCAACAGCCTTGCTGCACCAGCCACTGACCTTCCAGGGTGAGTGACGAGTTCTTGACTGATTTGCTCCATGGTGGAAGCTGAACGTTCCTCTTGTGAGTGTGAGCGCAACTTGGCCGGACTGGAATCAAGACTCAATCATCTTTAACATAACATAATGCCTCAAGGCAATGTTAGACTGCCTCCAATGAAGTGGGCCTCATCCATGGAAGCCGGCACTTTTTTTGTGCTGTAGTCATTGTTAGATTCCCGCGAGTGGGATCCATTAGCTACAGTAATCAGTTTCGTTGATGCCCATTGGCCACGTCCTGGAGAGATAGAAAACGGGGTAGCACGAGAATGACCTCGGGACAGGATATCATTTTCCAGATCCGGGGCCACTAATTGTAGATCTTTCCGCTAATGACTCGCGCAGCAAGCTGAGTCAGTTCCAAGGCTCTGGATCACGTGTCGTTGCTTCGCGACAAGATAAGGCTGTAGCGAGAAGAATTGCATATGATTACAGCTTGGTGAGTCGGCCTGAGGATAATCTAGCGCCTCCATCCAATGATATATCTTCGCCGTTGACGTAGTTCGCTGCAGGAGAGGCGAGGAAGAGCATCACTCCAGCAATGTCTTCTGGCACCCCTAACCTTCCTCGAGGGTTCGTCCTTGACAGCTCCTCTTCGCCACCCAATATGTCAATGAGACCGCTTGCTAGCTTGGATGGGAAAAACCCAGGCTTGACAGTATTGGTAGTAATATTTCGCGGCCCCAGCTCCACTGCAAGATTTCGAGCCATATGATCAGCCGCTGCCTTGGAGGCTGAATACATAATGGTGCCGTGCTCTCCTACATGAGGGACATTGGTGCCGGCAGTGGAACTGACGATGATCACACGTGCAGGATCTGAAGGCATGCCTGCCGCTTCTAACATCGGCGCGAATCTGCATGAATGTCAGTTGAGGCGACAAAGCGGGGGTGAGAAACTGACAGCCTGACGAGATTGAAAACACCCCGGACGTTCAAATCGAGCACCTTTGCACTGGCCCAGTCTGGTGTTGGATCAAAAGGCCCACCCCAAGTTGCTCCTGCATTTGCCACGAGGATGTGAAGTTTTGGCTCTGTCTTCTTCACTTCCTGTACAAGTTGCTGAATGCCTTTCTCGTCGGCAACATTGGCGGGTATGCCTATCACAGTGCCATTGCAACCGAGTCGATTCAGTTTCTCAACTGCTTGGTTGATGCCCTGAGAGCCGTCTGTTTTTCGGGCGCATATAAAGACTTTTTCTGCGCCCGCTCTCAAGAAAGCTGTTGCAGCATGCAGTCCAAGTCCTCGCGAGCCTGTATGATCGAGTCAGCTCGAGTCGCGCAGAATTCTAGGACGAATTACTTATCCTGTGACAAGCGCAACTTTTCCTTCAAGCGAGAAGAATCTCTCGAACCTTTTGAGATCTGACATTGTTACTGAAAGAAGTGATAATGGTGCTGTACCCCTATCAACTCGAGGCGGTTTCGAAACAACTGAAAGGGGATGCAACTCAGGACTAAAGCCCAAATTCTTGATTCCGACGCTGTGGGAGGTAGAGTCTGTCGGGTGGGGCCCGGATCCACCTACTTCGTAAGAAGGAGCCTCGCTCGAGCCGAGGGATTCTGACGAGCCTAAAAGCCCGAGCAGCGTCGGGAACGGTCCTTTGCCGAGGCTAACAGTTACCTCTGTCTGAATACATCAACTCTTGATAAAATTCGAATACAATAGGAGTCATGTAAACAAGACTGTGCAAATATGGGTTACAAGTCGCTTTTCCCAGATCTTGAGATCCCCAAGTGCAACGTTCTCTCGTTTCTCTTTCCTCAGGGCAAACAGCCCTCGGATCAAGCCATATGGATCGATGCAGCGGATCCACGACATTTCCTAACACCTCGCCTGTGTCTATCATGGGTCAGGCGGCTGGGCTTTGGGCTTGATAGACTCGGCATCGGGAGGCAACAAGTGGTGATGATTTTCACTCCAAATCACATTTTCGTGCCTGTTGCATACCTGGGCATTGTCGGGTCAGGGCGTATCTTCAGTGCCGCCAACCCAGTTTATACTGTCAATGAAGTCGAGTACCAGATCAAGAATACCGGAGCCTCATGCATATTTGTGCATCCCGATCATGTGGAGACAGCAGTGGAAGCAGCCCGCCGTGCTGGTCTCGACCAAAGCAAGATCTTCCAGTTTTCAGACAAGCCTTGTCAGACAAAGACGGGTGTCCGGGATTGGAGAGAAGCCATGGCAGGAAGTCAGTCGGAAGCAGAATCATGGCAGTGGGATTCCATGACAGAGACGTCGACAACCAATATCGCAACCATCAATTACTCCTCAGGCACGACAGGACTACCAAAGGGGGTTTGCATCTCTCATCACAACCTTCTAGCAAATGTCGTCCAAACTATTTTTATGCGCGACCTAGAACAACCATACAACAAGCGAAGTCAACCGCAAGAGCGGTGGGTTGGGTTCTTACCGTTATATCACGCCTACGGTAAGGTCAAGTGCTAGTGGAACCAGGACGGGCTAACAAAGCTAGGACAATTATATGTCAACTTGATTGCGCCAACTCTCTTATTTCCAACATATGTGATGAAGAAGTTTGTCTACGAGGACTTCTTGGGGGTAATTCAAACACACCAAATTACGAATCTTCAAGTTGCACCACCCATTCTTATCATGCTAGATAAGCGACCAGAGACTGTAAGGTATGACCTGAGCAGTGTCAATCACATTCTTTGCGGTGCAGCACCTCTCAGCAAAGAGCTTCAAAGAGCGGTTGCAAAGAAGGTCGACTGCAACATAATTCAAGGTTGGGGTATGACAGAGGTGACCTGTGGCTCGCTACTTGTTCCCGGAGGCCGATACGACGAGTCTGGCAGCGTCGGGCTGATCCTGCCTAACCACGAGTTCAAGCTCCTCGACGATGATGGGAAGGAGGTTGCGGAAGGCCAGCCAGGCGAAATGTTTGTCAGAGCACCCAATGTCTGTGTCGGATACTGGAGGAACGAGCAAGCAACAAAAGAAAGCCTGGACAGCGGAGGATGGCTCAAGACAGGAGATATTGCAGTGGTGAAAGACAACTGGTTCTGGATCGTCGACAGGAAGAAGGAATTGATCAAGGTCAATGCCCTCCAAGTGGCACCTGCTGAGCTGGAGGCAGTGCTACTGGAGAATGGGGACGTCGCAGACGCAGCGGTTACAGGGATTACGCTTGGAGACGAAGAATGGCCTCGCGCTTATGTCAGCCTGAAGGATAAGAAGAAAGGCCAAGTCACGGAAACTCAGATACAAGAATGGATGAAAGGCAAGGTCGCAAAGCATAAGCAATTGGTGGGCGGCGTCAAATTCGTAGATGAGGTACCTAAACTGGCGTCGGGCAAGATTCAAAGGAAAGTTGTGAGGGAGTGGGCCAAGAGGGACGCCCTGGAGCTGGAAAAGGGGGGACGGCCTCGTCTGTAGTCAACCTCCTAGGCTGCCTCCCCTATCAAAGGATGTACATTCTATACTTCATATGGATAACGTATCCGCGTATGCTCGGGAGAACCACAAGCACGAATACTGTATAGAGGCCAAGTAACTTTGCTCCTTTTGCTTGCCTTTTGCGGGCCGCCTTTTCCGCCCCTCGTCGTTCTCGGGCTGACCTCCTGACTCGCGTCAAGTGCATGCTCCCGATCCACCCCTGGCATTCATGGGACGAGTCTGGTCTAGTCGTAGCCACGGGCGCGAACCAAGTCTCTCGAAATAGGATGAATACCTTGCTGCCGCATCATGTAATGAAGAAAGACATCCATAACATTCTGATATCATTTCAATCTCTCCGAGATTGTAACCCCCGCCAGTTCTCACTGAGGCAAACATCCATCAGCCGCTCACCGCGAACATGGGCTCCACCAGTGACCCGCGCATCATGAAAGCAGGACAATGGGACCCCAAACAGCAGAAGTGTATCATCAACGACATCCCCATCCCGGAGCCAGGACCAGGCCAATTCCTCATTAAGATCGCAAGTGCCTCGTTATGCCACTCGGACATCCTGGCCACGCAAGCGCCACTAGAGAAGCCCTTCACCCTTGGCCATGAAGGCGCTGGCTATATCCATAAGATGGGCCAGGGCTCAGAGGATAAAGGATTCCAGATCAACGACGCTGTCGGATTTCTCTACTTCGACGGAGGCTGTTACGAATGCGAGGGTTGCCTATCGCATAACTCTAAATGCCAGCGGGGGACTGCTTTGCTTCATGGCTTCACCACCGACGGCTTCTTCCAGGAATATGCGACGGTTGACTGGCAGAACTGTGTGATTCTGCCTAGTACCCTTGACATCAGGAAAGCTTCTCCCATATTCTGTGCTGGCATCACAGGTATGTCTTTCTACTACGGACTCCTTCCTGGCTTTCCTAGCTTCAGACAGCTTGCTCCGCACATGAACTGCCGGCTGACTCCCCATAGCTTTCCACGCGGTCAACTCCTGCTCGTTAAAACCAAAGCAATGGTTCGCCGTCATCGGCGCGGGCGGCCTTGGGCAGCTTGCCACACAATACGCAAAAGCCATGTCCCTGAACGTCATCGCCATCGACATCAACGACTCCACGCTCGAGATCTGCAAATCCCAAGGGGCTGACTACGTATTCAACTCTAAAACTGACGCCAACTACGTCGAGGACATAAAATCGCTCACCAACGGAGGATGTCACGCCACTGCCGTCTTCAGCGCCTCTAATGCCGCATATGCTTCTGCTCCGAGCATCCTGAGAGTGAACGGAATATTGATGGTGATTGGGATTACGAAGGAGCCGTTGCAGGTGAGTACGTATGATCTGGCGGTGGCAAGTTATCGCATCATGGCGGAGAGTACGAGTACACCGCAGCGTATGGGCAAGGCGGTGGAGTTTTCAGCGAGGCATAATATTGTGCCCGAGGTGGAATTTAGGAAGCTGGGGGAGTTGGACGAGATGGTGAATGAGATGAAGGCGGGGCAGAGCCAGAGAAGGAAGGTTGTTGTCTTTTAGGCACATGCTGTACAAGTTACTGTCAATCACAGGAAGAGACTGTGCTTAACTATTTGAAGACATAAGTGCTTGAAATCAGATACTTCTGAATCTTGAACATCTGGTACGAACTGGTGGCAGCTTGAATAGTCGTAGCTCCACCAGACCATCTCATCCCCATAGCCTGGCCGCCCCTTCCATCAAATCATCCAACTCAACTTGACCCGTTCAGCCCCTAATAAGTCATATTTATCATAATCGTCTTCGGCTCCGTGAAAGCCTGCAGCGCAGCCCTACCGCATTCTCTGCCCAGACCGCTCTCCTTGCTACCACCAAACGGCGCGGTCAAGAAGGTCAGGCTGACGCAATTGATGCCAACCATGCCTGAATCGAATTCGCTAGCCACCCGGAGTGCCTTGTTGATGTCTTGTGTGAAGACGCCTGCCATGAGCCCGTACTCTGTGGCATTGGCCGCTTTGATCACCTCCTCCTCAGTCTTGAAAGAGTTGAGGACTGATACAGGGCCGAATATTTCATTCGAGTAGATTTCTGCATCAGCACTCACGCCAGTGAAGACCGTAGGTTCCACGTAAAAGCCAGAGTCCCCGACCTTGTTGCCACCGGTAAGAAGAGTGCCCTGTTTTCCCGATACTCCTCGTTCAATGAAGCCATTGACGCGCGAATACTGGGCTTCATCCACCAGTGGACCTATTTGTGTGGTTTCTTTATCCGGGTCGCCTATCGTCTTTGCTTTCTCCTCCAGCTTTTCTTTGTACAGCCTAGAGAATTTGTCGAAGACGCCTTCCTGGACGTAGACACGGGTTGCTGCGAAGCAGACTTGGCCAGTATTGGCAGCCAACGCGTTTGCACACCAGGTCACTGCATTATCCAGGTTGCAGTCATCAAATACCACCGCAGGAGATTTGCCTCCTAACTCGAGAGTGACGCGCTTGAGGTTAGATTTGGAAGCCATCTCCTGAATTTTCTTGCCTGTGGGGATGCTGCCAGTGAAACTGACCTTACGGATTCGCATGTGGCTGGCAATAATTGCTCCAGTAGAGCCGTCGCCTGTGAGGACTTGGAACACGCCTGGTGGGAAACCAGCTTCCTTAATAAGAGGCCCAAGGGCAGCAGCAGCGAATGGAGTCTTTTCTGAAGGTTTGAGAATAAAGCAATTGCCAGTGGCCAGAGCAGGGGCCGCCTTCAGACCAACTGTGCCCAAAGGGCCATTCCAGGGGACAATTCCTGCGGTAACACCGAGAGGTTCATTGCGAGTAATTTGCATGAAGCCATTTTCTTGGGGTACCGCATCTCCGAGAAACTTATCAACCCAGCCAGCGTTGTACTTGAACGCTTCTGCCGCAAGTCCGACCTCGAATGCACCGAAGGAGCCAAAGGGGGCGCCTAGAGTGATCCGAGTCAATTCAGCGAGAGCCTCGGTATGCTTGATGAGGAGATCTGCGAACTTGAGCATAATATCTCGACGTTGCGATGCCGTGATTTTCTTCCACCCAGGAAGGGCTGCTTCGGCGGCCGCAACAGCTGCGTCGACATCATGCTCATTGGCCAAAGGGACCTTGTCGCTCACTAGAGATTTGTCCTTAGGGTTGTACACTGTCAGGAGCTTCCCAGACTTTGAATCAACATACTCATTGTTGATGAAGAGCTTGAGAGGGAGGTTCTTTGCGGAGTACTCGAACGCTGCAGTTCCATTTGAAGTTCCGTTTGCAGTCATGGTGAATTAGCAGGAAAGTCTTTGGTTGACGTTTGCCCTAGCTGATGAGAGTCTCCTTACAGCTGGTTTTGAAAAGAGAATCTGTCGTCACACATTGACGGTCGTCCATGGAACTTACACAGAAGCTCTCCGCGTTGCGGCCTCTTCTGGACCATGACGCGCCAAAGTACGTGGAACTCCACAATCATGAATAATGAAGCCAGGCGGGACCCAGCGCGAATAGCTTGGGGCGGCTGAGCTCAAAGGAAAAGATTTTCCACCAGTCGGGGCTAGGAGGAGCTGTTTAGAAAAGGGCCTATCGCTGTATCTCGCGAGTCATGCAGCTCGTAATTCGTTCACCTGGCCCCGCACCCCAGACTTGGCCCTCGGCCCCAGACGTCGGGTTAGTGCCCCCCAGGAGATTACAGCGTACTGTACTCGTAAGTTATGGAGTTACGAGGAAGCCGGAAAGGCCTGAAGCCGAGTGCTGCTGGCAGCAGAAGCGCAACCTCCGCCTAACTAGAGCCAAGCTCCTGTCCACATGAATCCTGGCCTGGCTAAAATTTGCCATGGATGAAATCTTCCCTCTGTCTTGCCTTCGGAAATCCCTCTCCTCCGTGTCTTAGATGGCAAAATTTGAACCTGATCGAACGGGAGGCTATCATTAAGTGACAAGCTAGCTAAAGATGATCCCCAGATGTTGGTGGAGATGACCAACATGGCGACACAAGACCCACAGCTGCAAGCGAACATGCTGCCTCCCGCTCAAGCATCAGCCTCGTCGGGCAAGCCTCAGAAGCCTAGGCATCGTGCTTCTGTGGCATGTGCATCGTGCCGTGATCGGAGGACTAGGTGTGTGATTTTGGCAGGACAGAACCAGTGCACTCAGTGCAAGAGCAATGGCCACGAATGCGTCATCAAGTACGACGATGAACGTCGGAAACCAAATTCGAAATCCTACATCAGTTCTCTGACAGACAGGATCACGCACTTGGAGAGTCTTCTCCGTGAGAAGGACCATGGAGAAGAACAGTCGCAGCCACTTCAAGAAGGTGACCAGCAATATAGCAACAGCGATGTTGGAATCAGCGCCACACCAACCCGACAAACGACACTGGAGCCTGCACGTTCTCTCCAGCCTGAATCTTCCATCATTCACAGACCCGGTATTCCTCATCCGGACTCGGAAATCGATGCTGTCTCTCCGCAAAGCTCGAGTTCGCTCGGGAGTTCCAGCATGGTCAGCAAATTATTGTCGACTACTGGACATCTAAGCTTCGATCAGCTCAGCGGGCGCCTTCGCTATTTCGGTCCTGTTGCCAACTGCCACATCCATTCCGAGCTCAAAGCTCAGAGCGAGGATGCCAACCGTCAAGCGTTGGAGCAACAGCGGCGAGCAGAGAAAGCTATCCGTTCCATCTCTTTCGATACTCATGATTACCTGATGAGTCTTTTCTGGGATCACTACAACTCTGTCCTTCATGTTATCCATCAAGCCGCCTTCGAAGAAGAGATGGAAAGCGGTGCCAGACGTTTTTATTCTGGCTTCCTACATGTTTGCGTCCTTGCCATGGGTTATCGGTTTGCGGACAAAAAGAGACCCGACATGATACGAATATCTTTGCCGGACAAGGAGAATACCCTGCATAGGGAAGCCAAGTATATGCTTGAGTATGAGATAGAACAGCCTGGTGGTATTCCTAGCATTGTTGCTCTACTACTACTGGGAGACTTGGAAGCAGGCGTCGGCAGAGATAATCTTGGATGGCTGTATGCAGGCATGGCTAACAGATTATGTTTCGAGATCGGCCTTCACCTCGACACAACAAATACAGGCGCTAGTCAAAGAGAGATCGAGATTGGGCGCATGACTCTCTGGGCATGTATTGTCTATGACAAATACTGGGCACTATTCCTCGGCCGTCCAACTATGATGAAGCCTGCGGATCTGGAGGTCTACAAGCTCAGTGTAGAGTTTGAGCGACTTGGAACTAACCTCCCTGCCGGGCCATCGAAGAGTCGAGAGACACAGATATACGAAGCGTTACTGGACCTAATGGAACTCGCTGGCAAAATCACAGAGATCATGGACCAGGCTTCGAAACTCAACACCAATATCGACCATCATGTCTACTTTCGCATGTCGGCGTTGCATCGCGAACTAGAATCTTGGTACTCTCGTCTCCCAAAGACTCTCCAATGGAGTGCCGATAACATCGCAACCTCTCCTTTCTCCTTTTTCTTGTTGCACCAGCAGTATAGTGCCACTATGATACTTCTACACCGGCCATTTGCTCGTTACGATGACCCAAACGCTGCACAGTCTGGCTCGGGTGAAAGCAGCGAGGACGACTCCGACACAGGCAAGATAGTCAATCCTACCCATCATTTTTCAGCCCTCTCGCGCACAGTTTGCACACAGCATGCTGTTCGAATTGCGAGGATCTTTTGGCAGCATCGACAAAGATTTGATACCAAGCAAATCTTCGTCACAGGCCTTCAACACGCTGGGACCGCAGCTACCGCACTCGTTGCCGCCCTTGCTTTCATGAAAGACCGGTCCACAAGAAACAATAATATGCAATATCTTGAGTGTCTGGCAGCAGCCTTGCAGGACATGTCGCAGACATATGTGCCAGCAGAAAAGATGTCTAATGTTCTCGAAGCGGTTAACATTGAGCTTCGAGATGCGGTACCTGAACGACGTACGGTCCCAGCTCGGAGACGCAGCTCACATCACGATATTCAGGAGCAAGGCTCATTCAAACGACACTTGTCTTTCCATCGAAATCCGCCGCCACAGGTACTCGAGAACGGTGTCCCTCAGCCCAAGCACCACGAACAGGCCTTCAGCCAGCTCAGCGCAAGCCATCCGCGGTTCAATGACATAAATGAGATAACCGATCAATATGGTACCGACCAGTATCAGGATACAAGCCAAATGTTCTCGGGTGATGCTGGGAGAATGAACGGCCAGCATAAACCCCCCCCCTACGTGAACGATTGGCCAACCCTCTCCCAGGACCTTTCTACCTTCGACCACCCCATGCTTCACCAAGATCGTTCCTCCTCAACATCTTCCAACATATACCCAGACCAAGTATCTCAACCCCAGCCCTCCGCTTTCAGCTTGTCCACCAGCAACACAACCTCCTCGTCCAACTTCACCCAATACCGCTCTTCCAACGCCAATACGTGGATGGGCGCAGACACCCCACGCCACGGTTTCTCTCCTTCCCCAGTTGGCATGCAAACACCTCCCTCCTTCCAAGGTCTGAGTCGACCAGCACATACCCAAAGACAGCAGAACTCCCACCGCGCCGCTCTCCATGAAATCCAAGATCTTACGTCGACGGACTTCGTCGGCATCCTCAACGCAGACGATAAACTCGACTTTGGCAATCTCGGTATGCCGAGTGGCATGAACATGAGTAATTTTGGCGTGAACGTGACCGTCAATCCCAATTCCATGGCCATGCACAGTCACAGTCACGGTGATAGCGGAGGGATCATGAGGGACTTGGATGGTTACCCGCCTCTACCGACGCCGAAGAGCAGCAATTCTGGTGACGGGCCAGGGTCGGGAGGAAGTGTGAGGAGTGGTGAGAGTGGAAGTGGGATTTCCACCGTTGGAAGTGGAGGCGCAGGAAGAGCGCAGAGGGCTGGACAGTCTGCGCAAGGCCAGAATGGTAGCATGAATGATCCAACATTTTCGAAGACGGTGGCTGGACTCGCTGATATGCTTCGGAGGAGGGCTTGTGATAGCTGATGGCAATGTTGTACGCGGGCGTTTCTTTTGAAAATCGAATCAACAAGGCAACCATCGATGGAACGCGATGCTATTATAATGATTGATACGGCGGTGGCAAACGTCTTAGCAACGGCTTGGGTAGTTTGGACACTTGGATGTACGGACTATCATCTGCGAATTCATGTATTTACGAATGAAATCTCCGGGGAATGGCAGATGGGCTTCTCCTACACACGGATATCCAGTCATGGATCAAAATGTAATGAATAACGGACGCTGTATCTACTTTACAGCCAATAGTACTGCCTGGATGCCGACCGACCTACATGGGCACAAATGTATCCGTGTAAGTACGAACAATAGTAGATATTTAAATATACACCACTTCAATTTGTTTGTTCAAGTGGACCAGTTACTCCTCAGCAACATGCCTACTGGCAGTGCTAGGTCTGAAGCGTAACGTTGCCATTGCCTGATTAACTAGATGAGCGAGGACTCCGTTGTCGCAATCCGACCGGTGAACGTAACCTACAAACACCATGCTCATGTGCCCGCCTCGATAGGATCGATCATTCATCTAAGGAAAAAACCAAAACGCTGTATTGCTTTTTGTACAACCATTTCCCATTATATTGTTAAAAGAGCTCCTCCAATCAGCCATGAAGGAAAGACATAGACTTTTGAGCGAAGAGTTTGCGTTTATCAATCAAATTCATATCGTTAATCGTGGTCAGTCGACAGGATCAAGCTATATTGCCAGCCATGCCCTATTTTCAAGGATTTGGTTAGATCTCTATTGTGTATTGACAGAAGCAACCGGAGAAGTCTCGTCACATCAAACTGGAAGGTGCAACATGGAACTCACCAGGAAGATAGCCTGCGCCGCCAGTTGCAGGCTCCATAAGCCAACCTTTTTGAACCGTCTCATGCGCGCTTGCTCATCTGTGACATCTCTCGCAAAAGCATCGTAGACCTCAGCTGATAAGTCGTCTAGAAGACCTGAATCAAAGAGCGTCCAGCTACCATCGAAATCTGATTGACGCTTCACAACGCGGCAGTTGATTGGAATAAATGTACGCCGAGAATTGATATATGCGACAATGGGACGAATGAGTGCGTTATTGACGTAGCTCAGGTCGCTTGTGAAAAGAGGAACGACTGCACGGACATCATTCAGATGGATTCGAAGATCCATCACGAGAAACCTTTTATCTTCGTCTTTTGCCGCCAGCAATAAGGGCTGTGGTGCCGGTATATCGCTGCCAGCGTAAGGAGTAATACTGGACATATCTTCTCGGAGTTGCTCCAGGTGTTTCTTAGATGTCAGAGTCTCTTCTAGTCGTTCATAGAAATCTGTCATGACTTTGATTACTGAGTCTTCGTTGTCGCTGGGAATCATGATGTCGGCGACGATGTCAACGTTGCCTTCGTGGATCCAGGAAAGAGGGCCAACGGCACCCCTGTTGAGATGGTCAATATTCAGGGCGTCGACACGAATCCGGGACTGCTTTTTCCAGGGCTCATTGGAGGGGTCCTCAGGATCATTGAGTTGAGCACCAGTATATGAGTGGGTTTGACGCGGATGGATGGTAAATAGAGAACGATCAAATTCTCCTGTCATGCTATTGGCCGACAGAAAGTCGTAGAAGAGCCACTGCTTCCGGAGGCGTGGTAGGTCCGCATGGTATATACTGACAGGAAATGGTCTAAAATCCTGCGGTTGAAGAACTGTGACAAGTAAATCTTCAATCTTAAAAGACTCAATCTCGAAATCTCCAGGTTCGTGTTCATGGCGATATGACTTGGGGTCGAGTTCTTCACCAGTCCAGAATACATGCTTTCGATCAACGACACCTCTGACATGTTTAACCTCGACATTTTGCAATGGACCTTTCGAATTCCACCACTTGTTGAATGAAAGCGTCACATTTATCTCCCCAATGGTTATGTCGAACTGGGTGTAATTTTGCTCTTCGGGAGGTATTGGTTCTTCGGCGGAGACAGCCTGTGCTGCAGCTTCTGGTGAGCCCTTCTTCACCTTCGATTTCCGCTGCCCCGGTCTCCTCGACACGTAGACGTTTCTAAACGTAATGACTCCATCACCCCATTTCGGGACAATAGCAGATTCAAAAACAACTTGGAGCCCGGACGATTTGGTCAAGTAGTTACCGATCCAGCCAGCTAATGTCTCTTGTGCGAACACAGTGTTGATGGCGAGAATAGCAAGTGAAACAAACGTGGTGGTTCCGATAACAATCCAGATAACGTGACCCAGAGCAATCCAGGAAATGAAGCCGACAATCTCGTCCATATTGAAAGGGCGAGTGCTCTTAATTGTCAGCCACTTGAAGCGGACCTTCATTCTTGACCAAAACCCAGTCGCAGCGGCGAGAAGTTCTTCCTTGGTTGGACGATGGAATTGAGGCAGATGGATTCGATCGTAGAAATGCTCCTGATGGGATTGGTGTTGCTCCTCGGCTGGATTGATATTGGCATTGGGCATGGCTTGCGGATCCGGATTGCTCTGTTTGTCTTGTTTCTGGATCGGCTCTTCTCTTCTCTGATGCTCATGGTTTCTATCATGGTATCTCCCGCTCAAGTGGAATGCCCTTGACAGCGAAGGTAGTCTCCGTCGAAAGGCGACATCGTTGCACTTAAGTCGAAGTGGGCGATCTAGTTGAAGAATTGTAGAATTCTGGTACGGTTTGGAACAAGCAGCATGAGATATCGTCGACTGGGTTGACGAATGCCTTCGCAATGATTGGGAACGAAGCTCATTTGATCTGCGGGAAGAAAGTACGGGCACCCTAGAGGATGGTAGCCTCGTCAGCGTCGATATCTTTCGAGATGAAATTGGTAACCGGTTTGGAATATGATACAGGAAGCTCTGGTCGGCAAAGACAAGCAGTCTTTGCGTCACTCGGGTCGAGGTCTGCGCGACTGCAGAGAACTTTGAGACATTTCTCATGCCTCGGACGAAGGCCTCCGTCATGGCATGTGGATCATTCTGGATTCACACTCCTTGTTTCTGCTTGGAATGACAGATATGAAAGGAAGTGGTTGGTTAGAGTGTCAAATGAAGTCGCCGTAGTTGATTGTGCAGGTTAGATTGGGATTGGAGAATCGAGATACAGGCACATGTGAAAAGACTGGGCACATCAAATGACAAACTTAAGCGACATTAAAGCGGCGGGATGCTAAACCCAGTGTTGCGGCGAGTGTCAGACAGCTAGCTATCAGTCCGAATGATTGTCTTGTGCCCAGGTATGACTCTGAGAGGTCAGTCACGTAGCATAGAGAAACGTCTGACAAAATCTATAATCTGTTTGGGAGGTCGAAATACTCGATCACGTGTAGAGGGATAGAGCGCCTGTTTCCTTCCCACCAGTAACGCCTTCGTCTCCGGTGCATCCATCCTGAGGGATCATTTAGATGCTGGACAAGACCCGCTTCACCAGATCGTGATGAATGACAGTGATCGTTGTCATAGAGAGCAATTGACAAGTTTGTTTGACGGCATCGTCAATGACAGCACAGGCCAGAGCCATAACTTCTTATCTTGTTATTGTCACACCATCAGAGAGAATCAGAGGAAGCGTCTCCATTTCCTCCCACGCTTTGCTTTAGTAATCTTCTCAAAGACCATTCTAGACCCGAATGCATACCACTCCGCCGTCATCGTACGCTCTATGTTGTCCATAGTCTTCTCGATGGCTGTAATAAATTGTTCACTCGGCACCACATTTGCTTCGACAACGGTTGCTAGCGCGGCGAGGAATTCCCGGTGCAAGGCCTGGTTGCTCTGCTTCTCGGGCTCTACAGTTGCCAAAGTGAGCTTTTTCTGGTCGTTCATTGCCACGTATCTTGTGGAAGCACCGTCGCTGGTCTTACTGTCCGGGGCGATGTAGCTTTGGCCGACCCACAACCCTGCTGTGGTCGAGCGCCACTCCACCGAGGGATGTGAGACGTTATGAACGATAGTGTAGTCGGTTGTAACCTGTTTGCAAACGAAACCATCACCAAACTGGATCTTGAGCGGCAGCATCTCGGGGCCAGACTCAGGTTGATACTCGCTGGCATCGACGACCACGCTTGCGATCTCTATCTCCCGAACGGGTTCGAGACAAAAGACGACTTTTGCAAGGATAATGACGAGCTCGGCCCCAATCCAGGGGTATGCCCAGTTGGTCAAGCCGACTATCAAGATGGTCGAAACGACATCTAGAAAACCGCTGAGGAGAATCATGCCACCTGCGACCCGCAACATTGGTTGCTCATACTTTGCATTGTACAATTGAAACCCGCTGAGGTTATTCAGATGAAAGCTGAAGACTTCAGAGATGACATGCTCCCCCGGGTTGGGCATCTGAAGGCAGCGGTACTCCGGAGAACCAATACGATTGAGGTCCACTTCAGCCTTGCCCTGGCCACGGGCGATCTGGATCATGATAACGGGCACTAGCCACAGTGCGACGGTAATTGCTTGGACGACGATTAGTAATTGGCGAGTGCCTTCTGCACCGTTCTGCACGGCCAAGAAGGTCTCAGTACTATAGAGAGCGAGATAGATGATGGAGCCCACACACAGCCTTGTATAATTATTCTGCTTCAATCGGATTGTCGACGGGCGTCCTCGAGCCTGGAACCATGCCTCAACCATGTAAGTTTCGGCCATGTTGTGGTTGACGATCAGGCTTGTCGTGTGTCGTTCAGGTGTTCCTGTTGGGACGTGTTGCAGCTTGGGCATGAACGCGTTTATGTATTCGTCATGGGCGTACGACAACTCGCCAACAGTACTGCGGTAAAGCTCGAAACTCCAAAGCAGGATTCCCAGTTGCAGCTTGGACAATACACGACCAGCGCCTATCCCAGCCATAACGAAAGACGCAGGAAAGATGCGACTAGCAACCAGTTTGACATTCTGCATTTTGCCCGTCAACACTGGGAGGAGAGTGAGTATCGAGTTCATGCCATTGATATTTTGTACGGCTGACTGCCAATCTCGCCCTCGGGGATCAGGATCGAGTTCCCTTGGAAGAACGAGCGCAGCCGTCAATCCTAAGGTGTTGAGCAAGGCTATGAAGGTTGAAAACATCATTCTTCCACATTCTCACTCTTTGCAGTTTTTGTCGTCGCAACGAAAAGATGAGAGGTTGATGATTGAAACACCACCAAGTATGTGAAACGACGACATGAAGGATATCAAGGAAAATATTCTCGGTACTGTATGGAGTAAGTGCTGCAGCCTTATTATTATCTCGCAATCAGGCTCATTGGAAAAGGGTTGTGCATGGCACCAGGCTTGAACACGTAGCTCAGCGGTATTGTTAGTCAGTACCCTGGGCTGCGTCTGCTACCAGGGGACATATTCACTAGTCCACTCCACAGGCCGGGGTTTCAACCAACACCACCCATATCGAACACTCCGTAGTCCCATTTCCGTACGAGACTTACTATCTTGATATGCCACACCTTCATAGTAACTGAAGTTTAGCCGGCCCTCCCGTCATGGATTGCCCCTTCTAGAAGCGGCGTGAACATATGATTCCTTTCCTGATGTGTTTATTCCCAACCATTCAACCAGGCTGCCACCAAAAGCGCGTGATTAAGGCGGGCGTACTCCGTACTGTAGTGCTGTTTCGTGTACAGTAACATGGCCGTTGTGTGGTGCAGCTCTTTTCGCCAATCACGTACTTGGACCTCGTGGGCAGGCCGGCTCAGCTTTTCGCTTAGAGATAGATGCTGGTCACTTTCCTTAATGGACTTGCTATTAGGTACTCTAGGGGCGCTTGGTTTCGGCCCCAAGTGCACGATGAGTCAAAAGCAATAAATAAGGCCACCGGTCACGGTGGAAACTGTGTTGGGAATTTTGCCTTGCCGCCTTGTGACTGGCAATTCCTAATCCTGAATTTCCTCTTGCCGCTATTTTTAAGTTTTGATCCCACTTCTTTTTTTTGTGCGGAGAACTTGAGGCTGTGAATTTACGACAATCAAATACAGCCTTTTCGCAAAGCCTCGATACTTCTCCAGTCATACACTCAATCCACAGCACCAAGAAGAACGATGCCTGCCCCTACAGCGTTGCAACGCGCACCAGAATCTCTCACTGAGGATGTCCGGAACGCTCACGAAATCGCCCTCCCGCCCTCCAGCGCCGATGGAAACATCGACGAAGAAATTATAACGACCGAAACACAAACTCTACCAGAAGAACCCTCGGAAGACGACTCGATGCAGATAGACGAAGAAGGGCGACCGCGCTTCGGCCCTCTGTCGATATCCTCACAACAACAACCCGACTCCTCAACAGCGCTACGAATACAATCTCGAAAAGTCCTCATCCCACCGCACCGCATGTCACCACTGAAGAACAGCTGGTCAAAGATCTACCCACCGCTGGTCGAGCACCTGAAACTCCAGGTGCGAATGAACATAAAATCCAAAGCGGTGGAGCTGCGCACATCGAAATTTACCACCGACGCCGGGGCGCTGCAGAAGGGCGAAGATTTCGTCAAGGCGTTCACACTGGGATTCGACGTCGACGACGCCATTGCCTTGCTGCGACTAGACGACTTGTACATTGAGACCTTCGAGATCAAGGACGTAAAGACCCTACAAGGCGAGCACTTGGGCCGAGCCATTGGTCGCATAGCCGGCAAGGACGGCAAGACCAAGTTTGCGATCGAAAACACGAGCAAGACGAGGGTGGTGTTGGCGGACAGCAAAATCCACATCCTGGGCGGATTTCAGAATATAAGAATCGCCCGGGAAGCCGTCGTCAGTTTGATTTTGGGGGCTCCGCCGGGCAAGGTCTATGGGAACTTGAGGACGGTGGCAAGTCGCATGAAGGAGAGGTTTTAAGAAAGGGAAGTGAACTTTCTGCGCAGGTTTTTATTTCTGTGATATGATTTTATGAATGTGCATGACCTGGCTGGGGAGTCGTTCCATGGTTTCAAACACCATACTATTCTTATGGAATTCAGTGTTCGCTGGCATTGTAAAGGGAGTTATGGTTATGATTCGTAAAAACAATTTCTGCCCGGTTGACAAGGCTGGAGGGAAGGGTCACAGTTAGAAGGCAAGCCAGTAATTGGTCTCTCTACCAAGCCCTTTAAATCCCACTTCTTTGGTGATTGATATCAATTCGCCGAGCTATGCATACAGGGAGGACACCAAAGACGCCGCCGTGACCACCGAGAAAAAGTGGAGTAATATCTTCATGTGCACTTCTTCCCCAGCCGCAATCTAATCACGTTTCAAGGGTACAATCTGCTCTTCAATGCCATCCTTGGTAATGATGAATATCTGCAGGCCATCACCGACCTCGATGTGTCTCTCTGTGGCGCTCGTGAAAGCATCCTTGACCAAGCCCAGTACGATATCCTGCGGTAAGCTCTCTTTCGGCTTCTCTGCCAACGCAAGTCCCTCGCCGGATCCCGGGATGTATTGATTCTTGTAGTTGACCTGATTGTCCAAGAACGGCATGATCAAACTCGCTGCGGCACCGGCGGCTCTGCACTGCTCACGCTCGTAGCTGCCTACAGGGTCGTAGCTGTACAGCGCACCCGTTCCATCCTCGTCGATCCCGCCCAGGATGGCATGCACGTAATAAGGGAAGAAACGCTTCTGGTAAAGGATGGTGGACAGGCGCTGGGCGCAGGCCTTGACACTCATTGGCTTGCCGTGCTGGTATTTGTAGATCTTGACGATGGCATCGAGGCGTTCCTTGAGCGCATTTCCGTCTGCTGCAAAGCCGACCACTGATAGCACGATCCGCGAGCTTTGCTCTCCATCGTCTCCGATCTTGAACAACTTCGGCACAAATCGTGAGTTGATGCTGTACCCTGAGGTTGACCGTGTGTCGCCGGCTAAGATCGCAAAGTCTTTGCCTGTGATGCCTAGCGTCGAGCCGCCATTGTCTGTGTATCTATAGAGGGAGTTAGCCAATGTAGCAAGGCGGAAAGCGTTTGATGGGTTTGTATGCACTCACGGGTAGAAGCCATGTTGTCGGGGTCCTGAGGCCTCGTTGGGTGTCGAAGTGTTTGCGAAGGAGTAGCTCTGTTGGTCCGATGCTATGGGCCCGACATTCATGAGGGAAGCCATGTTTGATAGATGGCTGAAGGAGGTATGAGATGGTTGAGTCGATAGGAACAGCAGGGACACAGGGTAGGTTGTGGCTTTCGCGTGAGTGAGCTTTCAGTTATAGTTATTGGGCTACGCAACTCATGCGGCCTGGCGATTTGCCTGCCAGCGTTTACCGAAATATTACTCCGCCCTAACTTCGGACCAATCAAGCCACCTGTGCAGTATAACCTTGTTCAGCAGTCACGTTTCCCGCGCACCATTTTGTTCGTCGGAGTAGTGACAGATTCAAGTATTTCATTAGGATCTCTCGCCTGAGGCTCTAAAACACGATCCTGCAAAGTCCTTACTCGAAATGAGCACTCTTGTTGGTTACAATAGCAGCAGTGATGAGGAGCAGGAGGAGACCATCCCAAAACCGACTTCCATCACTACCGCTAGCGACCAAGGCATCCGGTCGAACATATCTATTCAGCACAGCAATGGACATGCTTGCGGCAATGAGAGCTACGAAGCCGCAGAGGGCAATAACATACAGCGCAACCCAGGAATCGATACCGGCCCCATGGTTGGGCCCGCAATGCCAACCGCAACGGAGACCCAACTCGAAGAGATTTCGCCGATGGATCAATTTGATTCAGTCTCTGAGCGAGATACCATTCGCTATCTAACACAGCCGTCTCATCCCATGACTTCCATACCGCCGTCTCCGCCTGGCTCACCCGATCCAGCGTTGAACGCGAAGTTCAAGCGCTTCCTGGAGCTCAAGGTAAAGGGCGTTCATTTCAATGATGATTTAGGCAAGAAGCCGACGTTTCGAAATCCAAGCCTGCTCGCCACTTTGATGGATCGAGCAGGGCTAGATAATGAGGATCAGTACAGAACTTCCATTCCCTTAGCAATCTGGGATCCATTGGATTTTCCAGCCCATGCTTTCAAAGAGGAGTTATTGCGCAGTCAGCAGACTCTACGAGACCAGCAGCAGGCTGCTAAAAAGAGTCAGTCAGCGGCCGGCAAAAGAACCATTGAATTCACGTCAGGCCGTACGAGTACGTCGGGTCAAAACAGCAGGGATTCAACACCAGGAATCTCGAGTAAGCGGAAACGAGGCTGAATAGGATGGTGGGTGAGATGGCCAAAAATTCGTCTGGACCTTTTCCGTCGAGAGATGATGTGACGGACTCGGCAAGCGCTACAGAGCGTACGAATACAAGGTAGTAGTCTTGTTTGTTCAAGATGTGTCATAATATGAGTCGTCTGCGAAAACGGACGCCTGAATCCGTGCAGCGGTACGTTCCAAGTCCAAGAGGGCAAACGAGAAAACCTACGGATGGAGGGGCACAGATGGTCATATGTGGCAATGATGTGTGGCGCCCGGTTACAGAAGTCAAGGTGATGCTGAAGCCGAGGATGCAGAACACCATGTCATCAAGAAGGGTGTGGATGCAGCGCGGTGACTGGTTGTCGAGGATTTGGTCGGTGTGAGAACAGTTCGTGAAGCACAGGAATCCTTTGGATAGGGTTGGTGATTGGACTGGGGACAAGGCCAATCATACGGAAGGAGGCGATGGTGTTTGGACCGTGCGGGTTCCTGCAGCTGAAACGGACCAGAGCCTCGATTCGAAGGGTGATCATTCTTGAATCTTGATGGGCCAGATGGGAGAAAAGGCCCCGGGGATTCGACTGGTCTCCGCGGGGGCAGGGAGAAAGAGTTACTTTCTAACGTGTTTTTGTCGAGTCGGATTGTGGCTGCTCGCATCTTGCAGGGCCCAGAACTCCCTCAATATAAGGAGACCAATAATCATCAGGACTCAATCAGAGAGAAGCTCTTCAAGGGGCGTGACTCTTTAGGCGGGCATTTGCAGATGGTTAAACCTACAGAGTGCCACCCACGATTTAGGCTTGCAGTGGTCAGGGTTCTAAGCGCAAGCGTTGGGTGTCAAACAGCGTTGGCCAGGGTCAGAGTCGGTAAGGCGGTCGGCGGGACATGCACCCATGTTTCATCATAATCACCTCGTCTGGGGCTGGAATCTGAGCGAGGATCGAATTTCAGAGATTCGATTTCATGAGGCACGAATCGTCATACTACTACTACCGGGCTGCCCCGTGATCCGTACCATGCGGTGAGAACTCGATGAAATCGCCTTACAGGGGAACCTTGCCCCGAGGACCTCCTACAGTACTCCGCAATAGTACTAAATGGTAATAGCAGACTCGTAGGTATCTCGGTTCGCAAGAGAGCAGGCAGGGGAAAGGGGCAGCGCAGATTCGTCTGGCCTTGTCGTGTCCCTATCCAAATTCGCATCCGAGCCAGGTTCAGCTACATGCTCGTCATACGAGGCAGCCACACTGACGGATCAATGGCTACTCGTGAGCCGGTAATCGCATGGAATATCCGTAGCTGGGTCAAACAAAGAGGTTATACTGCTTTTGTTTCTGCGCGTGATGACTCTCTTTAGAAGAGGGTGTGGTGGAATGCCCATGGTGGAGGGTGGTGTACCGAGTACATGTTGATAATTGCCCTCCCCAAGAAATGGTCGGATGTGATTCAGCCTCTCAGAAGAGATAAAGCTGTTGATGAGATGTCCATCTCATATCCCAGTCCTCTCTTTTGACAGCTGGCCAAACTCCACAGTCCATGCTGGAGGTTAATTAGCTGCTCGAGCCTCCACCACCTCCATCTCCCAGGCGCAAGCTCCCCCTACGGTTCCACCCCATCATCCGCTGCCATCTGCACAATGTCACCAGATGTCCAATCATCACCATAATCATCTTCTTCCCGGCGCTTACGGGCATATCTGAAGCTTGCTGCTCCAACGCTACGAACTTACGGAGCAATCCATCCACGCTCATCTCCCACTCGTTCTTTTTGGATGCTCGATCAACCCTCGTTTCGATACGCCTCCGTTCCTAGACTGTCTGTGAAACTCGCACATCTCTGCTCCGTACGCAGTTTCACACCGGCTGAGCACAGCTGGCCTGTCAGCTCTCTCCATGTGTTTGCCCCTGTTCCCAATGGCTCAATGCTTTGAGTGCTGATGCAGTCTAATCGTCGCTCAACATGTTGCACCCGACCAGCAATCCTGTAGCCCCTCGATCTCCCCAGACTCGTCTGACTCCAACAGCCGCTCATGTTTCGAATGAATCGCTGGCCGACTCCCATTCGCAGGTCTCTGCTTCTCGAAAACCTGCCCATCCGGTCCTGAGCAATAATCTCATTCCAAGGGACTATTTGGCGTCTCTGTCAGGCTCACGATCTCCTGGTGGACCACCCAGACGGAAGCAGGACGAGACTTCCTCCTATACCACGAGCCCTTCTTTTAATAGCATACATGAGGTTGGCAAAAGCGGCCTCGCACAAACACAGCAGGCCGAAAAGTTGCTGACAGGGAACAATTCCCACAACACCACGGGCACAGTTGGGAGCGACTTGCGACCCTCTCCAGACCTGAGACCTCAGCACGCTGGCAAGCCTCCCCCAGCAGATTCCTTCTTATCTGGGCCAGGACCGAGCCAAATCTCAGAATCCCCCAAATCATTCGCGTCGTCTTTCACAACCGCCCACCAGGAGACCACAATGCCACGCACTTCTTCAATCGACTCGGCCATCTCCAATATCTCCAATGTCTCAGCACCCCAGAGACAGCCCGGCGAGGCCAAGGATCCCAGTCCGCAAGAGGTTCGCAATCTGATTGCGACGGCTGGGTCCGCCGAGAACCTCGTTCAACATCTGCTGAGGGACAAGAGTCACGCGGCCGCACAAAATGCACAGCTGTGGAAATTGGTTGATAAACAACGAGCACTGTTGCTCGGCCTGAATAAAGACCTCGAGAGAGCGGCCAAAGAGAGAGATCGATATAGGAAGAAACTGAAGGAGTTGCAAGCAAAATCACCAGCAGTACCCACGATTCATATGGATGGCCATTCACCTCAATCTGAAGCTGGTGCTTCGGTGTCCTCGAATGAGGCTGTTATCGGGAGAGACTCAAGGTCAAATCAAGACCATCATCACACGCCTCACAAACCTACAAGTCCGGTGGCCCACAGCTCTCCGATCGATGCTGCCATGATGCCATCTCCACTTCATCTGCAGCAGCAACACAAGTTTCAAAGCCTCTCAACCCAATTGGCAAACCCAGTCCTAGCCGTGACAGAGTCCAGTAGTCCCTTGAATGAGAAACCTCCAAAGTCTTTTCAAGCATCGAGAAAGACTGCCCCTCGTCCCTTGAATCTCAGCTCCGCGAAGGAAGATCTTCCTGTTGCACAGCAGTTAACTTCAGGCGAGGTTATCATTAGTGATGCAGAGGAAGAATTGCGAGACCCCATGCATCGCGGACGGCGGAAGACACGTGAAGAAGATGACCGAGAACGTGAAATCATAGCCTTCAAGGAGCAGGAGGCCCGAAGTCGATCCAAGAAAGAGAAGCAACCACCCAACAGTGTACCGGCAGAAAAACACGGTCAGGTACAACAGCCTCTCTCGAGTGCTGCAATCGACCAGATGCATGCTAAGATGCAAGGTCAGTTTTCACCTGCCTCGATCACATCGGCAGGATCATCAGCTCAATTGTCGATTCCTCTTCGCAGCCCCGGCCTTCCTGTAAGTCCACGACCCATAGGTCAGACGCTTTTGGCCGCTTCGCTGCCAATGTCTCCTCGTGGTGCAGGTGGTAATTTTCCTCTCTCACCTCGAGCACCGAAGCAAGCTCTGCCGAACCCTACCACACCTGGGACACATGCTCCTGCCCCGCATACTCTAGATGCTCAAAAGAAGACCGGCCCTTCACTGGGCCCTTCACCTCTAGTCAAGATGAACTCCAATACTACGTCAGATCAGTCTCCGATTCACGATTTACCTCTGAGTCCGAGTGACGCTCCTGCTGTAAACCGCAGTCTAATCAGTCCAACCTGGCCCGATCTACTCCTCCCTCCAAATGCTCTACCTTCGATCCAAGTCAAAGTTGCCTCATCGCGTTTACGACCTTCACGGAACAGTGTCGCGGGCGTCAAGCCACAGGAAGATTTATCGGTTTTCAGTTTGTCGATCTTTGAACGTGCAAGCTCCGCCGAGCTCTGGCGACTTGAAAAACTCCCCATGTCGCTCGCCAACCTTGAACAACAACTACGATCCAAGTGTACAGAATTGCCTAAATTGCCCGATAGAAAGCTTTTCTCTGGCCATTCACCTGTTATAATTGATGCTCGACGACACGCTATTGACCAATATTTTGAAGAGCTTCTTGACACACCCATGGATGAGCAAGCGGCAGCATTCATTTGTAAATACCTTTCAAGCGACGTTTTAGATTCTCATGTTCGTCCACCGGTCCAATCTGCCGAGGAAGGCCACCCTAAACCGGCTTCAGCCCCTCAATCGTCAGGAATACCAACCAAGTCAGGTTATCTGACCAAGAAGGGCAAGAACTTTGGAGGGTGGAAGTCAAGATACTTTGTTCTCGATAGTCCCGAGCTGAGATATTTTGAAGCCCCGGGTGGAGCTCATTTGGGAACGATCAAGCTGCTTAATGCTCGTATTGGGCGACAAACACAGTCTGATCCGCCTGGCCGTCCCGATGCGGATTCAGAAAATCAATATCGCCATGCTTTCCTGATTCTCGAGCCGAAGCGTAAAGATCTGAACAGTCACGTGCGACATGTCCTTTGCGCAGAAAGTGACGAAGAACGAGATGAATGGGTAGAGACTCTCTTACATTACATTGATGAACGCCCAGCTGAACCAAAGACTCAATATGGTGCGGGGGTGCAGAATGCGCAGGGCAAAGAGTCCAAGTCATCACACAAGGCGGGAAGCACTCAGGCACATGATGACACAGAATCAAAGCCGGCCAGTAGCCCATTGCTTGGTCACGGTTACAGTGACACACCATCTCCTTCCAATGCTTCAAGCCACACTCCAGATCCTTCTCTCCACGAAGCGCCACCCGCACCTGCACCAGCGCCAACATCGAAAACCATGATATCAGGTCCGATAAATGGTACCAAAATTGCAGATCCCGGATTCTGGGGCAACAGATCGACTCCGCCTGGTGGAAGCAAAGAACGCCATCAAGACCGTGGCATGCGCAATTTGTTCCACTTCAGGAAATCATCTTCTGAGCAGCTGGTCCCCCCAACCCAGCAATACGCTCCACCAAAGAGGACGGATTTGCAGGCCCGTCGAGGAGGACATGTGCGACCTGTGTTTGGAATGCAGCTCACTGAAGCGGTTGAGCATTATTCTCCGGTAGACGTGGAAGTGTACCTGCCAGCCGTGGTCTACCGGTGCATTGAATACCTGCGAGTTAAGGATGCCGCTAGTGAAGAGGGTCTCTTCAGGCTCAGCGGCTCGAACATTGTAATTCGATCGTTGAAAGACCGCTTCAACGCTGAAGGAGATGTCGATCTACTAGCGGAGGAAGAAGACTACGACGTCCACGCAGTTGCCTCCTTATTCAAGATGTACTTGCGTGAACTCCCTGCGACGATTCTTACCCGAGAATTGCACCTTGAATTTCTCAAAGTTCTGGAGTTGGGAGATAAAACACAGAAGATCAAGGCTTTCAATGGACTGGTCCACACACTGCCAGTGTGCAACTTCATGTTACTGCGGAGCTTGTCCCAGTATCTCCTCGAGGTGGTTCAGAACTCAGACCGAAACAAAATGAGCGTTAAGAACGTGGGGATTGTCTTCTCACCGACTCTGAACATTCCAGCACCTGTCTTTTCCTTGTTCTTAACGGAATTCGAGGCAATTTTCGATAAACCCATGGATCGAGAGTTGATCAGATCGACGGAAATCGACCGCGACGGTGGTACCTTGACCCCCGAGGACATCCGCTCTCCTCGCCGACAAATGTTTACAGATCTGCCCACTCCCGCATATGATCAGCACAGCTTCGCCAACAACGCCCAGAGCGCCGGAGCATCGTCCCATTCCTATCCCCAGGGACAAGGGCAAGGACAAGGACCTCCGTATGAGCACCAGAGGGATCCCAGCGGCGATCTGGGCTTTGCTCCCTTACAACCAAGTTACGAGTCACGGAGCTACGTCTCTCACCCACAGGATGTCCCAGCTCCACCGCGCTATCCTCCCCCCCAGCCACCGTATGGACACATGGTGACACCCGATTATTCAGGCTCGACCCTGTTAATGACGCCCGAAAATGCCGCCTCCGTCAAGGCTAAACGGCGCGAAAGCGCCATGTTGTTTTAGTGAATAATCACCAGCCCAGATGAGCCTGTTGGGACATTGTTTGTTCCTTGGAGGCTTAGCTTACCTTTCACTCAAAGGTCAAACCTTTTTCTTTTTCCTTTTTTTTAACCTTCTTGTCCTTTTTTTTATACCACAAATACCCCCTTATTTTTGTTTTGCGAGGGAGATCATGAGAGAGGGGAGGATATAAACTTCCACTGCTACTACCACTACAACAACAACAACAACTACTGTCGCAATGTCCATGCCCGAGCATTTGAGACATATCCGCCACCCGTCCCATCTCTCTCCTCTACACACCTTATTATGTACTCAACTTGTCTGCGGCACACAAACATTGCGAAGAAAAGAGGGAAAGGGCGGGATCCTTTTCTCCGTACTCTCTCTCTCCCTCCCCCCCCCCTCTCTTGAACGTCTATGTGAAAATCATTAATGAATGAGGAGTTTCTTTTTACTCTCTGCACTGGAAATATTCCCAAAGGACGATGAAGGACGAAAGATAGAAGATGAAGAATGGCCTAGCCAACTCGGGCAGGGCACGAAAGAATGAAAGCTTTTTCTTCTAGTTCTAGTTCTGTTTTAGGGGGAAGAACTGAATTGATTGGTTGGTTGATGGCACCCAGATGGGATGGATTTGAAACGTGGACGGGGAACAAGGGGGAAATCGGATTAGGACGAATACCAACCATGAAGGCAGGAAGCGATCGATCAGTCAATTAGTCAGTCCCATCAACGAAGCCAGGGACGCGGATGGACGAGGTTTGGACTTGACTAACTTTACGTCAAATACATACCCTCAAAAGTGAGAAAGAATCTGAAATGCCGTTGAGAGAACGAAACAAAGTCAAACAAGCCAAGTAAACACGAATTCTTTGCTCGTCCCTTTTCTTCCTTTTGAGCAAAACTTGAAATTTGATCTTCCTCGCCCGAAAGGTAGATTCATGGCTTGAAGGCTGTTGCAAGGACAGACAGTACGGTGTATGTGGCAAGCAAAAGCCATGACTCATGGATCTCTGACTGTTCCCCCCCTCCCCACCCTTGGCTTTGATAACCAAGCACATTGACGGAGATCAAGGCCCGAAAAGAAAAGCAAGACCGCCAGTGTCAACGGAAAAACAAAAGTCAGGCAAGCAGAGTTCCTGCAGGCTATGGAACTAGGAAACTTCCTGTGAGGATCGGCTCCGTCTTTCCCCCTTCCGCTCGTGCCTGTGTCCCTCCCTCCGCGAAGTCCAAACTCATGTGCGCCTTTGAGACCAATGCCACACCAAAAAGAGATTCTTCGACAACAGCTCATTGTGTCGGCGTTCCTCGCACCGACCGACCCACTCAGTGGTTAGCTCGTACCGCCAGCGAAAGAAACCAGGCGTAGCATTTCATCATCATCCAGCACCAACCGACTTTCCCAGCTTTTAACCTTTTTCGCTTGCTCAATCATTAGCACAGGAGCAGCATTAAGCACTCCGTGGGTCTGCTCCATGAGAGAGCTTCACAGTTGTTTAGGTCGATTCAACCGCCTTCCTTCTCCAAGCCAGTACTCGCAACCCTCTTCTTGCGGCCCTTCTTCGGCTTAGGCGTCTCGATCGACTCGGTCACCTTGGTCAACTCCGTCTTGGTCTCCTGCAACTCAGAGGCGACGCGAGCCAGCACTTCAACCGTGAAAGTCGGATTCTCACGCAACACGTTCTGGAATGTCGCGTTGGCGAGGTACGTGTGGATGGCTGGGGGCGTACTGGCGGTGCTGACGAGGAGCTGGAACATCTCGCTGTCTTTGGCTGGAGGGGTGACCGCGTTTGGTGCTTCATCTGAGGAAGTTTTGGAGGTGGAGTCCCCGCTCGAGCTGCAGTATTGAGATGTGAAAAGATATTCGAGCGACGGCAGGAAGAGGGATTCAGAGTTCCAGCTTAGGTCATTGGAGAGCTCGTCAATGGTGAGGACCGCGAGTTCGCCGATACCGTATTTCTCTGCGAGCACGTACATCTTCGCGTGCAGGGTGGATGGGGTCGGCCAGGTCTCCTCCTCTGTTTCGAGATTGAACGGCGAGGTCGCTCCTGCTGAGCCTAGCTCGGGCGATCCTGCAGGGTTGCTATTGCCGCCGTTGGTTTTACCATTTCGCATGATCACGTTGATGTCAATGCCTTTGCTCAGGGCGGAGTCGTCGTCCTCACCGTCGGTATTGACATCGGTGTAATGGCCCGTGTAAAGCCAGAGAATCAAGTTGCCGATCAAGATCGGTTCGTCGTCGTAGAGAATCACGCTTCGCGGCGACGCTCCTACCGGGTCGCACAGCTTCTGGAAGAAGGTAGATTTCTGGAGTTTTGCCGTGTGCACCGTCCAGCTGAAGTTGCCGATGCTGAGAGTGAAGTCGGGCTGGGCCTCTTGTTTGAGGCTTGACTTGAAGGTGCGCAGGTCGCTATCCTCTGTGCGAGGCATCTTGGATTCCCTCGCTGAGGCACCGATCGGGTTGAAAGGATGATCAGGTCGATGTTCAAACGTGGGAGGAGGATGAGGACATCGAATCTTCAATCCAAGAGGTTGCCTTGCAACTTGCGGTATGAAAGAATGGGTTCGGAGGTAAGACAAGCCGATGCTGAAGCGTGTTGAACATCAGTCGGTTTAAGGCGCGGTTGAGAACAGAACAGGCCGAGCGTGGAACAAGCAGTTGGAGAGAACTGTGAAGAAGATTTCAAAGGTCGGAGAGAGAATGAGTCGACCACAAAAGTAAAACTAGGAAAAGTTATGTCGACATTTCAACCATGTGATAGATTCAACATTTTGGGCAGTGAGAGCGAGTCAAATCAGGTCGGTGAGTGAAATAGAAGAAATCCATCAATTCACTTACTGTTCAAGAGGATTTGGTTCCAACGTACGAGGCCACAATCACTAAACTGAGGATGAGGTCACCAGCAGTGGGCACATGGAAGGAAAGAAAGCCCCAGGTTAGCAGGATGATTTGAGCAAATAAAAAGTAAAGGGGAAATGTTGACAAACAACTAGTCTGCAGTTCTTGAATCTCAGAGAACTAACAGGTCTGAAATAGGTTTGTCATGAGTGAATACAGAACCTGTCAAGAAGTCTGAAAACACCCTTACTTTTTACTCCAGTAAACATCTATACTTTCCTCGAAAGAAAGGCAAGAGTCTACCAGGCTTGGGAAAGGGCATCGATTTACTTTTGAGGCACATGATTCAGTTTGCTCTGGCGCGTGAGAGGGAGATGAGAGATTGCTCTTTCATTTCCTCAATGACTTGTGATCTTCGACCCATAGTGTGTTACGGTCGTAGACGTTAACTGCTCTGTTCTGAGTCGCGCGGTCTGGGGTAGGGAATCAAGGCGATAAGAACTTTATGACATAGTTGAAAGATGTTGTACATAAGGATATATACACGATGTCGACAGGGTATCTTTGAGAGGGGAATTATGGTACATCAAATGGGGAGACATGCAACACTCACATTGAACATGGACTTTCTCATGCTGCAGTCATTTTCAAACTTTTGATTTCCCAGGAATCTTGCTCGGCCCACTCCTTCTTCTCACCAAGAATGCATGCTGACTTGAGCTCTGGAGAGAGGTCCACCAGATATTTCTGCGCAACCCGTTGGACGTCATTTTTACTGACGTCCAGGAGGCTTTCGCGCATCCTCTGATCCATATCCTCAGTAATGCCGTAGATGAACTCCTTACCGGCCTCGCCGCTCACACTGGTTGGAGCATCGATACCTTGGAAGATGCTCAGCTTGCTTTCCTCTAGTTCTCGACTACTCCATTCTTTGTCGCGAGCATAAAGGCCTGCACGTTGAAAGACATTCAGAGAGTTTCGAGGATTGGGATCACGGTATGATGACATAGTGAAGAGGCCACTGATGGGACTTGCACTAGCAGATGCACCATAGGCGCCGCCTTTTTCTCTAACCTCAGGGTGGAGGAAATTGTGTATAAGGAGCTGGCCGAGGACGGTGAGCGGAGCCTTGTCAGGTGAAGAATATGGCACAGTTTGTAGACAAGTGCCGGTATAGGAAACTTGGAAAGGCAGATCGAAATAAGCCCGTCTAGAAAGAGCTGAACCAGTGACAAAGTCTGTCAATGCTGACCTCGAGTTAGGCTGCTGCTTTCCAGAAGGAAGCTTGGCAAGGAATTCCTTCAACGCATGTTGATTGCTTGGAGTCGAGGAGGGCTCGCAGACTATTCGAACAGAAAGGTCAGAAGAATTGCTAATGGCGAAGGATTGAATTTCTTGGAGCTTCTGAACCACTTCCTGTAAGCTCGCGGGGTTTCGCCTTGCAGCATCGAGTAAAGTGGCTGTGGCCTCAATTTGCGATAGTCCTGACAATTGGTCCTGTATCAGACCGCGTTTGGTAAGAGCGGCGGCTGCACTTGTAATAGCAAAGTGATGACCAGTTTCTGCAACTGAATCGAGAGCCCCAGATGTTTTGGATTCCAGCAACTCTCGAATAGCACCAATTGTTTTGGGGTCTGAGAAATCTATCTCGAGGAGCAGGGTGTGGATTAGTTGATACATCGCGGGAATGTTTCGGTCCAAGGCATAGCCACTCAACATCAGGCCTTCTGTGTATTTGTCAAGACTCCACGGCTCGGGTGCAGCGTATGGAGCAATTGATATTCCACCAGTTTTCAGCAGAATCTCAGCTTCAAGATCTCCGACAGATTTGGTTTTGGTACCAAGTCTCATCAAAGACTCGGTGAATAGTGGCAGCAGAAGCCGCAAGTCAGTTGGTAAATCTTGTAGAAGATGCTTTGCCTGAAAATAAGTGATGCCATTGGTCGAAGTTTCACGCCAGAGGCTTTTGACATGGCTAATCTGGTCCCAATGGCGTGGCTTTCTCTCTTTTGTCCGAGAGATATCATCAACGCGTAGCGTGGGAAGAGTATCGAGGTTCTTGTACTGAGCAGATTCTTGCTCCTCCAAGAGTTCAAGTTCCTGCTGGCCCAGTCCAGAAATAGCTGCCTCCGATGAGCTGGAGGATTTCTTAAGATCTTCTAGAATCGCGATTCTTCGTTCTTCCTCCTGTATCTCCAATGAAGTCGCATATGTTTCTGAAGGGCGCATGACGAACTGCATGGTGTTGTCATTCATAAAGTATTTCTGAACAAGTTTCTCAAGGTATTTTTCTTCTTGCAGACGGGCTCTGAAGGCATCGACGATCTCGTTCCAGGCCAGACTATCCATTGGGCTGACACCATTGAACCAACCAGGTAGAGTCTTATCTAATAAGCCCATTCCAAAGGTAGGAGTCTTGTGCTTGAGACTCAGTTCAAGTTGGTGCATATATCCTTCGATCTTGTGGGTTTGAAAAGCCTCATGGGCTTTTTCTCCTAAGATTTTCTGAATTGTATGTTTCAGGCCAGCCACATCATCGGACTTCATGCCATCAAGGCCAACTGAAAAGACTCCAACTCGACCGGAAGCATCATATCCCGAATTTGGACTGAAATTGGTTCCTAATCCGGATTCGATCAAGCCTTGATAGAGTGGAGAGCCATAACCGTTCATCAGGAGCGACATCATAATGCTAATACAAAAAGACTCGACTATATCTGATGACGGACAACCCATCCACGTGATAGACGACTTTGTCTGTCTATCGGGTGGTTGCATGGTGTCCAAAGGACCAGCGACTTCAAAAGTCTGAGGTCCAGCAGAGAGATCAATGGGCAATTTGACTTCTGCATCAAAAGATGCTCTCTCGAAGATTGAGATCTTCTCATTGACATATTTCAGGTGTTCTGCTAAGCTTATACTGCCATAGGAGAACAGTTTTGCATTGCTCGGATGGTAGTGCTCGCGTGAGAACTTGACGAGTTTCTCATGGGTAAGGTTGGTCATGACCTCTGGATCGCCACCGGAGTTGTATAAGGAAGGGAATAAGTGCTCTCTAAATCTGATGTAAAAGAGGTAGCTGGCATCGGACATCTGGCCCTTCATTTCATTGTACACGACTCCTTTGAATCGCACGTTGTTCTCAGTGGCGACATCCCGGGGATTCTCCGGACCCAGGCGCCATCCCTCCTGTAAAAAGTCGGAATGCTTGAGCAGAGGATGTAGGGTAGCGTCTAGATAGACCTCTGATAAATTGCGAAAATCTTGGAGATTGGTGGTTGCAAAGGGATATGAGGTGTAATCGGAGGAGGTAAAGGCATTCATAAAATTGGCCAAAGATCGAGGCATCATCTTAAAGAATGGATCCCGGACGGGATACTTTTCACTTCCACACAGGGTGACATGTTCCAAGATATGAGGCAGGCCTGTCCTGTCTGTAGGATTGGTCTTGAAGTTGATAGCAAAGACGTTGTTCTTGTCATCTCGCGCGACATGCAGATATTCTGCACCCGTCTTTTCATGTTCCAGACTCAAGGCAGTCAGATGGAGTTCCGGCACATGCTTGATCTCTTTCAAAGTGAAGCCGTGCAGGCTTTGTCCGGGTTTGGGGAAGGCATTGAGGTCTGTTACCGACGCATAGCCCCTCGTATTAGGGAGTCTCGGATTTGAACAGAGAACGCGGGACTGCTGCAGGCCATGGCGGGCGAGGCCATGCCTTAACATTGCCGGTCCGTAGGTATGCGCGCTGGACAGCAATCGGCAGATAGACGTCTAGGTCTTGATCTTGATCCTGATCCTGGGGAGGAAGATAGATGACCAAGGTGATGGGGTAATCAAGGGCAAATCAAATCACTGCGCCGCCAGAAAATCAAATAGAAGGTTGATGATGAGAAGCAGGAACAGGTCGGGCGAAGGCGAATCGGAAGGTGGGGGCAGGTGCAGGCGGTAGCTGTGGTTATTAATGTGATGTTGCTCACTGCCCACGAGCTGTATTTTGTTCTCTCCAGGATTCAATTACACTCGTTTAAGTGTAGCGTCACGCAGTGCCCTGTACATACATACGCAGGCGTACGCGGTGGTCGTCAATCTCAAGATTCAAATTTGAATTGGGCTTGGCCAGCCGAAGGAGGATCTGCGCCGTGCGGACATTCTGCACCTCCACTGACACCTCCACTGACAGTGCCACTTAGACTTCTACTCTTACCAACTCCCACCCGGCCCTTGCTCCTCAATCATTGACTCTTCATACCGTGCCCGTCCCTCACACGACCTTTTCACCCACTCTCACCCTCTGCCACCCACTGCCACCGGCTGTCCCCTTCTGCCTGACTGCTGATCGCGTCATCTTGATTCAGGAGCGACTGGAGGTAACCTCGGGTTCGATCTCAAAATCTCCATGTTGCAAGGCGTAGTCTCCGACTACAATTCATGCCACACCACTCGCTGGTAAATAGCACCGTGCAAGGTTCCGAACGTCTTTTGGTTGTCTCTGGAGGACCATGGCCACCGCAATTCAATCGCCAATTTCGCAACACGGCGTCCCTCACGGCGATGTACAAGATTTGCCTCCCCCGGCCCCTGCGGCGAAAAAAGGAAAAGCCAAGAAAGAAAAGCAATTGAGCGCTGAGGAAAATGCAAAATTGGTTCAGGCTAGGCTATCGCAATTAGAGCAAGAGAAGGCTGGCGAGAAAAACCAGCAAGCAGAGGTCGATCGGGAGGTGAAAAAGGCCACTAGGGACCTCAACGATCTGATAAGCAGCGTTGAAGGCCCCATGAACCGCCTCGATGTTGTACAGAGAAAATATGAGGAACTCCTATCCGACATGAAAAAACTGGAACGTGACCATGCTAAAAGCAAAAAGCGCGCAGATCAGCTGCAGAAGGACTCGGAAAAGGCGAAAACGGAGCACAACAAGACTGCCACCATGAAAGATAAGCTGGAAAAGCTGTGCAGAGAGCTCACAAAGGAAAATAAAAAGATCAAGGATGAGAACAAGAAGCTGGATGAGAACGAGAAACAGGCTCGTGAGATGATGAACGAAAAGCTGGATCAAATGCTCTACGATGTCCAGGATGCCATGAACTCCAAGACCACAACCCATCCTGAAAATTTGCATCTTGAACTGGACGATTTGTACGTTTGGCTACACCCCGGCCGCTTTCCCTTCTTGCTAACCTTCCATTTAGATTTCGGACAAGATGCAAAGTCTTATCTGATCAGGCCGACATCCGCGAGACACATTTCAAATCCATCATTCGCCACAAAGATGCCGAGATAGGCCACCTCCAAGCAAAGTATGAGGTTGAACGTAGACGAGCCGACGCAGAAGCTTCGCGTTGTCGTACCCTGACCAACCAAGTCTCCACCTTTTCCCACACAGAAGCAGAGTTACGAAGCCAGCTCAACATCTATGTCGAGAAATTCAAACAGGTAAGTCGTTCCCCTCTTCGCCATCCCACTTTTTACGATACAATAGCTGAAATGTTCTTGCTCACTATGCAGCAGGTGGAAGATACCCTCAACAACAGCAACGAGCTTTTCCTCACTTTCCGCAAAGAGATGGAAGAGATGTCGAAGAAGACTAAAAGACTGGAGAAGGAGAATCTCACCCTCACTCGAAAACATGACCAGACCAATCGCAACATCCTGGAAATGGCCGAGGAGCGAACCCGAGACAAAGAAGACCTGGAACGACTCCGTAAGCAAGAACAACAGATGCGGAACATCATCAAGTCAATGCAGGAGCAAGGCCGTGGAGGTCCCATCCAGCAAGAGCTCGTTGACGAAGAGGGGACGGAAAGCGAGTACGATGAAGAATACGACGACGACGAAGACGACGAAGGCAGCTACGAGGGAGAGGAAGAGTTGGCCGCCGAAGTCGCCAAACCTGTCTTTGGACCTGTACCACCACCGGAGATGCTAGCGGGTAAATCCAACGGCCAGCGCGCTGCTTCTACCAGTGGCGTGGTTAACGGTGTCAAGCATTAAATTGGTTTTTGGCTCTTGGTTTCAAATCGACGATTCACAATCGTACAGAAGAATGACAGTCTGAGGCTTGGGAAATTCACATCCTCTACCACCATGAGCAGCGTAATGCACCAATTGCCTGTTAGTAAAGTGCCATGTACATATATACCACATGAAAAGACTTGTATTCTCATGCCCCAAACTCCTCTAACTTTGGGTTTCAATTTCCACGCCCAACACACAAAAGTACCTCGTATGTGCTCTACTATTATCATTCCTATCATTATAATATCATAGCTTACTACTCCTCGCACTCTCGATATACGTGGAACCGATGCGCAACTGCTGCACGGCGAGGGTGACCATATCCTCGAGGATCTCTTTGGCGGGCTTGATGTCGGTGATGATGGCGGCGACCTGGCCCATGAGGAAGGGCATATCGATCTCATTTTCCTGCTCGATATCGTACATCATGGGGACGATGCCACGGTCCGTGAGCTCCTTGATGCGCTCGGGCTGGCTCTCCCACTTGCGCACGTAGTCGTTCAGCTTCATGCGCAGTGGGCGGCCCGAAACCACCAGCGTGCGCTGCGTGTCGAGGAAGTCGGCGCTGACCACCGCCTCCTTGTGCAGCCGGCTCGCCCCCGATTCCTCTGCAGCCACGAAGCGCGTCCCCACCCACACGCCCACGGCGCCTTGCATCAGCGAACTGGCCAGGCTGCGCCCGTCGTAGATCCCGCCCGCGGCTACCACCAGCGCCGGCTCGCCCGTCAGCGGCGACTTGTATTTCTTCGCCACGTCCACGACTGCGGGGATCAGGATGCTGTTGGCGATGTCGCCCGTATGCCCCCCGCCTTCGGTGCCTTGTGCGCAGACGATATCGACACCGGCCTTGAGAGCCTTCTCCGCGTGTTTCGGTGCGCCCACCATGTTCATTACCAGGATGCCGGCCTCGTGCAGCCGTTTGATCGTTCGTGCTGGTGGCACGCCCACGGCCGAGACGAAGATCTTCGCGCCGTTGCGGATCGTCACTTCGATCAACTCGTCCAGCTGCCCGTGGGTGTAGTCGTGGTTGGTCTTGCGCGCACTGCCGCCTACTTGTGGGAGGGCCAGGTCGACGCCAAATGGGAGCGACTTGTCGGTTAGGTTTTCTTTCAGTTCGTCGATGATCTGGTGTGGGGCGTTAATTATCTATTACTGCACCTGGCGACTAGAGAGAAGATTTGGATACTGACTTCTTGTAACTGCTTTGGAGTGTAGCCCAGTCCGCCGATTGTCCCGATGCCTCCAGCATTGGAGACTGCAGCGGCGAGAGGCCCACCAGAGGTTCGGGCCATACCTGCCAGCATAATTGGGTATTTAATACCCAACAGCTTGGTTAGAGGTGTGTTAAGTGCTGGGGGTGAAGACATTGTGATCTGTTGTATATGGAGAACCTTTTAGCAAAACAGAGATGGAGATATTGAGTTTCAGAGAGGAAATTCGACAGGAAGAGAAGCAACACAGACTGACAGCAGTCGATAACTCATATTACGGGGGATCTGGGGCACTGGGACTTTTGAAGCCCATGGAAGCAGAAGTGTAAGTGTGGGGTCGGCTGATTGTTAGAAATGAGCCGAGGCTGGTTTCTTCCAGAGCCCGACCCAACCTAGTTGGGTCTTCCTCTTGGATTACATTTCGGCACCACGCTCAGGCTCAGGGCCCTAGTTCACTGAAATCCATCGAATGCATAATGCGAGGATCTTAGTGGTAAACGACTGATAATGGAGTAGATTTGTGGGAGATTCAAGTTGTCCGGAATCTGGCTGATGGTCCGTAGAACTCGGCTCACCTTCCTCCCGTGAATATCAATTAATGTGTAACGCGTCGCGTGGGTTCCCGACTTCGCGTCATGGTCTTGCCATGGCCAATGATCAACACTCCGTTATTTTGGCTACACTATCCAGTGAGTGAGTGAGTGAGTGACCCAGCTCTAGAGATTGTCTGTCTGCGTCTTTCTTGTAAACAGATTACAATCACTCCAAAACGGCAGGCTTTTCACTTCTTATTCTTTTCCATAATGGCCCCAACGCAAGGCCTGCTTCGGCCTTTTGACAGAAACGAAAATTACGATCAGAAGTCCCGCCTCCCAGATACTTACAGCCCTCTATATTCCTACCGGTTACCGCGCGGGGAGACCAAACAATATCTTCAACAGTATGGCGACATGTACTTCCTAAGGCTGGCGAAGCTGAAGCCTGTCGTGGAGAAAATCGCCCAGGCAGATTGGGAAGACTTTGAAATTGCGGGTGAGCAGGCCCAGAGAGTGGAAAGAGTCTTAGACGTGCGGCAAGGCCAGTTATGTTGGGTTGTCGGCACCGTGTACCTGGACATGGCCCTCAAGCCAAACATCCTCGAGGACATATCTAGAGAACATTGGATCGCGGGGCCACCACCCAGAAAGTCCTATTTCTCAGCCGACGGCGAGACTCAGATCATGCTCGAGGATGAGTCTGGGAGGCTGAGGCTGGCCGGTGCAATGCTGAAGAATACGCTGCTTGTCACCGGCGTCATTATTGCCGCTCTCGGAACGGAGAATGCAAATGGAGACTTCGAGGTCCTCGACATGCATATTCCTGAACTGCCTCGCCAACCCAAACGCGGCGATCGAGACGACGAGGGAGAATCTAAGATGGAACTGGACGACCAACCACGAAAGAAAATCGCCCTCGTCAGTGGACTCAATATTTCCGGCACTTCAGCCGACACACTCAGCCTCTCGCTCCTGTCGGAATTTCTTCTGGGAGAATCCCTCGACACGGTCGACCAAGACTCATCCGCACATATCTCCCGACTCATCATTGCCGGCAACTCGATCGCAGCCGACACGGTCATCAGCGCGGGCGAAGACCACAACTCCTCGAAAAAGTCATCGTCCGCCCACGCGAACAAGAAATACGGCTACGACTCGACGTCCTACAACCCGGTTCCGACGCAACTCCTCGACGCCTTCCTGTCAGAACTCCTCCCCACAATACCCATCACCATCATGTCCGGAGAGCAAGATCCCGCGAACTCCTCACTCCCACAGCAGCCCATCCACCCAGCGATATTTCCTCATTCTCGCGCGTACACCTCCGCCTCCTCCAACACCGACACACCCGAAGACTCCGAACCAGGATGGTTTGACTCCGTCACGAACCCATGGGACGGCGACGTAAGCGGATGGCGGTTTATGGGCAACTCGGGCCAGCCGGTGGACGACATCTTGAAATATGTCGACTTGGGCGGGCCAGACGGCACGGGGCCCGAGGGTCGTCTGGAAGTCATGGAGAGTATGCTGCGGTGGCGGTGCGGCGCGCCGACCGCCCCGGACACGCTGCATTGCTACCCGTTCCAGAACCGCGACCAGTTCGTCCTCGACGCCTGCCCGCATGTTTTCTTCGTTGGAAATCAGCCACGCTTCGACACCTGTGTCATTGACGGGCCGGGAGGTGAACGCGTCCGCCTCATCACGATCCCGAGCTTCAGCGAAACCGGAGAATTGGTGCTGTTGGATTCTGAGACCCTCGAGGTCGAGATCGTCAAGTTTGATGTCAACGATTGAATGACGGAACGATGCGCAACGGCCTAGCTTGCCCAAAAAGCAGGCTTCATGGATATCACGGATTCACGGCAAATGCTCGTGCGGAGTCTAAGAGCTCACGATTGGAAATTTTGCTTCTACAAAGATACTTTTTTTTATCGAAAACTATGGACATTTGTGCAAAACTACGAATTAGTTGAGCATGGATATGCCTGTTGTCGACAAATACAGGTTCAGTCCGATCCGATGCATCTGACGGCTTTTGTTTCTGAACGAGATATTCCCCTGTGTGATAGTCCAGTCCCTCGGATCGTTCCCAGACCATCCATCCATTCCTCCATCCGCATCCAACCCATATTCCGGACTTGGCGTCGCCCCCCGAGCGAGAACAGCAGCTGGTCATATACAGTACTAGTAGTGGTGAGTGACCTAATCACCTCACGCCGCGCCCGGCGTACCAAGTCAAGCACGATCGACAACCTCGACACAGTGAACACCAACTCCATTCAAGTCACGTTCACTTCTTCTTCCCCGCCGTCTTCGGGACTTCCTCCGGCAGATATCTGGAAGAGATGTCGTCTCCGAAGAGCTGCATATCACCTTTTCCACCCATGCCCATGAACTCCTCCTGCTGCCTGTTCGCAGCCGGGTGTTCCTCCTTCTCTCCATTTTTGTCAGGCGCTGTTTTCCGTCCCTTGGGCGCGGCCATGTGGGTCTTGCCTCCCGGGTTCTTGTCCCAAATCTTGACATGCGCGGGCGATGCAGCAGGTCGATGTTCCCCACCATGTGGTATGTGTTCCGCTGAGATGTCCACGACCTTGCTTATCTTGACATCATTGATGTTGGCGAGCAGCGTGCGTTCGCGCTGGACCTTCCGCTTAGAGAAATCCAGCGCATGCATCGCACCGGTGAGGCCATCGGTGGAATCGGCCGGGTTGATGTAGTTGATGTCTCTGGTCCAGGGGTGCTCGAGGCATTCGTCAATGGTGATGCGCTTGGTGACGTCGACGGTCAACATGCGGTCAATCAGATCCAGGGCCGGGTCGCCGACCGGGTCCCAGTAGGGCGAAGGATAGTCAAAGCGGCCCATTTTGATCTGCTGCGCGAGTGTGTACGGGTTTTCTCGCGAGTAGAGCTCGTCCGAGAAGGGTGGGAACCCGCACAGACAGATGTAGAGGACGACTCCGAGGGACCAGACATCCACGGCCTTGGTATATTTTCGATGGCGGGTGTTTTCTAAGATCTCGGGCGCAACGTCTGTAAATAGGTAGTCAGCCTCAGGTCAAGGCAGTCCAAAACAAAACTCAAGAGAACGTTCGCACTTACAACTCGGTGTCCCACACAGAGTGGTGGTAAAAGACTCTTCCCCAATGATCTTAGCCAGGCCAAAGTCGGCCAATTTGATCGACAAATTCTTGTCCGTCAGCAGGATGTTTTCGGGCTTGATATCGCGATGCACGATGTTCCGCTCGTGGAGGTACTTCGTGCCCTGGAACAGCTGAATAAAGACCTTTCTCGTCTCGGCCTCGGACAGCTTTTGCTTCGTGACGATCCAGTTGAACAGCTCGCCCTCGGCGGCAAGCTCTAGGACGAGGAAGACGCCGTCCGGCTCGTCGAAGGTCTCCTTGAGGCACAGCACGTTCGGGTGGCTGACGCTCATGAGGACGGCGATCTCCTGCTGGAGGCCTTCAGTCTGCGAGCGCTGCGAGTCGCCTATGCGGCGCTCGAACTTCTTGACCGCGTACTTGAACCCGCTCGACCGCTCGACGCACAGGTACACCGTGGCGAAGTGGCCCTTGCCCAGTTGCTGGAGGATGCGGTAACGCGCGTTGAACGCGCTTGAGTCTCGGCTACGTGGGTAGCGGAACACGAACCGCGCTTCGTCCAGAATGGCGATCTCGTCGCCGTCTTCCAGCTCCCTCCGTTTGTTCCGGCCGACGAGTTGTTCTTGGACGAATGTGCCGTTGATGGACAGATCCTCCAGCACGGCGACGACATCGCCGTTCCGGGTCTCGTTGAAGAGCAGACAGTGCCGGTTGGAAATGGTCGGGATGTCGAGGACCATGTCGCATTCGGGGTGTCTTCCTATGAGGTACCCTCCGGCGGGGAAACCCTGGTTCATCTTCTGGGCTTCGTACTGCGTCTCGTGCTCGGAAAGCTCCTTTTTACCACGCTTCCTGCTCTTCACCGTTTGTCGACCGATTTCGAGGGGCCTGGCGGGGGCAGGACAGAATGCTCTTCTCTTCAGGGTCAGGCGATGGCCCACCTCGGCCGAGGGAAACAGGTAGCCCCATGTTCCGTCGTCATCGTTCAAATCACCTTCGAGGTCTCGCGGTGGGTAGATAAATTGTGACAGTGGCTGGGTGTCCTGCGGAGGCGACGAGAGCGCGTAGAGCTGGGGTGGAGAAGGGGGGGTAACATGACGAAGCTGACTTGGACGACCTTCTGGTGGACTTGCAGTCCGCTCTTTGAACGGCTCGGTGGCGGTGGATTCTTGAGCGGTCAGAGGGGATGGGAGGTAGTGCGCCTTCAGAGGTGTCTGGTGTGGTTGAACAGGGTCCTTTTGTGACTGAGAAGACAGCCTCTCCGACCGTCGTACCTTCTTTATATCATGGTCGTCGCCGGTGCTGTGCTGTATATAATGAGTCAGTCTTGGAGGCATAGAAAACAAGCCCGGCGTATCTACCCTGCTTCTCTTGAGGCTGCTTTTCTCTTTCTTGGGACCCATTCAACCCTACTCCTAGAGGGTATCCTCCACAGGCCTCAGGCGGGCCTTAGATCTCGTCTCCGGGGCTAGGTTCCGGCTTCAGAATGGTGGAGTCGAACTATTTGTACGAGTAATGAACTGGTGAGCTTCGTGTTTAGATTTCCAAAAAAAAAGTATGACGCTAACAATCGGCTTGGATAGGGCAGGAGAGGTTAGCTACTGAGTTGTGTAGGGATGAAAGGTGAGCAGAGGAAGCGTCAGGAAGAATCAGGACTTACAGAAAGCAAGGGACGAGGTGCGCATTGGGGCACAGCAATTGGTGAGTCGTGACCTTGGGGATTTTGGGTTTCGACTGTCTCGTAAGCTGCCGTTTTGTGGAGAAGCAGAATCGAGAAGCACGCAGAGGATCTACGGCAGCGCAGAGAGATTCCGAGACACACCCATTTCTACACCGGTTGGAGCATGGACTTTAGCTAGATGGAGGTGTGAGAGAAGGCTTGGCAAAGATGGGTATTTTTCATCTCTTGTATAGATCTAGTAGATCAGGTGTCAGTGCACTTTTATCCAAGAAGCGCTTCGTCATCCTCATTGTGGATCACTTGTGCGGACTAAAGCACCACCAAGGAATGCTCACTGAGCAGCAATGTTATTGTTTTCGGCCAGGCAACCATCGCGTAGGCACATGATTTCACGCTAATTAGCCACGAAGGACTCCGACTGCTACTAGATAAAGACTGCACCAGCCGAGCCTCTGCCCGTCCGGAAATCCGGTGAATCTTCTGAACATGGAAAGTCCCAGAGTAGACCTGTACGTGCAGCGGTAAAGGGAATTTGGCCAGACAACGTCGCGTACAATGCTCCTCAGTGAACATGCTCTTGTCGGAAGCCCAATCTAAGCCATGGACCGAGCCTGGTATTTCAGGTAGGCACGAGAAGTTGACGAAGCGAGCTTTGGACAGGGAAGTTACGGAAAGGCTTTCACACGGATTATTCAATGGCGACGTTGCCAATCGCACTACCTGATATGCATAGTGATACACTCACGACATCTGACATTTCTGACATCGAACGAGAAATGGTCTGAATCCCACCCAACTCCAGACTGACCAGACAGACTCCAAGTGGTATATAGGCCATTTTTGACCGACAGCAAACAAGAACGAGGGGCAAAGATAGCACAGCATGCTCAGCCTAGAGCTCTCGCAGCTTCGCCGCCGCCGCTTTCGGTGACAGCCTCCTGGTTCAATTCGGCCTTGAGCTTTCCCCTTCTTCCTCCGCCCTCACCAACGCCCATTCTCTTAGCGACGTATCTCTGGGCAATGACACCAACCACCAAACTCAAGCTTTCCTCCACCCACTCACTCACCCATTCTCTGGGGTCGATCCCTCCGCTTTCAAGGATTTCCTCGATGCTTTCAGGGAGAGTGCCTTCTCCACCGCTCGGTGCATCAAGCCACTCGATCCATTGTTCAGGCAAAGCTTGTGAAACTGCTTGAAACGCAATGCCGTGGATCGGGTCATGCAAATAGATTGCAAACAGAATCTCATGCTTCTCGTCCTCAGCAACTTCTCGAACTTGGCCCGGTTTTTCAGAGCTAGCGGCCGTGGCGAAAAGGTCTTTGGGAACAGGTTGAGAGATTGCTTGAACGGCTAGGAAGATCTGACTGTCACGGGTCGGGTTGGATTCGGAAAGCGTCTCCGTGGCACGTTTTGCAGCTTCCTCCAAACCTCCCTTGGGCGCAAAATATTCGCTGGCATATGATTCGGCAGATGCTCGGACCAGTTTGCTGCCTTCGACCACACCCTTGACAGCGTTAATGCTGCGTCTCTCACCACTTCTCCACCATGGGCCGTCATGCCAGGAGCCCAAAGGTCTCGAGAGTTCGGACGAACCTCGTTTCGGCCCTGCTTCTTGTCCTTTCTGTATAACCATCAGATCCCCGCCTTCGACTTGTGCCATGACACGGCTAAAGACTTGGTAAATAAGAGGATCGAGGGTTGGGTAATTCGTGAGGTCATGTGTGATATGGATTTGAAGTCTTTCATGAGAGGAGATTGGGGGCGCAATTGTCTGCAAGATGTTCTGGAAGGTTGGCATAGCCATAGATCTTAGATCACCGCCTGCGTCCAAGTTAGGGATGTGAACACAATATAGCCACGTGTCTGCTCCTACCAATGTCTCGAAGAGCTCCTACATTGCCACGCACTTGCTCCGCCCATCTCTGCGCCTCTTCATTCTTCTGGATCTCCTTGACAGCCGCCTGGGCTTGACTTACAGCAGCAGAGGCGGTCGACAAGAAGCCTCCCCACCAACCCGAACCCTTGGCAGGAGCGGGCGCAGGGGTAGCGGGTTGTGATTCAGTCTCGACCGATTCTTCGGTCGTCGTTGTAGCAGGGGTGAAGCTCTGATGGAAGGATCGTGTGCTGTCGCCGGATTTGCGCTGGCCGTTGCTCGATTTCTCCTCGCTTGAGCGACCAGCTGGAGGGGTGCCAGTGGCACCCCGGTTGGGAGATCGACTGCCGGCAGTCGAAGGAGCATTGGGCTTCAACAAAGGAGTGCCAGGTCTGCTAGCGGGTCTGTGATGTGCGAGGCTCCCCAGCTCTGCTAGCAGGTCTTGCTCGGACTGTGATGTTTGAGACGTCTGGCCGCTCTGGCGGGGTGCTCGCGTCGAGGATTTCGAGGGCCGTGCGGCTGCTTTTGTTCCTAAATCATCAAGTTGAGCGAGGAGCTCCTCCTCTGTAGGAACGGCTTTCTTGGTAGCCATGGTCATGGGGTAAATGATATCTGTCAGTTGAAGATGGCTTGGAGGTTGACGGTACTACAGGGTGTAGGGGTCGGTTGGAGGTTCAATCCAAGCGGAAATCTGCTCCCAAATTCACCCCGTTTCGGGACCAGGGCCATGCCGCCCTATGCTCACCCCTGCTCACACCCGGCTTGCGCGAGCGAGTGAGTTGGCACCTGTGGCTCTTCATTACGCTCTTTGGACCTGCCCTGTTGGGTGAATTTGGGTGCCTATCATACTTATAATGTGGGGAGTCGCCCGAGCTTTGTCTAACGGGATATAACAAATCTCCTAAAAGTAGCGTTGGTAGATTTCTGACCTAGCTCTCCATCGAAGGTAGTCTAGCTTTCGAGACTGGATGAAGGTAGTACTTAAGAAGGGTGACGTTAATGAGTATATAACTACCCTCGCGGGGTATAGACGAATTTCGATTGGCATAGGCATTATTAGTATGTTAGCCACGACTTCTTGTCTTCTTAGGGGTTCTACAGATGTTATTTCAGGATGTCTACCTCTAAAATCCCCTATGAAGTCCTCTAAGAGTACAAGGAGATAATCTAGGATACAGGTTATAATCTTGGGATCCATCTACAGCGAATTAATTAGCACTTGGCGCGATTGAATACCGAAAATACCAATACTTCAGGACTAAGGATAGACCTGAAAGACAAGAGAGAAGTGACCAAACCATATCTTCGGACTTGTAAAGACGCAAGGTCTCATCTCCTTATTAGACCGTGGATCGTCTCTATTTCCAGAGACATTCCAAAATGATAGCGAAGAAACATTCTTCGACGCGCAGGTGAGGACGCGTCAAGCCCTGGACACGAATCCAAGATAGCTTCACCGAGACCATCGGCTACCTTGGGAAACGCCTAGATCTCATAATACAGGACCACGGCCCTGAAAGGAATAAGGAAAGAGTGCGTTTACAAAAAAATATAGACATTTCAAAGCACTGCCTAGAGGTTTGCAAGCATGCTAGCGAGATTTCGCGTCAGAAGGTGTACAGAATTGGCGAGTTGATTGCCGAAGGTGACAGCGATCAAGTAGTGGTGACCACTCTAGCGAACCAATTCAATGTCAAGAAAGCGCTCTCGAAGGACAATTCAGCGCAGTTGATTGATTCAATGACGGCGGATAATCTTCAATAGCCAGAAGAGTAGAAATGGCTTTCTGTCTCGGTCCGGTGACCAAGAGCAATGTGGACCAAGACCAAGACCAAACCGGCCGTGTTCTAATGAAATGAGAAAACGGCTTATAGACAAGTCTATCTTGAGCCTCCAGAAGACCTAGGTCCAGGTACCACGCCGCAGTATCTATTTACGTAAGGAGCAATGAATAATTGATCAACATTCGAAACAAATCAAAATAAAGGGCGTCTTGCGAGAGAAAATAGTGTAATTACATACCACCTCGTCCACATTTACATAGAGATCAGACAATTCCAAGCAAATCTTGATCAACAGCTTCCCGAGTGTAAAATGTGCCCTGGTCTAATCTTATTGCATGAAGGGCGATTGCCATGAACCTGGCTGCGTAGGCAACAAATATGACCAGCCTCTCAATTCAATCAGTTCTTCCATGTCTTGAGGTATTGTGCGGCTAGCTGGACAGACTTTGCTCACCAATACCTCCATACTGAGAACGATTGCTTCTAGGTAATCATTGCCTCCAATTGGTATTGCGAATGCCAAATTCTGGGGTTTGGACTCGCACATTCCCGTCAGATGACCTCACCCCAGTTTCCGCCCTGTGCCATGTTGACCGTCAAACGGGTGATGGATGGTACTTCGTAGTTTGTCAGGGTCAGCGTTTCGCAGACCTTCGTGACCATGAATCTTGCTGACATTTTCTTCCGTGGTGGCATTGCCTTTGCTCGAGGTATTGTCCTTAGATAGTTGTTGAAGCGAGACATCAGACATCTGGCCTAACCACTGCTTGGATCTTGCACCAGTGGAAACATTTTTGGCGGATATGAGATCACCAAGAGTCGCTACGATAACTTGATGCGCGTCGTCAGTCATATGAATATCCTCAAATACATTGACTCGCTCCTTGGCAAGTTCTTCTGTCGCATCTTCGCATATGGCAAGACATTGCTTGATGCTCTCAAGGTCTTCAGGGGTTTGTCTAGGAGGAGATACGCCCTCAAACTCATTCTCTCGACCATTTTGGTGTAAAAGCCTTTGAAGTCGATGATCGGCGTCCTGCAGGCGTATTCGGAGCTCAGAAACTGTAAATTTGAGTCCAGTTTTGCAGTCTCTCAACTTTTCACTTGTAATTATGCGGGCTGGACTTTTTTGTATGTGCGTCGCCCTCGGATCATTGCCATCGCTAACCTTGGCAGTCACAAAGATTTCTGCCTGGGCTTGTTCTAAATGGCTGGCGACCTGCTTGCAAATGCCAAGGCAATGGTCGATGCTTGCCCTTTCTTCTTCAATAGCCAACTGGCTGAGGTCATTGGAATCTCCAGGAACAAGGAGTCTCGCCTCTAATGTGGATTTGGCCAATTCGTCGTCGGCTTGTTCTAAGATTTCTTGAAGGTCTGATGTCGTGTTATCAATCATCTCCTTGTACTCACGAAGAAGCTGTACAGTCACGTTAGAATGACGTCTGCATGTGTTAGCCGTTCGCCTTTAATTTCCATACAACTATATACGTACATATTTGCATCAGCAAGTGCTATAGCAATAGTAGATTTGTAGGCAGCAATGATATTCCTGAAGCTGGCAATATCCCTGCCTCGATACGTCAACTTAAACCAGTCACGAAAACTTGCTCTGTCGCCGCCAGAACGGGTCGTGCACTTATTGATAGTGTCTGCGAGGTCTCGACATGCCTCTCCACATCGGAGGAGCGGCAGCTTCAGAACCGACAGGTCCATCTGCTCATCATTTGGAACAGACATCAGAGACCCGAGGACGGCCCTAAGTGCTTCCAACTCTTCTTTGAGTTCCCGTACTGTTCTGCTATTATTCCGGTAGTTCTCAATAACTTCATAAAGAAGTTTCGTTGATTGTATAGTAAAAGTGGTCAAGGCTAGAATACCGGACGCCAGGCTAATTGGGTCTGCCATGGTGGCGGGAATGAAGGTACCAGCAAATTGAAGGAGAAGATCTCTTCGACGGCTTCGATTTCCTACTTTATGTGCTGACTGCCGTCGGAAAGCGCGCGGCTACACGTTGCCAAACAAAAGTCAACGGGAGTCCATACTAGACTCTCCACATCTCTGAATGCTCGTTGAAACGACGGGAGACTGGGGAGGAAGAAAGACTGACCTCAAGGTCAGCGGCTGAGGATCGATCCGTTCCCACTATCGCCATCAGATGTGCAGCTGCCTGATGGCCTCTTGTTCGGCGCCTCGGCGACATTCTCCACGGCGCTAAATTCAGCCACTGCACAAAAGCTCTGGACATGTGGGCAACACGCACGATGCACGTGACCGCTGATAATTTGGGGTGTATTACCCTGGTAGTTAGTATAATAGTATAATCCATACCAAGCCAAGACAGTTCCGGTGGACTATCCAGGGACATGACAAACCTGCTCAAACACTCCAGGGCAACGGTAGTAATTTTCCGAGGGAGGGACTCGACTGAGGAGTAGCACTGTGAGAAAATGCGGTAATTTTAACGGTTTCAAGGTGAGAATTTCAGCATGCACTACAGTATAAGAAGTGAAAAGCGCTCCTTGTTGACGCCGAGCATTGGTATTCATGCTACATACAGCCCAGTCACGGTCAAGCGTGGTGCAGGAATCGGAGGGTGAAGGTTGACAAAAGCGGGTAGGTGGGACTCTAGGCGACGACATCAGGCAGGTTTTTGGTAGCTCGACAGTGACAGGGCCTCTTGGGAGAATTCCGAGCAGTGGCTCCCCAACACGCCAGTATAGCTAACGTACGAGGAGACGAGTGGTTACTAGAGCGAGAAGAAGGACCAGGAAAGATCTAACAAGTCCATGGAGGACGGCCAGGATGGCGGGTAGTATTGTTGGATGCTGCACAAAGTAATGATCAGTCAATCAATCGCATCCACTCCCCCCAGCCACCCAGGAAGCGAGGCCAGAGCAATGACTTAACGTGACCTCTCCAACCTTTCGACCTTGAAGTCTTCAATCCGTCACTTCCATATCGGGTTGTTGATGAGCAAGGCGATTGTGCCTGTGACCGAGGAGCCCTGGAAGGATGCCGTGATCATGTATGTGCGCCCGGACTGGCAATCTCTAGGACTGTGTCCTTTGCTAGTTTCCAAGCCCCTCAGCCCCCGCAGCCCCCCCCTCAGGCACGTCGATAAGGGAATGTCCCTAATAGTGAATTGGCGTGTTGAGAGACATTCGAAGTTCCCTGTTACCACCTGGCCAAGAGGCGCCCTGCGATGGAAAATATTACGACAAGCAGGACTCCCGAGCATTACTTGGGAGATATGATTAGTGGAGGGAATGAAAGACCGCCTAAGCCACTTGCTCAGTAAAGAAGTCAGGCGAACGATGACGGGCGTATCCTTGAAATTTTAGTAAATGTACCTAAATACGGAGCATAGAGGCTCACTGCTGGTGCCACGCCTCTGCCATCTATTGATCTTTTCGGCTTTTACTATCATATCGAGGAGGGAAGATGGGAGTCCGCATTTGATTCACAATGCATTTCATAGCTAGAGTCTGTTCGATTCGGTTCGGCTCTATTCAACATGAAAGCAGCCATATCTATAGAGGCTTGGTGACGACTCGTCGTCATTGCGTTCCGCAAGAGAAAACCATACTCATACAATCCAAAGCAAGCTCGCAAGACCATTCCGTCACACTCCATTGATCCAGGATAACTACCCCGTTAGCATATCCCATATTTACTGATCCAAAACCTAGAATCAACATGGCTATCAGGTATCATCTCCACAGATCATGCTCCCATGTTTCTGTGCCCGGGCTGCACGGCTGCTGCTCTGCTTCGATCTCATTTCTTCTTCTGCAGCCCTATCCTCTTCGGCCTTGACTTTCGCTTTCTCCTGATTGGAACGACGGGTGGCCTTACGCTTCAAGGCGGCTGCAGCTGATGCAGGGCTTTTCTCGGGATTTCTGAAATTCATTGGCTTAACGTGCGGTGCAGTCCCAAATGAAAGACTATCCGGGAATTTCGTGACTGGCGCTTTGTTTGCTCCGTTCTTGGCGTCCGCAATGAGATATGGATCTGTCACCGTCACGTCCAGAGCAGTCTGGGCACCTCGAACTTGCATTGGACCGTTACTCTTCTCCGGTTCCGTCAACACACTCGTTTTCCCTTCAAGGACAAATTCCGCAGCTTCTGTGAGAGTAAGTGGGGTTGATGTAGCAGGTCGAGCTGTGGCAGAAGCGACATTGGCAGTGGAGGTGTGAACATTGCTGTGCCCAAATCGTTGGCGATTGAGCGAAATGATCTCAGACTCTGTCATTAGATCAGTGTTAACCCCGGGGATCGATGCCCAGTCCTGGTCAGGAGGAGGATAGTGGTACTGAGGGCCGTATCCATAGGCAGATGGTGGACGTTGGCCGAGAGGCATCATAAACTGATAACCCGTAGGATGCATGTGCGGTTGGATCATTAGTGGATATTGTGCACTTGGCCTTGAAGCAAGCCCAGATTCCGCGGGAGGCAAAAGTCTTTGAAATGGTGGATTCGCTCTCTCCATGGAAGGCTGATCAGGACCTCTCATGGCATGGTTGCGAGACTGGCCATGCGACCATCCATTTTGGCCCCTATAGTTCTGGTAACCTCCACGACCTCCCGTCCCAGCTCCGCGCGATGGAGGAGGGTTATTGTTGTTGTTGTTGGCTTTCGCGTAGCCCTTACCACGGTTTGTATTCCCGGTTGCATTGTTTCGGTCCTGACCATCGCGCTGACCACGGCGTTGGGCCGGGTTCCATCTGTTGATGGAACCATTTGGCACACTAACCCGACCTTGGCCTCCATGTTGTCGTCCGCTAAATATTCCTTGAGGTGGACCTTGATGACGATTGTGACCCTGAGCCAAGGCGCTATGAAGGCCCTCAACCTCTTGCGGGGGGAATGAGCCGAAGGGGGCAAAATTCCCATGAGGCCCGTAAGGGTAGGGGGAATGAGTATTCTGGTAGTGACCTTGCGCAGCCTGGGACGTGGTTAAGGCTGGTCCCGTTTGGACCATTGTAAAGTTGTCGGAAGTGTCAGCTTCACGGATAAGGGAGCTGTCGACAACTGTCGGAAGATGCACCTTGGTTTCCCTTGACTCGTAAAGAGCTGTGGCGCCGAGCAAGTGATCCGAGTCTGGGATAGCCGGTGAAGATTCCGGGAATGGTGAGACGATTGTTTGACCTGTGGCTGTCACGATAACGTGGTGCGCGGTATTTCCACCTCCACTGAAATTAGAGCTCGTTCCCTCAACAGGAAGAGAATTGCCGGTGAGTAGTCCTTGAAGGCTAGGGTCAAACAAAGGATTTGGTAGAGGGCAGGGTGTCTGAGGCGCACTGTTTGGTTGCAGATGAAGGTAACCACTGAGAGGTTGAACGGGCACTTCTGTCACATCACTCAAATCACGGTGATGGAACACCACTTCTCGATTCACCGTGACTTCTGGATTTTCCTCGACATCTTGAAACTCTCCACTGGTGATTCTTGAGTCATAGCCTGCGCGGACGGTGTCTTTGACCAGTGCGAGTCCAAGACTGGCCTCTTGAAGCACCTGCTCATCACGAGTTTTCTGTTGAGTCTGGTTGATCGTCAGTCTTGGGCGTAAGTTACGCCTAGGGTCATGACTTACGTGCTCAACCTCAACCCATCCAACTTCAGGATCAACTCCCAAGCTCATTTCAGCGACCAAGATATCATAAGCAGCGCTTGTATTCAAGACACGCCATGCCGCGTTAGCTGTGTTGCCGTCGTCCTCCTGATCTGCAGGCTTGTACGATCCATCCGGTCTGGCAATACGATACCACCATGGACCCTCAGATGTGGTGAAACCCTTTTCTTGAGATGGTCGGCGCGCGACGCCTTCAATGTGTTGCGCAACCTGAGCCGAGACTTCGGTCAGTAGACTCAAGAATCTGGGGAAACCTATATCTGGGGAGAATTGAAATTTGTGTTCAAGATTAGCAGGCAAATCGACAAGTCGAACGTTGACAGGTCCACCACGGGGCTTCTTCGCAGGAGGCATGTCGGCGAAGCTTTGAGCTTGGGTGATAGGACAGTTAAAAAGTTTGAGGTTGCCACAAGTTCAAAAGAAGAAGAAATATTTGTGGCTGCCGGTACAAGCTTGAGACTCAAGTGATTTTGTACTGAAGAGGCAGTGCGCGACCAGGTAGAACAGGTGAAGTTTGGTTTCTTCCCAGTGACGCGGGCGACCAACGTGACTTTGTCCGGGTGATGCAGAAGTGAAGGGTTCACAATACCATCGGTGGCCGCCAGGGATAGATGCAGCCCTGGGTGTGATTGTATGGTCACAGGGTGCAGAACACAAAGAGTGAAAGGTTGAAATCGGACACCCTCAAGGTACACTCCTTTCGAGAGCAAGCATTTCTTGCCTTCATTCCAGACATTTCCAGAAGGGAGGAATGATTACGTCCCAAATGTTGCAACAAAGACGGAGGCGCTGATTGTTCATGGCAAACAGTCCCCAAGATTACCTCTTTGAAGTGTTTGCTGTTCGACTTTGATCTTTCGGACAACAGTTGGGTACAAAAGCGAGCTCTCTATGCTATAACGTTTGGACAATGCTGCTGACTGTGTGCTGTAGCACCTACCTCTTCTGAGTCAACAAGACGAATAGCAAACGATGTGACAGCTAGACTCGAGTATAACATCAGCCCAACGACCGCCTTCCTAAGCATGAGCACTGTTCAGGAAAGACTACCAACAGATATTCCTTTAAACAGAGGCTGACCTAGCCCTTCATTCTACTGCTGTGGTGGCATGTAAAAACTGTGGTTATCGAGCTATTGATCCAGACGGCGTCACAACTTACAAGGAGAAGCGCTGCTTGAGATAGATAATAAGAATAGCTGCTCTTAGGTATTTCTGAAGTCGACCGGGCTAAAAGATGGCTGATCTCTATATCTCGATTGACCTAGGAGAAGGAGACACGACCTTCATAAGCCAGGCCAAGGGACCAATCCTGGTTGCCCAGTAAAGGAGGCATCGCCCTTCGGGCAAAGATGATTGCACGACACCAGTGATCCATAGCCGAAAGATAGTCCAGAAGATTTCGGCCTTGGAGTCAACACCCGAGCCTTGCGGGATTTTATGGGCATATGCGATTAGAAGAGGGCGCCGTGTAGTCACTAGTTAGAAGTGTTCGGAGTGCGAGCAGAACTCCGAGCATGTGGATATATTTGCAGTCTGACAAAACAATATACATCATGGCTTTGTAGTGCCACCACGGGTGCGACAGTACCATTGAGTCGACAAGGCGAAATCCTGTCCGTCAACTCCTTGTCTGACCAAATAATAAGCCTCCAGCAGGGTGGCTATTCGCGGCTTCCCCATCGCCAGCATTTTCCCAAACGCACTAGCCAGTTTGGGGTTGCATGTTAAGCTCTACTGCGTGCACCAAACTTGCCTCCGACGACGAAACATCTTCCACCGTTTCCCAGTCGTTCTATTGTTCAGCACTTTTTGCCTCTGATCTGTGGTTGTGGTGACATAGACCTCCTTCATTCGCTTTCTTTTATTGTTTCCTCCCCTCAACTGTCTCCTCCATCCTCCTTCATCATGCTCAAAACTTTAGTCCCAAGAAGCAGTCGATCGCTGCTTTCAACCAAAGCTCCGCAGTTCGGCCCAGCAAATCTGCGGACCGCCCCAAGCTTCCAGATCTTCTCCCAGAATCAACAGAGAAGTAGAGGCTACGCTTCAGAAGCTTCAGAGTATGATGTTCTCTTCATCGGAGGTGGTGTTGCCGGCTATGTTGGCGCAATCAAGGCTGGCCAGGAGGGTCTCAAGGTTCGCAGAGGCGGTTGGGGGATATTTTCCCTGTGTACTAACATTGAAGCAGACAGCTTGTATCGAAAAGCGTGGAACTCTCGGTGGTACATGCCTGAATGTCGGCTGTATACCCTCCAAGTCCCTTCTCAACAACTCACATCTCTACCACCAAATCCAACATGACACGAAAAAGCGAGGTATCGATGTCGGCGATGTGAAACTCAACTTAAAACAAATGATGAAAGCAAAAGACGAATCCGTGACTGGTTTGACCAAGGGCGTTGAGTTCCTGTTCAAGAAAAACAAGGTCGACTACATCAAGGGAGCAGGCTCATTTGTCGACGAGCACACCGTCAGAGTTAATCTATCAGATGGAGGTGAAACAGACGTCAAAGCCAAGAACATAATCATCGCAACCGGTAGCGAATCCACACCCTTCCCAGGACTTGAAATAGACGAGAAAAAGGTCATTACAAGTACGGGCGCTATTGCTCTGGAGGAGGTCCCTAAGAGACTGACTGTCATTGGTGGTGGTATCATTGGTCTTGAGATGGTAAGCGCATCCTTTTCGCGCCTTCTGATGGGTAAACTCTGACCCAAATCCTAGGCGTCTGTGTGGTCTCGTCTCGGCTCTCAGGTCACTGTCGTGGAGTTTCTAGGCCAGATTGGTGGCCCCGGCATGGACGCTGAGGTTGCCAAACAAGCTCAAAAAATTCTTGGTAAACAAGGCATGAAGTTCAAGTTAAATACAAAGGTCACTTCCGGCGATGCAAGCGGCGACGGAGTCAAACTTGAGGTCGAAGCCGCCAAAGGTGGCAAGAATGAAACCATTGAATCTGATGTCGTTCTGGTCGCAATTGGTCGGAGGCCTTACACTGAAGGCCTTGGACTCGAGAACATTGGCATTGAGCTAGACGACAAGAAGCGACTCGTCATCGATCAAGAATATCGCACGAAGATTCCTCACATCCGAGTAGTGGGCGATGTGACCTTCGGACCTATGCTCGCACACAAGGCTGAGGAAGAAGGCGTGGCTGTCGTCGAGTATATCAAGAAGGGCTTTGGCCACGTCAACTATGGCGCCATTCCCTCCGTCATGTACACACACCCTGAAGTCGCATGGGTTGGTCAGAACGAACAAGAGCTCAAAGCAGCGGGTGTAAAGTACAACGTCGGAAACTTCCCATTCACTGCCAACTCGAGGGCGAAGACCAATCTCGAGACAGATGGTTTCGTCAAGTTCCTCTCAGATGCCGAGACAGACCGTATCCTAGGCGTCCACATTATCGGAGCTAATGCCGGCGAAATGATCGCCGAGGGAACCCTGGCCCTGGAATACGGTGCCAGCAGCGAGGACGTGGCGAGGACGTGCCATGCTCATCCCACGCTGGCAGAGGCGTTCAAGGAAGCCGCCATGAGCACGTACTCGTCAGCAATTCACTACTAGGAAGGCATCCTGAGGAGTATGTGCGATGTGTGGTTTTGGGGGGCCGGCCGGGTGATGGTGGGACTTATGGATAGTTACTTTCGTATCATGCCGTCCATATACGCAGCTTCACTGTCTGCCGCTTGTTGACAGAGGGAGGAGTATTTCGACAGAGTGAAGGCTCAGACGGCCCAAACCCAGAAAGGCTGGTCAAAAGAGCACTCTTCGAAACCAAAAATGAATGTAAATTATATGGCCCGAATGTGTGTATCCATGGATTCTTGCGTTCCTGTTGGCCTTGTTGCTTCTCTGTTCCACGTACTACTAGTTAGCATGAGCCTGAACCGTGAAGTTGAACTGTCAATGCCAATTATTTGATGTGCTGTCCATTTACTCGATCGGTATGTCGTTGGAGGGTACGGCGAACCAAGCTTTTATGATTAGCAACAACACTGTTCGATCTCAGCCGAGCCTGGCATCACTCTTCCATCCATGCTCAAGACGTTCACTGAAGCTTCGACGGTGAGGAAAGTGGACGAATTCACCAAAGGGAATGTAGAGCGGCACCTATCTTTTGCTATCTAGTGCTACCTAGCAGTGGACCGGCATCCTCAACTCTCAGAGCGTTGAAGAGTAGTAGTTCATTGCAGGACCATACGTATACCATAAAACCAAAGTAGTGGCATGACGGTGTCCAAAACCAAAACTCCATGTCACCTTTCCTTCCTTTTTGTCATACACATTAAGACTAACCAAACCTGAAGGTTATCTGTATTCTGGCGTCGCGATCGAAGCATGCATTCAAATCATAGAATTTGTCCTCATCCAAAATAATTTTGGGGGAGGGGTTTCTTCATTCGTGGGCCAAATCTTGCCAACACAAGTTACGCTGTGATTTCAATGCAGGCAGGTACCAGCATCATTCAAGGCATTGTCAAACCACTGGTATTCCCGAATAGTTCCTATCCGACTAGCGGACGACACTCCAGACCTCCAACACCATTTGCGTATCTACATTGCAAACAACAGAGGTAGTTTAGGAGTAAATGGCTAACCTGATGTAAAGTCAGTATATGCACTCCGTATACAAAGGACTGTCTCATAGCATACGTGATGCAGATATCTGGGGAGTTGTAACGGCTCATTCCCGACATTGAACTTTCTGCTCACTTTTTTACACCTGAGACATGGCTGGCGCACCTCTTCTGCCCAGGCCACCTCTCAAGTTGACACCACCACCTCGAGCTCCAAGGAAGGTGAAGAAGAGACTGGCGGTCCAAGCAGCCCAAGCGAACCACAAGAATGCGGTCGAGGCCTGAGCTTCTCGGCAACGACCCTCGGTATCGCGAGAGCCATTTGTGATATGATTTGATTCGGTGTAATCCTGTTAGCTGATTAGAGGGTGGTCAATAGCTTTGCTGAAGTTGAACATACGCTATTGCTGCAGGAATGGACACCGAGTTCGGCAGCCATGGCGACGGCAGCACAGAAGAAAAAGATGACGTTGAGAGAGTCGAGCGCAACCGGAATGATGGAGTGGCCGGTAAAGGATTCGTTGAAGGCAGTTGCTATTAGGTAGAACAAGGACAGCATGCCAAAGACAGCTACGAACATATCGTAGTTGATCAGAGACGGGTTGCCGGCGAAAGCGCTGGCGATCATGTTGCCCACCAATGCCAGGACAAGAAGGGTGCATACAAACTAGAATGCCACGGTTAGCTGTTGCTGGGAGCGGAAACGATTACGGAAGAAGCTACCTCAAACCCTCGCAGGCCGAGGTTGACTACTCTGGACACCATGTTGGCAAGATGTGCAGGGTGCGGAAGTATGCGATGCGAGAGGAAGGATGTAGAAGGATGCGGGTGTAAGTGGTTGAGCTGCGGAGGTTGGAGTGTATGTGTGAGTAGAATATGTTTGGGGTTGTAAAGGCAGTGTGCGTGTACAGCAGTAGATGGTAGCAGGTAGCAGGTAGGAGAGGAGGAGAGGAGGAGAGGGAGGAGAGGGAGAGAGAGCAGAAGGCTGTGGAATGATGATGATGATGTTAGTGGTGACGGAGCTCTCTTTTCTGCAAGAGCAAGAGCAAGAGCACCAAGAGCCCCAGCTGCCAAAAGCTACGGGTACTGACGCGGCGGGCAAGAGACAACGACGTCACTCGTCTGCGGTCCCTCGGAGGGGGGCAACACTAAGAGCCGGGTGGTGTGGGCTTGGGCTCGAGTTTGGGCTTGGGCTCGGGCTTGTCGATTGTGGACCGTGGATTTGTTGTGGCTTCGACGCTTAAGCGATTTCAGGGCCAAGCTACCTATTTTGCCCTTTTGGCAAAGGCCCAGTTTGGATGTATTTGAGGAGCTTTGACGTTTGTAGAAAGAGGTTTGTCGAGGTTAGCAAACCAGAAGATGGCACATAGTGGCAAACAGGAAAGCTAGCGATACAGCAACACCACTGTATTTCTTTTCAATCCATAGTATCTCTTCACAGAGATGTCCCCTTCCTAGAGAAACATGTTGGAAACTTGTTGACACCTGCAGTGGCCCCAGCAACCCTGCTCCCCTGTTGAAGGGCTGAAGGTGCTGCCCTGCAATCGAGGACCAGGTGACCAGGGCTGCCCAGTCACGTGCCTAGGCGCTCACCCAACCAGCTTTGCCTCTCACGTCCGCCAACATCCGGGCACCAGTCGCTTGGACTGTTGCACCGTCGCCCAGAGAAACCACCACGTCCACTCAATTGTGGCCTGCTTGCTGGCATAGAAACACAACCAGTTTGCGCGAGTTTCCAACATTCTGTTTCATCATCCGCCTTGCCTTCATAGTACTCGGAATTCTTGGTAGATTGAACCTGCTCACTACTGCCCGGCTGAGATCGCTTGTCACCCACGCCAGTCTGGTGTTTTAACTCGTACGATTTTCAGACTCTAGAGCCTCAAGCCCTGCTCTAAACTTTCTCCACCTTGACAGTGCCAATTACAAGTGTGTCATGATCAGCATGCAAGGAACCTCATGCCTCCACACCATCCTCATTGACACGTTTCCATTTGTGGCGTGAAATTGCATATGGGACCCTTAGATTCACAAGCTCACAGCTTTTCAAATGTTGGTGTTCGCTTTTGCAATCCACTCAACATTGCCCTCGACACGTCCGAGCTCTGCACCATGGCCGCATTCCATGCCGCCGTGTAGTTGAGATTATCCTCCACTGTTCTGCCCCAAGCGGCATCCAAGATGTTCTTGGTTCCTTGCACCGCCACAGGGCTTTTGCTTGCCACAAATTTGGCATATTCGAGTCCTTCGCTGATGAGGTTGGCCTTGCCCTTAACCACCCGACTCACAAATCGGTTTTGCAAAGCCTCCTCCGCTGTGAATGGTCGCGCTGTGAGGGTGACCTCTTTCACCCAGCTGGTAATTCCGCCCACCACTTTTGGAAGCCGGCTCAATGTGCCTACATCCGCAGCCAGTCCAATATCCACTTCTTTGACCGAGAACTTGGTGTCACTTTCAGCAAACCGAATGTCGCACGCTGAAGATAGATCAATCCCTAGACCAAATGTATAGCCATGGAGAAGTGCAATGGTTGGCTTTTCACAACGTGCCACTGCCGAAATGACATCTTGTAGTTCGAAAATGTGCCTTCTTAAGCTCGTCGCCTGCCGTGATGGGTCACGAGTTGGTGCAGCTGTGCCGAGCGGACTTCCAGACTTCGATGCCTCTTGCACATCAAGACCTACAGAGGAAAACATCATCAGTATGCTTGCGTAGCTGACCTTACAGGCCAAGGTCGTTACACACCTGCAGTAAATGCTCGATCACCTGCACCCGATATCAGAATGCATCGGACGTCTGGGTCTGGAGACAATTTCTCAAATATTGTTTTGAGCTCAAGCCACATCGGTTCGTAAAAGGCGTTGAGCTTCTGTGGTCGGTTGATTTCCACGTGTGCCACAAATGGTGCTGGAAACGTTACGTTGAAGAACTTGATGTCTGACATTGCTTTGGGCGCCATATTGTCGCACGGGTCAGCGCACGTGTTCGTAAGTTTTTAATACGAGTGGATGGAGAGTGTTCACAACATAGGCGACAGGAGATTCAATAGATAACTTCTTATAATGAAGCAGGCTTTCGTGGTTGGAAAGAATTACAGCGTAACCTGAAGCTTCGCGCTTACCGTGCCGACGGCCGTACGTATGAAGTTGAAATCGAGGAAGGAACCTCGGCTCCCATTCGAACACGTGCCTCTACTAACAACTAACCACTGTGTGTACCCTGTCGACGATGTTGCCACGTATCATACTGGTAAGTTGTGTTGACTCCTTGGCCCTGACTCTTCCTCCTTTATCAGGGACTTCGTATAACCCCCCCCTCCCACACACACTTGTTGTCCTGCTCTCCGCAAACATTGAACCCCTAGGGCTGGTCTGTCTACCTACGACTACGAGCATGTACATAAAACATGACGGGCCCTGGCAAAATCGGTCTCGAAGATATCTGCACAGTCTATGTTTCATTAAGGCCCAACAGGGCAAATGTCACGGCCTAATCATGCCACATACCGGTCAACGCTGATGGCTCGTGGCGTTGAGGTTGCCTCAGGTGGACACAAAGATCCGTATAGGTACTATCGATTCTGTGGCACCCTTTTCGAGTTTCAAGTTCTTCATTACGACATCTCACCCCCTTCTGGCCAGAAACTGCTTGTTCCAGGAAGCATGCCACACTAATTACACATGGTCTACTGGTTCGACTCTAGGTCTTTTTTTACTTTCAACCGAGAACCTCTTCTCAGTATTTCCGCCCATCCGCAGATCTTACCATTATGAGTCGCGACGCTCTATTCGCAGTGGGTGCTGGAAGCATGCCAATCCTGTCGTGCATCACAATCGTAGGGAGCTCTTGCTAGATTGGATCACTCGCAGCGACACTGTGCCCACCGATTTCACGGATGCAAGGGCATCTTGGGTCACTACTGCATCGTCGCACTGAATCTACCAGACCCGAAGTGACCGGACATTCCTTGGCAGGTCACGGTCGTAGCATCTACCAAGCCCAGCCAGCAGGGCCAACAGCTATGCTAATAACACCACCCAACAGACAAGAAAGCCAATCTAGAGTTATTACAAATTCCATTCGCACTCATCAGCCTGACGAGAAAATAATCTGGATCATCCCTAATATCATTTACAGCAACGTCTTTGTCGATATCGTTGTGCTCGCTCAACTTGGCTTCCCACTCTGGGACCAGATGCTAGGGAAAGCACAATGGTCTATTCTACTCGACATCATCTGCATCCATATACTCAGCTGGACCTGATCGGTGCGAGGGACCAATTCTGCTCTCACTGATGTGGAGACCATGAACGCCCTGCCATCCACTGGAAACATTTGGCGAGTGGGTTCCATCATTCAGCGAAATCACCAGCTTCGACTGCTCTGATCGACAGAAGGTGTAGCATCGATTGAGAGTTCCTCCTGAATGTGGTAGTGATGGAGATCCCAGGCAATATTCAGTGAATAGGATCATATCATTGGAAACTTCCCCGTGCCTCGTCTAGGCCGTGCTACCTATATTCGCTTTGGTTCGATAGGTGCGATCCGGGGTTTGTTCTCTTTTTGGCCGATCTCGCATTTGGGCTTGTCGAGTGAATCTTTTCCTGCTACACGGCGTATCGAACTTCAGCTTGAGAGTGGGTCGGATAAGACTACAAATCACCTATACGAGCAGAGGACTTGTGCCACTTACTAACTACCCAGATCACAGCGCAACCTTTCCGCAAAAGTCGACTGCGTGTGGGAACTTGATTCCAGGTATGCTTCCAAGGGAAAACGAAGCATGACGGAAGAGACCTCGAATGGGTCAACTGCCACAAAAATTGCGTATCGCTTGATAGCTTTCAATTTCCTGTTTTTGGTGAGACAGGCGGCTTGTCAGGCCCATTCGCAGGCACTTGCAATATCAAGCACAAATTTGACCTGTCATACAACCTGTCCCGATGCGACTTTCTTGAATGGCGCACACATCGTTTTCATTGGATTCTAGCTGGCCCCAGCCTTTCTTTGATCACTCGTGGCCGGTCCTAGTCCCATGCATAATGATCAATAGCCACGCGTTCTAGGCCACGCCTTCTTGTACATCTGTACGCCAGCATGATATCCATTGCAGACGGCACTTATCATCAAAAGCTCCAGGTTTAAATCGCCGGTGTACCTAGGTATGCTCAGCCGAGATATCATCAGAAGTACACTCCGTATTGCGACAATTCTACTCCATGCGCTGGAGGCGGTACACAAATATTCCCTGAATTTGAGTTTTCCTAGGTACGCTACGAGCCGACAGTGATGGAGCCGGCGGACGGTGTATGTCATATGCGTGGCATACGGGGTCATATAAATCCAGGTCAGCCTAACAGTCCGACCACGAGCGGATGAGTTCTCAATCTCAGCTGAATAATCTATCTCAACCTGAAATTTCCATTCAATTTCGTTCATACACCAACTCTTTTCGGGCCATCCCTCATTCACATCAGCCGTCAATATGTGCGAACATAAAAGACTATTGGAAAAGTGCCCCGGTTGTGCTGGAAACCCTCCAAGGTTAGCATTTCAAAGTCTTGCTGAAGCTGCATCTCGTTCAACATCAAGTATTGATCGTTGGATGTATCTCATTCAGTACTAATTGCTGAATTAGGAATAACAAAAGATGTCCCCAATGCAACGGGAGAGGGGCTTTGATCAGGCCTTGCCAGCAGTGTCTGCCGAAGCCTAGCGAAGGTCCATCAGCGCCTAAAGCCGGTCCAAGCAGCAACTCCGGATTTGGTGCACATGATGGGCGTGGAAATGCAATCAAAACCCACAACGCCTAGTCTTGTCGTTCTTCAAATTAAGCGGCATTGATACACTTTGAAGGTGGTTTCGAATCTGAGGGATGCTGTTGCATGTTCTTCAACAGGCGCTGTACTCCTAGTGTCCACATTCCGCCATAAGCATTGTTTTCTATTCACGGCCAAGGGTGCAATATTGTGTCGGACTCAATTCCTATCTCAAAGGTCAGCTTGACTTCCTTAGTGTTGAATGAAATCAATCTCGAAAACATCTTCTTGAGACACAGTGCGAGGCTTCGTAATCAGTTCAGAAGAAGCGAAAGCCGTTAAAAAGATTCTTACCCCATCAAATCCCAACTGACTTCCACGCTGCTTCTTTTCTCGAGTCGTAGACTGGAGTCTATTCGGGCGTGCGAAAGAGCTTGCAATAGGCTGGTCGTACCTGTGGAGGATGGCACTTCGGTCCCTAGCTCAGGAGACTGGGGATCTGTTCCAAATCAAATCAAATGAAGCACGGGTGTATACTATCATCAAGCTTTAAAGTGGCAATCAAGGGACAAGCAAAAAAGGCAGACGTGTTAGCCCAGGTTATGCTAGGGACATGCATGCAATCAAATCAATCCCATCTCCAGACGTCCCCATAATTGGCGGCGGGGAAGCGGACAACAAATTTAGGCAGTACAGGAGGATCGGTATCAGAGCTATCACCAGCCCTCAGTCAGTACCATCTTGAACTACCTCCAGTCACCGCGATGTTGCCGGGTGATCCCTCTTCACAATGGCAATCTACTTTACATCATTGACGAGACAGTGTACCTTGACTTTCAACTATTGAATAGGCTGATCCTATGATCAGCAAGAACGGGGCCGGGACCAATTGTTTCATGCTGCGAAAAGTCGCACAGCCTCAATCTAGCAACCTTGCCGCTCCGTAGGTATCATTGACATGGCGGTGGGAAACGGCTTTCCTGTCCGCACAAAGGAACGAATCATCCCAATGGGGTCCATCCCAGGTTGCTACTTCTCATCCCCGGCGTCCTTGTGCGACCGAATGACGTCTAGTCGGAGGGTTGAGGTCCCACGACTTTGTTAATCAGGCGCTTCCACCCTGGTTAGAACGTCTGGTGTTTTATTAAAGGTACAACTGCAACCTATCAAATGACTGCTCAGCCCATAGGTAAATCTTCCCGTGGTGGATGAGTCCGCGGCTGATCATTGTTAGAAGGGATGATCACGTGCTTAAAATCTCAGTTTCACCGTTCTTCTACTTCTTTGAAACCGTGGCGTTTTTCGATTCCGTCTGGCAATCTGACCGTGAGGCAAGGTCGTTCAGTGCCTGAAAAGGCGGGTCCGCGTCACCTTATCAAAAATTGACCCAGCATCCCCGTGGTAAAAACGAGCATTTCGACTTCAGTCTCCACCTCAATTCGGAAATGTCAATTTTGAACAAACATATCTGTCATCGTTGCTGAGTCAAATCTCTTTGTAGGTTACAGCAATCTTATCCCCTCGTCTCCCTCATCACGGGACAATACTGTACTTATCGGCCTCAAAGCTTACGCGGCAAGTTCTGTGCGCTGTGTCGTGGAAAGGAAACATCGTGGGCTCTTCACAACCCCCACCACGACAACATTGTGAGGTCAATCGGTGGCCGCAATGGTGCCGCTTCTTGTGCAATAATGACAGGAATTTGTATTCACCGACATAAGCAGTTGCAATCCCCTCCACCAGTTTTCGTTATGTTAAATTCTAACAAGCGGCTTGCCAAGCAGAGAGACTGACCATGATACACGTCGCTGTCTACGGCCACGGTGTGCAATCTTCATGATTTGTGAACAAGGCGATCGTCGGACAGTACTCTGCTATCGATTCGAAATACGATCTGATCATCTCAGTCTTAGGCCTGACCAGAGAATCTAATTTGCTCCATCTAGTGGGGGAATGAATATAAGCAATGCCTCCGAAACCGCTCCAACGAATGTTGCTATACCCACCCCGAAGTAACCTGTACCAGCATGTCTGCCCGACTAACACTAATTACCCCTAACTTCTGGGCGTGGAAGGTGCACGTGCATCTATTCTGCTCCAAAATGTTGCCAGCATTGTTCCTACCTACGAGTAAGCAGCAGTGTCTAGCACCTGCCCTGAACAATTTGTGGTCATGACTCATTGTAGCATATCCAAACTTCGAGAAGGCATATCCCATGGAATGAAAGGCATCAAGCAGGGCACGCAGACCCATGGAGCTAACAGCGACTGGCGTGAATGCTACTTGCCAAGTCCCATCATACCCCTTTTCCATTCAGCCTGAGACGTCAATCACGTGACATTGAGGATTCCCAGAGCGAGCGTTCGGCTCGCAAAGGCTGATATCAAGTTTTGATCTTAACTAGAATTCTTCGTGCCGTGAAGTACATAATGAGCACAGTTAAAAAAGGGCCACCAAAAGACCACTACACACTCCCAAGATCTGGAGTCAAAGCCTCTGGCATCAGGGCTGCTCGAAGGCGTGGAGATATATGTTGCTCTAATTATTACACATTGTCTGATCTACCGAATTCTTACATTTAGCGGGCCTTCCTGTTCAAGGTTGCTTACCAAAAGCCGAATATTGGGAAGAGGCATGATTTTAGAATACAGATTCCTAATCAGACATGCAGTGCCTAGCCGCAGCAACATAAGTAAAAAGGTAGCTCGCAAGATATGCGAGAGGGACCTGCAAGGGGGCTTCTTGCTATTGTAGTGTATGATGATGGTGGTGGCAGCGGCGAGAGTGAGAGAGAGACACACACAACCTTTGATGGTGCCAGGTGAACATTCCCAATGCATTCGTGAGGGATATCGAAATGGATCAATCGTGGATATCTGTTTCCAATGCCATAGGATGAGAATCCTAGGTAAATAGTGCAAGTCGATTTCTCCTCCGGAGTGGGGAAATTGCTACTGTAAATGTTGGGCTGTACGAGGCAACTGCGGGAACAAATGCCAGCAGACACTTTTTGGCCCCCCTCGAGCTGGGATTATTGTAGAGATTGGACTCCATTGTGGGCTCCGTCATCGGCACCGGTGCCTGGTAGATCTCCTTTGTTTTGTGTCTTCGCGCCGAATCACAAGCCCGGTCGCAGGGCTTGTGGATGTTTCGTTCTCAAGTAGAGGAGGATCGGTAGTCACCTCGTAAGCCCCCGAACGGACCCTCGAAACACAGAGAGATGTGAAAGCGCCGGCACGTTGCGGCCCTGGAGGCGAAGTTTGTTGGAAAATAGACAGTAGTACCAAGAGACGACGCCGTCTCGGTCGATCGTTTACCCAGCAGCATAAGTACTCTTCTCCCTTAGCGCCTGACCATACTTCCAAAGCAAAATCGGCGATGGAAAGCCAATGACGATACCAATGAACCCAAGCAGGGAATTGCCCCAGTCCAGATGCAAGGCCGAGTACAGAGACGGTGCGAAAAGCGGGAACCCGAAACCTGCCAGCGACCGGAGAACCACAGCGGAAGCGACGGCTGAAGCGGCGAATCTCGGATACGCGTCCACTATGTATGTCTGCGTGCACTGGAAGCCCATGATCGCGCCAGCGGAAAAGATTGCCGCGCCGATGTTGGGCGCGATCCAGTGGACATCTGCACGGGCGGTCCAGCCGTAGATGAAGAGGCCTACCGGCACTGTGGGATATCAATTTAGCATTTCTCCTATGGAGTGGATGGATATGACTCAGGAACAGACTGGGAAGGGTTCATGGAACATACCTAGTATGGCACCAGGAATCATCAGGGGTACTCGAAATTCTGGTCTGCCGATATTGTTATTGCGTCGTTTCAACGTGATGTAGATCTTGTCGTTCAGGCGCGCCGAAGTCTGTGAGCCGATGAAGAAGCCAAGTCCAAGCGAGATGTAGTTCAAACCACCGATACCAACGGATTCATGGTAAACGTCCTGCCACACGGTTGGAAAAGTCGACAGGACGAGATATAGCAGTCCATATAGGTATGCCATGTACAGCGCTAGGACTTGGATGATCACCTGGGTGCCCAGGAGTCGAAAGGGACGGATTAAGCTGGTTTGGATCACTTTACTCAAGGTTCGGTCTGGGACTTCCCATTCGGTATGGAGCTTGGGATTGCCAGTCTCTTTGCGGAGGCGTTCTGCTTTGATCGCTAGGATCTTGGGGGCATATGTTTCGCGAAGATAGAGGAGGCCGAGGCATTGGATTCCCGCGTCGACTATTGACGTTGACCAAAAACACCATCTCCATGTCGTCTGCGGGATTTATGTGAGATGTGGGTAAATATCAAGTTGGGAAGATTCTCACCCTCTCAGCTATGAAGCCACCGGCAATCGGCCCAACTAGTTACCATGCGCGTCAGGCAGAGATATCTTCGTGGACGCAAGTGACTCAAATATTTGCTTACCAGCAGGACCAAGGAGGGGAGCAAGGGAATATATGCTAATCGACTTCCCCCTTTCCTCGGTATGCCACACATCTGCAAGGACGCCACCACCGAGGCTCAGTGGCGCACTTCCTCCCAACCCACTCAAAAAGCGGAATGCGATAAGTTGGCCCTTGGACTGGGCGAACCCACAGCCAATATTGAACGCGAGAAAGAACAAGTTGGACAATTGCAGAACGATCACTCGTCCAAAGATCTCCGATAACGGCCCTAAGAAGAGTGGTCCGATCGCGTACGCGAGAACGAAGATGGACAGCGTAAGTGATTTTTCGATCTCGTTGTTGATGCTGAGATTGTCGCCAATGGCATTGAGCGCAGGGGCTACCATTGACGATGAGACTGGTGAGATGAACGTGAATGCTGAAACGATCAATGTTGCCGCCCACTTTTTCCGATAGGTCCAGTTCTTGGGATTCTGCGGATCGTCGCTGGACTCCCAACTGACCTAGAACGTGTCTGAGCAATTTGGGACAGGGTGGTTCTCGGGCGTAGTTCCTTACCAGGTTTGGATCCTTGATGGATCTCGTCGACTTTTCCCTTCTTATCTGCGGATGATTGGCTTCGACGTCTTGACTATCCCTAATGCCAAATCTGACTTCCTCCACCGTTCGGGCGGAAGTGCTGTCCCCATCTGACAGGACTTCGTCATCACTGGTTGTGTCCTGGTCGGAGTCGAAATAGTAGCGGTGGGATCCATGGTCGTCCATCTAAGCGTTTTTTGGACATATTAGTGTCTCGGGCCAACATCACTTCAATATCTCTCGACTGTGTCAGTCCACTTTCGAGTTAAAACTTACAAACTGAGGGGGGTACAGTCGATTCTTGGTTTCGTCCTCTGGCGTAGATTTAGCCCTGCTCAACTGCTGGTCATTTTGAGCACGTTGTGGGTGCCTTTCAGGAGCGGTTCGCGTCCTATTGAGTTCAGCAGCCATCTTGCACCGCTGGTAAATGGCAGATCCGTTTCAACGGTGACAGAATCTTCAGGTCAACAAGTACATAGTAACATTAGGTAAAGATGACGCATTCCTTGGCCGGGAAGTGGCAAGGATAAATAAATATAACGGGGTGTCATGAACACGCAGATAGACCTTTGAAACCCCCGGATTTAGCATTAGTGCCGCATGGCGCATAGTCTCTTCCTTTGGGTGAAGAAATATTGACCATGAGTGGTAGACTGACTGAGAAGAGTGCACAGCCTGACTGCCCGACAGCCAATCGCAGGGATGAAAAGGCAATCGACTCCGGGCCGACACGGAAGTCGGCACGATTGCTCTGATCATTCATTGGTGGTCGGGCCTGTCGGCACGGATCTGATATCGAGAGTCCAGAGAGCCGGCCGGATGCTCCAAAGGACATACTTTTCGCTTGATCATTTAACGTCGTAAGGGGCCAGTTCGAAGACATGGCCTTATTAACAAGATATGTATAGACCCTGGGTACTGGGAAAATTAGCAATGCTGAGTGCATCCTGCACTGATACTTGGGATCTCGTGCGAGTGGTCAAACAACATCTCGGTCAGTTATTGGCCCCCGTCGGTGTGGTGAGGCCATTCACGTGGAAGGAGATGACGTCAGACCCATCCGGAACCGGGCGGTCTGCATCCTGTACCGGCATCATCATATTCTCCTCGACGCTGAGCATGCTGCGGCGCTTCGCTCAGATATTAATACCTGCATTAACTTTGCCGGCATTATTGCAGGGTTGAGATTGTTATTTTATACTCGTAGATGCCCGAGAGGGAGTATGGAGTATTTCGTACCTCGTATTGCGCACCAACATCTGTACCAGAGACGGGTTATTCTCAAGGGCGTCGTAAACTTAACCTGTTTAACTGTAGGTGCATCAGACCCTCCCCCCCCCCCCCCGCGACCTCTCGATTCCTGGTGCAATTGAAGCTAAACTCTCAGCCCTTTCGGGCACTAACTGGTTAACCGAACCCCAGTGAGACAGCGTCCAGGCATCTCATGCTCCGGCACTCCTAAAGTTCACTCCGGAGTGCGGAGCACCAAGAACCCCCAGAGGATGCACACTTTGATGTCTACGCAACAATCCTTTGAGGCCAAACTGGCTCAAATACATCTCCGGCAAGCCCTCCCAAGATATTTTCCTTGTTGAGAGATGCTGTTGGTTCCAGTGGTTCTTGTGTTCTATATCTGGCAATACTTCCGTTGTGCCACGTGCAAGCAAAAGGTTTCATCGTACCATGGTTCTCTCACAAGAGCTTGATCGACTTCGCTTGGGTAAAGCCAATGATATTCAGCTTGCCGATCCTTGATTTGTGCACCTACCCAAGCGAATGCCCACAAGGTTCCCTCCATCAATCGCAGAATTCGCAAGTACACACCCACCTCGCTTACACAACTGCCCATCTTTTGGAGTGACATCGCTTAGAGATGCCCAAGACTTCAATTCCAACAATGATTGAACCAGCGTTTCCGGATGCTGAAAGCGGCACGGCTCGGTCAGAGCAGCTTGGGTCCTGTCGTCAAATATCTCTGGCTTCTGCTCGTCTGAGACAGCATGACTTCTACCCTGCTCTTACCAGACAACGATTTCTCGATAGAGAAGGTTTGCGCATTCGGGAAAATCCATGGCTAAGGTGTCTCTCCTAGCCAGCCATTCATCACAGTGACGGCTTTGATGTCAGACATATAACAGCTATCTCGAATTCGGAATGGCGGGCGGCAAGGCTGGCAACCTCAATGCAGATGACGCTGGAGCAAAAGGGAAATCTCAAGAGCCAATATATTTGCCATCTATCGACTCCTCCCCTCCCGTCGAGCCGTCTGCGCATATCCATGCTTGCCAAGTTAATGTCAAGGTGCGGGATCTATCCATCAGTGTCGATCCGGCATCTCTATCTCCATTTTCTTCGCTAAACACCCTACAATCAAGGCTCTTCAATCAGAGTGCGAAGTTGTCGTCTAAACAGATTCTCAGAGATGTCTCAGCAGATTTGCCAAAGTGCAGTTTGACGGCAATTATTGGAGCGAGTGGTAGTGGGAAGACGTCCCTGCTCAATGCCATCTCCTATCGCGTCAAGGACAAAGCATTTCAGAAGTCAGGCACTGTTTATTATGAATCATTGGCCATAGCAGCGACCAATGATAATGCCCGCTCCAACAGTGGAATGGCATATGTCATGCAGCAAGACGTACTCCTACCGAGCTTGACGGTGCGGGAGACATTGCAATTTGCCGTCGATCTGCGCCTCTCCACGAGTAGAACCAAATCCGAACGACGAAACATGGTCGAGAACGTCATTCAGGAACTCGGACTGAGTGGGTGCGCTGATACGAGGATAGGTGATGACGCCCACAAAGGTTGTAGTGGAGGAGAGAAGAGACGCACCAGCATTGGTGTTCAGCTTTTGGCAGATCAACCTGTTCTTATTCTCGATGAACCGACAACGGGTCTAGACGCCGCCTCTGCCCTCCAAGTCGTCAAGACATTGAAGGCACTTGCCAAACGAGGTAAAACTGTGATCATGACTAGTAAGTCCTCAGTTTTTGCTATGAATATTCGAGATCACTGATTCAATCAGTTCACCAGCCAAGATCAGAGATTTGGGGACTGGTCGATCATCTGATCCTCCTCTCCAGGGGTGAGACAGTCTACTCGGGATCAGTGATAGCCTGCCTACCATACTTCGAATCTCTTGATTATAGGATGCCGGCCTTCCACAATCCATTCGACTTCATCATTGACCTTGCAGCGGTGGATCTCCGGTCACAGCAGGCTGAAAACACCTCACTCGAACGTGTCCATCGTCTTCAAGAAGCATGGAGGACAAAGCCTCCTCATATCCTCGAGCGGTTGCCCGCAACTGTTGGTTATTCCAGCTTCGACGGTAAAAGGGACACGAGCCTTCCCAACAGGGCGAATGAGTTATGGCAAGAGACACTCATACACACCAAAAGGACATTGATCGTGACATGCCGAGATCGTCTTGGTCTCCTTGCCAGCATGATCGAGTCATTAAGCATGGGAGTTATGAGCGGATGGATCTTCTACCAGCTCGATACAGATCTAGCAGGCATCCGGTCCAGACAAGGAGCCATGTACTCAGCCTGCGCGCTTCAAGGCTACCTGATTTTACTGTTTGAGACATATCGATTGACGATCGACATCACCACCTACGACCGTGAGCGAATCGAAGGTGTTGTCAAACCAATCAGCTTCATCATCAGCAGACGAGCATCTCGCTTTATACTCGAAGATCTCCTGGTCCCATTCTTTTACTCGCTTATTTTCTACTTCATGGCGGGGTTTCGCGCGGAAGCCGGTCAATTCTTCACTTTCTTCGCCATCCAGCTACTGCTCCATCTTATTGCGGTTAATTTGGCAACTGTTTGCGTCGCACTGAGCCGGCAGTTTATGATCGCGTCACTCTACGCAAATCTGTCGTTCACACTTCAGAGTACTGCCTGTGGGTTTTTCGCAAACACTCGTTCAATTGCAATATGGCTGCGCTGGATAAAGTGGACAGCGTACACTGTGGGTTGTTTGTCTTTATACTCTCGATGATGAGATGGAACTAACTCTTATTGCAGTTCTATGCATTTGGTGCCCTCTGTACGAACGAGTTCTACGGCAAAACGTACGACTGTCCGAGCGGCGACGGAGCCCTCGATCCGATTTGCAGAGAGTATACAGGAGCGTACATCTTGGCGTCGCTCAACCTACCATCGAATTGGTTATGGCGACCGATCGTTGTGCTCTTTGGCTTTGTCGTTTTTCTATTCATTCTATCTGGATTGATACTGTACATGCAGAAGACGGAGGTCGAGATGGCGAAGATTCACGGGAGCGAGGCGCCGGACTCTTCTGAGGGTGTCCAACTCGGGCGGCCGCTTGGTGACGAACATGGAATCAGAGTGAGCCTTCAAGGCTTTGGGCTAGAAGTGGACGCCGCGCGGGTTTTCAGACACAAGGTCACGAAGCGCATCTTCAAGGATGTAAGCACGACATTTGAGCCCGGCGTATTGAATGTCATCATGGGGCCATCGGGTTCGGGGAAATCCTCGTGCTTGAACGCCATGGCAAGAAGACTATACAATTCCTCTCTTGTCAGATATTCGACGTCGGGCCGGATGCTTCTCAATGGATCTACGGCCACGGACGACGTCGTCACTTCCATCTGCTCCTACGTCCCGCAAGATGACGGTGGTCTGTTATCGTCTTTGACGGTTCGAGAAACACTTCACTTTGCAGCAGGTCTGCGTTTACCTCCGTTCATGAGCCACAAGCAGAAAATCGAACGGGCGGAGTCAGTACTGCTCAAGCTTGGACTGAAAGACTGCGCGGACACCCTGATTGGAAACGACTTGATCAAAGGTATCAGCGGCGGAGAGAAGCGCCGAGTCTCAATCGCGGTCCAGATCCTCACTGACCCTCGCGTTCTCTTGCTGGACGAGCCTACCTCTGGCCTCGATGCATTTACGGCACTCTCGATCATCGAAGTCCTAAAGAGTCTGGCGAATGAAGGGAGAACGATCATCTTCTCCATCCACCAGCCGCGATCGGATATGTTCAAACAGTTTGGCGGGGTCCTTCTGCTCGCCAAAGGTGGAGATGTCATGTACAACGGCCACGCATCCGACATGGTTTCCAGTCTCGCCCGGCAAGGCTATGTGTGTCCCGAATCGGCCAACCCGGCTGATTTCGCTCTCGACGTGATTTCAAAGACCGGAACCGGAACCTCACAAGAACAAGAGAAAAAGGGGACGGCGGCTGCAGCACCAGATCTCATGTTACAAGACCTTGTTCTGACATCTCCTCAACAGCCACCCGTCCCGCCAACACCACCAAAGGAAGCCCACCTAACCCTGACCGCCAGTCTGGGAACCTACATGCGCACGCAGATCCCATTCAGCCACGCATTCCCAATCCTCCTACAACGTGGCAGCCTCAATCTCCGTCGACAGCCCAATCTCCTCCTTGGGCGGATCAGTCAGCTAGTTGGGCTGGGCATCGTGCTGACTGCCTTCTTCGCACCGCTGAAAACGGACTACTACTCGGTCCAAACCCGCGTCGGCTACGTGCAGTCCATGTCGAGCATGTTCTTCATCGGCATGCTGAACAGCATCGCGCTGTACCCGGCGGAGCGCGACATCTACTACCACGAAGACCGCGACGGCACGTACCCGCTCGAGGCGTTTTTCCTGTACTACTCGGCCATCGAGGTGCCGATGGAGCTCATCGCGTCGTGTATCTTTAGTCTGCTGACGGTGTTTGCGGTGGGACTGCCACGCACTGCGAGCATGTATTTCCTCTTCGCGTATACCTCCTTCTGCGTCGTGAGCTGCGGCGAGAGCTTTGGCATGATTTTCTTCACCCTGTTCTCGCACACAGGGCTTGCGGTCAGCGTCATGACCGTCGTACTTTCCATCTCGGTCCATCTCGGTGGCGTGCTGAGTATTGGCATCGACTCATTTCTGTCGGGCATCAATCACATCAGTCCCGTCAAGTGGCAGGTCGGTGCCTTGTCGAGCTACAGCTTGCAAGGGATAGAGTTCTCTTGCACGCCGGAGCAGCAGCTTGGCGACGGAAGGTGTCCCATCGAGACTGGAGACCAGGTCTTGGATTTGTATCGATTGAACGTCGACACGACCAAATTTGCCCTGGCCCTGTTAGGCGTCACTATCGGGTATCGACTGCTGGCCTATCTTGGCTTGAAGACTCGAAAGTTGGAGTGGAAGTCGTTGGTGCCCGGGTTGTTGAAGACTGGGAAGGTAGATAGGAATCAATGATGAGGGCTTGGTTATGCTGGGTCTCAGTACGCATTTGCCTAAATCTCGCACTGTGCAACGGAAATCACCAGTAGCTCGCGCTCTTTCACTTAGTGCTGAAGAAACGAGTTACGAGAGATTATATTGATGAGTACATAACAAGCGCATCACCGACACCTAAACAGCGAAACCCATTCTTGTTTGGCTTGGCCCTTTTATCGTCAATATATGACAGCCTTTGCAAGGAAAAGTATCAAGCACGAACTATTGAGTCTTCTTTGCCTCTGCCTCCCTCAGCTTCTTTGCAAAGACGTCCAGGCCGCCCATCTTCTTGAGTAGCCCGTCGAAAGTTCCGTGAGGAAGCATAGTTGAAATCCAACCCTTTGTCGCACCACTCCCACGCCAGATATGGACGGGCGGCTTGCTCCGGTTGAGATCCTTTACAACGCTACTGGCCCAAACATCCGTGTCCATAAACGCGACGCCTACGTTTCCATGGATGATGGATTCGATCTGTTCTCGTGAGAGCTCGTATGGGGTGTTTTCTGGCAATTTTGCCGTCCTGCCTTGAGGGGTGTTGTCGAAGAATTTGGATTGGACGCCGCCGGTCCTCAGGTCGACGACTTTGATCCCGAAGGGGTCGAGTTCCAATCTTAAGTTTTCCGACAGCATCGCAACGGCCGCTTTCGAAGCATTGTATCCTCCTTGCATTGGTATCGGCGCCACGCATGCCGTTGAGCTATGATTGACCAACACTGCTCCAGCTTTAGAATTTCGAAGGAGGGGGAAGAATACTTGTGTGGTTCGCATGACAGAGAAGACGTTGAGCTTGAAAACCTTCTCTAGCTCACGCATGTCGGCGTCGAGTAGTGGCATTGAGTATCCAGCGCCAGCGTTGTTGATGAGCATGTCAAGTGAGCCATTGGTCAAGGCAGCAACCTCCTTTGCGGCGGTTTGAAGTGACTCATCTGAGAGTACATCCATTGCAAGCGTTTCGACGCCTTCAGATTTAAGATGCGCCATCTTGGACGGGTTTCGTGCTGTTGCTAGAACGCGGTCACCGTGCTTGTGAAAAGCGAGGGCTAGAGCAGCACCCAAGCCACCATCCGAGCAACCTGTAATTAAGATGGTCCTAGGCATGATTTCTGGGACTTGGATGAGAGTAAGGGAGGTGAGGGCAGGCTGGTCTATGCTAGACAATTAGACGAGGTGCTGTTGAATGTTGACGCTGTCGAGAGGGTTGTGTCTGCTTTGAGGATTGGATTTTGAATGAGCTCTTCATCCTGTCGCTCTGGAATTGGTAGGGCATCTAAGTATTTAAGAAGACGAAAAGGAGTTCAGGCTACCAGAAGCCACTTACCGGGGGTTCCATCTAGAGCAGCCGCAGAACAAGGATTGAACCTGCCAGCGATCGCCTCCGGACGAACTGATACCTCCAAGAGCTATTTCTTACGGAGGAGTGGTATGGACACGGATAGATCTGAGTCCGAACAACTGAGGTGGAAGTCATATTGGATTCATATTCGGGGCATTCATTGGGTGCATCGACCGAGAAACAAACATGCTTGGTCGTCGTGCGAAATTGAGGCCAATAGCAGTCGCATAATTCTCTCAGGCTACGAGGCATGACTTGCGCTAGACCGAATAGGCAAGTGGAGAATCATTTGCCAGATTTCGTGTTCCTTTGTTGGTAAAGTGCGCAACTAACAATGGGCTTGGGGCATCGCCGCGGACCGCTCGATAACGTCTCGAATGAATAATCACTCTGGACCGTAACATCGACAGTCGTTTCGAGCATATGATTCATTGTGGCTGGCCCCAGAATTAGAACGTGTTCAGATGTCAAGCAGTGACCGACGGATCATCTTTGAAGGGTTGATCGCGGTGTGGCAACGCCTCGTGCCCGAACAAGGCAGCTTTGAAAAAATGAGAAAGAGTTGAATTGCCTAGTTGGTGTGCCATATGCGGGCGACCCGGCGTGGATGGTTGAGGATATCTGGGCGCTCTTAGGCTTTGACCAGCGCCGCAAAGTTTTGTAGGGTCCAATTCTGGCTTTCGCTTCACTTTGCTAGATTCTGCCCGGGCTTCAGAACGCCTCGATCACCACCGCCTCCCTTGCGCCAAAGCCACAGGGCCTCAATCGCGTGGGCTTTGGCGCTGGCATGGCCGGATTGACGATTAGCCTCACTCATCATTACATCAAGTGGCTTCTCATGTTCAATTAGTGCCCAGAGCGCCTCTTGTAATTCGCTTCCACGTGCTCCAAAATCGCCTCTCCCTATTCTAAACAAGATCCGTCCGAGTACTTGATATGCCATGCAGCGCTGGTTGGCCAGAGAAGATCTTGCAAGCAGTGACAGCTCGGGTATTGTATACCCGGCGCTGCTGGGTGCGTCGCCGTGGTGATGGAGACCTTGCTTCACATCGATTTCTAAACTTTCTTTAGGTGGAATCAGGCGACCATCGAAACCAAAGCGCAGAGCCGAAGGGGGAAATGAATCTCTTTCAGGGTTGTATAACGAATCTTGCTCTTCTGCCTCTGTAGGATCTTGGAGCCAGCTGAGGGAGCTTGGGTCATGGGACATCTCGGGAAAGTATTGGGACTTTAGGTCAGAAAGGAAAGAAGGGTCATTGGAATCTAGTGGTACAAAATCTGACTTCGGTCGTGGGGGCGCAGGGAAATGGATTGTAGGAGCAGATGGTTCCTGCTCAGAACTCTCAGGAGCGGGATTCAGAGTAGTCGTGTCTCCCAAGATGTGCCCTCCTGAGTCATGTTCTGCGTCTCCTGGCCACCGATTCTGATCCATGGAGTCTTCCTCGATATTGGCACGCTTCAGCAGGCGCTCAAGAAAAGCGGGATTGAGATTTCGCATGAGTTCAGCACGTGCCTCCTCGATGTCCTCTGGTGACATTTCAGCAATACGCCTCTTATTCTCCTCATTGATATCCGCCTTTTGCTGTGTGTCAAAATTGACGCCATACTTTTTGCCCACCTGGTGAGTGATGGCTCGGTCCGAGGGTTCTAAGCGAGCAGCAGTCTCAGCGGGTGTTGTTTGCCTAGAAGCCTGCTGCTGCTGCTGCTGCTGCTGCTGCTTCTTGAAAGCAGATGCATTGAAACGATACTTATGTTCAGGAAAGCCCGACTTCGTAGATTTGAAGGCTGGCGGCGGTGGTGGGGAACTGGAGTCATGTTCTTGGAGGTCCTTTATGATGTCTGTGAAGCCAGTCTGCTCACTCAAAGGTCTCACGGTGAAGTCGTCGGCATCAAGATCTAATTCAAATCGCTGTCCGGGAATGGCCATTGTGTTCATGTTTCACAAAACACTTTCTTGGTGGGGAAGATCAGACAATGGCGCGCTGCGCTGGCTACCGGAGGCAACTGAAAAAGCAGCCACGGGCGCCAAGGCTCACCATTGAGGTTATCCAGATTTGGACTAGCTTCCCGTCCTTAGTCTGCCCCTCACGATGTCAAGGCCAAGTACTCCGTACTGACTGACATATGGTCCTGATCAGGAGGGCTATTGAGGGGATGCGAGTATGTGATAGTCGCTGGGATTGCAGTTTAATGAGTCTAAGTCGCATCACTTCTGGCGAACAATTGACTTTGCATCTGAAGATGGAATTCTTGAAACGGCGGAAGGCTGAATCCCACTCTATCTTAGTCTCCATGCGGAGTGGATTTCCGGGACCTGGCATCAAGCCACCGAAGCAGGGGTATCTGATCTGATCGGTGGGCCAATGCTAGGTCCTGTTGGAATGACCAGTTGGACCAGCAGGACAGCTAGACGGATACAGAGGTACAATAGAATAGCTATGCTCTCATGGGCATCACAGCGTCTAGAGGGTCATAGTCAAGCGAGCAAGAAAACCTGTACGCATGAAATGAGTGGTGGTAGTACCTCGTAGTTCACTGCTGAAACAAGTCGAACGGCGAGCCTGGCTCCCAAAACAGGAGTAGGACTAGACCCGATTCCGCACTCACGACTCACGACTCGAAAGCCTTGCCTGCTGGTGGCGGGTGCTTTGTGGTCTTTTGATTTTGCACGCCTCCCCTCAAATTCACTTACACTGTTACTTTGCCTGTAGGGTTTCCGCCCGCGTCTGGCCTCCAAGTCTGATGAATGTTTTTTGACCTTGCTTTGCTCGTCCGGCTGATAGCTCGTCCATGTTTTGTTGCATCTCCCAAGTCCCAAGTCCCAAGTTCCATGTCCCAACTCCATCGCCATTTCTATCCGGGGCGCTCGCCATATGCCTCGTCTCCCTCCTTCTCATGGTTTCCTGCCTATCCCTTTTCTTGTTCTCTTGCCTTCGCGCCCTCGCTGCGCCTATTGATACTTGCTGTGCTCCTCCGTGGCTTGGTCTCTTCTACTTCTCCTTTCGCCTCGCCCATCTCCCATTTCGCATTTCCCATCGTGTTGCCACTGCCACTACTACCACGGCCACCACCACTTTATCCACTTTACTGTCTGGTCTGTCAATTATTCAAGTCTGGTGTTTCGCTGCCTCCGTCCTGTTCTCTGCTCCAGTCCTTTCCCCGTCCTTCCGTCGTCCTTTGTCAATTCACTTGAACCCAACTGTTTGATTCTCCGGATACTTAAACTTATAATCTGTCCCTCTTCCATGCACCACTGCTACTTCCTCTCAACCTCTCTTCTCTTTTTCCTTCCTCCTTTGCCTCTATACACCAGCTTCTGCTCCGCTCTAAGCCCGTCTCAATTTTGATGTTCTTCCCGCATTCTTGCACCATCAATCATCGCATACCGTGTCTCTAGCCGTCTCACTGGCCGTGCTGGCCTTTAATCCTCCCTTGTTGACAACCTCGAACTGTACAGTCACAACCTTCTCCTTCTCGACTTGCATAATCTGTTCGCTCTCTTTTCACAACAACTACACCCTCCGCCCATCTCATCCAACAACATCGCGCTTTCATCACCAACAATCACATCCATTATTTCCCGTCTCGGCCTTTGTTATTGAATTCTTCATCTCCCCGTGTTATTGGCAACCTAGTTCACTTCTCAGCCTTCTGAACCATTGTTTCGATGCGTTGCGCAGGTGCCTAGTCCTCGATTGGTTGCTGATCGCCTACAGCTGCTGGCTGAAAAATGGAGGTGGGAGATGGGCGAAGTTCCTCCAACGACTTGTCGAGTGCACCACCAAGCGACACCGAAAGTACACCAGGACCCCTAACTCACCTGAATCATCGGGATACAACCATGGCAGGTAATTTTGGTGTTGCAGGCAATTCTAGTGCCAGTGCCCGAACTTCCCTCCCCGGCAGTATTGCTCCAGCCACAACTGCAGGCACACGCCAAGACCCTCCCCCAGCCACAGGCCTCAAGGTGCGCAAACCCAGAAAGAAACGTGAGCCGAACGTTAGCACCACCGAATCTGAGAAGAAAGAGCGGGCACCTCGAAAACCACGAGGTGCATCGAGTGCAACTACAAACTCGCGCAAAAAGCCCAAGGTCGAGCAGCTGGATGACAACAACACCATTGATCTATCCCGACCCGCGAGCGCCGGCCTGCAAGCTTCGACACTAGTTCAACCTGTCTCCTTCACTAACTCCCCACATCTCAATGCCACCGAAACCCGGAATGAGGCTGCCAAGACTGCCGAATCTGGCGTCTCGATGCAGGATCCCGCGATGTCACATACAAATATTCCGTCTCGCCAGCCCTATGACTACAACCGTGATGGTCCTAAGCCGCCACCACCCACGTCGACCACTGCCCGCTCGACTGCCATGTACGACCCTATCAGATCCATGACTATTGCACGGATAGTCGATCCCCCGCCACCAGCTTCATCTCCACAAGTTCTTCATACACCACCCAGACCGACCTACAATCCAAGCATGTCACCTGCCATCTCTGGCATCATTGACCCTCCTGCGCAATCCTCTTTTGCTCAATCACCAACAGCACTCCCCCCCTCACCATCGACGGCGCATGCACAACCTCAACCGAATGGGCAGGCCAACAACTTACCACCTATCAATGGCCACTTGTCTTCCATGGACATCGACTCGGTGCCTATCGAACAAGCTTCAAAGAAGATAATCAAAAAGGTCCCCTCCGAGGTGCCAACTCGTGCCGGCTCGCCTAAACCCACACGAGCTAAAGAACAGCCTCCTCCTCCCCCACCCGGATCCGGGCTTCTGTCCGCTAGTTTATTCGGAGGTGACTCCAGCATGGACAGCACAGTGAAGGATGGAGGGAAAGCACCAAGCATCGTCCTCCATGTCGACCTCAAAGAATCGAACAATAGAGTGATCAGTTTCGGCCGCCTGGCAGAAGAAAAGTATGGGTTTGCAGCGTTGTACCCACGGCAAGCGGCCCAGAAAGAACGATTAGCCAAGGTTGCTGCAGCAGGAGCTGCGTTGGAGCGGTCGGCGTCGGGAAGTAAATTTGGGGGGACATCAGCGGGAGAGAGTGGTGATGAGGACCTCAGCGTCGACATTGAACGTGACTCGGACGCTGACGGTGACATCGCCATGTCGGGCATCAACGGCGGTCTGGAGACGACTAACAGTGGCACTGACGCACCTGGGCCCAAACGGAGAAGGAGACGAAAGCAGGAAGAGTACGATCAAGACGATCCGTTTGTGGACGATAGCGAGTTACTCTGGGAGGCACAAGCTGCGGCAAGCAAAGACGGCTTTTTTGTCTACTGTGGACCGCTTGTGCCCGAAGGAGAGAAGCCTGCCGTGGAAAGGTACGTGACGAAGCATCTTGTGGAGCCTTATCGGCCAGCTAACTTGCAAACAGGGCCGACGGCACGATCAAACGTGGTCGTGGCCGAGGCCGAGGCGGTGGTCCTGGTTCTCGAGGCGGACGGGGCGGCGCTGGAGCCGCTGAAGGCGGTTCTGGACGAGGTGGCGGCGCTGGATCTCGAGGTGGCGGCACCACACGCAAACCACGAATTACCAAAGCAGAACGTGCGCAGCGAGAACAAGAGAAGCTTGCAAGGGAGAAGATGGCACCTATTCTGGCTAAGCCATCGGCATACCCCAGCTAGCAGCAGATATGCGTCTGACTTTGGGTGAGGTACTTTTGATGACCAGATGGTTACGGCGTTTAGGATGAAACGAATGGCGCACGAGCTTGGGCTGGCGGTTTTGAGAAAGCCTTGTAGTAATACCATGGAGGAGACTATGCATTCAGGAGGAGTATTATAGCATGAGGGTCGTCCCTTAATCCCATGTAGGATTATGGAGTACAATGGATGCCAATTGGTTTGGCTACACAAAGAAAGGTCGTTGAAAGCCTTAATTACGATGTTTGCACAAGTGACTCCGTGCTCTGTACCCGATATATATACTATGCTATTGAGTGTCTATCTCGAGAGACCAGTTTTAGAGCTTGCTAACTTAGTTAGCAGGATGCTTGCAGCCACCCACCCACTTCATGATACCCCGTGGCGGTCATTCCTCGTACAGGGCCATTCGCCGACAGGCAGCATGATTCTCGTAAAGAATAAAATGTCAGAAGGATAGTATCTGAGGTTGCAATTGTGTGGAAACCGGAACCCAGATTTGTCAAAAGCAGAGACTACGTACGTACTGCAGTAGAATTGGCAATGTAGGAAATACTACCAGCATTTCAGGTATTATTGAGCAAGTTGTTTGGAGGGCGGTATATGTACTGTGCAGTCCCAGGTGGAGTGTGTGACCAAACAGAACGGAGTATTAAGTTGAGGAAGTCCTTCCCCAATCAGCCTGCTACTTGGAGACCAGTATTGAGTGAATTTTAGAGAAGTCTAAAATTCAATGGGAGGAAGCAGACCCGGCCCAAGGTACTCGAACATACTGACTGCGTTGGAGGTGCGGCCACCTCTATTTGTTCCCATGCCCCCAGTTCATGATTACTCGTAGTTAACGAGCCACAACTGTTTTAAGGTTTCGTCTTGTAGAAGCCACTTCGCTCGACTCCTACAGTATGTACTAATCAGAGTAGGTGCCCCTCAGTCACCCACTAAGTCTACTGGTTGCGTCGTTGTTCAGAATCCATGCACGCACCAGCTCTAAGGAGCCACACTAACCAACTACTGATTAGCAGAGCCTGAAGGTCCAGGGGCCAGCTTGTTCACTGGTTCACTGGCAGCCACGAGATCCAAGTGCGTCGCCAAAGTAAGGATGCCGCATGCCGCATGCCTAGCTTGCCACTCTTTCCTGGCATTCCCTCCGAGTTGCAGATGCCCGCAGGTTAGGCTGAGTACCGAGCACTTGCGACTAGACGAGGAAGGCCGAGAGGAGACCCGGGCCTTGTCTACCTACGATAACTAAGGCTCTTGGAAGCCCAACGCCCCATGAGACTACCCGTATAGCCTGTACGTACTCGTAGGCTGTCGCAGGCCCAGGTGCTCTTGCCAGAGTCAAGCGCGCATCCGAAAGGAGAAAGCAGGAACTTGCCAATTCTCCAACTGAACAAATTCCCCATCTGTATCTGCATCTTGGATCTGCATCTGTCAACGGAACATCTGCATCCTCGTCTGCGCCGACGGGGGCTCACTTCACTTTCCCACCTCGACCTCGTCGTTGACGACTCTTTCGCACTCCCGGTTTCACACCCATCACACTCACTCCCCTCAGTCGTCCCCCGCTTCCGCCTCCTTCCTGCTGGACAGCCGTCGGTGCAAGCATGCCGCAAAGAGGGACCCTCCCTCCATTTTCTCAACATCGCTCATCCCCATGCTAATCACCGCCCGTACATCCCACACACTTGGTTTGTGCCTTGTCCACAAATCACCCTCTCTACATTTAATTCTTGGGGTCTGAGACTTAAAGAGTTGGACGCTGTGTCTAAGCGTGATCATCATGAATGGCCTACCAAACTACTATGGACAGCTTTACTCAATCATGGACCCGCAGTCCATGGATGGCTACAATCAGGATGGTGGCATGGACGCAATTGATCCCGCGAGCATGGGACCGGATGTCATGGGACAACCGCAGAGTCTCCATGAGATAATCAGCCAGAACAATGCGCAGTTGATGCGCAGGCGCACCTTTCAGTCCGAGTACCCACAGAATGCCCACGACCATACGCGTAGAGCCTCTATCCATGATTTTGGTACCTCTATTGACGCCGACATTGCCCATTTTCAATTCGATCCAAACCCCCACGACCCTGGCAACTCTATGCCGATGGCCTTGCCAGGTCACCCTTCAACGGGCATGCCACAGTCCCAGAAGACCCTCGACCCTCGCAGAGTTCGATCTCGTGACGATCTTTCCTTAGATACCCGCTTCTCTCAGCTGAATGCTCGCTTTGGAGACATGTCCGCTGTTTCAAACTATTCTCCTGCCATGATACCCAACGAGAGCGCTTCACTTGAACCTTCTCCAGCATATATGTCCCAACCAATGGACATCGGAATAGATTACGACTCTATATCGCGAAACGCGAACACAATCACGACAGGTACTTCCTCGATGGCGGCTCCTGTGTACTCAGCCTCGCCTGTCACCCAGAATTTTGCTATATCTTACACCCCAGCGAACTCAGATCGTGGGGTCAGCCGGAGTGTCGGCCATCGCCCACAAAATCAGATGTCTACCATAAGTGCAGGTGATATGGTCGCTACAAACATGTCCCAGACCTTTGCAGCCTCACAAAGCCATGGTCGTATATCAGCCTCGATTCCCAATGCTTTACCCACCACGTCGGCCCCAGCCTCGACAATACCTCCCACATTACATCCGCGGAGGACAACCTCGAATGGACAATCTATAGACATGGGCTCTCAAATACAAACACAGCGTAAGTAAAACTATCAGATCCTTCTGTATTTCAGCTTACCTAGATGTTAGACATAAGTAAGGAACTCGGCGCTGCAGCCTCTCAATCCGTTGGACCAAATCTTCCAATATATGGTCCTTCTTTACCACCTGCAAGATATGCCAATGCGTATTCTTCAAGTGGCTTTGACATGCTTGGAGTTCTTGTAAGTCCAGTTCCGGTTGGTGCGATCTCCGACTAACGATTACAGATGAGGGTCGCTACAAGGCCAAAACCTGAAATCAACATTGGTCCAGTTGATCTTTCGTGTGCCTTTGTTGTCTGTGATATTGAGAAATATGACCTACCCATTGTGTATTGTTCCGAGATGTTTGAACGTCTCACTGGCTATACTAAACATGAGATCTTGGGTCGTAATTGTCGCTTTCTCCAGGCTCCCGATGGTAAAGTGCAACAGGGGGTGAAGCGAAAATACGTTGACGACCACTCCATTCTCTACTTGAAAAATCAGATCACTAAACGACGAGAAGCACAATTGAGTCTCATCAACTACCGCAAAGGCGGTCAGCCATTCATGAATCTGCTCACAATGATACCGATTCAGTTCGACTCGGATGATTTCAAGTTCTACGTTGGCTTCCAGGTTGACTTGGTTGAGCAGCCTAGTTCGGTCTCAGGAAGGAATCCAGGTTAGTAGAGGTTGCCCTTGTTAGAGATACAAAACATGCTAATTGAAACTCTCAGACGGGACTTATGCCATCAACTACAATCGCAGTTCCCTCCCTGCATACGCCCTTCCGCCGACTCCTGATCCCAGTCAAGCCATTCAAGATATGGGCCAGACCATCCCACGAGATGAAGTTTCACATGTCTTGACCACTATTGGCCGTGGAGAATCCGAACTCTCCAGACGTCTGTGGGACAAGATATTATTGGAGAACACCGATGACGTCGTGCACGTTTTGTCTCTTAAAGGTTTGTTCTTGTATCTCTCACCTGCCTGTCGCAAAATCCTCGAGTATGACGCGAACGAGCTTGTTGGTATGGCTTTGTCATCTGTTTGTCATCCCAGTGATATCGTCCCCGTCACTCGCGAATTGAAAGATGCGTCGAGTTCAGCCGTGGTGAATGTCGTTTACAGGATTCGGAGAAAGCACAGTGGCTATACTTGGTTTGAAGCTCATGGCTCGCTGCACACAGAACAAGGGAAGGGTCGTAAATGTCTGATCCTCGTGGGTCGTGAGAGGCCAGTTTATGTGTTGGACCGAGCCAATTTGGCATCGGAAGGAAGTTTAGGCGAAAGCGAACTCTGGTCCAAGATTTCGACTTCAGGAATGTTTTTGCATGTCTCATCAACATCACGAGTCATGTTGGATCGCCTGCCAGAAGATCTGGTCGGTACAAGTATGCAAGCTTTGATGAGACCCGACTCCAGACCGGCATTTTTAAATTTGCTGGAACTCGCGCGGTCTGGACAAAAAGGTCTTTGCAAGCACGATCTCCAAAATCGGCGCGGACAGGTTCTTCACGCACAGACAACTATCTATCCAGGTGATGCCCGGCCGGGATACAAACCAACATTTCTCCTCGCCCAGACGAGGCTGCTGAAGATGACACGGGCTACCCTTTTGAGTCAGAAGTCATCATCATCTACTGCTCCATCTCCACGCACGGACCATGCATCTGTGGGATCGGGGACTCCAGCGACTCATGCTTCCGGGACTCCCTCGCTCAACAGAGCCAATACTTCTTCCACAACTACAAAATCAAGCGGACCATCCTTTTCGAAGGCCAATCCCGCCATAACGAATGCAGGGGGTTATGGGCTCAGCCTTGGGACCCAAGACGAAGCCTTGGCAGCCGAAGATAATATTTTCGACGAGCTGAAAACCACGCGGAGCACAAGCTGGCAATTCGAGCTTAGGCAGATGGAACGACAAAACCGAGTGCTGTCTGAAGAGCTGCAGGGACTTCTGAGTCGGAAGAAGAAGCGCAAAAGGAGAAAGGGTCTCGGACAGCTCGAAAAGGACTGTGCGAACTGCCATACACGCGTGACTCCGGAATGGCGTCGTGGGCCAAGTGGGAATCGGGATCTGTGCAACAGTTGTGGACTCCGCTGGGCGAAACAGGTAAGTGGTGCCGTTCACAATTGCCTGTTCTAGCCCAAATCATATTCCGTATCGAGAGCAAAGACTGACCGAAGTGTTCATTTGCAGAATGGCCGCGTTTCACCTCGTAAGTACTCGGGTGCAAGCGATAGAGGTTCCACCTCACCGGCGTACGGCACACAACCGGCTGCGATGAAAGATGATCCGCAAATCAGAAACGACGCGGCCAACAATGGTGGAGAGGTCTCCAGAGAGACTGTGCCGACATTGCTCAAGCAACACAGCAATGGCAGCCACAACACTGGTACCGAGTCATGGCGCAGCTCTCTCCCACTCAAGATCGAAGAGGCCCCTAATGAAGCAAATGTGTTGCCAACCTAGGGTGACGCTGCCTTTCACCACAAGGGGAGGGTCACATTGCCAGTCACCTCCCCACAGATGCGGGTGCGATCAAAAGTGCGCACTCACTTGCCAGGTTCCTGACCTGGCCTATTGGTGCATAGAGATGTCCAGGACCAAAATAAATGTGCAACATCCAAAGCGGCAGCCACCTCCCACGCAGAACTCAAATGAGTGTGATGTCTTTGCTGTTTGAGGATGGCCACGTCTAGTCCTGGGTAGCGCTCAAAATGGGACCAACCCTTTCTGGTGCATGTGCACGAACAGGCGCACTGCCCGCCTGACAAGCAAGCTTGATCGCGGAAGCTCACAGTCCCGGTATGAAAGATGACATGGCACCACATACACAAACAAGAGTTCTCACTGGGGGTTTCAAGATAAGTCTCTTGACCACATCTCCGTCTCCGGATATCTCTGGGTAGGAGACGAGGTAGCCCTAAATAGCAGGCCACAGTATGTAGAAGGTGCCAGGCCCTCCGCGACTAACGACGATTACGGCCTTCAGGGTGGGTGGTGGAGATATAGTCATATAAATGGGTTCTGGGATACCTGACTTAATAGATAGTAGACGACTGAGATCAACACACCAGATACAACTGTGGTCAGTACAGTGTGGCTGATCATGGCGCCACCCAATACGTGCTCGTTTGTGGCGAGAAAGGCTGACGGGTGCATATCAAGGCCCGAGGCGTGTGTATGTAGATGTAAGACCGGCTATTCCGCACGGTAGTCCATTTGTTGGGCCAGTTAGACGCCGTGACCAAGCTGCGGGTGCGGTGCCGGTGCGAGTGCGAGTGCGAGGGGCGAAAAGACGACCGAGGGGGGCACCCAAGGGGAGTATCGTCACATCAAGACGGTGGTCGCTTGAATCAACCAGAACAGGATCATTGAGAGTAGTCCGCAGAGTGCCAGGATTGAACCAGGAAGAAATGCAGCGGTATACGTAAAAGGACAAGGTACAAAGGCAACTGATTCCTCGGGTCTATGCAGTTGAGACGGGGGTTCGGAGGCTCTATCCACGTCGGACCCTAGCAACACGCAGAGAGCAGACCGAGGGACGGCGAGATGGGTGAACTTGCGGGTTACGCAGAAGGATGTAGGAGTCCAACAGCGCACGCCTTCGGCAAAGTACGAGTGCTCGTGGTCCGAGTTTAACTGAAGCCACCCGAGGAGTCAAGCCCGTCGGCCCTGTGGGTGCCTGGGAAAGCGCGGTGCCCAACCTCACCCGAGGGACTGGTTCTCCTCTGCTGATCTTTTGGAGGTGGGTGGGCTCATGCCCTTCACTACTTTACATGACCTCAATTGCCCACCTAGTCGTCCTCTTCAGGCTCACTGTTCGCTGTGCAGTACGGAGTATAGACTATAGTACTCGTAACTCGTACGGAGTATAGTGTTTATTCCCACAGGCCCTTGACGGTTCCGCATCAACATCACCGTACCGTCACCGTCACCGTCACCGTCAGTGGCTGCCCTGGTCGCCCTGACGTGTAGGGGGGTGGGCTTTGGTGATTCGGCGTTTCACTAGAAGGTTCAACGGCTAGCATCCGCCCCCTGGTTCCCCTGCGGCCAGATTGCATCCCCGAAACCTTGGAACCGGCAAGCTTTAACTGTAGTGGTGATTAGCACTCGGACGTACCTTGTAAGGTTGGCACTCCCCAAGCGATGGTCGTCGATTCCCACTCCGGCCGCTGTGCTCTCTCTGTGTCTATTTCGTTCCATGCCCCAACTCCCACTCGCTTCGAAGCACTGCTCCGCGCTGAATTCGAAATTGCACAGTGTTGAGCGAGTTCAGAGGACAACGAGGTTGACCACCTTCTCTTTCTGTGCTTTTCTGAGCCGGCTGTCCACCAATCACCGTAATGCCTCTGTTGCAACAGATGATCGCTTCGACGCCGGATGCAACTCTGGCCACGGCTGCGCCTGCGCCTACGCCGGCGCCCACTCTAGGTCGTGGGTACAGAGTATAGGCACCCAATGGGGGCTTGGGTTGGGCATGAATGATGAATGGTGCACTGGTGACGCTTTTCCAGCCTCGTTCTGGCCTTGGCTGTTCCTCGCTGCACGTCGATCGGATCCCCTCGTGGTTGTCCATCCCTCCCTCTGGATGTGTACCTCACACCCGCTCTAGGTATGGATGATATACGCCGTAGCTCTGCATTGCTACCTGATCGTCGCTCCTATTGCCTCGTAGTCAGAGTGGCCTGTAGTCGTTCCTTTACATCGTCTGTGTAGACTCTTCCCCTTCCACCATGTACCCCTGTTCCAGGCACAGATAAAAGACAAGCCTGAGGGAACCCTTCCGTTCCACTTATACGCCTCCCAACTCCATCTACACCTCCATCTCCATCCGTCGTCCGACTTGTCCCTCCCACTCTTCGACTTCGCTTTCTATTCCCTTCCCCCCCCTGCTTGGTCGGTTGGTCGGTTGGTCTAGTTGCTGCTACTGGCCCACTTCCTCTTCTTCTTCGAAGCCCTGTCTCGTCACCCCTGCCCGCCAGCCTTCCCGCTCAGTCTTCATACCAATCCTTCTCCCACCTTTTCTGCCTCATCCCACTGCATCCTTTCCCCTTCTTCCCTTCTCGACTGCATCCTATCCTTCAGCCACCATCACAATCTATCAGTCACCCTCGGACTATCGCACATTCTCAATCCTCATTGCAATATCAACCACCACCCTCAATCACACGACTCGCCCCCATCCTGTTCCCTTACGCTAAATTGATCGACGTCCTACCCAACCTCGCATACAACATCTGCGCCTGTTCCTCCACACTCTTGTTACTTGGCTGCCATCCCTTTCCGATTCCTGCTTTTGTATTGCCATTGCAGAATCATTCTGCGCTCTCTGCATCACACACGATCCACCATCACCATCACCATCAACATCAACTCTCGGCGCAAATCAAAATTCCCACGCCGCATGCGAAAATAGACTTCCTGTCAACCACAATCTTGACAGTGCGTCTGTGCTCCTGATTCACTTTCGGTCTTGCCCTCGTCATTGCCGTCGCGCCTCCCGTCCCTTCTGCCATCTCTTGTCCGCTGTCAAATATCGTCTGATTGCGCTCCCTTTGCTGTTCTCAAACTCGGACATCAACACACTCAGGCGCAAGACGAGCACCCATCATCCCACTCCCATCGGCCAATATGGCTGACAAAATCTCAATCACCATCTGTGGCGACGGTGGCTGTGGTAAATCTTCCATTACTTTGCGTCTGGTAAGATCGCAATGGACTTCAGAGTATGTTTCCAACCCCTCCCCAAACATCCTTTACTGACTACTGCCAGGTACGATCCCACGATCGAGGACTCTTACTCGGTCACCCGCACCATAGACGGACTCAACTATTACCTCTCTCTTACCGATACCGCCGGCCAGGAAGAATACCGGAGTCTGTGGGCTGCCTCCAATCTCCAATCAGATGCTTTCCTACTGGTCTACGACATCACAAACTATAACTCGCTTGAAGGACTCCAGTGGTTCCTCGACATGATCGACATTGAGGCCGAAAACAGACTCGAGGAAAACAGCCGCTTGCTGAAAGAGAAGGGTGCCAAAGTTCGAGGCCGTAGAGAGCTTGGCTGGAAATTCCCTCCCATCAAAATCATCGCTGGAAATAAGTGCGACTTGAAGGATGCTCGAGTCGTCAGCAGCAAGGTCGGCTGGGAATATGCTAAGAGCAAAGGTTGTGGTTTTATGGAAACCAGTGCTCGGGAAATGGTCAACATCGAAGAGACGTTTGCCCGTAAGTCCAGCTGCTCATGATGCACATATTGCTCCCAAACTAATTACCTTCTCTTCCCCCAGTCATCGTCCGCCGAGTAGTCGAGGCAAGAAGACAGCAAGGCGGCCCTTCTGATGCCGTCCCCCATCCCACTCCATTCGCCTCCAAAGGTCACACCCCCAACGTCAGTGCCACTGGAATGTCGACATACCAGACCTCCTCATCCATGCAACCTACTCAACAAACTACCACTCCCAATCCTTTCCCTTCAACCGAGAAATCCAATTTTGACCACGGTGGCTCCAATGCGCCTTGGTGGAAGAAAATCTTCTGTTGTCGTTGAACCGGGCCACCATTTCCGCCATTGCTTGGTGTACATGTCTAATTTGTGTATAATACGGCGATCCACCCTCTCGATGTGTCTATACTGGTAACATTATTACCTGGCCAAGCAGCGGCCTCCCTTTGCTATATACCTCTCTCTAAGTGGGTCTTCGTTTGAAAGAGGCTCCTGTACAGTTGAGAAGCGCTCAACTCTGTACTCAGTATTTGGTGAGAGCAGTGCGCACTCTCAATCGACCTTCGGTTTATCTGTCTTCTCCTTGCAAAGAGAAAAGGAGGACATTCCTGAAAGCCAAGGCGTTTCTCAGGAACTTAGCTCATGCCGATGACCTGAAGACCGCCTTGCTAGAGCTTAAGACCTAGTGGTGGAGAATCTCACTCTGGACAACTCAGGCGTATATATTTCAGGTCGCCTACAGAATGTACGGAAAAGATATTGAGAACGATCGATACCATCGTTCGTGGAATTTTACAGCAGGAAGACGAGCTTATGAAGGCTCTATAAAAACCTGAGGGGGTGCTGTGGTACCCCCGTTGTGTTTCTATAATGTTGGGACATCGCGGCAAGAATCACGATGCACTCCAGCCTCCAAATTGGTGGGAGCTGGTTCAGGAAGAAAGGAAGAAAGAAAGAAACTATAGATGGGATGGTTCTTGGGTCGCGAGACCCCTTTTTCTTTACAAAAGTCCATTTCCCCCCTTTCTCACCGGGGTTTTGTGGTATGGTATACTACCTATCTAGTTAGTCTGGCTTGAAGAGAAGGAAAACTTGGACGGACTGTCATGTCTATTTAAGCGACTTAGCGAACAAGGACCCTACGTGGTACCAGGCTGGGTGTATTCTAGCACTCTTTAGCTCAGGCGGTGCACTGCCTTGGGGTGGTTGCTGGAGACGCGCCAGCAAGCAATGAAGGCAGGGGTCTTTCCAAGGGCGCGACATTTTTTGCCCCCTCTCCTGCACTATCACATGTAATAAACAATGCAATGTAAATCTGAAGAAAATATTCCAAGCCACGACGTAGGATCGCCGCGGCGGCAGCAGCAGCAGCAGCAGCAGCAGCAGCAAACGGACTCTCCAAGTCTTCTCAATGCATGCCACATGGCGCATTGGCCAGACTGCAAACCCCATTTTTTTCCTGCAGGTTACTGTGGTGGCTATTTGCCTTACGTAGATAGATGGTCACTGAGTTGTAACTTGGATGATTGATTATAGTCAACCCTCTTTTGGTTTGCGATGCACTCACTCACGTACTCACTCCACTGATCAACTCAGAAATACTACACCTTCGGTAGCCTCGCGCGGGATATCCGAATACCGACCTATATTGGCGTTCGTGCATGCAACCGAACCGAACCGAACCGAACCGCCGACATGGGAAAGCTGAAAATAAACCAAGTGCTCCGTACCACATTGCACAAAGGTACTCGTCCTCCGTCCTCCTTCCTCCGGGCCACCGACAAGCGAGCAACAGCAATGCAGGTGGATGGATCGAGCACGGCAAGTCAGGCCGTTCTTCCCAAAGCCGGGTCGGAGGTGGACACCGTGCGTCGTCCGCCACGCGGTAGGCATGGGAGGCCCGTCCCGAGTATGTCCGTACCCCAAGTAGATAGGTGCATTCGCTATCTCCTGTCCGCTGTTGAGGCCTTGCGTCAAGTTCCCAACCGACAACTCGAGACAAAGCTTGGGTGACCCATTTTCGGCGATGGTGTGGCAAGTTGTACAGTAGGTCGTGTTCGGCGTGCACCACACTCGGAGTGTGGGAGGCTGCCCATTCGCCGTCCCAGGTCTTTAGCTGATGACCTTGGGCGTAGGCGACATCGCCTCTTTGGACAGGCCACTTCCCTGACTCAGCTGTCCCGATATTTGGAAATTACCATCAGAGTCTCATGAGGGGTGGATGAATTTGGCTTCGGATTTCTTCGACCAGATCTGCCACATGACGCCAAGTTAATGGACCATCCCTGACACTGGGCGATTGGCAGCTCCTTTCGAGATTTCGACGCACCTTCAGCATGGGCGCCTTGTGTTACTGATGGCATTGCAGGGGTAGAGCTTAGCCCTTTCCGGGGTCTGTGTATCATCTTATCGAGAAACAGCGAGGCTGTCTGAGCGTCCCAAAGGCCGTCACGAGAGTGTGAGAGCGAGGGGTGAGCAAGGAGCTCAAAGGTCTTGCGACGAGTGGTCGGCGACGTCGTCTTTGCGCACACAAAATAGGTGACGGCAATGAGGTGCGATGAAAGCGTATATGTCCGTTGTGGCATGGTTGGTGGAGAGTCACAGATCAGTAAAATCGACGAGACTGCATCTGAGGCAGTTTTCAGATCGCTCTCCAAGTCAGACCTGAGGTCTGCAGCCGATTCTGACTGGGTTGCGGAAGCTAGTATTCCAAATTTGGCAGCATAGTCTCTCATCAGATGATGGAATGTGTGGAAGCTTATCCGAAGCATAAGATATCGCTTCCATTGTTGTCGCATTGACTCGTCGAGTTCATCTAGAGGCAAGGGCGATTTTTCAATGGCGTAGCCTGCGTAGTTTGCAAAGTTGTCCAGAAGAGCACCATATTTTTGAAGATCGCAAACCACGAGAATGCGTTCCTGGATCAGACTTTGCGGCAACTCCTCCACGGCTTGTCCCTTGAAGAATATACTGGCCACTAAATGATGAAAGACTCTGTTCTGAAGCTTTATCAGAATGGATTCGGCGTGATCAAGATCTCGTATTCGATCGGGCACCGTGGGCACCGTGCCACACAGCTCCGGTGGCGAAGAAAGTACAAGGACTGGGGCACGTCGGTCGTCAAACGTGCATGCCTGACAGTCGAGACGTTCGAACAAGGCGGTCAGTCGAGGGACCAACGGATCATTTGAAGAGGTGGCGTCAAAAGACTTGCTGACCTGGCTACGTTTCAGCAGAACCAGGCCCCGATCGAGATGCCATATGGCTTGTTGGGGATCCCCAAGGAGCGATTCACATATGAAGTATATCACGCTGCAAATCAGGGCCACATCAGCACCGGCGTCTGGGCGAGAGAGGTATCGAGCAAGTTGTCGGTGAGACTTAGCAATCATGGTTATGCTTGCCGCCGAAGCCGTCCAAAGTTGGCCATTTTTTGGCTGATCGGAACGAGCAGACCATCCGCACTGAAAGTCTCTGTGCAGAGAACTCAATGCCACCAAGGCACATCGAACCACGGGTTGATTGTGACAGCGCTGAAGAATCAGCTCTGTCCAAAGCCCTCGATCGGAGCAACTGCCTAGACTCCACGCAACCTGGGAGCAATAGTAGTGGATCAATTGCCGATCCGCTTGGCTTCCGGGAATCTTGAACGGTATGTTGTACATACTTATTGAGTTGCTCGCATCTGATACCTGTAGCCGATAAGAAATCAACTCGGGATATCCTCTGCACTCCCGTCGTGCCCGTACGCATCTATTGCATGTCGGTCTGGTTTCATCACATTTGACCCGGCGCGATCTGGATGTGATTGAGCGTTAATATCGCTCAGGTCCGAAGGAGCCTCTTTTGGCCCGACCCAACAGATTGATCACTTACTTGCATGTGAAACAGCCAGATCGCACCTTGGGCTTACTCGTTCTCGCAAGGCGCATGTCGTTGGCATTGGCTTGGAGATCGGACTCCGATTTTTGCAGCCCGGGTTGAGGCAAGAAGATGTTCTTCTAGCGACAACGGAAGAACAGCATGGCCAGGAGAGTTGCAGGCAAAAGAGGGGCGAGTCCGATTGCAAAGCTCCATGTCATGAGACTGTCAGATGCACTTGTAAATGAGCGGGCTCTCCTTCAGCAATGGCAGCCTTGTCATCCTAGGTAGACCGTACACCGCATGCCGTACACCATATACCGGAAGGTGCAGCAAACCTTAAATATACGAGCCGAGCTAACTTTATTTGGAATGCGTGCCGGCTTCTCCTTTCACCACATATAGTCGATGGCAAACGGTATTTCACCTAACAACTTTTCCATCTCACAGTCCTCTCCGCCCGCCGAGAACACGCCTTCCTAAATCGAGGCTAGGTCTTATTATTGTCCCAGGAGACTCCCCAATACCCACCCAACAAATTGGGTAGTGTACCTGGCTTGGAGTTCAGCGGAATGAAAGAGGGGTTAGGTGAAATACTTGTTTTCTCCCAGAGTTGATGTTGGAGCATGATAATCTATATGAAGTCTGGAGGACAAGAGGGCAGGATGCCAGGTCTGCTATCAGAACAACGTCAATTCCAGAAGACATCATCGCTAATTCCACGGCCAGCCTTAATAATAGGTGTGGAACTGTCCCCTTTCTCCGCTTGATGCAAATATGTTCTTGCTTGCTTTGACACCACTTTTGAGGCAAGTGGCTTATGAATATCGAAGATGAGAATACGCTTCGCAGTGGTGATAACAAATGCAATCCGTTTGTGAGGAACACCCTCCTTAGTTCCGATGCCGTCTGAGATGCCTACACCTCCAGAAAATGTGAACATCCTCATCTGTCCTGTTTATAGTAGAGAAACTGCCGCGCGCAGGTCTGTTGAGATAGATTCTGCGCTCATAACGACTAGCCATTGACCATGCTTTGAGTTTACCATGCTATGCTCCTATGCTACGCTTATAGGTGCGTACAGTCGTCAATTAAATGCTGCAAGGAGAAGTGGTCAGATTCCAACTCGAGCCATTTAGGAAGGAGAGCGGAACTTACTATATTTCAATTGGACTGATTTGGTCGAAGGGAAATAGCCAATTGCTTCCAGCCTCGACCTTTTCGAGCCTGAGAGGAGTTATTAGCCAGGGAACAAAGGAAATAACCGAGAACACATACCAGTCGTAAGGCCAAACTATAAGATGGCCCTGGACGCAACCGAGTAGTTCCTCGGCCTCTTCGATGCCGGGGAGGTCGTCAGTTGCGCTAAAGTCGCGTCTACTAGACCGTGTAGTTGCCCTCCTACGACGCCTTGCACTCCCGCTATTAGCGGCCATGGTGCTTACATTCTGGGCGAAATTTTGATTTAGAGCGTCTGAATAACCAACGAACGTGTTACCCATACTCGGTGGGGTTCCACTCGTGGGTTTCTCTCGCTCGACGGCGGTGTCGTTGCTGGGGCTGCTTGTCGGTGGATCGGTGTTGGCATCGTCCTCCTCGCCACTACCCTCATCGTTGATAGCTTGACCTTCATGGACAGTCTGTAGTCCAGCTTTCTCCTCAGTCAGAGTCTCCTGTCTGTGAAGTGCAGCGAACCCCTGGCGCTGGGCCTGAGCTTTATTTGTCTCGGTCGCCCATTGCCGCTGGTCAACGCTGGTTTCAGCGCCCAAAGTCTGCTTCACCTTATCTTTGATCTCCCCAGATCGCTTGTCCAAATCAGCAGGGACGTGACTCAGTGCCTTCAATTGTACAACTGGCGCCCGGGACCCGGCACCTGGTGGTCCACTCTTTGGAGCATGGCTGTCACCTGCTGGATGTGGTATTTTGTCATCGCCAGGTATGTCATTGCCTTGCATTTGATTGAATCTTTCCTCATACTGCTGGTATTGATGATAATCTTCCCAGGTGCGAACTTGATTGTCTGGCATGCATCGGAAGACGGCACGGAAGATCTTCGTATTATTCTCTGCCACCGCATGCCAGGTGTCGAAGAAGAAAGCGTCGTGAATGGGATCCGTCATGCAATCTCGGTCTACCAGTGGTCGCCTTAGGTCATTCATCAAAGGATGCCGTGAATGAACCGAATCTCGAGAAGCAAGCTTGGCAAGGGGAGGTCCTCCAATATCAGTGTCATCTTCATGTGGTAAAGCTGGCAACTGGGAAAGCATCGGCAGTCCTAGCTGCTCGGTGTTCATGCGCTCTCCAATTGACGGCCTGGGGGGTAGCGGTGGATTAGGGGTTTCGAGCTTCATCACATAAGACGTTAGACGGGGGACTTCGCCATGCTTTCTCGGATTCTGCACCGGGGCTCTACCCTCAGTGTCAAGGTTGGAGACAATGAGCTCTTTAGCGCCATTGGTCACGATTGTGTCTCTTCCTATACCAAAGCCGGCAGACTCTGCAATAGCCATATTATCAACCCCATGGCCTTCTATATCTTGCCTGTGGATTGCATTGCCAGTGACCCGGGAATCTTCAGTGAGTTTGCGATTGCTCTTGAGGTTGGGATTGTCATGCTGTTCCCAATCTACATCATGGTTGAAGCTCTTCAGGTCTTCTGAGCGTTTCAGTAGTTCCTCGCGCAATTCGGCGGCACGCCTGTCGAGTGGACTGACTATATCATCATCCTCTGATTGTGGGTTCCCAAATCCATCGTCTCTATATTGTTTCCCAGGGGATTCTCCGGCGATTTCAGTCTTGCGATGTTCAGCTTCCATGGCCTGGGCATCCTCCATGATCTTGTCCACATCGAGGCCAAGATGTTCTCGCATTAAACGCATACGCAGAGTATGCGGAAAACGTCCGACCTGGTACGGCTTGCCATTCATCGTTGACCAGACCATATCTGCATCTCGGACAACAGCAGCACATTCAGAATCACGATTTCCCAGCATAGAACGCTCATTGATGTTGGCAGAACCAATCAGAGCAATTCGGTCATCCACAATCATGCATTTTGCATGAATGTAGAGCTGCTCTGTTACAAGGGTTTTCCGTGGCCCAAGTCGGCCCCACTGACGTAGACTGTAGAATTGAATGTAATCTTCGGGCTCAATGCCAACACTCTTCAAGCGACCAAATATTGAGGACTCTCCTCGACAAATACTTCGATATTGATATTGCATGATCAAACGTACGGAAGTTCCTCCTTCTTGTTCAACGGTATTTTGAAAACCTGGAATCAATGGGATCACTATCACAGCTCGCCAAGCTTCGTCGTTCTTTGAGGCTCGAGTAATTCGCTCGACTAGCGCATCGCCGATCTTGTTGTGAACCGTGGCGCCCTCTGTCTCACAACTTGTGATGAAGAACTGATTCTCCATATAAACAAAGTGATCTGATTCTTCAATGAGTTTGACATATGCGTTCATAATGCTGTGTTCTGTTTTATCCGGTGTTCCGATTGACCAAGGACCTGCAGAGCGCAATATTTGGACCTCACATGTTCCATCCAGACCAAGGGCTTCTAGATCTGCAGGATTGAAGTCCGGTGGCGGCAACAGGAATGGTGTGGGGCGAGTAGGCTTACGTTGTCTCAGAATATAATTCCACCTCTGAACAAAATGTCTCGTCAAGTCGCGAGCAGGTTGTCCAACAACCTGCATTGAAATATCATGCCACGGCATCCGGGCGACTTTTTGACGGTTGTACATCTCCTCGTACGGCTTGTTGAGTGCATAGAAGTCCTGTATCCGAGGATTTGAATAGTCCTTTCCGGGCCACAGCTGACAATGGTCGGCGTCTTTAGGCTGATCACTTGGTTCAAATCCTGTTGGTTTGTCATCCACAAGAGTATGCTGCGGCGTATCCCACCTGCCAAAACAAAGATCAATACCACCAACAAAGGCTAACGTGTGGTCAACGATGCAGAGTTTCTCGTGATGGGCCCAGAAAAATGTATTCTGGCGGAATTGATTTGGGGATCTTTGGACAAATATGTTGGGATGAAGATCGAGCAAGGAGAATTTGGTGTATTGCGAGTCGATGGGAATGGCGGATTCAATATTGCGGTAGACAATCACGAAGATCTTGACACCTTCTTCAGCTTTCCTCTTGAGCAATCTGTCAAGTCGCCACTTTTGACTAATGGCGGGAGGTCGTCTCATGTACAGCTCAGGGCTCAGCCACCAGTCGTGAATATATATGACATCTTTGGCTTGGTTCAGAGCACGAGACACTACCCACATATGATCTCTGCCGTCAACAAGCCATTGGGCAAAACAATTCGGCCGGACTGGGGCGAAGCTGTCAAATCGGTTTTTCTTCACCCATGGCGATGACTCTGTCATCAACCGGATGGACTCCTCAAATTGGTGAAGTTGTCGTTCGCCTCTTGCCAATAATTTGAGCTTTCGTTCGGAGTTGACCAATTTGAGTCTATGATGTTGACCTGTGGATTCTCTAGCAGCATCAGCCAATTCTTTGGCGCGTGGATGGTTCTTCAGGCGCTGTTTCGTGGATTGAATTTGAAAATCCGAGTCAAAAAGAAAGACATCATAGATATGCATTTCTTCAGGAGAATCAACACAAACAACATAGCTATGTCTGACCAGAAACCACTTTGGAGTGTGTCGTTTAGAGACATTAGTAGGAGTCAAGGCTCTTCGAAAATCCAGCCCTTTTGCTGAACGAATCAGCAGATAGCCTTCCTTTCCGTGGTAGCTTCCCTCCGCCGCCAGGCGCATGCCCATGGCCGACACTTCCAAAAATTTGCACAAGCGATTGCCTTCTGGTCGGAACAGGAGAAATTTCATCATCTTCTGTAAGTATTGCTCGAGCTTCTTCCGTTGCTTCTCATTAAAGCGGCCATCTCGTTTTGCTCCTCCAGGAGTACTGGGATCTGGAATGCCTGCAATGCTAGATTTCCGCCGGCCAGGCATGAATGAAGAACGGTGTTGAAGCTTGGGCGTCCTTGCGTCCGTATCAGTGGCGTCACCGCCATCTACATCATTTCCAAGGTCATCATCTTCACCTTCACTCTCTTCATCAAGCCATCGCCAGGATTTTGCATACGGGAAAGCGCTTCTTGGGAATCTGGGGAACTTCTCCGCCGATTCTCCTCTGCCCCTCAACTTCTCGGTGCTGTAGAATACTTTATATTTTGCGTGGAGATTGAAAAAATCACCCACTGATCGCTTAACAACCCATTTCATTCTGTTGATGCCATTACCGTACTCCAACTCTATGCGGAACACTAGGTGGCGATCGCTGGGGGCATTGGGATCTACTTCGCAGTCTGTGATCTGGAGTTTAAGCTGTTCAAGAAGGACTGGGATCCTCCGATTGTCATGCTCGTCCCGTTGAAACATGCTTGCCAGCATGAGAGCCGCTGGGGTTCCCGCAGCAAGCTCAGCCAAAAGTTCAGCCGATTTCTCATGGTCCGGGGTGCGCTCCTTTTTCTTGCTTTGGCCTAGGAGGCGCAGGCTGTTCTTCAACTGCCTCCACTTGGCAGCACTCAACGTTGTGCCTCTTTCAGTCATTAATTTCCGGCGCGATGGCGTCTTGGGAGTCTGGGACTCGCTCTGTGCTCCTTCGCGAGATGATGTGATCGTGGCGAAATTCAAGAGTGTCAAGGGCCTTCTGTGACTTTCAGGAGTCGAGTCACCGGGTTTCCTTTGCCCACCATAGCTTAGACCACGTAGTGGATGACGAGGGGTCCAGGCGCTCGTTTCGCGAGAAAGTTGTTTGCGGCCCTCGTCTTCCGACACACCTTGATGACCATGAATTGGACCCATATCCGTATCAGTAGCTCGTCGAGCGAGGACGCGAGGTCTATTAGGGTTAGAACCGAGAGGAGTGCTGGCTAGGCCGGAACGCATGGGGCTGTGCGGCGACGAGGGAGCCGTTTCGATGTCATCACCACGGTGCGTCTTTCTCCTGCGTTTGCGTGGCGCAGACAGCTGTTGTCTATTTTCTGCAGCGCTCTCTTCTGCATCCGCATCCGCATCGGCTTCGGCGCCACTATCCTCTTCCAGAGTTGCTGCAAGGGCACCAGATTGTGAAAATCCTGACCCGTCGGCGTCCTTGCTGTCAGTCACCCGGCCAGTGATGGACAGGCCACTAGGAGTTCTCACGTGACTGAAACTTTGAGGAATGGCAAGGGCTCTCAGTCTTGCCATTAGAGAATGAGGCTTGTCCTGATCCGTGGCTTCCCCTCGTTCTCCCAGTGGTGTGCTCTGGCCAGCATCGGGCGCATCTATCTCTTGGGTGTCTCGAGAGAACTGGACGCTCTTCCTCCCTGCTGTTGGGGTTCCGCTAATTTGAAGGGCGGTGTCGGAATCGGTGATGTCTTTCTCTGAGCAATTCAGAGGTTGTTCATTCAGTCTTGCTATAGATAGATGTGGACTAGGGACAGAACCTTTCTTCAAAACGCCGGCTATCTTGGAAGATGAAGGATAGAATGATGCATTGTCTGGCGAGTGATCCCTTTCCTCTGTGACGGTGCGGGATACTGTGTCGTTGACGATGTCGTATGCTGAGCCATTGGTCTCAACTGCGGGTCCTGGACTGCCGTTGACCCTGAGGTTGGAGAGGGTGTTCTGTGAAGGAGCATCTTTGCGATGGTCAACGGAACGGTCGATGATTCCATTTCGACTTAATTGGGTAGTCTCAGTGGGACTGGCCATGGTTGATCCTCCCAGAAGGAACCGGACAACAAGAGCCGGTAGACCACAAGGTCAGCGGCGGTAAGGGCTACCGGCTATCAGGAAACAATTCCAACCATTGTCCTGTTCATTCCATCCACCTCTTGTTCGAAAACTTGGCAGAAGAGCAATTGCTGCTCGAAGATGGCAGGGAATGAGGCAGCGACCAAGGATAGAGGGACTGTGGAATGTCTATGTTCAGAGTAAACTTAGTGGAGAAGAACCACCTCAGCAGGGAGAGAGGTTGAGATGTCACTACTCAGATGAATGATGTACCTGCAATCGATAGAATTGGTCGGCTTGTTCACAAGATTTGGGAAGTGCTGCGAGAGTAGCAAGTTTGGTGGCAGATGTTGTCTTCCCTGCGCCGTACGAGTCCTACGCGAGGAGTAAGGACGATGCAGGTGCGGTGACCGGCAGCCAAGCCTTGGGGGCCGGAAGCACCTGCTTACTGGTTGGTACTCGTAGCTGCTAACGATGGTTAAAGGAGGCCAACCACAGAGTTTGATGTTGGAGGTGCTCCATAGGCATGACTGCAGCAGATTAGGTCAGCTGTTAGTGGGCACCACCAGAGGCAATCCGAGTAATCCTTAGGCTCCCTTAGGCTCTCTTAGGCTCCCTTGGTCTCCCGGTTGGGGCAAATGCAGCACTGCCAAGGCTCCCATGTCCTCCGTCAACTCCACCCCTCTCCACGTGTGAAATTGCCCTCGCCGTATGGACACGAGGCTGAAACTTACTCGTACTGGCTGTCCAGGACTATGGAATCTGACTTACAAGTAAAGGTCCTCGGGAGACAAGACTAGGACTGTTCCAGATAAGATTTTGTTGCCGAGCACATTCAACAAGTACCGATATGCATATGCATGTGCCGACCGCAGAGAGCAGGCATTGGGGGATGTAATGTCTAGGGCTTGATTACGAGTGCTTTCATAGATGACATACCTACTATGATAGGTATTTAGGTATCTACTACTGGGTGTAAGGCAATCATGTCAAAGCTGACTTAACCCGCCAGATCACCAGAGTAGTGCTGCCACCAAACCCCCATACACGCAGCAACCACCAGATCACACATTTTGAGCCCTTCGTCTTCAATGATCAGCTTGCCGAGTTTGGCACTGTGCCCCTTAAACCCCCCCCCAGCCTTTTCTCGTCCAAGGTCAAGATTCATGCGCTCCTCATCTTGACTATTGCCACGGGCATCGTTGTGAAAACCACCGCCAGACGCGTCGAATGACGGCCGGCCATCTGTGACATCGTGCTTGGATAGTTGTTCCCGAGCCTTGTGAGTAAAACTCTGAAGACTTCTTCTCCACTGATGATGATCTTTGGACATGGAAGGCTGGGCAGGAACGTTTATTGGTGGGTTAAGTGAGTCATTATAGTGCCTGCTCATGTCTTTCGATCGGAGTTTCGCCCACGGTAGATTAAATCGAAGCTCGGCAACATCTGCGGCGAGGGCGGGCATGCCAGAGTTTGCTGCTGAGAGCATGTGCCGGCACCTCAAGCTCCTCCCGTCTATCCCGTTGCTGAAAGAGCACATCCCTTGCCAAGGAGAAAGGAATGAATATGCTTGACGTGGCTTCCTCGTCGCCGCACTGGCCGCTGTTGAGAACAATTCTGTTGAATTGCTCCTCTTTCTCCCACCAGGTGTCGACTCGGAGTTCGGTACCAGCATGTAGCCCGTTTTCCTCTGGAACGGTCGCCCAGCTGTTCCTTCATTCTGAGCAAAACGTCCGTAGCCTGGGGAGATAAGCTCCATCTCAAAGTGTTGTAAGGGGGTCTCCCGAGTAGATGTGCTAGGCAAGACTATGTTTCCAACATTCCACTGGTTTCCTGATGCCGGATCTCGGCGGATCAAAGTAATCCGCAACGCATCAAGAGGTAACTCTGGAAAGGGGCCGTGGCTTGAGCGTACGGGAGAGCTTCTATTAGGACTTTGATTTCGTAAGTCGGTACCACTTGCCATTGCAGGTGTCAAGACTGGCTTCCGCGGCAGTTCTGTTCTCCCCAGGCCATTGTCTTCGGGACTGGCAGAATCCATATTTTCTAAACCGGCTAGGCTTGATGAATTCCCGCTGTAAGCATTCCCCATCATTGACCGGGCACCGATGGGTTTTCGAGAGATGGGAGGTTTAGATGGGTCTGAGGTATTCAGTCTGAGACGGTTACCCCGATTGGAGTATCGGTCGGCTTGGGTTTCATCTTGCGACCCAACTGATGGCGGTTGATAGTGTGGGTAGCTTTTTGGAGGGGTGGGAGGTCTCTGAGAAGCCGGATAATTGGCATATGGCGTATTTGGTAGAGGCTTGCGCTGGATCCCTGCAACGCCGTAGGGGCGATTTTCTGCAGCTTTGGCGGCTTCGAATGATTTCCGCAGTTCGTCGTCCTCCGGTCTCTCTACGTGCAGAAAGTAGAGGCTGGACTGGACTGCATCGATGCTAATGGAAGCCTTGGTAGGTGGCTTGAGGGGGGTAAGGAAGACATCTAGCAAGACTTAACACGGATGCCCCTTTATCTTGTCTGCTGCGCAACGCTCTCACCTTGACTGCCGGGTACCCTCACGATGTAGAGGACAAGCGGGTCGTGGACTTGGTGAGTGGGGTTTCGAGGATACCGAGGCGGGTTCGCAAGCAAGTCCGTCAGCGAAGATATCGACTGAGCCTGGATAGGAGTGCTCATGTGTGATGTCGGATAGAAATCATTCCCGACAGGACAGAGTTACTAGGTATGTTAAAGGTGGGGGGAGTGCGGCGCTGCTGGGCACGATTTTCAGATTTAATGGCAAGTCGGTTCTGCTCACGTGGGATGAGATGTCTGAGTCGGTGTCAGTGTCAGTGTCAGTGTCAGCGCACGTGCATGAGAAGGATGGGTTCGCAGTGCGTATGACAGTAGATACTTCATTGTCGATATAAAGTTATCAAGACAGGTAACCAAAGTGTGTCTCGTCTCGTGTTCAGGACAATGACACAAATACAATCATGGCTGCGCAGACCGGAAACTTAACTGCCTAAGCAGCCGGAGTGCAACCTAAAGTATTCTTGGGTCGCTGATGACGTTGACTCAAGTCATAACCCCCAGTACCGAGCACCACCGACCAGGATGATGGGGGTCCAGTGTGGCTGGTTGAAACAATCCATTTACAGTCCAGGTGTCTAGATCTGACTGGTTCGTCTACTGTACGGAGTTGTACGGAGTGCTACTGATTCAGATCCATCAATGAGTGGTGAATCCGTTGGCAAGAAACATCATCTATTTCACTTATCTGGAGTATGCATACCAAGTGTGTCAGGTGTCGGCTCCAACAATGCCTGCTCGGTCTCTAACGGTCGAAGATTGCTAGTGTCTGCCTATCACTCCACGTTCGTGCATACTCGGGGCCCGCCTCCCGACCAGTTTACTGCTAAATGTCACCCAGCTGCCCTTAACAAGCCGCTAAAGACGCCCAGCTATCGGTATTGCCCTCCGGTCGGCCTCTGTCCTTTTAACGCACGGAGGAACGCTAGGCATGAGGTTCCCTTTTGGCCTAACCTTCCAGGGGTTGGCCAGGCTCGTCGTCCGCCCAAGGACGCCCATTTGCGCCTCCATCCAACAAGATCTGCCCAGAGCTGCCACTTAATTGGTGCCGGTAAGCCACGTCCCTGGGCGCGAGCGTCATTCGGTTCTGCGACCAGTATACTCCACGTTTCTTGTTCTAAACGACTAGCTAGGTAGCATTATCATCATATCCGGGCAGCTACAGCCTCCGACTAACGGTATGTATATGCCGTTCCTTTGCACAAGAGATAAGGAAGCGAACTCGAGACTTGTCCACCTTCAATCCCCCATTCTTGATGGTTTGTAATCCTAGGCGAATTCAATAATCCGCCATATATATCTTTTACGTGCCCGCCATCTTTAAGTCTGGGTGTGTTTGTCGATGAGAGAACTGTCAGTGTATTCTGTAGATCACTTCGAGAAGCCCGCCAGGCAACCAACAATATCTAATCATTTCAATTAACCACCATGACTGCAGGTGACCGCTCAAGTCCATCGCCTACTGATGATGTTGTCACAAGTGAGAAGTATACCGAGACAAGTCTAGATGACGGACCTCAAAATGTCATCATCGCCTCGCAACAGGATCTCGAAAATATCCCCGAAATCGACCATGCCGCCGAAGCCAAGTTGGTTCGGAAACTCGACCGATACATCATTCCGCCTACTATGCTCCTGTACCTCGTCAGTTTCCTCGATCGTGTAAATATTGGAAACGCGCGCCTTTATGGTATGGAAGAAGATCTAGGACTCCATGGGTCCCAATTCCAGTGAGTCAACGACTTCCTTGTTCATCGATCATTTTAGAACACCGAGAAACACCAGATCAAAGTGAAAATTCAGCAATCTATGTCAAATCTTTCTGAAAGTTGAAGGTCTGGGACGGCATTCAGGCAATGTGATTGCTATGGAGATGGCTTCGCAGATTGATTCAGGAGTGACCACTCTGCTAATGAGTATCGACTCTCAGGACCGCAGTCTCCATCCTGTTCGTGACTTATGTGCTACTGGAAGTTCCTTGTAACCTAGTTATCAAAAGGCTGCGACCCTCTCGCTTTATCTCCGCCATAACAATAGGATGGGGTATTGTCGCCACCCTCACGGGCATTGTGCAGAGTTACGGGGGATTGATCGCTTGCCGTCTTCTTCTGGGGGCTTTAGAGGCAGGATTGTTCCCAGGAATGACAATATACCTCACAATGTTTTACACAAAACGCGAACTCGCTCTTCGCGTCGGTTATCTCTTCGTGTCCGCCGCGATAGCTGGTAGCCTCGGAGGTTTATTAGCTTACGGAATTGGTTTCATGGACGGCGTTGCTGGTGAATCTGGATGGAGATGGTAAGTTTGTTATTATTAAGTTGACCATCGGACCCAAAGCCCAAGACAGTCAACAAATCAACTTGGCTGCTGGGTTACCGTGGTTTCTGACCCATCTCGACCTGCGCTTGTTTATGCTAACGTGCTTTATCGACAAAGGATCCTGATCATCGAAGGGATTCCGAGCGTTGTGCTGGGATTCATCGTGTTCTTCTGGCTAGCAGACTCCCCTGAGACCGCATACTATCTGACGCCTGCGGAGAAAGATTTGATGCTTATAAGAAGACGTCGTCAAATTGGCCATACCACCTCTGGAGATCTATTGCACAAGGAAGACGTGATCAAGGCACTTAAGGATTGGAAGATCTGGATGTTTGCAGCCGGTCAATTTGGTGTTGATACATTGCTTTACGGTTATTCCACGTTTCTCCCAACCATCATCAGGGGTCTGGGAACGTGGTCGACACCTCAAGTCCAAGCACTTACTGTCCCCTGCTATGCCTTGGGTGCCGTTACTTATCTGACGGTCGCGTACTTTTCGGATCGATACCAACAGCGGTTCCTCGCCATTGCTCCATTCGCAATCATCAGCATCATTGGATACGGCATTCTCATGGCTGACGTCGCGTCTGGAGTTCACTTCTTCGGCTGTTTCTTGGTCGCTACAGGTGAGATATCTCATGTGCATGCCGACTTTTGACTTACCAGTAGGACAGGTCTGTATGTCTCAGTAGGAATACCGCTCGCCTGGTTGCCAAGTAGTAAGTCGTTCTGCTACCTCTCTTCGAAATGTCTCTGTCGGGGCTAACTTCTTGATAGACCAACCTCGGTATGGCAAGCGAACCACGGCCAGCGGAATGCAATTAACCATAGGTAAGGAGATTCAGGCCTTGCTTTGGACATAACTAACTGAAGTTCTCCAAACCAGGTAATTGTGCTGGGATCATGGCTCCGTTTGTAAGTTGCTCCGCCTGAAACCTTGGCCATCATGGTTGTTGACGACGCTCGATCAGCTTTACAAAACAAACGAAGGACCGCGATATATCCGGGGTCATGCGGTCTCCTTGGCAATGGTTGCAGCGGCAGCTATAATATATGCCATCATGTGGGCCTACTTCCTGGCTGAAAATAAAAAACGCAAGGCAGGAAAGCGAGATGCAAAAATGGTTGGTAAGACGGAGGAAGAAATTGCGGAAATGGGCGACGAGAATCCGCGGTTCGTGTTTACGTACTGATGAGTGAGCACAAAGAGGACCCTCCTCGAACACGGGCTTTGTGGGTGCAGAGAAATTCAAATCATCTGGGAAGATGTCACACCCATACAGAACGCAATTGATTATCCTGGTGATGGATGAGCTTGGGGGAGAACGAGTGGCAACCCATACTAATCTGTGGGAGCACCTGAAAGACGTTGGTGCTCCTAGGTGTCCAAGTGGTTACCCGTAAGCATCAACAGTGAGATACTATAAAGAAATAGAGCATGTCATTGCCGCGATCTTACCACTAACTCAAGAAGCCATCCGTTCTTGACTCATCGTGTCAAGCGCTCCTGCCCAGTTGACAAGCTGAGACGAATAGCTCTCCACGGATACCGCCATGAACATCAGCCATTGATGGTGATCAGCACCGGTAGTCCACCCAACACAGCCGGATCGATATGTGTCGTGGCTGGCGTTTGCCTCATTGTTGACCATCTTGGAGTGACGTGTCACAGGACTCCACCCGGTGACTGATTAAATGCCCTATCGCGATTCGTGCTCTTCCATGAAGCAGGCCACAGCATGGTTGGACAGTGGATGGTGTTTTTGGACACGCGCCCGAGCAACAAGTCTGTGCCGTCGCCGGTCAACCCTCAACCCACTGGCCCTGCCCTGCCCTGTTGGGTGCCTGTGGGTGCCTGCCCTGCCCTGCCTGCTTACCTTACGGGGCTTTGTCCAAGCCTGCCAATGCCGGTAGCACTATGAGCGAGCATGAATGCCAAAACAGGCACAGGAAGGAAAGAGCTCATACACCCCCGAGCAAATGATGAGGCAGAGAAGAATGGGGCCATCGAGTCTGGTAATCCAGATCCTTCGCCTCGTTTGGCTCTCTCCCATTGTTTTTGAGTAAAGCTGGTCTGAGGCATATGCAGGCTCTGGGCAGTTCCCAGCACAGCGTTGTCCGGAAGTTTGCCTTGGGCCCAGATGGGTGCCAGATCATTGGTGCTTGGGGTGCTTGGGGCACGATTAGTCGGCCTCACATGGACGACTGTCCCTGAAGAAATTCGTTGGCGATCATTGCTCACGATCCCGATCACGAACGGGAATCACGGTCTAGAGTTCCCAAGCGGCGACGCAGTGGCAAAAGAGTATTTGCCGTTGGTCAAATACGCTATGCTGGATCTGCTCATCTAAACGGCCGTGATTCGCGGGGATTAAGACTTGCTGGCTGGGTTGGTAGAGACTCGGGAGACATTGGCTGTGCGAAATTTAGACCCATCGACTGGCCCATAGAAGCCAAGAGAGCCTATCAAGGGCCCTGTACTGGCTTGCCTAGGCCCCCCGATTTGCCCGTGCCAGTGGGAGGGACCAACACGAGGCGTAGAGTGTGTCGCCCGGGTGGGCACCATCTGAACTGAACTGAACTGGTTTGGTTTGAACTGGCAACAAACACGCCAGGCAGCGCACACCAGGAACTGAGCTGTGAGCCGTGAGCTGCGAGCTGTGGATGGGAGGATAAAAGAAAGAACACCACCAGCCTGGCGGAAATCCGTGACTGAGGATGATTCGACACAAAGCACGAGATTGTTGAGTCAAAGACGCCCCGACTTGGAAGCATCAACATCATTCTTCTCGCTAATCAATTTTGATATTTGCTTTTCTTTTAATAACATCTCGTGTCTCCGCCTGAACCTGAACCTGGACCTGAACCTGAACCTGAGCCTACGCTCGAGTCCTTTACCCTATAATCTGCCTTCGCACCATCGGCCATCAAATTAGATTGATTTTTCTTTGTCTCTTTGGATCAGGATATCATCACCCGATCCTCACTCAATATCCTAAATCCCTGCACATTCTGGATACAGTACTTATCATCAGGTCTGGCTACCTCCCTTCGCCACTACATTTTCACTGTATATCAACACCCGACAGAATACGGAGAACAGGGTACCCAGTACCACCACCCACTCCAGCAGCTACTGCACCCACGAGTACTTGACCCCCCAGACCGAGACAGCTGCTGGTAGCGGGTATAGTGCTCCATACGCCGTCCCTGTCAGCATTGGCAACCCTCAGACTGTCAACGCTTTTTCCACCCTTCCGATCATCCATAGGTTCATCGTTCCAGGACCCCAGGACCCAACGCCTCCTATTCACCACAGATGCTAGCCTAAGTTCCGCATTTACCGAAAGTTAAGGGGAATCTTCAGGCTTGGCTGCAGTGGCTTTTCGGCAACGTAAGTCGAGCCCACTGAGGAAGAACACTCGACTGGCCCCTGCGCCCAACTCACCACTTAACAATCCTCAATACGCCCACCCACCCTCCAGGGCCACCACCAATCCTCTCCTCCTACAAGTTAGCAGCCCCAAGGACGGAGTACCCAACGCACCCCGGCTCGTATCGTCACCCTAACCGTCGCCGTTGCCCGCTAAACCAAACCAGACGCGTTCACACTCGATCCAAACATCTGCCAACTGAGGCTGCACCTCGTTCCATTCCCGCTATCCTCTTATTCTATTGTTCCATTCAATTCCATCTCTACGGAAATCTCTCTCCACAACACGCGACGATGCCATCTGTCGTCTATCCTTACACCGTCACCAACAGCTACAAAGGGTAAGTCGCAGTCGACATCTCCAAGCTTGCCCGCATCTGTCTACCTTCACTTTTGGATCCCGCTGACACGTCTCACACATCAGGGGTCTCTTCATGCGAACATACAGCCGTAACGTCCGTCGCGCCTGGGATGGCGAAGACTACCGACCGCCAAAACGACAACGCCTTGAAAATGCTTGGAACGCGCCTGCTACCGCTGCTGCCTCTACCTACAATGAGAATACTTTCACCCTCCTAGACGTCGAAGACAACCTTGAGCGCGCCATACGCGAGACTAGCGTTGCGGCAATGTCATCCTCTCCATCACGCAAGAATAGCACAATCTTCTCAGCAGAGTCACAGGAGGATGAAGTAGGCTCCAGCACCATCACCCCACCATCATCCCCTCCACCAACACTACAACTCACGCCACAAAATGTGAAGGCACGCAAGCCTACCTTTTCCTTTCTCGATAAATCCAAAAAGGAGCAAAAGAATGCCAAAAGGAAACGCGATGCGGCCTCGGCCGGCCTCGCCAACGCGGCTGCGACGCGTCAGGACTCAGAACCTCTTTCCGAAATTTTCAACTCCAGTTCACGCTCACAAAGCTCCCAACCAGCTCCCGTGAACGCGTGGGTACCACCGGAACCAAATCAAACACCAGCTCCCACTCAATCAGCGCCTCCGCCACCAAGACTCCTGGTTCCTAAGCAAAACCTCACACAGACAGTCCTCGATTTCGGGCAAAACCTTACCCCCGTCACATGCCCGCAATGTCAGATGTCATACACCCCCTCCGCGGCCGAGGACACCCAATTGCACAACATGTATCATAACAGAGATAGCAGCGGCATTGAACTTGGAAAGGCGTTCCTCAAGTCAGCAATGCGTTGGTGCTACCAAGTTCCCAACATTCCAGGGAGTGTCGTGGTTGTAGATCGGAAGATTGCTCTTCCCGGGAGACGCGCCGTTCAGAAAGCACTGGAGATCATCAACAAGGAGCTGGGAAGTGTGGATATCAAAGAGGAGGAGCTCTGGAGTCAACGGGTTCCTGAAGGCGAAAGTAAGATCGAACCTCTTTTGAACAAAAAGTGCGACCGATTCAAGGTCTTTCTGCACATTGTCGATGATAAATGTGTGGGCATGTGTCTAGCAGAGCGTATTACCAAGGCACATCAAGTAAAGCCAAAGGATGCTGCATCAGGAGAAATTATCCCTCTGAATGGACATTTCAGCCAGGTTCGACCCGCCACGCCGGCAACGAATGATCCCAGCGAAGAGGATACCGCAACAATCCCACCAAGACCACAGATTCCAACACCAGTCGCGAGTCCGACATCTTCGTTCCATTCCTCAATCAGTATCACGGAAGAGACGTACCCTGCAATTGTGGGTGTGAGCAGAATCTGGACTAGCCGAGCATTCCGGCATAAGGGGATCGCAAATAACCTTCTAGAATGCGTTATGAATCAGTTTATTTATGGGATGGCTATTGATCGAACCGAGCTTGCTTTTAGCCAACCCACGGAGAGTGGAGCGGGTCTGGCCAGATCGTGGTTTGGGGAGAACTACAATTGGGCGGTTTACAGAGAATACTAAAGGTCTACGCTTCGACATGCTTGGAGCTGAGTTTTCCAACGAGCATAGCAACAGAGGGTTGTCATGAGCATGAGACTAAGTGCTATACAAAATCGGGATCGGGGAACTGTCTAGAGGTTGGGTAGAGGAGGTTTCGCGGAATCGCGATTGATATTTAGCATTGAGGTTCTTCGGCTGGACCACGTTAAACCGGTTCAGGATAGCGGGAACAGACCAGCAGCAGAATAGCTCATCCACAGGATCAATGAATCATCCCGTTACAGCGAGCAACTCTTTGTTCTCTTAAGAAGGCCATGGATCCCTTTGTAGCCAGAAAGAGTCCTCTTGCGTGAGTGTCACCTCGAGAGACTATGTACGGAACTCCAACACAAAGACGCTACGGTTGTAACTTAGTGCAGTCAGATCAAGTACAGTGTGTCAATTAAGATTTGGGCATTCTCTCCCCTGATGGTCGACATTTTTATCAGAGAGGCGACTCATTCAGTAACTTAATGAATGTCGACAATGCCTGACCAGTTTGTAACAGCTCGCGGATAAATCATCGTTCAGACTATATGAGGGACCAAGTACATACTCGTGGTCTGGCTCGTTGCATCTCGACTAAGCGGCTGCCCGGTAATCTCATAGCCAGAGCCGACCCCCCTACACGTCACCGTCATCGCCAACTACCACCCGTCGCACAGCCCTGTTTGTCATTGTAGCAAACGAACTAGAATACGGAGCCGAAGATCCTCGTCTGAATCGAAAACACCGTATCCTGCAACCAGACGGGCCAGCCGCGCACCCCGGTCTTCGCCTCTTCGCTCCGGGGCATGAAAATCCTGCCGCTGCGAGCAGCCAAGACCTGCTCGACGACCGCGCTGCTGACGTTGGATGCTGGATCCGTCCGGATCCCGATACTCGCCAGCTTGTCTTCGTACGGCTTCACGATGCCAGTCGAGTGCCACGACGGGTGCACGGAGGTTGTCTGGATGCAGTTGCCGTTCGGGTATTTGGTTATCAGCTCGTTTCGGAGTCCTGCAATTTTCACAAATGCGTCAGTACTGCTGAGTCCATACCGGGACGGTGACTGTTGATAAGTCGAATACAAACATGTCGAGGGGAATCTCGCGTACCGTCATTGAGATACAACGCCGCGACTTTAGTGCAGCAGTAATCCACCAAGCCCGGCCCAGCGACGAAACTCGCCATCGACGCGATCGTCACGATATGGCCCTTCTTGGCCTTCAGCATGCCAGGTAGGAATTCCTTGATCAAGATGAAGTGAGAGGCGATGTTGACTTTGAAGATTCGATCGATCCCCTTGGCAGTGCTGTCCATGATGTACGTGCCATTGGCTAAGTAAAGCGTTCGGGCGATGTCAGCTTGGGTGGAATTTCTAAGGGGTCTTCCCGAGCTTTTTTGGAACTGCCATCACACGGGAAGGGAATGCTTACCGATGCCGGCATTGTTGATCAATACCGTAGGATCACCATGCTCTCTGCGGATCGTCTCTGCCGTTGACTCGATGGCTGCGAAATCAGTCACGTCGAGCTGATAGTAATAGACTCCAGGCACTACGCAAATCCGATTTCAGCAAAAGGTCATAATTACCACACTAGACTCCATCAAAGAGAGCGAGTCAGTTACATTTCTTAAGCTCGGCAGGGACAGGGCTGATGTCAATGATCACGACTTTGGCATGCTTGGAGAACGCCTTGACCATCTCATAGCCGAACCCGCTGCACCCTCCAGTCACGACGACCAGCTCAGTCTTTCGCGAGCCATCGAAGTCAAACGGCGCTCCTAACTTCCTGAGGCTCCAATTGTTGAGCGCAAGCCTGTTGAGGGCTTGGTTGACTCGTTTTAGAACTCCGATGATGAGTAGATATCTCAGAGTCTTGATCAGACGCTCGATGTGTCCGGCTGAGAGCCCGCTGTTGTGTAGCAGGTTCAGTAGTCGCTGTCTGTACTCGATGGGAGCACGCGTAAGCGCGAATAGCAGTGAGCCAGTGACGGTCGGCTCGGCAGCGGTGTATTTGATTGCGTTGATCGGTAGTTCGATCGCTCCTCCGATGACCCTGGCGGCGAGTCCTATGGGACCGGTAGTTGCCATGCTTTTCTATAGTGATCGATGTTGAAATTGTCGAAATGAAGGCTTAGAGAGTAGAACACCGCGCCCCCAGGACAAGAGTCTGAAAAGAGGCAGGAAATCAGCACCGGGCATAAGCTGTAGAAAGAAAAAGCGAACAAACAACATCCCCACGACAGGTCGGGGTATGCCTCAGCCGCGGCATTATTATGAGTTCGTCTACTGTACGTGCGCGATTGCTTCCAAGCTGCCTGATGTACGACTAGGAGGCAAAGGTGCCTCGGTCGGAGTCAGTTCCTGCAGCGCAGCGTTTCTGGTTTCCCCACCACCACCAACCCTAGCTCCACTTCCCCGCTTTCTGAAGTACAACATGCGAATCGCCATCCTCAGGCAACCTGCGAAAATGCCCTGTCCTCGCGAGGACGGAGGATGGCCGATGGGGCAGGGCTATGGGCAAGGGGTTAGTTTTCGTTCAGACTGATTCCAGAATACGGAATACCTTCGCCGCATGACCGTCAATCCACGGACTTGAGATGCGGCGAGGCTGAAAGACCTAAGGGGCTTGGTTCGGGCCGGGTATGATTGTAGTTTCCCATTGGCTAATCAAGATGATGACAAGGCTACACTTATTCTGGCAACAAGAGTTACGAAGATCAAGATGGTGACCATATTAATACGAAGAGGTTAAGGATAAAGATCCATTGTTTAGGACGGATTCATTCATCGTGTGGTCTTCTCGGGTTTCCCGACGCCTACTATTCGAGATTGGAAACTAGCTCTCCGCAGAGATATTATTTAATTTCCAAATTTTGCCAAATTGGGGACATCGACAATTTAAAAGCTTTGTTTTTTCTCTATAAATAATCAACGCTGGACGAGGTGGAGGGTGATCATTGCACTCGGCCCCTTGCGCGTCCCGACAATCAGGCTGCAAGCTTCGAGTACTCCTAGCTCCAACTCGTGTTTTGTCAAAACAAGCAAATTGCGCCCAAAACCCCAAAAGCCATACATACCTGTGGCTCCCAATGATTGCGCCATAAAAAGTGTGATGTACCCTAATTACATGCATAGTCAGTTTCAAGATGCGACAGTGGGGTTTGCATTCTTACCGTTGATACGCGCAAACATCTCGGCCCAGCTGGTGTTTCGAGCTATTTCCAAGTGGTATAGCGCGACGATTGCAGAATCATCCACAGCACCGCGACACATTGCACAGCTCGAGCGCGAGTCTTCTTCTAGCTCCCCTGCTTGCTCTAGCGCTTCAATCTTCATCTGTTGCTGCTGCGCAAACCAAGAGATGGCGCAGTGAGAGTGAAATGGGTGCTGGCAGGTCGGACAGACAAACTGAGGGACCTCGAGGACAGTGTTGTCGGTTGGCATGGTGCGTTCTCCAGCACCGCCCTCCTGGTTTGGATCAGAAGTGAGTTCTCCTTGGCAAATCGAACAATCGTGGTGATCGGGTCTTGGGGCGGCCACTGCCACTGAGTTAGCTTCTATCTCTTCAAGAAACCCACTTGCCTGTGGCTCCCATAGATAATCTTTGAGGTACACCGCCGTCCAGGGGAGTTGTGCAACAACTTTGCTGGTCTCCCACAGACGATTGCGCCGAACCCTACTAGCCAACATGCCCATATTTCCAGCCATGAGCGGCTTCTCAAAAAAGAGGTACGCTTGCTCAAGGAATGCCATGACTTTCTCGTCTGCTTCGTGCGAGCTCTTCAGAAACTTGAGGAGCCCCTCCAAATATCTCACCTGGGTTTCAGGGTCCAGTGCAACGCTTGGACATCTATCTGCGTGCCGGATGAACTGGACCCGCGTCTGAGAGTGAAAACGCCACAACTCATCCATGTCTGCCAACACTCTGTCTGCTGAGGCGAGTTTATCATCGGGAAGTACTCGAAGATACTCCTCGAGGAGACCTCTATTCTCAGACATGGTGCGGGGGAACCAGGTGCTGCTGTCCATTGAATTGAGGATGCCGAAGATGCCGTTCATACGTTCTGGATGTCCTGGAATCTCCAGCCCCATCAGTCTAGCGACGCCCTCCAGAGAAGTTTCATCCATGATGATGTCAGGGATGCTTTCCGCCAGAGTTGCGGATGACGGTGATTTATTTGGTTTTCAATGACAACTAGTCACCAGTTGTCCTGAGTTGTTTGGTTGCTATTGAAATGAAGGGTGATCATCTTGAAGCTAGCAGTAAATCGTCGATAGTTAAATACTCTGTCAACAATGGATGCTTGTCCTTGTTGCCCACTGATGACAACCGTTTGTAAGGATTGCGACAATAAAGCCAGCCATGTAAAAAGGTTGAAAGAATTATTTTTCCTGCTCCGGGTACTTTCACCTCTGGGAGGTCACAAGGCCCTTTGAACGGCCAGTACATGAAAGACACCGGTGAGACAAAGGGAAAGGAGGTCCAAGCAGAAGTGGCCCTGAGAAGGACGGGCACTTTTCTCTTGCTTCCATTCACGATCTCTTCTATCGTGTCATGGAAGTACCACGGCATGCGGTTCCACGTTGCGCGAGTCGGCTCGAGCTCTATTTGCCGGATGCTAGGATCAGATCGTCTTTCTTCTGTCATTCCTATCGTTCTGTAAGTCTACGGTCTCAAGAACTGATGTGGTGCGGATAAGGCTTCAATATGGACAGGACTTGGGTTATATCAGATGGAAAGAACGTTCTCCGGCTGCCATCAGAATGCCGGCGTTCATGCTTTGCCGAGTTTGGATCCACCGCAGCGATCGGATGTTCCTCCGGTCGGGTTTTCACCTTTCTTCTTAATCGAGCTGCTAGATCGGTGCACAAAAATTCATCATCTGGATTGCGATAGTCGAAGGCTTGCAATCTAGTATGCTGGAATCGAAAGCATCAGCTACATGGTTATGTCGAGGGCCATTTGACATGCTGGCTCCGCAACATATCCCAGGGTTGTGGATGGTGGATCCATGTTAATGTTGACATCAAATAAACACTAGGCACTTGAGTGCCAGGGGATCTATTTTGTAGTATGTATCGCTAAATTAATTAGCTCATGCTAGCTTCTCAAGGTATATAGTCAAAGACGAAATCAATCCTACCGTCAACGGAGCTATCAGTCGTCCAAGGCTCTACTTTGACCTCTAGATGGACCAACGAAAGCAGTAATAGCAGAGAAATACTGAACCAGCACTGGTTGCACAGCGTGTAGAACAGCCTGACAGAGGTAGAAAACGGCCAAGACGGTTAGGGGTTTGATTCTTGAATTTTTGGCCGTTTGGGCGACGCCCAGCTAAAATCTTATACATTGTTGCACTGATAAGCCCCACTGGCCCGAAAAGCCAGGCTGAGCATGGTGCACCAGCATGTTATTTGTGTCGCAGGACAGTAGGTTCAGCACTCAAACGTCATCCAAAAACCGGTCACTCGGCAATTCACCATCCTGAAGACCCAGCCCGGGCCAGCCCGTCTTCCCACCCACCGTATTGCCCCCGGCCCCATGCATATCCACGACGGGACAAATTTGCCTTGCAGCCATACGCCAGAGCAGGAACTGTTGCGCAAATAGTGGATGGGCTTGAGGTCGCAGTGTATTGACAGCCTGGATGGTGTGTGTCCATGGTTTTCCCAGCGCAGTGAAATGCAAGACATACACGTCCTCGTGGAATATCGACGTCAATGGGTCGATAGTCGCGGGATCATATGTAGTGAAAGCTATCGGGATGCTTTGTGGCAACAAGGTATTCGGGGCTGACGAAAAGGGGAAGGTCGCCGCCGTTTGGTTCTGAGCTTCCTTGCGCTTCGAATGGTGTAGTAAAGCGGGTGGGCTTCCTTGAACTGTTGAACTCACGGTTTTATTCCATGGCAGCTGCACAGGCAGTACGGGTCGATACTGTGTCCACGAAGGTAGCTCTTTAGTCTCCCAGTGGCTGTTCAGAGTGACATAGTTGCCCGGTAAAAGAGCCATCTCACCCCTGAACATCGAATTGATCAGATCCATGTCATACACGTCCTCCGTGATGTTTTTCAGGGAGGAATCCATCCTGGCCCACAACGGTGCCGAGAGAGATACCATGATCATCGCAGTCGTCGCGCCAGGGTCGCCCGAGAACCAATAAGCATGAGCCGCTGCGACCTCGACATTCAATGGGACTTGAGTAAAAACATCGTCCAGCGATTTCAGAATGATTTGATCCGAATCTAGCACGAGGATCCTACGCAACTGCGGTGCCCATTCGAGAAGGTTGAAGCTGACGAGCTTGAGCAGCACATCGTGATAGTAAGGTGAACTCTGCCCAGCCAGTGGAGGTGGTTCGTGCTCGATGATCGTCACATCATACTGCTCCCTGGACCACTCTTTATATGTGTCTGACACGGCCGAGCTCGCTAGCAGATACACAGGATATTTGGTGTGGAACAAATGACGGAGCCGGTGGATATTGACCAAGGCAGAGCAGGCGTAGATATCACCAGTGGCGTAGAAGACGTAGGCGAAATGAGTGGCCACCTGTTCGGGGTTTTGGGCCCCAGCAAATAGATAGAAAGAATGTAGGATTACCAAGAGCAATAAAAGTGCCAGCAAGAGGCTGATTCGGAATAGTGCGCGCATGTCAGGGTCTGCAACACATATATAGATGTCGAGTGAATGGCCTCTGCAAGGGAAGCTCCTTACATATGGTTTCACACAAATAGATCGCCTTGCATAGAAGTACAGCAAGTGGTTGGGCGACTGAGCCACTTGTGGTCCGAGTGTCAAGGATTCTCGGGAATTTGTATCGCGTTCGTCACGCTGAACGATACCTGAGTGAAATATGACTCTTTGTGTAAGAACTTGAAACTGTAGCAACCACAGTCATGGGGCTAGTCAGCCCTCGAAAATCAGGCCATTCATTGTAGATGGTGGCAACCTCAATGATGAGAATTCGTTCTTGGCTCTCCCTTTGATGAGATATGCGGAATACAAGGATGTGCCGTGCTCAATTTGTGCTCAAAAATGGTTGAAGAATACATGATGCAAAAGCAAGGGCAAGGGGTAGGGAAGGAGTAATGGACGGAATGTTTTTCACCGCACAGATTACTCAATATGGAGATGTACTTTTTGCTCTGGTCCACGTTATGCATTGTTTTGGAAGCTCTGTACAGATGAATTCTGGCTAAGAACCTTTTCATGCCAGTAACATCTTGGAAGGATCTTCTATGTATTCCTGGTGACACTGTTATTACGAGGACGAGGAAAGTGCACGGTTGTATGCTCACCTTCACCTTGACCAAGAAGGTCACTGCCTCCCTACCGTCAAGCAAACGATGATCATAAGTCAGAGCAAGATACATCATCTGCCAATAATTAGTCGGCGTTGAATGTGATTGTTCGAGTACTCACAGGTCTTATCTCGATCTTGCCATTGACAACCATTGGCCTCTCTTTGATGGCGTGCAGGCCAAGCACAGCCGTCTGTGGTAGATTGATAATTGGTGTACCCATCATAGATCCAAAGACGCCTCCATTGCTTATGGTGTACGTGCCACCAGCCATGTCTTCAATGGTAAGCTTACCGTCTCGTGCCTAGCGGTCAAGTAAGCCGGACTGCACGTGCAGAGGTAGCTATGGTGGAGTGATGTTACCTTCTTGCCGAGATCGGCAATTTCCTTCTCAATTTCGACCATTTCTAGGCTCTCTGCATTTCGGACGACTGGAGTTACGAGGCCTTTAGGAGTCGCAACAGCTACACTGATGTCGACATAGTCTCTGTAAACGATGGTGTCACCGCCTCCAGGACCCTCAATGGATGCGTTAGCAGCAGGAACGTCCTTGAATGCCAACACGCTGGCTTTCGCAAAGGCACTCATAAAGCCCAACTTGATACCAGTTTTCTTTAGAATTTCGTCCTTGTACTTTTTGCGGAACTCCATTAGAGCCGACATATCGACCTCATTGAAGGTTGTCAAGGAGGCGGCAGTATTTTGAGATTGCTTCAGACGCTCCGCAATTCTCAGTCGCATGCGGTTCATTTTAACCTGTGTGCATTAGCATGAGTCTTAGCAAGCAATAGCTTAGTAAAACTCACCTTGTTCTCGTTCCTATTACCCCTACCGAAAGGTGACTCAATACCTGCTTTAGAATCTTCCGCGGATTTCTCTTGTTTCGGCGGGGCAGGCTTCTTTTCTTCCTTGGGAGGGGCAGGCTTCTCTTCCTTCTTCGGTGGAGGCGGTGCGTCGGCCTCCTTTTCCTCCTTCTTTGGCTCAGGATCCGAGCTCGTTGGTTGTTCGTCTGAAGCGGGGGCTTTGGGTTCTTCCTTAGCCTCTTGTGCGCCACCGCCGCCGCCCTCACCAGGCTCAAGCTTCGCGATGTCCTGACCAACAGTAACAGTGTCGCCCTCGCTAACAAGAAGCTCCTTAATTGTGCCTGCCTGTGGAGCATTAACAGAAACATCAATCTTGTCTGTCTCGATAGAAGCGATTTCTTCGTCCTGCTCCACATAGTCTCCGACTTGTTTCGAGAAGGAACTCAAGGTTCCCTCGGATATGGACTCTGCCATCTGCGGAACCTTGACCAAAGTCTCAGCATAGTTAGCTGGGGAGGTACTGAACTGTTGGAACCTGGATAGAGAAGTGTAGGTAGTTGGTGAAGACAACCGGGAGCTGATGAGGCATTTTTGCCTGGGTGTGGATGATGATCTGAGGAGGGAGAATGAGCGCGGAGGTAGAGAGGAGGCTCGTCGCAGAAGTGCCAGCCCAGAGACCAGCGGAGGTCCATGTCGTAGTCGGAGTGCGGCCATGGTGAGAGCAGGTGTGTAGGGGAGCTGGTCAAAATGCAGAAGAGTGTATGTACCACCAACCAGCCAATGCTCGACAAAAGTGGCGAGCTTAGTGTTCTACCGGCATAGGAGGCGGTAAGTCCGCCCGCTCAAAGAACAAAGGAGAGACGAAGAAGAACGGCACTTTGAGAGGGTGAGAATATGAATGAGAGGAATGAGAGAACTTGGACTTCGTATGGATGGTAGCGGCGGAGAAGGGCAAGCTCTGGAGAGCTTTTGGGGCTCAGGCTGGGCAAAGAGTTGTTAGGCGCAGCTGAAGCGACCGCCACCGGTTGTGGGAAACAGCTGGGTGGCTCCTGCCAACTGGGTATGCTAGTTCCTGCTAGGGAGCTTCCTCCGCCTGCCAAGCCCTGCCTTGTCCTCCTCAAACCTCACTTCCAATCGACTCGCAGGAATTACAGATTCACGTTGCACGTTTGTAGCCTGCCATATTGTATACTTGAACGCCTAAGAGTGAGACGGATCACTTGGTCGTCAACTCCTATATCGACTGAGGACGTTTAAGCTCCTGGTAACGAGCGCGAGAGCGCCTGCGATCCGACACCATGTCCACCGTCACTCCTCATGTCAAAGCGGTCCGGTACTGCTCTTCCATCCTCCTGGTAGCTGCTGATTGTTGACCATCTTTCACAGATCCCTCTATCGGCGGTCTCTGAAGCTTGCCCTCGACTGGGCTGTGCAGCGGAATCTGTGGCGGGGCCAAGCAGTTTACATTCGCTCCCTGTTCGACGCCAACCGAAACATCAATGATCCCAGACACCGGAGGGTATAAACGTCCATTTTCGATGTTTGAAGCTGTCTAACGCGTTGCTGCCAACAGATATTATTCAATGAGACAGAAAAACTATTAGAGAAATGGAAGCATCCTGATCCATACAGGCCACCAACCGCTCCTGGAGGTACATTGAATCCCACTCGAGATGTCGCAAAGATTTATTGACCACTGTATTCCAGGTTCGAAATATGAAAGAAATCTCCCAGCTCCCGATTTGCCCCCGCCATCAAGAGAATTCGTGAAGAGATTATGAAGAAAGCACGGGGAGATGCACTACATTGTGATTGTACATATAACTAAAGAATGAACAGCCAGAGTCAATGGCCAGTTCCAAGCACAAATGCAAAAGCTTGACATGCAATCATTGCCTCCAGGCGTTCTATTCTCAGACACCTGTGCTCTCTGCCCTGCCTTTGGATCATCGCACACTGCGAGGGTTCCCGCCAGGGAGTCGTTCCAATTTGAATGCTACCCGTGCCGCCCGAACTGTGATATCAGGGCAAACCTACTTCACGCTTCCTAGGGAATTGCCGACTGTCCATTACCAATGGCTGAGCTACTCAGTGGCACTATTCTCTCACAAGTTCGATAACCCCGTCTCGTTTTAGATATCGTGTTTTGTAATGCTCGACTAAATGCGTCACGCCTCCTCCAAACCTGAAAACCAGAGGCTCAGAAGCTTTGCAGAATGGAAGAATTTGTTTGATGCTTTGATATGCCATTGACATTGGATCATTTGACTAGACTGCCTTTATGACCCTGGTTGCAGAGCCTGGTGGCCTTGCTTTCGCATTTCCTCATACCCCGTGTTACACTGCTATCCATGATCATGATGATACTAAGCATGGACGTAATGTACAACCCTTAACCGTTAAAGCAAAGTCTGAAGTGGCCCGATGTTTGCCAGGACCAAACCCAACCCCATAACCCCATTGTGCGATTTGCATGTCATGAAAACTCCCTAATACCCGCTCCAGAAACCAAATCAAGCCTATAGCTCTTGGCTGGGGTTCTTGCCCTTGGCAGTCTTCTTGGGCAAAAGGTCTGGAAGGTGACGTTAGTGATGATATTGCATTGGACAAATGGTACTCACTTTGGTGAATGTTTGGTAGAACACCACCTTGTGCGATTGTGACGTGTCCGAGAAGCTTGTTCAATTCCTCGTCGTTTCGAATGGCGAGTTGCAGATGACGAGGGATGATACGGGTCTTCTTGTTGTCACGAGCGGCATTTCCAGCAAGTTCGAGGATTTCAGCCGCGAGGTACTCAAGAACGGCGGCGAGATACACTGGAGCACCAGCACCGACACGCTGAGCGTAGTTTCCCTTTCTCAAAAGACGATGGACACGACCGACAGGGAATGCGAGACCGGCCTTTGAGGATCGTCTGGACAAGAGTTAGTATGAAAATGGACAGGCACAAATCTCAAGACGCGTCATCCGGATCTAATCAAGACCCAGACCAAGCCACTCTGAAGGTGTGCGCACTGCAGAGGGAACTTACGATTGAGCGCTCTTGGAGCCAGAGGCTTTGCCGCCAGATTTTCCGCCAGTCATTTTGAAAGTTGTGGTTGAGTTAGAAGGTGGGACTTGAGGGTTGAGAATTGGGTCTGAGTAGACTGGTAGATGAGTAAAGTAAAGCTGGGTTGAGGATGGATGAACAGAAAGGAGAAGGGGGAAGCGTTGACGAAGGGTGGGAGGGAAGCAAGTTATAAGAACATGGGAAGGCGGCGATGCGGGCAGTGGGTGAGCAGAGTCGCGCCTCTAGATCAACCCTGCATTGCAGTTGGGGCTGCCGGGATGGAGGATCACAATCAGAATCAGAATCACAGATTATTGGATCAGGGCATGGGTGGCCGCCAATCACAGCACACGTTAGTGAATGATCAAAACTGACCTTTCTGTTGTGTTTTACAATACCGCCCTTGGTTACGCCGCATGACGATAATTTACTGCCAAGAGACCTGATCCTGCAACATGACTGGACTAAAAGTGCTCAAAAACGACACGATAACAATACACGCCAAAAGTGATCCAAGCCCGTTACCCAGATCAACCCGCTCGCGCTGCCTGCAAGCACTCGCCCTCTGATCAACCCACACCTCCATCTCCCATTTGCGCCTGTTATAAGAGTATCCATCATCCGCACTTCGCGTCTTCCTCTTTCTTTCCTCTTCATCCATCCACATCCCGTCACTTCTCATCGCACTTTACTCTACATCTCAAACCACTTTTCATCCCTCATACATCTAAATCTCCGCGTTTTCGCATCTCCAATCTATCAAAAATGCCTCCAAAAGCCGCTGAGAAGAAACCCACCACCGGTGGCAAGGCCCCGGCCAAGGCTCCTCCTGCTGAGAAGAAGGAAGCCGGAAAGAAGACTGCCGCAGCACCTTCTGGCGAGAAGAAGAAGCGTGGAAAGACGAGGAAGGAGACCTACTCTTCATACATCTACAAGGGTGAGTCCTAAGTCGCGTTTGGTTTTCGCATCCATCATACTCACGCGTCGTTCTAGTCCTCAAGCAAGTCCACCCCGACACTGGTATCTCCAACCGTGCCATGTCCATCCTGAACTCCTTCGTCAATGGTAAGTCGAATTCAGTCCAACTATGTTTGCCTGTTCTGACTTCCATTTCAGACATCTTCGAGCGTGTTGCCACTGAGGCTTCCAAGCTTGCCGCATACAACAAGAAGTCTACCATTTCTTCCCGAGAAATCCAGACCTCTGTCAGACTCATCCTGCCTGGTGAGCTTGCCAAGCACGCCGTCTCTGAAGGCACAAAGGCCGTCACCAAGTACTCTTCCCAAAGCAAGTAAAGTAACCTAGTGCATGGAAGGGGTTCCAAATGGGGATGATTACTTGGTTCTTGGGTTTTCGCGTGGGTGATTTCATTATGCAACGGGGTTGAGGCACAATCGGACAGGTGTTCTAAATGGGTTTTGAAGAACACAATTACTTATGATGCGTCATGGGAATGGGGAATCAACTTGATGAGCGCAGTCCATGGACATGGATCTGCTTTCTCGTCAAATCATCAATCATGGTCATGCTTTTTTACAGCTTTCAGAGCTTTTGTTTTTCATCATTAACAATGGTGGGAATATGTACACTTATTCACCAGGCTCAAAGCATGACAGCACAAGCATATTCCAGCTCTGCCGTGATTGAACAGGACTGGATATGATCACATAAATCCAAAGCATGAAATCAAATGACTCTATTTCCGTTTTCTGTTTTTCATTAATGCACTTGATACTATCAGAGCAAGAACTTGCTCGTCGGTGTCCATAGTGGCAGTATCAGTCTGAGCAGAGTGTCAATTCCGTGCGAAATGCATTGTTGTGGTACGCGTCAACATCGAAATTGCACGCTAGTAGAGCGAGCAGTTACAGGACCTTCGGCGTGGGACGCGAAGCAGGTCCACCACTGGCAGCCAAAACATTCCAGACGGATGGTTGGGTGGGGAGAGGTACGTGAGGTGAACCCAGAACCGCTGCTGCGGACTCTTCAAGAACATTTCTCGTGGAAATGACTGATATAAAAAAAGACAGGAAGGATACAAGGTAAAGTAGTGACGGGTTTAGGCAGCGATGACATGTCATTCTCAATTGTATTGCGAGACGGCGTGCCGCATATCCCCGTACCCATTGGGGTATAATATATCGTGTTGGAAGTCTGCAAACACCATGAAACCAATCAACCCAATGCGATTCCCGGTAAAGCCATTATAACCATCATTCATGACGTCTTCGTCTCTATATTTGTTGGAGCATCGGGCACAGGCGGGTCTCCCGTTGCAGGTACCTGTGGAGGCTTGATCGATCCCAACGATACCTCTTCCTTACCTGTTACTGTGACCGTCTCGTCGTCTTCATCTTCATCTTCGTCATCGAATGTTTCCACCTCATCTACCGCCTCTTTTCTCTCCTTCGTCTCGCCAGGAACAGGCGGCTCTTTTTCATACACATTGACGATCGCCTTGCCCTTGACTTCCTTCAGCCTTCTCTTCCAGTCCTCCCAGTCTGTTTCGTCCTTGATTAGAAACCCAATCAGCATGCTGGGATCCATCTCCGAGATCCGCAGGCCGCGCAGTCGCCGTGTATGGCAGGTTGCGATCTCCTCTTCAGTGTAGTCTGAGGCATTTGAGTGGAAAGGGAGAGACGGGCGGGTCTCGTGAGGGTCGAGATAGAAAAAGATATCCCCTTGGCAGCCGATGAAGTAATGCGAGGAAGAGGGACGTCCACCCGCTATGCCAATTGATTGCGGGTATGTAAACGCACTCTTAAGCGCTTCGTGATAGACAGGTGTAATTCTATCTAGCCCAAGTCTAATGCCCAGGAGGATAAGGGTCGGTTTGATGATTCCATCAGTTGCGCTGGTGGCGGCTATAGTACGAAATCGATCTTCATAAACTTCTGATGCTGAAGGGGTCACGTACACTCGTAGGCCAGCGGCAGCACATTCTGCAGAGAGTTCCTTGATGCAGGAAGCTGTTGCCGATGGGCCAAACCATTGGCCGGGGTGTTTCCCACAAGCGGAGGCGCCGTGTTGGACAAAGCGATGGATAGAGAATGGAGCTTCAGGGGAGTCAGCAAACAGGGAGAGAATGTAGGCTTCGGTTTGCATAGAGGCAGACGAGGAAGTGGGTGGGGCAGGAGGGGTGGTCGCTTGAGGTCGCCTCCAGTCACGGCCGAGTTGGAGCACAATCAGGGCGTTTGCCAGGAGCGATTGTCCTGATCGAATCATGCACCCCCAACCCGTATCACTGCTGAACCCTTCCCGCTCCGTCAAGTTGCGAAGTCGGACTGAAAACGACATAGAGGAGCTGGAAGCAGGATCTTGTGAACGAGGAATCGGCGTAAAGTTGGAACGATACGTCATCCATATCCGAGACTCGAAGTCGTCAAGAAAGGCATGCGGCCACCCACCATCAGTAGGATCATTTGATAACGAGGGGAGGTCATGACCAGAGACATGCTGTGCATCATCAAAACTGCCACTGCTAGTGTTTTGAGTCTGCTGAGGTTGTAGATCAGTTGCAGTGGATTCGCTCGCTTCCGACGGGTCGTGGGAGTCGTTGGATGACTCGACCTCCACCACATCATCATGGTCTGTAGTATTTACTGGCTTCGTTGGCGTGGATTTGTACTCATTCCCCAGTAGCCAGACCGGAGTGCCCGACATATCATCATATTTGGGCGGAGGGTCATAGAAATAACGCACGAAGCGTTTGTAATCGACTCCATTCATGACGCCCTGAACCGGGAGGGTCTGCAGGGTAGTGGACAACGCATGCAGCAGGTCGATGGGATTGAGTTGTTGCTGATTTCTATCAGACGAAATGCCCTGCACCAAGATGTAGGTGGTTTTCTCTCCGGTTAAACTAGATGACTCTTGGATTTCGACGCTCGGAGGAGTGTAACCTGGGGCGGTCAGTTGATGGTGGTGGTAAATGAAAGCTCGAAAGGTTTCCAGGGTGGAAAGCCGTTGCGAGGACAGGGAGGAATAGGGATGGAGAACCAGTAGTTGACTGTGGTAATGATTCAGTGCTCGTAGATGGAAATGATAGAAGTAGACTGATGGTGCTGGTAGAGCCCCGAGTCCGTTTGGCTTGCGGTTGATGATGGCAAGACGTCAGCCTTGCGGGCGGGCAGCGAGGCGCCTATTGACGGAAGAATAAGTTGATCCAGAGGAGACACATGGCCCGCACTAGTAGTTGTTAGCGCCTGCTCTAGCGCTGGCTTGGTAACGACTAGAATCATTTCCGGCAATTTTGATCGTCATTGAAGCACTGCAGGTACTCCGTGCAGTCCAGTCCGTATTCACCTCTTCTGCAGATATATGGGACTCCTGAGTCACAGTGGCAACAAGTACTAGGCGATATTCAATGATGTGTATCAGTACTGAGTACTTGTCTTGGATATCCATCCATATTCACTTGCCCACAGATAAATAAAAGGCCTCTCGGTTGCCCATCCGACAAATTATCCAGACTCTGAACCACAACCGCCATCGACCAACCCCGCCAAATGGGGGCACGACAGCGAGCTGCTGCTCGGCACAGCAAGAGAGGCGGTCAGAAGGGGTCGCCGTGGTCTCAAAACCATTCCAACCCTTCCGTCAAAGGTACCTTTCCTCCATGAGTTGAAGCCACGAATACTGATCCGTCATCTTTCCAATGAAGACCTACACCCCAATCTCCGCCATCGAGCTCTCCTATCAGACTGGCTGGACCATTCAGACTCCAGCTCTCCTCACCCTCGCAATGGATTTAGCATGTCCCAGGAGGCCCGTAACACCGAGCGTCACGCCAATGGTTGGGGTGACACAAAGCTGAGAGATCACAGAGTCATCTTCGTCAGTGCGGGCAACTTGACCCGTCAAGAGCCTGAATTGGCTAACGACACGGAACAAAACCTTGTGGAAAACGAAGCCGTCAAAGACTCTCCAGAAACTCGACAAGACACTCTGCCCGACCTGGAAGATACCTTAGAAATCACCGAACACCTTGGAAAGGCAGCGCTTTCGGACCCGGTCAGGCAGGAAGTCGATAAAAAATCCCAGAAGCAGCCTGTCTCTGAGTCTAAGAAGCGCAGGGAGTCATCGTCATCAGAGTCCTCAGAAGAAATCATATTTGCTGGTCGTCTGAAATCCAACTTGACCCCCAATATTCCCTCATCACCATCTTCCGTGCCCAGCCGTTCCCCTCTACGGAACCCAGAGTCTACAGTTACCGCTGCTCAACCAGCTAGCCATCCATTGGCGCAGGTTTTTGCACCGCCAAACCCGGTAGCAATACAGCTGAGACGAACAGTGGACAGACGAGGCAGATCACTCATTCGAAACTCTATCTCAAATGACGAAGAGGCCATCATGGAGGACTATATTGCAAATATGGCCATCGATGATGATGATGATGATGATGATGATGAGGACGAAATTCAGCCAGGCCCTGCCGGCAGGACCAACGAGCATTACAGATTCTATGATAGCTCAGCAGAGGCGAATATGAAAGTTCAAACAATGAACCTCGGACCAAATCCCCGTCCCTCTCGCCGTATCGACCAGGCCATCGACTGGGATTCATCTGATCTTGACGACTTTGATGATTTGAGCACCACTGATGATGAGGTCAATGAAGTCTCTCAAGTTCTTCGTCACAGAACACGTCCGGCTGGCTCCCAATACCTTGTGACCGCGGTAGGCCACGGCGCAAGCGATGCGAAGTGGGTGCTAAGGCAGAAGCTGACATCCCACTCAGCTCTCGCTGAGATCCGTATTTATGAAGAGATCCGTGCTATGAAAGTGCAAGAAACCAGTGGCGATACCGATTTGGACGACGATGATAGTGTCGGCGACGTCCTTGATGATCTGATTGATGATGTTGAATCCGAGGACGATGAAAACAACCGCATCATGAAGCATACCGCTCGCATGACAGATGAGCAAATCGCTCGTGCTCTGGCTAAGCAGGAAGAGCTGGGTATGGGTGGAGATGAAATCCTGCTATTTAATGGGCAGGTCGATGGTGGTGGTGGTGATGACGAAGATGAGGACGACGATGACGAGCTCGCAAGCGCCGCTGACTTCATACCATTCTCTTTAAAGAAACATATTTCGAACCGGGCCAAATCTAAGCGCAATAGACGAGGGCGAGACACCTTCCCCCCTGCTGAAGCATTCGCCGATGCTTTGGAGCAAGACCCTTATGGAGCGTTCGATATTATGGACTTCGACCGACCCAGTCTCCGGCCTAAGAAGAAGGGGCGCAAGGCCGATCTTCCATTCGAACTTGGCACAGATGACCCGGATTTGGAAGCACAACTTCGAAACTCCTGGAACAAGGACCGTGAGAAGAAGGCGTCTAGGAAGCGCGAGAAGATAGCAGAACGGGAAGGACTTTTGCTCGAGTCTGCAGAACGCAGCAGCCCCGCTGCCATCAAGGCTGAGATCAGACAGTTTCTGATACAGGAAGGTGACACCTTGAGGCTTGCTCCCATGGACTCTGCCTTGCGAGCTTCCGTGCATCGGCTGGCCAAGGCACTCAAACTACACTCTCGGTCGGAGGGCAAAGAAGGTCAAGGTGCAGGGCGATTCCCGGTGTTGACCAAATCCCCCAACACCCCAGTCTATACCATCCACACTGTTTGGGAGATAGATGCCTTGCTGAACACAAGAAAGTTCTTTCCGAGGCATGGTGGCGGCTCTTACAGAGGACCCAACGCACCTCGCACTCCTGCCGTGAGAGAACGGAGAGGGGGTGGGGGTGTGATGTCTGGTGCGACCTACATGAATGGTGAGGTCGTCGGTGCATCTGCTCCAGAAATCGGCTCGGATAACAAAGGTCGGGCAATGTTAGAGAAAATGGGTTGGTCGAGTGGCATGGGCATCGGTGCTGTTGGTAACAAAGGAGGTATTGACGTTATCAAGCATATTGTAAAGACGACCAAAGCTGGTCTCGGTTGAGCCAGACATTTGCTGTTTGCGACAGGTTTATGTTTATCATGTGTACCAGCGACATTCATCCAATAGTAGCTAGCTGCGTGAGGCTCTAATGCCCATATGCATGGATACATGACGAATCCACTGCGGTGTGTTTTCTCGAAGATGGGGAATTGAATGTAGATTAATCGACGTGCCAGGGCTTCTTGTCCGTGTGTCTCCATTCCGTTGCTTCTCTCCGTGTTTAATGATATTCGAGGTGGTGTGGTCGTTGGTCGCTGGCTGCGACGTCATCCCAATTCTCCAACTGGATATTTTTATTCGAATCTGAACTCTGTTTGGCCACACCACCAATTACAACATTGCAAAGACGACCACCTTCCTGATCCCGACGCCGTTTTAGAGGAAGTCTGCTTCACCTACGAACATGAATACCTAAACTACTACCAGTCACGTTGGCGCTCTAACTGTCACAATGCATGCAACGTCCCTGGCACAAGGTGCATCGGCTGGACTGTTCAAAACAGCACACCCCCAGAAGCCAGCGGACCGGACACCAAACGATGAGAATAATAATACTCGGTGCAGGTGTGGCGGGGATTGCATCAGCAATTGCGTTGTATAAATGGAGCCATGAGCCACCTAGCATCACTGTCGTCGAGCTTCGGCCAGAACCGTCCCCAATCGGAGGTGCTGTTGGCCTGACACCAATGCTCTTCGCTGCCTCCACCACCTGGGCGTCCTAGCACATATTTGCGAACAACTGTACGGGATCGACATCGAAAAGATCGAGCTTTTCACCATCTACACAGGAGCACGACTGGGGCAGATCTCCTTCGCCAGAGAAAAAGGTGACGGCGTTGGCACACCTACATTTAAAGGGCTGAGAATAGTGCGGGCAGACTTACTGAAAGCATTACTGGAAACTGCCATGTCACTCGACAATGTCGAGGTAGAGTACGGGTGGAAAGCAACACAGGTGGAGGAAAATGAACAGAAGATAACGGTCAACTTTGACAACGGAAGAAGTTTATCGGGGGATTTATTGGTAGGCTGTGATGGCATACACTCCTTTGTCAGGTCTGCCCTGGTGGACCTCGAGCGAACACCAGTCTACACGGGCATCGCCACAGTCTGTGGGTTTGCAGAACTCGCTGACAAAACCGCAGTGCCCTGGCAATACACTGGGCTCTGTCAGTCGCAACGTGGAATGCTGATGACTCCCTACTTCGAGCTATCACGGAAAAACAATTCATTGCAGGAGTCATGGAGACTGGAGATGTTGTTTCGAGAGAAGGTTGGAGAGCCCAAGGGCCGAACAAGAAAATATCAAGAAAAACGTCCAGGATCGATTTGGCAACACTGAGGTCAAGTTCCTCGATCCACTGATCGAGGCGACCGAACACTGGTCACTGTACCCTCTCTACAAGCTTGCACCAAAGGGAAAATGGGCGTCGAAACGAGCAATACTGTTAGGAGACTCTGCGCACGCCATGCCTCCACAGGTTGAAAGTACAGCACATGCAATTGAAGACGCCATTGTTTTCGCCCGGATCCTAGAAAAGCATCAGCCAAGCGACATGGAAGCAGTCCTCGACGCGTATCAAAAACACAGAAGAGAACGCATAGACGCTGCATATGACGAGTCTGTATGGGGCTGGGAAACACAAAAGGACTGTGGTTGGTTTAGTTTCTTCATGAAATCTTGGATCTCGTCAGGTTATTTGTGGTGGACGGCTTCGGCGAGACAGAAGCGATACACAGAAGATGTCGGATCGATTGACCTAGACTAAAGGGCAACATGCCTGGCATGACAACGTACATATCCACGATGAACATACTCAGTAGACAGACCATAATATCGATCGATCCGGAGAATACATAGTAAGTAGAGTTCTTAGCGATAATGGATAGGCTGCATGCGTTGGGTCCATATTCACAGAGAAGGGCACTGCGGATGAGTATGATGTAATGTATTGAGATCTAACTTCCCACTGATGGTCCCTTGTCCGAGAAATGATGTGTAGAGAGAGAATGGGTTGGTTGGTTGCCTGAATCTTGTTCTCGACAAGTGGACGTTCCGTGTGCTTGTTCAACGGACTCCCCACAAAAGTGGTTCGCCCGATTTTACCGAGATCTTGCTCGTCAATCTGGGTGAAGCCTGTTGGCGGTCGTTTCAGAACATAGGCTAAGCCAGGTATATTTTCCAACTCGCAAGATTTCAGGACCATATCATCATATCATATCCCACGCCTTTGAACACATGGTGGCTTCAATTTTAAAAGCTGCTGGCCCAATGCTGGATGACAAGATTCACTCACTCCACCGTGCGCACTGCGTTCAAGTGTGTCTTGGTGGTGCGACTGATCGTCCAAGGGTTACTTTTGCCGTCTCGCCGTATGAATTTCGCTTAGATGCAAGCGACATCGGGTTCGTCGGTTGAGGAGCAGGTATAGTACCTTGTTGTACATGCCTGTTCGCTGGCCATCGACATCAGGCCAAACCGAGGGACCAAGACACTTAATACTATGTACAGTCAGTATATTATATACATTGTCACTTCCTCCATCAGATTCCAAAGATTGTAAGCTGCCAGTCACTCCTTCACTCGTCGATCGAGAGCCATCCGTTGTCTTCAGTCGTTCGTTACTACACTCTGTCGAGCATCACATTCCCTATTTCTCCAAAATCCATAAAGACGCCCTAGCCCACTCCGCTCAACATGCACTATACAGACAGGTTCCTTCTCTTTGCAGTGACCGCCGTTGCTTGTCCGGCCGCAACGATAGCCGCACAGGGCTCTTGGGAACAATGTATGTATCGGGTTCCTACTACGACGCTCGGTCATCTCTAATATGATGCAGGCGGTGGCTTCAGTTGGACCGGCAGCACCATATGCCAGGCAGGCTGGACCTGCATGGTCCAGAATCCATGGTATTCGCAGTGTTTGCAAACCAACAGTGGCCCAGACCCAGTGACATCTTCACCACCGGCCCAGCCAGTCGCCTCTAGTTCACCTCCACTGGCAAATACCAAGACTAGCTCCAGCAAGGGCCCAACCTCGACGAGCCCTGCTACCGGAGGCAATGGTATCCCATATAAAGCATCTATCACCCACTACGGTGCCGGCGACACCTTCGGTTCTCCAAACTGTAACACCAACACAGCAGCGTGTGCCTTCTACACCTGGCCTGGCTTCAGTGCTGCCGTGAGTGAGAACCTCTATGGCGTTGGTCCCGGTGCTGGCGCTGGCCCTGCTTGCGGTACATGTTGGAAAATTACTGGTCAAACAGACTCGTCTGGTAACCCGTTGAGCAACGCCGGAACAAGCGTGGTCGTCATGGTCAACAATCTGTGTCCCAAGCAAGGAAATCCGCTGTGCTCCCAGAGTGACCTGAGTGACACTAACCAATATGGTGCGAACGTCAACTTCGACCTGTGCAGTGACAGTGGTGCTCAGGCCGCATTCTTCGGCAACAATGGTGTGGGGCTCGCTATTGGCACTGCGATTCAGGTTGATTGCTCGCAGTGGTCAGGCACAATCGTCCACTAGAGAAGACTACATACATACATAGTATATGTAGTATACACAGCTCGGCTGGAGATGAACTTACTATATACATAGTTACTACTATGTACCATGTATCTAGTCTACTTGCCCAGTTGAAACTACTAGTACTATATAGTACTTACTATACTATGAACTAAGGAGCAGTGCAACGTCAAGCTACCACCTTCAAAAGGGGAGCAGCTACCCCATAGGGGCCCTTGCCCATCCATGCAATGGCAAGAAACCATTCGCAAAAAGAAGCAAGTGTCGCCATGTAGATATGTAAATATCATGGTGGGATTAAGCCGCCTTACGATGTGTTCTAGCTTGTGGCAAAGAGCATGGAACGCGTCTAGAAACTCAAAGCCAAAAAGGCTAAGCTAGATGCTAGGGCGTAACTGATCGAGTTGAGTAGGTAAGCGGAGTCGTCTCGCCTGCGAACTCCCAATCCTTCAGCGGCTTGTTGCTCTATCGATGACTCTCGACTTTATTGTCTATAATGCATGCACCTGATCCCGGCTAGTCTTAACCAAAACCCACCTATACGACTGGAGACTGAGGAGTACCTCGACTTCATCAGGTCAAAGGAGGCGATCGACGTGCAACTGCACATATCGCGATAAAGAAGCCTTGCCGCAAATTAGTATACATAGGTGATGAGGCTGCACTACTTACATAGTAATGTTTCGAAGCACGGACCCCGTGCCTGTGAACTTCTGGACCTCGAGCGCTACAAGGCATACCCTCAACCTTTCATAGTTCTTGGCTCACAACCAAATTTGACATCTAGGTCATGCGAACCGTGCGGGGTTCAACCATGCCGGGAAGCTGAAGAATAGAAAAAGCACGGTGATCCGACCTGATTGTGAGCTCCAACTTCTAGACCTGTCGCAAAGCTGGTTCATTTTCACATGAAGCTATGTACCTGTATTACCCGCGAACGAAAAACCTAATTGCCATATACGGTTTGATCCTAGAGGGTGAGCGATCGCCGCCTTAACCTAAGTTTTAACTGAGCCATTAGCTGAGCTCACTGAGCACTTCCTGAGCAGCACAACTGAGCTACAAGGAGGGGCCCAAGCCGGCCCCCGGTTATACTTGCCTCTCAGCTAGGCACCCGTTTTAGACCATCGCCCGGGAGCCTGGCAGATGCCCTGCCCTTACGCTGCTGCCTCTAGCTTAAGTAAAATGGTAGTTTCAGGCACCTCTTTCGGCGCCTGGAGATTTGCGCAAACCTGTTAGCGCAGCATTCGGGCACGTCAAACAAGCTGGGCCTCCCTGGAAGCGACGCGTTGCAGTTCGCTAGATGACGTCAGGTCCAGGCACGACACGAGGCACCCCGAGGTTCTCGAAAGGAATATCGCATTCCAACGTCACAAACAGCTTGTTTGTGAGCCCCCGTTACAAATTGTAAGGGCAGCCATTCGTAGAAGCGACAACGGCTTGAAGCGTGCCTCGACGACCACGACCTCATCGTCTGATTCGCCATCCTAAAGCCCTCGCACCATACAAATCATCATCATCGGTATCGAATTCGAGGACAGGCCCTAATCAATAGTAAGTTCGTGCCTACTAAGTTTAGCCAATCTTTGGCGTTTTGAATCCAACAACGACCGAGTAGATCGGCGAGGTATACGAGGCTGGTGTAGAGGAAGTCGACACCGCCCCCTGGTCGAAATTACTAGCCACCAAAAGGGCCTAATGGCTCAACCGACCAGTCGACAAGATCGAGGAGAATCTGCAGCAGTTTCTTCGGTACTTCGCCAGCGAGCCGATCGATATCCAAGGGTCGTCGTCGTCGTCGTCGTCGTCGAATGACCCTGCTGTGGTGGGCATGAAATATAGTCAACCGTATGGAGTGGTTGGCGCCATGATACTCACCGTCAAATAGGGCTCGGTCCTGGTGGCGGAGAGTAACCTGAAGGTTGTGACGCCCAAGCTGGGTGGCAAGTCCCATCTGATCGTCTTTGGGGGCTCGAACCTCACAAATACCGGCAACCGCGACCGATTTAGCACCCACGTGATCAGCGGTTAGCCCTGTATGGCGAACTCGGGGGTGTACCTACAAGAAAGCCTTGCGAATAAGTTTCTGGAGATGGTGAGTTACGACCTTTGTGTGGCCATAATTCATATTATGACCATCCTTCTAACTCTCACAGCGCAGATAAAGGCCGGAAAGGCTCGGATCGGGGCCAGTGGCGACCCGTTGGCGGAGATACCCTTCGCCTCCCTCAAACGGACCAGACGCACGAGCGAACAAGTGCTGAATTTCCTGCACATTGCATGCAAAGACGGTCTGAATGTCTCACTCGGAGGTTAGTCAGAATATAAGCTGGGCTACTACATCCAGCTAACTGTCGTCTAGAAGGCGGTCGAGAACAGCAGGCTAGTTAAGGAAGAAATCTTCAAACCTGTGGTCTGCATCAACCTTCACTAGCGAAGCCGATGCAGTGAAAGACGACCATTAACACCGAATATGGCCTCTATCGCAGCGTCTCCACCATTGACGTGACCTGAACGTTAAGACTGTCCAAGAAATTGTGGGTCAGAACCGTGGGTAACAACGTTACCAGCCCGATCATCACTATCGGCTTAGTGTTTGGCAGATGGAAACAAAACGGCTATGGGAGGGAGACTGGGCAACACTCGTTGGAAGCATTTGTTGAACATGGTACCATCCTGACACCATTCTGACAACATTGAATGATTGTCGTATGACGCGTAGAGATAACGTTACGTCTGCGCCTAGAACAGGCATTCTATGGTCTAGCGTTCTATCGAGATGGCACTTCAGATAACACTTCGGATAACACTTCGGATAACACTTCGGATAACACTTCGGATAGCACTTCAGGAGACAGATTTAGACAGACTGAATAACAGACCATGTGTGTTAGAACCTCCACTGAGTAGGCACTGGACAATGTGTAGACCGAATACAATCGCTATCCGAAGGTCTGCAGTACAACAACTCAACGCTTGAAAGTCAAAAGAGTCAGACCTCACCCAATTCAAGTAAGCAAAGACTCTTATAGCTTCCCCTTTTTGTCACGTGAACCTCGTCCGTATACACTCTATCTGGTGTATGCCTGAGCGCCTGAAATTTGACATTTCCTCTGTAGCCACAGAGGCACATCCCTTCATTATACCTTCCTCATCCAATTCGGGTGGGAGAGGTATGACTGCCTGATTCGTGATAATGTGTTATACCTTCTAGCGTCCCTGTCGCTCTGATTGCTTGTTCGATGTATTCTCGGACAACTTCCTGCTTAGGCTCCAGCGTCTTGATGTTTTGCGTCTGGCATTTGCGCAGGGTCTTGAACGCGAACTTAGAAATGCGCTTGGTGATGTTCACGAGGCTTCCATGCCCGTCCGGAACATGGGACCCATGATCACTGTTGGACTAAGATGTCAATTTGCTAGGCTCTGCGCCAAAGAGCACGGGGCTGGTTTTACTATTTCCAAAATTCGTCTTGCCTAGCACGGCAAAGTACAGATGGGGTCGGCCTCGTTCTCGTCGCATCTGTCGCGCAAGTTATCTCATCGGCTCTTGAGCTGTACTTGGGGCGAAAGGAGGTGTTGAAGCTGGTGGCGCAGGCAATGACATCAACTGGAATGCTCTCGCTTCCGGTCGTCACAAGTCCTTCCGAGGGCGGGGGTGGGGTTCTTCACTATGCCCTCTGTAATCATCTTGATATTGCCTTTGTGCAGCGCCTCCAGATACGCGGTCGAAGGCGCCAACCTCTTGCAATCAACAGGAAAGTCAGGGATGAGAGTCTTAGCTAGGTGGTTGTCGTGGTCGAGCTCGCTTGCCATGATTTGTTTCATCTTTACCTTTGTATCACAGGCTTTTTGGTTACTATTGATCAACTTTGGGAATGGTCAGTTGTGGTAGCCTTGAAATGGGAGCAAAAAGAGGTCGCGCACCACTTTGCACTTGTCATTGAATGCTCTATCTGCATTCTTAGCCCATTGATGGTAGTTCTCCAAGGCTTCCTTGAACAGTCGTATCTGTTTTGGCGCGAACTTATTGCCCTCGATGGACGCTTTGTCTAGTAGCGCTTGGTCGCCAACCTGCGAACATATCATCTCCCAAATCGACGGGATCATCCACGTGGATAAACGAAGCAAATCTGTCAGTTGTTTCACCATCGGGCAGCGTTAGGACAATATTTTCGGATACACAATGACGATTTAGTATGGTGCCCGACTTACTGGGCTGAATCTCGGTGACGATTTAAACGTTGGAGGAGCCATTTCCGATCCCGGCAACCCTTTTCTCGGCGATATCCAACTCCTTGGACAAGTTCCCCTGGGAAGCTATGCAGACTCTCGATATCGGGCCATTTCTACTTACTGTTGCTGCCAATGACGAAATTGAGAGGCCACCTACTTTTGGACCCCCGAGTGGCATCGAGCATAAAGTTGCACCGATTTTGCACGGTTTATCCGATCTTCAAGTTCACGACCCTGACGCATCATTTTCCTCCGTCTTCGTTCTATTCTGCTCCGATGACCCGATGTTCGATTCTGATCGTATCCCACATTTTCTCCCTGCCAATGATCTTCAGTACTTGTGGATCGGGGGGTGGAGGGGCGGGGGTCCGGTAAAGAAGACTGTCCTGTCGGTCCAGTCGATTTGGTAGTTGTGCGAGGGGACGTCGCATCGACAGCCTGGATATCGACTCTCGAACCAGATTCCCCCTATTCCGGCGTTCTTGTTGCGTACGATGTGCTCGACAATGTCTATATACACTCGTATATCTTGGGCTATGTTGATTCCTGTTACGACCGTAACACGTAAGCAAGGCTGAACAATGTCATACCTCGATGACTATCGATCACGGGTATGCAAGAGGGATGAAACAGTATACTACCCGGAAAGGAATGCTTCCGTACGGATCAGGAAGATCCCGGTTTCAGCATCGACAGCCTTGCTGTTGATACGGTGTACATATACTACGAGGCAGCCTCCATCATGTCCTGACCTCTTTCTTCCTTCTCTAGTTTAGTCTCCTAGTATAGTGCTGTCTACAAAGAAGGTCTACCCTTGCGTTTTGTACGAGCCGTAACATAAGGTGGATTTGTGGGGTTTCCTTATAGGGATCTACAATCCTTCTATTCATTGTTGGCGGCGAGGAGCCGGACGGCAAGGATATTTCTGTGGTCGCAGCGGAACTGGGAAGCAAGCTTCAGGAGGAAAGGTCCTTCTGGACTGCCGGGGACGGTGATGTAGTGGCTGCGGCCTTTGCCACTGGTTTGATTTAGCCTGACTGTACTGATGGATGTGCCAGCAGCGGTTTCTGTTTGCTAACGTCTCGCGTCCGGTAGCCACTATTCGGTGACAAATGAACCGGAAGAAGTCACATGTTCCGTCCTCCCCGTGGGTACTCCAGAATTTTGCTTTGCGTTCGTCCACGTCTCTCGTGGTAGATATGAGCTCACCAGCTTAGATATGCGGCTTGGTAGAGTAGACGCCGAGTGCAGAGGTTGTGTTCTGCCGAGCTCGGGGCGACTCCAAACTTGCGGTGTCTGACCTATTGAACACCGTAAAGTAGCTGTGCCAGTCTCACTGTGCGCTTCAACGAACATTGGCAGTATTATTACCCCCAAATCCAGATTGCGACAATGCAATGGAGGTCCGAAACCCTTCAAGATTGCTTTTTACCATGATCCGGAAGACTATGTTGATCTCAGTAATACGAGTACGTCTGCCTGGGTGATGTGAAATTTTGCTTCTCGGGGACGCGGTCGGACACATAGTGTCTATTCAAGCTGTTGTCGGTCATGATCGTCCGGACATTGTCTTTGTTTGTTGTCTATAAACCGATATCTAAACTATTAGCATCTTGCTGTTGAAGTGTAATATGACTCTCCGGCGTACTCGCCTACTGGTGCAGTTCTGGGATTGCCACGGCCCTCGACGTGAAAAATGAGGCCGATTTCCAGCCTGAGGCATGACGGAGAATTTAGACACGACTCTACTTGGTGCCAGGCCGTCGGCGGGACTTGGCCAGTAATGCAGCTGTCGGGCTGAAGTCGAGACGGACATGATCCCTTGCGGCTCGAGCATCCCTATCCGCTGAAAAGAACCTGGATTTCTTCATCTAAACAAGTTTGTAGGAGGAATGTGATCCTCAAGGCTTCCTATATAGAACAGACACTTTACGACTATGGAGCTGTTCATCTTGTCTCCTATTCTGACCGTGCGCCAGAACGTTTACTTTCCTCCATAGCTGTGTCCAGCATCTCCCGAAACGCGAGGAAACGCGCTTTAGCCGATACCCGATCCTCCAGTGTCAAAGCTTCGTGTATCTTTGTCGAACTCTGAATCAACTTCTCTTCACCGAATTTCAACAGCCGCCGCAACAGCCCCGGTACATTGTGGGAATCCATTGAATAGCTGTCCTGGAGTATGTGGTAGGAGATCGTGTTTGCTTGCTGGTTTGCCTGGCATTCCTGGCCCGACACTCCGGTTTGTTTCTCTTCAGACATATTTTGGGTGTCATTTGCTGCTGCAGAATACCTAGCACCTTTTTGGGGGCGCGGGGGTTTAGTGGCATTGCTATGAATCGATCTAGACACACCATCTGTCGCCGTGGAACTTCGTTCTGAAGGAGCATTATGTTGTCCAACTGCACCGAACCGGAAGGTTTCCACTTCTCCTAGCCTTGTAGACTGACTTTGTGTCGCGTCCAGGTCAGGGTGTTGGTCTTCAACTGTAGGCTGTCTGTAGTTTGGCCTTGCTTCATATTCCGCCTGCGGTGATAGAACCGTTCTTTCTGGTACTGGTCTCTTGTCTTTCGTAGTATGTTGACTCGCGGCTAGCAGTCCGGCAGTGGAAACGTCGGCCGACCTTGTCTCGAAGCCGCGTTTCTGCGGATCCACCGCCGAAGTTGATTGCGCACTGATAGAGCGGTCTGATGTAGCATTCAAAGCAGCGAGCGGCTCCGCTGAACGAAGGGGGGCAGAATCCAGAATGGTAGATGAATTTGGTGTCGGTCTGCGCCGAGCTGACGATAAGACTGGAGCCGGACGAGTGTTGTTGGCTTCATTGTGAAGATGTTCCGGTCGACTTTCGCTTGGTGTCACTGTCGAAGATATGGTCAATGTGTGCTCGTTGTCCGGAAGGTCTGCCCTGAGTCAGCTAGAAGTATCGAGCCTGCCATTCCCAGACTTACAATCATCGCTATCTTCTTCGTACGGCTCGTCAAAGTCCTCGTCAGAGTCATCACGCTGTTGGTCACCCCGAGCTTTCTTTGTGCGTATATCTAATTGATTTCGACGCTGGCGTTTCAGGATCTCGCAAATCTTCGGTTTAATTTCTTTGTCTTTGTCACCGGGATAAACGGGACCTCGGCCTCTGACAGACCAGAGGCTCGTTCCTTGCAGTTCGAGAAAGTCGTCCGCGACCGTGTTGATTTGCTCGTCGGTGGCATCAGCAAACCGGCCATTTGGATAGCTGATTGACCAGAAATCCGAGAGCAGCTTGGTGAGAACTTTCTTGTCCCTGTACCCCAGGTCCCGAGCGAGTTCCGTCATGTTCGGTCCGCGTTTCCGCTTCCGAAGCTCCCGACGTCGAGGCATTTGCAAATAGTGGATGACGAGCGGCCGGTGAGCGCTTCACAGCGTAAGATTGGATAAGCACGGTTGGGAGAAAAGGGTAGAGTGAAGGTGGCATTTCAGTAAAGGGAGCAGTATTTACGTGTGATGACACGAACAGTTTCGGACGCGTTCACAGGCAACCGTGGCAGGGGTAGGCCGTGGCCCCGACAACACGGTCGGAGATTCGAGACCGACAGGTTGCGCCACACAAAGTCGTTGCGGACTTGGTGTCAAATATGCCCACGGCGAAAGACATGTGCCGGAAATTTATTGGTTGAAATGGTCACGCATGGCGACATGGGTAGATTTGCTACCGAAAAGTGATGCAATGGCCCTGGATCTGGTCAGCCAAGGAATAGATGGGCGCAAAGCCGAAGTCAGATCACTCTCGGTCACTAGGTATCGGATCGATACCTTGAATTACCTTCTCCGACAACATATGGTTTGAGATGACATGTCTTTTAGAAGTGAGTCTCATGTGTTGTACACATCCGCTTCTTTGGAGCCAAATTGTCGTCCGTTATATCTTTTTGAACGGCGCTAGTTTGTGTCCGTTTCGTTGTAGCAACGCCAGCATCGCCTACGCCAAGTCAGCCTTACGCAGCCTCGCCTGTCTAATACCTGTTTGGGCCTGAGCCTTTCTAGAACACGGCTCTGGTGACTCGCGAAGGCAGTGCTGAACCCCGGATAAATGGCTTTTGGTCCTGCAACGGTACATATAGTCTCAGGAGATCTCCCAAGCTCAAGCAACAGGAGGACAGTCAAGATAGAGCCAATCTCAAGAACCCTTCTCTTCATAACAACTACAAAGACCTTCGGCGAATGTGGCTGAGCAACTCCCTGAGCCTCCCCGAGCTGAGGACAAGAGAGCCTAATCTGGCTCCTTCTGCCTGACTACCTAGATTATTCGAGAACGAAAAACCCAATTGCCATTTATGGCTTGATCCTAGAGGGTGCGCCAAGGCTGCTTTAATCTGAGCTTTAGCTGAGCATCACTGAGCGCTCCCTGGGCACACGCGGTGCCCTAATCTGGCCCTTTACGATCGGCTATATTTGCCTCTCGGCTAGGGATCTATTTCAGCTGGGCGTCAGGGAACCTAACAGATTCCCTGCCCTTACTGTAATCATATTGCCAGGCGTCTCCCCAGACCCCTCCTAAATTCTCCATGTCCTCCGAATTGAGCCACAACCTTATTGGTGTGGATTGCAACTGCATAAACCTCAATCTCGAAAGCCTCACGGTAGCCTTGAGCGCCGTGCGGCTATACGACTCGATTCGTCTAAGATGGCGGCTGCCTCCACGATGATACCGCCAGCCTGATGTACTAATATTACTCTCTCTACCATCTTCGACTATAGGGTCACATCGTGAATTTATGCCTCTCGGAAGGTGATTCACGCTGCACGAGTAGTCGCAGATTTTATGGACTCCCACCACTTTGCGCACTTTGCGCCTAGCAATCAAATTGCGGTTTCGAATGTCTGGACTTCTACAGCGACGGTAAACCTTCCGGAGATTTTCGACGCCCCAGTCCTCTCGACCGACTGAATCTTTTCAGACAAGTGAGCTTGCTGACCTAGATTTCCCTATGGAGTTTGGTATTCATCGACCTGACTGTGGTCAAATAGCAGCTGCACATCTCGATGGTAGCCTTCCTTCCCTGCACTCTCCCTTTCACGAGCCCGATCGACTAACGTCGAGAATACGTATCCGCCAAATGCTAAATTGAGGCCGAAAAGCACGAGGTTATCTTAGGGAGATCAAAAGGAGGGGAGAAATACAGCGTATTCTGAACTAAAGTAAAGCTATTATTAACAATACAAATTTAGCAAAGGGCAAGGGAGAATCTAGTTACATACCTGAGACGGAGGCGACGTACGACTATTGGACATCTAGTCCTAGGTAAGTGTAGCATAGACACATTAATACGGAGGCGGATAGCCTTCCTATTGTTTATGTAGAGGTTAGCTCCAGCCAAGTCGACACTAAATAGCTATGTACCTTCCCACTAATCCTCGAGCCGTATCGGGTATAGCCGTATCCTCTCCTCCAGTAAACATTCAGGAATTACGTCGCCCCGGTTGTTCTGATACTGCCACCAGGTGGAGACGCCGATCACAGCGGCCTTCAGCGCCTTGGATAGGGTAGCCTGGAACTCATTACGCTTAGCATCGCTCAGTTCGTCCTTGCTGTAGTCATTGAATAGATTCAAGATGTTGCGTATCTATGTGTGGTCCGCTGAGATCCTTCCCAATCTCGTTACGCCCGGTATCACTAAAGATTGTTCGATAGGTGCCCTGTTTTAGGGCACTGCCTGTCTTCTCGCTGTTCATGATTTTAACGCCCTCTACGGCCGCCGCCAGTTTCCGTTCGAAGGTTGGGTTGTTGTCGAACGCTCTAGCCAGAATATTTAGTACGTGAAGCACCCGGCTGCACGCCCCTTCGTACTCTCCTAAGGACTTCTTGTTATATAGGCTTATTGGCTAGTTGGAGCTGGAACCGATGGCGACGACCCAGTCGGCGCGAACCGTATCCCGCTGTTCGCGGACTGGGTGCTTAACGTCGATACCAGAATGAGATGTAAAAGTTTCGCGATAGAACGGCGGGTAGCCCTTGGCGATGTTGAGCAGGTTATTCTTCGATAGATCCCGATATTTCGTGTCGATGTCGTGTTGGAGAGGAAAGCGGTGGAGACTACCGATAAGGTATGCTTCGTTATTGTCATCGGCCTCGTGATAGCGAAAAGCCCCTACTACTGATCCATAGCGGATATTGAAGGAGCTGCGTCCCGCGTCAGACCCGCTCATAGTCCCACCGATCGCGCCATAGTCTAGCATAAGAGCCGCCATCAAGGCGTCGGCGTCGATGCGTAAATATCGCTCTTTGAGTTTTAGGCATCGGGGCCGTTCCTCCAGTCGGGCCCTAGTGCCCCATGTACGCTCAAAATAATAAATTATTCTTGCATTGCTCGAGCCGACAGATCTTGGGCGTCGATCGCCATACAGTTTGCAGGCTGGTGACTGAACGTTGATTGTCTGGAAGGTTTTGCCATCTGATGGCGTCGCACCTTGATCTTCGATAGAGAATACGAACCACGTACTCACGCATCAGATTGAAGGCTGGGTTGAGCAGGAACGGAGACGTGAAGAGAGGGATCGTCACGATGGCCACGATGGCAGCAACCATTGCCCAGTCCTGCATTTTTCCTGTAGGTCAAAAGCGTGGACGGGACCGCAAAATGCTTTATTGACAAGTCGCCGTGACACTATTTTCGAAGCCGTCCAGCCTGATAAAGACATGTCCTTTTCGACCCTCGCTAAACCGTATCGGGCTTCGGAGTTCTACTACTTATTTAGCCCGCTTAGCGAGATAGAACTATGTCTAACGAGTCCCCCGAAGTTCACTTTGAGGGACTAAGCCCCAGTATAATCACAAGTACACAGAATAGCTACTCGAATTCTAATCAATCAAAGTGTAATACACATATTAGCAGGTCATATAACGCCCGTAGAGTATCGATTAGGCAATTAATCCTCTTAAAACTCAAGAATTAGGCGGCAGCAACAGCCGCCATTCGGTAACCTCGCAACAGTTTGAATCTTTTAAGCACACGACGATGTTTCTATCTTGGTTGAAAAGTCTTCTGGTTTGTCTACTGCTAGGCCTTCGTCCTGGCTCTCCGTCTTCACTGCCAAGTATGAACGCTCGCGAAAAGGACAGTATATTCTTCAGTCCCTTGAGTCGCTTTACAACGGCGCAGCTATGCCAGCGTCTCGTCAACGCTGCTATCCGAGAGGGAAACCCGGATAAGTTGAGAGAGCTTCTCGGGAAACGTGTCGATCTGGATGGCGCCGATGGAGAAGGACAGACTGCGCTTCATCTGGCTCTTCGGTAGGGGTCGCCTGAGATGGTTTGGGCGTTGCTTGAGACCGGAGCATTGCCCGATTCCCCATGTCTGCCATTGCCCTCCTTAGCCGATTTATTTTTCGCTCTATTTCGCCTTGTGAAGATATTCAGTCATTATCTGATGGCGGTATGGATTGCGTCGAAGCTGGGCATCGATCGATTCTCCGCCCAGGATCGGGACTCGATCAGAATCTTATCAATTGTTCTTGTGGCTATGTTACTCTTCTATATCTTAGCCAGTGCTACTATGGTCAAAGACCCTTCCATAGGAGGAACGGCAACCGCATTCAGAGGCAGGTCAGAGTTTATGATTCTCACACTGCTTGACTCTGGGTTTCAGCCGCGATACAAAGACACGTCGTTGCTCTGGATCGACGCCGCGCGGAAAGGCTACACAGGAGTGTGCCGCAGGCTCGCGGAGATGGGCTGGGATATTGATACGCCATTCGAGAATGTTGGCTCCCCTAAGGATCGGCAACTCATAACCACAGCCCTTCTTTGTGCTTGTGCCGCATCGCACAAAGACCTTGTGCTGTTTCTCCTCCACAACGGAGCGGACCCGATGCTCGTCGACTCATGGGGCAGGTCATGTCCGCTCTTGGCTCTCATGGGCGGGAATGACGACGAGTCGAGCTCTTCAATCTTACAGACCCTGCTCTCAACCCAGGCAACCTGGCATCTGAACCGCTTCCCGATTGACCACGACCCCGGGGCACCGGCGTCCAGAGCGGCATGGGACTGGCCACTTGGTGTTGCTTGCGGATATCATCGAGTCCGTGCCGTCAATGCACTTCTCAATGCAGGAGCGGATCCAAAATTGGAGGCAGCGTCCGGGCTGACTGCGCTGCACGTTGCCTGCGACAGTTATTTCAACGAAGGAGTGGCATGCATTGTCGAAATGCTCCTCGAGCACGGTGCCAATCCCAATGCTGTCACTTCTGACTCGTGGACTGCCGTTGGTCGCCTTTGTAATTAATGCTGGAGTATCGCCTGAAGCGCTTGAATTGCTGCTCGCAGCGAAGGCTCAGTGCGAGTCTGGGGCGGGTGCGAATACGCCGCTCCAAATTGCTGCCCGCTACGACTTATCTGGTGGACGCCTCGTGGAGCTGCTGCTTCAGAACGGAGCAAATGTTAGTGTAACTGGAGGTAAATTTGGAACTGCCCTTTTAGCAGCTTTGCACCGGCCGGATGACGAGCAATTGGTCCTGAAGGTGGTTTCCGATCTCATAAGTCACGGCGCCAACGTCAACGTGGTACCCCATGGATGTGTTCCTCCGATTGCTCAAGCGGCAATGCAAAACTGAATAGAGGTGGTAGAACTCCTCCTCAAAGAAGGAGCTCAGATTCCCCCGACCCAGAACATCGACATTGGTGGTAGAGGCTCGACCTCCAGTGTGCTTCACGTGCCGATTCTCGGCTATTTACTTCCCCACCAGTCCGACATGTTTCGTCTTCTCCTCCGACACGGAGCGTCTGCAAATGGCGACACTGATCTTTTCGACACGACTTCCTATCTCGGCAAGACAATTCTGGGATACGCGTGCAGTTCCTCCCAGAAAGAGGACGTAAGGACGGCGCGCCTGCTCCTGGAGAATGGGGCAGATCCGAACGGTGTCGATGTGCGAGGGATATCACCGCTCCAGTGCGCTGCTTATGCCCTGGTCCAGATCACGTGAGAATGCTGCTAGACTATGAGGCTATCTCGTCCGCGCAGGACATACAGACCGGGTCGCCGTGGCACTCCCTATGTAAGGGTGCCGCTAAGAAGCGATGGCATTACCAGATAAATAAAACCATCCTCGACATATATGGGCAGCTTAAGAGCAAGGGGATGGTCAACTCGATCTGGACCCGCGATGAAAACGGCAAGAACTGTCTCCACTACTTAGTTGAACTCGACGACGAGACGCTCCCGGTCTATCGGCCCAGTGCTGACCTCAGCCGAACGACTTCTCCTGCCTCTAGCTTGATAGGAGCTTTCCTGAGAGACTATGGAACAAACATCAGCCCTGACGTCTTCCTAGTTGAGGACAAAGATGGGCGCACTGCGTTTCAGATTGCGTCTGGAACTGGAGACGAGGATGTGATGATAACACTTGCAGCGCATGCTTTGGAACTCAACACTGACGCGGCAGAGAACGAATGTCGAGACTTGTCCAGAGGTTCGATCTTCATGCGCAAACTCTTCACCCATGCCGACCATGAGGGGCGAACGGCACTTCACATTGCGGCATCTAAAGGCTACATCTATGTCTGTCAATTCCTCGCCGAGGGCTTGTACACCCCCGGAACTATACCCCTCACTAAATCTGGCCAATCGCTAGCTGAATGTGCCGAGTCGAATGGGCATCTCATGGTCGCTGAATACTTGTCGACGTTTAAAGGATCTGAGACTACCGCCGATGACGTAAAGAAGCGAGAGATAGCTCGCATGGAAGCTAAGAAAATCAAAATGCAGCCTTATATTACTATTACTAAAGAGCAGGTGGAGTCTTTCTTTGCGGGAGTGAAAGAAGCGAGAGGGAATCCAGCTATTAGGCCGCATCAGATGGGCTGATGAACAGAGTTACAGCAATGACAAAAGGACCGGCAATTCCTTGGAGGAGCAGTTAAAAGGACGACGAATTTGCGGTGTTGACGATAGCCAGGTCAGTTTCCAACGCCTTACATTTCATCCATCTACAGGATACGTTTGTGTCCTCTGCAAATGCAGGCCAATCTTTATGGCTTTGAAAAATGGCTTTACAATCGAGATCCCTCGAGATTCCAATTCCGGGTGCCCATTTGCTGGTCATCTCCATTGCGTTACTCGACACGGTTGGTGAGCCTTTCGGGCGCCGCTTTCTAGTGTCAAGAAGCAGCTGGTCTTGAACTTTGACACGTTACGCAGAGATGATGATGAATTTTGAGAGGCTGTCCATGATGGTATGATACGAGAGAGCTGGAGCTTAAGGTTCATAGACTGAACACAATGCCTATGTTTCCGACAACCTTTACTCAGAATTAGGATACATCCAGATGTCAGAGGGTCAGAGGCAAATGTCCCAATAGTTTCCAGGAGTGTGGAGGGAGACTCGTTAGGGTAAACACGCTTAGAAAAGAGGACAGTCGATGAGAGCTTGAAAGTGGAACCGTAGAAGGACGTGAACGCCGCAGTAAGGACAACAAACAACGTTCTAGCAAAAAGTCCAGCCGGAAACTACCAAGTAGAAGGGGGGCATATCGCGAGCGAGGAACGGCGTTACTTATGTCTACGAGGACTAATATAAGGCCGATCTTCCACTAGACTTTCAAACGAAGTGGGCGGAGATTCAGTATATACATAAGTAGTATTCCTCTTACAGTACCTCTTTCCTTTGGTAAGTATAATAGTAGTATCTGGGTACTATATGCTTAATTATATAGTAGTATATATAGTAGCTGATGATCGATTGTGCGGGGCTAACCGTATTCGGCTTTGTTCGTGATGCATTACTTCCTGAACTCAGCACGTATTAACTAGTACATAGTAGTGAGGTGCTACTACTTCCCCATTAGTACCTCTAAACTGTTATAGCGTCACCTACTGTACTACTAATAAATAAATTCTACAGGACTTAATACTTCGCGTTTCCCGCTCTGCTCGCTTTACTCGCCTAGTGAATATATATACACTTATAATTACTATGTACTTCAAGTGGGGTTAGGGGAGTAAGAATTAAATCAAGCGTGTCAATAAGGCTCCTATTCAAGCGCGAAGCAAGCATCCTCATAAGATTTCCACAGTACAATTCTCTGTCTAGTTACATAGATACAGTACTAGGTACACATTAGTACATAGTATATAATATCGTATATATTGGATCTTCCTCCCTGGGGTGTTACTGACAAAGAGTCGTCGTTATAGAAGGAAGCCAGACATTCTCACTTGCCCGAATGAGCAGGACGACTGGAACGGGCAACATCCTTTGACTACAGCTGCCGCCTAGAGATGTATGTACATCGTAGTTCGGCTGAAAGAGTATATAGTACTCCCGGCGTTATACGGTATCTGTTGACCCTTGATTTCAACACCCAGCTTTGGTGGGGACATCTATGTGTTCACATTTTGTTGCTTCCACGTTTCCCGTTCCTACTTTCTCCTTCACATATTTCTCACACTCCACATCGTAGGAACATTTGGTACGCATTGTCTGACATGTATTGCAGGAATGGCTTGTCCGATTCCGCCCCTCCTCCATACACAATGTACATACTACTAACCCTATTGACCCAACTCGATGCTGTGGGTGGCTGCTAGGAATTCATATACATATTCAGCGTAACTAAGATGCCAGGTTTGGGGTGCATATGATGGATTGTCTAGAACATCAAGCTACATAGTTATAATTTTATAGCAAGCCGTACAGGTAGACAATGCCGGCCCTTACTTACCATGGGGGGAGGGGTAATGCATGTCACATCCAAAAGGTGCAGTGCTGGGACGACGGTCAGGGTTTGGCCTTTTGTGGAATGTCTGTCATATACGCACCATCGCCGTCGGGTTAGCACTATGTATGTACTTGAGAAAAGGCGTTCGTTTGAAGGTATTATATATGAATTACAGTTTTGGTCAAGAGAAACAGGTGCGAGTGCATCTGTCGACGTCGTTCTGATAGCCGCCTTTCGCCAAGGCGCGAGGAACCCTTAGAACGACAGCCTTGCCAAGAGAATTCCGGCTCCAAATTCGTGGTTGGACACACCTAGACATGACCCGCCAGCATGAGAAATCCTATGTAGTACTAATGTATGTCCTTTTTTGTATCATCCCGCGAAGGACGTCGTGATCACTTTCGGCCGCAATACAGTATAGTATGTACGGCTCAACCGAGCTGCACATCCTCGGCCCCGCCTAAGGGGGTGGGTTCTGATGTCGTTGATTTCACTAGATAGTGACAGTGCATGAGGCATATGTCAGTGTGTCAGAATGCCACATCCACCACCCATAGCAGCCGTCATTGGAGAACTCAAATTTTGCGCGATCTACTTTGGCCCCCTTTTCAAAGAACTGGACAAGAACTTAACTACTGTGTATGAGTAGGCAGGCTTAAGAGCCGACATTTCGCGACATGACCATGATGTGCTTCGACACATTATTATTATATATTAGGAGCAACCAAGTAATGGAATACAGCTGACCACAATGACAAATTCCGATACTGCCATCACCATGAGATCGTCGGCTCGACAGATTCCAGTCTCTAGGCTCCTCTCCGCAGCGCGAGAGCTCCAGAAAAGCCGTGTAGCCGTTTTACTGAAGCAAGCAGTGCCCTCTTCCTTTCCAAGAGCCCTGCGATCACGGCTTTGGGACGACCAAGACGACGACCACCACAACAGCATCAAACTGAACAGCGGACCAACAACATGGATGGACGGTCTGCGCGGTTGTGCCGCGCTGGTAGTGTTCAACTACCATTTCTTCTTCGCCTTCACAGACTCGACAGCAATCGGATTGGGTGTGGACGAACAACACCGCTCCATTGTCGAACTCCCGTTCATCCGACTGCTCTACGACGGAGCAACGTGCGTGAACATCTTCTTCGTCGTGGCCGGCTACGTGTGCTCCGCAAAAGCACTCCAACTGATGACGGCAGGACACAGCCATGAGAAAGTGCTCTCCAGCCTGAGCAGTTCCGTATTCAGGCGCTTCTTCCGGCTATATCTGCCAGTGATGTGCATGACGTTCATCAGCGCCCTGACGGCATATCTGGGCCTCTTTGAAGGTCTCCGCGACATGATCGTGCAGAAGGATGTTTACTTCCGGCCGCAATTTACCGAGCCGAGTCTGCGGCGCTGCGCCACGCTCGGAGGGCAGCTGCACTTCTGGCTCGAGGAGCTGTACAAACTCAGCGACGTGTGGAGGATTGGGCCTTTCTATCCCGAGCATGATCCGCATCTTTGGACGATCGGCTACGAGGCGAGAATGTCGATGCACCTCTACATTGCTCTCGTGGGCCTTGCGAAGTGCAAGCCTCGCGTTCGACTGTTCGGCCTTATTGCCTTGGCTTTGTTGTACACTGTGTGGAATAGATGGGAAGGCCCACTGTTCTTTCTGGGCGCAGCCCTGGCTCAGTGTGATGCCATTGTCAATCATCACCCTCGTGTCGTTGCCCGGAAACAACAGGAAGCACCATTACTCAATCACGACCAGCTCCCCAGCTCGCCCACGACCCAGTCAACAAGAACTACGCACGCTGCCATAAGCCGACGAGCCCTTCGCTGCGCGGCCTATATCTTCGCGCTGTATCTAATGTCCTACCCCATAAGCGGCTGGAAGAAACCCGCTCCCGGCTTCGTGTGGGTCAACGGCTTCATCCCAGCATTCTACTCCCGCAAGGAGAAATTCCCTAAGTCGATTGGCGTCCTCTTATTTGTGACACTACTACACACCAGCCGGAACCGCATCGGATCTCCAGACTCAGACTCGCCGAATGGCCCTTGGGCCTCAGCCTCGTTCTGGCATCGTGTATTCACAAGCCGCTTCGCGCGGTATCTCGGCGAGCACATGTTCGCACTGTATCTGGTGCACGGGACAGTGCTGCACGTGGTCGGGTACGGGATTCCTCATCTCGTGTGGGGAGTTATCGGCGGCCGACAGGGCGCAGTTCGCTGGCTGGCCGGTGTTGTGGTTGGGTGGACCGCCAGCCTGACTTTATGCCTCCTCGTGGCTGAGCTGTTCACACGACAGGTCGATGCTCGGTGTGCCCGCTTCATAAAGCGGCTAGAAGGCTTTTGCATGCAAGATGATTGACCAGCGGAGGAAACTGCAGTTTTGTGTGTACAATCGCTCAACAATGGTAGGAGGGGCATCAGCCATTAGTCCACAGAGAGTAGTCCGACTATAATATGAACACCAGTGACAATTTTCATGATGGTTTAAGAGTATTCATTTTCAGCCCGAAATGCCAGTGTTGGAGACCTCGCCATCCACATTTCAATTGTCACTTTTGAGGACATTGAAAATTAGATGCCTCCCTTCCCTAACACTCTCTCAGGCGTCGCCGGTCCAATCGCTCCACTATTATTCATTTCATTATTACCCAAACCTTCGTGGACGATCTTCGACTAGGGCTTTCTTTCTTCACGAGTTTGCACACTTGAATCGTGCTCTCAACCACTGTAAATGCAGTAAACCCGAATGGTTGCACTGCTCCAGGCAGATGCAAGTTACATAAATCGCCTGTCAAATCGATTCAGTATGCACGAGTGGCCTCGTCCTCGCTATCGACTTGGTTAGGGCTTCCCCTGAAACGCGTCCTCTTGACGGTGCTCAGGTCTCCTTTCGACCCTCCGGCTCCGGCTAAGGGCCTTGGTCCTGATGGTTTTCTTCCCGAGCTCTGGGGAGATCGTAGCGCAGCAACTGGAGACTATTTTCTTCGTCAGTCTGCAAAACACATATACTAAAGGCTTAGAACATTACCTTGTCAAATGCAGGACTACCGGCTCTTGCGGCCGCAACATGATCAACATACGTAGGCTGCCGATTGGATTGAGAAGGGCTCATAGGCACTTTGGGAGGGCGTTGTGGTACTAAAGGCTCGTCATTCGAGATTTTCGGTGGGCGTGGAGGACCTTGGGAAGAGGTTCCGGATCGAACGCTCCGATTGTCGTTGTGAACACTGTGCTCTGTGGAATATGGGTTATCAGGTATTGGAGACAGATGGTCTCCATATGAGGCGTGTGGTGGCATTGCATTTTGTAAGGAAGAGCCATGATCCCACTGAGAAGAAGTCTGAGATGTTGGGGATAGCTGATCGTTATAATATTGCGCCTCGGACTCTAAACGAGATTGGAACCGACTAGTCGGACCTTGTCTAGGTTGTGGGTGCTGGAGATTGACACTGTTTCGGTGAGCCTGATATTTCGGATTGTCAGAAAGTTGACTCGGAATCAATGGAGATGGAGGTCGGTCATCGTCATCGTCATCGTCATCATTTGGATAGTGCTCTCTCTGGAAAGATGTGTTTGATCGTATCCGGTCATCGCCTTGAGGATCATGCTCAAACTCATATTCCCCTAGATTCGAACCTGAGCGAGAGATTTCCGAATGTGGCCGTTGTCTCTGTGCACTTGAGCGGAAGTTGTCTGCCGATGATGCCGTAGTCTTCGACCACCTCGAGACCATCTTTGGGATGAAAGTCGATGCGAAGGACTTGTGTTTCCGACCCGAGCCATCTCCTGTAGAATGGTGGGGAGTGTTTTCATTGCTCTGTGAACCAAAATTCTGGGGAGTGGTCCTCGGTGGAGTATGGAGTGGTACAGAACCAGCTCTCACTTGCCGCCCATCGTGTCTTGGAGGCGTATCAAGTGGCGTATGGCTAGCTTGAGCATTCCCAGCATTGGCAGATCCTCGCTGAGCATCGTAGTCATCGTACTCTTCATTGTCCTCCATTACAGTACTGACACGGTTGCCGGAATCCCGTTGCTGATTATAGGTGCGATAATCTGCTTGCCGTGATGAGTTGTTGGAGAAGAAGCCAGAGCGATCTCCAGTTGAGGAAGTGCCTGCCTGGCCTTCAGGCTCGTAACCCGTGTCAGTGGGTGCTCTGGCGTTATCAGCGGATGTGAGACTAGTATTTCTGACTTGATTGCGACGTATCCCAGGATTCTGAGTAGTGCGGAGCCCCTCTACTTCATCAAGAAGTCGCATGAGCATTGCTTCAATGTTCTGCAATTCGTGGGTGTTTTTGGTACTGAGGCCGCGAAGAGCCCTTCGAAAGACATTCCCGCGTTTGTTCGGCAAGTCATCCTCTGATGTAGCTGAGCGAGCTGTACGAGTTGCACTCATTGGCTGTGGACGGGGTCCACCAACCAGCTTTTGCGTTTTCTCGTGCTGACGTTCAGCATTATCGAGCATATGCTCGTCTTGTTCCGCAATAAATTTCTTCATGTCCTCAAAAGAGTTTCGCATCTCAGCTGCGCTTCGGACAAGGGTCACTAAGATCTCGGTATCGCGTGCATTTCTTTGCGCATCTCGGACCGTGAGATGATCCATGAGGTTGACAATATCCCGTGATTGAATCTGTTCTCGACCTGGTTCTATTAAGCCATCAAAGATGGGAGACATGCCATGAGAGAGTCCATCAGCATATTGGTCCCGTTTGGTGATTGTGAATGGATCGTCGCCCAACTCAGCGTCTTGCATATGCATGTCGGGCGTGAAGCTGTCGTCGCGAAGTCCTCGAGATTGTGAGTACAACCCCGGAGATCGAGCATTAGCCCCTGTCTCATAACCCTCATCTTTAGCGCCAGGAGAGGATGTCAGTGGTTGTGTTTTCATGTATAGGTCCCGCTTAGGATCTAAATCATGGTTGTGACTGATAGACAAAGCCTCTGGAATCAAATCGGCGCCTGCGGATCCAATACCACGGCTGACAGGCGGCAGTGCCAGATCTGCACGTGAACGAGGAGGTGTAGGGTCATAGGGCCAGTGATCTGTATTACCTTGACTGAGTCCGCCGATCGGGCCTTGGATGACAGATGGATTTGTAGTAATGTCCGATTCAGGAGAACGTTCTGCCTGGGCTGTAACCTCGGGCGAGGGGAGGTGAGGAGAATGTAGAGACTTCGCGGATCGACCCTCAGAATGTTGGACGGATCGAGCAAGCGATCGTGGAAGAGAGTGAGCTGGGCTCTGTGCTGGAGACATGACAACTGCCGCTGGCTGCAATATTTGCTTGTCATTGCTGGGACTTGACGATTGATGTTTGAGTGGACTGCTGACATAGCTTGAATCGCGGTCGTAATAAGGACTATCCGATGTATTATTCTCATGTCGATCCAGTGAGCTCGCCTGGCTATGACGAGGGGAACCACTATAACTGATAAGCGATGCAACAGCAGATTCGACACCCGTCGACAGGTCCATGATTTCTGCAGTCGCACCGAGTGGTCTTGCGACATGACGGCCGGCAGTGACCTTGTCAACATAAGGAGACTTGCGGTAGCTTTCATTTTCGAGGTGCTGTTCGTCAAACACTGCCTCCGGGTCAACCTGACGAGGGGTGCTTTCGAGTGATCCATGATGCTGGCCCATGATCTCGCTGCGGTTTTCTAGACTGATGCCATGAGGGCGCATTGAACGAGCTAGATCTGTACTTGGAGGAGATGATAAAGTTGAGATTGAATCCTGATCATTAGTCTGCTCCTGCCTTTTGAGCGAGTCTAGGGACTCTGAGCTGCGTGCCTGCATAAAAGAGTTCCGATTCGGCTCAGTGGTAGTAGCATAGCTTGCGACACTTTGGATAGGACTAAGACCGCGTCGAATGGGATGTTGTTGATGGAGATTTCTTTCATACGCACGTGCACGTTCTGGATCCGTCAATGCTGCAAAGCCATGTGAAGCAAAGTCGGGGTCATCGACATCATGCGATAGTTCACTCCCTTCATCGGGCATTTCTTTTCTGGTTGAGCTATCGTGCCCGGAAAGATCATGCTCGGAGAAGTTGCCGTGATGAGTTCCGAGCCCACGTCTTAGATCAAGGTTGCTTTTGGTTGGGGTGCGTGTACCAGAGGATGACTGATCGAGAGGCGACCCTCGAATGACCTCGCGAACTTCTCTTCGAGTAGGCGTTGTCGCACCTCCATCGACAGAAGATTGGAGTGAGCTGCGGGTTAGATCTGTGCCGATTTCGCTTACAAAAGGCATGGGAGGGACTTTGTGTTTGGAGAATGCATCCTCTTTCTCTGTGACGCTCGCACTTCGACTAGACCGACTTTTACTCCGCCGCCTTCTTCTCTTCTCGGACAATTCAAGGCTGGATCCTGAGTCATGTGATTTGAGTGCAGCAGCTGTCAGAGCGGCACCACCTATGGCACCAGCTGCGACATCTCGAGCACGATGGCTTTTGGAAGATTTGCGAGATTTCTTTTCGTCGCGAACACTGCTGCTCTCGACAGATTCAGACTGACCATAACTCTGCTCAGATGGTGGTGAATCGTAGTCATCATATCTGTGAGATCTGTGTCGCCGGGAAGAGCTCGACGGCTTGGCTCCATCGGACTCATGGCTAACCCTCCGTTTTGATTTGCTGCCGGATGATTTGCGATGGGTTCTTTCTTCTCGTGAAACGGTGCTGCTAGAAACATCTGAAGGTTCGCTCAACTTTTCGTGTCGAGAACGGTGGTGTCTTTGGTCTCTTCTTAATTCTGTCAGTTCTGGCAAAATGAGACGTCTGATAGCATCCTCAACAGTCTGCAATAATTTCGGATTATTGGTGATGGACACGTTAGACGTTCCCGACCGTACTGAGCGCTGGTCCGTTGGTCTCGGCTCCGCCGATAGATGCGAGCCGCTTAACAGACTGGAACCTGTGGCGCTGGGATTTGAGTCATCGTCAATTTTCTTCGCAACATAGGCTCGGGATTCAGCTGGATCGTCGACTTCGGCTTCTCTGCTGACACTGCTGTGGCTAGGAGTCTGGCTGCTGCGACGACGTTTTCCACTGGCGGAAACTCTTGGCTTGTTGCTCAATTTTTCGATGACCTTCTGAGTAATTCTTTCGTTACTCGCATTCCGGCCTGTGACGATGACTGGAGGCTTCAATGCGGCCCCGTCGTAACTCGAGCCTCTTGCCAAGCTTCCGCTCTGTTCTGATTGTGACATAGTGACGGGATTTGCAATACCCAAAGAGCTCTCTGGCGGCATAGACGAAATGTCGGACTCGGGAATGATGTATTTGAGTTCGGGGGAAGCACTCAGCGAGGAGTATTCAGATACGTCGTCCTGGTGAACGTCAATCTCGACAGGGGCTTTAGGATGGAGATTGCCAGCAGAGTCCAATGAACTGATGCTCCCTTCGATGATATTATGGGCGAGCGTCTCGTTACCACCTAGAGCGATGCGATGTGTTTTGGAGGGTTTCCTAGTAGATTTCGATTCGGTGACCAGGATGTGACTTTCCCCTTTCTCTCCTTTCTTTCTCGATTTTGAAGGAGTATAGCGGACTCGCAGACTAGGTCGCCTCTGGCCGGATTCCGAGGTCGTGTTGTTCTCAAACAGCTCTATGAGAAGTGAGGTTTGGGATTGCTGGCCAGACTTTGGCAGCTTGCCGAGATGATTGTGCTTTGGGGCGGGTGAGATGGTGATGGGGGTTCCGTCGCCAGGGATTTCTTCCCAGGTTTTATCGGTCCTCCGCGAAAGGTCGGTTCCAAGATCGGTTCCCAGTCCAGTTTCCTCGGCCGACTCAAGTAAGGAGTCAGTGGGTGCAGGCAGAAGTGGACGTCGACTGGTAAAGCCCATTCTGAGACGAGCTTAGGCCTGTGAATTCATGAGTGGCACACGCCTGTGCACTGCGCATGCGCTGTTGCAGGTGGTTGAGATCAATCTGTGGGGATGGTTGTCATGGTGTTGGTAGCAATCGACATGAAGGCTTTGGTTATCAACTTGTAAATAAACGTGAGACTGCTAGGTGAGAGGGCTGAGGCTGCGCTTCGATACAGGTGTAGGATGGTAGAAGCAAGGACGAATTTTTGCAGGAGTGGTCTGACAATCCTGACTAGATTTGGGATTGGTGATGGTGCAGGCTGCGGCGTGAGGAATTATTATTGTGAGGCTGGGAGGCGGGAAGTGCGAAAAGTCACAGCAAACGGTGAAAGACAGTTGAGACGAGGGGAGACCGGTACTAGAATGAGAATGAGAACAAGGAGGACGCTGTGAATACAAGGTGAGAGTGATTGACAACGCCTTTGGGTATCAATTGACGAGTGCGCAAACACAATCTGCAGTGTTGGTAGAAATTGTCTTTGGAAAGGTAAACACAACGCACGCACGAAGATGGGGAAGGTGAGAAGCTGAAGCGAGGTGGTCAGTAGGTTCGTAGCGGCAGCAGCGGTGGCACCCGTCGCAGTGGAGGTGGTGAGTTTGGTGATAGAGACGCCTAGGGTCCACGGAATTGGTAGAAGTGGTAGGCTTGGGGGGTTCCAAACTAGCTTAAGCCATCAGCAGTCACTTAGCAAGTCAACAGCTCCCTAACGCCACCTATCACCACCCATCACCGCGTGCCCTAGCAGCGAGGGATCTCCGTGTTGTTCTTCTCCGTGTTATTATTGACATTTTACGACCTGCACTGGTTCCCTCCGTCCATTTCGTTTGTCACCAACAATTCACAAATGACGATACGGAGTATACGAAATGTATGTGTCACTTTAAACTCAAGTCTGTTATCCGTCGTTATCATGGTTCTACCACACAGACACCGTTGTCTGAGCTTTCCCCGGAGGATGAGAGCACAGACGACCCGAGCGAGTGCTGAGTACCCGACTGTGCAGGTACAAAGTTCCGAAGGAGAATCTAGGCCAGAGCTTTGTCGCTCCCGCCTTCCAACGCATATCAAGATTTGATGTGCAGAGGACATCGTTGTTGTTATTGATTGGCCTTTCTCTGCCCCCTTGCAGGCGCAGATCTACAGGGTCACCTGCTAAAACGCAGCTTGGATGTCTGCCTCGCCCTGGCTGTATTGTGTTGGTTCTTGGTTCTTGGTTCTTGACCGCCCATCTTTCTTCGTGCCTGATCCATATGTTTGATATTCCTGATACGAACAAATCCAATGGTATGATTCTGCCGCACTAAACGATCCAAGAGAACGGTTGGCTGGCCAAAGGTCGAGCTCCGGCCCTTTTGCCGTTAAGCCGCGCTCCGGGGCGTGGTCATTAGGAGGTGGCAGCCATGTCGTGGTGGCCACTAACCGCCACTCCTCAGCTCACGTTGAGCCAAGAAACTCCAAGGAAGCCCCAGGCTTGCAAGGGATCGTTGCACAGGCGACCGGGTGGCTCCCATCACATCCTGTCTCGCCCCTCTATTTGTGGTCCATGTTCGCTTCCTGCACATTTAGCTACTAATTCCTGCCAACACATCATTCTTCGTCTACGAATCGCATCCTTGAAACCACATTAATCCTCGTTCGTGCATTTGAAGTCTGTGCAGGTCCAATGCCTATAGGTAGTCTTTCCGCCCATTTTTTCTTCTTCTTTGTGAAGAGGTGCTCAGTACTGAGTAGTTACGAGTGTTTGCGGCAGACCTCGGACCTAACGGTTCCCGAGGTACCCGAGTTTAAAGTACCAGGAACACGTGCCACACATCCCCGGATGCTTGTGCCTCTGCTCCCCTCTATCGATAACGACAGCTGCACAGGTCCAGATCCTGCCACTCCTGCAGTACCCGGAGCCAGTACTCCGTACCTGATACCCACCGGCCGACTTCTGGCCATTGCGCTGGCTGACATGCGCTCGGTATTGTACGTATGTTCAGACAGTACAAACACTATCAGACACCTATCGCCCATAACTCTGGAAATTCCCATTGGCTTACGTAGTCGGTCCCACGTCGCACCAGTAAGAGCAAACATTCTAACCTGCACCAGTTGCAGCATCAATAACAATCCATTTCTATTTGCGGGCCTGGAACCCCTTTTCTAGAACATCTATGAGCTCGTCCAGACGTCTAATACTCAGATCCGTGCACTCATGCTCGGCCAAATGCTCATTTTCGTCATTAGCTAGTAGCACCGTTGCGGCGCCTGCTCTTCGGCCTGCAGTCATGTCGTCTATGCTATCGCCAACCATGATCAGACCAGAGCCAAGGTAACGCTTGGCTAAGTTTAAAGGGTCCACGTCGACTGTTCCGCTTTGTTGCAAGTCAGCACCGCTGGCATCGATATCCTTGTCCAGGCCCCAGGCGTGTGCTATCGACCACAGCCCTTCAGGACTCGGTTTGGGAGCTATGCCCTCGGAATCTCTCGTGATGATGGGCTCAAAGACTTCTCCGTCCAGGAACTTGTCCAGCAGATGGTGGACAGGAGCAGGGAAATTCCGGGTGCAGAGAGCCTTGGGGATTCCGCGACTGCTGAGGTAGGCCATTAGTTGTTGTAGACCCGGCTGGGGCCGCTGGGAGGTCATTGCTGTCCGCTCAATGTTGCGGATCTTGGCCACCGCTCGTGCCCTGGGTGATGTCGGAGCTGGAGCTGGGGTCAAAGTACTGTGTGACAAGACCTCTTCTGATGGGGCTGATGGGTTGATAGAGGACTGCGACTCGGCGTTTGACGAAGTGGAATCAGGCACGTCTGAGAGGTCGTGAATGTGGTCCAGGATATCCACAGATCTGGAAATATTCAGTGCAGCTCGCATCTCCTTGAACATGTAGTTCTGCGGTAGACTAGACATATCAATCACACGTGAGCTTGAGCGAGGACACTATCATACATACCATAAAGTTCCGTCAACATCGAAGATGATCCCCCTCAACTTCTGCCGTTGGTGGGGGTCCTGCTTGTTGGGATTCAAAGGCGCAAAAGCTCGCGGTCTCTGCTTTCCCCTTTGCCAATCTGGCTCATCTGCCCTATAGCTATCGTTCGTCGCCGCCATCGAAGCGAAGCTTGGTCTACGGGGACTTGGCACCAGTGTGCGCCGTGAGATATGACAGAGGATAACGCCAGGTCGGGCGCTCTGCAACAAGGGTGTCACTGACACTGTCGATTGTGAAACTCGTTTGGAAAATCTTGCGATCCTATATGTCGAGCTCCTTGCTAGAAGAATGCAGTGGAGGGGTTGCGTGGGCATAGCATCGAGAGACGGATTATCGATGCAAGCACACGTGTGAAAGGACTTGTAGTCACATCCATCTATTTAGTTATAAAAAGGACTGATTCTCAGGTAATGACATCCACTAGTCACATACATGGTCTTCGGCTGATCTGGTGATCCTTTTCAGGGAGGCTTTCTTAGGTAATTAATTAAGCAATGGGATGAGCGGGAGGTGTCTGATGCCAAGTGCTCCCTGGACACCCGCCTTCAGACGATACGACTACGAGTACGTTCTATCAGGAAGTCAATGCTCCCATCAACAGTATCACCACTACCTGGTGTTGGGAAACATTAAGATTTACAAAAATATATGTCATTAAGTCAGTCAGATCTGTTCATCCAGGAGAAGCGCCCTAAAATCATATGTGCAATGCAATTGATGCGCTCAGACATCAGATTAATTCGATTCATGATCGGAGCGTGATGTGATCCAAAATCCAACTCCACGGCCTAGTAATTGCGCGTTCGAGGTCAAATTGCTCTACAGTAGATAGAGCGTATTTAGATCGATATATCGAGATCTACTGCTTAAGATCCAGGTCGTCACTGTCGACAGTTTATGATATGAGGTTTTCGAATTTTCACGGTCATCACCGCTCCCAAAAAGATAGCGGAAGAGCGATTAGCGACGAGGCATTGATTCGGCGGGTAGTTCATGCCATGCAGTCGCCTGCTGTCGTTGAGGTGCCGTGTCCATCTCCTGGGGGATCACTTGTTGACCCCCATCCATCTCACGCGGCTCGTGTTGTGGTGCGCTCTGATAGTAGCCTCCTTGAGGGCCTCCATAGTATTGATAAGTTTCTTTTGTGTCGTTTGGAGATGGTGGTGCATCTCCAGCAGTTGTTTTATCTTTCCGCTTGCGCACCCATATCCACCACGCACCAAGGGCAAGGGCACCCAGTACCGCTACGCCACCCACGGCGCCGCCAGCGATCGCTCCAGTGTTCGAGCCTCCGCCGCCACCACCACCATCGCTTCCAGATGTTTCGGCTGGTAGTGCTGACCCTGTGCTAGACGCCGATCCGGAGGAAGATGTCGAGGGTGTGGGTCTTGTTTCGGAGGAGGAGGAGGTTGATGTTATTGATGAGCGGGTTGAAGTGGAAGTAGATGAGCTGGAAGACCGGGTCGTAGTGGTAGATGTAGTAGACGAGGTTTGAAAATCGACGAAGGCTGTACTAACGATTTGGCCAATTGTTGTGGGCGCAGCAAGCGTGATGAGTTCGACACCCTCTTCACTGCAACATGTATTGGTGTCGCTATTGTTCGTACTGCAGCAATATGTGTTGAGGCTTACTATTAAAGTACATTAGTAAATTTGTACCTCATCGGATTGCTAAAGGATTCCAGACTGGAGCACTGCCACAATTGTATGCCGTTCCCTGGATTATCTGTACGAAAGTAAGTACGTGAAGAAGCAAGAAGAGCACGAAAAGAATGGCACTCACTATCTTGACAGAACTGTGGGCAATTTCCCGACGTCCCTGGCATCATTCAGTACAATCTTGTGTATATTGTGTATGGTTCATGGGGTCCTTACAGTCCTCATCGGTACAAGACCCACGGTAGAGCCTCCCGTCTTGCCACTGACAAAGGCGGTTCGATAAACAGTAGTAGGAGCTACTGCAACAGAAGGAGTCGCCGTTGCCATCGGTGCAGGGCGCATCCGAGGTAGACAGGTCTCCATTGGGATAATAACATGATTGCGCAGCTGCGCAGATCAGCCCAGAAAGAAAGAAAGTCCACCGCAGCCTCATTGGGATTTTGATGTGTTCGTATGCGCAAACAGATTTAAAGTCGCTCGTGTGCCGCGCACGTGGTCGTCTTTACCAGCACGAGCCGTGCGTTCTTTAAAATGATGATAGCGGCAGGATACAAACCCTGAGACATCAAAAAAGAATCGTGTCGTGTCAGTCGTAGTAAACGAGCAGCGACAGCAAAGAAGGAGCTGGATGAAACCACAACGAGAGACCAGTGGTACAAAAAGGCTGTACGTGGCGTATCCAAGAGGAGTGAGAACTTGGGACAGACAGTACAGCAGTGTAAGGACTAGAGATGTCCTAACTGAGTTCGAGCCGGCCGTTCGTTCAAGTCCTCAGCCTCAACTGGGCCGTGGTTTCACTTAACTTGATGCGGGAATTGGGGCGTGTAATGGAAGCACTGGCAGCCTAGCCATGCTGATCGGAGGTGCTCCGTAGAGCCGTCTCGATCAAAAATGGTTCGACAACGGGTTATAGACTCATGGTTAGTGTGCAAGGAGGGGGCCGATGAAAACACCTTGTGAAGATAGCCGCCTCAGATCGAGTCCCTGACTCGCTGGTGGCTCGAGGCAGATCCACTGACTAAACATGGCAAAGGTTTGAGATGTTGTCGAACTCTGCCGTGCAATCTCCCTTTGGCTTGAAGGTGGCCGGACGCCTAACAAGGGCAGACTACCAGGCCGCTTGCCAACATGTTGTTCGCCTAGGCCTGCAGCTTCCATGTTGGGTGAATAAGCTGCGTCTGAAGTTCGTCTGCAGCGTTTAGAAGCCAGATGTTGAGAGAAACGTATGTACAGTACCCCGTGCGAACGCGAAAGCAAAATAATCCTTAGTGAGAAATCCGTAGTACGGAGTACGGATACTTCGCGTGTAGTTGAAATAATAATAGTGCATCTTACTCTCTATGGATATATTTTAACTCTTGGTTCTCGTGTTTCCACCTTATTACAGGGCTCGCCGGGCTGCAGTGTGCTGGGAGCCTGGAACGAGGGTACCTGCTTAGGGTGCCACACGACGAATGCGTTTCTTTGTGTTTGGGCATCGTCGCGCTGCTAGCGAGCCCTGTAGGGGGCCCACGGGCGCTCAAGGGTAACAGTGTTAGGGAGATGGTCCTCCGTAGTAGTGGCAGACCACTCCCCAGAACCTTACCTGGACTTGAACTGAACAAAAGACTGAGCCTATCTACGAGTATGCCTTGGAACAAAGACCCGGATTGGGGTACCTGACTAGGTGCAGTTCTGGGCATGGCCGGCCCCCCAAAAATAAACCGAACTCTGCTCTACCACTCTGGCGAATCTGCTTCAAGAGTCCCAGCCACCCATCGAGGATGATTCATCTCGCATTCTACAGTCTTCAATCATTATTACTGGGCCGCCCAAACCTTACGCAGACTCCGCAATCCACCTTAGGGCTGGGGGCGGCCGTCAGCTCCCGTTCAAACTGGAAGGCTTGGTTCAACATTGCTTGGTAACAGGCTAGCAGCTGGTTATTTTTTTCAATATTTCCATCTCATGTTCTGATATGCCGAGTGCTTAATAGAATTCTGGGGAATTAGGGGGCAAAGGGTTCAGATCGATGGTGCCTTGTTTATCTCGTTGATGTCGTCGACTTTTCTCAAAGTTATGCCGTCGTTCGGTTCACGACATGTCATCCGAGCGGCGGTGTTGATGGCCGTCATCTTCATTTTATTGCTATCTTATGTCTATTTTGATATGCCGCTTCCCAGCAAGATCGGTACCAGCGTCTCACCGCAAATACCCGACAATTCTGATTCTACATCGGCGACCGATGGACCCCGTGTCGAATTTGTCGTGGCATCGATGAAGGAGGATGACACATCTTGGTTCAAACAATATATTCCTAAATGGAAGGCAAACATCTATGTTGTCGACGATCACTCGGCCCCATTGACTGTCCCTCAAAACAAGGGCCGTGAGGCCATGGTCTATCTCACGTAAGAACCAGTCTTCTTGCGAAATGGCCGCTTGATGCTGACGTGTTATCATGTCCCAGACATATCATTAACAATTACGACAATCTGCCCGACGTCATGGTGTTTTTGCACGGCCTGAGATATCAATGGCATAACGACGACCCGCTATTTGGTAAGCATTAGGATCGCATAACCTGCGAATCCCCAGTCAGTCACGTGCGTGGATTAACATTTACTGCTTTCCAGATGGCGTTCCACTGATGCAATCACTGCAAACCGACTACATCATATCAGAAGGCTACGCCAACCTGCGATGCGTCTGGTCACTCGGATGCCCAGCAGAACTCCGACCACAGCAGGAGAACAACCGACCAGCCGGCGACCAGGCGGGCCAGACTCAGGTTGTGTACGGCGAAGCCTTCAAAGAACTCTTCCCAGGTGAACCTGTCCCCGAAGCAGTGGGCGTGGCCTGCTGCGCACAATTCGCCGCCACCCGCGACAAGGTGCACGAGCGCCCGCTCGAAGACTACGAGCGGTACCGCGAATGGGTGCTCAGCACGGCGCTCGAAGACAGCATCAGCGGACGTGTCATGGAGTACTCCTGGCATCAGATCTTCGGCCGACCGCCTGTCCACTGCCCCAACGTGCAAGAATGTTACTGCAAGACGTACGACCTGTGCAATCTGACCTGCCCCGAGGACTATCGCTGCGGCGAGAGGTGGCATTTTCCCCCGTCCGCGTCCCTGCCTGAGGGCTGGCCCGAGTATGGCTGGAAAGGCGAGTTTCGGACTCCCGAGGAACTGGCGGAAATGCGTCTGGAGGCCATGGCTCCCTCGTCGTCTTCTGCCGCTGTGGCGTCGCCGACGGTCGCCGTTCAGACTGAAACCGCAAGCCCATCGGGTTTAAAGTGAGCTTGTCAAAATCCCGAAATCTCCTTCCCACTGTCATGTCTGTCCCCGATCGTAGCTGGAGCTGGCGGGAATCGCCCTACCATCACTGTCGAAGGCGACAGAAGGCGTAACGTAACTCGTCCACACACAGAGGTATGCTCCGCATTCGCGTCTGCCTCGAACCACCCTCAGTCTATCGGAACGAGCCCTTGCCGCCCTGGGCTCGAATGGCAGCAGGCAGCAGTGACGGCACCCGAGCCCATGGGGTTCGAGGCAAATTCCGCCAGACTGCAGCCTTTTGAGGTCGATCACTGCAAGACCTTGATGGAGTATATACTCAGCGAAAGCTCAGTCGGTAAACCCCCGACATGAACCCTACTCGCCTGGATTTGTTTGGTCAATTCAACAATTTTTGAGGAACCTCATCCATATACACACATGAAACTTCCCTGCTGAAACTCAGTGGCGACCGGCTAGGTATCGACTGCACAACGGATATGTATATATGATCGATCTGGAGAGTTTAGTCTTTTGGAAACGCACGACGACATTGTTTGGGTGCAGTGCACACACTGAGGACATAGTAAACAAGAATTTATCCAAGATTAACCAACGCGCCACCTTAAATTTGCCCAAAAGTCCAAACTTTCGTCTTCATGACTGACAATCAGTAAGTCTTTCAATAATACGTCATACTTATTGTCTTTGGCCCTGTCTCATCTTCGTTGCCTGTGCATATGTTTATTATTAAACTCACCGCCAACACCAAACGCTCTATGACCTTGCAGTGACCGCAATTGCGCGTTGAGGGGGGGGGGGTATAAATGCTAGTAATACAGAATTCAACCATTCCATTTCGGTCATGAAAGCAGAGGATAACCACATCCCAACAAGCTTCCAATGTTTCGTTGGAGTGAATAGCCCAAGTGATGAGTTGCTGTGGCGTAGAATCGATCCATCATCGTCTCATTCTCTCAGCTTCCTCCATCTCTTGAGCTTCTCGCTCTGCTCTTTCCTCTTCATCCTCGACCGGTGCTGTGAAGAATTCATGCTGAAGGGCCTCCTTGGCACTCCATCGCTTCCCGGCATCCAATTCCAATAAGCCCTCCAGAAAATTGACTGCTTGGGCTTCTCCTGCTCTCAAGGCATCGTGCTCCTTCTCCCGACAACTAGCCCAAATAATGATTTTGCCGAGGGTAAAGCCTCTTTCACCGATAGTCTCAATATTGGTCTCAAACAGTTGGCCATGCATAGCCGCAACTGACTGCATTTTTTTCCTCCCAAAAATCGATGCCATTTCGATCATCGCATCGACATCGTCGGCACTATTGAAGAAAGGGAAGCGGCGTGCTAAGAGTGTCAGAAGGATAACTCCCGCTGACCAGATGTCAATTTTGGTGGTTTGTGATGTGCATTTCAGGAGCACTTCGGGGGCTCGGAAACCTCTTGTCCCAGCTCGATTTGCTCTCCGCGACGGACGACCATCAGACTTCGGATAGCCAGTGGAGATTAGGTCAGATTGAGTCTGCAGGACCTGAACGGCATAGGAGCTCAGAAATTTGTCTTTGCGCTTCTCCCTTGATTCTATGCATAGACATGGTTGCCAGTCGGTACCCTGTCTCTCAGCCAAGCCAAAATCGACGAGGACGCCTTGCCTTTTAGAGTGGTCATAGAGAAAGTTAGTAGGCTTGATGTCGCGATGAAGGATGCCAGCCTTATGAACATGAGCTAGGGCATGGAAGAGACTCCGGAAGTAATGTCGCATATCATTGATCAGGAACTCGCGGTAGTAGAGTCGAAAATCGAGATGCCTGAAATAAGGCAAGACGGCAACGACTTGATCGAGGTGTCGGAAGGCTGTCAACAGGGGGCAGATGTAGGGCGAGTCTCGAAGTTCGTGGAGTAATTCCAATTCATTGAGGATGCGATGGGGTGAAGAAGTTACATAGATCTTTTTCAATGCAACTATCTGTGGTTTTGTCCGCAGCCGGGCAGGATTGGTCTTCTGTCTTTTAGGGGGTTGCTCTGTGTCAAAGTCCTGTGCACTATTCTCCTCGTCTCGGTCCATCTCGTCACGTTGTAGGAGCTGCTCGGCCTTGTAGACTGTAGAAAATGTACCTGGAACAGTCAGTCAGCATGGCTTTGAAAGTGAGACGTCGAGAGGAGATGCACCTTCACCAATGCGGTTGATGAGTCTGTACTTCTGGGAAATGCCTTTGAAGCTCTCCTCAAGCTTGCGCATATCTTCTATGACGGTCTCGTCAATTTCGTCCTCACTGTCGTCCGACTGGTCCGAAATGGAATCAGCCATGGAACCCTCGTCGTCTGATTCAAGATGAGCCATAGTTCTGGAAGTATTGTTGGCCAGGGCGGCAGAGGCATGAAGAGTGGCATCCTCATCCTCATGTATAGCGATAACCGTGTTACCCATGCTGTGTCTGGGTCTTTTGCCTAGGATGGTGCCAGTACAGTTCCCTGCAACGGGCCGTTGTGCATGTGGCTCCCCCGGACGACTTAGCAGACGACGCGTGCCAGTGGGTGATACAGGTGCAGAGGCAGATAGTTGGTCCTGCTCCCGAGAAAGAGCTCTTGGGTTGGCAGGAACTACAGAGACATTGTCCGAAGTCTTTGTAGGAGGGTTGGAGGATTTGACCTTTGGAATCTCGGGTTGTTTTGACCGCAATGCCTTGAGGACACCTTGGGCCTGTTTCGTTAATTTCATGGTCGCGTGGGTGTGGGTGTGGGCGGGCGGTGAGGCTTGGGCGGGTTGAGCCGCTGTTGTGTGCCAGCCTGCCAGGCACCCACAGGGTGAGCGTGGGTGAGTTTTGTTTAGGTGTGGGGGGCTTTCCACTTGCCACTTTGGGAAATCCGTCAATAAACCGATTTCTGGCAGTGGGCGTGGGCGGTCGCGGTCGCGCTTGCCTTACCAACAATTACAACGCACTCCCTAGTTAGTTACTACTAGTTAGTAGGTTGTTGCAGTCGTACCTGCGCTTTTGGGCCACTGCGCTGTACGCGTAAATTGGAGAGAGAAAGGAAAGAACGCAAGAGTTTGCAGTTGTTTGGAAGTGCTGACCACCAGCCTTTTATCGTCGCAGCGACCACCTGGTCACTGCCTGGTCCCTAAACAACAACAACACCAGGACCAACAACGACATCCTCCTCCACAAGTCTTCGCATCCACCCCTATCGAAGATGGAAGACCAAGTCGATTTCGACATCAATGAGTTTCTCAAACTCTACCTCAGCGATACGGCCTCTATTCCTACTCCAGAAGCACACCCCGACCTGCTAGACTGCGAGCATGATCCGGACAGCTTAGCCCCTGCTCTGGTTGACAGTGTACTGGAACATGTCCTGGATGCGGTAGCAGAGAATTCAGAAGGAATCTTACGGACCTCAGCCTTTGACACTGTGCAATTCCTGCTAAAGTATGTTTCAGATTCGTCCCGTTCTGCTGTTCAAGTGCTGACGTATATTCTTCTCTCAGACAGTCGACCCTCTTGTCTGCGCAATCTCTGAGCAAGGTACTGCACCTGATCGTTTCAGGACTATCAGCAGCCACAGATGTTGCCCATCATGACATTGAGAACGAAGAACAAGAAACAATACCTCAGCACAAGAAACTACTCGAAGCCTATGCCTTTCTTCTCCAGTGGGCTGTTGCAGCAGTAGAAAACAAGGCTCTCGAGAAGTCCAATGCTGCTCCTGCCAGGAGAGGTGGCAAGGGTGGCAAAAAGGCTGCTGCCAAAGACGATGTTTGGGACTCTCCCAGTCAGATACAGAGTGCTATGGACGTAATGTGTCGGGCCATGAGACTCAAGCTCAATCGCATCTTCCAGACCACCTCTGACCGTGACACATTTGTCAATCTATTCACGAGGTCAATCTATCTAATCATGGAAAGTGAGGCTAGGGTCAAGATTACTGCCGTGAGGATGTTTTGCTTCAAGGTCTTGTGTGTTGCTGTTAAACATCATGGTCACGCTCTTGGAGCACAAACATCCATTGTACAGAACCTGACCTACTTCGAACATCTATCGGAACCAATGGCCGAATTCCTCCACATCCTTTCTGAGCAGTACGACCATCATCAATTATCTGCCGAAATCCTGCGAGAACTTGCTGCAAAGGAGTTTAGCCAAAGTGATACCAAAGGGCCTAAATCAGTCTCTGCCTTCATCATCAAGCTATCTGAACTTGAGCCAAGATTGGTCATCAAGGAAATGGGCCTGCTCGCCAAGTTCCTTGACAGCGAGGCGCACACTTTGCGATGTGCCGTCATCGAGGTCTGTGGGAACCTTCTTGCCGACCTCAGCAAACAAGCCGAGAAGAGTGAAACGACAAAAATTCAGATCAATGCCTTCTTTGACACGCTTGAACAGAGATTTCTTGATACTGCTCCTTTCTGTCGAGTTCGGACCATGCAGGTCTTCATGAAGATCTGTGAGCTCGAACAAAAGTTTCCTAAGCGGAGGCAACATGCTGCTGAGCTCGCGATGCAGAGCTTGACAGATAAAAGTAGCAATGTTAGACGGAATGCGATTAAATTACTCAAGAAATTGGTATCATCGCATCCTTTCAGCTTGATGCACGGCGGTCAGCTTTCATACAAAGAATGGACCCAAAGACTGGATGCTGTTGAATCTCAGTTAGACGCATTGGCACCGCCACCTGACTCACCCGGCATAGCTGAGACAGCCGACGGTCAGGGGAAAGTTGATCAGGAATTATTGGACGATGCCACTCAAATGGCTGAACCACCAAAGGAGATGACTGAAGAAGAGCAGATCGCAGCCGTCAAAAAAGCCCAGGAAGACGCAGCCACATCGGAAGCCATCGGTAAGCTTCAACTCACGCGCAAATATTATCTCGAGGCGCTTCGGTTCATCGAAGTGATCCACGAAGCATCTGATACAGCTGTGCAGTTATTGTCATCACCGAACAAAACTGAGGTAATTGAAGTGATGGACTTTTTCGTTACAATTGATGCCTTCAAAGTGGAAACAGCCAGAAAAGGCATCAGACGCATGTTACGATTGATTTGGACAAAGAGCAATAACGACGAAGGCAAAGGGGTCCAGACTCATTTAATTGACAGTTACAAGGGTCTTTTCTTTGACGCTCCTGAAATCTTTAATTTGAACGATGCAGCTAATTTTGTCGCTCGAAACATGATCAGTCTGACCTTTGGGTCGACTCCAGCTGAGTTGACCTCGCTAGAACAATTACTGAGTACTATGTTCAAAGCAGGACACATTTCCGCCCTGGTCATATCCAAGCTATGGCAAGTCTATGGAGTCAACAAGGAGATCTCCAGAGCCCAGAGAAGAGGAGCAATTATTGTTCTTGGGATGATAGCACTTGCAAACCCAGAGGTTCTCGTGAAAGAGCTTGATACTATGCTCCGAGTCGGCTTAGGTCAATTAGGAAGGACAGACTTCGTATTGGCCAAGTTCACCTGCGTGGCTTTACGTCGTATGATGCCTACCGCAAAGAAGGCACAAGAGAGAACTGCATCAGCAGGCCTTGCTAAAATGCCCAACGACCATGAGGTACTTCGAATGCTTGCTTCGATCTTGCTTACCACCTCACCGAGCAAGGACTGGTATGGAATGGCAGAGCAAGCGATTAGTGCCATTTACGTCCTTTCCGACCATCCTGATGTACTGTGCTCAGAAGTGCTCCGACAGAAAACTCGACTTGTCTTCCAACAGACAAAGAACATGCAGTCACTATCAAGGGCATCATCGCCTGGGCCCGATGCCATGGATATCGACGAAGCGGAAAGCGCACCGAACCCGGAAAATGAAGAAGGCGAACCAGAAATGCAAGAGGATAAGCCTGAGAAGTCAGATGATAAACCTTCGACGGCACTGTCACAGTTATTGTTCACTGTCGGTCATATCGCTATCAAACAAATTGTGCACTTAGAACTGTGTGAGCTTGATTTCAAACGGCGGAAACAGGAGCAAGAAAAGAATAAGTCGGCTGCCCACGCACTGCCGGAGACTTCTTCGGGCCCTACACCAGCCCGACGCAAGAAGACAGCTGCAGAAGAAGTTATGGCTGAGAAGCAGAAGGAAGAGGAGAAGGACGAGCTTGATCTCATAGGTGGCACAACTGAAGACGACTTCACTGAGGCGATCGTGCACATTCGAGAGCGTGAGCTCCTTTACGGACCCAATTCACTGCTGGCAAACTTCGGCCCACTGGTGGCCGAGATTTGTGCCAACAACAACGCATACAAGGATCGAAAGCTTCAAGCACAAGCAACTCTCTGTCTGGCTAAGCTTATGTGCGTCAGCAGCGAGTATTGTGAAAAGAATCTCCCTCTTCTCATTACCATCCTTGAGCGCTCTAGCGATCCGATTGTGCGATCGAACGCTGTCATTGCACTTGGGGACATGGCAGTATGCTTCAATCATCTAATTGACGAAAATACTGATTTCTTGTATCGCCGACTGAACGACGGAGACGAAAGCGTCAAGCGCACCTGTCTGATGACATTGACATTCTTGATTCTTGCTGGACAAGTCAAAGTCAAGGGTCAGTTGGGCGAGATGGCAAAATGCCTCGAAGACGGCGATAAGAAGATCGCAGATCTCGCTCGCATGTTTTTCACTGAGCTTGCGACCAAGGACAACGCAGTGTACAACCAGTTTGTCGACATGTTCAGTGTTCTTACGCAAGACGGGCCTCTGGATGGTGGAGTCATGGAAGAAGAGGCTGTCAAACGAATCCTGAAATTTCTATGTGGATTTATTGAAAAGGTACGTGCCCTTCCGTTATTGCTTGCCACAGCCGCCCCTGGGGATGTCTCTATTTCTGCGCCATATATTTCATTCTTCCATCAAATGCTTTCGCAATCGACCATAGGATGTGGAGAACAGGGCTTCCCGTTCGCTCAGCCGTACTTAAGCCACATGCCGGTCAGTTAGTACTAAAGTGGGTGACCATTTGGGAATCCTGGCTGTTGATTGTTTTTTTGGCTGGCTTTGCGGCAGTGTGCGGAAAGCAGAAATCCAGTGGACACATTTTGCCTTCTCTCGTTCCTGGCACGTGATTATAATCACGTGCAGTTTTTTGACTTCTTTTGTGGTGAACGAGTGTTGAACAACTGCTAATGTGAATGCTATAGGACAAGCATGCTAAAAACCTAGCGGAGAAGCTTGCTGCACGATTGGGCCGTTGTGTCAATAAACGTCAATGGGATGATACTGCATATGCATTGTCATTATTACAACACAAGAACGACGAGATCACGCGTTTGATCGGCGAGGGTTACAAGATAGTTGAGGTTGAGGTCTGAAGCTGCGTGTTCGAATTTGTATGAAATTATGAATTGATGACCGGACTGATTGTATGTTATTCATGTGCTCTGGCATACGGCAGTGGCGGATTACGTGGTTGGTTCCTGAGCCACGAGACACCGTATTGGGAGGCAACATCGAAGAGGCACCTATTCGTATCTTACTAGTTCACTGTACCAGGTTGGGAGTGTGGGCTCTGCACAATACCGAACGGCCTCAGAGTCGAGGCTTGTATTTCAATCAGCTAGACTGCGGGAGACTTGTGGAATTAGACCAAGATAAAGCCCACAGAATTTGTTCAATCATGATAATGACTCTTCGCTTTGAGTTTTGGGCCAAATGATGTGGTCACTGTTCATGAGCCACTCCTACGCCGATGACGAGGTTTGCCTACGCATTCCATCCTGTCTGCCAAATTCATGGTGTTGGGGCCTGCTGGGCTCCTATATCGTAACACCGCACGCTGAGCCTGCCCTAATCCAGAGGGGACGTTCTCAAAGATGAAGGATGTCTTTGAAATCAAGCAAGTAATCAGTGAAACTCCAGGATTTCCGTGAATCCGGGGACGGGGCGGGTGGAGGGTTCCTTTCTTCCATCGGTGGTTCGAAAGTTTGCTTATTCAAGGCGTTATAGCCGGCGAGCCTTTGTAGCCACGGGAGGAGGAATCCTCGTCGCTGCCCTCCTCTGCGATCGAGCGGTGCATTTGCATGTCATCAGACCCGGCCCTCCGCCTAGCGGCCTCTCGCTTGGCCAAAATGTCTCTCCAGGCGGCATTGTCCGCGGCGCGGGAGTCAGCGAGCGCGGGCCCGGCGCCGGTCGCGGTGGCGGCGTGGATGGCCGTCGCGATCACACCGCCGCTGCTGTTGCTGTTGCTGGGCGGGGCCGGTAGATGTTCGACGTCCACCTCAGGGATGGCGTCGACGACGAGGCTGCGGCGGGCTTCACGGCGTGCGGCCCGCGCTTCGTGGTTCACGCTGAATTCGTTGTGGTGCTTCGAGAACAGTGGGACGTGCTTGTCGAGGAATGATGTTGCTGCTGCCAGGGGGTGGGGTGTCGGGATGTGGATGTGGTGGTGACGGTGAGAAGAGGGAGAGTGAGATGGCGATGGAGAACCCCATGTTGTGTTGTGAGGGTTCTGTGCTGGTGAGGGCATCGACGCGGTCACGTAGGTTGGGTTGCTGCTGCTGCTGTTGCTGCCAACGCCGCCGGGGTTGCTGAAGTCGGTTTGTGCGGGCATGGCGATGTGCATGTTTGACTTTGTGGATGAGCGTGACGACGACAGAGAGAGCGTGTCTGAAGATGTGGATGCTGTTGCTGGTGATGTTGGTGAAGACATGATCACTGGTGTGTGATATGCGCTAGGGATGCTTTGTGTGACGTCCCTTGTAGGTGGTTTATAGATCGGAAACCTGGCTTCGGTTGTCGCAGTTGTATGAGGGGTTGTGGTCTAGCCCGGGCCTATGCGATATTCTCCACAATTCGTTGTTGGCCCGAGTTCCTGTTCCCTTTCGGAGGCGAAGTATGATACGAGGTGCTGGTATACGCTTGCGAATGTTTCGGCCGTGAAGGCTTTTCTATCCGCTGGCCGGTGGGTCGAGGCTCGGGATAGAGAGTCTGGGTCGTGTCGTAAGTCCCGACTTCTGATGTACTCGGAGATGGATAGTCTCGGATGTATAGAAGGAACCGCTTCTGAGGAAGCGTATCTTCTTAAGCTGATGTTCTCGGCTGCCTCGAAAGACTCTCACGGGGCAGTGTGTCTTTAAATCTCGAACCAATTTTCGGCGTGCATGCATGCCCCCGGGGGGCTTACAGTCTTCTTACCAAATCGTGCTTCTTGGATGAGATAGCGAAGGATCTGCATCCACTCGCCTAGGCACTTCATCTCTGTCTTCTGCATCATGATGGGTCAAGGATAGGTAGTCAATACGCACGGAACGGGAAGGCGCCCTTCATGTTCCTCGACTGGTCTCTAATGAGACTGCTTGGTGAGTGGAATAGCTATCTCGTAAATGGAGAGGGGGGCGTGTTGAGCGAATAACGGCAACAGAGAGTTGGATGGATGCGGATGGTTGGGTGGTTGGCACCCAGTGGTTTCTTAGGCAGTGCTGACACATCATGCGCACTGTGCATCAGCAGACATTAACCTTCCCCTGTTAGGCCAGCCCCGACGTTCATTGCTGAATGCCGTGGAATGTTTGGAAAGGATGCAACGCTGCTGATTGGGTTTTGAAATGCAGATCCTGGGTGCTGAGTAGGGTGCGCACCCTCTAGTCGACCTCAAGGCGATGAGTCGACGACAGCCCGCCGAGAATCAAACTTACCATGGCCCACGATCCCTTGGCGTGCCACTGCTGATGCCTATCACACGGACCCTGAGATGAGGGCATCCAACGATGCAAGGCCCAGCGCTGGGTCTTGCCTGAAGCGAACCGTCGCCACGGCACTGAACACGAGGAGGGGCTCAGTCACTTCGCCTACGAGTAGACTCACGAGTGACTGAACGAGATCCCGCGAAATCCTGCTGAATAGTTTGTGTGCACGATGTATGATGCATGGCCTGCAACGGTGAATGTGTGGGGATTACCCAGAGTCGGACCTCCAGGCCCTGCGTCAATTTTGTTTCCGAGGCAATTCTTGGTCTCTCGTCCAGTCGTCATTATCGGGTTATTATGATGCCCTGGCTCCGATTCACCGATTCTTTGCGCAGCACGTACATTGCACACAAGGCTGCGCCGTGTGAGCCGCTGGTGTCAAAACAAGGCAAGGTTCTTTCAGACCCGACGTCCTGCAGTCTACATCTGCTTTAGGCCTCGATGGCCCGATGCCTCCCTGGTAGGTAGAGGGCAGAAACGGCCACTTGTCACCTAGGTAGTTAGCTGGCGAGATCTCTCTTTTGGTCTTCTTTCAATCAAACGACGGGACTATCAAACCTTGGACATGGACAAACACACCTATGATGAATTGTAAGTACGAGCCGTGGTATTGGCCCTGAAAGCCAGGATCAGTTTGGAAGCGGTGGTGGTAATAATTTGACAGCAATGGGAGCCTACTAGGAACTTAGCAGCTAACATCTGCACAACAAATGGTATGGTTCGCCGGTGGCCATGTGTAGGCAAACGTGACGCTTAAAAACTGCTTCACCATAATCAAGTCGTTGATTCAACTGGAGACAAGTTAGAAGCCAAGCTTGGTTTGAATCTGTTGGCATCCAGGTAGGATGCATCGCAGTACGGGTCATATGCTCCTGGCCCTACTCCACGCCAGCATAGGTGGGCTTTCGATGACTGACAGGTTGAAGTGCTCGGTGTGCAGTGAAGGTTGAAGTTGGCCGGGAGGCCAGTATGAACCCAAGGTATGTCGACGTGTCCCCTGTACAAGCAGATCACAGCATAACTGATCCTACTTGACTGTCAAAAGAGCTGAGTGTTATTGATCTTATTATTCTCACCAATGCAAATTTGAGTCTCAAGTCGTACGACAAAGTACCATTGGACGAAAACCTAGGAGCTTGTGCCGCTGATGTTTTCCATTCAGCGCACTCTCTGGCCCTCTGGTTCCGGAAAACCAGGAATGTAGGTGACACTGCCAGGAAACGGAGACGCGACGACAGGACGAGGATACGAAGGTCGGACCTTCACAAAATGACAGTATCGCACCCTTCCACCAAACGGGAACTAGATGCTCGAACAAGCAAGTTTGCAAAGCAGAAACGAGTGCTAGGAGAATATACGCATTGTCGTTGTTGTCTTACCGGAAACAGCTTTTATGGACATCCATATGATTCTCCATGCAGGATGCGATAGGTGGATAATTAGGCGATCGTCCGAGACAACACAGTCTTCTTAAAAGCCAGATGACGAGAAGAAGCAAAGGGCATGAGCTCGTCGATCTGAGGCTGCTAAGGATGCGAGGAGAGAAGGCCTAAAGATCCCAACGGCGGATGTCAATAATCAAAACAGGGCAGTGCCTACTATGGATGCAGGCAGTCGTATACTCAGTACCTCGTAAATGATCCGTACGCAGTACAGGACGTGCTTTGGATTTGGAGGCGCCATGATAAGAGCACTGGGTCAGGAGACAGCAAGAAGACTTTCGTGTTTCATGTTAACAGAATGAGAATGTTATATTCCAGACCCTGTATCACCATAATGAAGCAAGCCTGCCACCTCTCCTGTATCATGAACCAAGCGGCTTCGTCGTCATATGAAAACGTGAATTATCGACGAAATCAAGTGTAGATCTAGAGGCGGAACCAATTTCGCCTGCCCTTGGTCACGAGATAGGACTATGATGGTGTAGCATCTCCTTTCGACAGTAGCGTTCAAACTGGGATGAACCAACTTGATAGCCGATCGGCCAGGAAATTCATCCCTGGGTGCACCTGCTCAAAGAGGAGATAGTTCTGTGGACTCCTTGTACATTAAATCTTGATGGGGAGCGGGTACAGCGGTTGATGGAACACATCATGCCGATCATTTTAGTCGCTTCTCGAAACGTACAGGGGATCACAGTGGAAACAAGGAAATCCCCAGAATCCAACCCTCCCTGCAGAAACGAAAGTGGCCGTTGACCTCCACTTCGGTGGAGGCTGGAAACCTTCAAAGAAACGGGAGAAGGGGAAGAAATTGCAAGAGACTTGAATACGAAGCAAAAGGCGGATCCCAAAACATAAAGCGAGTTTGATAGAGTGCTTCCGGGTATGACGGATGTTGTATCGTTGTTGCAGTAGTCGCGTGTAAGGGGGTTCTTCGTCTGATTCGAGTAAGTTGAAATAACGTGCCTGTCGATCAGTGAGCGTGGGGCGCGTGGGCGATGTGCTATGCAGGAACCATAAAAGCAGCCCATCGTACGGTAAGCGCAGCAGGAACCTGGAAGTCTGGAAGTCGACCGAACCCGATCCCAGTACTGGCCTCCACAGCGGCAGAGGTCGAGGGTGGAAATGCGTGGCGTCATGATGATTTACGTGGGAAACCCACTATGGCTGGAATTAAGTAACCGGTGTGATGGGTGCCACATTAGCTTTGGGTCTTCCCCTTTCTTGGTATTCGTAAGTCTGGGCAGTCGGGCTCGAAGAAATCAGTTAGCACCAGCGAAGTTTGTGCAAGTCGTTCGTATGTTTCAGGCCCGTGTCCCAAACCTTCCAACTCGAAACGAGATTGGTCAGGCCGTTTGAAGATTAAGCCCCTAGGTCGGGCACCTAGGAATCTGTATAGAGTTGCTGTGGTAGCCATGTACGGGGCATTCGTTTTTACTGCACTCGTGAATGGTCAGGATCCACATAAGCAGATACCAGAGTTTCACGCGGAGAAGTGACATGGCGGTACGGAGTACTCCATAGCAATGATTCTGACCGACTCTTCTATCTTCACAATAAGCCCGATCCTCCGGGTATAGCTTGCGGGCGTATGGCAATGGGTGAGGGGGGGACTGCCACACCAGAGACCCACTGATGACCACACCAAGCATGTATTGGTAAAGAGATGTGGCCTTGCATGAATGGTGACGAACAATAGCCTCTTCGAAGGCATGTTGTGCTATTCCGAGGGCAACTGAAAGACATGCATTAGCAGCTCCCTGGGTGCGAAGTGCCCGTAGAGTGCAAACTCTCAAACTTCTGGAAGGCCAGCAAGGGAGTGTGGCTGCGAACGAGGCTCAGTCCAGCCGTGCCTGCCAAATTTAGCAACAGCTATTTCGTACCTGCTAACCTGCCAACCTGCCGCCTTCCCCTCTGATTCGTCTCGTTCGTTCCTCCCCCACCAGCCTCCGTCCCCATCAAATCCTGCTTCGTCGGCAGAGGCGACGGCCTTTCATTTCCGGTCGGAAAGACGACGCGAGGTCCACCGGTCCCCCTCCAAGAGTCCAGAGAGCTCATACCCGACTTCATGTTTAATCTGAGGGAAAGGCCGAATTGCACAGAGGCCAATCGATGCAGTGGATACAGTACAGCTGATCAAAATTTGGACTCGTCAATGTATTCACGGACGCTCCGTGGAAATCTTAGCTAACTGATGCTAAATGCCAATGCCAGTATCTTTTCCCCTGTGCTTTCCCTGTCCAAGCAACAGCTGTAACGGTGCAGATTTCAAACAAAGCCAGAGTGACCCTGAAACGCCAAAACTCATTTTAATCCTATCTTCACATGCCCCCAGACGGCGTGGTATCAACAACGGAAGAACATTCGTAATATCGTAAAAATCGCATCAAGGTCGTGACGTGGTACCACTCTAAATTCCAACTCCACCTAGAAATGTGACAGTCGACTGCGTCCCTCCACGAGTCGATACAGTACCCGTTCCGCGTCGTTCATGAGCCCTCCTAAAAATTCGCCAATCTTATGGAGCCGGATCATTTCCAGAAGACCATGCACTTGTCCGAATGTATGAGGGTCTACCTGTATCAAGTTCTCCGGCTTCTCCACATTGGTCAGGTGTAAAAATTCTCGCATCGAGTACGCTGCCTCATGTGAGTCTAAAAGCGCCGGATGTACCGAAGACAGGCTAGAGGTTCGTGACAGATTGGAAAGAGGTTCGCTGGCCGCCGAGGTCGCTCCAGAGAGCGGACCAGTGCCCTCGAGAGATTTCCAGATGCTCACCCCGTAAGCCCAACACACCAAAGCAGCAAGATAAAACACCCATGGTTCGTGCAACATTTGAGTATCTTGGAATGAAACAGACAATCCGGTATTGGTAGAATCGGAGGGTCTAAACTTCGCGCAGCCTCGAATCAATCGTAGGGCATGCCAGAGTGCGATACGACTTTCAAGATTGGACTCGACCCAAACTCTGAGATTTTTTTTGGCATCATGGAACTCGCCTTCGTTCTCGAGCTTTTTGCCCATGATCCATGACTCGCCACTCACCACCAGTAGTTGCCGTATTGGCGTATTTCGAGACATCTCTCGTGCATGGAAATTGAAAGTGATGCGGGAAGCAGACTGGTTGCATTGGTCTTTCTGCGGCAGGATGGTGTCTAAAGAGGTATCTTGCATGTTTGCAAGACTGACTTGAATTTGGAAATAATCTAGAGGTGTTCCAGGAGTAGAAATGTCGGTACGAGCGCAGCGAGGTTTATAAAATGCGGGATCCGATGCCATCTCAACCCACGCTTCAATCGAGCTGATTTCCCAGAGCTCCTCTGAACAGGGAAGCGATATTGCGGTGCGTAGTCCAGGATTATTTCGCCGCGGTCGATCATGCTGGACAATCGTGGCGGGTTGCTCGAAAAGGATGACCTGCTGTAGATCCAGCACCATCGAGGCTTGTAGGATCCTTCTTCGGGTCTCGTGCTCCAGCCAAAACTTATGTGCTCGATAGACGTCTTCTGAAGTCCGGTCTTTTCGAAGTGTCCGGAAAACTGCTAGAGGATCTGTCGCCAGAGATCGACGCGCTTGATCGAGGCTCGCGAAAAGCGAACGAAATCTTGCTGACATTTCGACTTCTACTCTCCTCGCACAATACTTGCTGAGGACCTCTAGAAGGAACACAGTTTGTAGGTCTGCCAGTCTAGACCGACTGGTAATGCTGTCTCTCCGTCGAAGAAGCTTTGTGGCTATTTCCAGAAGAGTTAGAGAATATAATTTGGCGTCAGGTCGTCCGTCGTATTGTGAACCGATAGCTGCCATTGCACTGGCCAGTAAGGGACTCGGTTTCGTAGGTAGGAAGGAAGGACGATGGACAACCGGGAAGTGTGGATGGAAATACTGCCAGTAAAGGTCTAAACAGTCCCACCTTATAGTGTCAGATATACCGGTTGAGGGATTTCCTGGTAGTATTCCTGAGGCACTTGATAGCTCTCGTCGAATGACAGACCATTCGTATCCATCCAGGTCGGAGAGGGGTATTGGTAGGGAAGAGTCTGCAGGAGACTGATCAGCTTCAGTACAAATACCATTCCAATGACAAGGGAGGCATACAGGAAGATAGGCACCATCATCAGTCACATTTGATGGAAGCATGCTGGGAGGAGCAGAAGAGGGCACCCAAGTGCCGGGCATGTTTCCACTCATTAGAGGGGATGCTCCGCTGGGATCAAAAGCAGCAACAGAAGAGGACGAAGAAATACTCGGGCGATGGGGATATCGGCCATAGTACTCGGAAACGGGGGATTGACTACTCTCTGGAGTGTAGAAGATACCAGAGTCGTCTGAAGAGGGAAATCCTGGAACAAATTGTGCCATTGACTGTCGAGGGTGGCTGCTGAATGCAGGTGTTCCCATGTAACGGTAGTCCGTCCCCTGGGGATGGACGAGAGAGCCGATTGATAGAGGCCCAGAGGATGATCTTGGAGGCCCTCGATCTGCAGAAGGGCTGTGCACAGACGTAGACAGAACAGCTGAAAGGTCAGAAGAAACTGGCACTTGCGACATACGGCCTAAGTGCGCAGAGGAAGCGTCATGGGCACTCTCGAGGTCGCTGTAAGGCAGATTAGCATGGCCCCCTTCAAGTCCGAGGGCCGAAGACTTACTGTCGCTCCTGATGACGTTGCAGCAGATCGATACGGTGGAATGCCTTTCGACACCCAGGACGCGTGCAAGGAAATAGTGCCTCCGGATTATGATTGAGCTCATGTCGCCTATCAGGTGGTTAGATGAGTTGAATGGAAGGGGCCATTGCAAAACGGCCCTACTGTAATGCTTACCTTCTGTGTTCAGCTCGAGTGAAGACCTGATGATCCTGTTAGCTAGGCGTCTTCGTTTGGGTCCAAATGGCAAGCCTATGTTTGGGGGTTGCCCGGGTTGGGGGCAGAGTCCTCACCTTTCCACAGCCAGGAAACTCACAAGCGTGCACACGCTTGCCTTTCTTCGCCTTACTGATACGACCGGTTGGAGTACAGCTGGGATGGCCCTCAAGGGAAATGGATGAGGTCCTCATGGTTGAAGTGCTCTCTCTACGAGAGTGGGATCCAAAAGCTACGCCGTCGATGGGTGAAAGAGGAGAGTTTGGAATAGTGGGCGAGTGGTTGGAACCGACGACTGGAGTGTGGTTGGAATTGTCCTTTTGTTTGCGTCGACGATCAGTAGTAGTGGGAGTAGCAGGAGAGCCAGGTTGTGGTTGTGGTTGTGTTGAAGGAGTGTAGTGGGTCTGGACGGGGTCGGGTTGTTGTTGATGGTGAGAGTCGGCGACGCCTTGATGTCGTGGAGTTTGAGAACGCTTCTTTGGGGCCATGGTGAGGGTATTGTATAGAAGTTATAAGAGGTATACGAACAGACCAAGAACGTTTCACAGTGGAGTCGGATGAATGCTTGGAAGCCTCCGCCCCCTTCTGAGCCTCAAGGAAAGATTAAGCTTGTTTGAGCAAATGGAGAAAGGAACATGGGTGGATGGAGAGGACGGGAGTGTGATGAGGGAAATGACGACTTGATGGTGGAAAGCAGAGGAGGCGAGGGAGACTAAGGTCTGGAGAGTTGAGATGCTGAGAGGTATCCGTATGGCAGGGCTGAGTCTTGGGTGGGTTGGGTGATGCTGCTGGGTGGCCGGAAGCACGTGGTGGAGGTCCTCCGTACACCGGGTGAGTTATTCTTGGTGTCGATTGATGGGAGTGCTATGGAGGCTGGAGACCGGAGACAGTGGACGAACCGGTATGGAAATGAACGCAGGAGCCAGGGTGAAATTGGGAGGATGGGTTGTAAGAGGAGCATAACTCGAGGACTAGGAGGACGCTCGCTATAGCACATCCCGGCGAATGAGGATGGAGCGGCTGTGTTCGATGGAGGCGGACGTGGACTAAGGGTGGCCCTTGAGCGGATCAAAATAGAGAGTCGACGATTCAAGGGACATGGGAGGCGTAATTGGGTCACTCGCCTGCTGACCTGGTCCGGAGCTGCATGGCGTGTGCATGGGTCCATGGGATGGGAGACCAGGATGTGCTTCCACGAGGGAACTTTTGGCCAGGACGCAGGAAAGGGACAAAAGTGACAGGTCGGGAGTCGGGCAGCCTTTTCCCAGTGGTGCGCCGAGTGAGTGGATTGTGGAACGGCAGGACGGGGACTAAAATGGTTGGTTAGTGGAGGACAGGCTTAGTTCCCTCTCCGGCACGCTAGCAGCGACAAATCACTGGTCTAGCACGGGGCTAGCAAGCATGGATATAGGCTAGCTCGTCCCGGCTAACGTGATCCCAAGGGTAAGAATTGCGGCGCAGGCCGACTGCTTGGGAGCACTAAGCCCGAGGCGGGCGCCTTGCTGCTATTTGGAGCGACGCCATCCCATATACAGACAGGCGTGAAACCACAAGCCTCCCCCGCCAACTAAAAATGAATTAGCAGCCATCTAACTTGACTTCATCTGTCTATTCGTGACGACGGAGCACAACTGCGAGTCTGCCTTACCTGAGCACTGGACACCTTTCAACCATCCCAACCCGGCCATTCACGTCCAAAACGCTTCACACTTTTGGAAAAGATCAGATCTGCTACAGACCCTCTTGAGCTACTTGCTTCTATCTACGAGCCCTCGGTTGCCAAAACAACCATCGCTCCTGCAGTTCTCCGACGCCGTCTACCGACAGCCTCGGACCTCTGTCTGCTGTTAGCATGGCTCTCCACCAATCTGGTCGCCCATCTTGTCTCACCACCAACATGGTCTAATTCGTACACTTGGTCTGCTGGCCATATCACGAAGGAAGCGTTTCTACTGGTGCATTGCTTGGTCCTGGCCACTAATGATGGTCATCAAAATAGATATGGACCAAGCGCGCAACACCAAGGCCAAACACCAAGGCCAGTCGCATAAGGAGTACGGAGGAGGGCTAGGATCCCAAAGAAGCTGTGAAAATTACCTTTGTACCTTTGAACCTTTGCGTCCGTATACCGCCTCAAGCCTCCCAGTCCTTTTGCCCTTCGAATTTGGTTCTTGCTCCGGTGTACGAGTACCGCTCCGGCACCATCGCTGCGATTGCTTTCTGCAAAGGTCCAGTCGTAAACGGTGTTGCAGAAAATGAAGCAGCCACATGCAGGAACCAGGGGAGGGTGAACTACGCTGATTAGCTGCCAAGCTACTTATGCTGGTTGAATCCTCCCAAAGTCACTTCTGCACCAACCCTTGCCGCTTTCTCTGGTGAGCCCGAGAAGGGTGTGTATGTACTCGATAATAAACAAGCTTCTGACGATGTACCAGGCACCCACAGGGGCCTACTACAGAGTACTATACATCTTACACACCCATAGTGCCATCGGTCAGAACACGACTTACACACCACAGGTGACAGGACCCATGTTGTCCTCTGGTCAAGCCTGTGGCTGGTGGGATCAATTTTGGCCTCATAACGTGATCCTTCGGTGGCTAGTGTGTGGCTGACAGGCTGTGGCGTATCCCAAAATACACTTAAGGCCACCGGATCGTTCTTTCATCTGATGCCACAATCGCCGCTCATCCGGCAAACCCTCCCACAACATGACTGATCCAACGCCACACCTCCACTCGAGGGCTTCAGTGTTGTACTCGCACCTCTGTGGCTTGGCCGTAATCGCTTCATGTCCGTGAATAGGTCTCTCACTCGAAAGCTACGGTGTGGTTTGTGAATGATAACGCCCGCGAATCGAAGACCAGCTTTTTCTTGGACCCTTTTTGGCATTTGCTGGATGCCTTGATTGGTCTTTCTCGGGTCAGCGCCTGGCAAAAGGAGAAAACCCATCCAACTGGTGATTCCGCGCTGGAAAGGTCATTCAAGCGGTCAGCTCTCCTTACGGGCTTCCACTCATCAAATAGGAAACGATTCACACCCTCCTGGGCGCCTGTGAAGTCCAGGACTACTAGCAAGTCTAGATCGCAGGATTCGACACTCCCGCCCTCTACCCAATTGATTACAGAGAGTGCCCGTCGACATACTTATGTGGTGCTTTCGGCACTTGTACAGACCCTCAGCAACCGCTGTCCTGGAGAGGCATCCTCGGGATCCTATCTATCGTTTTGCTTCTTCTCGATTTCGTCCATCCGTCTCCTATCTCCTGCGTCGTTGTCAAGGTTCAGCCGGTCCACGAGCCCTTGCATTAGTTATAGTAAGTATTGGCGCATGGATGTACGGAGTACACCATGATTCAACATTCTGGACCATTACATAGGACATCATATCCCTGTGAATCATCACTGTCAGGGCCAGTCCGGTCACGTGCCAAGAATGGTGTCTCAAAAACACAGAATCCCGCCTGCATCCTGTTGTTTCAAAATTGTGTCCTGCTAGCTCGAGTGATCGTTTCGTCCTTTTTTCTTGTTGTGAATGAGCATCCCTATCACCCAAAACCCACTTTCCGTCTGGAATACCCACTGACCTTTGTTCTGTGCCCCACCCGGCCTGGAGTCTGCTGAACCCGGAAGGAACCAATTGATCACCAAGTGCCCACTACCGCATCAAGGATGGGCCATGTTTCAGGTATGCGTACTCCGTACCGAAGTGGATGCATTGAGCGCGGAACCATCGTGAGTTCATGAATCATAACCCACCACCGGCACGTGAATCCAGAGACCGGCGAACCTACCCCAAGACGTGCCTCTGGGGCTACGGTCTTGTGCTCGGTACATACTTCCAACATGCAAGATCTATGTACGAGTACCCATACCTAGAAGTGATTTGAAGACGAATCCATGACAAGCAGGAATTGATTCAATGTCATTTCGGTACCCTCCAATGGTCGAAATCGATCTCTCGCTCATCCTGACCAGGGTCTTCCTATCAGGACTTGAAACTTGGTGCTACGCGACAAGGGCCTTTGTTTGCCTCCTTTGCTCTCTGGTATGCAATAATTTGAGGACCTCCTTACAACTTGCAAAGTACGAGGCACTTGCTCGGTAGATAAGGAGCGACTGGAATAGCGAGCCCAGTGCTCGGCTAGGTCCCCAGCGACCACTCACCATAAGCCCACCAAGGGGATGATAGACCAAACTTTTTAGGCAGGGAGGGGTCAATCTGCCCAACTCGGTCTGAGGGGTCTCGTCCGGCCTGGACTCCCCTTTCCATGCTGAAGCTTGCTGGGATTGACCCCAGCCACCAATTCTTCTGATATACTGCCACTGTCCAATCAAGAACCCTGGTGATATGGTCAAAGGGGGCATATGTTTACGAGCTGCTTGCTAAGTGATTTCGGTATCGGTCTCGCGATACGACCGGGGTACTCGAGCAACACTTTTGAACAGCAAAGATCGGGAAGTAAACAAGGAAATCAAGAAATTGTCTTTCGAGATGCGGTAGCAAAAAGCTGAGATTAAAGCCGACGCTTGGACAACAATCCTCCTCCTCCTACCAGTCGTGCTCGTGTTGGGATTGGATTCCAGATGTCGACATTACCGAATTTGCAATCCGCCATGTGTGACCATTTAATCAGTGTTTACCGAAATCCCAAGATTCTTGCGTCACGTTTTTTGTTTGAGTCTTTAAAAGGCCTCACTCCAAGGAGGTGCCTTTACGTTGACGTCTTCCAAGTTCCAGCCACGGGCCACCGTCTCGTCCTGGGACCAAACTCGCTAAAGTGGTGACACAGACAATAATGATCGTGTACGACTCACAACTCGATTGTCGTCACGAGGACCGCGGCTGTCGGCTACATACATGTGCAGTAATGTGGGATCTCTCTCATCCATCACAATCGCCATCATCATCGTCAGCTGGCACCGTCACCGTGTGACCTGGACTTATCCCTCAGCCCTACCCTGAGATCCCTTCCAAGAATGGAAACGAAAAGATCATACAGTTTTTGAACCTTAAGAACACCATTCCATGCAGACATATGGCTGATGATTGTCATACAGACAATCTATTTCTGCAAGGTGGGTACCCATGGCCAGAGCCTCGCGAAACTACCTAACCATCCTGCTGGTCATCCTCTATTGGACTACAAGTTGGCAGAATGCTTCGTCGTTACGCGAGAATATGAGACACACCATCCAACCAGCTAGCATTCATAAATGCAACGGATGGGTATGGAGGCTGCTGGCAGGAACAGCGATCGCTCTCTCGCACAGCGTTGACGCTGTCGCAACACCAACTTGGATATGCTACCCAGCTCAACGACGGTGATCCGTCGCAATGATCAATCACCGCACTGCCCATTATATCGACTCTTTCACTCGACCCAGGGAGACTCCGTTGTTGCCACCCTTGACAATGACATCCCAGCTACTGATTCATCCCCTGCCCCGC